TCGCCTCCACCGTCTCCGACCTTTCCATCAAGAACATCGAGACCCGATGGCACAAGCTCCCCGAGTGCGAGCAGGGCGCCATTGCTGATGTTCTCGCTGAGGCCCAGAAGGGTGACTGGAAGAAGCTCTCTCTGGATCAGAAGCGTGCTGGTACGTGCAAGCATTGGTTCCTATCAAGCGCCTCTCCGACACTACCGCATCCAATCGCGGGGAGCGGGAGGGCGGACGGTCGTTGCAGCACAGCATGCATGCGAATGAGGACACGCAGACCAAGCGGCGCTTAGCGTAATAGCCGTCACCCGCAGCGGTGGTCCGCAGCGCGGGTCAAGAGCGACAGAATCCTGAGCATCGTGGGCCCGCTGTCCTGCTGCATCTTCCTGACAAGCCAATCTCTCTTTTACCTTCCGTGATGCGCACACCTCGCTCCTGCAATCATTCTGCCAACACCACTGGGATTCCGATTTGCGATCAAATCACCTATCTGTCGCTGTTATGCTCGACCGGCCCATCCAGCCTACTTTGTCGCCTACGGCACCTACGGCCCCCGCACCCTCCCTGACCCCATCCTGAAGTACAAGGTTGCCACCTGGGTCGGTTCCTTCCTCCTCCTCACCTACGGCCTCTGGGCCTACTACGTCAACGAGTGTAAGTCTCCCGACCCTCGTTAGTGCTTGCTTTTGAGATTCGGTGCATTCGCCTTTGCTCGGGGTGCCCGTATTCGTTCTTACCGAGCCTCGTCCGCATGCCCTCTCCCAGACACCCCCAAGCTCGTCACCCAGACTCCCGAGTGGCAGGAGGACGAGAAGGTCCGTGCCATCGAGGCCAAGCAGAACCCCTACTACGGTCACTACGCCGAATACCTCAAGTCTCAATCCAAGTAGATTTCCAATTTTGTCTACCCAGGAACTTGTTCTGATGCCTGACCATATACGAGTTTACAGCTCAGACAAAAACAAATGTGACACCCAATTTTTCGCCTCATCACTGTAATTAGTTAACCAGTGTTTGTCATCGGCCGGGGAGGGTGACTCGCTGAATCATCATATCGCCGCTTTGCCGTCAGTCGCCGGCGACAAGTTCAGATAGCGTGCATCTCCATGGACATTGATATACCGCGATCCCCTTGAGCGACGATCGACTGGGCTTGCCATGCCATTGGCGAGCTGTGAACTGATCCAGATGACGACTCGTCGCCATCATCAGCCAAAACGCATAGCCCCGTACGGAGGCGAAATTGAGCTCCAGGGCGCGGAAGGGAACCTTTGCTCCATTGGTGATTGAGCATAGATCTACTGCGGCGTGTTTGGAAATGCAATGAGCCACATCTTCCTTCAGACATATGAGTTCTTGGATCGACTGGTTGCTTTGGACCACATGCCGATTGTGGGACCTGGGCCGGCAGTGCTTGGCATGCTGTGAACTGGGAGTTGCGCAAGGCCCTTGAAACCCCGGCTTGGCCGGAGCTGGCTTTGCCTCCTTTGCCGTCTTCGTCAACCCGATCCCAACCGCTCCCCATCCGCCAGCCGAGTTGCTGTCCACCAACGTAGTTGCCAATGCAGGTAGTTCTCATACCACTGTGTCCTCGCTGGTTCGTTTCCTTCTTGCATCGTTTGGCCAGCCGGATGATCGCTCACACACCATGTCGGGCTCGTCCAACAGAGCGCCGTCGATTACAACCAGGTATACACCTAGCCCCGTCATCGGCCGTACCTTGCTCGACTCTTCTGCTCCTTTGACCTCGGCGCTACCGTTGCGATGTCTCGGGGCGCGAATCAACTCCCCGATCCCTTGGTCTCCAGCGTCGGCATCGCCAACTCAGGCTGTGGGAACTATCAAGCCCGTCGGCGTTCATTTTTGTTTCGATCTCTGACGAGTTTGCTTCTACGATCGAATCAATGGTTCATCCTGAATGAACCACAATAACCACGGCTGGATGCAATCGGCAGCTCGCCGACGTGGCCGCCAGAGGCGCCGATGCATTTGTCGAAACGTTCTACAAGCTCTGGGACACGCAGCGACATCTGCTGATACGATTGTACAAGGATACCACCCCGATTCTCTTCAATGGCATGCCCTTTAGCGGCGGATCCAGCTTCGAGGAGCATTATCAACGCCTGCCGGCCACGGGTAAGTTTGCCCCAACGCACAAGGCACATGCCCGAGTGACGCTGTTCGGGCGATCTCCCCAGATGATCGTCATTGAGCAGAGTAGACTAGACCAGAGCAGAGTGTCTGATCGAATATGGTTTTCCTCTCCTCTGCCGTCACGGAATAATCTATAACATGGCTGCTCAAGTCCACGAAATTCAATCGTATGACTGCCATCCGCTCTACTTTGGACAGGAGCGAGCCGACATCGTCATTACCGTCACAGGTAGGGCAGAGTCAACCGCGGCTTCTGACAAGTCTGGAGAATCGCGCACTGTCGCTGAGATTCGGCATCGCCATCCATGTCCTTACTCTATTGTTATCCTTGCTCTGCTCGTGGATATCGCGCCGCAGGGATCGTCAAGTTTGGCGCCTCCGTTGGCAGACCTTTCTCAGAGACCTTTCTGCTGACCCCCGAGACAGATCCCGGCAAGAAGGGCACTTACTTTATCGGCTCGGACTGCCGACGCTTTGTCTAGCAAAACCTGGATGGCACTCGAGATCCAGGCTCATTGCCTGGAGTCATCATCGTGCAGTTTCATTCAGAACGAGGCGGGCCGGCACCCATCTGCGTTATTTTGTTAGTTTGGGGGACCGTAGTCTTGGGAATAGAATATGCATTTGGCCATCCGGACAGGCTCCATCGCTGCTGTTCGCAGCCCAGCCTCGCCAACGCATCTCGCGATCGCCACCCATCGCTTCGGGCAGCGCGCCGTCGCACAGCTTTCCGTCGCCAATCCCGGCCGCCCAGAGCACAACCGCCTTTCGGCCTCCTCCTTGGTCCTCCTCGGTCTTCTCGACCACATCAGACCATCTGCCCCACGGCGCCTCGGCTGTCCCCGATCGCTGATCGCCACGGAGCACCCTGTTCTCCGGTCCGCCCGCTTCCCTTGACCGCCGCGGCCCTGACCCAGATCCACCATCGCACGGTCGTTGCCCTGACATCGACCCTCCGAGCCACATCCAAGAGCAGCAGCAGCAGTCCTCTCTCATCTCCCGTGCATCCAGACTCTCTCAACAGGTATCTGGCCAGGCACTCAAATCTACCCGTGCGTAGCCGATTATCGGCGACCCGACTCGCCTCCTCAGCATCTGTCCGTCATATCCTGTGCCTTGAATTCATCGGTGTTCTCGCTTGTCGGCTCTCAATCACCCGGGAGGGGGATGCTAATCCAGGTCCGTGCACGATATTTCCATCCCACAACCAACAGCGCATCGGTCCCTCCATCCCTTTTCTGCGTATCCGCTGGACATGCATCGCGGCGCCAAGCTAGCAGCCGCCAAGAGCAAGCTCCAACGGTTCCAGAAGGCCCGATTTGTCACCGCTGGCTCCTATGGTTCCCAGACGAATCTTTATGAGGGCTCGCTGAGCGAGGCAAATGCGTCGCCCTTGACCTCGTACGAAGGCACCCCTCGGCTTTCTGATGCTCCTGAGCCCACTTACTATGGATCGGCTCCTGACGACGCCCCTGAACATGACTATCCGACTTTGTCGGGCTTCAGTCGCTCGGCCGCCCCTTCCCCTCGGCAAGCGCCGCTCGAGCCTTTGTCTGGCCCACAAGACCCTGCTCGAGCCACTGCGACTTCCCAAGAGTATCATCGCTACCAAAGCACAGAATCTTCGTACGGCGGAGAGTCTGTGCCTCGGAATGAGTCGGCAACCGAGATCTCGATCGAATCAACAACTGCCACTCGGCTTAAGCTGTAAGTGCGACGCTGTCCGCTTCGTCTGTCCGGTTGCCTGTATGCCTACTCGCCTGTATGCTTGCCCGCCTTTTGCTTGTATGCCTGCTGCTGCTCTTTGAGGTCTTGATTGTTTGCAGGCGATCGTCGATCCTAATCTGCCTCTGCTCCGCGGCCGTATATGACTGTCGACTACCGGATATCCAATCTCGTGATGGCTCGATCGCAGCCCTCCCCGGCCTCGATCGCAAAGTCCTGTAGGTATCAAAGCTCCCTCCAGTAAGCGAGCATCGACGCATATCCGAGTACTAACCTTTCAATTTGCAGACAAGGCGAGATCCTCCGGCAAAGTCCCCTGCGATGGCCTATGCGTCTGAGTCCGAACCTGCCCCCGTCCCCGTCCCCGGCCCAACTCCATACTCCCCCGAACGCCGGCCTGAGGTACTGAGAGACGCGGTGGATACAGCGCATTTGTCGGATCTGGAGCATTCCCCAAATCTACACCTTGTCTACAGCGAATAGCGGCAATCGCCACAGTCGGGGTCCTGACCTTTTGAATTGTGTCCTCTGGCTTCAGGAGCACCTGACTTCGGTCCAAGCCCACAATACGTACCTGTCGGTCATCAACGCTGATCTAGAGTCCGAAAGCTCTGAGAAAACTGCCCACATTCGCCGGCTTGAGCAGTCCATTGTGCAGCTTTCTGCCGAGCAGCAGACCGCATCTGAGCGCATTCTGGATATGGCTGCGGAGCTTGTCCAGCTCCGAAATGATTTGGCCGAAGCCCACCGAACTGTTGAAGTCCAGCAAGAGTCGCTCCAGCAACTGAGCGCCCAGCAGCAACGTATCCTGGAACTCGAGGAGAGCATATCAGCCAGCGCGGCGGAGCGGCTCGATCTTGAGTCGCAGCTACAGGAGCGATGGACTTTGATCCAGGACATGGAGGCGGAGCTCGACCAGCTGCGCTCTGCTGTGCAAACGACACAGACTCTCAGCGAAGATGCGGATCGCAACAAGATCAATATGGAGCTGACAAACGAGGAGCTCGCAACTGCAAACGCTGCGCTCGAATACGAGGTCGAGTCGCTAAAGAGCCAGATCAAGGAGATCCAGGCCCGTGACTCGGCTGCGCTTTCAAACTACGAAGACAGCCTGCAGCAGAGCCATACCAAGTACGATGAGCTGCAGGCCAGGTACGATGATCTGCAGGCCAAGTGCGACGGTCTGCAGTCGCAGCAGATTCTGCAGCAAGATTTGGCGCTTGAGCTGGCTGCTGCTCAAAGCAATGAAGCACAGCTTGAAAAGCTGCAGTCTTTAGAAGCCAAACTGCATGAAGCCGATGCCCGCCATACTCACGAGTTACGACGGAATGCCGCCCTGCTTGACGAAAAGCAAACGACCCAGCAACAACTTCAGGAGTTTGGCAACAAACTTCTCGATCTACTTGCCGACAGCTCGCACACATACAGCGAAAAGTCTTTCCAGGCCTACCACCTTCTCCAGCAATATCTTTCCGAGCGTGGCCTTGAAGTCACTGCCGCGCTGTGGACGGTTCCTCTGCCGGCAGAGTCTGACTCCGCGAACGCGTCCAAACGTATTGAAGTACTCGAACACGAAGCCGCCCAACAGAGCCAAACGATCGCCCGATTGGAGGACACCGCCGGGGAAGTGCACGTTCTTCGCGAGCAGATCGATGCCCTCACCTACGAAAACAAGACGCTCTCTGCACATCTCTCGATCGAGTCCCAGAAGCGACTCGAATCTGAGATCTACAACCAGTCTCTTCTCAGCGATCTGGAGCAGCTTCGACAGCCCCACACTTCCCTGGCGCCAAGAGCAGCACCCGAGCCCACACGTGCGCCATCCCCTATTGCCCAGGGCGACTGGGGCATCGACGATGACCTCGATGCCCTCCTTAGCGACGAAGGTGCCGCCGACCACTCGACCAATGTCGACCACCCTGAGGAGTCTGCGCTCTCAGTGGAACCGCGAGCCGAATCGTCCAGCCAGCTGAACGATCAGCTTCGACAGTTACGCGAGCAAGTCATCGCCCTCGAAAAGTCCAATGCCACTTTTGCGCTCGAGGGCGAGAGAGCCGCTCAACAGCTCGCGCGCGAGAGGCAGCTCCTTGAGGATGCCGATCGCGACCGTCGATCAGCCAATGAGAAGCAAATGCGGCTGCAGGAGGAGTCCTGGTCGCTTCAGCAACAAGTAGAGTCGCTTGATACCCATTGCCGCGAGATGCGGTCTCAGCTGGAGACCCAGGGGGCCAACTTGGCGCAGAGCCAGAAGGAGCTTGCCCGTGTTCGTGCGCTCCTCCGAACGCAATCCGAGCAAGCAACGGCGCACGACGGATATCAAGAGCAGATCGTGCAATACGAGGCCAAGCTCACCGAGAGTACCATCAAGATCGAAGACCTCGAGAGCGAGATCGCTCGTATCGACGCAGTCTTGGTTGAGGTTCAGGCACTCAACGAGAGCCTCGAGCGCCAGCTTGAGCAAGAGCAAACGGAGAGAGAGTCTGCTACAAACAAGGCCAACAAGATCAAAGCAGACATGTGGGAATTGGAGCAAAAGGTTGCCCAAGATTCTGCCGTCTTGATTGAGAGCCTGCATGAACTGACGGATGCCAACTCGAAGATGAAGGCCCAAATCAAGAGCTATCGAGAGGAAGTCGAGCGCCTGAAGCAAAGCATCCAGAGCCACCAAACTGAGCATGCCGAGACCCATGCCTCAAGCGCCGAGGAGGTTGAGCGACTCAACACCGTCGTTGCCGGTCTCCGAGAGACCATCAAGGAAAAGCTGGCTGACATTGCTCATCTCGAATCTGAAAACGAGTCGCTGGCAACGGCTGGTGCAGAGGTCACGGCTCAGCTTGGCGTGCTGCGCGGCCAACTTCGCGACATTGAGGCTTCTCATAACACTGCCCTGCTTCAGCTCGAGGAAGCTCAAGCGGAGGTTGCTGGTCTCCGTGACGACAACGAGACTTTGCGCTTGGCCGGAATCGAGGTCACCGAGAAGCTCTCAGCTCTGCGCGAGCAGTTTGAGCAATCGAACGAAGAGCGCCAGCACATTGCCCAGCTCTACGAGACGCTGCGAGCGTCGCTCGTCCAGACCGAGGACCAAACCAAGATCCTGGAACAAGCTGGAATCGAGGTCTCCGAGCAGCTGAAGACAGTCCGTGAAGAAGCCACTTACATTCGCCAAGAGCGCGACGAGGCCATCGGAGAGCTTAGCCAACATCGTGAGCGTCTGGCCGAGCTCGAGATTGAGAACTCGACCCTGCGGTTGTCCGGTATCGAGGTCACCGACCAGTTGACGGTCTTGCGCGATGCACTCACTGGATCGGAGGACCAGTGCGCCAAGCTCGTTGAACAACTGAACGAGACCGCCCAGTCGCTCTCGGTTCTTGGCGGCGAAAAGGATCACCTGTGCGCTGAAGTTGACGATCTGACCCACCAGCTTGAGTTGCTCCGCGAACAGGCTCTGATATCGCAGTCCTCCCAATCCGAGATCGCTCTTCGAATCGCCGAGTTGCAAGCCAAGATCGACGCTCTCGAGAGCGAGAACGCCGCACTCCATGCTGCAAATGCCGACACTGCCGCGCAGCTCGCCATCGCAACCAATGAGCGCAATGACGTGATCGGGCAGCTCGAAGATGCCCATTCGATGCTCCACGACCTGGAATCCAAGAACGAGGCCCTTCAGTCGGCCGGCATAGAAATTACCGAGCAGCTCGATAGCTTGCGCCGGGAGCTGCTCAGCTCGGAGGAACAGAACGAAGCTGTCGTGGCCGAGTGCGAGCGCCTGCGGCTGGCAAGCGAGGCCATAAGTAAGGAGCTCTTGGACAAGGATGTCGTCATTGCGGACCTCAGCAGCAAAATCCAGCATCTCCAGGAGAGCTACGATCTTCTCGAGCACGAGTATCGTCAAAAGATCGACCATGTTGAGACGATCGATCGTCAGAACCAAGGTATGCACTTTGAGCGGGAGGACTTGCAGGCGCAGCTCCAGGTTGCCCAGCAGTCGGTCCACAGTCTCGAGGAGCACATTCATGAGCTTGAAGCCGAGCGCAGCCGTCTCGCTGCCGAAGCGGCTGATGTAAGGCAGATTCTGTCGGCGGCCACATCCGAAAACGACCAGCTCCAGAAGCATATCGAAGAGCGCGAGCACACCGTCACGGATCTCCGCAACCATCTTGAGTCTCTCCACCTGCAAAGTGTCGGCGATACCGAGCGTACTCATGCTCTGGAGCTCGAGCGCGAGGAGCTGTCCGCGCAGCTGCATGATGCTCAGGAAAGACTCGAGCGGTACATCCTTGAGACCGAGGCTGTTGTTGAGCAGCACCGAACCGAGGCCGCACAGCACTCGGACGAACGATCTAGGGCCCTCTCGATGCTTGAGCAGACGCAGCAGGATCGCGACGACACGATCGCAGAGTACCAGCAGCACGCCAAGGATTTAGAAGGTCAAATCGATCGGCTCAACCAGGAGTTGCACGCCATCAAAGACACTATGGGTGCGACCGAGCAACTCTTGGCCGCCAAAGTGGCTTCTCTCGAGCAGGAGGTCTCGGATGTCCGCAACGATGGCGACCACCATCGCGCTCATGCCGAGGAGCTCTCGGCGGCCCTGGAGGCGGCTGATCAAGCACTACAGCAGCTGCAAGGCGAGAGTGTCAAGTGGCAGGGCGAGAGAGACGCGTTGATCCGGCAGCTCGCCGACCTTGATGATCAGCTCACAAAGAGCAGCGCTCTTTGCGATGAGCTGTCCTTTGAGCGCGATCGCCTCGAATCCGAACTCCATGTTATCCGCTCGACCTCCGAAAACGATAAGATTCAGCAAGCCCAGATCCTGACGAGCCTAGAGTCGGAACACCGTGCTCTGTCGACCCAGGTGACCGAGCTTCTGGACCGCAACAGCCAGCTGGTTGTACAGAACGAGCAGCAGCACTCCGTTATCGAGGAGCTACAACACGAAAGAGATCATCTCGCCGGGCACATTGAGGAAAGCGAGGATAAGGTGGGTTGCCGCTGTATGTTGAACGCCATTGGCTGCACTTGGTTAGTTGGCTACTGACAACCGTGTTGGTTCTGATCTTCAGATCCGTGTGTTGCACGAGACGAAGGGTCACGTCGAGTCCGAAGTCAGTGAATTGGCCTCTCGAATGGCCTACAACGACGGCCAGGTTCAAGAACTTCAAACGCAGATCGAGATCTTGATGCAGGAGAAGCTTCATGCAGAAAACTTGGCTGCTTCTTTGCAAGTCAAACTCGAGGGCGTCGAGGGCTCGTTTGCGGACAACATGCACAAGGTCAACGACGAGCTACACCGCACGCTCGAAGACAAGATTGTGCTCCGCGACAGTCTTTCTCGGGTCGAGAGCGATTTGTTGATGCTCCGGCAGTCGTTTGCTCAGCTGGAGCAGGAGCGTGATCACCTTCGAGACTACGCCGTTCCGGATCTGTCGCATCAGCTCGAGAGTCAGTACAGCTTGCTCACCCAGGAGCGCCAGTCGATCCTGATTGCCCTGGAGCAGCTCGGTGCCGTCATCCCGAGCGACATATCTGGATACGATATTGACGCTATCCATGTGGCCATCTCAACCGTCCACCAAGTTGTCGTCGAGCAAGCACAGCAACTGGAAGCGACTTACCAGGAGCTCGGCCAGCTTCGCGACGACTCGCTCTCCAAGGAGGCGGACTTGCGCGCGCAGCTTGAATATGTCCAGGCTCGATATGAGGAGATCACCAGCAGCTCGAATCTCAGTGCACACGCGCTCCGGGATGTCGAGGCTCAGCTCGCCGCCGCCAAACAGTCCAACAGCATCCTTGAGAAGCAAACCAGCGAATACAAGTCCGAGCACAAGCGCGCGCTCGATGCAGAGCTCACCGTCAGCCAGCTCCGTCAAGAGCTTCAGGAGTTGCGCGCGCAGTACTCTGGCTCCCAGGCCCAGACGCAGGACCTGCAGCAGTCGCTTGCCCAGCTCCGAACCGAGTACGACGAGACGCACAAGCTGCTGGAGCTGAGCAACGAGAAGATACGCCGGCTCCAGGGCATTGTTGATGTCTTCAAGCTCAAGGAGCGCGACTACATCCTGACTATCAAGTCTTTGAGTGCCGCCGATGCCTCGGTACCGAGCCCAAATCGGTCACAATATCTTTTGGAGCTAGACGAGAGGCTCAAGCAAGAAGAGTCGGCTCTCCAGGAACAAGAACGGCAGATTGTTGCGACCGAGTCGGAGCTTGTAACAGAGCAGCAAAAGTCCCAACAGCGTGACTTGATCAAGAAGATCGATGCGATCGACGCTCGGCTATCGCCCCGCTCGTCCAAGCCCCACCAGCTGGATAGTGCACAAATCGCTGCTCTGGAGCACCAAATCTCGCTTCTGCGCAACGAGCTGACTGTTCAATCCCGCGATGCAGACGATGCCAAGGAGCGCTATGAGGCCGAGCTCAAAGGCGCCAACGAGCGTGTCCAGAACTACTTTGACCTCTCGGAGAGCTCGACAAAGAGCATGGAGGTCTACCGCCAAGAGCTGCGAAAGTGTCGCGAGCGGCTTGCTGCCACAGAGACAGAGCTGCTGAAGCTTCGCGGAGCCAGCATGGGTGTACATGGCGACGCCGTGCCGGACGCAAGGTATGTATGGCGCATTCGGTCTTATTTGCAGTCTGCGGAATTCGGGGCTTGTTGTCAGCTCGCACATATGTCCAGCCCTGTCGGAGTGCGCGCATGCATGCCGATTCACTGAATGGAGTTCTGATTGATTCTTGCCAGCTCGAGTGATCAGCTATACAGCGCTCTTGCTCGCGCCGAGGAGACCCAGGAAGCCATCGGCCAGATTCTAAGCCTCGCGCAAACCAAAGTGAACTCGAGCGTACTCTCTCACAACAGCCCCGCCCTTCCCTCGGTTGCTGTTCTGCAGAACGTTGTGTTGGAGCTCCACCGCCTGATCAGCTCGACTGAACGGCACGTCATGACGATCAAGCAGTCCGCGTCTCAGGCCGGCTATGAGACCCTGTCCAACGGTAGCGACCCACTTTCCTCCATTCAGGAGTCTGTCGAGCATCACAAGCGTGTCGCCGCGACACTCGAGGCCCTGCTTAAGCTCTATCCGGTCGAGGAGCTCGAAAAGCTGCACGCTGGAGAAGAATACCAGGTTTTGATTCCCGCTGTCGAACTAGACCCAAGCCGATTCTCATCGCGAGAAGAGGTTCTCCGCGGAGCATATGTCGGCATCTCCCCTGGACATGCCGAAATCAGCCTGTATGCCCTTGGCAGGGAGGACTACATCCGTCTCATCTCCGAGTCGGCACACCTTGGTCTATACCAGTTCCAGGCTGAACAAGCATGGGCCCTCCTCGACGAACACCGCACTGAAATTGCTGCCCTTCGAACGGCCATCGAGGCCTACATCGCTATCGAGGAGCCGCGGTACTCGGGCTCACATACACCGCTCCAGAAGCTACAGATGCAGCTGGACGAAGTTTTCAAGCTCTGGATCCACGAACTTGACGCCAATGGCCACCTTCGGCTGTTGATCAGCAAGATCCAGGCCGAGGGCATTGCTGCTGTTGCCCAGAACCGCACCCGAATCTCTCAACTGTGCACCATGATCGACAAGCTGATCTTGCTGCTGAAGCTCTCCGACGAAGAGTCTCAGGCATACAAAAGTTCGAATGAGCAAATCCAGCAAAAGTACGACCAACTCAATGCCCAGTTCCTGGAACTCCAGGAGCACACCATGGGCATGGATGAAATGCACAACGAAGAGGTGGTGGCTATCAACAAGGTCGTGGCGGTTCTTGAACAAGAGCGCGATCGACTCTCGGCCGATCTGAGCAGGACCAAAGAGCACTACGAAGCCACAGCCGCCGATCTCGAGAGACAAAAGACCGAGCTCGAAGCCAGTCTCGAGGGAATGGAGGCCAAGTTTGAGCTCTTGCTGCAAGAGGCGGAGCAGAAGACCCGTCGCGCCGAGATTGACGCCAACGACGATCGTGTTGAGGAGCTGACGCGAGAGAAGCTCAAGGTCGAGGCCAGCCTCAAGTCTGCCTCGCTGCAGTGGACCACGGAGCGTGAGCAGCTACTCACCAAGATCCTAAAGGCTGAGCAACAAGCGGGCACCCTGGCCGACCAAAAGACCGAGCTCGAAGAGCGCTTCCAGCAAAAGATTCAGATTCTGACCGAGGAGCTCAAGGACTACCAGCGGCTGCTGGAGCGAAAGGACCAACTGTGGAAGGAGGATTTGCAGAGTCTGGAGCAAAAGCTGGCGCGCTCGGAAAGCAGCTGGGTGGCCGAGCGCAAGGCGCTGACCGACGAATTGGTGAAGACGAAAGAACGAGCACCGACTGCCGACTGGAGAATGTCAGAACAGGAGGCTAGCTGGCTGCAGGACCGCAAGATTCTTATTTCGGAGCTGACCAAGGCTCGTGATGATGCAGCCATTCAGATGGCATCTCTGGCCGAAGAGAAGGATGCGCATATTCGCGCCCTTCATCTTGACAAAGAGGTAGGTCGAGAGGAACCCCACAGCCTCTACATCTTGGCACAGCGGCGGCTCATGGTGCAGCAATCGAGACTGGGTGCGGCGGAGCTGCTGTGTGTGTGCTGCCGTCCAACCCCGCCATGTCCTGCGGTTTGCCTGTCATTGTTGTTTCCCGGCTAACAATTCATGGGACTCCCTCAACGCGCCTAGACCATTGAGAAGGAGCTGATCCTGCGCGATAACCGCATTCGCCACCTCGAGTTCCAGCTCCGTGATCTCACGCCAAGTACGTATTTTCACGGCAGCTCGACTGACCGTCTGGGCTTAGCATCTGGCTATAGCAGCATCTCTTGGCGCGAGTCGCGAATGAGTGTTTCTGACACACGGCTCTCATCAGGCGGCTCTCTCATCACGGTGCAAGAGGCAAACTATCGAATGGAGGAGCTACATCAAGAACTACAAAACTCCTTTGGCCAGATCCGCAAGCTCCAGTTCCAGTTGGCCGGGGCGATCGACGTAAGTCTTTTGCTAGTTGGCACCTCGGGCTCAGTGGCCACGGGCTTACCTGCTGCTTCCAACCACACTGCCGTTACCAGGGCCGCCGTATGGCCGAGGCTCAGAGCAAGGTTGAAAGGGACCGGGCCGTGCGCCTGGCCACCAAGCTGGAGCTTGCAGAGAGGCGCACAGCCTTTTCATCGCAAGAGGGATACAAGGTAGGGAGGCACTTGCATAGAGGCTTCGAACTCCCGTGTGCTCCGTGCAGTCTTTGTGTCGAGAGCTTGCCCATTGCAGCCGATCATACGCTGATCCTTTGTTCGATTTGCATCGATTGATGGCCGGAATCCTATCCAGATGCGATACGAGGGCCCTCGTGAAGATCTCCATCTTCTCCTGGATACGCTCCAGAGCGAGCTCAGCGCCGAGAAGCAGCAGTCAACCAATCTCGTTGGAGTCATCAACAAGATTTTCAGCAAGGTCGTCGATCGCAGCTTGATATCCAGCGACCAGCGTGGCCATGTCCAGATTGACTTGGCCCGCTTCCAGGACGAATGCATCTTGCTCTCGCAGGAGATTCTATATCTGCGATCGCTTGTAAACAAGCTGCTGCTGTGGCGCGCCGACCTCAAGTTCCAGAAGCTCTACCTCACTCTTAAGATCGATGATTTGATGCGAAGGTATGAGAAGCAGTCATTTGTCGCGGACATGTATTCCGTGTCGTTTGGTGCCCTGCGCCAGTTAGTACCGCAACTAAGCTCCTTCGCATACCATACTGCAGCGAGAAAGCCACGCTGGAGTACCTGAAGACGATTGGCATTGCTCAGGTGGATCAGGATGGCTCTCTTCCACTGACACCTCGAGTGAAACTACGCCGATGTATCTACATGGTCATCGCCATCATCCGAATGAGGTGAGCACACCGCCCGAATGATACCGCACTTTGGGTCGGCATGCTGTGTTTGCGCGGTTGCCATTACGCAGTTCCTTGGATATCAGCCACTCACGAACGAGTATTTCTCGGCTCCATAGATCCCTCGCCCAAGGTTGGCAGCATACTGTCAACGAAAGTGCTTCGGTGTTCTACACGGACATGCCTTCTTTGACGGACTTGGCCAAGGACGAGGACCCTGCCGGCCGCGCCGCCGGGCGCGAGGGCGCAGTATCTGGCTATTCGTCCTTTGGAGAGACTTGGCGAAGCCCCTCGGGTTCTCAGCCAAGTCGGCCCGACGCCTATGCCCTCAACGGCACCCCCCGGCGGCACCAGTAATCACGGTGGCCCACTGAAGAGTCGTCCACGACCTCAGCTTGAAGTGAACACCATTATCAGGGGAATCGGAACACCCACCCTTTTCCTGCATGTCAGTGTAGTATTCGACGGACTGCGTCAAGCAAAGCCATATTCAATAACACAGATTACTTTCACAGCCTGCGAGTGGACCGCTGCCTCTTGGGGCTGGGTGCAATAGCCCTTGTCTTGACGCCAGGAGGCCTTTCCAAAGGCGACCGCCACTTCGGTCTCATTGGACACACTGTTTGGCTATGGTTGCGATGGGTGTGCTGCAGAATCCAATTCACCATACGGCCGTGCACCCAGCACTGCTATTTCGGCGGCTTCGTTGCTGAATCTTTACTGGGGCTGTGTCCCTGGATTCCCTCGATCGACAACTGCGATGCACGCCAAATCAGCTCCGACGAATCGAGTGCGACATATCTTCACGGCGATACACTTGCCTCGGGCATGCAGAGCCATTGGACGCACTTACCGCATCGATTTGCATCGAGACGCCAAATCCAAGCTTTGTCGGTGTTCCAGAGGCATTGCCTGATTTTGCTGTACGGATGGAGCGGTAGGCAAATCCAACAAGTCAGCCAGTCAGTACAGAAGCCAACTGACTGCATCATCAACCTAGCGGATACTTACCGCTGCCAATTCCTGAGGGTGACGCCCGTCCCATGCTCGCAGTGCTGGGTCGGCTCAGGCGCTTGGCAGAGTGCGGCCGGGACTCGGGTGTGTCTGGGTCTCGGTCCACGAACGAATTGCGCTGCGAAGGACCAAAGAAGCGCGGGGTGGGGCCGACGGTGTTGGAGAGCCACGGTTTCGTTGCCCCTGGAGCCCAGCGATTCCCGGGGAGGTCGTCGTGTATGTATGATTCCGATACAGACGACGCATTGGATGCCATCGAGACCCGTGGGGTTGGCGAGAACATCGATCGCCGGGGCGTTGCCGTGGTCGAGTTGGCCATCTCGATCGGATCGACGAACAGGCTCTCCTGCGCCTCTTCGTCGGAGACCTCCGCAATGGTCAAGGAGACGTCGTGCTTTTTCACCGATGGAGGGGCTACGCTGGCTGTGAGCTTTGTTTCCTGCTGCTTGAGCTGCCGCTTCATTGTTTTGTGGTCTGTCACCAGCTTCCGAACCATTACAACAAACTCGTTATCGTCATCGGCGCCTCCGGTGCTCTTGTCCCATGGCCTCGTTGCCGTTTTTGGACGGACTAAAGGTGCAGCTCTCGGGCTCTTGACGCTGGGTAGGGATGTCATAGGGCGTTGGGGCGTGCTCATACGTGCTCGACCGGTCCCGGCTACCTCGGTTATAAAGGACTCGACTGTTTGACGCTCTCTGACAAATCGCTCCAGGAGCGCTGTTTTCTCTGCAAGTTCGTTCATCAGACTTGTGGATGTTGCAGGGGCTGACTTATCGGGGACTGATTGCAGAGGAGTTTTTGACTCGGGCGGTGTCGACCGAGTCCCCGAGGCACTGGCTGGCGACCTCGCATGTCGGGCTCCAGCGGACTGTGCTCTATCATTTGACTTTTGGTTGGCTGCCAGCTGTCGGGATCGCGCTTGCTGTTTGCGGGTGGGCAAACGAGCATAGTACAATTCGAATTAGAGCACGACCGACTGGCCTCGTATGAGCACAGGCTCAAGCCAGGGGGCATACCTCTTCCTTGAGCAGCCGTTGCAAAGTCTCGTTTTCGGTGTCAGCCGACACTTGTGCCTGCTCCGCCAGTGTTCATCGGTGTGTTGTTACCCAAGACAGTCGATCCAAGGCGTTGATGTAGCAAATACCAGTCGAGTTTGAGACAAAGGTCAGCGCCAGATTTCAGTCTGGGCCCCCCACCTCCGAGAGATACTCATCGCCCTCGATCAGCTGTGAGGTTTATCTTGCCTCATGGCACATGTATGCGAGGGCACTTGGGTTCAGTAGACGGAGCGCATACCTTCTGGACGATTGTAAGCTGCTTTCGAAGAGCGCGCTCTCTGGCTTCGGCCTCCCGATAGCTGTCCCAGAGCTTTTCCTCGGCGTTTTTGTTGTCCTCAGTAAACTTCCGGATCTGTGGATTCAATCCACAGAGATTTGAATCAAGATCTGCCTGTACTTATCAGCAACGTGATTCCCATGACACCTGAATGCTTCAACACAAACCTTTTTGTCGTACGAGTTTCGAAGTGCCTGTTCTTTGATCGTGTACATTGAGCGGACCTTGAGCAACTGCAACGTTTCCAAGAGCTCACACCGGTAAGTGTCCGACGAACTGAACAATCGATCTTCCTTCTTCTCCTCGTAAAGGATAGGAAAGAGGGCCCAGCACATCTCCTGAGCCATTCAGCAGCAATCACAGCTTGGAGATAATCCAGAGAGCGGTTTTCGGCAGCATACATACAGTCATCTTGAGCTCGTGGTTTTCTGTTCGCAGCTGATCCATTTGATCCTCATGGTCGATTGCAACGACAGCTCGGTTGCGCATCGTCTTTGGAATCTCATGGTTGTTGACGACGATGGCAAGCTCTTCCTTCTTGGCCTCGCTCATGATTCCCATGACTTGGTGCACAGTGTTGATGCGATACTCATGGAAGCGGTTGCGCAGAACGTGAATTTCCATCACGAGTTCGTTTACGAGGTCATCGTACTCATCGATGATGCGGTTGCGCAGCTTGCGTTCCTCGGCTCGTCGAGCCTTGCGGAGTTCGTGAAGCTCCACAGCAAGGGAGGCTGTGTTCGCGACGCTGTCCCAAGCCAGCTTGCTTGCTGCCAGCCGAACATCGCGCTTGTAATTCTGCGAGTCATCAAATAAGCATAGATAGAGCCAATATGAGCACTACATGTCGCGGACCGACTCAGAGACAGGAATCGGCGCCTGCCACGGATCGAGCCAATAATACCGGTGGCCGATAGAGCGGGGCTGCCAAGGCTCAACGCGAAATCCACACAATGGTTTGAATGCGATGTCGTTCTCCAGCATGTTGTGCTCCGGTCCAGAGATGCCTACCTCGATGAGCTCTTTCCGCTCCTGAGCCAAAAAATGGACTAGTCGTTCGCGGTTCTTGATCGTCTCCAGAAGCCGGTTGACCAGCGCGTTGTTCAGGTCATCCTTCTCCAGCTGTCGAGACTCCTTCCATTTGGTAAAACTCTGGGCCAGTTTCGTGATCTTTGAGTGTGTCAGACACATTGGGTCAAGACACATCGGGACCAGTTACGTTGCTTATTGTCGGGTAAGCCACTCCAACCTACCACAGTTGTGAGATCATCGCGAGGGCAGACAAAGACCTTGGAGTCTTCAATCAGATTCATCAGATTCTGCGAGGGAGCTTTTGCATTGGCTGCAGCCTTTCCTCGAAGCTTAACGTTGATTTTTGATTCGTTGAACTCTTTTGTCTGGGTAATGGTACTACGGTTTGAGTCATGTCGGCACTCGCCGTCTGAGCTATCGACGCTTTGTCGGAGTCGTGTGCCACAGGACTCGACACTTTCCACATTCAATACCCACTTTATCGTGAACATACTGGTGCCCGATTTTGTAGAGCTCCGACACAAACGAGTTTATGATGTTTTGCTTGGACGAGTAATCTTCTTCCGTCAGCGTCACGGCGTATTTGATGTCGCCGTTGATGCTCGGCAGCTCGATATTCTCGTTCACCTTGAACAGTCTACCCATTCGTTCATCTGACAGGCGGTCGCAGTATACCTTTGCTTCCTGCAAGATATGTAGTGTATATTCTCTGAGGAGATCGGTCTGCAGTATTGCAATTTGGCATTTCTCGAATGTCTGCGCAACGATGGGAGGCACATGAGTATAGACACGCCATCGTCGATAGACAGCAAACCACGAAATGCTTGCGCACTGACCGCCTGTGCTATTCGGTTGAAGTTCACGTCGATGTCTCCAGATATGACCTCATCTTGCAGGAGCGACTCTGTTGCAGTTCATAAGCGGCAGAGAGCACGTTTGTCGTATCAATGGCCCAACAAATGAAGCAACGGCACATGAAATGCTGTCAGCGGACGCTATCGAGCATGGTGAATAGTACCCACTCATGATTGGTGCAGCTCATTCTGGGAAAAATCCATGCAGAACAGTGTGGACCGCAAGCTTTCCACAGAGCAGCGGGTTCGGGTCTCTCCACTACCCACGTGGCGACTTTATATACAGAACACACTTACCGGCACTGGCTCCTCCACGAGCGCCAAGACGGTAGTATAGTCTGACGGCATCCACCAATATGCTCTTTTTGTACGAAAGGAAGAGCTCTCTCCTCTTGGACTCGTCCTAAATACAAATGAGTGAGTTAAACGACACTCGTTCATATGCGGCGACTGCTCCCCAGTGGCCGCTTGGACACTCGACACAGCGCGTTCGGCTCTTGGTACCCACGTTCAAAGGCTGGCCGGCGAGCTGGATCCGGACAAACTCGTTCCGGAGAGCTATCAGCTTGAGTGCGTGGCTCATGTACTCGATCTGTGACTTGGTGACCTCATCCGTGTTTTCACCAAAGTTGAGCATCGCCGCCTGCTGGTACTCGTCGAGACATTCTTCCAGCTCAAGCACTTTCTGATCGCACAACTTTTTCTCCTCGTCATATAGCTCCGAGAAGCAATATATACTTGGAAACAGTGTCGGATTGACAGTCAGCCCAACCTGTCCCAGCAGTCCATGGAAAATGAGTCAGTCGAACCATGAATAGGGCTTTGGCGCTCGATCACTGAATTATCTTGAGCCGATGCATCCAACCTAGCGTACATTTCTTCGCTTCGTAAATGCCTGATAGGGACTCTCCTTTCCCTTTTGATCAGGCTTGAGGTTTCGCTCGATAAAGTCGGCCAGGATGCTGTATCCGTGCGTCATCTGTCAAGGCATATAAGTCAGTTGCTCTGCGGGTGCTGACAGCCAAGTGAGCAATGTCGTACCATTTGGGCCCTCAGTGTATATTGTGAGCTCGAGACGGCCAAATAGAGTCGCATGGACCAGAGCTCCCATTTGAACTTGATATAGGAGAGCACTTTGGAAAAGTCTGCCGGCCCCTGGTAGGTGATATCCTTCTTCAAGGCGTTCATGGTATTGACAACATAATCGGCAATGCGGAGCCTCTGAACTGTTCGGGCGGATTGGGGAACAGTCACTTGGCAGGTAAGTGAATCGAAAGATGGCAGCATCGCGCTGTTTATCCTTCTGTCTTGAGGATGGATGGAATGGAGCCACACCTGCGGGCGAATATCGCCGATTATCTTGCAGGATGTGCGCAAACATCTGGATAAATCGAATGATGTCAAAGACCATGCTGTGCAGCTGCAGAGACTTGGAATAGACTTGACTGTTGACGTAGAGTTTGTGGTTGGAATCCATGACACCTTTTGGGGCTTTCTCCGATACTCCCATCCCCTAAAGATCATCCACAATTGGTGAAAAAATATGGTGGACGAGCTTCAGTTTGAAACCCAGCTCTACGGAGGCGGTAAATCACTGCGGCACTCTGCGTGAAGCACATTTACAACGTGCGCATTCTTGGGGTGCATCACAATTGACTTGACGGAGCCGGAATCGCAATAGTAAAGGCTGTGCACTGTACCAATATTATCTCCGTGACATGCGGCAGATACCACAGCTTAGCGATGCTGTGTGATCCATATATATCAACCGAAAGAATATCTTGCGTTTGGACTTCCTGCGAACTCTCAAGCTCTTCTTGCGAACCCCCTTTCTCTTGTCCTGTGGAGTTGCACAAAGCGATGGTAAGCCTATCGGAGATCGGAGGATCAAGGCAGAGAGACCATTGCCATGATACAAAGGCCCATTTGCGCAATGAAGACATACGTGAGAAGAACTCGACGTGACGAGATACACGCGACAGTTTGAAAATCAACTTTCCGTAGGAGCACTGTGAATTCAGACAGTCAATCGGTGGTCAAGGATATAACGAGCCGCTAGGCCGGTGAAGGTGATGTCAACGTTGCGCAATGTGACCGATATTGCACGCGACCAATATATGTTGCAATGGAACTCGTCAACTACGTCCGATGCCCAACAGACAGTCGATTCACAAAAGGATATGATTTGTGATTGTCTTTCGTAGTTCGATGATTGTTTTTGTGAATGTGAGCCGCTCGCACTCCTCCGTCACAACCTCCACGAGATTTTGAAAGTACCACTCGATCAATTTGTCCTGCGATGACGGTTGTGATCGAGTTAGAGGCACGATTTGTTGGCCCGCTTTGTACCTTGCCCAAAACAGTGTCTGTATTGGAGCGACGCAATACCTTGTAGTTTGAAAAGTAAATATCGCCGTGATCCTTCTCGGGGAATTCGGCCTTTGTCTTTCTGAATCTGTTTGACGGATATTAGTTGCAAGGAAGAGTTTGAGTGAATCAAAAAGGTATGCCAAGAAGCACGGCACACGCATGCATTTGGCACAGACGCCTTGCTCCATACTGCTGTTGCATGCGTCAATGCATGCGCCGTTGCATCACGAAAAATGCAACCGGCACAAACGGACTCTTTGTTATATTCAATCAACATGAGCTTTCGCAGTTGCTTTTTCTTCACCAGGATACTGGAAAACAGCGTTTTGTAGTCAACGTCCAGGTTTGTGTTGCTGATCTGCGATTTGGAGTCAACCCCCCGAAGCGGCTGCTTCTTTGACGTCGTCTGTGATGTAGTATCGCCGGCAATGAGAGGTGTGTCCATAACACCGAGCCACACGGCTTGGATATTCATCAATGCCAGAATGAACCTTCGTGGCCCGACTGCCACAGCGCATGGCACACATCCTCAATCTCCGTTCGAAGCAATACTCCGTGCAAACGCATCTGAGCCGCAGTGTTACCTTTGATCTCTCTGAAGTCTTCTGTCGGTCCTCTTCCTTCTCGGTAAGGAGCTTGTTGTGAATCTCGGACAGGATGACTGAGTGCATCTCGACTGCACCCATTATGTAGTTCTTTTCGAGAAGCTGAAGCTGTTGCAGAGGCAATCGGTGCACAGAGATCAGCTGCACGGCCTGTCGTCGTGGGTTCGGCGCGTCTATAGCCACGATTGTGGTGCTCAAAGGCGTGCGTTACCTTCAGGGCTCGTGTCCACAGATCGGTTGAGGGGCTGTTTGCCATATCCACCAATAGGTCAAAGTTGCTGCAGTCAAACCTGTGCTGCAAGTCTTCCAGCTCGAAGACAGCCAGTCCGCCGAGCTTCATGATGTTTGGGTCCATAAGGAACCGGGAGACGCTTTTTTGTCCACCACCGGTCCAATCGTTGCTATCGCCGGCATCGTTGTTCAGGGCATCCCCTTGGTGATCATCGTAATCATCCTCCTAACAGAGTGCGCGTTTGGAGAAGCACAACGAAAGTGTTGGCACAAGCGGCAATGAATGTGATCGTGTACTTGCATACAGCCACGATCGTGCCGCTGCCCCGTTGCTTGTTTCCGGTCTCACCTCAGCCATGGTTGTGTCAACTAGATCCGGCAAATCGAATCTGAGCGAGTTGAGTCGACCAGAATAGCCCTCGCTGCTCATGCCCACGAGCGAGAATTGGCCATCGTATGTTTTTCGCCAGTATTCTGGTTGAGATGATAAAGATATTCATCCAAAGGGATATGTTACTCGATCAAAATGGCCATTAAACTAGAGTAGGATCCAACAATCAGCAAATATATAGGGACATCAACGATGGATCGCTCACCGCTTTCTAGCCATGAGCTCAGTATCCTTTTCCGTAACTCAAAGAGTCTGAAAAATTGAACTAGGACTGACGTTCCTTTGGATTTGAATGCTGGCTCGGTAAAGACGGTCTTTGGCAGGACGGCGATTTCGGATTTTCCTCTCGTCATCTGCGGCTCTGTGCTGCTCACCACCTTCGGTGTCTCTTCGCGAAGCCGTCCGATAGATTCCAGCAGCAAATAGTCCGGAAGTCTCGGGTTCTCCAGAAGCACATCGGAGCAAAGGTTTCCAACAAGGCGCCGGGTTCGAGGGGAAAAATTGAAGCTGTTTTCGTTCATGCTGGTCCATATTCCCTGTCCGTGTCCAATAAACGGTGCGGATGAGTCCTCGTTGATAGGAGACATGAACGGGCGCTATTCAAAGTGGTTTCTCAATTGGTCTAACTGGCTGACTGTCCACATTCGCTCGCATTGCTTTGGAGCGGTAGTGCATAACTGCGTTTCTTACCCAAACATATTTCCAGACGATGCACTCGACGTCATTCTGGTTTATAGCTTGCGATGGTGCAATGTACTCCAGCGCCTTGACGGCTTCCTTGATGCACAGCTCGACTTCTTCCGGCAAATAAGCGATTGTACTCAGACAGGGGACGATTTCCGTGATATTGAACACGACTGACGGATGATGCATTACAATGCTGTGGGGCTCGTGCTCTGATTGTCGCGCAGCAAGAGGCAGCAGAATTAATTCAAATGCACAGTTACAGAATCATGCTCCGAGGTTACAGTTGCTGTACAAATACCTGGCGGAGGGAGACCATCGTACAGCAGAGTCTCAATCGGTCGGAAGAAATTGATGGAATCTTTCACGGCACTCTGAGGAGCGCCGCTCTCTGTAGATGGATCTTTCATACATCGCTGAGTCCACTGGCGGTGCTCTGCGATTCCGTGGCGCACCATCTGGACCACAATACTAGACTGAAACTCCAGCGATTTTGTGTGTATGACATAGTCTCGCCCAAAGTAAGCGGCCTGAGAGGGCAAATGGCGACAAAGTCTTCACATCAGTACATGTGGAGCTTTAGTGGCTCACGCACCTTGGTGGTGCAAGGTCTCGAGCTGCGTCCTGTTGGTCAGGACACCTTGACCATAACACCATATACCACATTTAGCATCGCTCTCTCTGGAGTCATATAGGTACCGGTCACACTGGCTCACACAGCAGTCTGCACGCCAACGTACCTCTAGATTGAGGTTCGGTCGAAGGTAGCATAGGTCCGTTATGACTTGCCCAAGGGTCGTGATCTCTTTGATGTTTTCAGAGTTTTCCAGCGCCTCCATATATGCATTTGTCAGCTACAGAAACAGGGAGACACATCAGCAGGAGGTTCTGCGTCCCCAGCGTGCCCATCCGCATAAAGACGCCAGGCGGTGTCCGACCTCGAGTTTTGCGTACTGAAACTTGACTTCATATTCGTAGAGCTCGAGCAGAAGCTGCATTCGGTCAATGTCAGGGCATAGATACGTCGAGTCGGCCGTGTCGACTGTGGGTGCGTTACAACCGAATATTTTGCGCGAGCGTTGACGCACCGGCAGTTGAATCGATGTGGTTCATGAACAGCAAGGCATGTGAGTAAGCCCTGCGGCCCACGCGCTTGACCAATTCGGGCGACATAGGAAATTGATGATACAGTGCGATACATAGGTGCATATCGACGATAGAGGTATCAAAAATGCGCTTGTCATCCTCTCACCGTGCTTGGCCCTCTTTCCCGTTGCTTGCATTAGTCGGAGCTGATCCATATACGCCGAAGTGTTATCCACCGGGCTCGCTCCATTGTTGATGAATATCGTTGCCATCTTGAGTAGCGAGCTTTCAAGCTTCTCAAAGTCATCCACAGCAACATCTTGCCGTGTTTAAAGGTGAGTCTGTATCAGTGTAAAGTCAAGCAAGTTCGCTGGTGTCGCGATTGCAACTCACGCTAGCAAAACCCATTCCCTGTGGTAAACCCCTATCGCTCACTATTACCATAAATAAAGCTGACACCGAGGATATCGGTGATGACAATACCGCTCTTGCTGATCATCCGAAAGTCCTCGTGAGAGTGCTGCTCCTTTGGCGGGTCTGGCTCGGGCGTATTCGTCGATGCCGGAGCGCTGGTGGGGGCCGATGGCAGCCTGAAGGCATCGAGATTGTGCAGGTGCTGCATCTGCGCTACAATCGCCTCGACATTGACGGCCGCGGCCGTCTTTCGGACGTTGCATAGCTATGAAGAGGAGACGCCGATGCATCACACCAGCGCGATGAGTCTCAGCAAGCACAGCGATATCTGCATCGACTCTAGCGCGATGATGGAGGAAATGCCCCGCGTTCGACACAGCGAGACAGTTCAGTGCTTTGGGAGAGCATGGTCTTTACTCGGCGTCCTTACGTTATTGACCTTGACACACTGCCGTTTTCGCGATGCCTGGGTCTGATGATTCATGTATAAAAACCTATCAGACTCCATTCCATTCCAAGACCATTGGCGCGACGAAAGCTCGATCGCAGGCCTCCGAATCGCAGCCGCGATTTCCCCTCAGATGCGTGTCACAAACTCGAGTCATTCATCACGCTACCCACATCAATGTTGATGCGCTTCTCGATCGATCGAAAAAAGTTGAGCTGTTGTAGAAGAGTCATCCGCAGCTGTCTGATGCGGCAGTGCCGGAGCTGGAGATAGGCGTAGACCTCATGCTCCGCAAAAATGGTGGAAATGGTGGGCTGGTTGGCGGTGATGTTGCGAGTTTGCGATGTTGCGAGGTTAGTGTTTTGCGCAGCAGGGCCTTGGCACTGGACAGCGTGCCGCACTGAAGATGGAGTGATGGCCATCTGGTCTTCAACGGACTCTTGCAGCGCTGCCAGCCGTATACTGGATCAAGGAACAATATGACAGCGAGCACGACTCCGTGCTGTCTGGATGCACGTGGTTAACAGCAGTCGATGGGCCTGTGGTTGCAGCGAAAGAAATACCTCAATAATTTCCATGTCGGGGGTTTTTGTGGGGTCGATGCTCAAAAGCTCTTGCTCTACTTTGCGGACTTCTTCATTGTGCTTCAGTACAGTGCCAAAATGGTATTTCTTTCCATCGAGAATGTGTTGGTCAATCAAGCGATCACGTCCATCGGGGATGAGCATGCCCAGATCAAATGGCCGCGGAGTGTGTATCGCGTCGGCGTCCGGTATTGGAGCGGCCTTTGTTGGTGGAAGCTGTCCGATCTTGGTCTGGACGGGTTTTGAGTTGGCAACATGGGAAGCCCGTTCCCACATCTTTTTGGCCTTGTCTTTGAGCCTCTCAGTCACCAACTCGATGTCGTTGGTGGTGACCAAATCGTGATCGCAGCGCAGCTCAAAGTCAACGTTTCGTTGCTAAAAGCCAGCGTGTTGTATCGTAAGCAGCGAGTCTGTGGTCGCAGCCAACTGGGTCTTGTGCGCCATGATAGCGGATATGCGACACTGAGCCACCAACGCATCTCATACCATCTTGAGAACGGACCTATGCCGCTCCTGGGATATTTTGAAGTGAGGGACAAACACGATGCTGTCGAGCCATGTGGCCTTTCTTAGTTTGGGTGCCTTCAGGACTTTGACGAGCGATTTAGTTGAAGATCGCGGTTAGTGCAGGTAAGGAGTGCATCGAAAGGAGATGTGCCTCGAAAGGCTGGCCGAAGCGCACTCAAGAATCAGAGTCCTTCTCGATGTATTAGCACAGGAGGATCACATGCTGAGGACTTACCTCTGTACGAGGATTTGGAAAACAGACCCGTTATCTCAGCCAGAGAGGCTGTACGGGAGTCTTTGTTGTCGGATCTGCTCGACGATTCCGCCGTCCCACCGGCCGAGGTCGATCCTGAGGCCGCCGTACTTCCTCCTACCGAGCCCGTGCCCGTTTCGGAGACGCTTTCGTACGGGGACATGGCGCTTTCAACCGATTGCTCGTTGAATATGTTATGAAACTTGGAGTCAATCTCATACGCAAACGGCCGTCCATCCTCCTGCGATATCGGCGTGTCTATGCGGAAGTGGGTAACGAGGAGATCAAACTCGGTGATCATATCCTCCACCTTTGGGGATTTGCTTGGAGCTGTTGCGATGAATCTGAAAGATGATTTATGTATGGCAATTTGGTAACGTGTTGCATTGAGCGGCAATATCGGATGGCGGCTGCATAGCACCAGTGCTACACTTTCCCCGACAGAACCGCCTTCTATCGTATCCTGCCCATGGCGACAACTCATCGCTGGCTTTGCTGCTGACACCGAGAGGCCGTAAACCTTGGCAGACCAACTACTTATACACTACTTACCCGTCAATCCCTTCAATGGCCAGATTTGTTTCCACGGATGGAAACCCCGGTTTCAGGGCCAGCATCGCTCGGTAGTCACGCAGAAGCGAAACGCGCTCGCTGGTGGGAATGTGCTGTGCCAGAAGGACTAGATCATCAACCGCGCTGTTCGGAGCGATATCTTCGACGGCGAAGAGCAGCGTTATCCTTACCTTGATTCTAGCCAAGAACATGTTGAAGTGCGTTTTGGGAGCCTCGGACGAGATCATGTGCCGCAGCAGGACGGTGAGGTCGCCCACGGTAAAGTCAAGCTCAGGGGGCTGAGGTGCCTGTGGTGTTTGTTGAGGCTGCTGGACCGACGGATTGGTTGCATTGGCTGTCGTTGCTGTCTTTGATTCCTTCTTGGGTACAGCCTTGGCCGATGACGGCGAACGGTCGATTTTTTCCTTCCCCTTGAGAACGACCAGACCCTTGCGTTCGGCCTCTTTCTTCTGGGCCTCAAGGAGGGCCTCTTCGGCCATTTTTTTCTTGATGCTGGTATCAAAGACACCCAAGAGACGCTCAAAGCGATCAGCAGAGTCGGAAAACTCTCTGGAGAGGTATCCGAGATGGCGCTGAAACACTGGCATCATTCTGGCAGCGTCATATGAAGTGATGCCTAAACCACGGATAGAGTGCAGCAAGGATCGAGGGAGCAATGAGAGTGAGGAGGCGCGATCCTATCAAGTCCCGACTTTGCTGATCGAATGCTTCAGGCAACCTACAGAATCGAGACCACCGGGACATCAGCAGCGAGCTTCTCTCCAGAGTCCAGGCGGATTTGTCATTGAAGAAGCTCAAGAGCATGTGGAAGAGTGCTTCGTGACCAGTCTCGTTCTCGACGTTCCAGTAGTTTTTGAACTAGGTTGACAGAAGCATGGGGGAGGGAGCGAGGCCGTGTCAGTGCGGATGCAGCCGCAAACGCGATTCGGCATAACACAGATTGTATTGGAGTGAGGGTCGCTACTACCCATCAGCTCATGCCATTCCCCACAAGCGCGGAACGCCATTGCAGAGAGCACAGCCCCGGGTACCTCGTCTGCGACTTGTTTACTCGCAGGCTGATCGCCGATGGGCTTTGCGCAGGCGAGGATCTCGTTGAGTTTTTCTTGGCGCATCTGCTTCCATTGCTCGAAGAGCCTTAGAGTTGAAGAGTGGGAGGGAGTAGTCAGGCCAGATCGACAATGAAGCTCATAGCTGCTGTCTGTCTTGGCAACAGAATTGTGTCCTCCCCTCCACATAAGAATGGCACCCAAGAGCAACCGTGCGCGAATCACCACGACTTACTGAATGGTGGATAGCGCAGCCATGCGATCTTTCCTGCCCTCAGTCTGCTGAAAGTCTTTCGAGCGCGAGTCGATCAAGGCGCGGATATCGGAAATGAGCTGTCGAGAGGCGGATGCCGAGCATTGGTGATGTTAGTACACGCCATACTTGAGCACGAATCTGCATCCACTTTGCCATTGCCATGAAAAATCAACCCGACACGCTGCTATGTATGCGTTCGAATGGAGCAGCGACTGCTGACGCCTGGACGACGAGGCAAACGAACGCATAGTCAGAGGTGCTGGTGGACGAGCGAGTTGCGCACCTCCTCCATGCGCTTGTCGAGCATGAAGAGCGTTTCATTGTTGACGCCCTCTTTGAGGTACGCGGGAATCTCAGCCTCGAGCTTTTCCTGCGCAGATTCATCCATATTGCTGCGGTGCTGTTGGCGAACGCGGCGCTACGGGGGCGCCAAACCTGGCTTTGGCTTTGAAGGCAGCGAAGGGGACAACGGAGGCGGTGAGTGCGAATGACGGGCCCGAGGATAGATGAGTGTCTAAACGAGGAAAGGAGAGGGCTCGAGCGATTGGCGGACAGATCAAGGGATGGATTGCCGGGCGAAGCGACGGATCGCCGGTCGGCAAGCGGATGGGCCGAGTGGGTGTGGGTGCTGCCATCGACCTGAGAGACGCGTTCCCACGCCACTGTGCCAGGCCGTGTCAGCAGCACGACACAGAATGCATTGGAATGCGGATGCAGCCGAGAAGCGAGGGCCCTTCTCGCTGCCCTCTCGTGACCCTCTCGCTGCTCTTGTGTCCGGTCACGTTGACGACTGGATTTTGGGTTCGCATCGATCTGCATCAGCATCAGCACCCGCCCAGCTTCGTTCTCTGGATCGGTCTGATCGGCTTCTGCCCTGTCTGCAGCCCTCCGTCACCAACCAGCGCTGTTGCTGCCGTCGTCGCGCCCACCTGTCTGCCATGTCTGATCCTCAGGATCCTCAGGAGCAAGCTCCCAAAATGTAGGGCTGCGTCGGTACTCCTTGGACATCTCTTTTGTTTCTGACATCCCTCTTGCGGGTCGTGCGTGGGGGGGGGGCCGTGCGGGGCAGTCGCCTGGGACGATCCGCCCATGCGCCGGCGACACTCCGTCTACGACGCTCCATATGTGCGCAGCCATGGCGTCTCATTCCGGGCGAGGTCCGTGCGTTATATTCTCGTCTGATCTGTCTCTCTCTATCTCTTCCCAACATCCCGTGTCCTTTCCACATTCACTTTCTTTCCTCTTGCATGAATCGCGCTGTCTTCGTCTGATCACCCTGCCCTGGCAAAAGCATCGTGGTCCCAAGGTAGTCGCGCTGTTGTCGGCCGGAGTGACTTGCGTACTAATGTCTCTTGCCCAACGTCTCTTTTGGCGCATCGGTCCGATCTACAGTCGGAAGAGAAAGTGGGATGTTACCGAGCCTGATAACACTCTCACCAAAGCTCCCCACACCTCCACAGATGGTGATGGCGACTTCACACCCCGGTCGCCCCAAACCCAGGCTGCACAGATCTCTGATACGTCAAGCCCCTCGGCGACTGAGCCTGCGAAGAAGGACACGGTCGATCTTGCGACCGAGGCCGCTCAGAAGATCAACTCGATCCTGGCCGCCAGAGGCGCCGTTCTGCCAAAAGTTGCTCTTCCAGACATCAAGCTCGACCCAGTGGCACCCAAGATCGATCTGGTCGGTGCACTATCGCGAGGCAGCTTTGTAGCTTGGTCATTTGCCAGATCGGCTGCGGCATCGTGGTTTATGGATTCATGATGGCCCCAACATGCTGTTCGATCCGCACGCCGGTTGCATTCAAGCGGCTATTCTGACAAACGATGGGGAATATGGGGGTTGTTGTGGGCCCAAACATGTGTGCGACTCTGGCACTCTGACTCGTTGCTCCTCTCCTTGCTCTGCAGCCTCCCCTGAAAGAGAAGAAGGAGGAGTTTGTCATGGATATTCCCATCAACGATGTCAAGAACCGCTACATCCTTACCAAGGGAGCTACACAGCTCAAGATCAAGCAGGATACGGGAGCCGAGTAAGTCATTGATGCTCGAGCCTGCGAGCTATCTCTGTTATCTGGCATCAATATCAAAATCAGCACCGGCATCAGAATCAGCAACAGCATCAGTGGCCGCAGAATTGGTACTGACCGTATGATTGTAATTGGTGCAGTGTCATCACCAGAGGAAAGTTCTATCCCGACAAGAATCTTGCGACCGACAAAGATCCGGTATGTGTCTTCGTCCCATGGCGATGACTGTTAGGTGTGCAATGCCACACGACCGTCCTTGCATCAGGACGAACAACAGGCCCCCCCCCATGGATTCAATTTCGCTAACAATGCTCCGTCCCGTCGGACATGGTTTTGCCGAGTCAGCCCCTCTTTCTGCACGTCATCGCTCAGGCTCAGGAGGACTTGGACGCTGCTGTCAAGATCATCAACGATTTGATCGACCAGGCCCAGCTCCCGCCACAGGCCGGCGCTCCCTTTGTGGATCCACCGAGATCGCACCAACCCCGCGAAAGCCTTCCTCCGGTATGACGATGGAAGCGAGTCTGGTTCGAGCACGTCACCTCGCAGTTGCCGCAATCTGCAGTATCAGCGGCATCGGTACTGGTCAGAAACAAGAGAGAGACCCGCAGACCACGTTGCTTTGTTGTTGCTAGCTGTCTTTTGGTGGGGAGGGCCGTTCTCGATGGCAACGTGTCCTATTGGTGTGGTCTGCAAGCATCAGGATCAAGACCCACACCGCGACTGACACAGTGATCCGAACTGCCTCTGCGTCCTCCCGCTCTTCCTATTCTCCTCCAGCGATCGATGCTCCAGGGCAAAGTGTTTGTCGGCATCGAGCCTGATCGATTCTTCAACGTGCGCGCCAAGATCATCGGACCTGGCGGCCAGTACGTCAAGCACATCCAGCAGGAAACAGGAACCAAGGTTCAGCTCAAGGGCCAGGGCTCGGGCTTCACTGAAACAGGCTCGGGGATGGAGGCCATGGAGCCTCTCCATCTGCATATCACGTAGGTTTGGTGCTCCGCCAGCGTATCGGGTCTCACATCCGGGTCGGTGCGCGAAGTGGGTGTCGTAACCGGGCCGCAGCGATGTTGGTGCGTTGCCAGTTATCGTATCCGATCGCTGACGCCAATGTGGCTCTAGCGGCCATTCTCAAGAAGCCATCGACGAGGCCGAGCGCCTGTGCAAGGACTTGATTGATACGGTCCGTGACGAACACGATCGCTATCGCCAGCAGCCACCCCACAGACTGCACAACTCCTATTCATCCGGCGGACACCACCATCCTCCTCCACGATCTCGGTCTGGATACAACCAGCAGCCATACTACGGCGGACCTCCTCCTCCTCCCCCTCATGGCGGCAGTGCCCCTCCTCCTCCTCCTCCTCCTCACGGCGGCAACCCCTATCCTCCCCCGCCTCCGCCTCCGGGAGGATATAATCCCTACCCACCCGTCTACAATCCCCCGGCGGCCGCATCTGGATCTGCATCTGCATCTGCATCTGCATCTGGATACCCCGGATGGTCCGACAACCAGGCAGCGGCAAGCCAGGCCTCGTACTATGGCTACACTGACCCGAACGCTTACGGCTCATACGGCTATGGCGAATACTCTGCGACTCCATCGTACGGCCACTACCAACAGCCATCGCACGACTCGTCGAACGGCGCATCGCAGCAATAAGCGGCGTCGCCGCAGCACCGTCATTTGCATATTATCCGGAGCTATCCGTTGAGCCACAAACACAGCAATCGCAACCCTTTTTCTCGCTGCCCGGACCGAAAGATTTGTGGTGCCATGTGGTTTAGTCTGTTTTGAACCAGGAGGCGATACTACCTCCCCGCTTGAATCGACTCGCCGAACTTGATGCGGATGCGCTCAAGTCACTCAGGACATGGCGAGCCAGGCATTTGTGCGTTTGTTCTCGACGGGCTATCTGTCTCCGATGACTCGTCTGCGCGCACTCTCTACGACGAATAAAGCCTCTTGGCAAGCACATATTCAAGTATTTCCTGGGAAACGAGTTTTCTGAGATGCGTCAACTCGGCTTGAAGCTGCTCAGCGATACTGGTGTTGGATTCGGATGCATCAGAAGCAAGTCGATGGTACTGCTGAAAAGCCTCTCTGGCCCGGGTGCTGGAGATGGTGGTGGCGAGCGGATCCCAGTTGACAATCTCCAGGACAGTCTCCACAAATCCGCAAGATCGTGCCAGCTCGAACACCGGGGAGGTGTTGAATCCAGATGCATGGGCGACCGGTACGGACTCAGTTGCGCGCGGAGCGTAAATCAGGGTGCTCTGCTTGAAGAACTCGCGAAACAGCACAGGCATCGATCCTGGTGGATAGTATTTGGGGTCGACGAAGCGGACGAGGGTATCGACCCCCATGGCAAAGAACAGCCGCGGCGACACTGATTCCGCCGGCGCACTGATCGAGCTGAAGAATTGGTGGAGGCTTTTGGATTTGTCGATAAATCGGCCTGGGAGGGGAGGGGAGAAAAGCCCCATCGAGTGAGCGAGAAAGACTGCAGATATCGGAAACAGAGGACAAGCGACTGTGCTGCATGCATATGCACGGGCACTGGATATGCCGGTCGTCTTGCCGGCGGCCCTCCGATCGCGGTTGTCCATACAAGTGTCTGCATCCTACCTGACGCAGTCGTTGCGACGATGAATATTGTCGCTGGGAAGTGTCGCGAGAGCTGGGCCGCGGAGGCCTTGAGCATATCAATGCGGTCGCTGACCGACGCCCCCGATATGTGGGGCTTGTCGACATTGTTCGCCGTGAAGAGCAGAACAGCATATTCGAAAGGCTCGCAGCGGACGGGGGTACGGATAGCACCAGGGTCGCTTGGGTCGCCAGCGGCGAGGACAAGGCTGCCAGAGCAGGCCGTGCGGATATACTGGAGATGTGCCAGCGTCGGCGGGTTGAAGGAGGAGTCCAAAACGAAGACACGGGCAGGGTGACTCTGTTGATGATAATCGAGTTAGCATGCGGAGGGAGCCCAGAGTCATGCTGTGCTGGGGGGTCGCGATTGGGCGACAGCGACCTTCCACACGGATCGATCGGTCGAGGCATAGTGCAGGACAAAGGACGGGTCTGCCGACATGGCTGGGGCCAGCGGGAGATGTGAGATGCGAGAGCGAGGCGATACCCCAGGAAGATTGGCGCTCAGAAAGACAGATGCGTCTCCAGGAATCGAACCTGGGCCGGTGGATGCGACGGTCGCACAGCGCACGCTGTGTCGCACAGATCACGCACACAAGCCACACAAGCCACGCCGGCCACGAGTCATCCACACGCACTGTGGACTATTTCGGCTCGGGCGGGCTGAAGGGCACTGCACGTGGAGTCTGTTGTGCTGCGCTGTGTGTTGCTGCGTTGTTGCTGTGTGTTGTTGTGCTGCCGCTTGTTGGCCGTCCTTTGGCTGTCCTTTGGCCGCTGGCTGTCCTTTGGCTGTGCTGCTCCCGACTGTGCTGCTTCCGGCTGTCGCTGGCGTTATTTTTGGCTCTTCCCGCTCTGTCTGGCCTGGCTGGGTTTTGCCTCCGAGCCCGGCAGCGAAAGCAAAAGCTCGTCCACGAAAGCCCGCCTATTCCTCGCACTTTGCGCTCTCTCCCGTCCAGGCACCGTCTCCGTGCCCACAACCTGCCGTCTCGCTGAGCTCGGGTCCAATCGCCTGCACGTCCTCTCCGTTGCATCGCACTTCGCGGCCCGTCGCCATCGCTGTTCCGAGTGCATATCCGGCTGCTGCTCCATGCAGTCCTTTCCCGGACTCGCTTCGTCGTCCAGCATGATTGGTGAGTCCCCGGAATCGCCCCCAATCGCCTTCCCCCATTTGCCTTCAATCGACCTCAATCACCTCCAATTGCCCTGAATCACACTTCCAGCCGCCGCTTCCCAATCGCCCACAATCACCCTCAGTCTCCCCCCCCCGCCAATTGCTGCTGTCGCTGCGCTGCATTCTTTGCTTCAGTCATGAAAGCATTCCGCATGCTCTGATGTGCGATCGCTGCAGAGTATCAAGCGCTGCGGCATTCGCTGTGGTGCTTATCCGTCATCGCTTTGCTGGCGTCGCCGTTGCCGTTCTCGGCTTGGGTGCTTTTGTGCATTGCTGACGCCTCCCACATCCTCAGTCCCGAACGATTCTTCCCACGACCACGACCAAGACCATCGGCCCTCTAATGCCAGTTTGCCGGCCACTCTGTCTCGGTCGGTGCGGGAATCGCCCTCCCCGTCCGTCCACCCGCGACTCCAGCGCCGCTTTTCAGAGCATATCGACCAAATTCACTCCCGCATCTCGCCTTATGCCTCTCAGTCTCTGCGCTCCTCGCATCAACGACCCACACAGCCCCTCGACTACTACTCTTCACATGGCGATGACCGCTTGATGTCGCACTACAGCTCAGACCTTCCCGATGCTGCGTCGTTTGACTCATACAATCGCGACCTGGGCTCGTCGCTGCGATCGTCCTACTCCCACGACCTGAAGGCCTCCATCCATTCATACTACAGCGACTCAACAAACCCGCCACCCCGCCGAAAGGAGCTCGCTCCATCGGCCACGCTCGAGTCCATCTACGGCAGCACCTCGGATCTCAATCTGGCGCCGTATGGTTCCCTGGTGACTGGCGCCCCGGATCTCCTGGACGACTATGGCTACAGTCGCCCGGCCGTCCCAGGCGATGACCATCGTAGCTTCATCATCCACGACGATGCCGAGAACGACGCCGTCGTCGACTACGAGACTCGTCCAAAGTCACTCATTGAGCGCCTACGGCACCAATCCGAGATCTCAAATATGCAGCTGGCCGAGATCGAGCGGCTCGAGATCGAAAACACCAAGCTTGCCGAGCACAACGATATCCTGGTCGTGGACCTGCAGACCAAGGACAGCGCCATCCAGGATCTCAGCCAAGTCATTGAGCATTTCAAGCGCGACATTGAGCACCTCAAGGACCAGCACCGTAAGATCGAGGATACGAATATGGCTCTTCTCGAGAAGAAGGAAATCGAAATCGAAGCCCTGAAGGACGAAAATGACAACCTCACCATCCGAGTCATGGAGTCCGAGCGTCGCGCCTATGCTGAATCGGCTGGCTCGCGTTCCGCCGGCCCAGTCGGCGTTGATGGAGCCGACGAACTCGACGCTGCCGTCGCTTCTTCCTCGGATGTGGCTTTGGCCTTGGCACCAGAAAGCACCCTCACCAGCGACAACCACGAGCTTTCGATGAAGCTGCAGAGCTCCATTCTTCGCTACCGCGAAACGGTCGCTACTCGGGACGAGACCATCGAACTGCTCCGCCAAGACAACGAGCAGCTGATCGCCGAGTTGCATCGCATGCAGAACCAGCAGCCGCTCACGAGCGATTCACCCGACGGCTTCAGTCGCGAGGGCATCATCGAGTCGATGCATCTCCAGATTGAGTCGCTTGAGAACGAGCTTCGCCAGGTGAAGGCCGAGGCACTCAACCTCATGTCGCAGTCCAAGTCGCAGTTTGCAGAACACCAAGCCAAGTTCCTGGCAAACGAAGAGGAGAAGCGCATCCTTCGCGACGAAAACCGGTACTATGCTCACCAGAACCAGCAGCTGAACGAGAAGGTCGTGTCGCTGTCAAAGTCCTTGAGGCACCAGACCGAGCAAGCTCTGTATGCTGCCTCTCAGGCCACCAGCTCATCCGGCCATGCTGCCTCGGCCTCCAGCGAGTACTACGCCGGCGCGCCCAATCTACAGCTCTCCATTGTCCAGCTTGCCTTGCAAGATCGCCCCTCGCGACCCAGCGAGATCGCCCTGTCGTCGTCCAATGAGCAGATTGCCTCGGAGCTGTCGCTGTTAGGCCCGAACGAATCGAGCCTCCTCGATGGGTTCGTCGATGCGGCTGGCGAAGACACTGTCGTGATTCGCGACGTGAACGCAAGCGCCGAGGAGATGGATTCGCTCTATGCCGAAGTCGAAAGACTGCGACACTCTGTGCAGATCCACGAGGGCGAGAATCGTGCATTGCGTGCCGAGCTATTGAACCAGCTTTCGCGAAACAAGGACGACCGTGCCAACGCCCAAGCAGCGAAGCACGGAAGCAAGGACGAGGCCCGCGGCAAGGACAGAAAGATAGCCAAGCTCGAGGCTCGCATTGCCGAGCTCGAGGGCCAAGTCGATGATCTGCAAAGTGAAGTCCACACGCGCTCCACCGAGGGGTCGGTCTTCTTCGAGGAGGCCGAGCGGCTCTCGCGCGAGGTCGAAGTGCATGCTGCTGAAAAGACCGCCCTCTCGGACCAGCTATCAACAGCCCATCGTCTGCTCGAAGAGGCCGAGACCGACAGTCGGCAGCTCCGAGCAGAGGTCCTCAACCAAATCAACTCGATCAAAGACAGCCAGTCAGATATCGAAGCCGAGCGTCTGCTCCATCGGCAGTCCCTGCAGGAGCGCGATCAGAAGATTCAAGAGCTGGAGCGATCGCTGGAGAAAGCACATGCGCGAACCGAGTCGTTGCAACTCGAGCTTAGGAGCGTCTCCCCCGACTGGTGCAGTCCCCTCGAGCTGGCCAAGTGGGAGAATGAAAAGGAGCAGCTCCTCGAGCGCCTCAAGACATCCGAAGAAAAGCTTGCGGAAATGCAAGCGATTGTCGTGGCGATCGAACGAGAAAAGTCCGTCCAGATCCAGGCCGCCATGGACGAGATGGAAGTGAGCCGCTCCAGCCTGCGCGGACAGATGCTCGAGACGGTGTCGGACTACCTCAATCGCCTGGCGGCACAAGAGGCCGAAAAGATGCGTCTTCAGGACCGGCTCTTGGAAGCCGAGCGCAAATGCAAGCAGCTCGAAGTCAGCCTGGAATCGCAGGTCGCCAAGCTCAAGAAGCAGCATCAGAAGGCGCAGAGCCTTCTTGAAGTCAAGCACGAGCAGACTGTCCTACAGCTCGAGCACGAGCGACTCGAGTTTGAGCTGCGCGTCCAGCAGCTCGAGCTCTCCCTCGCCGAAGTCAGCGACATGCTCGCCGCCAAGAGCAACGAGCACGACCAACTCGTTGCCGCCCATCGAGACGCGCAATCCAGCTCACTGAAGGCCATCCAAGACATCGAAGCTGCCATGAAGCAGATTTCTGACGAAGCACAGACGACCATCAAGCAACTCCATCTCTGCGAATCGCTGCTTGAGGAGAAGGAAGCCCAGCTGTCGAATCTACAGGAGCAGCACGCGCGTGATAAGGAGCTCGCCGAGATCCAGGTCCGTGAGGAGCTTGCCGCCGTCGTTACGAGTCAGTCAGAGCAGATTGGCAAGCTCAAGAAAATGGCCGAAAACGTCCTCCGGACTGGCCACGACGAACGCATCGCCAAGGACAAGGAAATCGCCCAGCTCAAGGACGAGGTGAGTGTGCAGTCCATCGGCTGTGCTTGCGCATGTCTTGCGGGGTTGTCGTGGAGTGGCTCGGTGTCAGATCCCAGGGCCGTGCACTTGTGCGTCTCATTAATGGTGGCGGTATTTGTAGATCACTCGCCTCGGCCCATCGAACGACGCTCCCAATCCGGACGCTCTTCCCCACGTTCCTGCTCCGTCGGTCAGCCAAGACGACAGCGTCGACTACAAGCTGCTGTGTAAACAGCAGACTCTTGAGCTGGAATCCCTCCGAACCGAGGTACATTCCGCTGCTGCCATTTTGCTCAGCTGGATCGATGTTGCGGCCGCTTCAGCCATTGTATTTGTCACAGCTGTGATTCATCGCGTGTTCTACTGCGTGAAGCTGATTTGACCGCTGAGCAATTGTATTCTCTCCGTCTATATCATGCTTGTAGCTCAAATGCATCCAAAGCCAGACATCGGAGGAATCAATACCGCCGCGCGCCTTGGACGGCGCCCCAGTCGGTGTCGAGGTTCCAGCGTCCCATGAGCCACTGGATCAATGTACCGTCGTCTCTGGTCAGGAGCGGCCTGTTCCTTCCGAAGCCTCCTCCGACATGTTTGCCCAGCTCAACACCCTCACCGAGTCCAACCGGGCTCTCAGCGTGGCCCTCCTCGATGCCCAGAGACGATACGACGAGGCTCAGCAAGCCGTCAAGGCCACCGAAGAAACCTCCAAGGGCATTGTCGACTCGTTCGAGAAGGAGATTGCGCTCTACCAGAACCTTGGCCAAACCCTGCAGGCACGCACCGACACTGTCGAAATGGAGAACGCTGCCTTGCGCGAGACGGCGCGCGCCCTCGAGGTCCGGCTCCGGTCCGCCAGCGAGCTTGCCGAGAGTCTGCAAATGCGTCTCACGCTCCAGGACTCGGTCGTCCTCAAGCTGAGCACACTCTCGGAAGAAAACAACAGACATATCACCTCTCTCCAAAATGCAGCCGATGCCCTCCGCTCAGGCCAGGACGAGGCCCGCACCTTGGTTGCTCTGAAGACCAGCGAGATCTCGCAGCTCCAAGTGCTGATCAAGAACCGCGAAGATCAGCTCGAGCAGCTTCAGACGTCGCACCAACAAACTCTTGCCGCGATGGAGCAAACCTTGGGCCAGGCCACACATGCTGTTGAGGAGCGCGATGCTCATATCCAGTCTCTCGCAGCCGAGTGCGACCAGCTTCACGCACAGGTCAAGGCGCTCCTTGAAGCTTCCGAGGGAGTGAAGCACCGGAACGGTCTCTTGGAGATTGCCAACGAAAAGCTCAGGCTGGCGGCCGACAACGCCTCCCGGCGCATGAGCGAGGTTGGCCAGCTTCATGGCCGCGAGCTCGCCGAGAAACAAGGTCAGATCCTGGAACTGGAGCAGCAGCTCGGAGCCCTGCTCCCGATGAACGCAGATCTCCGGAGCAGCACAACGATTTCGCGACTGCAGAGCCGGGTCGAAGAGCTGGCGCTTCTGTGGAACACCGAGCAGTCCAAAAACCAGGCTCTCAACGAGCAAATGAGCATCATGAACGACGAGATTCTTGAGCTTGCCTCCAAGCACGAGCTTCATCTCGAGACCGCCCAGGCGAAGCAGGCCCTCGAGCAAGAGTTTATCGAAAGCCTGGATCTGATCCAGCACCTGGAGGTCCAGCTCAACGAGCTTCGGGCCCGACTCTCGACTACCGAACAAGGACAAGAGCAAGGGCCAAGCACCGACAATTGGCCAGCCTCGAGCCTCTCCTCTGCTGCGTCTATCCCTGGTGCCGCCGGGCTTGCTGGCACATCCGATCCTCCTTCGGGCGCCGTCTCAGTTACCCATCGCACGGCAGGCACTGCACGCGTCCCTCACTGTGGACCAAGACGCGACCAAGAGGACAGTCAATTTGGCGTCGATGTAGCCTCGAGAGAGACCGCCGTGTGGCAACAAGCCCTCGAAAGCACAATCCAGAGCACCGCCCAGACTATTCAGCAACAACAGAGCGTCATTGCTGGCCATGAGACCGAGATCCGCGCTCTCTTGGCGCGCAATGACGAGCTCGAGCAGCAAGTGGCGTTCCTCAAGATGCAGAGTCAGGCTGCGGCAGAATGTCAGCAGACACAGGCCCATATTTTGGCCACCATCGCAGAAGAGCGGCAGCAGCTCGAGTCGCAACTCGAAGCTATCAAGGGTAGAACTACCGGAAGTGCGGGTGCCCCGATCTCGGACGAAGAAAAGGACGAGCTCGCGGCCACGGTCAGGTGTCTCGCCAAGGCTCTCTCTGCCTCTCAGCTCCAGCTCGACGAGCTTCAGCATCAATTGGATCAGGTCCCGCAAGTACCGTGCGCTTCTGAGCCCGAGACCGTCGCTGCGTGTGCCGACGCCGATGCTTTGAACGAGCTCAGCCAGGCAAATCAAGAGATCCACAGGGAGCTTGAGCAAGCGCAGCAAGCCAACACCTGCTTGGCCCAGGAGCTCGAGGAGCTCAAGCACACTACTGTCGGCCTCGAGCTCCAGGTTGCGCAGCTCCAGAAGCGCATTCGGTCCAAGGAGCGGCAGGAACGATCGCGCATCGACGAGTTTGAGCGTGTCTTTGCGGAGCTGAATGTGATGATGTGGCAGCTCGAGAACGCATCGTCTCGATGGCGCCAGCTCAGCGGAAGCGTCCAAGTTCCCGAACACCACCGGTTCAACGACCATCACCATGAGTCCGACGCAGCCTGGAAACAAGACCAGCACGGAGCCGATGGTGGTGCGGATGCGCCGATCGCAGAGGAGCCTCTGCACTCGCCCGTGTCGATGCCGCGCAAGGAACCCTCGGAACTCGAGCTGGTATCCAACATTGCCTTCACGGATGAATATTCGTCGTCCGAGGGCCGTCGCGGCGTTGTTTACGTTTCTCCCTCCGAAATCACCGATACGCCGTCGGTCGATGCGCCAACCGCGGAGCAGTACGACGGTGTCTTGCAGAGCTCGTCCCAGTTCAGCCATCGACTCAAGATGATCCTCGACATTCTTGAATCCAACGAGGAACAGCGGCGCCGAGAGACGCTCAATCGCGAGCACTTTACCGATCAGATGGCGGACGAGCTCAACCGCATCCAGGGCGAGATGGCCCAGATGCGCAAGCTGCTGATGACCAAAGAGATGACCATCGAGCGGCTGCAAGCGATCGTCCAGCGCGAGTCCGATGTCGCCGATAACGCCGTCAAGGCCCGCGATACAGCCATCCGAACGCTTCAGTCGGACCTGGCTCGTGAGCTCAGCCGCTCGGCACAGGCGATTGCCGCTCAGGACAAGATGCTGCAGATGCTGCGGGATGCCGGCGTGACCGTCGGAATCCACCACTTTTTCGCCGACGGCGATGAGGACACCGAGCCTGGCGACTCCGAGTCTGCCACCTCCGAGCACCCCGAATGAGCGTGCGGCGGCGGGTGCCTTGGCCGCGCCGAATGCCCAAAGTCATTGACCAGACCACGACCATGAACAACCAAGCGATTGACATTGTCAGCCCGGCCCAGCAGCGCAGCACACCGCGGACGCAGCACCAGCAAATACTCACACACGTTTTGATTGCCATGGAGATACAACATCTCATTTGAACTGCAACTCCCCTAATTTACAGCGTTCATGAAACGGGACCGCCACGCCCTTGTCGCTTCTATTTTTGATGGGAATACACATTGATCCTCCACAATTGCCATCCACGGTCCCGGGGAGTGCGTCCCGCGGAGTGCGTCCCAGGGAGTGCGTCCCAGGGAGTGCGTCCCAGGGGCACCCTCAATCGATGGGGTGGGTATACGGCACAATGGATGCAACAATATAGCGGATGTCATTCCAACAACTGAGGCGAACGATCCCAGGAGTGGGTTGCATGAGCTCCTTGCGGTGCTTTGAAGCTGATTCTGGCCAAGACAAAGCGACCAAAGGCTTTCCTCGTTCTCGCTTGAACTGTGGCAGTCGCCTTTGGGGGCTTGGGATTCAACACTTGGCCAGTGGGAAAGCTACGATTCAGTGTGTTCGTCCTCGGAAACGAGCTCGAAGCACCGTGCAGCTACTTCTTCAGCTGAACGAGTCCTTGGTGGCGATCAGCAATGATGGGCTCGGGGCGAAGGTTGAAGACATATTTGGATCTGAAGATGGTCAGAACGTCGTAGCAGCTGTCGGTGGTGCGGCTCCGCTGGTCGTCCAGAGCACCATCGCTTGGCGGTGCTTGCTCGATGTGTGGACACACCATGGCGAGAGGCTTGCCAAGATCGACCTTGGTGCCCTCGAGACGATGATGGCCGATGGTAAGGTAAGGCCGACCCTGAAGTAGAGAAGCAACCCGTGGGGAGGGAATGATGGGGAGCCCCGGAGATGGTCAGAACGTTCGCAGTCCTCCACGATCCAGAGCAGTGGTGTGAGGGGAGGAGAGGAGCGGGTGCGATGGAGAATCGGGCTCTACCTTTTCGTTGAAGTGGAGCTCGCCGACATGAAGCGGCTGCTCCGCGGCACCGGCCGCAGACCGATCAATCTCCAGCGTGCCCTGCAGCTCAAGGAGGACCCACGGCAGAGGCGAATCGGCAGTCCCCGAGACCGGCAGGGATGCCACCTGTGTGTCGCTCCGTGCAAGTGGGTCCGATCCCGAGAGTGAGCCTGCGGGGATGTGGAATTTGTAGGTGCCCTTGGGCACCGATGGGAACGCCGGGCGGGTTGGCAGGGCGATCGTGACCATCGCAGAGGGCTTTGGTGTGTGCAGATAGCGTCGGTGCGGCAGATCTCGACGAACGATGCCTTTGCCGGCTGGCGGTCTGCGTCGCCAGATCGATGAACGACGGATTTTGCAAGCACCGCAACAGGCGCGGAAGGCATCGCAGCCCATTTGCCCATATTTGGTCTTGCGCAGCCGATACTGGCCCAGTCTGCAGCAATGCGACACTGCATTCATGGTGCAGCGGCGAGATTCCCATGGTGATCGAGGCGCTCGCAGACAGCGCCGAGCATGATGTATTGCTGCATCTGCAGTGCGTGGCAGCCAGCCACAAAGGTGCAAGTACAAGATCACTTTGAGAACGGGTCGGCGTTGACGTCCATTCCCGCCATTTCGTCTGTTTCGATGCCAAGCTCCTCCTGCGGGAACAAAAGATAAAAACGATGGCATGTGAGCCGACTTGCAGAGCATCGCGGGTGACCATCCAAGTGTGCGGCCAGATCAGCATGGTGGCCGACAGATCAGCATGATGGCGGACGGTCAGGAAGTGACATCGCAGTTCCAGTGTCCGACGACACACCATGAGCTCCGACGGCTTGCCAGGCATGTTCTCGGTCATGGCGCTCCAAATGTCCTTGAACTTTCGCTTGCGCTTCTTCCACATGCCCTTCATCTTCTCATAGTTGTTGACGATCTTCTTTCTCTCGGCATCGGTGATGCGGTCGCTGCCTCCACGGAGAGACTCGAGCCGCTTGAGGTAGCCTTCGTTCTGGATGAGCCCAGGGACGCACGGATAAGGAGGACATACATATAAAGACCATGTGATTCCCAGCGCCTTTTCGGCTTCTTGAGCAAGCAGATAGCCCACCTCGGATTTGAGGGTCGCCAGTCGGGTCTTCATCTCGGCGCTGGTCAAGGACGAAGTCAAGCCGCTCAGGGCTGGGGTGTCGAGCAAACGGTCACATCAGACGCAATGCGCAACGAAGCCGCACCATGCCATTCCAGGAATGCTCGGACAAACTCACTTGCTTGCGCTTGCTTGTTCTGCGCAGGGATGCGTTGCCAGGGGAGGGATGTGCGTTTCATGGGAGAGATATGGCAAGAAGGCAGAGTGGGGTGCAGCAACAAATGCGACCGACAGTTGGTGAGTTGAATCGCTTCTGTTTGCTGGCGCGATGCTCTGTTCGCTCATGCAATCGGAGGTATTAACGACGGACACTGCACGAAAGTCATCGGCGGTCCATCATGCAGTCGCCCATGTTGTTGGTCTTGAACTCATTCATACATATGTTTTTAGAGTGACGATTTGGTCCCGCAGTTGGACAATCTTCATATCCATATCAGCAAGGATTTCGGTCGAAGGTGCTTCTCCTTCATCCTGAATGAAGCAACGGGGAACTCACTGAGCAAGGCGAACGACTGTCGAATTGATCCGCGGCTTTGAGAAGTGCTTGGGGAAGCCAGTGGACACGCACGCTCCAGCCAGAACGACAAAAAAAGGAGGGTGAAAGTCTCGAGATGTTGAGCTTCATGTGCGGAGGCTTGCTGGTCTGATGCCCGGCTTACCTGCTTTGCGGCATAGACCCATTGTTTCCCGTATAGCTTGCCGTGGATTGTTTCTGCCGAAACCGACGACCGCGGATTTGAGAGATGAGATCAGCTGGGATGCCACTGCTGTGCGGAGGGGTGTTCTGGCGCCTCCACCATCTCTGCAGTTTGTCACTTGTTGCGACCGAGGAAAGAGGAGGAAGGAGAGATGACTCACGCTCCTCTTGCATCTGCGTCAGGATCTTGGTGACCACGGCCTTGCCGATCTCGCCCTTGAGGTTGTTGAAGACATCGACGGCGCTATAGGGGCGATTCTGTTTCCGGAGATAGCCCAGGATCTGCGACTCGTGATCTAGGATTCGACACCGGTTTCAGTGTCGCGATAACGTCGACAGGATGAGCACGCTGATCTGGCATGGGGCGGGCGGGACGGTGTTCTGGACAGGAGAGGGACAGAGCGACGATTGGACAGTCCCGATGCACGGCTTCGAGGGCGGCGCACCTGAAGGCGATCCAGACGAGGCCTTGGCCTTCTGAGGTTTTCCCATGGCTGAGGGGGGCGAGAGTCTGACAGAGGGAGCTGCTGCTGGGTGATGGCCGCCAAAGCAGCCAGGTCCGAGCCAGCGCAGGGCGAGACGGAAACAGAAACGGACCAACTGCGCAGTCGGCCAGGGCGAGGGCATGTGTTGGCATCTGACGAAGCAAGCCGCCTGCGCTCCAAAATACCCAGCCCCAGAGTCGCCGTGCATCGATGACGTAGACAGTCAAGCCTACGACCCTGCGGACTCTACCTTTCGATCCTACGAGAACTGGCCCTTACAAATATTGTCAGCGACTGCGGAGCTTTAACCCCTCACTCGGTTGTCAACACAAACCGAGGACCGGACTTATAAGCATCCCCCTTTTCCCTCGAGAGAGGACGATACCCTCGTTTTTACTCCTCATTCACTTACTTTCTTATCTTAAGTGGATTATCCTCTTTCGCCTTGGGCTCATGATTGTTCATGGGAGCACCTAAGACGTGACCATCGATGTGCTTTTGGCAAAGCATTTGGATGCAACGTGGTTGTTGCGTCCACACCTACACTTTATTCAGAAAAAAACGGGACAATATAGCCGTTTCCATGAACATGTAGTATGTGCTGTGCTTGCGTCAAGCAAAGCCACAAGAAATAAAACAGATCACTTTGGCAGCCTCCGAGTGAACACCACCGGTCGCTCTCCGGTCTCCACAATCGACTTGCACACTATGATCATGTTGCGCGCCGCATTGACGTCGCGATTCCACACTGTCTGGCAGCTGGGATTCTTGCAGCTCCTGACAAAGTGGGAATTCGCAACGCTGGGCGCATCGAGTTCTTCCAACCGAACTGGCTCCAGGCACTTGGAGCACACTTGCGAGGTGTTGAACTCGTTCGTCGAGGCCACCTTGACGCTTCCGTGAGGGTGAGTGGGACGGCGTCGGTGGTGCTCGAACTGCTCAAAGTACTGAGCAAACCGCTGCCTCCGAGGGCTGGATGCATAGCCCTTGCCCTGTCGCCATGACGCATTGCCAAAGGCGATCACCACATCGGTCCGTATCGGGGCGTGCTTCAGGACGGCCTTGCACATCCTGTCGACGGCCACTTGGCGTCTCTTGTGGCCTGTGAAGCGATGGTGACGGGCCTTCTTGCCAAGGTGGAAGTCGAGCTGCACTCGCAGCTCCGGTCGCAGGACATGGGTGAGATGGACCTTGAAGGCCTCCGAGGACGACACCTTGGGCGAGGGAGTGGTCGATATCCAGGTCTCGATGCTGAGTCGATACTTCATGGTGTTGTGCCACTTGGTGTTGGACGTATGGCCACACATGTGCTGGTAGTGGGCATTGGAGAATGAGACCACCTCGTCTTGGTGGCCCGGTGCTTGGATGACCGCCGTGAAGATGGAGCCGACTCCAGGATCGATGCCAATCCAAGTGGTACGGTTGGGGTCTGGGTCGCCGATGTGGGCCTGGATACGCTGCTCGGCAGTCGGAGGAGGCTCGGAGGTCTCGGTGCGATCGGTTCGAGGCAGAAACTTGACGAGACTGATGGTGCATCCAATGCCATCGGTGCTGATCTCGTAGTTGAACAGCTTCTTGTTCACGTCCCGTTCTTGGAAGAGGGAACTACGCAGCTTGAAGCAACTGCGCCAGAGACGATCCTGGTTGTTGACACCGTCCTCACCTTCTTCCTTGAGCATGTCCCTGGTGAGTCCAAGACGATGTTCGGTGTAAAGGAGTTGCCAGAGTGCGACGGTGTCGATCTTGACATACTTGGCCCTTGCAGTGCATAGAGGAACTATCGTGCACACGGCCGGAGGAGTGTCGACGGCGAGCTACTTGAGTGCCCACTTGAGCCTGGATGCCAGCTGGTTGATCTTGGCCTTGGTGGTGCCGAGCTCCGACTTGGCCGTGGTGAACCTCTTGTCGTCGGAGGGGATGCCTCGGGCAGTGAGCTCGTCCAGCTTGGCCTGGCGCTGCAGCTCGGTGACTCGGAGGGCGGGCATGTCACAGTCGATCCACTTGTGGACATTGTCGACCATCTTGTCTCGGGCGAGGATTCCCACATGGTGTGAGAGGCGATGGAGGGCCCGGAAGCGGTCCTGGTCGCTGCTGTACCGAAACTCGTCCAGGACGTGGCCAAAGTCCGGGTAGAGGAACTCGAGATCGGCCTTGGGTGGAGTCTGCCCTGGTTTCTCGAAGAGCTCGAGACAGGCCTCGATGGCTTCGTGCTTGTGCTTGTTGGCTGGGAAGACGGCAGCGCAGAAGCGGCGAAGGAGTCGCCAGTAGGCCAGGTCGAGGTGGGTGGTGCAGTTGGTAGCATAGGCATTGACAGCCAGTGTGAGAAGCTGACTGTGAGCACCATCAGGCAGACGAGGGGCCGGAGGCAGGTCTGCATGCCGAGTGGTCTGGTAGTCGCGAAAGGAAGCGACCAGATGCTCGTTGTATTTCTTGGTGTCCCTGGCCGTCGAGAGGGCACCAGCCTGGACGATCGTGAAGCATTGGCGGATGAAAGCAGGGGTGGACTTGGAGATGACGGGGACGGGAAGATCCTGCTCGATGCACCGGAGGATGTGCAGGTTGAGCAGCCTGGATGCCTCGAACTGGATCTGGGTCATGGCCTCGACGGTGGCCTGGATCTTGTCGCGGAGAGCGGGATTGAGACAACAGCCATCCATCGTCTGCTTGAAGCAGCCGAACTGAGGGGCGGATGACCTTCCATCCACGAGTGGGACGACAGAACTCTTGAGGGGCCGGTATTTGGGACACTTGTTGGTGTTGCAACGTTCGTGGTCGGTACCGTCGCACTGGCGACATCGCTTGCCGGTACTCGAGGAAGTAGATGGACCAGGCTCGGTGGGATCGACATCCATTGGATCTGCAGAAGCAGTGGTGGTGAGCAACGGAGCAACAGAGAAACAAGCATGCGTGGGGTCAGAATACGAACCAGAGACAGGCTCCGACTGTGACTTGGCTTTCTTGGGCCTGGGTGGCCGAGGCTGGCCATCACCGGCACCCTTGCGCTTCGGAGGCATGGGGGCAGAGGATGCTGGATGCCTGCCAGTGGTACTGGTCAGAGCAGAGACGCTTCTTTATCGTACAATAGCGCGATGATCAGATCAAGGCGAGATGAGGGAAGAAAGCAGCAGGACGAAGGTGCGGCATTTATACCCGAGAGCAGGAACCCGTCTGCGCGGGCTGGTTGGAAGTGACCCTGTTCAAAAATCGCCGAGAGGTTCAAGCCAGGGATTTGAGCGTGAAAATGGCGGCGTGATTGGGGAGCTCAACCCCAAATTGGAGGAACTCAACCCCAAAGAAGTTCTCGATGGGATTGAAGTCGGGCGAGGCAGGTGGGGTGAAGATCACTGACCATCCTCGGCGCTCGATGCAGTCCAGGACAGCCCTTGTCTTGTGCATGCTGACATTGTCCATCACAATCACAGAGTCGTCTGGGAAGGTCGCTCGCTCAAAGAACTCGACCATCGAGTGTGTCTTGAATGATGTGGGGATGTACATGCGATGCAGCACACCAGAGTGGTTGATGGCAAATGCAGCCGAGACAGACTTGTGTTTCATGTGATTGCGCTGGCGAAGCGGAGCACCCTTCGGCGAGTATCCGTAGAGAGGGAAAATGGATCTCCTGATCCCTGTCTCGTCGACAAAAACGAATCGCCGTGGGTCGATGGAGCGGACCTGGTCCCTGAACTGTGCCACTCGCTCATCCAGTCGCTTGGACTTGTAGAGGTGTGTTGCCCTCTTGTGTGAGAGACCTGCTCGGTGGATGGCAGTGTGGCAGAGTGAGAGTGATACTTTCCTCTGGAGGATGGACTCGAGCTTGCATCGCAACACAGGACCAGTCTGGAACGGGTCCTGTTCAATCAGGGTGCGAATGACTGGATATGCCTGCTCGAAGAAAGTGGATCTGCGAGCTGGGACCCGGGATGGGTCATCCAGCTTGCATCCTCGGTGCCATCGATGGATGGTGCTCTTGGATACACTGAATATGGAGGCGACCTTACGCAGGCTATGGATGAGGGCGTAGCATCGCAATGCGGCGGTGCGAAAGTCGGATGTGTGGCGAATGGTCATGGCCAGCGCGCGATAACACTGGGTAACAAAATATTCGATGAATGATCAAAAACCCGGGTGTCCCGTTTTTTATTGGATTGCCTGTAAAACACTTGAGCCCCTTGTTGTGTTTGGACTTGTCACGGGCTTTCCATTGGAAAGGAGAGCTTGGTCACGGGGGTGGATCTCTTGGATTTCCACTTGGTTGGTGTACTTGGATGGGGCCACTTGAGCGAGCTTATCGAGGACATCTTCGGGTTCGGTCTGTTCATCGACGTTTAAACCCATAATGAACGAGTTAACACCAGGGTTCAACCCCAGGAGGTAATATTGGATCGCTTCCATTGAGGAAATGTTGACACCAGCCGAGCGGGCAGCATGTTCCGCAATTTCATTGGGACCACGAGTGGATCCGGAGGAGGATCTCGATGCTACCATGTTGGCGGAGGTGGATCCGGGGAGTGTGGTAATTAGCTTTTAATTTAGAAGTGGATTAGAACGAATCAGTCAATTTAGAAGTGGATTAGAACGAATCAGTCGCCAAGAGCATGCACTGTGGATCCAGCGTGCTGAAAACAATGGTTCACATCGTCTCGTTCGGTGGCAAGCGCACCAGAGTTGGCTCATATCATGTTGTTCCCTCGGCCGAGATCGATCAAGCGGGTGGATTCATTTCCTTGGGTGTCTGCTCACGAAATCTGATCGGCAGAATCTCGCACACCAGCACGAGGGCCGATCGATCGATTGGCACTGTTCGGACCACGTCATTCTCTCCGTCGTTCGTGCACTTGCTTGTCGATATCGCTGGTCATGCATGACTCGCTGTGCCTCTTGCTCCCGGCTCGTGCTTTGCATCTGGGGACTCACTCCTGCTCACGGCACATACAGCCGACAGCGCTGGACACTGGCCGCCTGCTCGTCCTTGTCCCCGGAACAAGCTGTCCCAGCCAGCCAGCCCGCAGATTGGGCCAATCGCCATCGAGACCCTTGCACAGACAGTGGCGTCATGGCCCCTCGCCCTCTTCCCGTATCCCTCCCTCCCCAATATTCCCTCCTGTGTCACTTCCTGCCCTTTCTTTCTGTCCCTGTGGACCTCGGCTCAGCCGCCCGAGCAGAGTTCAGCGGCCGAACGGGTCTGGCAGCGCCGCGAGGGCAGGCAGATGCACAGGCAAGTCAGTCCTGCGGACCCGGTGGGAGGCACAGAGACCCAGAAGCAACATTTCGCTCTATTTTTTTTTGGGGGGGGGAACGAGGCGAGCATGAGAGTCGAGTGAATGCGTTGTGATGTGTGTGATGGCTGGCCCCAAAGCCTGCGGGTCACGCAAAAAAAAAGGAGAAAAACAATCCAAACAACCAACAGCAGGGAACAAAAGAGGGAACGCCGGCATTCGTACTGCGTCTCGCAGGAGGGGGGGATGAAAAGTGTGAATCCACGGACGCGATGGATGAGGAGAGAGGTTCTCCGTGTCCATCATGGACATATCGGGCACGCCGAGATCGGGGACAAGCAAATGGAAGGATGGAGGGGCATCAAGCACGAGACAGAAACAAAGACGATGACCAAAACAAAGAGGATGCTGGCGTGGTGATGGATAGAGGCAGAGTCGAAGCGTGGGGGGGGGGATCAAGAGCAACAACAACAACAAAAAGGAGGCGCTGGGCCAAAGGTTAGGAACTCTGACAGAAGATCGACGATCGTGACAAACAGAGCGAGGGCATGGTTGCGTCGAGCACGAGCCGACAACTTTGCAACGCGGCAGCGGTACAGCGAGCGATAGTGCTGCCAAAATAAACCGGCGGATCGTGAGCGAGCAAAGTGAAGCTGAGTGGAGAGGGAAGGAAGAATATGTACAGTGTCGATCGCAGTGAAGGATCGGGATGAGAACGAGGGGCTCTGCTGTAGAATGACGGGTGGTGGTGGTGCTTGGACGGCCGGTCTGTCAGGTCAGTTGGTCAGAGATGTGTACGATTCCGGGAACGCCTGATCCGGGAATGGGGGAGGCGACCCCGATAGATCCCTTTGGCTACGGAGCCCAGGTGTTGCTTCTGCATATGCGCCTCGCGATCGCGGTCGAGATTAAACCGATGGTGGGAATTAGCGATGGGAGAGGCGCATGTGCTGCTGCAGCGACTGGGCATGGTCCGAGTCGAGGCTCTGACTGCAATCTTGCACGGAGCGGAGGTGGGCGTGGACCTGGGCGGTATTGAGCCTCGGGTCGCCGTGCTTGGCGTGGCCGAGATCGGGGTGCTTGGCGCTCTTGCAGTGGCCTTTGACCTGGGTCTCAAAGTCGAGATGGGCGTGGGCAGCCGAGGCATGATATCGGAGCCCATTCAGATTGCGGAAGCGCTTCTGGCAGCCCTCGACGCGGCACCAGTAGGGGCGCTGGGTGATTTTGATCGTGGACGAAGGTGATGCGGAGGAGACTAAGCTGGTATCTTGGCTCTGCACCGAGGTGGTGTCGTACTCGCAGGTGCCGTGGTTGGTATGGTAGCGCAGGCCGTTAGTGTTGCGATAGGTCTTGGTGCAAGCTGCATTCGGGCACTTGTACAGCCTGGGCGGGTTGAGAGGCATCGGCGGAACCGGGGCCTGGCCTTCATGAGGATTAGCTGACGGGGTAGGAGACGGGGGCAGATCGACGGCGACCGGGGCGGGTGATTCGATGGACTGCAGCAGAGGCGAGGGCTGCTCAAAATCGAGGTCGGGGCCGTGCGACGAAGGCAGGACTTGGAGACCGAGCGTTGCGGTGACATCCATGTTCGAGAGCGCGGGCTCATTGAGCGGGGCCGCCCAGCTCTCGAGTTGGTACTGGGTACAGCTCAGGTCGGTGCCAGGCGAGATCCGCTCATAGACGACATCGGGGAGGGCCAGCTCGGCGTTACCAAACTCGGCCGCATCCGTGGGAGAGAGGGTGTTGTCGACATAGTAGAGCGACGGATTAGAGAGAATAGCGTTGCTGTCATAGGCAGAGAGTGGATCGAATGTGTTGAGCGAGGCAGGAAAGTACGGTGGACGATCGTCGAATTTCGGAGTGTACATGTCGTCCGCTACGCTGGACAGGACCGGAGCCGAGCTGGGCATGACTGAAACCGAGCTGGGCATGACTGGGACTGCGCTGCCAAAGACGCTGGCCTCGACAGGGGCATAATACGGGATTGCCGTCGAAGCCGCGGTGCTGGATGGATAGTCAAAGGCTCGCGTCGTGAGGGGCAGCTGCTGATGGAGCTGAGTCTGCAGAGACTCCAAGGCGTGTTGCCGCAGATGCTGCTGTTGATGATGATGGTGATGATGCTGATGCTGATGATGTTGTTGTTGCTGTTCGTGCTGAGGCTGAGGCTGAGGGTGAGGATGCATCTGCAGCTGATGCTGCGGCGAAGCGGTTCGCCCCGAGAACATGCTCTCGGTCGGGCTGGTCATGGTATTTGCGCCGGCAATGTCGGCGGAGGACACGAGCTGACGGGTGTTGTAGCTCTCGGTGTCCATGAAGCCGTTGGTTGGGACGAGGTAGCCCAAGACTCCAGGCTTTGCATAGAAATCGGGTCCGGCTGGGCCGACAGATCCGAGTGCCGAGTAGGCCGGCGAGGACATGGCAGAGGACATGGCAGAGGACGGAACGGGATCAGGCAGCATCGGCTCGGATGAGGCGAGGGAGATCTGGGAGGAGGATGCCTGGGAGATGGGTGTGTCGGGCAGGCACATGTCGGTGTTGAGGAAGGCCGGCATGGCTGGGCGGGGAAGACCCTCAGGAGACATGAGGACACAGTCAAAGTTTTGGAAGGGGGGCTGCGCGGCAGCAGGATAGCGGGGCGACGACGGGGCCGAGAGGCTCTGGTTCGACGGGGGTAGCAATGAGGACGATGACGGAGGAGGCAGAGGCGGAGGCGAAATCCATGACTGGTTGGTCGGATACGGGCTTGAGTAGCGCTTTGAAGGATGGCGGTGAGGGAGAAACCCGCTGTGGGGTTGCATGGCGAAGGTATAGCTCGAGAGGGGAAGGGGGGGGAGAAAGTTGGGTGGGCAGGGAAACGAGCGGGTTTCGCCAGACAGATTGCAGGCAAGGGACACAGGCCAAGGACGATGGCGAGCGAGATGCGGAAAGGGCCGTCGGTGGGCCGGGGCGGGTGAAGTTGGGCTCGGCCAGCAAGAGAGGGTCGCAGAGGGTATCGGGATCGGCGGCTGGGCGAGGCGGGTCATTAAATAGGCACCTCGGGGCAAGGGCGAAGGACAAGACGCCGAACAAGGCCGAGCGAGGGCGGCCGGGCTGGGCACACAACAAGATGTGGCCGGCAGGCACACTTGCCTTTTCTTGGGGCCTTGGCCGGTGGATGCTGCTCAGCTCGCACCAAGGAGCAGAGGGCGACTGGGGCGGACGGCTCGCTGTGCGGGCGGGCCTGGCGGTGGCTTGTCAGCGGGGGCTGTATGCGCGGGTGTCGGGAGCCGTTATGGGGGGGTATCTTGGGAATGCGACGGAGTGATATATAATCCGCTGGATGCGATATCCAAGGTGTGGATGTGATATCCAAGGTGTGGATGTGATATTCAAAGTGTGGATGTGATATTCAAAGTGTGGATGCGGTATCCAAAGTAGCGGATGCGATAGTTAATATGTCACCACTTGCTCAAAAGCAGCGGATGCACTGGCTATCCGCCACACTATCGCCGGTGCGTTCCATTGAGCTTCGCCCTCGCAAGGCATGGTTTTGCTGCCGATTCACCTTGAATCATCCTGCCCCCCCGAATCGTGCGCCTCGCCGATCAAGGCCGCCTTGCTTCTCGTCGCCTCGATCGGTACTCTGCACATCCCGCCGCACAGGCCAATGGTGCCCATGGCGCTTATCTGCCGCCCGCCGACCTATTGCCTCGCCGCCTCGCTGACTCGATGGCTTGGCGACCAGGACTTGGATGTCGTTGGTTCGCTGGCTCGGGGATTCAGTGGCTTGCTTGCTGTGCTTGCGTACTTGCTGTGCTTGCAAATTCACTGGCTGGGATGCGTCGTGAGCAGCCCCGTTTGTCAGGCCCGCGATCGACTCGGCCCTTTGATTACCATTGCAAGTGACCACCCAATGACTCTCCCGCTGCTCATCGTCGTCTTGGCGATCCTCGCTCTATCATTCGTCGTTTGCCGATCACCTGTGTGCTGACGTTCCCAATGCCACCTCGCATGCCCCTGCATCGGCGCCTTGGCCACCCCTCCCCCACGGCACAGCTCGAGGCTCCGAACATGCACCCCGCTGCAGCATGCGTCTTCTGGCGCTGGCTGTCCCGCGTCGCTCGCCCTGGCCACCCCCCCTCGACATCCCAAAATCCCCGTTTCGCCCATGGCCCGTCCGCCTTGCTGGCTTGGGCAACTCGTGTGCGCGGCCACAACCAATTGCCTCGCCGCCACGACGACGCGGCCATCAGTACTTCAGTCTGTGCGCGTGTGTCTGCACTGGCTTGGAGCGCTGTACCGCGGTGTGCGGCGGCCGTGTCCCTGTGGCAGTGACACACACAGCGCCGCTGTGCTGCGTCGGTGTGACGGATTGCCGCACGCGTCTGCCACTGGGCGCCGTTTGGCGCTGTCGAGGTGGGTTGGCAGTGTGTCCTGGCATGTTATATGGATACGATCGTCATCAGTGCCGTCGACGCTGCTGTTACAATCATGGGCATAGCCATCATCCTCATCATTGTCGCCGCTGCGTCTGGCGTCTTCCTGTTCCATCGCCGTACCGTCGTCGTGCCGACTGCAATCCCCTCCTCCAGCCAGCCAGGCAGCGACCCTCTGCAGAACTCTGCCGCCACCCAGCCGCCTCATCGAACATGGCCGGCGGTTTCCGGCTGCCCACGCGTGTCGTCTGCCTTCCCCTTGCACACGCCGCGCTGCGCTGTGTCGGTGCCGCACGCGCACTCTGCGCGGTCGCCTGTGCCGCCAGACAAGCCAGGCCCGCAGCAAGGCCCGCAGCAAGGCCGTGGACCAGCCCTTGTCGATCGGCCGCGGCGCACGGACCCGCTCTCGCCAAGGCATCCTATGGATCGCCCTTGTGGATCGGGAATGCCCCCCTCCTTGACGATCGGCGTGCCCTTGAGGACCGCGACGACTTTGTGGATCGGGCGGCCTTGGCGGATTGGATGGTCGCTGTGCAGCACAGGACACACCCTCGTCGCGCCAGAGCCCTCTCCATCCGCCATCCACCGGCACACAGGCGGTATACACTCGATACACACTCGATACACACTCGATACACACTCGATACTCGCTCAACAGGCAAATAGTGCACAGGAGCCAGCCGCCCCGATTCGCTGCCGCCTGTTGGGCGCCGTTATCAGCCCGTGTATGGACGCCCTCGTCTCCCAGTGGCGACAGCGCTTGCTCCGCCAGCCAGCCAGCCAGCCAGCCAGCCAGCCAGCCAACCTCGCAGTCCTCAGCCTGAACTCGCCGTGCTCGTCGGCTCGTCTGGGTCTTACCGTCCTCTGTCGAACACGGGCCAGCCGCCCCAGCACGGCGGATGATCGTTGCGCCCGGCCTTCCCGTTCATCCAGCCGGTTCTCCCGTTCATCCGGCCGGTTCTCCCGTTCATCCAGCCGGTTCTTCCCTCTGCCCAGTTCATTTCCCCAGCTCATCCCATCCTTTTTTGTATAACCCGTGGCGCCCGGCGGGCTTGTCCTCCCTCGCGCCGCTCTGTTGGCTGTGGCCCTCGCCTGGCTGTGGCCAACCTTAACTCTTTCTGGGCTGCTGCGCAAGAGGGGGTGCGACCGTTCCTGTGCGCGCCGACAGCAAGGCCCCACCTTGTGTTGCCCCAGCTGCGCTGCATCGATTAGCCTAATTCGGGCGGGACGCCGTGCGCCGGCGCTGAGTGGTGCTTGTGTGCCCTGTCGACTGCCCCTGCACGCCGCCCGGTGCGGACACGCGTGGCGCATACCCGTCTCGCTGGGACCAATCCGCGCGCGTCCTCCGCGGCTGTGTCGCTGCGTTGAGCGGGCCGTTGCGCAATGATGGCTCAGGCAGCCGCAAGAGCGCCGTATCGAGCATGCTCCAACGCTCCTGTGCTCCAAGGCTCCTGTGCTCCAAGGCTCCGATGTCGTGCGGACTAGTCAGTCCTGGCTTGCATCTTCCTGACTCACATACCGTTACTCGTGACTCATTGCTCACCACGCCGTGCCTCGGTCATGCGCCCTGGTCACCGTCGTCCTTCTTCCGGATTTCCCTGCCCTGTCCCAGGCGCCCGCGTTCCTGCACGCACTGCACACCGGCACCAACCCCTGGGCCGCTCACCCTTACCTTCGGTCGCGGCTGTGGTGCTGCAAGCAGGTGACCCGCTTGGGTTCCTGCAAACCCGCCTGGCTCCTGGGCATGGAACTCCCACGCGGCGTGTGCTGCCAGCCCAGTCCCCGCAGCAGATCGACAAACCCAACCGGGCTGACTCATCGGCCAACTTACCTCAAGCCCCCACCAACGTCCTATGCGTCAGCCCGCGCGGCCGCCTCACTCCCTCACCACCAGCGCAACTTTCTTTCTCACGCCCCTCCCCCGATCGCTCGAGCACTGTGGGATCACAGGAACTGATGCGTTGCTATTGAGCGCCGCCAACAAAGATCAGAGTATCACCCAGAGCATGGAACTGCGACGGGTTGTGTTGCTCAACACAACTCCGGCGAGGGCATCTCCCTCTCTACACTTCCATCGACGTGCCCGCAGAGGCCGAGTCCAGCTCCTGCTGCGCGAGGAAGAAAAGCTCAGGGAAGGCGACCTTCTCCTTGCTGAGTAGCTCCTCAAACTTGGGGTTCGAGAACGGATCGTGGATCTGGCTGAGGATGAGCACCGTCTTGCAGGCGCTCACGGCTGCCTCCTTGATCTTTTCAATTTCCTGCTTCACGGCATTCTCCTTGGCCTTGGTCGTGATTGTGGCACGCAGGGCATCAACGGTATCGTCCAGCCTCTGTGCCATGGCGGTCGGGGTCAGAGTCGCAAGCTTCTGCAGAATCATGTGGCACAGGATCTTGACGTCATTCGAGGCATCGCTCAGGCCGATCAGCACGACGTTGAGGAACTCGTAGATCTCGAGCTGCTGCAGGCAGGTGTCTAGGAGCGTGTGCATGCACTCGAAAGCGCTCTATGTGCCGTCCAAAGGTAATACGATGTACTTTCAGCAAAGGTTCAGCAGACTTCCAACGCAACAATCGCAGGACCCCCCTCTGTCGACCGCCATACACCATACACCGCACACCATACACCGCACACCATACATCGCACACCATGCGCCGTCGGGCATTCGCCATACCTTGCGTGTCTCCAGTCCGTCATCCACAAGGTGCTTGAACGGGCCCATGATGACCTCGCGAATGAGCTCTTTCTATCTTGGCATCGCCATGGGTGGCCAACCGTCAGCGCCAAAACAGAAAGGCACCAGGTTAGTTTGCGAATCGCGGCGAGTCGAGTTTGTCTTCCGCACTCCAGAGCCAGATCAATCTGCCACGATTCACACTCCGGCTCGCCATCCTCTTGTTCCTGTCGTAGAACCGACATGCTCGCAGACAACGACCAGCACGCCATCCGATACAATCTGCCAGACAGCCCTCATCGACACGGCCCACACTTGCCTTCACAACAGTCTCTTGGTAGAGCAGCTTCAGCAGCTCCTTGAGCGACTCGCCAAGCAGATGCGGCTTGTTGTGCGCTACCAGGTTGAAAGTGCTCAAGGCAACCTTTCGGACGTTCTGGGTGATGGCGAGTTCGGTCCAACGTCAGTCTCGAGCAACGATAGCTGTGTCGTCTTGCCAGACCCCCATTCCCGGCCGTTCAAATTGCTCACGGTCCCCCCCCCTTCAATTCTGCTCCCTAGCCTATCCTGTGGAGACACTCATACGCACCAGATCCGGATCGCGGACAAGAGTCAAAAAGTCAATGAGAATAGGCTTGAGCATCGCCTCATACTCGTCGTGCTCGTGATGGTCGGTGAAGATCCAGCGAATGGCAGCCACGACAGTAGAGCGGATGTGTGGGCTCTGGCCGGTCAATCGAGCTTGCAGCTTGGGAAGGTACTTGACAGGATCGATCAGCGACAGCTTGCCCAGGCACGCCGCAATGATGCTTCGGGTGCCCTCTTCGTGCGTGGCCTCCGTGTTGCTGAACAGGAGCTCCCAGATTTCGTCAATGTACTCCTGAAGGGCCGTCTGGGAGCGAGCCGAGGTAGAGAACGTGATCGTTTCCTTCAGAGAAACGAGCAGGAGGTACTGGCTCTTGCCGCCGTCGCGGATACCCTGCAGGATTGGCGGAAGGTACTTGGGCAGGTTGCCAACGGCGATGTTGCCAAGGCCAAAGGCGGCCGCGTACTTGATCTCCTCTGAAGGAGAGCTGAAGTAGCCGAGGAAGGTGTCGGCCACGTTCGGGTACAGGGTCGAGATATCGCTGGGAGATGCAGGAGGGTCAGCAACGTCGGCGGACAGGTGCTGTGCCACTTGTTGAGCTTGGAACCCATCCATCCACCCACCCATCTACCCATCCACCCATCTACCCATCTACCCATCTATCCATCCCAACAACGGCCCTTTGGTAAACTCCTTACACTTGTCTGCCGATTTCACCCAGGCACAGGAGGCTGAGGTGTCGGACGTGGTCGCTCGAGGCCCCGTCTTCAACCTTGGCCACAAACTTCTGGATGAGAATGGCAGGCTGGGACGTCGAGCCGGACAGGATCGCAACTGATTTGGCGATCGCAAAGTAACCCTATGCGAGAATTGAGCCGATGAGTCAATCGTCTCTGTGTCTTTCGCTACAGAAAGCGAGCAGGGCGTGCTTGCAACAGGGAGCGCATTACCATACCTGCTTGGAGATGCGAGACTGGGTGCTCTCAAACACAGGTTCGACCAGCAACGCAATCGATTTTTCCGCGATCTGTGGTCCGTACGCCGTCGAGAGGCTGCCCCACAGCTTCAACAAGGCATCGAGGCCGGCGCCGGCGCTCACCAAGTGGGGCGTGTCCGTGATCACGGTGATCAGCGGCGGCAAGATCTGCGCCTCCACGACACTGACGAGGCCGTGCTCCTTGGGGCTGAACAGCACAATCGAGCAGAGGGTTTCCATGGCGAGAGGAATGATATGCGCATCCGAGTCACTGAGCAGCGGTCGGAGCTCGTTCAGGATCTCTTGGTAGGACTGCAGCGAGATCTGTGCGCCATAGACGCGCGCAATCGACTCGAGCGCCGCCAGGCTCGAAACTCGGAGCTGGCGCTGGGTCTTGCGCAAAAAGCCCACAATCTCGGCAATCATTTGGTTCAGGACGGGCTCGAAGCGGAGAGGCGACTTGTCTTGGGCCGGGGCCACCAGAGGGCTATCGAGAATGACCTTGATGCCACGGACCGTGACCAGGCGGGTCAGCTCGTTCTTGAGGCGGTCGAGCAGGAAGGGGATGGCCTGGGTTGTAACGTCGTGTTCGGGGATGAGATCGCCAGCTTGGGCCAGCAGCACCACGAGTGCATTGATGGAGCGCTCCTTAACCTCGAGGTCCACGTCGGTGCTCTGGAGGCGCTCCATCACCACCGTGTAGAACTGGTTGGCATAGCCGGCGGCTGTGCTCGACGGAGCCACTCCCTGCAGGAGCTCGGTCTTAGGTCGCAGAACCTTGACAATCTCGATCGTCACCAAGAGCCCCTCCGAGCGGATCTTGTAAAAGGGATCCGACAGCGTCTTGATGACAAGAGCTACGAGCTTGGCCAGATGTGGGCTGAAAACCTGGGGCTCGTGGGTCATCAAGAGCACGCGCAGACAGCCGAGCGCATCGATCCGGAGGTTGGAGGTGGTGGCGGTCTTGACCACTTGGGCGTGGGTGCACGACGTGCTGATCACGGGGATGAGCGCCGAAATGTGGGCTTCGAGGCCGCCCTGGAGCGTGGCGACAAGCTCCTTGAGCAGATTGAAACCAGCCAGACGAGTAGGAATGGACTTGCTAGACAGCTGGCGCAGGAGATGCTTGTTGAGCGTGGGCAGCTGCTGCTTGAGAGTCTCGGTCAAGCTGTGTTTGCAAATTGCAGTGGATAGGCGTACGCGGAGTTGGAATGGGGGGGGCAGTGTGTCAGCAAGGAAGAAAACAGTATGCGCTGCACCAACTGGCAGTGCCGAATCCAGGATGCACCGATCGTTACTAGCCAGGGCGTGGAGTCATGCCGTGGTTCATCCAACGACCAACGACCAACGACCAACGACCAACGACCAACGACCAACGACCAACGACCAACGACCAACGACCAACGACCAACGACCAACGACCAACGACCAACGACCAACGACCAACGACCAACGACCAACGACCAACGACTGACGATCACACCTGGCCTGCTATCCATCGAGGCCACACGACTGCCACTCACCCAGTGTTGGCCGAAATGGCCGTCTTGCGCGACAGCGTAACGCCCGTGACAATGCCAGTCTGCTTGACGAGCACCGTCACCGTGTTGATCACATCGATGCGCACGCTCTCTTCTCGCTCGCCAAAGCGTCGGATCAGCGGCAGCAGCGCCACCGAGTAGATCGTCTCGAGGATCTCTGTCCGTGTGGAGATGATCGAGCCCAGGAGCTTGGCCGAGGCCTTGCGGACCTTCCAAGAGCGGTCGTCGTCGTCCGAGTAGTCCTCTTCCTCCCTGCAAGGCACCAAGCATATCAAACTTCGTTCAGGATACAGATACACCAGTGGGCGGCTCTGAGGGCCTATCGCGATATTGCCGATGCTGCCGATGCTACTGGGCGCTTACTCCTCCTCTTCTTCGTCGTCTTCGTCGACATCCATCTCCTCGTCGTCGTCATCCTCATCATCGGTGCCGGCATAGTTGGGATCGTACTTGATGTTGACAAGGGCGGTGCTGATCACATCGGGAAGGAAGTCGGTGATTTCGCTTGGGCAGCGCAGAACGAAGGATTCGAGGGTCTGGTAGTGGCCACGTTATACATGTCAACGCCGTGCAGGCTGGCTGGGTACGTTCTGGGAGACGCCGACCCACGCATGCAGCAGCAGCAGCAGCAGCAGCAGCACAGAAGCAACACCGACACTGTATCAACATGGCAGAGGTTATACCTGAAGGCACACTTCGCGCAGATCCTCGTCGTCATGTTGAATGAACTGCAAAATGATTGGTACAAACGTCGACAGGTGGGGGCCTAGGCGCTGGGGGTCATAGCGGCTGCAAACAACATCAGTAAGGACGTCGGGTGAGCCAGGGGCAAGCAGCGGGCTTTGGAGGGGGGGGGTACAGATTTTGGATACCGTCGCTCTTGGAGATACCCTTCCGGTGTCCGATGCCCACTCCTCGCCGCTGGACTTACCTGAGCGTGCCAACGCATCCGACAAAGGTCCGGATCTGCTCGGCGTTCGAGCCCTTGGCCTCCCCGGTCAACGAGTCCCGGATGTACGAGATGAAGTCGACAAAGATCTTGTCGGAGGCGGTGGTGACCAGGATGCTGATGGCAAGCGTGCTGCGCTTTCGGACAGCTGGGCGGTTGTGACGAAGCAGCGGGATCAGCGTCTCCTTCACAGCGCCCTGCAGCTCGGTCTCGCTGGCGACGATACTGCCGAAGCGGGTCAGGATCTCGATCACGACATCGAGGTTGTCGATCTGGACGGTCTGGTTCTCCCTGAGCAGGGCGAGGAGACGAGGCATCAAGCGCTTCACGATCGTGACGGTGACCTGGGCATCGGGGGCCAGCTCAACAATCACTGTTTTGATTCCGATGCCGGCAATGTCGCGCAGGTCCTCGCTCTTGTCGACCATCATGGCGGACATGCGATCGACAATCTCGATGACCTGGACCTCGCGGACCTTTTTGATCAGAGGGCCAAAGCTGGCACCGGACCAAGAGATGAATGTTGTCAGTGTCGATGGAGGGTGAAGGAAGGGGAGTATCCCCACCAGGCCAGCTGTCGGGCGAGGTTTTCGGGTCGTCCACGCACCCGATCAGCCCCTCATCGCCGCTGATACCCGATTCCTGCAGCATCGGGCGGCAGCAAAGCGCAACACACTCGCCGTCGCTCGCCACCCGTTCGTTTCCTGGCCGCCAACAGCACGTACCATTTAACAGCCAGATTCTGGACCTCGCCGTTCTTGTCCTGGAGAAGCTTGAGCAGGGCGTTGACCATCTTCTTCTCAGATGCATCGTCGAGCGAGAAGGACGCTTTCTGGAGCTCGGTGATAAAGTCATTGGCGGCCATGTATCGAAAGTCAGAGTCGCTGTTGCTCATCTGCAAGGGACAGACATTGTGAGTTGGAGAGTCGCCGGAGACCGCTGCTTCGGAGTGGATCAAAGGCACACTGGCTCTCCGACACCTCGCTCTCCAAGATATCGTGCAACTCATGTTGCTCCAGCTGCCTGCACCGCCGTCCCTCCTTCCGCCCGCTCCTCCATCCCTCTCCTCTGCGTTGCTCTAGGCTGACCTTTTCCAAGAGCCCAGCGACCCAGTAGGCTGGATTCGACGACATGGTGGGGTTTTCTTTTGCCTTTGCGGGGGCACAGCGGTGCAGTCAAGGATCGACGGTGGGCGTTCGTCAAGTGCTCGCACAGGGAAGCGATTGCAAGGGAAGCGGGCTGGGGGCGATCGAGGCAGAACCCTTTGGGCTGGACACGGCCTTCCAACCCTGGTATCACGTGGCGGACACTCCTGGCTTTGGGCGATCTGTCGCTGGTGGCGCCCATGATGCTGGTGCAGCCGCATCGGTCGTTGTTGGGCCATGCTCGTCCCCAGCAGCAGTCCGGCTCGACACAGACACGCACGATCCACTGGGCCAATGGCTGCACTGCATGGCTCCGAGGCTCCAAATGCAGCTATCATGAACCAAATCCTTGCCAATCGAGTCATGTTCAAAGCAAGGCCATTTGCCAACTCGTCTCGTTTCATTTGCACAAGATGTACGCATGGCTCGGAGTCACGCAAGCCAAAAGACAACCGAGTTCGCTGCACGTGCAGGCGCAAAGACGGCTTGCTCTCTGTCCGCTCAGAGGCTCAGAGGCTCAGGGGCTCAGAGGCTCAGAGGCTCAGAGGCTCAGAAGCGATATGAGCTTGGTTTTGATGTCCTTCAGCTGCGCAGCGGGGCGGTCCCTGTGGGGCAAGATCGGGGTCGCGAGTAACAAGCAAAACTTGGTGAGTGCCGTGCCAAACAGCGCCGTGCGAGTGGGAAGGGCACAGTGCGCACGGCCTCAAATTAAATCGTAGTCGAGTGCAGTGAGCGCATCGACGCCTTCTTTGCTGCGGCATGCACGGCCCGAGACAGATAGCAGGTACGAACCAGTCGGTGCCCAGGAGAATATCCTCGATTTCCTGAAGAGGGAGCGACTCGTCCTCGTCGCTGTAGCCACAAACGATGAGGTACAGGCTCTCTCCAGCAGCTCGGCGGATCTGTTGGTAGACAACGTTGAGTGCGCGGACGCCGAGATGAGATATTAGTGCTTTCGACTTGAAGGCAGCGCCATCGCTCGGCACCGAAGCTCGCACGACAAGCTCACCTTTGGGAATGGGTGAGTGGTATAGGCCACCAACTCCTTCGTGCCCTTGCGACGGAGCTGCACGATGGCAGGATCCTTCCCCTCGAGCGAGGCATAGCCAGTGAAGCTGAATCAACGCAGTTTGAATCGTCAGAGCACAGTATCAGATCGCGCAACTCCTCTCGACTAGGACACGGCATTTTCACTGAGCACTCTCGGTAGCTGCCACCACTTACACCTTCAGAGCGGCCGCAAGCTTGCGCGCATCGCGGCATTTGGTAATTTCCTTCTTGGACAAGTGCAAGACCGTCTCGGCCTTGGCAAGCGGATCGTCTCCTTCCTGGCCCGAGGCTGCCGCGAGGAGGTTGGCGATCCAGTTGGCCATGAGCTGGGACGAAAAGCAAATATCAAGGACCTCAAGAGTAGGGGTTGTAATGTGGTCGACCTGGAAGTTGGACTCGAGCGTGCTGGCGAGAGTGACAAAGAATGCATCCAATGTGGTGCCCGAGCACTTGGACAGGAAGCTGATCAGAGACTCGCTCGAGTGTCGAACCTGGGCAGCGGGCGAGTTTGGGTCAGCAAAGCGAGCGACAGAGACGCGCAGCGCAGAAATCCGCGGCCTTTGGGAGCATACATGGCCGCAGCTACAAACAGATCGCCAACCCGCAACCGGCCAATCCCGCACCGCTCTAGTGATCCCAAGAGGCGCGGCGGTTATGACTGCATCGACAGCATCTGCACATCGACCTACCAGACTCTCGGTCAGCCCGCCAACGCTGACAACCATGCCGCGGATGAAATGGGCGCGATAGTCGGGCATCTCGAGGACGCGAACCATCCTGGGAAACACTTCTTCGGGGTAGGCCCAGTAGATGGTTTCGCTGGAAGAGAATCAAGCAAGTGTAGGAAGCGCAGCGTGCACATGCATGTCAGTGCGATGGCACCGATTCGATGCGGCCGAGTAAGGCTTCGGCAGATCGGCTCTCTCGCAAATGCTTCCAGCAAGATGCACTGTTGCTCAATCGACCGCGTTCGGCCTGTTTCATTCCGCCAACATACCCTTCAAGGATACGACCCAGCTCGGCACCTTCCTCGAGCACCGCGGTAAGCTTGATCAGGGCGTTGCCCGCAGCGTCGCGGACCCGATCGATTTTCTCGACACTTTGCTGGATCACCGCGCCCAAGATTTGTTTGATTCGGTGCTGGCTGAGGTACTGCTCCTGCAAGCCAGCGCCCTTCAACAAGTAGACCAGAGCGCACAGGCCCTCAACTGAGGACTGTCGCACCCACGAGCCCACATCGCCGCGGTTGTCGACGCTGTAGTCTTCCAGAGCCAGGAAGTAGATATCAAGGACTTGCTCAAAGAACTCGGGTGGAACCACTGCAAGGATCACAAAGGATCGAATTAGGCCGCGAGCTTGCTATGAACGCCGGCGATGGACGAGATCCTGAGCCGGACGAGCCCGTGCTGGACCAACCACGAGCCGCAATCCAGTCACAGCTCCTCACCTGCAGCAAACTTGCTCTGGACCGTCAAGAGCACGGCAGTCAGACTCTTGAGTGCATTGTTGCGGGCTTCGATGTCGTTGAGACCTTTGTCTTCCTGGATACGGAGCGCCTCGCGGAGCGCAGAAACAAGTCGCTGGAACGCCGCAGGCTCGCCAACAACCCGGATTCCGAGCTGTCCGATGGCGAGACCGTAGCCACGGCGGACGTGCTCCTTGCCACGGGCCACGGAGATCTGGGACAAATGCTTGTCCAAGATGGCCGTCCTCCATTCCTCTTGCGCAGCACATGCCATCCATTCGCTGACATGCTTCACGGCGGTGGCAGCGGCCGTTTGAACGGGGACCTCGATGCGCTCCAGTGAACTGTCGAGAATAGACCAGAATTGGCTCTCGACGGCAGAAAGGGCAGAGTCAGAGGCACTGGTGCTTTGAGGCACGGTGTGGGGCCAGCGAGCTTGGGCCAGGTTCTCAACGAGATGGCACAAGGCAATTCGGATCATATCGCTTCCGAACGTATTGAGGGACGTGCTGGCGTAGCGCTCGGTGATACCAATAACGGGCTAGAGCCGACGACAGGAAGTTGATCACAGGATCAGCGGCTGCAGCTCCCAGATCCGCTGCCGACAGGCGCTTGAGACGATTGTTGCTGCTTGCCAAACCGACTGCAAGTGCACCAGCGACAGCAGAAGCATCGTTTACGACAGCAGCGGCACATATGCAATAGCGTCGCCAAGACCGCCGAGTGTCGGAGCACCATTTGCAGCCAGCTCAATGAAGCTCCCACTTACAGTCACGATCTGCGAAATCTCTGCTTCAGTCCAGTCGGCGTCAGAGCTGATCGAGCGAACCTTGGAGTATGCCAAAGCGATCTCGCTGACGGCAAGGATGGCGCCATGGGAATTGTGGAGGTCGACTTGGTGTGCCTTCGAGACCTGAGTATCCGTGTTCGTCAGTACCCGTCCTGCTTGATCAGCCACGTTGCCGTCATCGTCGAGGAGCTGCCACGCAAGGCCAAGTGCATTGGAGACAGAGCGACGCACGTTCCATTCTTACCAGCGGAGCGAGGCAGTTTTTGATGATATAGTCGGGGTCCAGAGCAGTAAAAGCACCCAGGGCCTTGGAGGCAAGCTCACGAACACTCTGATCCCAGTGGGCGAGTGAAAAATCTGCCAGATGATCTATCATCTGGTAGCGATATTCTTCGTATTGGCCAATGCTTGTGCTGACCGTCAGGTACGAATTGATGCGGGTGCTCAGCGAGAAATAGTCGGCCAGCGTAATGATGTCGAGGCCGTGTGGGAACACACCCTGACAAATACGAGAGTCAGCATCTCCAAACAAAACACAGCTGGATTCACATCGGCATTGATATAAATGGACACCGACGACTAAACGGACACCGACGACTCAATGGACACCGACGATCCAATGGACACCCAGCGAGAAAGGAGGACTGAGGCTGGGTAGCTGGATGGCCGTCCCGATTTGAGCGTACCTGGCGTCCGACATTCTCCTGGAAGGCGGCGGCGGCGGCTCGGCGGATGTTGACCTCTCGGTCAAAGACAGAAACGACGACCAAGTTTGCTGCCATTTCCTCCATGTACGTCTTCATGATCTCGGGAGTGTATGCGCGAGCAAACGACCAGCACACGTAGCACGCAGCGTCGCGCACATGGGCTCCGACCGAGTATGTGGCCTTCTTCTGGTCAAACTTGAGCGCCAAAAAGACCCAAGGCATTGCTTGCTCGAGTTTCTCGGGCAGCAAGAGCCCACGGCGAGCAAGCTCAGCAAGCGACAGGCAGGCGCCATGCCAGGTCGAGTCTGAGACGTCGGCGATGTCAACAGGCTGGCCCTCCAGGGCATACGTGTCCTCTGCAAAGAGATCAAGGACGGACTGAACCACATCCTGAGCAAGCTCTTTGGGCAGGCGCTGGGTGATTCGGCCGATGCCCTTGGCAGAGGACCAGCGCACAATGGTGTCACGGTCTCTCAGCCCGTTCAAGAGGATCTCAATTACTGCCTCGATTTCTTCGGGGCAATCGCCCTCGTCGTCGTCGATCGCTTCGGCGACCGGATCCTGGCTTTGAGCGGTGGCGCCAGCCCCAAAAGCCTTGGTGAGGGATCTGTTGCCGCGCTGGTAGCGCCAGCTCACGACACGAGGCTTGAGGTGACAGAGACCAATTCGCTGGAAGAGCTTCACAAAGAGCTTGCGACTCACAGTGTTGGACTTGATGCGGGGGTTGTCGATGATGGAGCTGCAGTCCATAAGCTCAGGCAACAGATGAAGGAGGTCTTCTCGCAGTCCAAACTTGAAAATGGCACAGAGCGCATTGAAGATACTGTTGATCTGCAAGCCAAACAACACCCATAGAGCGTCAGGCGAGCGCGCCCGTCCCGAGTTCAGCATCTCTATCGAGGACGTAGTCAGCGAGCATTGGATCGTGCGGCCATCAACCAAGTGGAGGAATCAACCCATGAAAAGGCTTCGTTCAGACCTCGAACGGGCTCTCGGTTGCCTTGAGCTTCTCCACCGACCAAGCGACAAAGTCGTTCAGGTGGGCCTTGGTGTCGCGCCTGCCGTAGAGCCAATGATGGTGAATGAAATTGAGGAATGAAGGGTGAGCGACAGGACTCAAGTTGGCCATCATTCGGGAACAAGCCCACATAGGAGAGAGGTGCCGCGATTGCAGACACAACGAACCTGGTGAGCAAACGACCCAGCAGGATGCCGGCACCGTACGATTCGGTACCAGCAGACTTCAAAAAGACCTTGCATGTGCTGATCATTCTCTCGACAAGTGAAATCTGTAACCGTGGCCACAACAGCCATTAGCATGCACCAAAGCGCAACCTCGCCGCGATACTACCCGCAGAGGTATCTGACCAGCGGGCTTGGCCACGATGTCGCTGCAGCACCGTACGCATATCCCTTACGGGCACGAAACAGTTGGCTGCATAATCAACGACTCACCTCGCCTCCGTGGCCACTGTCGACGGTTTTCATATCGAAGGGGATGCGGCAGAGCATCGAGAGCCAGAGCAAAAGCACATAGCGGGTATGCCAGGTCTGGAAAGTATTGACGTTGTTGCTCTTCACAAAGACGCCAAGAAAATCGAGAATGGGCTCGAGATCGGCAACTTCGTGGGTGAAGAGCTTGACTGTGACAAGGAGCGACGATGACGGTATACAGATTCGGTTGGTGATCTGCCATCGGCTGCCATGGCCGCCGTCCCGGCGACACATGGAACAGTGACCCATTATGAATGCGAATCCCTAGAGTCGCCACACCAACGGCGACCGCGATGATGGCAGTGGCTCCAACGACGAGCATCACGATCAGCATGATGCAAATGTCTGTCGATCGAGACTCACCAACGGTTTTGTATCCTCGAACTTTGCCCAGATAATACAAAACGCGGAAGGGCTCATTCAGAATCATCAGATCTTGCTCGGTGTAGGGAGGCTTGGAGTCGATGATGTGGCGACGGACCTGGACGATCACCATGGTAACCATCTGCTCGAGATGGGGATCCAGGAGATGCGGCTGCTCTTGATACTTGTCGAGCTGAGCAACATAGGACGGCCATGAGTGCAGGCAGGGGCGCATCGAATCCCCGCATCGAATCCCCGCATCGAATCCCCGCATCAAATCCCCGCATCGAGACAGGCTGAACCGGCATGAGCTCCGAAACCGACCGTGAATCGAGTGCGGAGACGCCCAAGCAAGCCTGATCAAAGCCAGTCAAGCAACGAGGGCCGATCAAATGCAGACTCATACCGTCTCCGTAAACCACTTCATCATGGGATAGACTTTCTTGTACTCGCTGGGTTGGTGCAGGGTGACTCGCACAACGGCCTCGATCGTCTTGATGACTTCGTCGGCCTCGGTGAAGAACGAGGCAAAGCCGGTGGCAACCAACTCGTCGGCATGCTCGAGAGCATCGAGTTCGGGATTTTCTGGCGCCGGGTAGTCTTGGGTCATTGCAGCGAGGCTGGGCCAACGGACGACTGAGGGTAGAGCAGGGGAGGGACCACAGCGAGACCAGGGGCGAGTGCGGCTGGGGGTTGGTTGATGCCTGCCGATTGAGGCTCGTTTTGAGCGCCTGGTTTGCGACGACGCAGCAATGCTGCGACACCAGCCGACGGACCCATGGCTCTGTCGCTGCTCTGGCGCTGGCTGGATCGTGGTTAGAGCCGTGGTTGGATCTTGGTTAGAGCCGCGGCTGGCTCCTGGCCAGGGCCGCGCGGTGGCTGGATTTCGGCGGGGCCTCGTCTGGTTGTTGTGCTTGGCTCGGCTCCACATCTGCAGACGCCCGCATGTCCCGTCCTGCACAAGATTCATCCCCATCGCTGACTCTGCTGCCCATGTCGCTGCTAGACGAGCTCGAGGACACCGCCGCCCTGCCGCCGGTGGCCTATCTTCAGCAAGCGCCAGGGCCTTCGAGCATGGCAACTCCGGTGGGCTCCCCTTGTCTGCGGACACCAAGCCCTGGCCAGCAGGCATCGATGGAATGATTTCGCATCGCTTGCCGTGCATTGGGCGACAGACCAGGCCCTCACCGACTCGCTCCGCTACTGACTTTGTGAATGCTCCTCGGCCCCGGCACCCTCCCCCTGGCAGATCGAGCCCGGCTACGTCAGCACCGCCATCTCGAGCCCCGGCAATCTCCCCATGTTCACTTTGGACAATGTCCAGTTCCAGTTCGCCGGGAGTCTCAAGGCGCTCGCCGTCTCCAACAACCTGCTTGCTATGGCGACGCAGAGCACCGGCGCAGGCGGCTCCGTCGTCCACAAAGTGTATCGGATTGATTTGGGGCAGGACAATGCCGTCGAAGGTAACTTGGATGGTGGTGCCTGTGGCCACAGCAGAGAAAGAATGGGTGTCGTCGCTGGTATCTCTGGGTCCAACGAGCTGTGCTGATTCTTGCGGTCCGTCGGGTAGAAATCGAAGTGCAGCTCAAACTCAAAACCGACTCTATTCGCAAGCTGTTTCTCGATCCGGCTGGCAAACACCTACTCATCGCCTCCGATGCCGGTGAATGTCTCTATCTGTACGAGCGATGGAAGAAGCCACGTCTGCTCAGTCGGTTCAAGGTGCGTCTGGATCGTCTCTGCATGAGCTGTGACGGGTCGTGCTACTCAGTCGTACCCAGCACCCCATTCTGGTGGAGACCGAGACGACCGCATGGTCATGCTGGGCAGCTGGCCTTCGGGACTCTGATCCGTCGCAGCTGCCCTTGGCTGTTGGTGGTGGCCTTGGATCACTCACCATCCGCCCGCCCCCATCTCCAGAACATCCTTGTGGAATGCATCGCCTGGGGAAAGCCTCGCAACCCAGACATCACGACCGGCCCGATCCTCATCGGCTCGCGACAAGGCCACATCTTCGAGACTGAGCTGACGCCGTCGGACGAATACTTTCGGAAGGAGGAGCGATACCTCAAGCAGGTACAATGGGCTTTCTTGCAGCAACAGGCCTGCTGTTGCGCCAGACAACAATCAACCAAAGAACTCGCTCTCTTTGGCATATAGATTTATACGCTCGGGGACGGCTCGCATCCCGTTGTCGGTCTGCGATTCGAAAAGTCGCCGGCTTCCGACAAGAAGTATTTTGTGATCGCCGCGACCTCGAACCGCCTCTACCAGTTCGTTGGAGATATCCTGGAAATGCAAGGCGACACACCTATGTTCGAGGCGTTGTTCCGCTACTATGATCTCAACGCTGGTGAGCCATCGCTGCTCGGCTTCGCGATCCGGACGAATGACAGGCGCTGACACGGATACGACTCTACTCCCTCCCTCCTAGAATACCATGAAGTCCCAACCGACTTTGGATATAGCTGCCTCAACTTTCATAGCCAGTACACCGATCGGGACAGCGGCACCCAGAGTGTGCCAAAGTCGTTTGGGTGGTCATCCGGTTAGTCAGACAGGCTGGATGGCTCAGAGCAGCAGCAGCGGCGGCGGCGAGATTTGTGTCCCTTCAGCACATGGAGCGTTCTTCGGTGCCAAGTTGCGGCACGCCAGCTTCGGTATTTCTGATCGAAGAATCTCCATATATGGTGCAGCCCCTGGCGTCCTCTACGGCAATCTCGTCTTTGGCAACCAAAACGTCGGCGATACATTTTCAACCAATACCCAGCTGATTCCGTATGTGTCTGTCGCGGTATCCGAGTCGATGCATCTTAAGTGACTCGAGTGATACCGGAGCCTCCGTGGTGCGGTCTCATGAATCAACGTGTTCTGACCGACAGCTTTCGCACGCTATCAAGATATCCGCTGAGAGCCGGCAATGACGATCCTCCGATCTGTTTCGCCATGACCGAGTTCCATTTCATATTCCTGTTCAAAACCTTTGTCAAGTGCCTGTGTCGTCTCAACAACGAAGTTGTCTTTGAGGAAGAAATCGCGCTGGTATGCCCGCTGTCTAATCTCGACATTTGTTCGCGCGTGACCAAGCGTCCACTGATTTAACTGTTGGACTTTGATATCCACAGCGACAAGGAGAGAATGTTGTTGGTCTTGCCATAGACTTGATCAAAAATACCTATTGGATATACACAAATCTGTCCCTCCTCGAGCTGATTGTGAGCGACGAGGACAGAAACGTTTGGAAAATGTATCTCGACAAGCGCAACTTTGACACGGCCATGTCCCATGCCAAGGTCAGTCCCCGCTGGATATCCATCAGCAGCATTCAAGTTCCATGCACTCAAGCGTACTGTATTGCACGCTCGGACCCACTTCACTCATTGGCAGCATCCAAAAGCGATCGCCCATGTACATTCTGTTGACCCCATCCTGACGTTATACGAGTTTCCCTCTCCGCTTCCAATGCCCGCGATAGACGGATGCCCAACGTGACGAAATCGTGAGTCGTCAGGCAGAGTACTATTTCTCGCAGGATCGCTTCCAGCTTTCGGCAACCTACTTTGCAAAATCCATCTCGATTCCATTTGAAACGATCGCCCTCAAGTTTGTCTCCAAGAATCAACGCGGGCCTCTCAAGAAGTATTTGATCGAGAAACTGGCCTCGCTGAGCCCGCAGGTATGCATCTGGCCGCAACGAGCGCTGCTAACGCATCCCAATGCCCCACTAAAATCTTTCTCCCTGGTAGTCCACAACGCAACAGACGCTGCTGTGCTGCTGGGTTCTCGAGATGCTCATAGGCGATCTCAACACCTCCCAGAATGACATCGACTCGCTCAACAGCAAGATTGCAGACATCCGAGACGGCGGTGCTGAGCCCGCTGCCCTTGAGGAGTGGTCGCTGAAGCTGGCTCGGGCCATGGAGGAGGCGGACATGGCCACGGACGATTTCAAAGCCTTCGTCAAGAGCAACATTGTAAGTCGCCAGTACCAATATTTTACGTTTGATCTGCAACGTGGCTATCGAGCCAGTGCAGTTCGCTTCCGCATTCATCTGAAGGATAAGTGCTGACGCCCTTGGGTTGATATAGGCTCGCATCGATGTCTCGGTCGCATACGATATCATGATCAGCCATGGCAGAGATGTCGAGCTGCTCTACTTTGCAGAGCTCATTGGTGACCACGATCGCGTCGTTACGCACTGGATACAAGAGCGGCAGTGGCTAAATGCCCTCACGGCGATCAATAACCAGGCATGTGCTCCGCGGAGCGCTGCGGCACTACCGAGCCGATCAATGATCTGCACCGCGCCATCGATTGTTGGCTGCTGTATTACTCTTGCTGACCCAATCGCATGTGCTTTAGCCCAATCTGGATCTGTACTACAAGTTCTCCCCTATCCTGATAGAGCATGTGCCCGTGGATACCGTCAACGCTTGGATCCGGCATCCGGATCTCAGTCCCAAGAAGCTGATTCCGTCTCTGATCAAATACGAGTCTGCCAAGGCCGGGTCGCAGGGCACTGTGGTAATGGGGCGCATCATGCCATCCAGGATACGCATTGTTCGACGGTGTCTCTGCTCGCGCTTAACTCCGCTGCCGATCGTCAACTCGCCAGAATCAAGCTGTGCGGTACTTGCGCTATGCCGTCGAAACCCTGGGCGAGACCGACACAACGGTGCACAACTACTTGCTGTCGCTCTACCACAAATACGCCTCAGTCGACAACGAATATGATCTGCTCGAGTTCTTACGTGCTTTGGTTGGTGGTGTGACTTGGTCCTGAGCAAGAGTGCAGCTACCGCGTGAGCATTCCGCATACGATGAACAGCAGCCTCTTGTCCATGAAAGCATCTGTGCGGCGGATCCGTGGCAAAAGACCCCACCATACCTGCTGACGCTCCTGAATATCTATCACGCTGTTTCAGCATGGTGAGCGGCACTACGATCTGCAATATGCACTCCGGCTGTGCAACCAAAAAGGACTGCCCCTCTCGACCATCGAGCTCTACGGCGCCCTCGGTCTCCACGAGCTTGCGGTGGATAAAGCGCTTCAGGTAAACAGAGGATGCTCACGGTGATCTATGCAGTGCCGTTGAAGTTATAGGCAGTAAGGGAGGACTAATCAAAGGCAATCGCAGATCCATGACATTGATCTTGCAAGGATCCATGCGGACAAGCCCGAAGATGACGACTCTCTGCGCCGCGTGTTGTGGCTGAAGATTGCGCGTCATACGGTAGAAGAAAAACAAGACATCAAGACGTATGTCGTGTGCTTGCTGCATGCCTTCATCGCAATGACCAAAGCGCCTGATCATCGAAGGCCTTGTCCAGCTGGGTCAGCGCCATGCGGCGCTGCTTGGGTGCCATGTAGTACTGCTCAGGCTCCCTGTAGTCAATGGCTTTGTCCATCGCTGCAAGTATCTGTCGAAGGCATCTCACAGCCTCCGTTCGGTAAACTCACAAAGGCATCTGTTCTCTACAGAGCCATGGAGGTGCTTCGGCAGTGCAGCCTCCTGAAGATCGAAGACATCCTGCCATTTTTCCCTGATTTCGCCGTCATCGATGACTTCAAAGAAGAAATCTGCAACGCTCTCGAGGAATACAACACCCACATAGATGAGCTGAAGGGCCAGATCACTGAAGCTACAAAGAGCTCCGACAATATCCGTGAGGACATTCGCGGTTTGCGAAGCAGGTATGATCAGCCGCTGCCACATTCGGTTCAACAGCAACGCGCTGTCAAATCGATAACGTAGGTGCAGTGACGGGCACTAAATTGGCGACGCGCCTTCAAACAGACGGGTTGTCATCGCGGCAAATCAAACCTGCCAGGTCTGCAAGTCACCCGTGCTCTCGCGACACTTTTATGCATTCCAGTGCAAGCACTGTTATCACGCCGACTGTCTCATGAATGAGGTAAATGTCGCCCGGCGCTGGCTGAGTGCGGCTCATTGGCTCAGCGTAAACCCGCTGTCGTCTGACGCCCGTCGCGGCAACAAACGTCTCCTTTCGACTGATTGGCATCAGGTTATAAAGCAAGCCTCAGCGGGTCGAGCCAAGCAAATTCAGCAGCTCCAGGAGAGTCTTACCCAGGAGCTGACCATCCATCAACGAGTGGACCGGCGACAAGGAAACGCCCCGCCGTCAAAGCTCAAGCAAAAAGCCCTCCGGGTAAGCCACAAGTCCGCAGACCACCGATCGTGGCCGTCCATCTCTGCTGGTGTGCTCATGTGCACTCCATGAAAAGCTCAGCCCGCCTCGTTCTGGGACCCAGTCGTGCTAATCTGCGTGTCGATTCTCCTCATCAGCGGCAGCTTGATGAATATGTGGCAGCGCAATGCCTGCTTTGTGGTGATTATATGATCAAAACCATCGACGACCCTCTGGTATCTTCAGCCGAAGCCAGCGCCGACAGCTGGGAGATTTGAAGACAGTCCCCTTGCTCAGCATCTCGACTAGCCCCGGCTGTGTTTGTCCGTCCACCGCTGGCTACAACGCAGGGCTTCTTTTGTGCCAGCGGCGCGGGCCTCGGGTACTGCATGGAATCCGCTCGTCCTTGCTCCCCCGCCACCGATTCTCGCCCCGACTGCATGGTTCTTTTCTGGTGCGCACAGAATGAATAAAGTCCATCCTATTTCGCTGTTGATTATGCGCTTTATCCTTTCCGATGGGAGTGAATATGCACCCACTCGATATGAAGGGCTCGCGCTGGTGCCCTCAGCCCCCAAGTTTGCGCCTGACCATATCGACAAGCAGCTCCGAGTAAGCCTCGAGGGTGATCGAAGCAAGCTCGCCGGTCGCCGGCGGGACAAGGGCAATACCTTGGGCACCATCGACAGAGCCCGCCTTCAGACCGCTTGCCATGGATTGCGTGCGCGCCTGGATTTGCTCGAGCTTGTGCACAACCTGGGCCCTACTTGAGCTGGGATCGAGCTTTTCTTGAGGCAAATCTTGCAACTGACAAATAGACGAGGAAACTTTTTCCAACAGCGCCGAAATGGAGTCGAGATCGTACAATATGGCGCGAGCTACAACAAGTACGAGAAGTGTCAGGCCAGATTTCGTCTAGGGGACAGTCCCCCTCACCTGCAGCCACTATCGTACCTGGCTCCATTTCCGGACCAGAGTCACTTGTATCAGGGAGAACCGCGCTTTGACCGACTGGAGGACTGGAGGATGGCTGTATTGCTGGTGCAGCGGAAGTTGATGCATCAGGGCCAGCCAAAGTCGCTGGCACGGCCGTCGTCGCGGCTGGCTGAGGCGGCGCAGGCTCGTCTCGGTTCCATCTAACGCCCATGGAAACCAGCTTTTCCTTAAGCATCTCGATCTTGAGAGTGGTATCGTCCCTGACCGGAGGCGCCGGGACCGATGCTTGACTGGATCCCAGGACTGGCTCGGGAAGCGGGCTGACCCGCACATGACTGGGTTTTGGCGTTTGATCAACATCCGCGCTTGACGGGAACTCGGCCAGGGCCTTCCGGCTGGGACTGTGTGGCGCCGTTGAGGTCAAGTGCTTTGCCGAGATGCTTTGTCGGCCTTGTAGTTTGGTTGGATCGATCTCCATCGGCAGGGACATGTACTCATCGAAGGTCATGTTGTTGAGCTGGAGCTTCTCAAAGGTTCCGTACTGGGTATCGCTCGATTCTGAGTCGCTCTCGGCATTCTCAGTTGGGTTGAAGAGGGCGTCCGATCCCACATCGGCTCGAATCGACAGATTGGTCAGTTGATTGACCAGCAGGTCCTTGGTTGGCACCCCGATGGTCATGGGTGCCTCTTCGGCTGGCCCTGAGTCGGCCCGATTGCCAGGATTCAGCTCTGCTAGTGCGGTAAGATCTTCAATCTCCTCGTCTGAACCGTGCCGTGCCAGGATGCCTTCAGAAGGATCAACCTCCATGGCTTCAGTTGACGACGCTTCGGCATCACCGAGATCCTCCACGGTCGTGCCGTCGTCAGCAACAAGATGGGCGATCGGCTTGGCAGGTGTGGCATCTCCGGGTGCTTGGCCTCCGTCAAAGCGACCAGAGACTTCGATCGTGTAGCGCCGATCCAGATAGTCATTCAAGCGTGCAACCGGATTGGCGATATCGGACCTCTCCGAGAACAGCGGAACTCCTTGAGCATCAATTCGCTACCAAGTACGCAGCAAGTATCGAGCGAGAATTAGTTGGACACATCTACCGGTTCAACTCTGACAGTGCTTGCTGAAACAGGTTGGCTCACCTGAGCCCACCGACCACGAGCAGGTACGTTGGGAATTCGAAGTTTGTTTGGTGCGTCTACGTCACTCGGCTCGGACTCGTCGCCCTTGGCCGAGCGCGCCCACGATGGAAGCCCCGTTTCGCTGTACGGAAACATGAATGGGCTCGGGGTTTCTGCCTCAGCGGGCTCGTCTCTCAACGGATAGAGGGGCTCTCCGGCGTAGCGGGTGTTCACGGCAGGGGGGAGAGTCGGGTCTGCGCGAGGTGATGACTCGAGTGCGCTTGCAGGCCCGTCAGCGGCCGCGTGGCTTGTGGCCTTGGGGGCCTCGGCGGTGAGCTCCCGTTGCCTCTTGCGCATCAGAGTGGCGAGCTTGGCCGAGATCCTCCAAACAAAGATACAGCCGTCACCGCTCGTGGAGATGATGCGGGAACAGTCGCGAGTAAAGCACACGCCGGTGATGATCTCCGAGTGTCCCGCCATGCGAGCGATGCACGCTCCAGAGTACAAGTCAAAGACCCGGATGCACTTGTCGCTTCCGCTTGTAACAGCGTAGAGGCCGCTTGGATCGACAGCAACCTTGATGAATCCGCCAGTTGAAGAAAAGTCGAACGACGGGTCAGACACGGGATCGGGCTTGTAGGACTGCTCAACCTTTCCGCTCTTCAGAGCGTATATGTTCAATCGGCGGTCTTGCGAGACCGAAGTCAGATACTGCTGAGTCGCCTCAATATCGATGTCGTAAGTAGTGGACCGACCAGCGGCATTGTGATAAAGGTCATAGCGAGCGGCGCCATCCTGACATATAGCAAATCGAGAGTACGAGAGTGAGTACGAGAGTGAGTACGAGAGTGAGTACGAGAGTGAGTACGAGAGTGAGTACGAGAGTGAGTACGAGAGTGGGAATGTCGTAATCTTCCACAGCAGTACGATCGCGGCGGAAAATACGGCGGAAACAATGGCCTTCGGTATGCCTGAGACTACCAAATGCCTGGTGTTGGTCCCCACCTCAACCGCGAGCCTTCGAAATTTGAGGGATTTGTCGGCCGCGCAGGTAACGAGCTGGCTTCCGTCAGTTGAGAATCGGATGGCCATCACCGTCGAAGAGTGGTCATCGAGCGTTTGGATGAGGTTGAAGGAGTTGCTCATGTCAAAAATATGGATGAGCCGATCGCGACTGCCTGTGGCCAGGAAACTGGCCCTCTCTGAGCCTAAATGGACAGCGATGCCAAAGTGCACACGTTTAAATACCCGATATAAGAGTCGAAGCCATGATATTGCTCATCGCAACAGTGCTGTGTAACGATTACCCAAACGGCGCTGCGTTTCGGCATATTCTTACCTTGGCACGCATCGATGGTCAAGATCTCGGCTTCATGAGCGCGCAGCGAGCCAATTTCGTCAAAGGTTTTCATATCGTATACCCTGAATGGAGTGGCCATCAGCATCGCTTCGGTGAGTTGCTGCGCCAGAGCGAGGACTTGGAAGTACCTACCGCAGAGTGCCTGACTGATCGCCCGTTGCCATGAAGGCACCATCAGGAGTGATCTTCAGCGTTCGAATTCCAACTTTTTCGTCCGCAACGGTGGGCGCCTCTCTATTGGCGTAAACTGTTCTGACCAGCCCGTTTGAGAACTGCCGCTTGGCTGGCTCAGAGTCGCTTGATGTGCCTGCAGAGCCGGGACCAACGGCGTGTGTGTAGTCAACATTCCAGAACCGAACCGTACCGTCGGAGGAATAAGTCGCAAACGAGTTTGGCGGAAGGCTGGTTTGATCCAAAGATGGTGGCGATGGAGCCACAAAAACATTTGACTGCGGCGTGGCGGCATCAAGTGGAGCAGGAAGCTCACTCGTGCCAGACGACGGCACCACCTAGAGGCCAGTGCCGAGAGTCAGGATTAAAACCAGGTCAAGCTCAGAGAGGACGATAACGGTACACGATTGCGAGAGTTGCAGTCGCAAGCGTCTTGGTGGATTCTCAAATGCGCCATACAAAGTAAGCGTGGAAACTGGAGGCGATTCCAGAGCTACGCCATGACAAAAGCACAGCTGCCATACCTCAACACCCCACACGCAGTCACTGTGGCTCAAGAGTGCGCGATATTTGAGAGGGTTGCGGATGTCACTGATGTCCCAAACATAGAGGCTACGGTCGTTGTAGATGGCAACAACTTTTGTGTTTGCTGCATCGAGCTTGGCCGCGACGACATCCGGATACCCAGGCTTAGCTGTTGGCCTGTCCGCAAAGTTTGCCCAAATACTGGACGGTTAGTATCGGCAGCCTCGCTCCCACGAAGACGGTGCGTGCTCGAGGTCGGGCACGAATAGTGACGAAAATATGTGCATATAAACCATTGCGGCGCACCTGGATGCTGACGAGGCGCTGCCGTCGTATGCGGTATATTTGGTGGCGGAGTGCGGTCGACTCAGATTCCCCAAAAACTGGAGGGTCGTAGGCTCAAACAGCCTAAACATCGGCATCGATATTGCGGTCAGTATACGACGACACAATAGAGTGCCGGACCATGGCGAGAGTCCCGACGGTCCACTTACCGGAGCAGTCCATTGGTGCAGCCGCACAGGATGTACTTGTCTGATACATCGATGCAAACGGCCACGCCGCTCTACCGCATTTTTGGGTGCGCGATATCAAAAGTGAGTACGACCGCAGACGGGAGTCCATCAAGTGAGCCGCATCGCCCGTGGATGCGACTACATCATAAGCTGCACACACACCTTGAGCTCGACCCATTTGTCGAGCAGCCGATCTTGAAACATAACCACATTGCCAGACTCGGTGATGCAGTATGTGAAAGGAACGCCGTCTGAGGAGCGCCGACATGCAACGGCTACAAAAGTGCTATCGGAGTGTTCTCCCAAAGCGCCAGCTTGGGGTATCAACGAAAATGAGGAGCTCTGGAACAGTGGTTAAAAGAGTCAGCTTGGTGGGGAAGCCAAACTCGAATTGCGAGGCGGGTACAGAGGCGTTGGCGCAGGGCCCGGGTACTCTGCTGGGCGTTCCTCATTCCGATCGCACAGACACCGATCCAACGCAGTCCAAAGGTGAGATGTAATTTATGAAGCAGCATTCGCTTAGATCTGCAACCAACCTTGCTGATCCGGGACTCATCCGCTTCGATGTTCCAGAAATGGGCATGGCGCTCTCCAACAGTGACGAAGAATGCACCGGCGCTGTCGAAGGCCAGTGCATTGACTCGGACAGATAGTCGTTTGGAAAAGAGCCGACTACCAGATTTCCAATCCCAGACGTTGAGCAACGCATCGTGCTGCAATCGTCAATATGATTGATCGAGGGGGTCGATCAAGGTCAGCGCAGGCTCGAAATTTCTGGGTCTCGGAAGCTCGAGCTCCACTGAACGAGAGCGGGTGAGACTCGGTCATGGCTAGCACCAATCCGAGGACAATTCCTTACCGTGTGGCCGATGGAAACCAGGTATTTCATGTTGGGTGAAAAATACAATGCCTGAACGCCAAATTTGTGTCCGACAAGCTCGGTAACCACGGTAGTTTTGTTGGCATCCCAGATGATGATTTTGGGGTTATGGCCGCTCTGAGATCGATGGGAGGTGGATCGGCGATGTTCGTGAGACGAGACCGGATCTCACAATAGCGAGACATGGCCAAAGCTTGAGATTCAGGGCAAAGTGCTCGGCCATAACGGCCACATGCCGCTGTCAACTCAGCCAACATCTTGCAGCTTCATTTTTTTTTCTTTTCGAATACACACCTCTCCCACGGCGAGCAAATCGCCTTCGGGGCTCCATGCAAGGCAGCTGACTGCCCGAATTCCCTCGCCAGCGCTTCTGGCACGAGACAGAGATACAGCCGCATTCCCAGCGACGCCTGGGACTCCAGATGTGGCCGCGGAGATCAAATATCCGACTTGCTTGTTCTTTCGGTAGTTGTAGAGCACGACGGCTCCTCCAGCAGCGTAGGCAACGGTATGCTGATCGGGAGAAGGGTGGACGTCGATCGAAGCCGAGTGAACGGACGTCAGGCCCATGATTCTTTCCAGACCGACCTTTGCGCGAAACACCAGAGAATAGTGGCTGTTAGCTGTGATATTCAAACGCCGGCTTGCTGCGGTTCCTTGAGGCTACGAACATTGTGGGCGGCATCGCGGTCCTTCTTTGGAGCGGTTCTGGATGCAGGCTTTTTGAGAGGATGGCGCTCGGACGGAGGAGTGCCTCTGGTATCTTTGGTTGCCATTGCGGCCTGGGCGAGGAACAGGGCTGCCGATTCGGGATACGCTGGCTCGGTGTGCCGAGAGATTGTCGGCGGCACAGGCTCCGCCGTGTCGGTTGGGATGCTGGCGACCAAGAGCCGAGGACGGCGGGTTGCCCTGGAGCCAATCTGCCCGCCAAACCAGGCCGTCAAGAATCAATTCTGCCAAAAAAGGCAACGCGCTCCATGACCACCAGCGACCATCCTGGCAGCCATCGCCGGACGCTGCCGATAGCACAGATCATTGAGGACACGTATATCGAGATGGGGTCGCCGGCGGACGAAGCAGCATGTGCCCAGGCGGTCTTGTTGAATTCAATGCAACCGCTAGGCTTGCCTCTACCAGCAGCAAACACCAATAATGCAGGCCTGGGATTCCTACAGCAGCGATTGTATTGCTTGGAGGCTCGGGCATCCATCCATATCAACGCCTGCGACGGAGCTCGCAGACCCAGGGGCAAAGTACACCAGGAAGAGCCTCGCTCTAGAGTGACGGGGTGCGGGGGCTGGGCATGCAGCCTAGTTGGTATCCATGTTGCTCTGGAGATACTCTACAAACTCATCGATCAGGACGGGCCATGCTGCGCTCATATCGTAGCCGCTCAGATCGTCCTTGGAAGTGAGGGCAAAGTCCAGGAACTAAGGTGGTTGGTCAAGTGACAGGGAAGAGCGTCAGCCAGTTGCGCCGAGCGAAATGGAACGCGGGCTATCAAGGGAGAGCCAATATGTCCACAGAGGATGTTCACCAGCATAAACTGATGACTTGGACTCTGATGCAGCCAAGTGAACAGCGCCCGAAGGATGGCCCAGGCCAATTGACCCGAAGTATGCCACCACCATCAACAGGGACGTCACATACCAAACGCCAGGTATCGCGGCTGATGGACTTTCCGTGGCTTTCCTGAAAAGGGATGAGGGGTTGGATGCTTGGTGAGCCGGTTGGTGGTCTCAAAGCTGTCGTGGGCGTTGCAGGCAGCGACGGAAATCGCCGTCGACGCCGATCCACACGCACCTGCACGAACTGGATCCAAATGGCCAGCTTGGAGTATCTTCCGACGAGCATGATCTCCCATAGGGCAATGGCCATATCCAAGGCTGAGTTGAAGCGCAGGGTGTCAGCGGACAACACAACACATAAGCGCGACAGGCACACTACCGATCATGGACTCGGTGCTGGTCGAGCACCATTGGCATACTCAGCAACAGCACCACGACGGACAGACGCTCACCCAAGCTCTTTTGGTCACCACGGGCGAGGTCAAAAAGGTAGTTGTAGACGTCCTTGAACGTCTCGGGATCATCAAGCTGTGCGCGCATGGCTGCAACAGACACTTTCATCTTTTCAAGGCTGTCGCACCTGTTACCGTGGGTGAAAGGCGGTGAGAATGGGCAATCCGTTTGAGGAGGAGTGCTCGCTGGCTATACCGGTTGGGGGTGATACCGAGGTCCAGTGTGCGTACTCAACAGTGCATGGAAGCGACACGGCTCGGGAATGGAAGTGTGGCCCCAAGGACCGATGATGTGGGTTGGAGGCTTGAGCCACCGCAAATGCCTTGGCCTGGCCTCGTACGCCAACTTACTGGAGACTTGACCAGCCGTCGATCCAGCCCTGTCGAGTGAACGTCGCCATTTGATCGGATTTGAGCTTCCACGAGATGACAAAGGTCACGATGTCGCCCGAGTCGATATCCAGGTCCTCTGCATCATGGGAATTTCCGGCCCGAGCGGTAAAGGGACGATCAGCAGCGCCCAGAGACCCGGGTCTGTCCGCTCGTCCACCCAGCCATGCATCCATCCAGCAGATACGTACTACAGAGCGACTCGAATCCATCGGATGAAATGACGTCCTCGTCGGCGTCTTTGGTTGACCGACGGTCGAGAATATGAGAATTAGATGCCCACGATGCCGATGGGTCCTGCCGATTGCCCAGCTTCAGCACAATCGGCACTATCGCCCATCCATCACACTTTGCCAGGAGCCAGAACTTGCGCCGCTGACAAGCGCACCTACCTTTGTATTTGTCAAACAGGGCATTCAGCTTGGCAGCGTTGCCGGTATCGGAGCTATGTGCGCTTGAAGCATGAGAGTCGAGGTAAGCGTTGACAGCAGCTTCTACTTGCCAGTCTAGTCCGGCGAAAATGTGATCGGGAGGTCAGGGGAATAGCTGTCGTCGTCAGGGTCTCGGGCAGCGCCAGGGCGGGGGAGCGACGGGGCTTACTGTGGACTTTCAGGATATCGATGGCAGTCTGCTCCCTGAGATAGATAATAGCAATTTACACATGTTCAGGCGCAGATGAGCCGAGGACGGAGCCGAGGACGGACCCAGCCGGCCGCTCGGCGGACCATCCGATCCCACTGGCCGCAGCAAACGGAGCTGGATAGCAGGCGGCCATTGACTGCCGCCAATCGGACCAGAACGATGCGGATACGTACGACGCATTGGTTAATGCGATGAACTGCTTGATGACGCTCTTGTGCATGAGTTTGGCGGACATGGTGCTGGCTGGGGTGCGGCGTTTGAGGTCTTGTCCAAGCCTGACTGGAGAGGACCGAGAGCGGCAGTCCGAGAAAAGGGCCGTGGAGTCGGTGCCACGTGACTGTGTCCTGGCGAGGACGAGAGAGAGAGAGAGCGGGTGAGAGAGCGGGCGAGGCGAGACGAGACGAGGGCGAGAGCGACGGAACTTGCGGATTTGCCACCCGGACGGCAGCGAATGCGGCGGACGCAGCGAATGCAGCGAATGAAGAGAATGCAGCACTGCGCAGGGCGCCCCTGCCGTTGCATGTCCTGAGCTGGGCCAAAGCAAGCTGAATCATGCTGTGGAAGCAGCGCGACCAATGACGCGTGGCACCATCGACGTCACTCGGTCGACATTGTTCTTGGGATTGCGTTTCCGGTAAAGCCGGCTGTGAAGGCTACGGTGTCGTCGAGCATCTCTTTGACGCAAATGCCTGGTGTTTCCGCAACAGCCTTCGTCCTAGAGCGCCCCGAACAGTTCCCTCAAGTCCCAGCACTCCAGAGACAGAATACGACATGGATATTGGCAGTGGAACTTCAGAAACCATTCAGTACATTGTCCTCGGCATCGGCGTTGCAGGACAAATACTATGTCTCCTGTATGCGGTGAAGAAGTGTCTCAAAATCAAGACTGTCTACAACTATCTGATGCTTGTGGCTGTCGTGGCGAGTACTCTTGCGTGCGGCAATAGCATCCAGGGATTTGCTTGCGTGGGTCTGGTATGACCGAAATGTATTCAAGCTAACACACATCTGGTAACGCAGTCGCACGCATGTGCCTTCATATCTATGATGTTCATCATAACACCGGAAACAAACATCAACAACGGCATAACTTCGTCTCTGCCGGTAGGTCTGCTTCCTCAAGCGCTACTGTCCCTTCGCATATCCTCAAAATGTGCATTGTTTGTGCAAGTTTTGGCTGTTGGGGAGCTCCTCAAACACCTGATCGTGGCGGCAACCCAACGGGTGCTGCGATCGTAATACTCGCAATGGTGATAACTGCAACGGTCATCTCCAAAGGCCTTCAACACCATCAATGAGGTCCTCAATCTCTTCATTGCGTGCTGCGGCGCTCTCTACACGATGCTGTTCTTTCGCGCCTTCAAGTCCTTGCAGCGAGCGATTCGTTACAAAGACTACTGGGTATGACTGCGTTATTCTGCGGCACAACTCGTGCAATGGTCCATGTCGTCACAATCGTCGGATCCGTCGCTGAACCACCCGTTTGATTCCTTGGTACCCGTCCGCCGACGTCCATCCGCAAGAACTACGTTTTCTACACGACTTGGGTGATTGTGGTCACTGCCTTTGTGGCTTCAACGATCATGGGAAGCAGCATGGATGAGACAGTCGGCAACATCATTGTCCTTCTCTTTTACATCTTCATGACCTTCTTCTGCTCCGTGATGGGGTACATCTTCCTGCGCAAGATCAAGTCCATATACCATATCGACCCAGCCACCGAGAGCAAGGAAACAAAGAAGGACAACATCGATCTGTCGTTTCTGCAGCAGCGAATTCAACTCATTGTCTATATCAATATTGGCATCTGGTCAGCATGTGCCTGGAAACGGAGAGTTGCATGAGTTGGTCCGGCTGGAGGCCGCCGCTGGTTGCAGCGCAGTGGATCAGATGTTCAGGTGCAAAATGCTTCATAATATGAGACGGCGCTTCTGACTAACCCGCATTTCATTCCTCTCATCGCTTCTGTGGCAGCTCCTTGAGTTTGATTTTGTATCTGATTGCTGCGGCATTTGTCAGCCAAATTCCAAACGGGGCTTTGATCATGTACCGCATCGTCATGACGACGTCGCTTTCGTACCAAGGATGCTACCTGGTGTTCATTTATGAAATCATTCCGGCTGCCTTCAATGAAGCTCGAAAGAAGGTGTCGCAGTCCGCCTCGGCTTCCTGCTAAGGAGAGATATGAGGTGAATGCGTTGGTGGAGGCAGTAATGGAAAAAACAAGACGACGCATTCGTATTTCGGTAATTTGCGCAATACAGACACGCGGCTTGGTCAAACACAGGCTGGACTGGCTGTGGCGCGAAGGCATGTGTCTGTCACATGGCCGAGAGCACTGCCGAGAGCACCGCCGAGAGCACTGCCGAGAGCACCGCCGAGAGCACTGCCGAGAGCGCCGTCCTGCGCACCGTCTTGCGGGCTGCCTTGCGCACCGCCCTCGGCCTTCTTTTCGCCCCTGCTCTCCCCTAGTCCAAGCCCATCACGGACAGAGTCCCACCCGCCTGGCCGACTGCAGCACGGAGCCTCTCCAACCCCACCGACCCATCTGCCCAGCCTATCTGTCGTCCGCTTTGGCCTTGCCTTCCCCCAAGCATGCAGATCCTCCAGGCTGCCGGCGCCCGGGCTGCCGCCCTCCGCTCGACCATGCGCCCCTCCGGCCCGATTCATCCTCATCGTCTGCGAAACCCGCATAGCCCGCCGTTTGGGCAGCGACGCACATTCATGTGGGGTCTGCCCAGACTGGCCTTCTCAGTCCTGCGTCTGCCGATAGCATTCGGAGCTGCTGGAGTTGGAGCAGCTGGCTATGTCCACTTTAAGATGGATGGTAAGAAAGAGGCTGCAGGGAGCTCGGCTTCTGTCTTGGCCACTAGCGATCCAAGTAGACCCGATATTTGGAGGCTGCCTTTGCGACCGTCGCTGTGTGCCGACGTTGTCACCCATAAGATCCCTAGCTGATGCCCCCTCGCTGTCTTTACCCTTGCCTTTACCCCTGCCCTTGCCTGCGGTTTGTCTGCGTCCAATTCTGCCCTCTTTGACGGCAGAGCTTTCCAAGACCTACATCCCCGACTGGGCCCGCGACGCCTTTGACAAGACTGCCAACCTCCTCGGCAGCATTGACTTATCCAAGGTGGAGCTGCCCTCGCTTCCTCAGCTCGACTTTTCCAAACTGCCCCTGCCCGACCTGAACCAGGGCACCCCCAGCTCGCTTCCTGGCCTGGAAGTGGCCTCCTCCAAGTTTGAGAGTCAAACAAAGTCGATTGTCGACGACGGCGCAAGCATCGGCATCTCCAAACGAACTGGCACAGCCCTTGGCGGCAGCATGGACCCGCCGCCTTCCGAGCTCATGGTCTTGACCAAGAAGCTCATCGAGATCCGCAATCTCTTGAAAACCATCGACAACAATGGCTCCAACCTGAAGCTCCCGAGCATCGTCGTTGTTGGATCACAGAGCTCTGGAAAGAGCTCTGTGCTCGAAGCCATTGTCGGGCACGAGTTCTTGCCAAAGTAAGTGGCACCGTTCTGCGCCAGACCCAATGGGTCAAGCGTCGGCGAGGTATCATTGCGACGTGGTCTTGTACGCAACGAGCTCACCACCAACTCATCGCTCCTTCGACAGAGGCTCCAACATGGTGACCCGCCGCCCTATCGAACTGACCCTCATCCATACACCCAACTCTAAGGAAGAATACGGAGAGTTCCCGCAGCTGGGACTCGGCAAGGTCCACGACTTTACCCACATCCAGAGAACCTTGACTGACCTCAATCTTGCCGTTCCCGACGAGGAGTGTGTTTCAAGCAATCCGATCGAGCTGCGAATCTACTCCCAGAACGTCCCTGACTTGACGCTGATCGACCTGCCCGGGTACATCCAAATCCACAACCGCAACCAGCCCGCCGTTCTCAAGCAAAAGATTGCCGATCTGTGCGAGTCCTACATCTCCGAGCCCAACATTATTCTGGCTGTCTGTGCAGCCGATGTGGACTTGGCCAACTCGGAGGCTTTGCGGGCCAGCCGCAAGGCCGATCCTAACGGCGGCCGAACCATCGGCGTGATTACCAAGATGGATCTTGTGGATCCCAACAGCGGAGTTAAGATCCTCCAGAACAGCGACTATCCGCTCCAGCTCGGTTACGTTGGTGTCGTGTGCAAGTCGGGCCCTCAAAAGGGTCAGACCGCGCTCGTGCGGACCGAGGAGGCCTTTTTCAACGCCAACGCCGATGTCTATCGCAAGCCCAAGGTCAACGTCGGCACGCCCACTCTCCGCCGCCGACTGATGGAGGTACTCGAGGAGCGCATGGGCAAGAATCTCTTCAAGATCGTCGACAATGTCCAGGCTGAGCTTGACGATGCCCGGTACCAGTTCAAAGTGCAATACAATGACCGTCGCATTACGGCCGAGTCCTATGTCGCCGAATCGATCGACGTCCTCAAGCAGCGGTTCAAAGAGTTCACGAAGCAGTTTGGCAAGCCCCAGGTCCGCGAGGAGGTCCGCCAGATGCTCGAGCAGCGCATCCTCGACATTTGCTCGGAGGTGTACTGGACTGATCAGCGCGTCGCCACGCTGAGCAAGATCTGTGCCGGTGACCCTTACTGGCAGACTCGAGCCGACATGACATCTGCTGCTCTGACAAAGAGCGGCATTGGCCGCGCCAGCACCCAGCTTGTGGTGGATATTTTGATGCGCAACATGGAGCGCATCACCAGCAACGAGCCGTTTGTCAATCATCCCGAAGCCCGCCGCAAGCTGATGGACTTTAGTAACGAGATTCTGCGCAACAAGTTTCACACCACGGTCGACCAGGTCGAGAACACCATCAAGCCCTACAAGTTTGAGGTTGAATGCACCGAGCAAGAGTGGAACGAGGGCGTCAAGCGCGCCGTCCACCTGATCGACACGCAGCTTGCGCAGGCCCAGAAAGAGATCCAAGAGATCATGTCCAGCGTCGGCCGGCGCAAGCTTCGCAACGCCATCCAGCATCTGCAGAAGCACGAGAAGCAGGCCCAGCTCAACAGCCAGGCTACAAAGTTTGACGACAGCATCGAGGGCGAGCACAACTTTTCCTACAACGATCAAGTCGCCCTTGCCGAGTCCCTCAGCAACGGCGAGGGACCTGCCTCCAACATGAAGCTCCTCGACCGAGCTCGCCAGGCCGCCAACCTGCAAAATCGCATCCAGATCCTGCAGCTCCGGTCGGCTGCGCTCAAGAGCCGCCAGTGCCGGGTCATGGATAACAAGGGCTGCTGCCCAGAGGCCTTCCTCGAAGTCGTAGCCGAGAAGCTGACCTACACCGCCGTCATGTTCATCTACGTCGAGCTGCTGAACGAGTTCTTTTTCCAGCTCCCTCGCGAGGTGGACAACAAGCTGTACTACGACCTCTCGCGTTCAGAAATCCTGTCCTTCGCCAAGGAGAACCCTCATATCCAGAAGCACCTGGAAGCCCAGGAGCGAAAGATGACGCTCGAGTTGGTGATGGAGAAGCTGAGGGAGCTGACCCGGAACAATAGAAAGTAGTCCCCCCCCCTCTGTGCCTGCGTGCGTCTGCACGGGCCTGCGTTGCATGCTGCTCTCTCTCTCTCTCTCTCTCTCTCTCTCTCTCTCGCTCTCTCGATGCGCTCCTTTGGGGTTCGCGTCGATTGCCACACTCTCCTTCCTCCATATTCCTGTTGAAAATACACGCGCTCCTCTGTCAGTCGGGCCAGAGCAGAACATGCCGGGCAGGGCGGTTTGGACCACCATCACGTGGCCGCGCAGTCTGGCCGGCAAATGAAATTCATCACCGCCGCGCCCTCGAACCGCTCCGCCACGCATTCGAGCCGGCGGCTCAGGTGGATCTTTTTTTGCCTTTTTCTCAGCCCAAGCTGCGGACGCAGAAATCGTGGTTCTCTTGCTCATCGCCAGGCCTGTCTCTTGCGAACAACGCACGCTGTCGACACAACTCCTCGCCATGCCCGAAGTCAAGCAACTCGCCGGTTCCGAAGACCCCAAGCCTGCCATTGAAGAGGGTAATCATCGCCAATGCGCTGTCGGGTGCTCGGTCTCGGCCACCCTTGTCACCGTGTCCATTACTGGTCAGCCCGGCCAAGCTGAACAAAACCGAGCCGGCCCATGATCATCACGACCGAGTCACTCTGGATGCGCATATGGAGCATCACTGGATTTGCGGATCGATACCAGGAGCGCACACACATTGAGAATTTGGATCTCCCAAGAATACGCGAGCCCGCCCGTCGCGATGAGGCATTGTGGAATCGACTTTCGACACAGCATGCCGGATTGGCCTCTACCCGATAGCCATCGTGCTCAACATTGCCCGGTCCCGATGGCGCTGCGTGTCCAACGGCACTTTCAGCCGCGTGGTTGCCCGATATCTGCGCACTTCCAGAATCGGCCAGCGGACACTCGGCGAATTCGACCAACGGGCGTACACTTGAAGGACTGGGGCGGGGCGACTCCTCCACCGAGCCTCAAGACCAACCAGTAACTGGAAACCGTGGGCAGTGTCCTCGACAGTTGAACACCCTTTTGAACTCGAGTCTCTGCTGCAAGCTCGGGGCTTGAGGAATCCGATAGCCCGCCACGGGCTCGCCGTGACATCGGGGCTGGTGTGCGGGACTGAGCCTTGAGATGCTGCCAGGAGAAACAAGTGAACCGCGAATGCGGCTAACCTACTGCGTCCCTCTCTCTCTTGCCAATCGAACGACTCCATGTAGAGTGCGGCCAGTCCCACCACTGCGCCAGCCTGAAGGAGGCCTTCGAGGCCTGCCAAGCTCGTCTTGCTGCCAACCCTTCCGAAGAAACCTGTGTCGAGGAGCTCTTTGACTTCATGGTGAGTGGCGGACTCTACAAGCCTGTCCGGAAGAGCTTTGCGATTCCCACGAACCGAGCCAGTCGATACACAGATATGCCGGCGCGACCATGAAGCCCTTTGGCGACGCCAGCGATTCAATCCGATCAAAGTCCGCTAATCTCTCCTTTGCGATTTGCCTCCTTGTGCGCCTATCTCCATGCGACGGCGACTCCGTCAATCCTTGTGACCGTATCCAGGAATGCGTTAACCACTGCGTACGTTACTTGGAAGGACGTCGACGGCGGCCATCGGTGCAATCGTATCCCTGTCGCTGTCGCACTATTGACTCATGTGTAGAGATGCCATTTTTCACTGACACCTTTCGCTGTTGTGACGTCCCATCAACAGGCTGCCCCCAAGCTCTGGGCCAAGCTGGCTTAAATGCCACTGTCGAGATCCGTGTCCCTCCGTCTCGTTGATATCATCAGTCATGTGCCATCAGGCTCCTCCATCTCCGCCCGCGTGGAACTGTAGCTCGGAGCATCCCCATATCCGCTAATACAGCTTGTTCAGACAACCGCGGCTTCAGAATTGAGATGGATGGGATGTTGTGATTGTCCTCAAGCTGTCGATCGATCATGTGTGCCCTTGGCACCCAGCCATGAAGGATAGCGCAGTGGCCGGTTGTAGCCGGATTCGATTGGCAACGATTCCAAACGCCACTGGCTGTCGATTGCGGGCAGCTGGCGTTCATAGAGCAATCGACACCCGGCATCCATGGTGGTGGCGTCGCTGAAACACAACGGCTCACAAAGCGATACGGAGACCAGGGGCACCTTTTGGATTGAAGGTTCATTCCTGGATATTGTTGGGAAGCACCCACGCCAATCCATGATTATACTCGACACCTACCGTCCATGTCCTTGGTGTCGCGCTTGTGATGCTCCGTGGATGTGCGGATGTGTGGACTGGTCCGCTCGAACGTTCCAGCCTGTAAACAGCGTATGCCCGCCAGCGCACACAATAATGACAGAGTGACGAACAAATTTATTCGCCGGGTTTGGTCGAACGAGACAGTCTACACAATTTAACTGGATGAGAGTACTCCGGTCGTCCAAACGTGTTTGAACCCCGCAAAAGGAAGAAAAGGGTCAAAAGAAACGCCAAAAAACAAATGGCCAGTGTAAGGCTGGGACAGCCGTGGTCTAGGCAGCAACGGAGTAACAAGTAGAGGGCCAAGATCGGGGAAGGAACGCATGCAGGGAGGAGGCGAGCGAGGGGTGGAGTGAAGAGATGAGGAAGGACGGAGAGAGGAAGAGAGCGAGCGAGCGAGCGAGGAAGGAAGGAAGGAAGGAAGGAAGGACGGACGGAAAGAAGGAAGGAGAAAGCAAAACAATACATGAAGAATTCCGCGGGTTATCGACGGCGGCGAGGTCATGCTTGGTGAGAGGGAGAGCAGAGTGGATCAAGGCACATATACAGTGTGTACACAACTTCATCGTTCCAAAACAATGGCGTGTGAGGGAGAAGCTGCCGAGGGGCATGCAGACGCAAGCCATTGCGATCGAGGCATAATAAAGGAGGAGGCGAACAGATAGGTCGAAAACACACAACCGCACGTTTGTCCGGCACCCAGGCCGGCAGGAGCCAGGCAATAGGCAACAGGCGCGATCCAACCGAGAGGCATGTGAATAAATAGTGAGGAGGGAAGCAAAGGAAAAGAGCGGCCAGGAAGGGTGAAGCTTGTCGAGAGAAAATCAACGTGAAAAGTGACCAAGACGGGCTATATCATATCGGCAGATGCTGGCTCATCTGCTCTACTGTGACGGGCAAGCGGAAGAGTGCAGCAATGCCGGTGGGGCTTGAGCAAGAGCAAATACAAATATCGCCCTGCGCTCAGTACGGGAGGTACTGTCCACGGGTGGGATCCCAGGTCCAGGTGTTCGCGGGGTAGCCAGGAGCGCCATAGCCAGCAGCCTGAGCGGCATAGGCTTCGTAAGCTGCTCCGTTTGTGGCCACAGCCGGACCTGGAGCACCGCCGCCCAAGATATCGCGAGCGCCGGCACCGACAGCGGCGCTGAGGGGCGTGGGGCCAGGGGCACGGACTCCAGGGGGGATATCGCCTTGGGGGCGGCCTTGGTAGCCCGAATCAGCAGCTGACTGGGCAAGATAGCCCAGCGAGATGTTGGCGGGTGGATATCCGTAGCCATAGCCCTGTTGAACGGGCATCGTGAACTGTGGATAGTATCCGGCTGCTGCCGAAGCATCGGCGTTGCGATCTTTACCCCAGGAGCACTGCGATTGAAGCGATCGCACGGTCAGTACCAAGTCCGCAGCAATGCTTCGGGCAGACGGCACATCTCACTTACCTTCAGGGCTCGGCCGTGCAAGCCAGCGCCTTGCATCGACACAATCGCCATTGCAGCGTTCTCGTGAGTATCCAACCTGGATAACAAACCGAAGGAATACGCGGTTCATTCGCCGTAAGCTCTCTGGTGCACCCCAATGCCGCTCAAAACACAGTCGCGGCTTGTGATTGCAGCACCCGAGGCATGCGCGCAGCCGACGAGCATCAACATACTTCACAAAGCCGTAGCCACGATCTGCCTGCACGCGAACTTCAACGAGGAAGCCGAAGCGTTGGAACAGCGCCGCCAGATCCTGTTCTGAATGCATGGTGTGGATTAGACCAGCTACATCGTACAGGCAACGGCGGATCGATCCGAGTTGGACTGATGGCTAGAAACGCCACGAGACTCACGGGTGGTGTTCGGGGCCAGGTTGCCAACATAGACAGTCGTGTTGAATGAAGAAGCCTGCGAAAGTGTTGCCTCGTAGGACACTGGATGTCGATACAGTGCAGCACAGCACAGCCCAGTCAGTGTCATCGTGGCCAACGTCAGGTCATAGATCTATCGTGGTACAAGAACCTTCGGTCTGCATCCCGCTCGATCACATTTCGGCGCGACACTTACAGCTGGGTCCTGTCAGGATGTTGGCGGTAGGGGCCGGGTTGGTGGTACGCTGGTTCGCCCAGTTAACTCGGATGGGACGGCTGCCGAGCCACTCTCCGTTCATTTGAGCGATCGCTTGCTCGGCGTCCTGCCAAGGACGGATATCAGCAACAGGGACGATTGTCTGCGCTATGGCATTCGGTCGACAAGCCAATGCGTGGCACTCACAGACTTTTCCCTGAAGGAAACAAAGCCGTATCCACGAGATTTGCCAGAGTTCAAATCCCACATGACTCTCGCGTCGCTGAAGTGAGGAAAAGCAAGGTCAGAGTGGCGCTTGCATCGGAATTGCTCGGAAAAGCCAGGGTCAGAGCAACTTACGACATGCTGCCAAACGCAGAGAACGCCTTGGCAAGAACAGCATCGTTCACCTCGGCACTGAGGTCGCCAACAAAAATATGGGCGTGCGAGGCTGTATCTTCCTTCTGGTTAGAAGACCCCGAGCCAGTGAATGCCCAATTGACTCGGATTTCCTACAGGGTCGAGGGAGCAGGTCCAAGGCGGGCCATAGAATAAAAGGGGGAGAATGGATGGACAGACGGCGACGGGATGGTCAAAGGACGGGGACAGGGCCGCAGCAACGACAGCATTGAGCAGAGATACAGAGATACAAAGGTACAGAGATACAGAGAGAGAAGGTACAGATAATCAGGACAGGGCGATACTGCTGCCAGAGAGATCGAGGAGATGCAATACCGTTGTAGATAGACCATTTCACAAACGAACCGAGCTGAAAATCTTTCTACCGTTCAGGTTCTGAAGGGCGCTCTCGGCGGCTCGGTGGTCCAAAAACTCGACAAATCCGTAATTGAAGCCGCCATTCTGGTATTGCTGTGACCGAGAAGCGCTCGCGGTGAGTGCGCTGCGCTGCCCTTGCGCCGTCGTCCGTGTCGAGCCCCTCACTAGTGCATCGCCGACGTTTGCGCTCCGTCTCGCTATGTCAGAGGACTCCGGATGAGTCCGTCGACTGGACATTTGACCTACAGCTCGATCGTGAATGATCTTGACGTTGACAACCTCGCCGGCAGTCGAAAAGATCTGCTGGATCAGCAGCTCGTTGACACGCGGGTCGAGATTACCGACATACTGCGCGCATCAAAGAGAGGTACCAGACGTCAGCACTTTGGCTATTGGAGCAGCGCGATGCTGTCTGACCATTCGCAACCTCTGCAGATCGCGATGCGGAGAGCAGCTGTTCCGAGCTCACGCAGACTCCTCTCTTCCGTGGTCGGACAAGCGATCCTGAGCCAATGCGTACCAGCTTCTTATCGGCGACATTGGGGGGTCGCAAGACTGCGATCCCAGAAGTTTCTTCAGAGTTTGTTTGCATGGTCGACGTGCCCGATGGAAGCTGAATCCAGCGGGGGGACCAGACGCCGAGCGGCCGCGATGCATCGAGATACGTTAGATCGGTGCGATGCTGCGGTCGCAGCGGCAAGCGGAGAGGGAATGGCCCGCGCGAAGACAACCGACTCGAACACGGCCCACAAACAAGGCAAACCGATCGCAGCGGCGGGAGCCTCGGCCTACATTTGTTCACGATCCGATCTGCTGCGACGGTGGAGGGTGCGATCGGCAAGGGGTGGCTTCTGATAATGCCACAGACAGGGAATCCCGAATCGAGATCTTGGGAGGGGCGGGGGAGGCGGGATCGTCGGTGTCTGGCGGTCCCTGGCGGTCCCTGGCGAAAACGCAAAACCAGGCCGCTGGGTGGATGGGGTTAGGGCTGTGTGCGGCACGGACGGCCAGCCCTACTTGCCCCTACAAGGCCGTGGCTCCTGTGCGACCGAGACAAGGCTTGGGCGGGCCTGGTGCCGCTGTGCTGGATCGCCGTCAACGCAGGGCATCTCAAGGGCATCTCCACACATCTCCGAGAGAACATAGCACTTGCATTTGTGGCTGGCAATGGTGGTCCGGCCCTGAACACGTGCACAACCGACGATGATTGCTGCTCAATGGCGATCGCATCCGGCCGGGGCAGCCGGACCTCCGGTGCATTTGATCTCAGGCCAGCTTCATGGTTACTCCATATCAAGATACTCAACCATGTCGAGTCGCCTGGCCCGGGCACACTGAGCACTGTCTGGCCATGATGGCGATGAATGGGAGTATTCAGGGACAGAAAGCAGCGGCAGCTCTGACTCAAAACAGGGTGCCCCGTTTCGAACTGGATACGCTGTATATCAGCTGGTCCAAGCGCTCGCACATCGTGAGGAATGCCGGCCAGCTCGGCACGAAATCGGATATACCAGACTGGGTCTTGTGAGTCCAAAGGCGGCACGGAAGCAACAAGGATCACGAGCCGGGTCAGCGATATTCAATGGTACGGTTTTCCGCGCTACTGCACCCCGAGAGCATCACTCACCTTTTTGCCGCCGGCACCAAGCCCTGTGTGTTTGGTGTCTTCGACATCAAAGTACTTTTCGACGACGCGGAATCGTTGGACCAGGTGCTTGAGTTGGTGGCGCGTTGGCGATGCCTCAAACGACATCTCCATCGCACAGCCGGAGGAGAGATCGCCAACTCCAGGCTCGATCAGCTCAACTTGCTCGGAGAGACTGGCAAGGACTTGGTCCACCAAAAGACCGAGGGCGCGGTGCAACATATCTTGCTGCGCGATTGGCTGAGTAAATACGAATATGTCAAGAAGACTCGTCAGAGAAATGTGCGGACAAGTCCAACAAACCGGAGCTATTGATTGCCAACCACAGTCACATATGCCTTACCTTCCAGGCGCGTGCAATCTGATCCAGCTGGTAAAGAGTATCCCTGACAGCGCTCTCGCAGGTCGTAAGTGTTGCTTCGTCATCGCTGTCCAACCGAAACCCTTGTGCGAGCCCCAGCTTGTGCAGAAGAATATCGCGCTGCTTTCGCTGGACAATCCATGGTGAGCGCTAAGGCGTTAGATCTTGACCAAAGCACTGACACTGGCAGAAGCATCAGAACGATTTCATGTCACGAGAACATGTTGTCGGATGAGCACCCACCAAATGCACTCGAAAGTGCGTCTCGGAGAGCTTGCGTAGTTGGTGGATATAGTCCACAAACAACACTAAATGGCGGAGCTCCTCTTGGATCTCACGCGAGAAACTCGGTCCCAGAAACAGTAGATGATGGCAAAGATATTCACAGTCGTTGTAGAACAACATGGCCCGCGACGGGATGTTGTATATGTCGTCTCCGTGGTAAACCGGCGTGCATGCTATGAACATGGAAACAATATCACGGATGCAGCATATCTTTTCCTTTGACCTAGAACCGGCGATATCAGTTAGTCACTCCGTTCCTCGGCTTCTCTGCTTCTCTGCTCCACAGCAGTCGGGGGTGCAGCGTGGGCGATGCTTGCGCGCTCAAACATGAGAATTCTAGCCGTACTCGATTAGGTCTTTAGTCTTGCATGCCTGATCCATGAGCAGATAGATCATCTCCACCAATGTCTGAACCTGGGTCGATATGCGGCACTTTTTGAGGTCGAATGTGCTCGAAACTTCCTTATAGACCTGGCTATCGCCGCGCTTCTCCTTGACCGGCTGCGACGATGCCTTCTTTCCGCTTCCGTGGGCGCTCTTGAGGCCACCTGGGCACCATTGGCGCGGGCCAAACGCAGCGCAGTGAGACTGGCGATTCGATCAAGACATCGCTGGCCGTTCACATCTTTGCCGCAACGCCCGGCTTGTCGAACCTACCTCGCTCGGTCGCCTCGCACACCTCAGCCGTGAGGTTGTCGCTCTGCCTCAAAATGTCTCGAACGGTGGCGAGAAGCTTGGTTCGATTGGACTTCATCCGCACCACAGGGATATTGCCAACCAGGCTCTGCAAATCCGTACGAGAGTGGGATAGCATATCTGCAGACCAGGCGGCCGCAGGACAAGGTCAGCTGCAGCTCGAGGTTGCTCACAGATTGGATATCTAATCTCGGCGATCACCAGGATATCGATTGCTCCTCGCGGCATGCAACACTGTCGATCTTGGTAGCTGCCTTGCACAATCGACGATTCGCCTTGTCGTTGCTTCCTTTACTCGCATACAATCCCGGGAGTGAACGGGCAGGAGCATACACGCTATTTGCGGCAAGGCGATCGCAGCCGACCTATCCAGCCTGCGACCCGTGGCACTTACTCATTTCCTTCAGCTCGCGATCGAACTTGAGGACCTCTGTGCGCAGACCACTCCCATCGTCTGTTCCAGATTCGAGGCAATCTTGAATGATGGGTGACCGAAGACAAATGTCTCTCACAAACGCAATCACCCCTGGCGCCCAAAGCTGCTCGTACTCTTCTATGTAATGTCCGCGAAGTACATGGTCGCGGACAAAGACGGCAATTTTTTGGAGTGACTGTAGGATGTGCGAGATATCTAGATGGTGAACCAGATGAGGGCTCATTAGCACGCCCAGAGTATCATCCCCGCGACAGCGCACATCGAGGACACTACCTTCGTTCTTCTGCTCAGCATTTCGAATCGATCTCGCGTATTGCAACGTATGTGCCAAGTGCGTGGAAACCACCCGGATGTCTGCATCGGTCGCTCCCTTCAAAGGCTTGACAAAGTGATCCACCAGCGCTTGGTTCAGTCGCTTGAGCTGTGGTACCAAAACATCAAGATCCTCCATAGCGTCTAGCATGTCTTCAACCGGGACTGGGATATGCATGTAATTGATTCCCAGAGCAGCTGCACAGCGTGAAAGCGGGACGCGGTCGCACGGTTGCGGTCAATAATAGAGCAGAATGTCGATTCTTGGCTGGAAGCCGCGATAGGTCAGTGCGCCGTCAATGCGGCAGGCTCGAGCTCTTTGAAGTGCAACCAGCTCTGGAAAGTGACTCATTGCGTCATCGATCGAGGCAACATCTCCCGAATATCTTGACACGTACTTGTTACTCGATTTGCCACGCTCAGCTCCCAAACGCTGTTATGGCTCTTTGAAATGCGGTAGGTTGCCGAAAACAACGTTTGCAGGAAGTGCACGAGGCTGCTCTTGAGGGTCAAGTAGTGCTCCTGAAACAATCATTTGTAAGTCCGTCACTTGCTCGCTTCTGGCTTTTGCGCTTACTTGCATCACCCCAACCGCACCGACACCGACCATACCGACATCGGCCCCGGCGCTGGCCGTATCGACTCTCCGTGAACCTACCTCGATCATGTTTTTGAGATCACCCACGTCCAGCAAATCTGGCAAGCCGCCCAACTCATCGACGATCCGCTCCTAGACAATAGAATGAATGAAACGATCGCTCTGACATACAAGTAATAACCAACACGACAAGCCGGGGAGAGGGAAAGTACACGAACCATTTCCAGGATGCTTTTTGAGGCGTCTCGTACGGAGCCGTTGGAGAGCTTAATGTCGAACCCCATAAACTCGGTGTAGATCTAGAGAGTGTTGATACCCATCCGCCATACCGGGTGAGCTTGCGGTGTTACCGTGAGTTTGGAGTGAAGGAACCTCGGTCCTCGCAAGGACATGGGCCAACCACCGGCCATCGGCACCATATCCGAGGCCGCAGATGCACGACGTACATGTGTGAGTAAACTGAGTTGGCTGTACTGCCCCTGGATGAGCTTGGGTTGCTGTTGATCATTCACGGCGTTCAGTGCGCGGTTGGGCAAGGTCAGGGCAAGTTCAGGGCAGTGTGGATGAGCAGACCCATATCGTCATTCCATCAGCCCAAGAAACTCGTGGATATCGACACTGCCCCAAGTATCCACACCTCATCCAATTGATCGAGTCTATCTTCAATCGCCTGCAACAACTCTTGTTGGCCGAGAACATGGCTCGCTTCGAGAGACTTGAGACAGACACTGGAGCGTCAGGGAGGTCAGCGACGTGGCGACAGTCCGGCAATCCAACGAGGCTCGATCCGTCAACACAATCTGCCCGACTCGAAGGCCATACAGCGGCCACGGACTGTCGCTTACGAATTGAGACCAGAAATAACACTGGCCTGGAGATGATGGGAACAGTAGGTGAGCCCAGCCATCCGATAGAGCCAAGCGGAGATGCAAATCGATGCGTTGCCATCTTGTTTGCGGGCGTTGCAAGCCGGACCAGCGATGGCCGCCTGCTGGCATAGACTCGCACCTTGAGATCCTCGAGAGCGGTCTCGATGACGAGCGGCGTCTTGGCTGCGGTGCCATCCATGGCAGCATCAGTATCCCGGCCAAGCATGGTGCAGCTTGGCTCTGTGGTTCGTGCGTCTGCAGCAGCCCTTGGCAACGGCACCCTGGCTGCGGGCTCGAGATTGCTGTCGGAAGCCCGTCTGGATCTGGCCCACACCCAGGCCGCGATGCTGCGATGCTGCGATGCTGCGACCAGCGGCTCGCTCATGGCGCATCACGTGGCAAATGTCTTCCTTTTTGGGGTCGCGCTTCTGTGCCGGCAGAGACACAGAACAGCACGAGCCGCCCAGGACGCTGTTGTGGGTTTGGTTTGGTCATCGCCCAAACGCTTCCCAGAAGCACCACGCTGAGCCGTCCGGAAGATGAACAGCATGAGTCTCAAGCCAGGCCACGCCGAAGAATGTACGTTGCTTGGCCGTCTGCTTGGCCGTCTGCTGGAGTTTTAGGCGACTGGCTCCTAGCCGCTGTCTTTCGAGCACCACAACCGTGCTGATGCTTGGCCGCATCGGCCATTTGGCTATCCGACTCCACCTCGGTTCTTGACCACTTTCCCCGTCGCATGGCCCCGCATCAGTCTCCCGAAGCTGGACGCACAGTTTTGCTCTCTCCCGAGAGGATCTGTGGAGTACACCGTGCCTGCATTTATTGCCGCCGAGCTGCAAAGTCATTGTGCTGGACTCGACTCTGCCGATAAAGAAAGCCCTTGCTGCGCTGATCCAAAATGGTACGCTCCAGAGCCGCAGCGATGCTCGACAGAGGCCGCTGTTGATGCCCTGCTTCTCGACATGACCATGTCGAGCTGGCTTGGCCGATACATCCCGCTGCCGCCGGTGGTATCGAACGCCAAACCATCCATCGCCATGCATTGCGGCCAATGCATTCCATAACCCGATACTCATACGCCGCTGCGTCCTGGTATTGTCGATTGTCTGAACTGCTCGGGATGCCCCAGGCGTCCAGTCTGCGCCGATTTGGGACTCGTCCTCGCAGACGTTCAATGGCATGCTCACAGGTAACGACAATTTATCTCCACCGATGGAAACATGCATGAGCATCTCGATGGGACGAGTTGCTCGGCTGTGGCAGAACTGTGGTGTGGGAGCATCGGCTCCTGGTCGCTGACGGCCCGCCACAGTTTCACTCAAATGGTTGTCATCAAAACATCTTATGCCTATCGGCTTTGTTGGCTCTGCCGAATGCACTGCTCGGTCGCCCGACAGTCACCGATTTTATCCACTTGATCATATCCTTCTACGACAAGAAAAAGTCGCTCATCTCCGCGATCGAGGAGATCGATCTGCTGCAGGTGTCGTCGCTGAAAGGTGGGCAATCCAAAGCATCCGACAGAGTAGAAGATGCACAACAGCCCGTCAATGTCTGTCTGTCTGTGCACGGTAGCAGCATGGCTGAACGTTTGCTGATGCGACTCGACCCGTCTTGTCTCTGATCATTCAAGATTCGGAAGTAGCCGAGGGCCTGGTGAGGTCGTCCAACGTCGTAGCTCACCCTCTCCAGTCCATCTATGAGGGTATGGAGATTTGTGGCCGATCAAAACGCACAGCCGGAATGCCTCGCCCAAGCACCTCAGCAAGTGAATACGACCTCTGATAATCTCTTGCTCGTTGCTGGGCACTTGGGTGGCAGCTGCGCGACTGCTTCTCGACAACCAGCTGCATCGCCTTCCGCTCGTCGACAAGCACAACGGCAGCGAAATCATCGTTTCGGTGCTCACACAATACAAGATCCTCAAGTTTGTTTCGTCGCATGTGAGTCGATCCTGAGATTCGTTGGGTAGATCGCAACTGTTCAAAGCCAGGCCGATCTTGCAATCGCCAAGACCGCTTCCATCAATTATGGTCTGTTAGCAACGCAGATACTAACCTGGTGAGGGTATCATCCATCCACTTCCGCCTGGCAGCTTGTCAACATTGATCGGCTCTCCATGTCTATCCGAGAGACGGGCATTGGAACGTATGACAACGTCGCAACAGCAACTCCCGAAACGCCCATCATCGACATCATCAAGATATTTATCGACAAGAAAGTATCCGCCGTGCCGATTGTGGATAACGATGGTCGGTATATACACGCTAATCGGTATCGACGAACAGATCGGTGAGCAACAGGCCTCTTGAATCAAGTACTAATCGAGCCATTGTCCAATCCAGGCAAGGTTCTAGATGTCTACGAAAAGTACGATGTTCTGGTAAGCCGTCATTACTGACCATCGCAGCTTCTGAAGCTGAACGGTCTCTGTTTCAGCTCGGTTGGATTGCGGCGGCAAGCCGAAAGATGCGAATGCATCCGATTTGTCCAGAGTTTCCTTTAGCCCTTTGGTAGCAGCGGCAAATGTGCTCTAGTCGCTGTATGTAGCCCTCAGAGCACTCACATCATTCCGAACCCTTGCTCATCAGATGCTGGCACGAGACAGCGAGCACTTCAACGTCGACATGCCAGTGAGCGAGTCGTTGAGCAAGCGATCTCCTGTAAGTTTGCGACGGATTCAGTGCCGCCCTGCTTGAAATCAACGATCCAGCAATTCAGCGCTGACAGCTTCGTTTGGTCTCGACAGGACTTTGAGGGAATTCATATATGCACTCCATCGGACACGCTCGGCAGGCTCTTGGAGACCATCCGACGGACAGTTGTTCATCGGTTCGTCATCACGGAAAACAATCGCCTCCATGGTGTGCTGTCTCTGTCGGACATTCTTCGATACATTATGTTTGTGTAAAGCCGCACGGGTGCCTACGCCCAACCCTGGTCGGATGGCGATTATTGCCTGTGATCCGAGAAGCCGGGGGGGTGCCTCTGCCTATCTGGTTTTAAGATACCGACACTCTCGACGCGGGGATCCAATATAGCTTGCTCCCGAGATCATGGGGCGGTTGCCTGCGATGCCGAGCTTGGCGGGACTGGTCCAGGGCGCTGGACGGGCCGTGGCGCAGGAAACGGGGTGATCCCCACATGACCGCGATCTCCTGCTGCCTTTTGCTATCCCAGATCAATCCCAAAGCCGAAAGTGTCCAACTCGTTCGGCAGCATCGCTCCTCGCCAGGTGTCGCTCTGGAAGCCCTTTTCCCTTCTGCACTCAGGTGATGCTTGGACATATCTGCTGGGCATCGCCACAGCAAACGTGATTGATCATTATCCGGGGCGCTGACTTGCCTGCGTCGCCTGTGGCTGCCGCTTTGTCGTTGAACAGCCTCCGCTCGAGCGCCGACACGGGCCACCAAGAGCCGCCGCCATGTTCCGCTACGAAAGAGACGACGGAGACGAAGATGAAGACCAATACAGCTCGTTTGGATACGAGAGAGATTTGGATCCCGGCTCATCGAGGTAGCATAATTTCTCATCCGTACTTCCTTGGACCCCAACCTGTCTTCGTTGCCCAACCGTTCCTCGCAAAGTCTGGGGAAAATGATGAACACCAGCTCGGGAATACAGCCAAATGGGCTGCGCCGATGATCGAGCGGGGATGCTTGGATTCCTCTCATCAGGTCAGCAGGGTAGCTGGAGCTCAGATACTCAACGCTGTTGGGCAATTCACATGGCGATCTGCTTGCGCATCCATAGCGACGAAGACGACATCAACAGTATCCAGGACCAGCTGTTATCCCACGTTCACTACACCAGCAGCTGGATGGGTGCGTCGCAAAGCCTGCCTGCAACTGTTCCCAAGGCGCTGATGGGCAAGCAAGATAGAAGCGAGCCTTCTGACAACGGCCAGAGCGACGACGATAACGACAACGATAACAATAACGACAGCGATAACAATAGCGATGACGATGACCACGACGACAACGACGACAACGACGACAACGACGATGACAAGGATAAAATTACCAACAAAAACGGCGACCGAGATGGTGTTGGAAGTCGGAGCGGCAACGATATCGATCGGCCCAAGGTCCGAGCGACCCCAGAGGACGCAACCCTGGTTGGCTCCATCGGGTCTGATCCGCTGTCCTCGCCTCGACCAACCATCCCTCCTGGATCAAGTGCGGCGGCCTCTCCGATTACATTTCAGAAGCAGGCAATCAAGCCCCCTGTCCTCCAGTCCAGCCTGAAGCCACAGAACGACAGTTTGGAGGTCACCCACGTCATCCAGCCGGAGCTGTTCTCGGCGCAACTGGAAACGAAGCTTGCCGATCCCAAAGGCATCACTCTGGCCGAGCTCCTGGAATCGCGACCGACGACGGTGGTTGGTGTCCAATCGAACTTCGCCCACTCTTCCCTTGCCTGCGTTGCTGGTGGACCTATCTGTGATTCAGAGATTGTTCCGCAGTGCCGGAGCCTTCTCCAGCAACTAGGAGTGTCTATGAAAGTATGCTGACATGCCATGCGGCTGTCCACCAACTTCCATGTGCAATACCCAGAGCAACTTCACCGGCCTGAGTCACCAAATTCAGTGCAAGTTCTGCAGAGAGTACGGTCATGTTGCCTATCAGTGCAAGGCCAAGGTAACGAATGCCGAGAACAGCCGGTGTACTGAGTTTCGACGGACAGCGAACATTGTTACAGTAGCAGGGCACTGAAGCACCCATACACGAAATTCAGGAACTCGAGTGCCAGTTTTGCAAGGAGGACCACGATCCCACAAAATGCCCGCTTGAAGATCTATGCTTCAATTGCTTTGGACTGGGCCATCAGCGAAAGGTAGCAGCAAAGCTCTCTGTATAACCACCCAAGCACGTATCGATCTAGTGCTGCCGTGAGTACATGGTTCTTAAACTGCAACCACGTTCTCCAGGACTGCCCCATGAGCGAATCAAAGCGCTTCTGCTACGAATGCGATCGGCCGTCCCATATGACAGTGGTAAGCTGGCAATGCCGACTCTGCACCTCTCTGGCGATGGGATCGTAACTCTACTTCACAGGACTGTCCGTATGTGTGGAGACACTACGACCGAAGAGGAGCACGGGTACGTAAGGATGACACATTCAAGAGGGACTGGGCTACCAAGTGTGCTCTACTTAGGCAGCCGGAAGCTGCTCTACAATATTTTTGTGACTCATCCAGGCACCTTGATTTTCCAGCCCACCAACTCGGTCGTTTCCGTGATATGCTACAATTGCGGAAGCACGGTAAGACTTTTGTTGCCATGCCAGCGCTCTTGGTGCCTCGTTTCCTTGCTGGTCGGATGGCGCCGTCGGTTCCGACAGCTGTTTGCGGCCCAGGCGTCTTGCTCCCTTCCCCAATAACGGCGAGCCTAACCAGCGACTGTCCTCTTGTCTCGTATAGGATCACTGGGGAGATGTAGGTGTTGAAGTCGATGGCCGACTCTGTCGTGCCTTGGCGCGAGTGACGGCTCGGTTCTGGTGGACATGTATCCAAACACGAGTGCCATTCACCCCCAGGCGCTACTTCGTGGAGCATTGGACCAACGTAAAGCGCGCTGAATCTCTTGCACCTCGGCACATCCTAGGATTGTGGTGAATCATATCGTCGACGCACGAGCGCCTTCAACGCCCTGGCGCTGCGTCAGCTCAATCCCGCCCGTGATCGACCGTCGGTGCATCCAAGCGGCGGCCGACTCCCAGGAAGCCGATCCAGTTCGCCGAGGCCATTGCGATCGAGCCCACCGCGATCGTACCAGGAGGAGCCCGGGCGACAGGACTACTACCGAGATGACCGGCGACCACGACGGGGCCGCTCCCGGTCCCCGCACAGAGACCGGGGCCGAGACTTGCCAAGTGCTGGCAATCAACGGTATCACGGACACGACTCCAACTATCGCCAGGATCGCTGGAACGCCCCAACAATGCAGCAGACGATGAACCCGAACTGGGCGGCTCTGCAGAAACAGCTCCAACCCGCCCGAGCCGCGACCTCGTACCCGTCGTCCTCTCGCGCCCAGGGCAGCCCTGCGTACGGCCCCAGATACCATGGCAGCTATGGTGATGCAAACTACTCTTCGCGGCGCTCAGGCAGATGAACCCGATACACCTGGCCCGGACGGCGTTCAGCGGGCTCAGCTAATAAACAGCAACTGGCGCTGCCTCTCACGGACTCGTCTCGCCCAGCATCCACCTTGAGCATCCACCTTGAGCATCCACCACCGTCATCCAGCCCAAGCCCGTGGGCGAGGCAGTCCATTTCGGCTGATTCACCAGCCGGCGCCGCGTCGCGCGTTCGGCTCTGCACAGCCCGCGCTGTACATTGGGTCGTGCACCAAACCCGGTCTCATCCGAGTCTTGGTTGCCCTTCTTCGCTGTCGTCTCTGTCTCCTCTCCCGCTCGACATCACTGCTGCTCTGCGTCATGAAGCTCTCGATCGTCGCTCTCGCCGCTACCATGCTCCTGGCCTCGTCGGCCCTGGCCGGTCCCCATGTCCGCCGCCAAGTCGATCCCTCCCAAGACTCCTCGGACAGCGCCCAGCCTTCCGCAACTCCCGACGTTCCCGTCTCGGCCACTTCCCAGCCTGTCGAGCCAACCGAGGCAGCGTCTTCGACAGACGTGACAACAGCAGTGGTCTGGACCTCGCCTGAGCCTCTGGCTCCGTCAACTTCGGCTGTGGCTTCGGCCTCGTTCTCGGCCGCCCCCGTTTTGAAGCCGACTTCGGTGGTGCCCGTCCCTCCCGCTCCCTCCCAGAGCGCCAGCCCGACCAGCGGCACATCCAAGAGCGACGGCTTCAGCAGCCACTCCCACCTGAGTATCGCGGCCGCTGTTGGCATGGCTGCCATCGCGACTGCCATCATGACCGCCTGCCTGTAGCTCGACAGACCCGCTACTGGCCCTATCCAAGTTTCACCAGAGGCGTTTGCTTTCTCGACATGGCCATCCCTGAGAGTATACAGAACGCAATTCTCCATCTGTTTGTGTATTGACAAGGGGCTCAATACATGTATTACTATGACGTCGCTGGCCCCCAGCTATCCATGCCATGTCAGATACTGGCCCCGTCTTCGCCCCTGACCCAGGACAACCGAATGCATCCCACCGAACGCCTCTGTGCAGCAAGCCCCGAGCCGTTCCGTGCATTCCGTGCATTCCGTGCATTCCGTGCATTCTGTGCTGCCCATGTGTCAGCAGACACATGACCGCCCTGCAGCCGATTGGCCCAAGCCGGCGTCCAATCGCGGGCTGGCAGAGAGAAAAAAAGACCGTCACATGGCTCGGCCCTGCCTTTTTTGGCAGTCCCCGTGACATGGCCGGCTTTGTCCGCACAGAACATGCGCACAGAATCGCCCGCGTGCTGCCCCAGCGATCCCGGCCGTTGATCTGGCGGCGACCTTTGATCTTTTTCTCTTCCCTCTCGACACCCCGTCCTCATAGCTCCCCCGACCCGACCCGACCCGACCCCGACCCGATCAGGCTCTCTGGCTCCTCCTCCTGCAATGCCCCTCACCCAAAACCCCCCCGTCCCTGCTTCGGCCTCTTCCAAGAAGAAGAAGGTCAAGAAGCCCATCTCTCCCGAAAAGTACAACGCTCTCCTCGCCAGCAAGTACCCTTTCAACATCAGCAACTCCAACGCCAAGGGCCGCCACGCTCTTGCCACCACCGACATTGCTCCTGGAACGATTGTCTATGAAGAGAAGGCCTATACCCTGATCGTCGCCCACCCCTCCAAGGACCAGTTCTGCCACCACTGTATCGAGCCCATCAAGGAGGAGGCAAAGGACGAGATCATCCGGTGCGAGGCCTGCGACAGCGTCCTGTACTGCGGCAACGAGGTATCGATCATGACGTCTCCCCTTTCTTGAACCGCGCCTGGCCGCGTAAACGATGTGCGCGACTACTTTGATGGCATAAGTGCCGATCCATCGGCTGGCGGGAAGGGACGACCTTGGGCTCTGAGAGCAAGCCCGAGGTGCCGGATGAGCGCCGAGTGATCCTGCCTGCAGTTCCAGGACTCTGGAACTTGTGGTAGCATGTGTGCAGACACCAGGCAGATCTCCCCGCCACCCGCGTCATGCAAGCCTCGATGGGATGCAGAGGCCGGACGATTGGCGGGCCGTGGCAGATAAAGGGTATTTATGCGCACCGGCAGGCATCCACCAAGAGACTAACGGGATTTCTTCGTGTCCCGGCGACTCCCGCGCCAATCTGCAGTGCAAGGAGCTCAACGCCGCCCACCACGAGCTCGAGTGCCCCGTCCTTCCCAAGCTCGTTGAGATTGCCCAGGAACACAACATCAACGTCGACCTCTTGAGACTCATCCTCGGCATCTTGACCCGCAAGACCCTGCAAGAGTCCGGTAACGAGAGCAGCCATGACTCTCTCTCTCCCTGGGACTGCGTGGTTGATCTCTCTGTTCACCGCGAGGCCTTTGACAAGACTTGGATCAAGAGCATCTCCGATGCCGGTATGTCGGGCGCCGACCGGCTTTCCGCTCTCGGAGTCCCAGCATGCGACGTGGGATCTCGGCCGTGCTGTCGCTGCTGTCACCGCAGGAAACGGCCGTGCTCGTCAGCCTGTGGTTTTCTTATGCCTTCTTTCTGCGCTCTGGTATGCCAGCTGCCAAGGTGGTCGAGCTGCTGCCCGAGAACATGAAGCTTCCCACCAACGAAGTTGTTGATTTGGCTTGCCGGTGAGTTCCATGTGCGCGCACACTCGCAGAGCGCCCCAGAGCGGCCGATTTGCTGGCGGCAGTGTATTGAGCCCGCATACGCTCTGCGTGCCCACAGAATCAACTCCAACGCCCACAGCATGCAAGACACCGAGGGCAAGACCCAGGGTATGTGTTGGTGTCTGGCGCAGTGCTCCACGCATGCGCCGCATTGGCGCTCGCAATGATTGAATTCGAGGACGGGGCGGCTCGCTTCCGAGTTTCGTTCGTGGCTGGTGCCATGTGGGCTCGTTGCTGACATTTTGTGATTGCTACGCATATCTTCTGGCATTTCCGACCGTATCCAGTGGCTGCCTTTGGTCTGTTCCCTCTCGGAAGCCTTTTCTTCCGACACAGCTGCGCCCCCAATGTGCACTTTTCTGGCGAGAAGGGCCGATTCACTTACCGTGCCATCAAGGAAATCAAGGCCGGCCAGGAAATCCTCGTCTCCCACGTTGCCGATCTGTACGCCCCTCGCTCGGACCGTCGCCAGGAGCTCATGATCTCCAAGCACATCAAGTGCGACTGCTCGCGCTGCAAGGTGCCCATGGCCAAGTCCTTGGACCGTTTCGTCGACGGCTTCCTTTGCGAGAGCTGCCACACCGGCATCTATCTGCCCGAGTTCCAGGACATCCCCGTCGAGGCCAAGGAAGGCGATGTTGTCCCTGCTGAGGAAAGCCAGACCCCCCAGCGGCGATTGGTCATCAAGTGCGACCACTGCGACTACGTTGCCAACGACCGCAGACTCGCCGAGATCCGCAACAACCTTGTCCGCGAGTACAAGGCCAACATCGAGCTCCTGCAGCAGCAGAACCTCAAGGATGCTTCCAAGGGCCTCCAGACCTGGATCGAGACCTATGCCACCGGCGGCCGTTACGTCCACCCCTACAACGCCATTCTACTCAACACTCGTGTCAACCTCCTGAACGTCCTCACGCTCCTCGGCGAGTTCGAGGCCGCCCTGCAGGTCAACCGCGACCTCATCGCCACCTACGAGGCCTCAGAGCTGATTCCCCGCAACTGGCCTGACATGGCCGAGCTCTACAACAACCTCGGCGAGCTCATGGCCCATGTTGCCAAGCTCAGGCTCAAGGCCCCTGTTGAGCCCGAGGCCGACACTCCCCGACAGCACCAGCAGCCGACCAACCGCTCCCAGCTCAAGGGCAGAGCCGCTATCAACGCCGCTGCCTCTTCGAAGAAGCCTCTCACCCCGGCCCAAGTTGCCAAGGCTAACGAGGCTGCTTCCAAGAAGCTGGCCAAAGAGGCCCTGGGTGCCTTTGCTCGCGCATACGAAATCAGCTCGGTTGTCTTTGGCGAGGATAGCAAGAAGGCTCAGGAGTACAAGGCCAAAGCCAAGATCTAAGTGTCGCCGGCCGGCGGTTATGACTGGATATATCGTGCAGTGATCGACGCATGGGTAGTTCTTTCCTGTATCCACACGTGCAGCTTTTCCAAGAAATGATGACGGGACGCCCCGCATAATCTCCAGGATAACATCCCTCCGTTGAGTGGTTTGGCGGCTCGAGAGCGCGATCGCTTCCACGGATGCGCTGTTCCAGAGAATCAATTCCTGTGGAGGACGGCGCTTTGGGACCCGTCGGCGACGCTGCTGGCTGCGGCAGGCGCCCATAAAGTCGCTCGCTCTGAGAAAGTGCATCGGGAGCAGGACGGCGGCCATATCGGAGCCGTGACAGATGTATCTCGGATCTGGGTCGCAACAATCACCCTGCCTGGAGCATGGTTGGATGGGCGCCATCCTCTCGCCGTGCTCTCGCCACCCGAGAGGACACCGAGAGGACACTGAGAGAGCACCGAGAGAGCACCGAGAGCCCCTCGGCCGTTGGTGATACGGCGGTCGCACGGGTTTTTTGTTCGTCAGCGCAGAATCCTGCCTGCCTTTGCCCTCATCAGCTCGCCAACCCATTGACCCACCCACCGACCCATCGGCCCGCCGACCCACCGACAAGCCCACCGATTCTACCGGCTACATACCACCAGCTCGACAACATGGGAAACGTACGCAAGCGCCCGGCGCATCATTGCAGAAACGCTTGCACAGCACGCACCGCGGCCGCCCATCAGCCCAAATGCATCTCGGCTCACCAACCCCACCTCTGTGCTGATCCTGACAGGGACAAAAAGCCGCTATGCGCCGCGACAGGGCTGCCAAGGACTCAAAGACCGCCAAGAGCCAGCTTAAGACGGTATGAATGACTTGTCTCGGCGCCTATGCAAGTCCAGCGCTTCGCACCGAGATGCAAAATCGGACAACCCCAGGCGGCAGTCAGCCCTCATGGTGGTGCCTCGGTATTTGTTTTCTGAGGCACCCAAGTTATGTGGGGTTTTAGTCAGGCACCCTGGCTGTGCTCGCTCAGACGCTCGCTATCACATTCGTTTCCAGAACGAGGCTGCCAAGAACATCATGTGCTCGATCTGCCGGCAGACATTCCTCATGACCATCAGGGAGCAGGTACGATCAGTCCATGCATTTGAGCCCACCGCCCAAAGTACTCGACCAACAGCAGATAGGGAATAGGCACTCGGCTTGCACTCGGCTTGCACTCGGCTTGCCCATCGGCCGCTCCAAAGACTACATCATCGAGCGCGATCCAGGCTGTCCATCGCTCACGAGCCGTCCACATACTCTGCGGGTCCTATCGATCCATGTAGGCGCTGCAAGATCACATCGAGAGCAAGGTATGCTGTGTTGATATGCATGGATATATGCATAGATGGACATGCATGTAGATATGCATGTAGATGCATCCAAAACAGCTGCATTGCGCTGATTAGCCTGCAGCTCTTGGATTGGATGCCGCCCCTATCGTGAAGCAGATCAACCACAGAGTGGGTACTGACGCTGGTGTGCTGCTATGGTCACTTTGGCTACTGAACCCATCTGGATATGGTTGCGCGCACGATCCCTTGGATGCCCGATATCTATTCCTCGCCGAATCGCCCGGCCATTCATTCGTCCGTCTGTCCGTCTGTCCGTCATCGGCGACAGCACTCGGGCAAAACCGTGAAGGAGTGCTTCCCTATGTGGGGCTCTGCCTAGATACATCCACAATCAACGGCGCTGCTTCCGTTTTTCGAACACAGGTACCACTGTTTGTTCTCCAACCTGAATACACAGAGCCGACACCACTGTTCAGCCATCTCTGCCCGCCCAGATGCGGCGATCCGAACCCTTGCCGATACTTTGTGTGTGTCAGGGTCTGTGGCATCGTGCTATGGATGCAATAGCCATGACGGCAGTGCGCCGATCGACCGCCGGCAGCAGAAATCATCCCGGCCAAGAGCGGCCTGGTTGTGCATGGGCCGTGAGGAGCCAGACCAGCATCAGCAAATCGCCCGAACCGGTCTGTGCTGGTTCGAGTGCGAGTGTCCAGCAGTCCTTTTTTTCTTCTGCAACCAGGTTCATCAGCCCCAGCGATCGTTCACCATCAGGAAAGCACCGATCCAGCCCTGTCTGAGCCATCCTTGGATCGCAAAGTCCTCTTTTCCCTACAGACCCGTTGCACCGTCTCGCACGCCCGCTATGTTCGCCTTCGAAACCGACGACAAGGCTAAGCTGCATCGCGCCCGCGACTTCCAGGCCATCATTCTTGCCGGCGATGCCTCATCCGACGCATCGGGCTCAGGGTATATGCCTCTATGCACTGAGCACCCTGTCCACCGCAAGATTCGTATCCCTACTGAAGCACACCCAGAGCGCTGCAACATTCGATCTGGATTGTCTTTCTGGTGCTCCGAGGCTTTGGCTGCGACCCGGACTCATCCACACTAACTCGACATGCGATTCATCTGGGGCCTTCCGCCTTGCAGCCTGTATCCGCTCGTCAACGCCGAAGAGCTGCCCAAGGCTCTCCTCCCGGTTGGAAACAAGCCCATGATCTACTACCAACTGCAGTGGCTCGAGGCTGCTCGCATTCACGGTACATACCCCCCCCGTTTCCAACCCATGTATCTGTGTCCCCGTATGATCGCCGAGACCCAGGTCGATGACAATCACAATATCTCGGACACACAAAGGAACCATCGGGAATCATAAGCGCTCGGCCAGACGCTCTCTCGAATCTCCGTGTTATTGCGCTTTTTGGATCCTGTTGACAACGCCATCGACCACCCGTCACTGACCCGGTCGCTGTGGCTGCAACCGATCTGCAGAGATCATCATTCTCACCCAGGTCGGGGCTGCCAAGAAAATCAAAGACTATTTCAAGATCTACGAAAGCAGCTCGGACACTGCCATCGAAGTCGTGACCGTCGACGAAGACTATGGCACTGCCGATGCACTCCGACACATCAAGAACAAAATCAAGGTGGGCTGGCCGGTGTCCGGCTGGTGGTGAAGCTGGGCAAGGCTGCTCCCGGTGGCTCAGCATCCGGATTATGACTCCGCGGAAGCAGTCAGTGCCGGTGCGCTGCGCATGTACTCATCCGATTCGCCGACTAACATTAGTCCTTGGCTCGGCCCACAGAAAAACTTCATTGTCCTGAGCTGCGACGTCATCACAGATGTTCATCCGCACCAGATCATCGACTTGCATCGGGCACAGAATCCTTCGGCCACGGTGCTGTTCTACGACAGCTCCAAGCTGGAGAGCGGTGCGGACAAACCCAAGGGAAAGGACGAAGGTGAGAATCTGCGGATACGGCCGAGATGAGGGGCAAGTCCGTGCACGGGAATCACGAAAGCCGCCCTCTGGCTGGGCAGAAGCCATGCCGAACAAAACAAGCCTCAATAGTAGATACCGATACCGTCGTCGTGGAGGGCATTGCCAGAAAAGACGTTCAGTGTCGACAACTGTTCTGATCGACGTTGCGCTCGCCCCTGAATGCAGACACGATCGAATATGTTGGAATTGAAAGTAGCAAATCGCGACTGGTCCTGCTGACTTCTCCGGACGACATCGAGGACGAACTCCCCATCCAGATCTCGGCAGCCAAAAAGTACGTGTGACGGCATCAGGGATCCGCTCTATGCTCCCTCCATTTGTCGGCGCGGCTTGCTGATCTGCACTCCTGTCCACCGGTTTGTGTCGCGGCTATGACACAGATTCCCTGTGGTCAATGTGACGACCCAGCTCCGCAACGCACATATCTATATCTTCAACCGATGGGTGATGGACCTGATTGTCCAGAAGAAGCACATCTCGAGCTTGCGCGAGGAGCTGCTGCCTCTGCTGGTCAAGGCCCAATACTCCAAGCGGGTCCTGGAGAACGAAGGAATCGATAAGCGTGAGTTTATGCGCGTGATGCATCCAGGCCCGGTCGGGTTGGCTCGAAGGTTGGCTCGGAGGCTGCACATGCTTATCTGTGCCGCATGTGTCTGTTCCTCCCTCGGATTCTATTGCGCCAGTGATGGCCACGGGCGGCGACAGCTTCCTGCGTGCTCGGGCACTCTCGACATCAGGCAGCGCCTATCTGGAAGATCGAGGCGTCATCTGCACCGCCGTGACGATCAATGACTCGTTCTGCGGCCGTGCCAACACCGTGTGGTCTTACTCGCAGATCAACTTCCAGGTGAGTCGTGCTGGCGGCTGCCTCGCCGAAGGGCAGATGGGACGAGGCCACCAACTAATCCAGACTTGCAACCTCACAGTTCACAAAGAGCCACGGCGAAGACTCGAAGATCTCCAGCTCGGCTGTTGTTGATCCCAAGACCCCAGTAGGTGTCGCTTGAGGAGCCAATGGGATGTGTGGTGCAGCCTGGCCGCTGATCTGCAGCCTCTGAACACCTCCTGAATGTACCATGATCGGAACAGGTCAGTGCGGACTCGCTGATCGGAGAAAGCACCAAGATCGGAGAGCGTGGAAGCATCAAGAAGTGCATCATTGGAAGCCACTGCACCATCGGCAAGATGGTCAAGCTCACGGGCTGCATCATCATGGACCACGTTGTGATCGAGGACGGGTAAGCGCCGGGCAGCAGTGACTGGGCATCGAATGCATCCATTTGGGCCCAGGGCTATCGTCGACTGACTATCATGCTGCCCTTGCCACCACCACTACCCATTCGTTGACCAGGGCCAAACTCGACGGCACCATCGTCTGCAACGAAGCCCGCATCATGGAGAAGGCGACGCTCAAGGACTGCGAGGTTGGAGTCAAGGCCGTGGTGGAACGAGAGGGTAAGCGTTGGCTGGATTTAGCGAACGGCAGTATCTGGCTCGTGGTGTGGTGGTGTCAGATTCAGCGCACTTGCCAGTTCACATCACATCACATCACATCACATCACATCACATCACATCACATCACATCACATCACATCACATCACATCACATCACATCACATCACATCACATCGCTTCACACGCCCATCAGACCAGATGAGATTAGATATCGAATCGCATTCCCGCAGACTAACACGCAGACTCGCCGTCGTTGACTGCAGCCACCCACAAGAACGAGCATCTGCTCCGTTACGAAGAAATGACCGACTGAGTCGAGAGGGCCTCCAAAGGATCTCCCCCCGCCGCGCTGTTGCCACTCGCCGGTTAACTCGCAAAAATACACAAAAAACCTGTCCATAATCTGAAACGAGAGGCAGCCGACGCCAGACTGATATGCTGTGCGTGCTGGGTTGGGTGATAATGGAGAGCAGGGGTTGGGACAGGACAGGAGTCTGCTGTCTTTGGCATGCGCATGCAGGCGCAGATACAGAATGTGGGAGGTATGATAGACCAAACCACCCATGCAAGGGTCGTGGCTGGTGAGTTAGGTTCCCATAAGGATCTGGTTTGCGCAAAAATTGGAACCTTTCATGGGAAGAAAGGCAACAGAGTGTTGCAAACGGAGCGAATTGCTATCTTTCGGGCCGTGCCCGCCCCAGCGTCCGGATCGCGAACGAGTCAGAGGACTGGGTTTGATCAAGCAGCAGGGCCATACGCAGAGACATCGTGTCGACGAACCGACGGTGTCGCGCCATGGCCAGGCCCTCTCTCCTGATGGAAGACACGATTCCATACAGCCCCCGAGAGAGAACCTCTGGACTGCTGTTGCTGATCAGGCCATGCGCACAGGCGCAACAGAACAATGAAAACGGGGGAGGGTGGGGAGAAGACACCGCAAGAATAATCGTCGTTGAGTTCCGGGGCTCGCGACGCGCATTGCTGCAGCCGAGAGACCCCGTAATCGCATAACTGTGCTATAGCGAACCATCCACGGGAGAGACTCCCGAGCCCCAGCGCTCATTTGACCTCCTCCCGAGGACCATCACAGCGAGCAGCCCGGCAGGGCAGCGCAGCGCAGGCAGACATGGCGTTCTCCGGGTTGCCCACCGACTCGAGCCGCACGCGAATGCGGCTGTCTATGTCGATGGCAGAGGACGCACGCTGACCACGCTGGCCGACCCCAGCCAGGTTTGGAATACCCAGCCGCGACAGAACCCAAGCCGAGAGCCAAAGAGCAAGCAGAGCCCGAGAGCCATACGCCCCCTGCGTGGATGAACCTGTTGTGGTTACCAGTGACATTTCTGCCCCGTGCTCGACGAATTTCCCCGAAGGCGAGAGAGCGGCCCGACGGGCCTCTCCGTGTGTAGTGCTTCGAACAGCGATTCTTTGCGGTATCTTCTCCTGGAGTTCCAAAGCAGACGCGGCGCCGCCCGTCTCGTTTTATACCGTCGCGCGGAGACGCAAAGAAAAACGACTGGCGCTTACGCAAGCATGAATTTCATTCCCGCCGGCGCCAATCAGTGCGCAGCACGCTGCGCAGCATGGCGGAGAACGGATTCGCGACGTGGGTGTTCGGCATCGGCATCGGCATCGGCATCGGCATCGGCATCGGCATCGGCATCGGCATCGGCATCGGCATCGGCATCGGCATCGGCATCGGCATCGGCATCGGCATCGGCATCGGCATCGGCATCGGCATCGGCATCGGCATCGGCATCGGCATCGGCATCGGCATCGGCATCGGCATCGGCATCGACATCGGCGGATTTCAAAACGGTACGTCTTCAGCCGTGGATCACTTGCGTGGATTGTGTGGCAACAGTCCTGGTCCAAATCGGAGTGTCCCGTTTCATTTTGTATTTTGTCGGCTGCTGCAATCGCTGCACAGGACAGAAGTGCCGCCGTTGCTATTCGCGCATGTCCATTCCCGCTCCCCGAAGCTTTCCCTGAGCGCTGTCGCAGGCACCCTCACGCTCGCTTGGACACGCCCTCCTGGATGCCAAACCCGCTGCCCATGCGCTGTCCGCAGATCTGGACAAAGAGCGCCGCCAAGTTGTTTCCGTAGGCCTGATTGTAGTTGTGGACCCAATGCTCCATGTAGTTGATGGTGTGCGGATGATAGGTCAAGAAGTGGAACTGCCTCAGCATCACATGGATGCACTCGCTGCAGATGGCCGCGCTTGGAGGCCGATGCGACCCGTCCTGGATATCGATGCCGGCAGTGTCTCGGACGGCACGAACAAACTGGACCACGCAGAGCTGTGCCGTGTCCGCCGTGGATTCGTTTCGATGGCAACAGGCCGCCAGAGCGGGAGGGAACAACGAGGCATTGTCAGTCGCGTATCGTCGGAGAGTCGAGGCAAGGCAAGGTAATGACAGGCATCTATAGATACGCCCATCAGTATCCCCCATGTGGCAGAACGCTTGACTGCTGTTGGGCATGAGCGACAGTCCAAGCACGCGTCCGGGTGCTCAGGGACATATCCGCGGCTACTCCAATGTCACCACAAACGATGCCCCGAAGCGTCCTGCTGTGTTATGTCGCCCTCACCTCACTCGTCAGTCGGTCGCGGTATTGGCAGATAGGGGACTCGGGAATCGACTGGCTTGGAATCCTCGTCATCATGTTGTAGGGCATCGTTGCCTGATTCTTGCCGATAAAGTCAACGACGACCTGCTGGTTGATCATACATTGAGTTCGAAGGGACTTGACGTGGCCCTTGTATGCCGTGTGGCATGCTGGCGCTGGAGGAAGGCGACGTCATTATTTCATTCCATAGAGACATGCAGTGCACGCGCGCAGTGCGGCAGGAGGGCGATAAAATCGGTCGGTAAAATCGGTCGGTAAAATCGGTCGGTAAAATCCAGGCTGCAGCCCTATTCTCCCTTCCCCTGGTCCAAGACTGACCTTTGCAGTAGTTGTACATGACACCGGCTATGTTTTCCACGGTCTGGTTCTCGGAGCTTGGGAGATGGCACTTGTACGTAAGCGTAGAGTAGTAGAGCATTGCTGCTCGACTGCAAGGCGAAATCATCTTGTCGCGAGATTCGAGCTTTTGGGATAGCACGGGTGAAGAACGCGCCAGATGCAGCAGCACAAGCACGAGCAAAAGCAACCAAAGCCGGGGGCGGAACATGACGGTATGACTCGGTGCTTGGGCGCGGTGGGTTGGGGCGAAAGAGGAGGAAGACGAGGAGGGAAGGCGGGCAAAGGTAGAAGGACGGGCGGACACGTTAGAAGTGAATGGGTGGGCCGGATGAGGGCAGACGAAGGACCATGAGAGCGCGGCAAAGGCGGATAGCGCCAGAACGCAATGACCCCCCGACGCCTCTATAAGATGTAACCTGGAGCCGATACTGGCGGCGGCCGGGCCATGCTCACTCAGACAGGATATTATGGCGCCACTGGCACAGGCAGGGCCGGGCAGATCGACCCAGCGCACTCAAGAGAGATCGACCCAGCGCATTCAAGAGCGTACCGCCCAAACGCACAACACAACTGCTTTCCAGCACGAGCGGCATATAAAGATGTATATTCAGGATATATGGAGGGAATATCAAAAAGAAAGCCAAAGATCTGCCGCAGAGGAGGGGTGGAGCGGGAGGTATATTCAGCCCAGAGTTGTCCCTCCCCCTCCGTTCTACTGTTACTAGGGCTCTAGCGGGTGCGATGGCAGTTACTTGTATGCGGGGGGCATGCGGACGGCGGGTTGCGTCGAGCTGGTGGCGCCGACCTCCTTCTGTACAATCTCATACTCAAGACGAATGCCACGCTTCTTTCGTTCGTTTTCGAACCACTGGTTAACTTGCTTGTAGGCCAGCTTGGTCTGGTCGGCAATGCTCTTCTTCTGGGCGCGATTTGGGTATGGATTGGCCTCGAAGTTCTGCTGGAGGATCGACAGCTGCTGACCATTCTTGCGCATGCCCCGTGGCAAGCCCTGCTCGCGGCGATATCTCCGAGAGAACCAACTGTCGGTAGCCGTGGCGAGTGAGAGAGGGGGAGGTGAGAGTGAGGATTGGTGGTGCAGGCGGCAGAGATGATGTGACAGGAGCAAACAACAGTGGTCGGTGAGCAAAGGATAGCCAACTTTACGTTCCCACGCCGAGCACGAGCCCGAGCAGCATCAGCATTGGCATCAACATCAGCATCAGCACAGGTGCAGCCCGCCGACAAAGACCCATTCTCGTTCCCAACACCAAATCACCGAGCGGAAACCTACTTTCCGATCGTTTGTGAGAGGATGCCGAGCTCGGTCGCAAGCTTAAGGACCCGGGACCGGGGAGGGCGGATCCATCCGCGCTCGCGTGTGGCGAGATACTCTTGCTCAAGAATGGCTTCTTCGTACATGCCAATGGTATTGGTGCCATAGAGAATCGTACCCGTTGGTCGCTCAAGCCCGCTCACGGTCTGATGCGGCGACATGTTTGACCCCGACGAGGTATCGTGAAGGTCGTCCTCGGAGTAACGGTTTTCCAGATAATACGATGGGAGCAGCGGCGACTCTTCTTCGTACTCGTTGGTATCGTACGACGGCCGTCTGATTTGCAGTGTCGGAGCGGAGAGGGACCGGTTCTTCCAGCGAGCCGGCTCGAGGGACTCGGGATCTTGCTGGAGCCTTGATGATGGTAGCCAAGACGAGGGAGACGGAAGCATTGCCGATGCTGGAGCCGATGCTGGAGCCGATGCTGGAGCCGACGCTGGCCACTGCACGGGCGATTCATGCAGTGGATCCGCGGTGGTCCTGAAGGATGGATTGCCTCCATAGGCCGGCGGTTGCTCTAGCGGCCTGGACTGGCGTGTGGGCTCATGCCGGGGCAGGTTGAGGCTGAGGCTGAGGCTGAGGGCCGGAAGCGAAGACGTGGGTGCTACGGAGGAGTTGATGGCGTGTCGAGGCGATCCCATTCCAAAGCTTGCCATGCGGTCATGCAAGGCCGAGAGGTTGGGTACCGAGGCCCGATGGGCCTGAGTTCGGGGAGAGTGGGAGCGCGGTGGGTAGTAGTCCGAGGGAGCGTGATCAAAGGAGTTATGGGACGCAGACAGGAAGGCCGGAGATGGCTCGTGGGGATGCGTATCGCCCAGCAGAGGTGGCAGGACCCAGCCGGGTGAGGCGTGGGATGAGCGGACAGGAGCAGAGAAAGGAGCAGCAGAGGCAGAGGCAGAGGCAGAGGCAGAGGCAGAGGCAGAGGCAGAGGTAGAGACAGAGACGGAGACAGGCGAAGCATGTGTTCGGGGGAGCGGTGCAGCAGTGTGGTGGGAGTCAAAGGACAGCCTGGTGTCGGGTACACACGGCCGAGCCGGGGCGGTATCAGCTGGGGTATAAGGGGTCGTGCGGATGTCCTTGTCGAAGGATCTCGAGGAGCCAAAGGAACGGGACGCTTCGTCCAAGGGGTGATTGGAAAAGAAGGACCTGGCCGGACCAGGGTGTCGTGGAAACGATGGCTCTGGCAGATATGATGGCTGGGAAGCGTAGCGGGCCGGCCAGTGGCCCTGGGTTGGAGGAGCATATTCGCTGTGTCGTCGGGCTGGATAGCGGTGTGGGCCGCCGAAGCGCTGGGTATGGGGCACGTCGGACGTTTGAGGCATGAAGGATTGGGAGGGGGTTGGGGCACCGTAGGTTTCTGCCATGGCGACGAAAAAGCCTGAACGAGTGTGGGTCGAGGGGGGCGGTGGAAGCAAAGCCTTTGTGTGGGGAGAGGAGAGAACTGGAAAAGACAGCCGGTGTCAACGAAAGACAGGTGCAGAGAAACGGCGGGTCAGACCAGAGGGAGGAGCGAGTGGTGGACAAGACAAGAGCAGCCGTGCAAAATGCGAATGCCGATGCAACGAGAGCCAAGGGGGACGGGGCGGCCAAAATGAAGAGCAACAGATGGCCGGAATAGACAACTCTAGGAGGACAGGACTGGATAGGCAAGAATCAAAAGCCAGAGCCAAGGAGAAGAGAGGGAGAGGGCAAGCAGCACAGAGACAGGGTTGGCGTTGGGGAGCTCAGGAGGATCCAGACGACGTGTGCTGTGAAGGGAAGGATCGGATACCGTCAGGGCGGCGAGGTGGCGGCAGGAGCAGGAGAAACCAAAACAAAAGCAGGCTCAAAGGGCAAAACAGCCGGAATCGTGTTCGCGTAGAATCAAGGCTCGGGCGAGCGTGAGAAGACAGTCGGGGTGCGAAGGAGGACGGGAGAAGAGAGCCAAGGGAGCCTTTTTTTATGAAAGCAGACGAGAAGCAGCTCTGTGGCGATGGTGGTCAGAAGAGGGGCGAAGGAGGAAGGAGGGGGAAATAGGATGGATGCCTCCTTTTTTGTGTCAAGCGACATCCCGTAAACCGCAGCCGCGAGACAGGGCAGGGCGATGGGAAAGAGAGCGGCCATGGGGTCGGTGGAATGGAAAGACCGCTGTCGGATAGGGGGAGTGGCAAGCGGATCCCCCCCAGGAGCGACTCGGAGGTCTGTGTACGAGTGACCCCCTCGCACATGGGGGGGCTATGCCAAGCACGGCGTGGACAATCATCGACTGGAACGCCGCACAGCAGTCTGGCTGCCCGGAGCGCCGCGGGTGTCGCCCAAAAGCAATTGGCTCAGCAAGGGGCAGGAGGGCTGTCTGGGCGATTGGTGCGCTCGCGGTCGTGCGGGCGATTGGGTCTTGTGGCTGCCATCGGTGGAAACGCAAGGTGGCGGACGGCTTGGCCAGGGGCGCCGGTGGGACTGTTGCGGATGCGATATGGCAGCTGTGGGATTGTGCTGCGTGGCATGGTGGTATGATGTTGTGCGTGGGATATCGTAATGCGGATGTGTCCGTCAGTGTCGATGCGACATGGATCGCCACTGCGACATGGATTGCCACTGCGACATGGCGCTGTCAATATCACTATCGCTGCGTCGCAGACCTGAATGCCACAGATGTGGGTGCTTGTTTGCGAGATGAATGCTTGTTGCGTCCGCGCTAATGCAGCCGCCGTGCCTGTCGGGCCGAACGGGGGACAGGCAACGGCGACCGGGCAAAGGGCATGCTGTTGCTGTTGCCGTCGATACTGTCGATGTTGGCCTTGCCATCGGTGCTGGTTGTTCCATTGGGGCGGTACGGGGGGGGCTGCTGGTGGTTTTGCTGCTGGTGGCGGCGGTTGCACCAGCTCGTTTGGCCGGGACAAGGGGCATGGATCGCCGGCATGGAGCTTGCGATCGCTGGACTGGAGCCGCTGTGCGTGGTGGCGGCCATCGGGTGCATATCGGATGTGGATCGAGCGCCGATCGAGTATCCCGATCGAGTATCCCGATCGAGTATCCCGATCGAGTATCCCGATCGAGTATCCCGATCGAGTATCGACTGGATGTGGATCGGGTCGACGAAACAGACCAAGTGCAGACGGATACCCCGGCCGCGAGCGACGACGAGTACTGCCGGTTGCGAATGCGGCTGCCATCGCACGTTCGGGCGACGAAGGGGGGTGCTTGGACAGCGCCGGCCCAACCAGTAAACCATTCCTGTGCGCCGCCGGTAGACCAAGCATGTGGTAGCGCCGGAATAGATTGTGCGCGCATGTCCTTGGGGCGGGGCGCCAAGGCCGAGTCCTGTCTGCCACCAAGCAGGGCAAAGGGGAAAGGAGAGGGGGATTACGGGTGTCAGTTGTCGACGGCTGTAGGTGCTGCGGATTTCGGAGGGCGGCTCGGGCAATGGAGTGCTGGTGTGGTGTGGTGTGGTGTGGATTGTCCTGTCGATCGTTAAAGTGGTCGTTAAAGTAGTCGTTACCGCCGAGTGCTATGCACAATCTGGAAACAACAACCTGCAAACAACCTGCAAACAACCTGCAAACAACCTGCAGACAACAGCCGTCCTTTGCCCGTCTTGCTCTGTCCACCCCCGTTCCCCTCTAATGCAGTTTCTTTGTCCTTCGCTCGACACTCCCACCCATGCGACAGCCCCGCTCTGCCCGCTCAGTCCTTGCTTTTGCCGCATTACATTTCCATGGAGTCGCTTTCCAGCACCGCATCCATCCGCATCGTGCTCAGTCGCTTCCCCCTCGCCTCCTGCCCATGTCCAGCCGTGTCGATTGCGGTCTCTGCCGGTGATTGTCGCCCACCACGCCGGGCCTGAATCCCACCCCTCGCCAATCCTCTCCTTTGGTGCGGCTGAACGGCTCGCCCGCCCAACCACACGAAACCCTGGCGACCGATCATCGTCCTCCGCCCTGGCCGCTGCGATCCATGCCCGCCCCGATCGCCAATCGTCTCCCCCCGCAGCGACAACCAGCGACAGCCAGCGACATCCAGCGACAGCCAGCGTCCACGCCGCGGATGCCTCGCTGATGTCAAAGACGGCAGCGGCAGTGTCCGATCCGACTGCTTCGTCCGGCTCCAGCCAGCCAGGCTCTGCTGGTTCACGCATGTGTCTGGCCAGCAGCATCATGTGCTCGGACATGCCCAATCTCGACACTCGGGCCTGATCGACTGGGCTGGATATCCGTCTTGTTGCTCTCGCCTGCAATATGCATCCTTGTCCAGCAAAAGACCCACCAGATGCCGTTCGTCCGGTCCACTGTTGTCCCTGGTCGCTCTGGGCTGTCCTCCACTTGTCCTTTCGCTCCTGGGACATCTCACAGCCATCTGCCTTGCACCACACATCGCCTGCCTCTTCCCCCACTCAAGGGCATATGCACACACTCTGGAGGATCCCTGTTGGATGAGTGGCCGAGGCACTGCATTGATCCATCATTGCAGGCAATCCAATAAAAAACGGGACACCCGGGTTTTTGACCATTCATCGAATATTTTGTTACCCAATGCTATCGCGCGCTGGCCATGACCATTCGCCACACATCCGACTTTCGCACCGCCGCATTGCGATGCTACGCCCTCATCCATAGCCTGCGTAAGGTCGCCTCCATATTCAGTGTATCCAAGAGCACCATCCATCGATGACACCGAGGATGCAAGCTGGATGGCCCATCCCGGGTCCCAGCTCGCAGATCCACTTTCTTCGAGCAGGCATGTCCAGTCATTCGCACCCTGATTGAACAGGACCCGCTCCAGACTGGTCCTGTGTTGCGATGCAAGCTCGAGTCCATCCTCCAGAGGAAAGTTTCACTCTCGCTCTGCCACACTGCCATCCAGCGAGCAGGTCTCTCTCACAAGAGGGCAACACACCTCTACAAGTCCAAGCGACTGGATGAGCGAGTGGCACAGTTCAGGGACGAGACCCGCTCCATTGACCCACGACGACTCGTTTTTGTCGACGAGACAGGGATCAGGAGATCCATTTTCCCTCTCTACGGATACTCGCCGAAGGGTGCTCCGCTTCGCCAGCGCAATCACATGAAACACAAGTCTGTCTCGGCTGCATTTGCCATCAACCACTCTGGTGTGCTGCATCGAGCGCCGAGGATGGTCAGTGATCTTCACCCCACCTGCCTCGCCCGACTTCAATCCCATCGAGAACTTCTTTGGGGTTGAGTCCCCACCGATTTGGGGTTGAGTTCCTCCAATTTGGGGTTGAGCTCCCCAATCACGCCGCCATTTTCACGCTCAAATCCCTGGCTTGAACCTCTCGGCGATTTTTGAACAGGTCGCTTCCCCAACCAGCCCGCAAAGACGGGTTCCTGCTCTCGGGTATAAATGCCACACCTTCGTCCTGCTGCTTTCTTCCCTCATCTCGCCTTGATCTGATCATCGCGCTATTGTACGATAAAGAGAAGTCTCTGCTCTGACCAGTACCACTGGCAGGCATCCAGCATCCTCTGCCCCCATGCCTCCGAAGCGCAAGGGTGCCGGTGATGGCCAGCCTCGGCCACCCAGGCCCAAGAAAGCCAAGTCACAGTCGGAGCCTGTCTCTGGTTCGTATTCTGACCCCACGCATGCTTGTTTCTCTGTTGCTCCGTTGCTCACCACCACTGCTTCTGCAGATCCAATGGATGTCGATCCCACCGAGCCTGGTCCCTCATCTGGTCCTGTCAAGCGATGTCCCAAGTGCGATGGCACCGATCATCAGCGAAGCAACACCAGCAAATGTCCCAAATACCGGCCCCTCAAGAGTTCTGTCGTCCCACTCGTGGATGGAAGGTCATCCGCCCCTCAGTTCGGCTGCTTCAAGCAGACGATGGATGGCTGTTGTCTCAATCCCGCTCTCCGCGACAAGATCCAGGCCACCGTCGAGGCCATGACCCAGATCCAGTTCGAGGCATCCAGGCTGCTCAACCTGCACATCCTCCGGTGCATCGAGCAGGATCTTCCCATCCCCGTCATCTCCAAGGCCACCCCTGCTTTCATCCGCCAATGCTTCAGGATCGTCCAGGCCGATGCCCTCTCCCCGACCGGGGACAATGAGAAATACAACGAGCATCTGGTCGCTTCCTTTCGCGACTACCAGACCACTCGGCACGCAGACCTGCCTCCGGCCCCTCGTCTGCCTGATGGTGCTCACAGTCAGCTTCTCACACTGGCTGTCAATGCCTATGCCACCAACTGCACCACCCACCTCGACCTGGCATACTGGCGACTCCTTCGCCGCTTCTGCGCTGCCGTCTTCCCAGCCAACAAGCATAAGCACGAAGCCATCGAGGCCTGTCTCGAGCTCTTCGAGAAACCAGGGCAGACTCCACCCAAGGCCGATCTCGAGTTCCTCTATCCCGAGTTTGGCCACATCCTGGACGAGTTCCGGTACAGCAACGACCAGGACCGCTTCCGGGGCCCTCCATCGCCTCTCACACCATGGGAGAATCCTCGCCCGAGACAAGATGGTCGACAATGTCCACAAGTGGATCGACTGTGACATGTCCGCCCTCCGAGTCACCGAGCTGCAGCGCCAGGCCAAGCTGGACAGCCTCACTGCCCGAGGCATTCCCTCCGACGACAAGAGGCTCACCACGGCCAAGTCTGAGCTCGGCACCACCAAGTCCAAGATCAACCAACTGGCCGCCAGGATCAACTGGGCACTCAAGCAGCTCGCTCTTGACACTCCTCCGGCCGTGTGCACAATGGTCCCTCTATGCACTGCCACGGCCAAGTATGTCAAGATTGACACCGTCGCACTCTGGGAACTCCTTGACACCGAACATCGTCTTGGACTCACCTGGGACAAGCTCAAGGAAGAAGGTGAGGACGGTGTCAACAACCAGGATCGTCTCTGGCGCAGTTGCTTCAAGCTGCGTAGTTCCCTCTTCCAAGAGCGGGACGTGAACAAGAAGCTGTTCAACTACGAGATCAGCACCGATGGCATTGGATGCACCATCGGTCTCGTCAAGTTTCTGCCTCGAACCGATCGCACCGAGACCTCCGAGCCTCCTCCGACTGCCGAGCAGCGCATCCAGGCCCACATCGGCAACCCAGATCCCAACCGCACCACTTGGATTGGCATCGATCCTGGAGTCGGCTCCATCTTCACTGCGGTCATCCAAGCACCGGGCCACCAAGACGAGGTGGTCTCATTCTCCAATGGCCACTACCAGCAAATGTGTGGCCATACGTCCAACACCAAGTGGCACAACACCATGAAGTATCGACTCAGCATCGAGACCTGGATATCGACCACTCCCTCGCCCAAGGTGTCGTCCTCGGAGGCTTTCAAGGTCCATCTCACCCATGTCCTGCGACCGGAGCTGCGAGTGCAGCTCGACTTCCACCTTGGCAAGAAGGCCCGTCACCATCGCTTCACGGGCCACAAGAGGCGCCAAGTGGCCGTTGACAAGATGTGCAAGGCCGTCCTGAAGCACGCCCCGATACGGACCGATGTGGTGATCGCCTTTGGCAATGCGTCATGGCGACAAGGCAAGGGCTATGCATCCAGCCCTCGGAGGCAGCGGTTTGCTCAGTACTTTGAGCAATTCGAGCACCACCGACGCCGTCCCAATCACCATCATGGAAGCGTCAAGGTGGCCTCAACGAACGAGTTCAACACCTCGCAGGTGTGCTCCAAGTGCCTGGAGCCAGTTCGGTTGGAAGGACTCGATGCGCCCAGCGTTGCGAATTCCCACTTTGTCAGGAGCTGCAAGAATCCCAGCTGCCGGACAGTGTGGAATCGCGACGTCAATGCGGCGCGCAACATGATCACAGTATGCAGGTCGATTGTGGAGATCGGAGAGCGACCGGCGGTCTTCACTCGGAGGCTGCCAAAGTGATCTGTTTTATTTCTTGTGGCTTTGCTTGACGCAAGCACAGCACATACTACATGTTCATGGAAACGGCTATATTGTCCCGTTTTTTTCTGAATAAAGTGTAATCCATCACTCTCGGCGTCTCACCACCTCCCTCGTGGTCGACTGGCCCGGCCATGCGCTCGTATCCTCAGATGCCCTGCCCTCTCGCCCACAGCGACCCCCCTGGTCAGGTCCGCCGTGATCCACTTTCTTCTACCAACATCGGCCAATTCGCGTGGCCTGGTGCGCTCGATGCCGCTCCCTTTCTCTTGCCCGCCTCCTCCGCCTGCTCTCCGGCCACGGCGCTATCGGTGGACCGATCGATGTTGTCTGTATTGACGTGGGAGTACAAGCGTCCCGCCTCATTCCTCCGCTTCCAAAACAGAAGATGCAATGACATCATAGTAAAGCGCCGAATCGGCTGCTTGGTTGGCGGGCGATATTTAGGTATTGTTCATAGAGGGAAGATAATGAGGTGTGAGGGAGGTGGTTTGATCAGGGCACCCGACCCTGTCCTCCGGCTTGCTGCTTGGGCGCCGGGCCTGTGGGCTCGCAACGCTTGCGATGGTCGCTCGGACTTGCCCGTCGAGAAGCTACGAAAGCAGGTACAGAATAACGACCATGCCGGCCGTCATCGTGACAAACGCCAGGATATACTGGACCAGCACCACGCTTGCAATCTCGTCGGCCCGGCCCGTAGGATTCAGCATCTGAGTAAAGTAGACGGTAGAGCCCGCCGTCGGGCATATCGCCATGAACATCAGCACAAACCGCAGCATCTTGTCTTGCTGCGGAATCCACATCAGCTGCGTCGACAAGAGTTGCGTCAGGGCGATGCCGATCACCGGCAGGATCACCAGCCGCACCAGCGCAACCGAGATCGAGATGCGCCAGGGCAGCAGTGTGTTCCGAGAGAGCCGGCCCAGGGCGGCTCCAAGATTGACCAGGCCCAGGGGCGGGCCGACTTGGCCAATATAGTTGCTGGCCTCCAGCAGGAACTTGAAGACGGGCTCGTTTCCGAGGTTCTGGTTGACGACCGAGGGACTGTAGACGAACAAACCCTTGGTGGCCGGGATCAGCGCCAGAATCAGAGCCACAAAGATCTGGAGTTTTGGCGAGACCAGCAGTTAGCGATTCGGCACGCTCATGCTGCCGATGCCATGCTGCCGATGCCTCAGTGGGACTCGGTCCTGTCTCTACCAGCGGTGCTGGGCCAAAGCACTCGCATTCGCACTCGCATTCTGGCATGCTCGCACAATCGTACCGATGAGTTGGCCGGCGAAAACAGGCCCTTCAGCAGCGCCTTGACTTTTGGAGTAAAGATCATGTCGAACTTGCCCCGCAGCGAGGCGCTCTTGAATGCCGCCCACGATCCCGCGGCTTTTGAAGGCTCCTCTTGAGAGGAACGCGGCGGCTCCAACTCAACATCGACGACGACAACGTTGTCGGTGTGGGTGTGCTCGGCGATGTGGGTTTCATCGTGGGCATCGGTGCCAGGGCTGCTATACCGGGCCTTGCGGGATTCTGGATCTGCACCAAGCTCGGTCAGGGAGATGGCGTCGGCTTTGCTGGCTTTGCTGGCTATGTCACCAGCGTCGTTGTGGATCTGAGGCTCGCTCAGATCAACATCATGCTCTTGCCGATCCGCCTGTTTGGAGCTCGCAAAGTCCGAGGCGATCATCCGGTATCCGATCAGGAAGAAGTAGATGTTGGCGAAGCAGAGAAAGGCAGAGACATAGCTGTGGATGTGCACGATGGCAGATATGGAGGGGCAGGATCCAAGCCGAGATGGTCGATTTGAGAACAGAGGCAAAGACAACGGCAGATGAGTGTGTGCACAGCCATTGCCTGACGACAGGATCCAGTCGACAAAAGGGGCATGACATTGGTGGTGTGTCCATCTGTTCCTTTCTCCTCCACACGCACTTACGCAATGCCGATGGCGGTGTCGCCCCGGTTGAACGGGGCGTACTCGCCAATACTGGAAATGACGGCGAGAGGAAGGTCGCCCTGTTGGATTGCAGGACCGAGCGCATCGTCGTGGTATGAAGGGGGGGGGAGTTATGGTTAGAGGCTCGACTGGGTAAGTTGGCAAGCGAGAACATGGCCAACCATCGCCCGCATGCAGCGCTTACCCAGTTCCCCATCGTCGTGGCCACTGTAAGATACCGGGATAGGCGTGTGGATTAGGACTCGAAACTGCGGGCTTGCCGCAGGATGCCGTTCCCATCACACCGCGGACCAATCCAATCAAATATGGCCATTCTTCATCTGCCCTTCCATCCGTCCAGTACTCACTCACGCAGCCGTTCGAAAAGATCTTGGGAGGCTTAGCGAGCTTGCGGACGAGGACGCCAAAGAGATATCCCAGAATCGTGAGCAGAATGGCAGCCACGGTCATGAGGCCGAGGTTGCCGAGTGTGCTGTCATCGACACTCGAGACGATGTTGGAGAACAGCAGGCATGGATATGCCAACAGGATGATGATCTGCGTGTGTCCCAGAGAACGTTGGAACGTGGAAAGGTGGAAGGTGGAAGACGGGGGAGTCAGGTCCAAGCCAAGAGCCGGAGAGATGCGAGAGTTCGCCCCCATCTTCCTTCCGCTCAAGAGGCCATCGCTGCCGACTTGGGCAGCCCGTGCTCCTCAGAGGAAGCCATACCGATGCCAGGGACCGAGAGCCAGAAAGCGTGAGGATGTTTTTCCTGGCCAGAAAGGCGCCAAAACCTGCAGTGAGCGAGGCAAGTGTCAGCCAAAGTTCAAACAGGATGTCCATCTGCTCTGCTGTGCGCCAACCGCCAGGATTGCAAGCTCGTTCCAAGAGCACCACTGCCGTGTCCAATCCGCAGCCGCAGCCGCACCGATGCAGTTGGGATCGGACTCACCCATAACGACGAAGAACTTGAGGATGGGGCGTGCAGCCGACCATATCAGGATGCGCACTGGCAATCCCCCTGATGAGCTCATGGTAACGAAGAGGCGATTTTTCGGCGGCGGTGGCGGCGGCGGCGGCGGCGGAGGAGGAGGTAGATGGAATCTTGAGGCGAGACCGCAATGGAGAAGCAGCAACTCGGGCTTTTGTAGACCTTTTTTTTTCAGCTCCAGAAAGCCGTGACGGAGCCGTTTCCTTGGTCATCGGAAGGACTGCGCAGCGCAGGGATGGCTCCGCCGAATTGGACAACGGGAAATGATTCGGGCAATATCCAAGCAGTATTCAGGCAATATCCAAGCAGTATTCAGGCAATATCCAAGCAGTATTCAGGCAGTATTCAGGCAATATCCAAGCAGTATTCAGGCAGTATTCAGGCAGTATTGATGCGCGGTTCCGACATGATTCCAGAGCCGGACCCTGGTCAGTGCTCCGTTCGGCCAAAGAGAGCAGAGCTGCGTATCGGGCGCGGCGTCCACCGTGCGAAAATGACTCCCGGAATCGATAAGCAACGGCTCCGAACAATGACGACATGATGACAGCGACTGCATCGTCGTCTTCGGAAGCTCAGCAAAGCATCGGCAGGGAGTTATCAGGAGTGTTGGAGGGGCCAAGGGATTGCGCTTGAGTGCCGCTGGCTAACCGCAGGCCGCGAGCTCCATACAGGCTTGATGTCCGTCGGCCTGGTCTCTCGGCAAAAGTGGTAGGAAACTGCCAACACTCAGAACACCTCAATGCTGGAGACTACCAATACTCAGAACACCTCAATGCTGGAGACTACCAATACTCAAGCCGCTATGATACCCAAGGCGAGCTGGCCGACAACCACCTCGTCGCACGGTGCAGAACACACAGGAGAGGATATCTCATGGAGAGCCGGTGAATATTTCTGCAAATCATCACATGAGTAGGGGGGCCATCCCTGGCATTTGCTTCACGATTCATGGTGACGACAGGGACCAAGTCGCTGCTCTAGTCCTTGAAGGTGATGCTGATGCTGTTGACGCAGTGGCGCTGTGCGGGACGAAAGGGATCGCCGTCAGACATACTGGTGCACGGACGATCTGTCGCCGAGTCATGTTGTGGTGAGGTGGCATGGCCTCGCCCTCTTCCTCCGAACGCAAGTCCTACCTCGTCAATGGGGTTACCAAATCGCTCGCCCTTGAAGACATGGCCAAGGTGTCCACCACAGGCAGCACAGGTGATTTCGGTGCGGACCATTCCGTGGCTGAAGTCATCCGTTCGGTTGATGGCGCCTGGATCGAGTGGGAAGGGGCAGAGGCCAACAATGAAAGCGTTAACAACAGACCAGCGTCAAGAATGTGGACCCAACACAGCGATCAGTCGACGGTTCCGACAACGATGCAGCCGAGGCGGGGACCCATGGCGGTGGTCTCGATACAAACCCGGGATGCCTTCGTAAAAGGCCGGCCAGCCGCAACCCGAGTCAAACTTGGTCTTGGCCTCGTAGAGGGCTGCGAAGAAGATCAGGAGCGAAACACACGGTTGGGACATGGTTGAAACGTGGTTGGGACATGGGTGAGCAATAGTGGACGCAGCGGTCGAGGGCTCTCCTGTCCGCACATCACGAAATGGATACCAAGGGCAAGATCAAGATGCCAGAGCACAAAGCCTGGGTCAGAGGTATGTCCAAGCAGACCAGCCAAGTTACGTACGAGCACCGCATCCAGCACAGCAATAGGCTCCTGCAGATGGAAGGCCGCATCGATTTTGGGAGAGGAGGGCAGGTTAGGACAATCGGGCAAGCGAGATGCCAAGGACCCTTGATCGACGGCAGTATCGAAACGGCATATGCGGCATATGCGGCAGATGCCTCGCGCGGGAGAACCAATGAGGCAGGATGGGCAGCGGCCTGGCTTGCCTTCTTTAGCGTAATGCTTGTTGTATTTGCCGGTTCCAGGTGGCTCGGTTCCCTTCTGCCGCAGGATCCTGAACTGCTCGGGCGTCAGGATGGCCTGCCATTCGGATTCCGACTTGCCGATGGACATGGGGTTGGGCTTGGGAGACGAGGATTTGAAACGCACGGCGGAGGGTCGAAGGCAGATGCGAGCGAGAGTTGGGGGCGAGGCGACGGCGAGCCGATGGCCCGATTTCAACGCACAAACGCCGAGCCGCCGAATTGACCCGAGACAACGATGGAGCGACATGCGAAACGATGCGGAGCGATGCGGAACAATGGGGGCGAGGACGGCCTGTCGAGGGCGTTGGAGATGCACAGACGGACAAGCGATGATTCCGGAAGAGCGAATGCGGATGGGAGTTCCGGAGATGTATCTCGGGGCTGGAGAAGGGGCTCGTCGCTTCTATCATGTGGTATATAGTGAATCGTATCGTCTGGCGGGTGGTATATAGCCCCAGTCATTAACTCACTTCAGCCAATTCACCTAATTCACCTAATTCACCCAATTCACCCAATCCACCCCGTCCAGCACCTCCCTCCAGCACCTCAGCACCTCAGCACCTCAGCACCTCCAACCCACCACCGGCGCACAGTGCGGGCTCTCCATCGGCGTCGTCGCCGGCGCTCGCGTGGCAGTGATCACAGCGCTGCCACCCTCGCTCTCATGCCCGGCGCCTCTCTTTTTCTCTTGTCTTGGACCCTCGCCTTGGTCTGACTCCCAGTGGCTCCGCTTGGGCCTTTCTCCCAGTGCCGCTGCCCCCCCCTCGCTGCTTCTCCTCCCCCCCCTGCCTTTTATCTGCTCACCCCCCCGGTCTTGCGTGAATTCCACATCCCGGTCCCCTCTCCCTGCCATGTTGGGTTCTTCTGCATCTTCGTCGGGCCCCCTGGCCAGACGCTCCAAGCAGCGCGAGCTCCGAGCCTTGCATTCGATCGTATCTTCCAACGAGCGGCTTCAGGCCGACCTGGATCGCCCTTCCATCCGCATCTCGGCGGCAGCTGAAAGGTAAATCCATCAAGGGCCCTCGTCCTGCCAACGGTCTACTCTCTCCTTTCCAGTCTTGGCTTGCACCTCCCAAGTTCGAAAGCGCTGTCGACGAGGATGTCTCTGGTGTAGCCTCAAGAGCCCTCGCATCGGTGCCACTGGGTTCATCTGTGACCGACATGCAGCCGCTGCCCTGGTCCATCTGGCTTCTGTCGTCAAGCATGGTCTTTGGGCAGTGCAGACCAAACCCGACGAAATTTTGTGGCGCACATCTGCACCACACTGTCCTAACCATCTTGGCTCCTTCTGCCCTCATTCTTCTCTTCTCATCTGTATCCCCCCCCCTGCTGATGCCGATCTGTCTCGGTCCTTGGTTCTCTCGGCCCGGCTCTCACTGATTCGAACGACTCTCCTGCCAATGGCTCGTCGCGGGTTCGGCTCTTCCCCCTCCCGAAACATGGCTCGTCCTCGACCGGCGCCAGGGCCATCAGCTCGACCCGGAGAAACGAAGATCCTCTCGTCAGCCCCGTGGCCGAAAACCCTTATTATCGACCAACCCGCCAAAAGTCCGGCTGTAGCCTGCTCTAGCCGCCTCGTGCTCTGTTCGCACGGCTCGGCGCATACTCAAGCGGCCACACCGGCCTCACATCTCTGCCTTGTATATTGTCCGCCCTTCTTTCCGTTTTTTTTTTTCTTCTGACTTGGTCTTGAGCGAGTCACTGCTTCCTTAACCTTGGGCTCCCCCAGGCTCTTGTTTCGCTTTTCTCCCCATCCCTCCTCTTTCTCAGGAAGCGGTTCCATCGTTCTCGCCCTGTGGTTCTTCCGGCGGCCGATACCGTCGATTGCATGTGCTGGCTTCTCAAGACACACGAGGGCTGCGCGATCGGACAGGCTGGGGTGTCCATGTTCTCGACACATCCTCCCAGGTCGCTGGTATCGAGGAACCAGTGGCCCTCCAACCAGCGTCACTTGCTTGCTTGCTTGGCAGGGACACCCGTCACCGGGCTTTGCGCGTTCCCACAGCCTTTTGCCTTGGAATAATTCCTCTCCGAGTAGCTCTCTCCTCTACTGTGCTCCACCTTGGACGATCTCTTGCCTGGTCTAGTCCATATCCGATCCGATCCGATCCGATCCGATCCCAACCTACTCCCCGCCTTCCTTTGGTATGCCCTGTGTCAGTCTACCACTTTCGCTCTGAAGTACCATGGCCTGGTCGATCTCGATCCCTGTTTCTAAGCTTGTTTTGATGTGTATATCTGTATTCTTGCGCAAAATATAGCAATTCGGCACTTGCAGCAACTTCCGCATACATAACAGCCCATGGCGAGAGAATCGATGTCTCCCGTCTATGAAACTGGCCCACGCCGAGACAATCCAGCGGCAGCGCCTGAGGCATTTCATCCCCAGCCGTCATGGCAGCCACACCGCAACAATTCCATCAGTCCTCATGAATGCAAGCTGTTCGTTCCAGCGTCGCCGTGCGGCGGATCCGACGGCATTGTTCAATACACGGCATACCGGAGCTATCGAGTGTCTGGTGCTGCCGGATATCGAGCACGGCGGCTTGCGCCTGGCGGCCGGGCTTCGGCCGGGAGCTTGCCTCTTGCTTGTTGCCCATCAAATGCAGTTCATGTCCGCTCCCGAATGTCCAGACGCTGTTCTCGTCGTTCTTCTCGCTCCCACGGTGTTGCCATCCGGCAGAGGGTTGCCGCTGATATGTCTCGCTGTCTTCGAACAGCAGACACCCATCACCACTCTTACTGCCTATCTCTCCGGGCTTCTCCGCATATCCCTCCTTCCAGATCACCATCTCTGTGTCGAGAGCGATCGTTGCTGCAGCCCGTTTGGGTCTTGATCTGGCCGCCGTCGCGCTCGCTGCCTCCTCGCCGCCCCTCTCGCCGAGAGCGCCGTCCTGGCCATATGCCGGATCTGCCCCGCCGCCGTCCATCGACTGCCTTCTCATCCCTCTCTCTCTCCTCTCTCCCTCTCTGGCCATCATCGCCCACCTGCCGCCGCCTCCTGTGGTCCATCCATCTTCCTTCAGTCCTGCTCGATCCGTGCACATGAACCAAATCAGTCTGCTCCCTGGCGAGCACATCGTCTGGACCGCGACGGGTCATGTAGGTGGATTCTCCGATTTGCAATTCCGATCCCGCAGTCGGCCGTGCAAAATGGACTTTGCTTTGGATCTGCGTCAGCGCCGCTTCACCTGCTTGTCAGAGCATCATGCATCTGCTGCCGCTCTCCGTCGCCTGGGCGGTGGGTCCAGAGTCGACCGAGCAGGCTTGCCTCGTTGGTCCTGGAGCAGAGAGCCCTCCAGCATCATGGCCTTCGTTGGCCATCGACCCCGCCCTGTCCGCTTCGCTCGGTATTCGCCCGAGATGCCCGGGCTCACCGCTCTTGCCACCCCGGTCCTTCCTTCATGACTCCGCCTCAGGTTCGGATATGGGAGGCGGCTTCGGATAAGGCTGCCTCGGCGCTGAACGGCACATCCTCCTCGAACGGCGCATTTGAAATCTCCAGCAACAGCACCACCACCACACGCGGCTCCGATTTCGTCAACATCGTCTCGCTCGCCACCGTCCCTGCCGCTCCGCTGCGGTTGCAGGACCCGTATGCATTCACCGAACCGGCTGGGCGGCGGTCCAGAGCCTCGCCCGCTGCCGCGCATAAGCTCGTCCTGACCAACTACAAGATTTACTCGCCCGCGAGCCCGCTCGGCATGACCAAGGAGCTCTACATACCCGTCATGGCGATTTCCCAGGTAACTGGCGGCCCATCGCTGCGTGTCTTGTCGGCCGATGGCTTGCCGTGGATGCTCGACAGATGGCCACCCCCGATTCCAATGTCTGTTTGAGCTGTCTCTGGACGATTCGTCGGCCCAATGTGCCCGATCGACCTCTTCAGTTCCGTCGCTATCTTGCCGCATCAGAACCGCGGTCGTCTTCATCCCGCATAGATGCGTGCTCATTGATGCTCGAGGACATCTCGCTATCGTCCCCCCTCCTGCATGCCATCATCCCGACTGGCTGCGCCTTCCACCAGACCAGCTTGTGCCATCTTGACTGACACAACTCCTCTGCCCTGTTGTGGTGACGCTCAGGTCGAGCTCGGCCATTCCGAGGTCACGCTCACGCTGCGGTTCCTGCCAACAAAGTACATTATCCATTTCTCGGGCCATCGTTCCCTTTCGACCAGCGCATCTGATTCGCTCTCGCTCTCGCACTCGGCCATGGCGTCCTCGGGCTCCTACAACTCAAAGACATGCACCGACTTTTACCAGCAGCTGCTCAGGGTCATGAAGCCCTCTGGCCCGCTCGACGAGACCTTTGCCTTCCAGATTGTGCGCCACCTCAAGAACCAGCCCAATCCAAATCTGCTGTCGCCCTCATCGTCGCCACTGAACGATGTCATCTTTGCAGACGAAGACAAGGTCGTGCGGGATGTCTTCCAGGACTGGTGGACGCTCGAGGACCACTCCTCAACTTCCCTGGATCCGTCTGCCTCCAAGGCTAACGGGCTCGATCGGACATCGAGGCAGCTGAACGGACCGGGAGGCTCTGTCAAGGGTGGTCCAAAGGCACCCAAGCTGGATCTCGGCTGGGAAGGTGGCTACAACTCGGCCAAAGAGTTTCAACGGATGCGCTTCGGGAAGAACTGGTAGGGTGCGCCGCGCCATGTCCTGTCTGGGCCGCGGTTACTTCCACCAGCGTGTGCTCCTTGCGCAAACGTCCATATCTTGCTCGCTTGGCCGCCAAAAGCCACTTGATATGCCTTGCGGTATCTTACTGCGACTCTCCATCCCCTTGTCCAGGATGCGGTGCTTTGTCAACCACGATTTCTCCGTCTCGACGAGCTACCCAGCAGTTCATATCGTTCCCGTGCCGTCATCGTCCTATGCCAACTCACCGCTGTCCCCCCAAAACCAACTCACCTATCCACCTACGCCCTTCAATCTCATCAACCAGACCTCTGCCGGAAACGTGCGGAGTCTGGCCAATCTCCAGTTTTTCCAGTCGCTCAGCAGCTATCGGGTGCGAGGGCGCTTTCCGAGTGTGTGCTGGAAGAACGCCGCCTTCCACCAAGTGATTGTGCGGTCGTCACAGGTACTGCTGTCGGCAAAGTGTCGGTCGAGCACGGCTTTGGCTTTGGATTTGCTGTACAGGCAGATGGTCCTGCTTCAGCCTCGGCGGCCTCCGGGGTGAGGTCGTTGCTCCAGGCACTGACTTTGTCTTCCCATTCTCGCTCAGCCGCTGACCGGGATCCTGGGCAATCGCTCGGCCCAGGATGAGCTCTTGATCTCGGAAATCATCAAGGCGGTGCAGCAGGACTACCGAGCCACCTTTTGCCATCCATACGACGACTTTGACGGCGCCAATGAGGGCGGAGCGAGCACGGCCTCGGGCTCGACCGCCGGTGGCAGCAGCTATCCGCCGTTCTGGATCTTGGATGCTCGAGGCTTTGCACAAGCCCTCGGCAACATCGGAGTTGGTGGTGGATTCGAGAACACAGGCAAGTCGGGCTTGTCCGAGCTTGCTTGACTTCCTGTGATGATGAACTGCGCTTGCATTGGCTTTGCAGAGACCGACTGTCGAATCACATCTCCCCGAGTTCTACCAAACCGTCTTTGTTTGCTCACCCGTCTCGGTCGATCCTCGCAGCCAACTATCCGCCTTCGACGCAGCTGGCATTCCTCAGCCTGCCCAACATACACACAATCGCAACATCGCACCAGAATCTGCTCAAGGTAGCGATGATGGACAGGGAGCGCCTGTGCGCCGTCCCCTGGTGGCTGCTGGCAGGGCTCACCCTATCTTGTCGCAAGCAGTCGTTGGCGGCTCTGGCCTGTTCTGGTGCTCCCGAGCACTTTGCCAACTGAACGTGCGGGATATTAACGTGGTCGTAACCATTTCGCATCGCAAGATGATATCGACGTCGACGTCGCCGACAGTGTGGTCCAACGCATTGGAGTCCTCGGGTTGGATCACGCACGTCATTGATCTCCTCAAAGCCGCTGGCGGAAAAGATGGAATGATCGGAAAGATAGTCGACTCGCGAGCTAGTATCCTTGTGGTAAGTTGCCACGCCGCCGAGCCGGGTGTTATAGCTTTTGCTGGCTGGTCGTCAAGCCAAGTCGGATCGGATCGGATCGGGTCAGACCAACAGGGCATATCCTGCATCTGTAATAACCATCACATCGCCGGCGTGTCTACCTTCTGCAGCACTGCAGCGACGGATGGGACAGAACCACGCAGCTCGTTTCGCTGGCACAGATTCTGCTCGATCCGTACTACCGCACAATCGAGGGCCTTCGCGTCCTGATTGAGCGCGAGTGGGTGGCCTTTGGACATCCGTTCAATGCCCGAAACGAGTATCCGCCCTTATCGCCAACGTCTCAAAGCTCTCCGGGGGGCGGCGGGTCTAGCAGCCACTCGCCCTATTCTTCGGCTTCTACTTTGGCTGGCGGGGCTGCTGGCATGTTTGGGTCGAATCCGATTTCTGCCAGCATAGCCAGCACAAATCCGACGCAGATACCGCCAGCGGCGTCTCCGTAAGCACCGCGCACCGCTGTTGCTATTGGATTGAAGCAGCTTGCGAGGGAGCTCGAGTCATGTAGGGGGGGGGAGAACCGCGTGTGCATGAGACTAGCTTCGACACTGACACCTGTGCATCCGCCCGATGCAGGATATTTATTCTGTTCTTGACGTGCTTGCACTATCTGGTTATGCAATATCCCAACGACTTTGAGTACAACGACCGGCTACTGGCCTTCTTGGGCCGCGTTGCCTCCGGATACGGTAGCTACGGTGACTTTTTATGCAACAATGAGGTGGGTATGCACTGTGCCGAGTCAGCCTGACGCAGCCGCCGCGATGGCCACTTGTCAAGCAATCCCCGCCTTCCGACTCTCACTGTTGCTTGCTCCCTCTTTTGTTGACCCCATCGGTCAGTACGAGCGACAGAGCATCAACCTCCGCGAACGAACGCTCTCGGTGTGGCACACCATCAAGACTTACTCGATCACATTCAAGAACGTCAATTATCAAAAGCCGCTGCCATTGTGCACATGCAAGCAGCCCTCGCGGAACAGCTATTCCCACGACCGGTTCTATCCGTACGATGAGCAAGAATCGATGCACGACCTGCACTACCCGTCTCACCACCACCATGCGCCACCCAGCTACCCGTCATTCAGCTTTCATTCGGCGGACATGTCCCCCGGCTATTCCCACCCGTCTGTGCCGGCGGGCACCGCAAAGCGCTGCACGTCGACACACTGCTGCTACGAAGTGTGGATGCATCGACATGTCTTGAGGCCGTCCTTCAGCCAGCAAGTGCTGTCGTCGTTTACGCTATGGGAGGAGCTGTACTTTCCCGAGCGCAACCCGATCCTGTGGCGACTCAATTCCAAGGTCCTTACCCTGGGCGACGATTGCGTGCCAGCGATGCAGGAGTCCAAGGATGTCGAGCCGCAGTCCCTCTCGCCGTCCATCCTGCGCATCATCCTGGACAGCCCCTTCAGCTTGTCGCCGCAGCTGAACCTGGCCGAGATTGTGCCCTCCAAGGTCCTTGCCCAAGTCAACCAGGCCAAAGCGTTTGTCAAGAGCCGGCTCCAGAAACAAAAGCACCAAGCCTTCCAGATGTGGCTGGACTTTGTGCACGAGCGGCGGAGAAACAAGTGCCTGGCCGAGTCGATTGTGGACCAGATTGTCGACACGGCATGGGGCGTCATCGAAGAGAAGCAGCGCGAGGCCGAAGAAACCAACGAGGTCCTGGAGTTTATTTACGGCGTGGAGGCCTGCGGCTCGGTCGAGCTCGCCAAGGATCTGGGCGAGAGCCTTGTCGGCAGCCTGCGGGGCGTCTTTTTCGGCCTCGACTCGCAGATGAGCTTCTCCGAGCCATCCAGCGACCACTTTCCGCGCTACCACCGCATGGGCTGGCGCAACGGAGGAGCAAACAGCATCTCGTCGTCGATCTACGACGTCTCCGAGTCGCACTGCGGCTCGGGATTTGCCGGGGTGCTCAAGTCGGAGCTGCGCCTGCATCACTCGCCCCCTGGTGCTCCCAACGGCTACCACGGCTCCGAAGACTGGGTCGATGTGCCCGACGGGCCCAGCTTCTCGGCACGGGCCCGGGACATGCTGGTACAGCTCGCACACGAAACCGGGCCCGAGGCACGGCTGGAGGATCTGTCGATCTCGGACCTGCGTGGCGGCAAGCTGAGCGTCTGCTGCGGACAGGGCCAGCCCGAAGACCTCGAGTGGTATCTACGCGATGCCATTGAGGACCTGATGGGATCATAGCGTCGTCGGGACTGGTGTCTCTCGACACACATCCCCCCTCATCCTTGGTTCTGTCATCGCCGCGTATATCTTTGATTGTCCGTCCCCTCGCTTTGCTTGCTCAACACCTTGATCATGCGCATTGACATGGTGAATGTCACTCCCGTCTCGATTTCATTCGTGGCTGCGTTGTCGGCCAATATCCTCGGTGCACTCTGGAAGAACAAGGAATACCCAGACCAGTTCGGAGTCAGAGCTCCATCGCGTTTCCGCCACGGTTGAGCGCAAGAGAGCTGGGCTGTTCAAATCGATCGGTGATATCGCAATGAACGATGTGTCTGTCTGGAGGCCAAAAATGGATGTGCGTGACTCGGGGTCGCAAGAGAGATCATATTTCTTTGGCAGTTCTGGCGACAGTGCATTGCAAAGGGACCACCATCCACATCCCGCACCCACGAGTGAGAGGTTCACTGTTGCGGCTGCAGAAGACTGATGATCTGGCGGGAGATGGACTGGCTCAAAGCCGCCCGCTCAGAGGCATGCTTGATCAAGGAGTCGTCCTGGAGAAAGTGAGGAGAATGGGGGTTGGTTATAGCGTAAAGCATCAGCAAGCCTGACTGGCACGAGAAACGGTGCGGCACATGGGCATGCCAGGGACCACGCTCAGGGCAGCAAACGGCGCACGCCGATCTACCCACCAGATCGAGCTCCTGCAGAGACTTGAGCAGCGGGACGAGGGTCCGGGCAGCCTCGCTTCGCTGTGCCATGGTCTCACGGATAGTGTCGCGGCTGTCTGGGGCCGTCGACACTCGGAGCAGCTCGTGAGGCTTCTTTGAGGGCGACGACAGGAAGTACTTGAGGTGTCTCCAGAGCAGCAGCAGGAGATGCTCGATGATCACTTGCCACCGCATGCAGCGATCGCCACGGAGAGAACGAGTGCTGTTGAGTTAGTACAAGGGCTCAAGGGAGGGGCACTCCCGCCGAATATGTTGTCGACAGGACAGGGTCTGCGGTTGCGGTTGCGGTTGCGATTGCGTGCCGAGACTCACAGATCGATGACGATATCTTTCGTCGGGCCTGCTTCACAACGCTCTGCAGCTCGAGCTGGCAGATCTCCTCCTTCTGTGCCTTGGTGAGACCTTCCTTGAGGGCACCGCTTTTCAAGATGATCTGGGAACAGCAGTGCCATGGTCAGTGGGCCACCGAGAAACGAACCACCACCCCAATGCCCATCCGGCGCTCGTGCGAGCATGAACATGAACATGAACGTGAACATGAATGTGAACATAAATGTGCATCCGTGATACCTTTTCGACCTCGCCAGCTTCGAGTTGACTGGGATTCAGGAGCTTCTTTTGCAGATCCAGGTGGAGTTTGACTGCGACTCTGTACTGGCTAAAGGTATATTCCAGGTGCGACGAGAGGACCGAGAGCGGAGGATGGCCGTCTGGAGAACAGGGCAGGAGAGGGAGGGGATTAGGAGGCGATTGAGCCCGTATTAGCTCGACTTTCACTTGCGCGGATGGCTAACATGATGCGGCAGCAGCATACCAGAGTTCTGATATCGCCCATCGTCGTGGGCAAGTGAGGGACTGAAGAAGGGCCGGAACTGGTGATCTGTGGGAGTTCATGCACGGGTCAGTTTCAACACCGCTCGCGAGCCAGGGCAGCGGGGCTGAGCGAGAACGAACCTCCGGGGTCAGTGATTGCTTGGAGATAGATCAAGACATTCCTGCAAATCTGCTGCGAGACCGTGATGGCCTCGTGGTGCAGAATGGCAGTGTCCGACACTGTCGGAACAAAAAAGGTTAGATCGGTCTCAAAGTCGTGCCTGCATGGCAGTCTGGCGATCCGTCCCAAGGAGCTACCGATGTCCTGTCGCCTCACAAGAGCGCGATAAACATCGCATAGGAGCAGAGTACAATCGATCCTGTAGCAAGGGCGGGGAGCACAGGGTGCGAGCCTTACATGAGGAGCGCTCACTCTGCTTGAAGACTTCGACGTCGGTGGTAGCTCGCAGCTGAGTCAGCCATTTGTGAGGCAGAGAGTACCTGGCAAACACATCGGTCATGAGGGTCTGGAAGGTGTGCTGGCCGCTGCCGGGGAGCTGGAGTAAAAAGCATGCAAGCCAGTTGGGTCAGTCTGGGCAAGGTTGCAAGCACCGGTATCGCACGCACGATCCATTGAATGCTAGCAGCAGATAGACAGTGGATGCAGCTGAATCTACCGATCGACTATCGACTATCGACTATCGCTTCGGGTCGTGATCGATGTGCGTGCATGCCGCTTGGCTCTGGTACTCACCACAGACTCGAGAGCGCGGGAGCGGATCGACAGGAACGACAGAATGGTGGTTATCTGGTCCAGCTCTCTAAGCGAGTCAACGGTGACGACGCTTCGTCGGTCGCGCATGATGACATTGATGACGTTCTGGTGTTGCAGGACAAACTGCTCGATCTTGTCGACAATGCTCTTGCGGCCGCTGAGTTGCTCGACGAGGGTGGTAATCAGGCGGAGCGCCGATGTAAGTGCCATCTGGTAACGCTCAACCTTGGCCGGGAAGAGGGTGCTGAGATCTGATTGCCGTGATTCGATGTGCAGTTGCATCCATGGGTTAGAGTGTTGGCCAGATACAGCCGGATCGCTGAGCGTTCGAAGCACGAGGCTGCAAGACCGAGAGCAACGTCGATAAGGGAGCCACAAAGTCGCATCCATAAATGCACGAAGCTTACCAAGGGACGTGGTGTCGATTTCGGGACGCTGATCGATAAACTTGAGGCGGATGAGCGTGTCCATGATGCCAGAGTCGAACAGGCTTGCGGCGCCTTCAGGAGTCTGGGCGATACGCAGCAGCAGCGTCATCTTGGTTTCGTAGATATACAGGGCATCAAGGCGATCTGCCAGGAGAGAATTGATTGCCGTGGGCGTGATACGCCGAGTGTCAGTCATGGGCAGTGCAGCGCCGCTCGTTGATGAAGTAGTCGAGCCGGATCGCAGCGAGCACCACAGGAATGGCTCACGCAGTACGCGGCAGATACGTAGTGCCTACCTTCGGCGCCGTCGCGGATGAGAAGCTGCAGAACTTCGTCGTCCTTTGCCAGGTTGGCCACAAAGCTACGAAGGAAACTGCGGCGAGTCAAGAAGCCAACCAAGTCGCGGTTGGCTCCGCGGTTGTTGCTGCTCTTGTTGCGCAGATTGACCAATGAGGCAAGGACCGAAAAGGCGACGGTCTTCCAGATGGCGTCGCCGTCGACGGCATCGCGGCAAATGACTTCGTAGATGCGCTCGCCGCCATTCTCGATGCTGTGAAGGCTGACATCGGAGCCGATGGACAGGAGACGAGGCTCGGGCATGATTGCATACTCGAGGTACTGCAGAAGAGCGCCGTAGTAGTTACCACGCATAAACATGGTCGAGTCCGGCCGGGTGATGCCCCTGACGATGCCGTCCAGGATGGCCCGGTGAGTCGACTCGGGCAGTCGGAAAGGAGTAGTTGTGTGCGAAGGTTGCAGCTGGGCAGGGGCGCTGACGCCAAGGCCGCTCGTCCTATAGCGGTTCTGGCGGAGCTTGGCGACCAGATGGATCACCACCCCGGACATGGTCTCGGCCGTGGCCGTCTCGGTTTCGGTTGCATCAACTCGCTCCAGGATCGCCCGGAGGATGTCTCGCAGGATCTCGTGGCGGGTCTCGGGGTCAATGCACTCCAGGCTGGAGGTCAGCGTAGTGTTGACGATTTGAGCCCAGGCGCTGATGCACTCCTGGCTAGCGTGGAAGAGCTCGCGCACAGCATTGCGCTCCACGAGCTTGGCCAGGATGCTCTTGGCTGCCTGACGCATCCCGAGGATATCGTTGCCGCCAGGGCGGTGGTGCATAAGGTATTCGTGGATAGTTCGGATGTCATAGACAAGGCAGCCACGAGAGTTGCTCACCAAGAACTCGTGGTAAAGCGAGGGTTTGAAATAGTTTTCGCCAAAGATGGGGCTCTCTTCGAGGTTATCGAAGCGGATGACCAGGAAATTGAGCAGCTCGAGGATGACAGGCAGCGGCTGCTCCCGGCCCTCGTCCATTCGGTTGTCCTCGGGCGACTGGCTCTTGAACAGCAGATCGATCACACGCTGGGTGTAGTTCTTTTGTTGCCGGATTGAGGTGAGGTGCAGCTCGAGGGCGATCGACTTCATGAGCCATGACCTGCGGTGGAGCTGCGCCAGCTTGACGGGCATGTTTTCTGAGTGAGCCGAGTTGCCGTTCATGGCCGTGTCGCCGTCATGGCCAGGGCGATTGGCTGCCTCGATCTCGAGGTAGATGCCCTTGATCTGGTTGCAGAAGAAGGACTCGCGCGTTCGGAGATAGCGGGTGGTGGGTCCAGAGGTCTGTGGGTTGGCGCACAGACGGTAGATGAGCTCGTGGCACTTTTCACTCAGCAGCGGGTGGTTGTTGGAAAAGGCCTTGCGTGCGTGCTGGTCCAAGTCCAGGGTGCGGCGGTCGATCTCGGTCCGATCGGCCTTGAAGGGCGTGTCCAGTGCCAGCAAGGAGAGGATGACGTGCAGACACGAGATGGTCGCATTTGGCGAGTTGGGGTCAACGATTTTTGTCTGCGAGAACGGGCGGCTGACGTCGTAGCCCAGCAGCAGGTGGGCCACCGTGGGCGGCGGCACGTTCGTTGTGACGTTGGACAGGAACAAGTCGAGGATGGCGATGCGGATGTCGTTGACGAGGCCGGATCGGACGGGAGCCTTGAGCGTGAGATTCGCCTCGGGAACATTGGCTTCGCTTTCGAGCTCCTCGGACTCCTCAAGCTCCAGGCGCTCGACAAATCCGTAGATGATTTGGCGGAAGTACTCAGACCCGGCCAGGAACTTGACAAGACGGTTGATTCGGACGTGGCCGTCGCCAACAATGGTCGAAAAAACACTTGTGTGCGAGATGGCATTGATGATGTGGACCGAAAGCAGACAGATCTCGTGGCTCTCGTGCACGTTGATGAGGCGGGCAAGGTGCACAACCACATCGCTCCGCTGGACAAGCGACTGGCTGAGGTCAACGACAGTTGGGGGCTCCAGAATCACCTTGGGACTTGCGATCGACCTCAGCTCGATCAGGGTGCGAATGGCGCCGGAGATGAAGGCATCTTGATCCTGCAAAATGCGGTAGACGATGCGCATGGCCAAAAGAACGCAGTTTCGGATGACTTCGCCCGCTGGATCAGTCTGATTGAGGGTCTCCAAGTTCGCCTTGAGGATGCCAAAGAGCTTCAGGTTGAACTCGGAGCCAGGGGGGGAGAGCACACGGCGGTAGATCTCAAAGCCTGGGTGGCGCGTGAGAGCCGTTTGGAAGGCGTCGGCGACAGGGTCGATCTGCTCGGGCGTGCCGGGGACGGACTGAATGGCAAGTTCGTGGTCGACGATCATCTTGCGGAAATCAAAGCTCACCATCGAGCGCTCAAACAGGGTCAAGCAGGCGTCGTAGAGAGTGTACTTCTCAGGCTTGTTGGCGTACGGGCGCGTATCCAGCTTCAAGAACACATTGTTGATGATGTAGAGAATGTACGGCCGGATGCCCGGGACGCGGTGCCCAGCGCCAAGGGTGTTGAAGGTGACCGCATTGAGGGCATATTTGTGTGGATGCAGCAGGTTGTTGATGAGCCGGATGAAGGCCAGGGTCTCCGGGTATGTCTGGGAGGCGGTCTCTGTCTCCTCGAGGTCGTAGAGCAGACCCTCGATCTGGGGCTGGGGATGGCTCTGACTCTGGGTCGGTGGGAGCGTCGAGATGACCTGGGCGTCCTCCATGTAGAGCCAGATTTGCTGCGTGATATCGGTGTGGGAAGCGTGCTCGATGGGGAGGGCAAAGGCAGCGACGGTGTCAAAGAGGGCAGCCTTGAGCTCGATCGAAATCTTGCAGACAAGGAGCCCAAAGAGCGAAGTGACGGCACGGTAGTGCTGGACTTCGTTGAGTGTGATGCGGGCCTCTGGCGAGTGGGTGACGACGTTTTTGAGCAGCCGCAGGAACGCCAGCATCGTCTCGATCTCCTCGGGATCCATGGACTTGCCCTTGGTGGTTGGGTTGGTAAAGGCGGCCGTGTGCTTGTTGAGGGAGAGAAAGAGCAGCTTCCACAGGCCCTGCTCCTCCAGAAAGGTCAGGGCAAAGTTGGCGCTGAGCGGGCCGCAGGCGATCGAGCCAACCATGTCGATATAGGCTTGGATCAGCAGCGTGGAGCGCAGGCCACGGGCCCACTTGACAAAGTTGAAGAGCTGGCTGTCTCTCCAATAGTCAACGCCAAAATCAGGCTCCTGCCCATGAATGGTCGAGATCAGGCGGAGCAGATACTCAAAGTTGGAGTTTTCGGGCGAGTCTTCGTTCCGGTTTTTGAGGTCGGAGATGGTGCGCCCCATGTTCTTCAGGAAGCTGTCGACGGTGGCCTTGATCAGCTGCAGGAACAGGCTAAGCGACTCCTTCTCCAGCACCGACTTGGCGTTCTCGACGACGCCAACAAGATATCGGAAGATGGGCGTGGAGACGGCAATATCGATGTACCGCCGCACCGTGTCGTCTATGCCGCCGCTGGAGTTGCCAGCGCGATGCTGGGAGAGCTGCATTCCGATCTTGAGAGCCAGGACCGAGCGGAGCTCAGGGGACCTAAACAGAGCCGCATTGTCGATCAGCTGGAAGACCGTGTTCGAGCTGACTGTCCTCTGATTGTCCAGAGTCAGGATCGAGCTCAGGAGATACAGGACGTATACGGGCTGGTCCTCGTACGACTTGAGGGTCTGGACGACGGTTCGGAGATCGGACTCGGAGAGATCGGCGTAGTAGGACAGGTGGAAGATGAGATTGGCGACATCGAGGCTCTGTTGCTCGAGCTTGGAGACGTGCAGGCTAACAAGCGCCCTGTATTCGTCTGCCGTTAGAGAGGCCGGCAGCGAAGCCGGAACGGCCGCTGACGCCGAGGTCTTGTGGGCCGAGATCCTGGTGTGCAGGGCAGAGAGGTATTTGAGGCAAAGCTGCAGGAAGCCCTGCGGGACCTGCTGGATGATCTCGTCGAGATGGTGCCGGAACAGCTTGCGCGTCGACTCTGGAATCCGTGCATCGGCCGAGCCGACGAGCAGATGCAGCAAGCACGCAATCAGGTACTGCGAGTCTGCGTGGTAGATGTAGATGCCGGCTTCGAGCGGGTTCTTGTCGAGCCGGGATCGCGAAGACGAGGCAACGGCGGGCAGGTTGTAGAGGCCGTCGACCTTGAGGATGTCGCCAAAGACATTGACGTACTCGATGTATGTGTCTGTGGGCTTGTTTTCTTCCCGAGCGACATCGGCTGGGCACGGATCGGTTGCAGGAGGGAGACGACGGTGGCGGTTAGCGATGCCATCATTCGGGGACCCCAAACTCGCACTGGCAGCATGGAGCCATATCCAAGCGCTGGACAACGCATCTCGATCCGAATGGCGCATCCCGATCAGCAACCAGCGGCGCCAATCGCCGCATCATGGTGGCTAACCTCGAGTCAGTTTCCGGGGCTGATGAAACTCGTTTCTGAAGAACGAGACGATGCGATGGCGGTTGTCCTCGAGCAAGACACCGAGTTCGTGCTGCAGAGACCTGGACGAGTCGGTAAAGACGCTCAAGATGAGGCCGTCGAGCTCCTCGTAGCGGGGCAGCCACTTCTCAGAGGACATTGGGCGGATGGAAGCAACAGTGTCGGGCACGGATGTGGGACTGGGGTCGGGACCGAATCTAGGGCAGAGCTGTCTCGACAGAGGCTGCAGAGTTGTCTCGCGTGGAGAGGGTGGCCACGCTGCGTCCCAAGCTTGATCTGGACAGGAGGGGGGAGGCTCAGGTGTCCGCTTGAGAACAGGCCCGGTCGAAATCTCGCAGCGTCGCGGCTGGGTCTTTGCGAGATCCCGCCGAGAGCGAGCCTGGGCGGCTGTGAAAAAAAGGCGGCTCTGAGGGCAGATCACGTGAGGAGACGGCAACAGCCAGGCCAGCGACCCGGCCACCTCCGACGCAGCAGCGTCCACGGCCGGCGCCTCGCCGGATGCCCGAGGCCGAGAGTCGCGGCGATTGTGCTGGACATGTGGGTCCGTGCTCTGGAGCCAGAAGATGCAGTGCCCGTAGCATGCGCCTGCTGAGGAGAGTGCGGGGAGGGAATCCAACATCGATATCCCTGGCGATTCTGTATATGGCACGTGACTGTCCGTCCCGGAAAGCGAGACCAGCGAGAGCGAGACCAGCGAGAGCACCCGGTGGCATGTCCTTGCGGCTCCACTTTCGCTCCATCAAGCCGCTGCCCACCAGCATCAATCCGCCAGCCTGTCCCTGTTGCTGTCCCCCTGCTCAGGCCCGATGGCTGCCGAAGACTCTTCATACGTGATTCGCCCGAACTTTAAGCAAAAGTACGAATCCAGCATCCTCAACGCACATCTGGCCCATCCCTGGGCACGGCGGCGATTGCTGGATCCTCGTCCTCGTCCTTGGCTGCCGGGCTGCCCGGGGTTGTCACGATTTCACGTACCCATGCCGACCGCTTCGTCATCCGTTTTTTTCTCAGGTTCAGACCCGCTATCGTCACCCGGCTTATCCACTCCATCCTGGTCGATCGGCTTACGGGCATCGTCTACCATCCAGACTCGTGCTCTCAGCTGAGCCGAGAGATCGCCGACGAAATCAAGAACAAGCTCAAGGGTGTGTCTCGCGAATGAGGCCGCCTTGTCTTTGCATGGAGGGGGGGACGCTGCTTCCAACACCGTTCACGCCGAGGGTGCTGAGGCCCTGACATCCTGGTTGATTCCATCCGCAGAGCTTGACTTGTCCAGATACAAGTTTGTTGTCAATGTCGTTATCGGAGAGATGAGAGGCGAAGGCGTAAGGTTGGTCTCAGTCCGCCCGAAATGGTCGCTCAGGCGGCCCCAGATTCCGCAGATATCGCTTTTGTTTCGCCATTCAAGCATCACAGCCACCTCGGCACATGCCAGAGCCATCGACCCTGCAATTCTCACCGCAATCGCTTCTCTCAGGATGGGATGTCGCTGTTTTTGGGACGCCGACACCGACAACCTTGCCCAGGATGTGTTCATGAACGTAAGTGATGGGGCCCAACAGCACCGCAGCACCGCAGCACCGCAGCACCGCAGCACCGCAGCACCCGGGACACGGTCGAGGGAGGCGACAGGAGCAGTGAGCGACCGAGGCGAAGGCAGCGGCATGAATCGGCCTTTGCACAACTCCAGTCGCCAGAGTGCCCAGGGGTTTGCGTCTGCCGTGCAGGATTCGCCACAAGTTAACTGCCGTCACTGACCCGTCTGGCTGCCGATTTCCTCACCCGTCTGGGCTGTTACTCGTTTATATGGGCAGGATTCGCTATTCTGCGTTGCCGTAGGTGCGTTATTCTCAGCTGCTCATGCACAGCGACTGCTTGCCTCGCTCGCACAATGGCCGGACCACATCGCCTCTGGCTCATCCATGCATCTGCGACACCTCCAGCGCATGGAGTTTACTACTACTAGATCCGAAGGGTGCATCGTCGGCGCGTTTTGTCGCCTCTGCCAATCGGCCTTTCGTTGCTGCTGCTGCATCCACGCCATCGACACCCGGACTCGCTGTCGGGACTTGGGCAGCCCATCCAAGACCGATCTGGCTGCCTGTGCTCCACTCCTTTTCTGTCTGGTGCACTCGCCCGAAAAAGAAAAAAAATGCTCGCTGGATATTCGACTGGCTCTGCTGCCGCCAACTCGCTGGTGCGATGCGGAGCGGGGCTCAGGAAGCGGCGGTCATACAGAGCGTGTTCAAGTCGATTCAAACAAAATATAGGGCGGAAGATATCCAGAGGCGGAATGGGCATGCGCGTCTACTTGCGCATCAACAGGTACAGGTTCTGGCCGACGTTGATCTCCTGCAGGGGGCGGTAGTCGCCCGAGAGCTGCATCAAAAGTCCACCAAAGGAAGCGTACACCGACCTAAGCGATCAAGATGATTGTCAGCATCCGAGGATCGACGGAGGAAGGAGCGGTTTGTGGCTGGGCCCAGACCGGAAATCGCAAGAATCACACGAACTGCTGGGTCTCGCCGTCGACATTGGCCCGTCGACTGCGACATGGCACAAAGAGAGATCGTATCGGAGGAATCGAATGGCGTATCATCGCGGATAAGCGCATCCCGAGAGCGCTACTGCAAGCAGCGGCAGACAAGGAATCGCCCGCAAGTCAGGGCGGACGACAGCAATGCTTACACTTTGGCACCAGCGGTATCGTCGTACTTGTAGACCTTTCCGTACATGACATAGTCAAAGTCATCGGCCAGGGATCGCTGGGCTCCATTGTCCCGCCAAGAGTCCTTCTTGGCGTCATCGGCATAGCCGTCCAGCGAGAGCGACCGAGCCAGCACAAAGGTGAACTTTTCGCCAACTTTCATCGGGTAGAGCTCGCAGTTGACATCCAACGTCAGGGTCATTTCGATGTTCTCACTCTGGCCAATAACTCGCGACACTGACCGCCCGAGTTGTTGGATGGAGGCGGCGTGGATCGGAAATGTAGCGTCAGCATCGATAGCGCAACCGACAAGATCAGATCGCTTGCTTTGAGCACAGATATCGCCCTCCCGTGCACATTCTGTTGGAGAAGGGTGCCTCCCACGATGGATCCGCGGTTGATGACCAGCATCGTCGATGGCGAGCGTATCGTCATCCATGTTCTCCGATCGCACAAAGCCCAGGGCACGTCTGTCTATCTATCTGCCTGTCGATCTGTTTGTCTGCCTGTCGATCTGTTTGTCTGCCTGTCGATCTGTTTGTCTGCCTGTCCGTTCGTCATTTTGCTGGTCTGCTCGACTGTCCTCTGGTCGCTTCCGAGGCTGTTGGTTGGCCGACAGGATCGTGAATCTGGAGGGCGAAGGGCTAACAACAGCCCCAACGCATCGGCATCGGCCTGATATTCTCCGGCGTATCAGTCCGCTCCTGGGCACATCATTATCCAGGCGGCGTGGCCTGCTGCGGCGGAAACTACATCGGCCGATCCACAATGTTCAATGCCGCCGTCGCATGGCCGGCGATCCTGTCTGCTGATCCGGCGACATTTCCTGCATCCAGATGGCGAATCCTTCCTGCCGAGTCCTTGCCAGCGACCCAGCCTACCTCGGTCAAACTTCTTGCCATGAGGATCCATGTCGCTCACTTCGAAGACGTCTGAGAATATCTGGGCCTGGGACGGAGAGACGCTGGCCAGGTTAATGGGAGGATCCGGTGCAGCCCGCTTGTCCGAGTCAACACACCAGCGGATCACTGCACGGCGGCTTTCTCTCTGTCAATAGATATCCAAGAGATATACAACAGATGTGCGCGTCTCGCTCTGTCTCCTGTCCGCGGTCGCTACCTTTTCCATGCTGGCTGGTGAATGTGCGTGCAGTCGGTCGGTTGGTTGGTTGGTCGGTCGGATGATCGGATCTGTGACAGAGGTCCGGCGCTGGCGCATCGTTCTGCCGCGAGCAGCAAGACTTTTTTTGCTGCGAAACACGACGCACGTGACGCGGTTGCCGCCAGCGGATTGGCTGGCTGGGATGCCGGCCGGCCATGGCTTGGCTGGCCCCGCCGGATCTTCCTGTCGCCGTTCGCTCTGATCGGCGTTGCGACCCGCAGACCACATCGATTTCGGCTGGCAGGCACGACAGAGACCGCAAGCACCGTAGACGACACGCATTGGCACCCCCTGGACACAACCGCATCCGAAACCATGAGCTTTTTCATGAACCTCGTTGCCAAGGACAAGCGGAGAAGGTCGGTTGAGATGGCAGAAGCGATGCCACCGTGCTGGCCCACACCACACCATGGCGAGTCAGCATCGGCAAGGAACCCGACGCCGGCGATCCCACAAAGGAGGACGCTGATGGAGTAGATGGTCCCTCTGCTGCTGCTTACACAGCTGGGCAGATGGCCAAGGACTAACTCGACCCTCCACTCACTCATGAATCGCTGCATTTCCATCAGCTGGACGGTGATCATCTCCGTGACGCCCGCGTTCCTCTATCTCAGCTACATGATGTACAAGCGAGGTGGGTATTGTGTCCGTGGCAGAATTGGCGTTCGCAAGACACTATCGCTGACGCTGTTTGTCTCTGGCGGTCCCCATCGGCTCAGTGGTGCTGGGCGAGAAGCCAAAGTCGCGGCTGGAGCTCCAGGACGAGCCGAGCAAGCCATCGGGCCTCTGAGCATCTGGGCGTGCTGAGGGGCAGCTTCGGATATGCAAGCCTCAGACCCAGATTGTGTCTGGCCGGTCATTGCCGATCGACGCAACCCCGATTGGATCAGCATGGATTTGCTCCATCCCCGACTGCCAAGCACACGCAGTTCTCACACATCGCACGTACATCTGTATGATCACCCTGGCGAGGCAGCCAAAGCCATCGACAAATACCACACAAGTTCAGCCGGAAATATCGGGGACACATCCCGTTCTTTTCTGCACGGACTGTATCTTTACATCTAAGCGGGGGGGATAATAGGCGGCGGCACAACGGTAGGAGGGGAGACTGTACAACAAGAGCAAAAGTGAGGTCATGGTGATCGGCAATGCGACAGTGAGCGGGTGGTAAGAACCCACACTGCAACAGAGAGCCGGGATAACTAAAAAGTACCAAAAACATGAAAGATGGGCATGTGAGAGCGAGGGCAAGGATGTAGCGGGGGAGAGGAGCTTTCTACACAGCAAAGGGTCAAAGTGAATCATGAACGATCAGAGCAGGCACCAAACAGCAGAGCAGAGCAGAGCAACGCAGAAGGAAATACATTCATCCATCGGGGCTTGGCCGCAGGTCCAACGAAGGAGTAAAGGATAGAGACGACGCTAAGGGCTCTATGACGAGTCGGACTGTATTGAGGAGGGGTGGTGGTGGGCGAGACGAAAGGACGCAGCTTCTAGCACCGGCGCTTAGAGCATAAGGAGACCACCGGCAACGGCGGCGGCAGCGGCAACAAGACCGCCGACCTTGAGGGGAGCAGCAGCCGACTTGCCAGTGGAGGAGGGGGCAGTGACACCGACAGAGACGCTGGCGGAGGCCGAGGACGACTTGGAGGCAGTGGCGGGGGCGGGAGCAGATCCAGAGGTAGCTGGGGCAGGGGCAGATCCAGAGGCCGAGCTGGCGGCTGAGGCAGGCGCAGGGGCGTTAGTTGTGCCAGGAGCAGGAGCAGGGCCATTGGTGGGTCCGGGAGCGGGAGCGTTGTCGGTGGTAGTGGCCACGGGTGCAACATCGTTACCATTGGTTCCAGGAGGAGGAGGGTTGGGAGCAGCACCGGTGGTGGTGGTGGGAACGGGAGCCGGAGCGGGCGGGTTGGCGTTGGTGGTGGCCGCAGGCGGGGGAGGAGCAGGGGCAGCGGGGTCGACCGAGAAGAAGGGGCTGGCCTTGAAGTAGCCCTTTCCGTTGCTGGCCATGATGTAGGTGTCGCCCTGAGAAGCGCTGGGGGTGAGCGAGCTCGGGATGGTGTAGGCGAGCTGGCCGGAGCTGGGGGAAGCAGTGCCGATGTACTGGTTGGCCTGCTGGCCGTTGACGGTACGGGTCAGGGTGAAGGTGAGGGTGTCGCCGAGGCTCAGGGCAGGGCCGGAGGCGGGAGAAGCGCCGACGGTCCAGGCGATGTTGATCTGCGAGCCGGCGGCAGGATGATCACCCTGGCTGGGGCTGGTGAAGGCGATGGACTCGGCGAGGGCGACGAGGGAGCCCGAGAGGACAAGCAGGGCAGTCGAGAGCGAGATGAACTTCATGGCGGCCGAATTGGGAGGAGTCCGTGGGAAGGGTCTGGGAAGGGTCTGGGAAGGGTCTGGGAAGGGTCTGGGCGAGGGAGGAGAAATGCAAACGATATGCAAACGATATGCAAACGATATGCAAACGATATGCAGACGATGTGAGACGATGTGCAGAGGACGAAGGAGGGCAAGGCGTGTTTTATAGGAAAACGAGAGTCGAAAGACCAGAGCCAGCAAGGCGACTGCAAGGCAGTTGCCAGGCAGTTACTACTTGTTGCAGGTTGAAGCAAGTCGGCAGCAGCAAGAGGCGACAGCATTGGCCGCTGTGGGCGGCTAAACGCATGCAGGCGCCGTGGCCACAGACGCGCGCGATGCGTGCGACGCGTGCGCGTCGCTGCCTTAAACGCGCATCGGCCACATGGCGCGCGTCCACACACGCACCCCCGCGTCGCCAACAAAGCTTGCCATTGGTCACGGCCGGCCCCGCGCTGCTGTGCAGGCCCCACAGCCCGGCTGTGGCTCCCTCCCCCGCGCCGCGCAATGGCGTGCCACACCAACAAGGTTTCGCGTCGACTTTGGCGGAGGGTGCGTGTGCGCCGGTGGGTGAGACCGGCGCCCCTTGCCTCCACCCACAGCCCGAAGGCGCCGTGGCTGTCGCTGTGGCTGTGGCCGTTGCTGTGTCGATTGCGACTGTGGTCCTTCACGGCGTCGATGCCTTGCGTCAGCGGATCTGCTTGGTGCGGTGACTCAGACCCGAACGAGGGCGACAATCGGATCTGATCCAGGCCAGCAGCAACCCAACACCAGCAGCCCCAACGAGTCAGCCATCCAACCATCCAACAACCATCTCGCCGTCCACCAACTCCATCCTCCTCGCCAGCGTTCGTCAAGGCCAATGGGCCAGTCTATTCAAGCAGCCAGCGGGTTGGTCCGCCAGACCAACAGATGCCTGAGGGCGTGCGGGAAAAAAGCATCGGGCACGTTGCTGCACTGTACACCGCCTGCGCCAGAAGCCGCTGCCGTCGTCTTGGTGAAAACGGCTTGGCTGTGTTGGTGGGTTGTGTGGCAAGCAGGCGCCACGAGGCAAACATGGGCGATTGGGTGGGAGAAGCAAACGAGCAGGACCAAGGATGGGAGAAGCAAACGAGCAGACCAAGGATGCGGGAGGCAGGCGAGCGAGCAGCATACGGCTCCTTAGACGTTCTTCTTGGCCAGATGATGGTCCCGGAGCTCGTCGATCGCGTCCTCGCCGTATTCGGCACGGATCTCGGCAATCAGGTGAGTGAGCTTCTCGGCCCGCTTGACATGATGTTCGTACTCGGTCGCATCAAATCCGCGCTGGCGGTAAATCTCCTTCAGCTTGATGTTTTGCGAAAGCGACTTGAGCGAGTCGTATGTGTACTCCTGGCGGGTCAGCATGTACCAGACGTACGTGGCCAGCGCAAATCCAATGCCACAAAAGTACGTAAATGGCTCCATCACTGCCGTCGAAAGCAGCCACAAGGTTAGTTTTGGCCCTCAGACAGGAGAGCACAGACGCAGGCACCGAGCAACACCGTCCGTCCATGGCATCATCGGCACCGATATCGGCAGACCGGCGACGAAGAGCATGGCCTGGGATCTTGCACCATCTCCCCCTTCCCCGCAGGCCGCCAAACAGCCACCACCCCTCAGCCCCTTGCGAGTGCGGCATCAAACCTACCGTCCCAACCGAGCTCCCACCACGTCAGCCGGATCTGTGCCGCAGAAATGTCGCGAACGTGTCGATTAGCACTGGGCTCATGTCCCCCTCTTCCCTCTCCGGCAGCCCGCGGCGAGTGCTGAGTGGTCCGCAGCAGCAATAGCCCCGCCACCACCCTCCAGCAGCAGCAGCAGCCCACAGTACTCCGGCATACCCCTCGCTCTCAAACTCTTGTTCGCCCGACCAAGGCACCTCTCTGCCTGAGCCAAACTCGCTGCAGAACCGACACTGCCCTCACAACGTCGGCGACATCAGCACTATCAGCACCATCGGCATCATCGACAGCATCGACAGAAAGGATTCTGCAACTTACGCCAACAACCCAGTACACCAGCAAGCCGCCGAACGACAGTCGCAGAACCGACTCGGAGTAGCGGTGGGCAATCTTGTCGCAGTGGTCCTTGACCACATTCATCTCCTCGATCTTCTTTTCAACGAAAGCCAGCTCATGCTTGAGCGGCTCCACTCGTTCTAGCGAGTGCGACGTGATGGATCGTTAGTATCGCTAATTGTGCACGTACCGTCGTCGACCAGGGCAGAGCTGGCTGTTGCATCCGAGAAACCTGTATCAAGCAGTGCCGGCTGATTTCCCGCTTGACTGCCTTTGCATGATCCCCCCACTCACTGCACGGCTCCTGCTGGCCCACTGCATGGCTATCCGTCACTGCATGATCCGATCGGCGTGTGCTTACCGAGCAGCGTAGGCAAGGCCACGAGGACGTTGAAGTTGTCGAGCTCGATGCGGAAGCCCTTTGTTTCGGACTGCGAGACCGTCGAAAGCATCTCGCGGACCAAGGTCGACGAGCTGAAGCGGGAATGCAAGTTCTTGCCGTCCGAGGTCAAGCTGTAGAAGCTGATGCGCTTGATTTCGGGAAAGTCTTGCTGGATCTGGGTGACGACGCTCGCCAGCGGCTGCGAGAACTGAAGTGCAACCGTCATCGGAATGCTGCTGGACTGAGACGGGAGCGGCAGGGTCAAGTGCGGTCTCTGGGTGCCCTTGTGGAATGAGATCTTGCCTGCCAGGGCATTTGAGTGGCGTTAGATCCTGTCGCTGGTCCTGTCGCTGGTCCTGTCGCTGGTCCTGTCGCTGGCCCTGCGTTCCAACACCTCGCTCTGGCCATTGAGCTCGGCCCTAATCGCTCTCGGATGAGAATCGGGCGGCCACGAACGACACCACTTTCGCTTCAAGGCAACGACGAGTCGTTCCATTGTGGCAATCTGGGGACCTCGACAGGACAACTCTCCTGGGCACCACGGCGGTCGACTACAGCAGGTTCATATCCCCTCAACCGGGTGCGCCACCACACGGCGTCCCATCCGTGGGATGCATTGGGCCCCGGCTCACCCGCACCGATCCTCTGCAGGTCGCTCGTCAGGAACTCTTACCATGGTGGAAGGCGGGCTGGGCCGCTTCGCTCGTCACAAGCGTTCGACTGCCTGTCAAGCCGAGAGTCTTCGAGACTGGATACAAAGGCACGGCGCCTCTCGCCGCTGGAAGCGGCCGGATCGAGGATGCGATCGCCGGCCGTTGGACAGGCGACAGCCCCGTCGAGAAGCGGCACAACGGAACGGCCACCTTGGGCAGCAGCGAGGACGTGCGGCCAAACCGCGAGAGCAGCGACGGTGTCCACAGTGACATTGGGGGAGATTAACAGGCAGGGATTCGCTGGCAAGCTGGGAGTCGATTGTCTGGAGCTGGACGAGAGGCAGACGGACGATGCGGATGGTGATGCGGATGGTGATGAAATATCAATGAGGATCAGTTCGAGCAGCCAGACTCTGGCGACAGGTCCGCACAGGTCTTATAGGACAGGGCCGAGGCGAATGTATGTATTCCCTGTCCTCCCGCAGAGATCGAGACGGCACCTCTCTTTACGCCTGAAACTTACGCTGCCGAGCCGGGGAGGAGAACCAGAGCAGCATCCTCGCGCAGAGCCTCCGTGAAATAGGCCTGGCCGTGTGTGGTGGGGCCGCTGCCGCTTGTGTGTTGCTTGGCTGCTCGGAACAAGGCCAGGGCAAAACCTTCGAGGCCGATGCGCGATTGCGTTGCGTGGTGGCTTGATCGGCCGGGGCTGCTGGCGGAACAGATCTGTGCTGCTGGCCTGCCTCGGCACCGGTGGCTGCTGCCGTGCCGATCTGCTCTGCCAACGGCGCTGGCGACCTGTGCTGTGGGATCTGCGAGCAAATCCTGACGTGCATCAGCAGCGGCAGCGGCCTTGACTTCAGCACCAATGCCAACCTCAAGGCCCTGTTCGCTTGGCGATTCGGCCGCCACAATAGCAATATGCCTCGTCAACGGGACGGGGCTGTGGGCACAAACAACAGACGGCAAAGGAAGTGGCAGGAAAAAAGGAAGGTCGCCACAGAGCCTCCTCGCCCGAGCCGTGGCGCTCTCGATCGGCGTCCATGCATCCATGCATCCATACACTCGAAATACATCGCGCCGCCGCCGTGGCTGAGATCATGCATCGCACCAGGGGCCAGTGTCCAGCCGTCATGGGCTCCTTGCACTCGGCTGCGCGGACTTGCCGCGGCTGGCTTGGTCGTCATCAGCCAGGTCAGCAGCCCAGCTGCAGCTTGTGTGGATGTCTGCCATGAGCGAGGTCGCAGAGTGAAGCCGCAGAGTGAGGCCGCAATAGCTGATATCGCTTTTATGAACCCGCTGTGCGCTGCCAGCAATCACATCGCTGTCGGACCTGCATCCCAAACTCCAATCGAGCCCCAATGACGTCGAGTGCCCAACAGTATGTCGTCAGGGCCTTTGCTTCGTGAGCTCGCCTCCGCAAGCCGGCTGTTTTCTCGAGCGTGCTGGAGCGATCCAGGTCTATTCGGCGTCGCCATCGCTGGTACTTCTGCCTGGTGTCTGCTGTCCTTCCAGTATCGATTGCCTCGTGCATCTGGGTGGCATTGTCCGCATCAATTCCCACACGATCGCAGCTTCCTCGTTCCCAGCAATCCACCGTTACTTCTGAGATCCAATGGCGACCCGAATGTCCCTGGAAGACCTGATGAAGGTCACGAACTGTATGAGGCCTTGCTGGCATCCAGCGTTCACGGAGCTCGTCGAACCGCAACTGCAGGGCATGACGAGCTTCTGACGACCTTGCGCATATTAGATCGCTTGGCTTTCCGACAGTCGGATCGATAGCAGGACATTTGCTCGTTTGGCCATCCTTTCCGATGGCCCATACCTCGGCCATGTCTCGCTTCTCACTTTAATCTTGGCGCTTCCATCACCAGTCTCCCGGCCAGAACTCGAGCTTCTGTCTCGGAAATTCTCCGAACTCTGTCTGCACAACGAAAAGATTGACCGTGCAAAGTTTCGAGACCTGCTCGCCGACACATTCGAGGTTGACGACTCGCTGCTGATGGATCGAGGTAACGAGGCTCGCTGGGAGGCCACGACGCTCGACTCGCTCGCACGGGCATTCGGCATTGATCCCGCACTTGACTAGAGCGAGTGGCTCATGCTCATTGCGCCGATGGATATGGGACAGTCTTCCGATGCTTCGATGTCGATGCCGACAACTACATTGCCCACGACGAGTTCATGAAAGGCATGTCCGTCTTTCTCAAGGGCCGCTACGAAGAGCGCATGAAATGTAAGGTCTCAAGAGGGCCAGGTTCGAGAGATCCGGCTCTCGGTTCCTGTGCGGCTGCATTGCCAATGGTATTATACGTTGAATAGGTGCGTGGGGGCAATGAAAGGACCAGTGCCCTCCGCTGACGCCTCCAACCAACCTTGGCATTCTCCAGTCTGCTTCAGGGTCTATGACTTGAATGGTGACCGATACATCTCCAAGGAGGAGATGTTCCAGATGCTCAAAAACTGCCTCGTCAAAGGGGCCGAAGAAGACGAAGACGGCGTCAAGGACCTCGTTGACCTGGTCTTGAAGAAACTCGACGAAGATCGCGACGGACGAGTGTCTGAGGCAGACTGGACCAGCGCCATCACCAAAGAATCGCTGTTGATGGAGGCATTTGGCCCCTGTCTACCGACAGCCAAGGTACGCCATCGACGCTCCCACCCTCCTCCGTGCTTGAGCAACATCGCTCGACGATCACAGCCAGGTGTCTGGAATCTTGCCCGGTCTCAATCCAACACGACTATGTTCCGGCCTTGCTTTCCCAGACCATCGAGCGCTATCTCGACCTTGGTCAAAGCGACCCCAAGCTGCTGACGCCGTCTGCATCTACTGTCGCGGCAGTACATGCCTACGGGCGCGACGGATTGGGTCTCCCACCGCCTGTCCCAAAGCTCCCATCGACGCATGTCCATCCGCATGCCAACTACCGACCGAAGCGAGTGACAGTGGCCCCGGCCGCGAATGTGCCCATTGTGATGGCTCTTCCCAAGCCCGGGGCGGGACACCCTCCCCCGATCGTTCGAAAGTCAAAGGCTGCCGCGGCTCCCGCACAGTAGCCGCCAAGCACTGCTATCCCTGACTTGACTTTGATCGTGTTCACATGCCACGTGTTCATCCAACAGCTGCTCCCATACCATCACGCGCTCTGTCCCTGAGAGATCGTAGGCTGTCCCAGAGGTTGGAACCATGGTTCATGGAGCATTCATAAAATCGTCCAATCTATCGCCTGTTTCATCTAGCCTGCATGCAAATATAGAAAACCAATACTACTCCATTGCTGAATACGGGCGAGTCGCAAGTTCACACAGCCTCCAAGCTTGGTGCATGATTGCGACAGCGTGCGAGACGCAGTCGAGGCTGTGGGTGCGTCTACTAGTTCAGATTGCCGCCTGTGCTTTTGAAGCGAGCCGACTTTGGGTTCGCATCCTCCGCCGCCTCTGGCCCCTTGTCTTCAGAGCGTCCCTCGATATTGCGGGCAAGAATGGGGTACTTTGCCTGGAAGATCTTGTAAGGCAGCAAAAGTAGTGGTGCAAGCAAAAACACACATTCCCAGAGGACTGTGTCGTTCCAGGACACGAGCAGGGCCGAGTTGCCCATGTTCAGATTGATGGGGTTCTCTGACGATGCAATTCGCACCAGCTTGAGCGAGCACAGACCGAGAGCGCACAGATGTGTTCCGACCTTCAAGGTGTTGTCGATCACAGACGTATACGGCTGTGCACACCAAACAAGAATATGGTTGGTGAGCCACACAGCCAGGGCCACGGCGACTCAACGACAGGGTCGTCGTTTCTGCGAGCTGCAATTGTAAAGCATGCGTGTGATCGCTGCGATGGTGGTTGCATCCGCTCTCTCTGCGCACGACTCACACACGCACGCAGACTCGGCACGAACCTGCAAGAATGCCCATGGCATCAGCCAAACCCATATCAAAAAGAACAGAGAAATGGTCTGGTTCCATTCTGAGAAGATGGATTGCGTTTGAGCATGCACATCAGTATACTGGTCATTTGATATCCTGAGCCAAATCCAAGCAGAGTCAAGCACATGCAGTTGGATACCCAGCGACTCACCATCGACTCCGTACGAGATCCGTATCAACGGAATCAGAAACCGCTCAAACAAAAACACATGGATGTACTTTGTGAGGAAAGATAGTCTGTCAGTGGAACACTTTGACTCGACGGTGGCAGCACATCCACAGGTCGACCTGGAAAGTTGGATCGGGAATCTACGGATCCAGGGTCGCTGAACAGCAATACTGAACAGCAATACTGAACCCAGTGCACCGCCAGTATGTGAGGAGCTGACTCACCCAAATATATCTCAGCCGAAACGGCGCAAGAATGGCTCCGATAAAGCCTACAAGGTCATTCCCGTTTAGGGTTGTCGTTGTCATTGGGCTCAGCACGGTGAAACATACGTCAGCAGCGCCCAATCCACCGCAGTCGAGATCGTGCCAAATACCATCCCGTGCTTGGACACAGATCGGCCAGACGCAGTGACTCACCTTGTTGTTTGCGTGGGTCGACGAGTTCCTGTCTGTACGTTTTCAGCAATATGACAACAGGCACGGCAATGATGATTGCCGCCAGCACGATAACCCCAACGCTCAGCACTGGAGTAGCTCATGTCGGGTTAGTGCTCCAGAAGTAGATCGACGGTGCATGTCACAGTGGCGGAGCCCGGACGATGAATCCACATTTGCCTTTGAACAACGTACTCGCAATATGAGGGCCATTCCAGCAGCCAACTCCGGGCTGAAAGGTCAAGAGACTCAGCTGGTTGGCGGACCGGCATGAAAAGAGCGTAAAGCCTGTACATACACCCAGAGACATGCGCAAATCAAAGGGTCGATTCAGTCAGTGCCAAACAAAGCATAGTACTGGTTCCATCACACCCTCGTCGCCCATCCTTGTCAGGCCGACACAAGCCTGTTCCAGCAGCCCAGATGCCTCGCACTTGAACATGGACTTACATATCGACACCAGCGGCGTGTAGCAAAGTAAAAACAGCCCAAGAGCGGAGGTGACTGCGTTTTGGTGCTTCTTGGATGTGTAGAGCCAGCCCGGCACAGGAGTCGCACCGGACTCTTGGCTCTCGGCCATGAATCGCTTCCAGGTGGCCAATGCCAAGTCGAAGCCATACCAAAGGCTCAGCATAGCGGCCAAAATGAATGGCAATCCCAGATTCAAGGATAACTTAGTGGCGTCGTTGATGGGCATGATGCACCATGACAGGCCATAGCTGATATCAACATTGAGAGTAAGTGCTGAGAGCCTAAACCATACCGATGTGAAGCCTGTAAGCTGCCAACTCAAACGCACTCGATCCATGGCCAACGCTGTGACGCAAGCAACGCATGCAAGCGGTACGATACAAAACACGGAGGGGTGAGCAGAATAACACTCACAGAGGCATGAATGGGTTTGCCAGGCTAACCAAATATCGCGAGACTTGGTAGAAAACGGCCTGAAGGTTCCACAGCGGAAAGATCAGACGCAATCTTATCTTGCCTGGATCTCTACCGTCATCTCGCTCGAAATATGCTCGCGATCAAGCCACTGATGACACGGATGGATACCGTGCGGCAGCCATCCTTAATCATCACCACCAAGCCAGACCAAGCATTTCGTTGATGTCACGCCAGGTCCGTCCGACGCCATCACGGCTGAAGTCGCTGCAATAGCCATATCGCACATCCAATCTGCACGAGATGCATGTCCGAGAATCTCACCAAATCAGACACAAAGAAGCCCTCAAGTTTTGGGAGGAAATAGTACAGCCCTGTGCCCAAGAACACCAACAGAAACGCAAGCGTTGGCCAGCCAGGGCTGGATGAGCTGCAGGAGAAACAACCCCCGCCCCATTGATAGGGAGCAGTTGCTTCACACTGCGCGCACAGAGGCCCGGTGAATCCAGGCTTGCAAGCCTGGTCGGATGTGCAGTTTCCGTTGGGACAGCACGGTCCTGAATAGTGGTACTGTGTTAGTATTCAACGATGGTCACTTTGAAGCTCGCAAACAGCTGGGACTCGCGAGCCTCTCTTCCCATACGATCGCACTCATGCGATCCGTCTATGCATCATACAAGAGGGCTTCTTGGCGACCGCTTTGTCCATAAACCTCACACATCTCTACCTTCAAACTGACACTCAAGGAAGGCGCTGGCAACATCTTTGATGCTTGGATCCATCCAGTAGTTTGCAAGAGGCCGCACGTCGCTCTCTCCATTGCAAATGGCGCCTGCATACAATGATATGTTTTTGGTTGGCACTGCGTTCTAAGACAGTACTTTCAACAGTATCGGACACACGCGCACGAACTGAATTCCACCTTGGGGGCACGATTTGCATGTTGAGTTGCGCTTCATGTTGTATGTTCCTTGGATTCAATGTAGATCAGTCCGAATCGTCCCGAGTCGGCCAAGCAAAGCATTGACAAGATCAGCGAGCTTGCCTGACCCAGAGCTTACCGGGATCGCACGCAACGCACTGTGGTCGTGATCCATTCGCTTGAAAGCTCCAATATCCGGCTTGGCACACTGTACGGCAGCGCGTTCACAACGAGGCCATGTGTATGTCAATATATCAGCGCGGACTGCCAAGAGTTGCTTGAGCTGTTCATCGGCGCTGCATTCAGTACCTGGCATATCTGAAGGGGGCTGCAAGAAGTAAATCAACGCATGTCAGCCCGTCTTCGCCGGTAACTCCGCGCTGACATTGCTGCCGGCCATGCTTACCACAACCCGTCCTCCGTATCCATAGAAGCCTACTGGGAGCACCAAGTTTCCTGTGATGTACTTTCCGATGCTATTAGCCTGGCCATCGACCTTTGTCTGAGCAAGGAAGATCATGGAGCTGCAAGCCAGTGGGTTGCAGAAATCAATATGTGGAAATGGGGGGAGTCGATCGGAGAGACCTCTATCCAGTGCGACGTTGTCTCAGCCGGCGTACCCCTTTCGATTTCCAGTAGAGTCAAGAACAAACTGGCCCGTGGGTCCACGGTATCCGGTCGACGCAAATGCGGTCCAATTCAAGTATCCGTCCGCTTGGTGGCTTGCAATCGCCTGGGCCGTAAAGTTGTACGTGTTCATGGTCTGTATTCGATGGCCCGGTGCTTGTCAGAGAATGCTGCATCAGACAAACGACTGCCATGCCATCTTTTGTGAAGCTGTTCATCATCGTTATGAGCCTGACCTGCTTCCAGCCGCTTGCGATCACATTAACCGTATCGTACGAAATCCTGTGCGAGTTACATCGTTACAGTGGCGCATATCACCACTGCTTCCACGGGTTTGGTATGATGCCAGACCATACCTCGCAAAGTCGTATGGCATGTTGATGGAGCTGACGGGATATTCAGTAGGATTCTGTGAATTGAGACCCATCCAGCGACTCACAAAGGCGATGTTGACCGGGTCGATCGGATCACATTCGATTTCTTGAGGAAAAATGAAGCCGTCCTTGTCTTGAACCGCATTCAGACCGTACATAGCTATGGCCGTAAGGTTTTGCGTTAGCTCGTGCACAGCCATCGTTTAGTATGGAAGCGAGAGTCACCTTCAAGCACTTCTGGTGGCGAGAAATCGAGTGGCCCAATGCCGAGCCAGACATAATCCGGTCCAACCATGTTCATTGATCTGTGTACGCATCAAGCATGGAATGAAATGTATCGTGAGCTCGAGTCACTGCTCGCGGTTACGTCGCCACACTATGGCAAAGGAAAGAGGCAACTCGGGGGCTCTGGGAGTTGATTCAGTTGACGAATAGTCTCACCTTGCAGTGTAATAGATGGCCTCTGTATCGCTTGGACTGGCACATACGAATATGATCCGGGGCTCTGTTGTGCGGAGGTTGAGTATGTTTTGATTCAGGTTGTCCCGATCTTGAGAAGTCAGGTTGCCAGTGTATGGGTCGGAGGTGTACACCGGCTGGGAAATCAGCAGGGTGATATTCCAATAATCGACACTATATTGTATTGAGATATCATTGATACTCGTGTCAGTCACTGCTGCGTCGTTGTCATGTGCACTCAATGGCACCGCCAAGTGGGCTATGGCAGCATTCAACTCAGGGCTGTGCTGTGTCTTTGTCGTTGGCCAAATTGGTGGAATATCAAAGGGACCTGTTGCTGAAACTGGTAAGTTGAAGTGCAAATGATAGAGCATAACTTACCGATTGAGGAAAGACTGCATGCCTGCAAGACCGTATTCGTCGTCCAGACCGTGGACGATCGCGACGCTCTTCCATCCACTGGCGTTGATGAAATCGGCAATGCCGTCTGCGCAGACAACGGACAGGACGATGTTCATACAATTCAGGCCACTGATCCTCCCACCCGTGAGCCATAATCTTGAGTCGAGGCCAAGTACCGGTATCTTGACAGCCATCAGTGATCCACCAAACACGAACACTGACGCCAGCGCCGTTACTCACTTGCTTTCCATGCGACGCTTTGTCGGGTGGAAAAGTAGTACTTGGGGCGGGTTCGGGTCAGCGAAATGTCAGGACGTGCAGATTGCGGTGTTGCCTCGCACCTGCCTCCGTAAACATGGCAGTCATGCGCTTGCTCTCTTGTCTAAACTCACCGGATAGTCATTCTTCACCGAGAGCAAGACGCTTGAAGCAACGGGTGAGGACTGGATGATCTATTTGTCCGCATCTGATCAGCCGCAGAAACTCGCCATGGACAACACATCCTACCGACTTATTTGTTCGACCCACCTTGCCACTGCTGCTGAGGAATCCCTCCCAAATGGTACTCTGTCATCAAAGGGTGATTCTTAACAAGCGTCCAGATCGGTACACCGAAGCAGCTTGTCTGCACAGCTGTTGTCACTAGCGACCCGTCCTGTGACTCCGCTGCGAGCGCTCAAAGATGGCAGACCTGCATGAAGAAATCGCCGATGACGGCATTTACGGCAATGTCCTGTGTCATATTGAGGACCTGGAGGCTGATTCGGTGGGTGATATGAGAAGCACATGGATAACGATGTGAGGAGGCAAGTCGATATCCACGACAAAGTCATCAGCGCAAACTGTGGCGCGGGAGGTGAGCGCAGGCATCAAATCCGATCGATCAGCTATGCGGACTCGGGCGATCGGCAAGGGCGGCTCACATGGCAATCTTGGATGGGTTGGATACCGCGCTCGTCACATTGTCGGAGGATGAGTTCCACGAGTTTCCCAGCACGAGCTCTATCGGAGTCCCCGGGAACATGTTGCGGTTCTGATTTAAATCTGATATCGCCAGAGCGACTCCGCTCTGGTCGACAACAGTACCGCATACGAGAGCAAAGTTCAGCGACCGCTCTCATCGGTGATGACGACCCTGACGAAGCAGGCATGGTATCGGAGCTACTTTGATGTCTCGGTAAAATCACGCGATACTAAGGGCCCACGGCAACTATACCTGGATCGCTGTTACCATCGTTGTTGTTGATGGTGTTGTTGATGGCGGCGGGTCCGTAGTCGTGCCCAGCAAGATCCGCGTCGAATCGGGAAGGATTCCATGTTCAAGCAGCGGCTGTGAGTCGATCTCGGCGCATTGCGCCGACCTGGACTTGTCTGCTGGATAAACAATCGATTTCACCGCACCACGCGCCGTGGTATATGCCGAGCGCTCTACTCCACGCCACTCCACTGAGACTATCTGCACTCGCACCTTGCATCGCCATAACGACGCTTGGATCGGCATCGTAGCTGAACGGCAGCAAGAGGCCGATCTTGAGGGTCGTAGCCGATGCCCATGGGGCAAACAGGCTGTACAGAACCGTTGCTGCGAGTGCGTGGCCGCGGTGCGGCCTCCAGAATGCCCACATTTCCAAGGGGGGCTTGTCGGATTCGATGGTGTGAGCAAAGCGCTGCGGATCCGGATGGGTGTCTTCAATACCGTGGGGCCCGTGCGAAGACGAGCACGGCCTGGCGTCTTGCCCAGCGCAGCGGCCGAAACTGAGCATCGCCCTCCTGAGGCTGCGCGGAGCGACCGCGGTGTCGAGCCCCGTGATCTGGTCGATCACCCCTTCCTGATGCTCTCCGCGCGGGCCGACATCCCCTGATCTGTGGCGGTGCAAGGCCAGGTCGCCAGCCAATGGGAATCTCTCTTTGCATTTTGCCCAAAAACGGGAGCACGCGCCAGGAAAGGAAAGCGAGAGGCGGCGACAGCGAGATGCCGGCGAGAGCACAGGCACTGTGGCAGCACAAGCCAGAGGCGAGCACCGAGACTGTGCGAGAGGCGCGAGCGTTCCTGTGGGTCGTCCTGCCGTCCTCCTGCCCGATCTGCAAGCCGATGGTTCGTCTTCATCTGCCATTGCCATCCCCTGCCTGTCTCTGCATCAACGCCCAGCATAACAGCAGCCATGAGCTCCGAAGTCACCTGCACGGCACCCGTCAACATTGCGGTCATCAAGTACTGGGGCAAGCGAGACACTGCCCTGCTGTTGCCCACCAACTCGTCGCTCTCGCTCACTCTGTCGCAGGACCATCTGCACTCCAAGACCACAGTGCGTCTGACTCCCGGCCAGGGCTCCGATCGTCTCTGGCTCAACGGCAAGGAGGAGTCCATCGCGGCATCCAAGCGCCTGACCAACGTCATCAACGAGACCCGCCGGGTCCGCATCCGCCTGGAAGAGGAGGCCGCCGCCCAGGGCCATCCCCTGCCTGCGCTCTCCAAGTCGTTCCTCACCATCTGCTCCGAGAACAACTTCCCCACGGCCGCTGGCCTGGCTTCGTCGGCCTCGGGTTTTGCCTGCCTGACCTTTGCTCTCTCCAAGGCCTTCCAGCTTCCAAGCGACAATTCTGAGATTTCCCGTCTGGCTCGTCTGGGATCGGGCTCGGCCTGCCGCTCGTTGTACGGCGGTTTCGTGGCCTGGGAGATGGGTGACAAGGCCGATGGATCCGACTCGATCGCTGTCCAGATCGCTGACGAGTCGCACTGGCCTGACATGGAGGCCCTCATCCTCGTTGCCTCGGACGAAAAGAAGGACGTCGGCTCGACCGAGGGCATGCAGTCCACCGTCGAAACCTCGGAGCTGCTGCGCGAGCGCATCCGCGAGGTTGTTCCGCGCCGCATGAGCGAGATCACCAAGGCCATCCTCGAAAAGGACTTTAACAGCTTTGCCGAGATCACCATGAAGGACTCGAACCAATTCCACGCCGTCTGTCTCGACACCTTCCCCCCGATCTTCTACCTCACCGACGTCTCCAAGGGCGTCATCTCCCTCATCACCAACTACAACAAGCTGGCAACCAACGGCACTGGCTACAACGCCGCCTACACCTTCGATGCCGGACCGAATGCTGTTCTGTACCTGCGTCGCGAGCACGTCCCCGAGGTCCTTGCCCTGGTCGACCAGTGGTTCCCCAAGCCCGAGAGCGCCGATCCCAGCGAATACTATGGCCGCGCCGCCGAGTTCCTGCCCAAGGCCGATCCTGCAAAGGTCGGCCAGCTGGCTTCGAGCATCAGAACCCCCAAGTACCCTGCTGGCAGCATCCGCCGCATCATCAGCACTCCGATTGGCGACGGACCTCGCATCCTTGCTGCCCAGCATGAGCCGCTGATTTCCCTGCTCAACTCCGAGGGACTGCCCAAGCGCACGGTCTAATTCACACCACTCGACCGCCCGCATCAAGATCAGCCAAACGGAAGAGTTGTCTTTGCGCCACGGCAGCTAGACAACATGAATCGCCTGCACAACGTGCCGTTAGCCTTCCGCGATAATGACACATGCAGGAAACCTCAGCTAATTGCTTTCTCTCTCCTTCCTGATTTGCTTTGCACCGTCAGCTATCACCAAATACAATATATTTCAAAATGCGACCCATGCCAGCGGTATTGCCCAGCGGCTGCTTGTGTCAACGTGCAGCCTTGCATCGACAAAGAATGGTGCTCATCTGCGAAACAGCAACAGCGAGAGTGCAGTCAACATCCGCCAGTGGCCATGCAATCGATTGCGCTTTGTCGGCATGTCGTCGGATTGCCGGTCTGGCGTAGTGCACCAAATGGAACGAAAGTACCTTTGCTCGGCCTCCCACCGAGCTTCTCCGATTTCAATGATCCGGCACAGCTTGGCGATATCCAGGCCGCCTTCGACCGGAGGGTCCTCGCTGCCGCTCTGAATCCATCGGCGCGCGACTTGGTATCGCCAAACAGAGTCGCCCGGGAGTCCTCGACGGACCAGCTCGGTCTCAAGAGCCAATCTCCGAAGATACGGCCCCTGTGCCACTGTGGCCGGAGTCCAGGCCAATGGGCGCCCAGATTCCGAGTCGGATAGGCCGCTGAGACCGCTAAGCCAAAACGATGGGTGACATGCGCTGTGGTCGGCAGTGCATAATTCTGCATCGACCGAATGCTTGCACCTGGTGGGCGGTTGCGCCGAATCGAGCAAGAGATGCCACAGGTTCGCGCCGGCATCTTCCTTGATTTGGCCCGAACCGATATCGCAGGTGCCAAGAGAGAAGCAACAAGCCAGCAGCAAGGCCCTGGAAATCCGCTCGCCTTCGGTCATGCATGCAGACTCGATCGTGTCGCCCCTCCAGCGGAGATTCAGCAGGGCTCTCCGCATAGTCTCGTAGAGAATCAGGCCGTCAGAGTCGCCGAGCTTGCCCTTCAGCTGTTCAATGATGCCTTCGCCCACCAGGCTTTTTGTAATCCTGGATTCCTCTTGCTCCTTCTGGACACCGAGCCACACTCTTGAGCGCCGATATTCGGGCAGTCCCGGGATTCCCTCGAGCAAAATGCGGCGTCGCCCTCTCCAGCGACGGGTAAAGGGTCGGTTGGTGAGTCTGCCGAGAATGTCGCTGCATCCGCCTTGGCCCTGCGAAAGCTCAAAGCCTCGGAGGAGGAAGGATTCGCGAAAGAGCACCCGGTGGATCTCGAGCTGGAGCGTCGTGACAATCCAGAACGACCCTGGAACCCACTGGTGCTCCACCTGGTGGATCGTGTATGCGAGGAGGACATCGGTGTCGCGGAAGTAGTGGAGGCCGGGCTGGGTCGGCACCCGGAAGCTCTCGGTTTCGCACCCAGTACCCCACCAGCGCAGAGAGATCCGCAACGGCACGTCTTCCCACGATCGGCGGAGAAACGAGATTGAGATGAGCTGGTGCGGTCGCTTCATTGGACTGGCCGAGAGTGCGTCCTCATAGTCGCTCGGTATTTGGTGCTCTTCATGGCCGCTTGCTGGCTGGGCTTCGCTGTTGTGGCCGCCGTGGTCATTGGTGGCCGGGTCGCTGTCATGGAGAGTCGAACTGCTGTCGATGATGTCTCCATGGGGCTGCTGGTTGCCCGGAACAGGGGCGCCGTTGTCGCAGGCCTCCATCCCGTGAATCAGCGACGCACAGCCGTCCCTGCCGCACGTTTCTGCATGGATGGTGCCGTCTCGGTTCATGCCAGCGAGCATAAGGTGAGCGATTTTGACGGTCTCGCGCATCACGGCAGGACGGAGAGGAAGCCCGGTCGGCGGCCAGTCGCTGTTCTGCTCGCCGCCCTTGAATACGGCAGCGAGCCACTGCGATGCGTGCAGGTTGTGATAGAGTATCGGCGATGCCATTCTGGCAAAGCGCCGAGAGACCCGCCGGAGCCTCCACACCGTAGGCAGAGGTAGCCAGGTGCCGATGTTCAGAAGGACACAGTCTGGGAGACGATCCAGTGCCGCCGTTTCCAATGGCAGCAGCCCATTCCTGGCTGGGTCAACTCCCATGGTTTGAGGCTGAGGGAATGCGCTTGATATTCGGCTCTGCCCGGTGAGAGCGATGGTGGTTTGTATCGAAGACGAGCAAGTGCGTTGTATTGATGGCGAGCAAGTGCGTGCTCCAACGACAGCGGGCGACCCCACGCACAACATTGATGCTTCCCATCCCTGGCGCCAAACCCCCGAATCAACCTCGTATCAAGAGTTTCCGCGCCCTTGCCAATCAGAGCGGCGGGAAGCCGGCGCTGTGTTCTTTCGGCCCCGGTGTTGCTTTCTGTTCGCTCGTGATGCTGTGCTAGCCTCAGCGGCGCACATCCTGGCATTTCCAGGCGCCCCATCCATCGAAGATCAGCTGCCGGTGGTAGAGACTCTTGGCATCAAGTACCTCGCGCTGCGTGACGGAAACGAGCGTGACCTGGTTGTGTGCAGAGAGCTTCTTCATGATGCGAGCCTCCATGTGGGCATCGACCGCCGAAAGTGCCTCGTCCAAGAATGCAAAGTCGGGCTTGTGGAAGAGAATCCGACCGATGCACAGCCGCTGCTGTTCGCCCCGCGAAAGTGTCTGCGAGAGGTCGCTTTGGGAGACCTGGAGCGACTGCTCGTCGGCGTTCTTTTGGGAGCGTAGTCTGCCACTGGCTTCGCGCTCAAACAGATAGTCCAACTCGACAGCCTGCAGGATCTCGAGGAGCTCTTCATCGCTCAGGAGCTCGCCCTTGTTTGTGGCCTGGAGCGGATAGGTAATTTGGTCCTTGAGGGAGCTGTTCAGCACCAGATAGGGGTTCTGGGGCAGGAAGAAGAGGTGTCGAGGGTGTAGCTTTGAGGGGCCGGAGAGTTCGGCCGAATGCTCTTGCGACTGGGCTGAGCCGTAGCCGGGATACTCGATCGTGCCATGCTCGAGCGTGCAAAGGCCTGCGATGACCTTCAAGAGATAGCTCTTTCCGCACCCAGAAGGGCCGACGATCAGCAGGTTCTGGGCGCGTTCGATGGTGAGCGACTGATCCTGGATCAGCAGGGTTCCCGTCGGAGTCGAGTATGTAATGTCGCGCAGGATAATGCTGCTGCTGCTGGGGCGTCGGAGGCCGTTCTCGGGATCGACGGTGAGCTGGATTTGCTCGGGACTGAGTTGCTCGATATCCTGGTCGGGGGATACGAGCGTGCTGGGCAGCACAAGATCGTCTAGTTGCCGATCGTCGTGACTGGCCATGGTGTCCAGAACCTCGAGCAACTGGCTAATACGAGCGGTATATCCAGCAAGCTTGGAGGCGCTGGATGGGGGGGCAGATTGGCGAGAATCAGGAGTCGTCAACGATAAAGCGAGGACTATGGAACCGACGGCGAACTGGAAACCGTGCCCGAGACAGACAGACAGACAGACAGACAGACGCGGTGCATGTCGCAGGCACTTACTCCTCGGTCAGCTCGGTGATGCGAGTAAATTGGTAGATGAGGTACAGTGAGAGAAACATGTTCATGGAAATCAACGAGGCCAGGTCGGCGCCGTCCATGTCGTCGTACTTGCCCATGAAGATGGGTATGGCGATGGCGATATAGCTCGTGTCGGTGCCGTAGTACGTCACCAGGTTGACGACGGTCTTCAGCACAAAGTTCCAGGAAAGGAAGCCCAACGTTGCATCGTATACTGCCTCGAAGAGACCCTGGAGCTTGTCATTCTCGAGGTCTTCGCCGCCTTGGAGCGCAATCTGCTCCGAGTGGCTGCGGACCCACATGAAGCCAAAGCGAAAGTTTCCCTCGCTGCGCTCCTTGGTGTAGACGAGGGGAATCATGGGCAAGAGCACGTAGCGACAAATCAAGGTGCTGAATACAAAGTAGGTGTACATGAGCGTCGGACCGACCCAGCCTGCGACCTTGTAGATTTGGTAGGTGTAGTACGCGATCAGGACGGGCTTCATGGTGAGCTCGCCGATGATCTTGATCAACTGGAGAACGAGAAGACGAGGGCCGGGTCCGATGTCGTTGCAATTAGCCAGAGTACCGCATATGCTTGCAGCGTATCAAGGAACCAGAGCATCGGCAGTCGCTGCAGCGTATCATCGGAGCCAGTACAATGCCGACGAAGGGCATAGGCAGGACGGCCATTGTCTAAACAGTGCGCTGCTGGCGACCAAGTCGAGCATGCGGGTACCAACCTGCTCGGTGAAGCGGCCGACATCCTCGGCAATACGCTGGTCAGGATTCTCGACGCCAATTGCAAGTTTGGGGTCGGTCTTGGGAAGTGGCCTGGTTGAATGCTCGGGCGAGGCGTCGGCAGCGGACAGAGCGTCGTTCGCCGTCGAGATGCCAGCCAGGGGGACGGACTGATGGGACGAGGCCTTGTCGGCCAGGACCCGGATCCGATAGGGTCTGCCGTTGCGCAGGTACTTGCGGGTGAGTTTTGTGGTGATGCGCTTTCGGGCTCGAAGGGCAAAGACGCCCTGGGCGTAGTCGGTAGCGCTCTTGACGACAGAAACGAGAATGTAGTAGATGGCGGACTTGAGGATGGTGAGCTTGAAGTTTGCATAGTCCCGCTTGCCCAGATAGAGGTAAAAGTTGGGGCTCAGGGTGCCGACGAGGAAGACAAAGACCTCGTGCAGAATGAAGAGGGCAATCAGGAAGACGTATGTCTGCGTGACCGAGCCTCGGCCAAGCGCAAAGATGATGCCGAGCAGCCGCCACAGCCGGCGAGCAAAGACCTGGTCAAAGCTGGGTTTGTTGGCATCCTTGTCCAGGACGAGGACAGGCTCCTGCTCGTCCTTGGATGGCTCCTGGGCCGGGCTTGATGGAACGGGCTGGTAGCGGCCTCGGGACATGACGGCAAACGCAGACAGCGCTGGGGCGAGGCGGTGCTGGACAGATGGCGACCAAAGGAAGCGCCGATCGTGGGCTGGTGTTGTCTGGCAAGGCGGCCGAGTTCTGTGTCGGGACAAGCCGCTGGCTGCGGTGGTCTTGGACATTCCACCAGACCCAGCGATTCACGAAGCCGAACGCACCAGCTCCGCATCTGGTGCCTTGCATCTCATGCCCAGGCGGCGGTACGATGCGCACCGCACTCACAGAGGACTGGGGCGAGGAGTAATGTGTATTTGGAGGCTGCGCTGCCGAGCCTCACTTCTTTTTGCTCATCGAATACGACGCCAGTCGGCTGGCGCTCAGCGCAGACTGGGCCGAAGCCTCCTCGGTCTTGGTCTTTTTCGAGCTCTTGGAGGGGCCTTCGGACGACACACCAGCTTTGCGCTTCGGTGCGTCCGCTGCGGGAGAGAATCAATCAAGTCAGATCCGGTCCAGTCAGGCCATATCCGGTCAGGCCATATCCGATCGGGTCATATCAGGTTCGCCCAGATACAAGCGTGCAAGATTACGACGAGGAGCGCGGGAGCAAGTCGCAGTCGACAGCCCTGCAGTTCGAGACCACCCACCTTTCCGCCGCTTCTTCTTTGTGTCGTCCTCGCTGGCTCTCTTGCCGCCATGGCGGTCTCGCTCCTCTTGCTGCTGCTTGAGCAGCCCACGGAAGTCTTTGCTGATGCTGGAGTCGTCCAGCTTCTCGTGGAGGCTTTGGCGGAACTCTCGCAGGATCTTCTTGCGGGTCTTTTGGAACTTTTGCTTGTCCCGGCTTTGTCGATCGTGTCCGCGGAAGGGCGCCAGCTTCTTCAGCGAAACAACCTTGTTGAGGTCCGCATCGTCCGCAAGCAGGATCTCGACGCCAGAGAGCCCGTAGGTCTCGGGCTCCACCTGGGTGTACTTGAAGCGAGTAGGCTGGTCGCCGACCTGCAAGTCGTCCACCAAGGGGTGAGTTGGTAACCCACACGAGAGACAAGTGCGGATCTGGTCTTCCAATGCAGGGCTTTGCACGACATTGAGTGCCCACCATGTCTTCATAGTCCAGGTTGTAGTATTCCTCCAGATATTTGCCAAGCGACATCTCGCCATCCTTGTCGCTGCCTTTGGCGCCCTTCTTGGTCTCCTTTTTGTCTGAGAAGGCCAGCGCAAGTTAGCTATGGGCAGATCGGACCAGATTCGGGGCTGTTGCCACACAAACATGCTGTTCCTCGGCAAGTCGTCGCATACCCTTCTTCTTGGTCTTGAGCTGCCCAAACTTGTCTCCGCCAGGCAGGTAATCTGCATCCATGATAAAGTCGTCGTCCTCATATCCGGTCGTCTGATCATAGCCTTCATCCCACTGGTCTGCATCTTCCGCGACATCAGCGCCATCATGTTGATCATCGTCGTTATCATCGTCGTCAACGCTGATGTCCTTGGGCTTGACCTTGCCGCTGACATCCTCCAGGTCGACATCGAGATCAGACAGGTCGTCCTCAAACACTGGCTTCTTCTTGGAATCCTGTCGGGAGATAGTGCCGATCGATTGCACAAAGGCATCAGCTTAAAAGTCGTGGATGGCACACGAAAGCGTCGCGCCCCGAGAACAACCGGTGTCCAAAGTGCCGACACCAGCGCAGCCGTTACCTCCTCGGTCGCAAAGTATTCATCGTTGAAGGTCTCGGCCATCTTTTTGTCGAAGGCATCGGGATCAAAGTCGCCCTCAAGATCGACTTCGCCAAAGGCAAGCGAATTGCCTGCACCCGAGATTTCCTGGATCTTCTTCAGCTTCTGGCGAATCTCTTCCATCTTGAGGTTCTTGAGACGCTTCAGCTCCTCTGCCTTCCGGAGCTTTTCTTCCTCGCGGCGAAGGGCTTTCGAGGTGCGCTGCTCCTTGCGCTTGGTGTCCTTGCGACGAAGACTGTCTTGAATGTCTCTGGAGTGGGTAACAAGTTCTGATGCCCCACTGCTCGGTTGAGAGAGTTTTGCATCGAGTGAGATGGCGGTGTGGTGGCATTATCGACATACTCGCGGCCCGATGGTTTATGGCCGACCCGATCCGCATCCCCGCATCCCTGCATCCCTGCAGAGGCGCCACATTCGCGGCCAGCAGCGACAGCTTACGTTTCTTCGAATCTGAAGTTGTGTTTGACCTCGAACCGCTCTGCGGCATCGACGGCCTCCTCGTCTTCATCCAGATCCTCTTCGTTTACAATCTCGCCATAGGAGGGGATCTTGTCCTGGTCTTTGTCTACCCAGCCGCGCTTGAGGACATAGTCCAGGAGGAAGGCCTCGTCGGGATCCGAGGGTTTCTCGATATACGATCGCCACTCTTTGAGTCCCTGGGCGCTGTCGTTAGCCATGCTCTCGAGCAGGAATTGGCGGTAGTCCTCTTCGTCCTTTGCCCTTTCCTCCTCGGTGCGTTCCCGCAGGGTGAAGAAGCCATCGTCTTCATCCGAATCGACCTGTCGCCCTGCGTCCTGGAGGGTCATGAGTGGCGCAACCGCAAAATGCCGCAGGAGATGAGTCGGGTTGCAAGGCCAGATGCCGACGTGCGAGTCAAGGTGATATGTGGCAGTGGGGAGGAGCTGTATCCTTGGGCGGCCTCATCCCCCAGCATCCTCAAACTGGCCGAATATCAGTGGTGCAGCAAGGGCGCTCCCCCACCTTAAAAGCCTTCATCAGATGTGCCTGCTCTTCGGCATGTGTCATGGTCGGGTCGGAGGCATCGTTGTCGTCGTTGTCGTCGGATCCCGCGTCGCCCTCCAAAAGTCGCTGGCGATGATAGTCCTTGAGCTTGACTGGCTTGGACTTTTTCATCTCCTTTTGTTTTTCCTCCCATTTCTGCTTTGCTTCGGCAAGCTTCTCCTCTGCACGGACGATCGTTGTACGTAAGGAGCCGAGACGCCGTTCCAACGGTCCATAAGCGCCAAGCAGTCCGCGCTGCCATCCTCTTCCTGATTCTCGCCTTTAGACTTGCCAGATGCTTGTCTATACTCGTTGGTATCGGAGCATTCCCCTCCCAGTCCGACCAGCACCATGCGCTGCTCAAATTGCAGATACGCCTCCCCCCCCCTCACGCGGCACTCACCGCTAAAGAGGGCTGTTTTGGGGTCGTAGATCTGTGGATCCTTCTCCCGAATAAGCTGGATGGTCTTCATGATTTGGGCATCGACGGCCGGCGTAACCAGTTCGCCGTGCTCGTCCTCCTCCTCAGACATGGATTCATTTTGGGAGTCGTATTCGTCGTCATTGTACTGCGCCTTCACTGCATCGATTTCGCCGCATGAAGAGGCGCATCAATAGCAGAAGAGCAGAGCAGAGTCAGTGACACTTCACCGACTCGGTAACATGCCTGTGCACTCGGCAAGAGTGTGTCGCCCCGCCAGAGTGTGATTCCTGAGCGAGCCCTTTTCTCGCACAGGCTCTATCTCTCTTCCGGTTTGGGTGTGCACCGATCGGAACTGTGGCTGCACTTACGGCTGCTCAACTCCTCCTTCTTTTTGCGCTGCTCGAAACGCTGGGCATAGCTTTCGTTGATCTTGAGCTCGATGTTCCCGTCGTCGTCGTCGTTGAACATGGCTTTGTGGAGGAGTGGGGAAGCGAATGCGGCTCGATTTGATGCGATATGGTACGAATGTGGTGCTGCGCGATGCTATGCGATGCGATGGTGTGCTCGCTTGGTATGATGCGTGAGCGGGCCGTGGTCAGAGATGTGACTGTGATGGGTTGCTGACGCTGCTGTCGTTGGCGTGGTGTCGGGCAAAGGGTTCCGAGGCGCGAACCAACAATAAAAAAAAGCGCAGCAATTACGTAATCGATCAAGTTCTGGCCGAACAGTATGGGATGGCGAGTGCACAGCGCTGAATGCATGAACACACCACCGATACATGGCAGTGGATACATGGCTGTGAGTGCACAGCGTGCGCATCTGACCGAGCGGTGCGGGGCCGCTGCCCCATCGCCGATGTCGGCTGGCACTCTGGCGCTCGAGACTGGGCTGACTCGTTTCGTAAACGCTGATATATTTCTCCAAAAAGAACAATAGAGAGAACAAAGTTGCCAACGGGATATTGGCCAAGATATCATCGTCTTGGCCTTCCTAAGAACACTCCTCGACAACCAGGTACTTTTCGAGCCAGGTCGAGACGGCCTCGAGTCGCTTCTGTGAACTTGTGATCGGCAGGATGGAGTACTTTTCATAGACATCCATGGGAATAACGTTGGCTAGCCAAAACGACAGCATGCCGACGTCGTTCGGACACGGCCCGTGCAGCCGCTCAAAGTGCCGCCGTTGGTTGCATTCCATCGAGCGCAGCCGGCGCTCGACATAGGCTTTGGCCCGCGAGATGGTGCACTGCATGCGGGTGCGCCGGCCGAGGGCGGGATCGCTCTCGGACGACGACATGGGATCGGAGGGGTTCAAGGGCTTGCAAATGAGGCGAGACTTGGAGCACGGCCAGTTGGAGGCCCGCAGCGTGGCCTTGAATAGGGCCGAGACAGGACACTCGAAAAAGTCGCTGCAGCTGCTCTTGGAAACAAGCTGCTTGCTCTGGGACGACGGCTCGGCATCGTTGTTGTCCAAATCGTCGTCGTCCTCGTCCTCGGTGATGTCGTCGACACGCTCGATGACGGCGCGGCAGTATCCGTCCTCGCACGACAGCTCCTCGACGACCCGGAAGCGATGGCTGCCAACGGCCTCGACAATGTAGAGGGGCAGGGCATTTTCCTGTTGGTACTGCGGATCGGATGGGTAGACGGGTTGGTAGTTGCGAATCTTCAGCAGGGTGCCGAACTCGGAATAGTTGCGGTCCGAGGCGCAGCGGCGATTGCGGATGGGCAGACACATGCCAAAGATGCCATCCTTGCCGATGCAGCTCTGGATCATTTTGCGGTATCGCTCTTCAAAGATGCGCATGAAGCACGGGATTCCAGGCAAAGCCAGACTGCCGACAAAGATGGGAACGACCAGGCGGCGGTCTGGGAGCTCCTGGTTGCTGGTGAGGGACCGCATCTCAATCGTCTTGGAAAAGAAGGACTCGAGAATGCGGGTCAGGATGCGATTGGGGTGCCGCCCCTGCATGCATCCGTAACTGGGCAGGGACTGCCGGCAGCAGGGGCACGAGGGCTTGACCTCGACGGCCCGGAGCAAGCACGGCCGGCACCAGGTGTGCCCGCAGGGCGTGGTTATGGGTTGGTATAGAGTGTTGAAGCACAGAGTGCACTCGATGTCGATGTCAGAAACAGGGCGCTTGCAATCGTTCCAGACCGGCGCAGATGAGCATGAGGTCGAGGAGGTCGAGGAGGTCGAGCAGGTCGAGGACGATGAGGAGGTCATGGGCAACTTCTGGACGGTGATGGAAGGACACACATACGGGGCGATGGAAAGGATCGGGATCTTGCGAGCGAGAGCCTCGAACTTGTTGTTCCCGGGGTTGAGCTGAGTGGCCATGAGGACATCGGAGGCAGCAAGACTAAAGTGGCCGACGATGGCCCTTGCGGAGCCGCGGGCCAGATAGGCGGCCTGCAGCGAGGGGGCGAGACGCACGGCCTTGTCAAAGTGAGTCTCGATCACCCGCTCGATGGTGTGCTGCAGCGGCGGGAGGATCTTGGAGCAGGGATCGAACGAGATGACAAAGGGCGACAGGTTTCTGGCATCGGACCAAAGGGGGCGGCTGGATACGAGATCGGTGTCAGCCTCGGAGGCGAACCCAATCTTGGAGAGCTCAGCCAAGCCCGTGAGGATGCATCGCTGGGCTTCGACAACACTCGGGAACATGCGCTCCTGATAGGCGGCGACGAGGCAGTCGGTCTTGTAGATGCGCAAGAGGTGGCGCTTCCGACACTGTTCGACGGGGCATTGCTGGTAGGATATCGGGAAGACGAGGGTCGAGTCGGCGGCGGCATCGGGCACAAGGCAGCCAAGGTCGTCCGAGATGCTGTAGCGAAGAGCGACCTTGGATGATAATTCAAAGCATGATTTGCATACGGTGTATCCGCAAGGGAGGGTGACGGGGCCCAGAAGAAATTCTCCACACACGGCACAGGAAAAGTATGTGATCAGGTCCAATGACATGGACAAATCCGACGGACGACAGCGATTCTACGGAGGGAGGGAGGGCGGCTGGCGGACTGATGGGGCAGTCGGGCCAGGACAGGAATTGGTGAAGAGGGAGACGCTTGAGAGATGACTGGGACTTGAATGGGAGGAGTGCAGCGACGGGTGCCAACAGGCTGTGGGAGAAGCAATGAGGGTGGCCAAGCCAGGAAGCGGATGGCGGATGAGGCAATGCACAGAGACAGACTTGAGACAGCAGAGGAGGCGAGGCTGAGGGGGATGAGAGGATTCAAGGAAGCAACGACAGAGTGTCGAATGGAATCGAAGCAGGCTATAAGAAGGTATGGAACTCAGGAGACATCGGGGCTGACGAGGCCGATGATGGAGAAGTGGATGGACGATGGCGGATGCGGCCTTGGAGGATGTGCGGCGGCGACGGCCGGGAGGAAAACTGAGCGTTTGTTGTGGCGAGAGATGCTGATGCAGGGGCAAGGACGCAGACAGGGTTGCAGCAGCCAGTTCTTGCGGCGCTGGCGTTGGGCCGATCTAAATATACAATTCGGCTGGCCACCCGAGCGACAAACAGGCGGGATTTGTAACTGGTTTTGCTGGCTGATTTCGAAGGGACTGGCGGCCGGCAAATCGCTGACGAGACGGGCCGATTACTAATGTTTGCGCCGACACACAGACACTGCGCGCTGCTGCTGTGTTCGCGCGGCGGCGACTTTTTTTTTTTCTCCTTCGGGCATATCACACCGCTGGGCCGTGATTTCTCATGCGATGGCCTCGTATGCGATGGCCTCGTACGCGATGGCCTCGTACGCGGCGGTGCGCATTTCTCCCGCTCTGACGAAGCTGTCCTCGCCGACTCAGAGGCGCTGAATTGCATCGCCGCCTTCTGACATCCTGCATCTTGTATTGAGCATGCAAGCCTCTGTCCGAGGCTGGCGGGAGAGAAGCCAGACCATCGCCTCGCTCTGGATATCGCGAGCGCCATCATTCAAAGAAGCTCTTGTCCTTTGCGAGATGCTCTTCGACATCGCCGTCGTCTCCAAAGTGCTTGCCCTTGACCCAAACGTTCGGCACGCCCTTGAGGCCGGTGAGCTGCTCGAGGTAGGCTTGGATATCAGGCCCGTTGGCTACGACCGGCCCAACAATGCGAATTGCATCCCGACGGGCAACCGGAAAATGGAAGACATTGCTTTCTAGTCAGTGGAAGGCACAGGACAGGATGCGGTGGTGCTATTGTCCGTTGCTGCTGGTCGAAGCTCGCCAATCTCTTACTCCCAGGCCTCGCTTCATCACTCACACATCGTGTCCAACTCAACAGCATGGAACTTGACGCCTGCGGCGCTGAGCAGCTGCTTGGCCTTCTTGCAGTACGGGCAGTAGCTCTTGCTGAACACCACGACCTTGTGGGCCTCGACGGTAGACTTGACAAATGCCTCGGCCATCTTTTCAGTGAAACGAGATGCGATTCGTCTGCTGCTCGCTCGGTCTTGGATGAGGAAGGATGGCGCTTTAACTGACGAGGGCGGGGCGTTACGTTTATATCGCCGATTGAGGGTGCGGGATCAGGGTCCGACATCATTGTTGCAGCGTCGATTGCTCCCCCCCCCCACCGACCGATGCGAATCCGGACTGGCAGTGGTTCAATGTAGCCGATCGCTATCATTACGCATTGCAGTGTCTGGCGACGCTGTAGCAGGCACTGCACGGATCATTGCCGCTGCCAATCTCGCAGGGAACAGAGCGCTTGGGTCTGCCTCCGAGTGCGTCACAAGTGCCGGAGTGATGCGCTTGAACGGCCGGTGTGCACACTTGTTCAATGTGTCTCGCTCGGCCTGCTCGATGCAGCCGTCCCAGCAACTCCATCGGCCGGGTCAGAGATGGCTGCCCTCGTCCCGTTGACTTGCAGCGATGCAGCGACGAGACTCGCAGCGCAGCCAGCACCGACACACCCGGCCGCGAGGCTCCTCGGGATGACTCAGGCAGCGATAGCGACCGCCATGAGCTTCCGACAAAGCAGCCGCCCTCGTTGATGCGACGACAGCATCCCGCAATTGGCTGGATTTGCGCACTCATGGAGACCTCATGAGCCGCCATGGCGCTCCCCCAGGCACCAGGCTGGCCTTGTCACAGCAGCTCAGGCCCGGTGGGCCAAGTGCCGCCCGGCTGCGCGACTGGCTGGAAATGGGCTGCTGGCCAGCTGTGGCCGGCTCCTCCCACGCACCGTGGCCAGCCAGCTGCTGGCTCCCCTGTTACACTGGTTTTTTTTGCCCGGGCCGCGAAAAATCCCCGCCGGAGATAGCAATGGCAACCGCAACCGCAAGCGCTGTTAAAGCGACCCGCACATCCGACTTCTCTGGAGCACCGCCATCTCCCTCGCCCCACTCGCACCTCCAGCTGCACCTCCACCTGCACCCAAGATGGCCCTCTACAACATCCTCGTTGTCGGATCCGGCGGCAGAGAACATGCCCTGGCCTGGGCCTTCGCTAAGAGCCCCAAGGTCAACAAGATTTTCGTCGCACCAGGTATGTTCCGACCGACGGTGCTCATGCCCTGCCCGGTGCATCGGCGTGCCGAGGGGTCTGTGCATTGACGGCGCTGTGGCCAACAGCTCGGTTGCCATGGCACAGCGTCTTCATGTGCAGATGCACGGCCTGGTTGCATGAAGGCCGATGCGATATTGCGATCGCGTGGCTGGCCCAGTATCATGAGCACCGTGCTCTGTCGGCTATTCACCGAGCAGTGGGACGGCGATGTGTGTTCTCAGCTCTCGGCCTGGCTTTCCACAGGCAACGGCGGAACGGCCACCGGCAGCTCCAAGGTTGTCAACGTTGCGATCGACTCGGGAGACTTTGAGAAGCTGAAGGCTTTTGCTGTCGAGAACCAGGTGGGGGCTTGGGCGGGTGCCGTGGGCTGACCAATGCTGCCGATGGGATAGCGTCGATGAAATGCCTGCATCCAGCGCATTATGCCAGCCGCAGTGGAGCCGCCGATGCTCAGTGCGAGCAGCATCCGACATCCAGCATCCAGCAGGCCGACCAACTGACTCTACTCGACCGGCTCTGTATTGCTTGCCTTCCCTCTGGTTTCTTCTGAAGGTCCGATTGGTTGTTCCCGGTCCTGAGCAGCCCTTGGTCGATGGCATCGCCGATGCTTTCAAGAAGGGTAGGCATCGCAGACCGTTGTGTCGTGATTATCGGAGCTAATCTCCCGCCAAGCAACATTGCTGATCTGCAATCCGTTCGTCAATTCCCCCTCTCGTCCTCGTCGTCGGCGTGTCGTCAGTCGGCATCCCCTGTTTTGGTCCCTCGCAGGCCGCTGCCCGCATCGAGGGATCCAAGGCCTTCTCGAAGGACTTTATGAAGCGCCACAACATCCCCACCGCCCGATACCAAGTAAGCCGTCCATCGATAACCGCGCGGGACTTGGCCGCACCCTCAGCCCGGCACTCTCCGCTGTATCTGTCTCTTGTAGCTGCCCTGCCCACGCCTATGATTTGCATCTGGCGCTTTCGATCAAGTGCTCGCCTCGGCTGCTTACTCAACATCTCTGACTCGGGCTCGTGTTTCTTTGAAATCTGTATTCTCATGAACGCTTGGACACCATAACCAGAACTTCACCGACTTTGAGAAGGCCAAAGCTTACATCGAGAGCCTTCCCTACTCTGTCGTCATCAAAGCCTCGGGTCTGGCCGCCGGCAAGGGTGTTCTGATTCCCGAGTCCAAGGAAGAAGCCATCGCCGGCCTCAAGTCCATCATGCTGGACCATACCTTTGGCTCTGCTGGTATGTGAGAAACAGCGTGGTTGTGTTCGCCCCCACGGAATGTTTGGCTTGGCCAGCCACATTCTGCATTTGCATCGCCGTGTGGTAGATGTCTTGCTTTAGTATTCCAAGAATGCTTCGCTTACTGACGCACCGACACTGCGGACACAGGCAACGAGGTTGTTGTTGAAGAGCGCATGGAAGGCGAGGAGGCCAGCATCCTGGCCATCACCGACGGATACACCATCGTCACCCTCCCCGCTGCCCAAGATCACAAGCGTATCAACGACGGCGATCAGGTCAGGACATGTGCAAGCATGCGCTTCGTAGAGAGCTGGTCGCTCTGATTTGAAACGACTCTGCACGCTTTGAAATGGGGGGGGTGATTCATGGCCTACACGCCATCGGTCGCATCTTGGCGGCAGCATGCAATGCGTCATCCGTGGGCCGCTGCAGGCTGGCATGGCGCCACCGGCAATCAAGGGGAAGCCAGAGATTCACATTGACTGACTGGGTCTCGAAATCGTACACCGAGCAGGGTCTGAATACTGGTGGCATGGGTGCCTATGCTCCCGCCCCCGTCGTCACCAAGAGCCTGATGCAGGATATCCGCCGCACGATTCTCCAGCCCTCTATTGACGGCATGCGCCGTGAAGGTGCGCCCATATCCCAGCTTTGCAAAGTGCGTGCCCGAGGGTCATGCGCTGCCGCTGCAGAGAGCGTAGCTGCGACTCGCTGACCGCAATCAATGCTCGCCAATAGGTTTCCCCTTTGTCGGTGTCCTGTTTGCTGGCCTGATGATTACCGCCAGCGGCCCCAAGGTCATCGAGTTCAACTGCCGATTCGGCGATCCCGAGGTCCAGACGGTGCTGCCTCTGCTTGAGGAGCGCTGTGATCTGGCCGAGCTGCTGCTTGTAAGTGAATGGAGAGGACCAATGCGGATGCAGCTGCAACGAGTGCTTGTGGATTGCTTATTGGATGGTCCGGCCGACACCGATGCGGCTCTGGTCAATCCTGGACCCAAGCCACCTCTGGCCATCAGGGCATGGCTCGCCGTTAGTGTGTGTGATGCTATGCATCGGTGTTGCTGACCACTGTCTCCATTTCACCAATGCCAACCCAGGCTGCCTCGGAGGGTCGCTTGGACTCTGTTCCTCTGTTCCTCAGCGAACGGCATGCCTGCACCGTAGTCGTTGCCGCTGGCGGATACCCCAATGCTTACGCCAAGGGCAAGCCCATCACTGTCCACCAGAGCACCACCCCGGACGTTTCGGTCTTCCACGCCGGTACGGCGATCTCGAACGGCCAGCTGGTCACTGCCGGTGGCCGCGTCATTGCCGTCACCGCCGTGGCGGACACTCTGGAGAAGGCCATCCACCTTGCTCGCGAGAACGTCTCGCTGATTCAGTTTGAGCAGATGCACTACCGCCGGGATATCGGTCACAGGTGAGACAGTGGGAATGGCATGTGGCCTAGTCAGGACACAGGGGCACACATTGCGGCGCCCACAGACCGCGCACCACACATTTAGGCGCCAGACGATGGAGCAAATCGATGTGTGGAAGGGGTGAACAAGCCCAAAGACAATGACGCGACGCTGGGAGTCGCATATACGAAATCCCGCCGATGTGCGTGACGAACGAGCGAACGGCTGACGCCTGTATCGTGCTGCCCAGGGCTCTCTCGCGCTTGCTCAACAGCCAGGGCACCACCTACGCGGAGGCTGGCGTCAGCATCGACGCTGGCAACCTCCTCGTCGACAAGATCAAGCCTCTCGTCAAGTCCACCTCCCGCTCGGGTGCCGATGCCGTCATTGGCGGCTTTGGCGGCCTCTTTGACCTGAAGGCGGCCGGCTTCAGAGACCCGGTCCTGGTCTCGGGCACGGACGGTGTCGGAACCAAGCTCAAGATTGCCTTTGCTGTTGGCAAGCATGACACCATCGGTAAGTGGCCCCGGACTCGACCCAAAGGGACTCGGATGCATCTGTGCAATACGGCCGAGAGAAAGTTGACGTCCCTGACACCTCGCATCGGACGCGCTCCCTCCGCTCAGGCATCGACTGTGTTGCGATGAACGTCAACGATGTCGTTGTGCAGGGCGGTGAGCCTCTGTTTTTCCTGGACTACTATGCCTGTGGCAAGCTCGAGGTGGACACGGCCAGGGATGTTATTGCCGGTGTCGCTGCCGGATGTGCCGAGTCGGGCTGCGCCCTGGTCGGAGGCGAGACCTCGGAAATGCCTGGACTCTTGGAGGCCGGCGACTACGACATTGCTGGATTCGTTGTCGGTGCCGTCGAGCGCGATGCGGTTCTGCCCAAGCTCAGCGAGATGGTGGCGGGTGACGTCCTGCTGGGCCTCAAGTCGTCGGGCGTCCACTCGAACGGCTACTCGCTCGTCCGTCACATCATCGCCAAGGCCGGCCTGGACTACTTTTCGCCGTGCCCGTTTGCCCCCGAGAAGACGATTGGCGAGGTGCTGCTGACGCCCACGCGCATCTACGTGAAGCAGCTGCTGCCGTCGATCCGAAAGGGCCTGATCAAGGGCATGTCGCACATCACTGGCGGAGGCTTCATCGACAACATCCCTCGCAGTCTGCCCAAGCACCTTGGTGTCGTTGTCGATGCCTCCAAGTGGGTTTATCCTGAGGTCTTCAGGTGGCTGAAGCGCACTGGCAACGTTGCTGATGGTGAGTGCCCGCCGAGACCGACACCTGACGAGGGGACGACGATGCGATGACAGATGCATGATGGAATGGAATGGAATGGGATGGGATGGGATGCTAATCCGGTGTGCTCGTGCCATACTCCGCGTTTCTCCAGCCGAGATGGCTCGCACCTTCAACAACGGCATCGGCATGGTCCTCGTTGTTGCCAAGGACAAGGTCGAGCAGGTCCGCGCTCTCCTGGCCGAGGCCAACGAGCCTGTGATCGAGATGGGCGAGCTCGTCGAGAGAAGCTCCCTGAACGGCCACGAGGTCGTCGTCAAGAACACCGAGGCCGCCTGGAACTGAGTCCGGAACGAGCCTGTCCTCATGCTCCAAACGCCGCACCAAGATCGCAACCCATCCCATCTATCGCGTCCCTGCGCTGACCGCACATCCCGATGACGGGCTTCGAGCGGCTGTTGGACAGGAACTCCTCCAGCGTTACTTTGGAGCTCTGGTGTCCCCAGATGGCGCCGCTTGGGGTGCGCCATGTGACAGAACGCGCGAAATATAGACCCGCTGAATGCGATGGTTTGCCAGGGAGTGGGAGTGGGATGAATGGAACCGATGCGTCCGGCCTTGCAGAGCGAGCCGATGAACCGTGTGGTGCGCCGACGATGCCCGTCGCAGACAGAGATGCACGAGGAGTGGCTGTTGCCGTCATGCAAAAGACCACCACCACCCCCGCCGCAATCATGGTGACCCCCCATGCACAAGCATCGGCAAGGGGGTCGGCCAGGCAGGATGGTGCTGCGCGGCTGCGCATGCCCCAACGCGCCAGCCCGGCACGCAAAAGTCGCGCGCGGCTGTCGACCCGAGGCAGGACGCGCGACCGGGGCGGGACCCCGCAGAGGCACGGCGAGTGGCTGGGGCGCGGTGGCACGGACGCGCAGGGACGCGGACCGGGCACAAGGCCGCGGGCTGCCACGTGCGAGCGGAGCGGCCAGCGGCGGGCGCGGTGGCGTGAGACACTGTGATGTGGAGTGAAGTGTTGTTGTGCCAGCCAGACAACAGCAGTTGATGTCATGCCGCGTGGATCCCAAACAGCGACAATCGCCGCTGCGGCCGCCCTGGCGCCACAGAACTGGTGCAGCCGCGGCAGCCAATCCGCGCAGCGCTCGCCCGACGCGCCGGGCACTTGGTGCGCCTGGCGGCAGCGGCAGAAGAGCGGCTCCTGGCCCGGCCGTCTGCGATCCTGCCATCGGTTCTACGATCGGCTCTGCCATCAGGCCTGCCATCAGGCCTGCCATCAGAGTCCTGGCATGCGCTCGCACCTCGCCCTCTTCGCCGCGGCATTGTTGTCGATGCCGTTGATTTGCGTCGCTTTCCCACCGACGACCCCCACCGACGACCCCCACCGACCTCGCCAACAACCACGCACACGCCAGCGCACTGTTACCACGGCACGCAACAAGCAATACGCGGCCTGCCCGACACTGCCGCGTTCAACAGATATGCCTCCGCGCACGTTTTGTCGCCAGCCGTGTCGGCGCGTCGAGGCAGGGCCGCAAACAAAGCACCCGCCTCTGTGCGCGGATGACCGGCCTGCCATCCCGCCGGCCTTGGGCTGGCTGTCCGCAACCCGACCATCTCCAAGGCCATCGCGACAGGTCAAGAAAAAAAAATTGGCCTGGCCCTCGGCCATAAATACGGCCCCGCTCGCTCGCTTCCCCCGCTTACACCTCATTCGGATTCCCACCGATCTTCTGAACGCCGCCTCTTGCGCTCCGCACTGTACTATATCGCACGCCTTGTATACTCTGTTCTTCCAGTGTACATACTTGATCGCCATGTCTGCCTACTCCAAGGTTCCTGAAGCTGCCACCATGCATCCTCGCCAGTCTGCCCCTCTTTCTTTCGGTAAGGGCGGTTGTGCTGCTTTCGGGAGGGAGGGAGGGAGGAGGTCATTGATCGGTCTGCCTCGGTTGGCGACGTTCCTTCGTCACAGGCGCTCTCTCGCCCAAGCCGCACTGCTAACGCATTGTGTTCCACCCTTTCCATCCCATCTCCGGCTTATCTTCTCGCCCAGCAGCTTCCCCCTCGCTCTTCAACAAGATCACCATGAGCGCCGCCTTGGTCTTTGCCTGCCTCGCCTCCAGCGCCGCTGCTGCCACCGCCCCCACCAGCAACCTCGACAGCTGCATCCCTACCGGCGGCTACGACGCCACCATTGATTACTTCCCCCAGAAGGCCACCAACTTTGTCAGTGAGTATCGTGTCCGACTCGCGTGGCCGTCTGGTCCTGGTCTGGCTCTTGTCATGGCTGCTCGCTCTCTCCTTTTCCCTCTCATAGCCTGCAGCAGGCTTGCAGACCAGCGCCTGATCCCATTCTCTCCTCCTCGTCCATAGATGACGGCAAGCAGAACCTGGCTATCCAGTACAACAACAGCTACAAGGTCATCACCAACAAGCTCAGCAACCAGGTTATCGTCCTCTACCAGTGCGGAGCCCCCAAGCCCACCGTTGCCGGTGCCAACCTGACCCTGCCTGTTCCCATCAGCTCGGTCGCCATCGATGACACCACCGTCACCACCTTCCTCGAGCTTCTCGGCGAGCGCCCCGCCATCAAGTACTCGAGCAGTGCCGAGTACATCACCTCGCCCTGTCTCCAGGCCGAGCTCGCCTCGGGCTCCTTCCAGGCCACCTCCTCCCAGAACGCCACCCTCGCCGCCCAGGAGCTCAACTCGGTCAACGTTGCCTTTGAGTTCTCTACCGTCAACATGACCAACGCCGTCCTCTTCCCCGCCACCACCGACCCCGGAGCCGAGCACCGCCTCGAGTGGATCAACCTCGTTGGCGCTCTCTTCAACAAGGAGAACTCCTCCATGACCATCGGCCAGCAGATCCTCAACAACTACAACTGCATCTCCACCGCTGCCGTCGCCGCCGGTGCCTCGAACTCTCCCAAGGTCGTCTTTGCCACCTACAGCCCCGTCAGCTCCTTCAGCCCCAACGCCACCTGGACCATCAACGCCCCCCAGTACATTCTCGACTACATCACCAAGGCCGGCGCTACCCCCGTTGCCAACGCCTCCAAGACCTTCTACAACCCCTCGGACTTCCTTGCCGCCGTTGCCGATGCCGATATCTTTGTCGACCAGACCTCGCCCGTCACCGTCAGCTCCTTCTACCAGGCCTACGGTCTCAGCGCCTCCTCGACCCAGAAGTTCGTTGCCAACAAGAAGGTCTTTGCCCACGACAAGCGCGGCACCGCTGCTGGCGGCTCTGACTGGTTCGAGTCTGCCGTCGTTCTCCAGAACATGGTTCTCGGTGACGTCGCTGCCATCGCCCAGCCCAGCCTCTTCCCCAACGCCAACCTCTACTACTTCCGCAACATCTTCACCGACAACACCACCGTTGTCGCTGCCTCCAGCTGCCAGAACCCCCAGGCTGCCCTGACCCTCCCCACCGTCACTTGCCCCACTGCCACCTCTCCCACCGCTCGCAGCAACGCTGCCACCACCGGCTTCTCCCTCCTTGCCGGTGCCGTCGTTGCCGCCGCTGCTGCCCTCTTCTTCTAAGGAGAGACAGCAGATACCAAGCTGTGCCCGGGTATATCATCCGTGCTATTCCTCTCCCCTCTCTGCTTTCCGTGCCAACAAGCACGGCCAGCTTCATCGCCGCGCTCCTCCATCTCCCATTCTCACTTTCCGTCATTTGCGTCGTCGGGACATCATTGAAACACACCCAAATCACCGTGTCATATCCCCGATGTCAATCAATTACTTTTTCTTGTTCGTCGCGCTCTCCCCCTCAAAAGCGGGAAAGGGCAGTCTCCAATCAATATAAAACATGAATGACGGCTGCTCACAGAGCACCCCCCAGCAAAACAATCCCTCCATCTCGGCCCGAGTGAGTCGGCAATATGTGGGAACTGAGCTTGAGACGACAGCGGACCCGTCCCTGGTGTCGCTTCGTCGTTGGTTGATTCCCTGTTGTGGCAGTCAACCTGCGTGCGCTCCATGCCCACAAGCGCATCGACCATCGACCATCGACCATCGACCATCGACCATCGACCATCGACCATCGACCATTGGCCATCGAACCTCGATACAGCCTCGCTCTGATTCGCCAGAAAAAAAATGGCTCCCAACCGCCCACCCGCGGTGCCTTCAGGATGGGCCATACAATCCCTGGTGCAGCTTCGGCGCCGCGGACAATCGCGACGGAGAGCTCTATTGTACGCCCCACCAGTGCTGGCGGGTCGCTAGCCAGCACACCCCATCCTTCATCATTTGAGGGGAGCAGATCGGCTGGCGGATGTTGAGGAACGACAAAATAAAACAAAGTAAAGTAAACAATCAGGCAAGCAAAATGACAGGAGCGTTGTTGAGAGGAGAGGAGGGGAGGATTGTGTTCGAATGGCTCGTAGCCGCGATGGAGACTATCCCTCTTCGCCATCGGGATGGTCGGTCATCAGCCCCTCGCGCTTCCATCCATGGATCTGCCGATGATGAGACAAGTTAAAATCGGACACGAAGCAGGCCGCACCGAGGCAAGCGGCACGTTGGACGCGAGTGATACCCTTGGCGATGTTGCCCCAGGGACAGCATACGAGTCATTTGCAGCAACATCCGTCGACATATTCCTTACCAGGACGGCAGTGATGAAATTCAAAGGCACCGGCCGGGCGAACCGCCGCTGCTCCATCAGGGAATGGTATATCGTGTCGTAGTGTGCCGGAGTGATGCCCTGGACGACAGGGTGGTGGATCGCATCCTCGGAAGCACTACCGTTCGGGTTGTATTCGCTATGGCTGTGCCGCCACAGAGCCCGCTGCCGTTCCCAGTGGCAGATGCCTACGTTCTCGGCCAGGTCGGAGGCCGTTCCGGGATGAACGGTGCCCGAGGCGATGCTGGCCTCGATAGCCGCGAGCGAGTCTTCGAGCTGGATGACATGCGGGATGTCGGGCGAATCGGTGCGTTCGCTGGGAGCGAGCCGCGGCGAGTTGATGAGATGGCTCGGCAGTGGGATCGCGAGCGGCTCGGGGGAGTGCGGCGCTCCATCCGACAGCGAAATCGGTGGCTCGATTTTGGCTGGCGGAGGGGGCGACAACGGGAAGGGCATCCACGGCTCAAGCCGGTCCTGGGCCGGCATCTGGAAGTTCTCCGAGATGTCGACGATCGAGTTGGAGAGCGTCGACCGGGCTGGGGGTGTGCCCTTGCGCCCGAAAAACGACGATGCCAGCGACGACAGGCTGCGCTTGTGGTCCCGCTTGTTGGGGTTGGGCGGTGGGAAGGTCAGATAGGAGCTCTCGTGGACGACATCAAGATTGGGAGTCGACGGCGACAGCGGCGAGCCGTTGTAGGAGGAAGTTGGTGCATCCAGCTCGCCATGGAGCTCGTCGATGTCATCCGTGGAAATCGTTGGCGAAGAAGAGCGATTCGAGGGCGAGACCCCCCTCCGCAACCAGAGGAGGGGATTGTGGAACGAGGTTTTATCACTCAGGGCGGCCAGGATCAAAGCGGACGACGGTTGGGAAACGGGTTCAGGGTCACAACGGGCAAGAACCCAGGGCCGGTGCTGGTGTGGGTGGGTGCCCTTGTCGCTGCTGTTGTTGTCGTTTCCGGAGCGGACAGAGTGGGTTGCCGGCAGAGCAGCAGGCGCCGGCGATAAACACCAAGGGAATGGTGGGGCGGCGACGGGGCGACAGAGCGACGATGGCCAGAACCAGAGCAGACCACAAAGCAAACCAAGACCCCCACGGTCATGTGAGCGCCACATTCTTCCCACACCGAAACAGGATCTGCACCGAAACAGGATCTGCACCGAAACAGGATCTGCACCGCAACCGACCCAGAGCGCTGGCCGACGGTGGCCGGCGGTGGCAGCGGCAAGACAGTCGGCAGTTCCTGGAGAGGCGAGAGGACGGTCGGCGGGTCTCGATCGCGTTCGCTTCTGGAAGACGGCGTGCAGTGTATATTCTCGGCCCCTGGCACTCAGTGGAATGTTCGCTTGACCCCGCCTGGGGTCTTGTTGCTGGCCTGCTCCCTGAGGTAGCCAAAGATCACCGCCGTTCCTTGCACAATGATGTTTTGCGGCGGGTTGTCAAAGGGATTGTCCTTGAGCTCCAGCGTCTGGCGCGGATCGGTATCCAAGTCAGTGTCAGCACACAGTGTTTGTGCGGATGGCTTCCGCTTGGTGCTCCAACACCGCCTACCATCGAGTCCTTGAGCATGGACATGGATACCGGTAGGTCGTTGAGCTGGTTGTGCGTGATATCCAGTCGGGTCAGCGCCACGAGCTCGCCAATATCCGCCGGCAGTGACCGAAGTTTGTTTGAGCGGAGCTCAAGCACCGACAGCTTCTTGAGATTCCTGTGGGATCAAATCCGAAATGTCCCCGCTCTCACGTCAGACACAGCCTTTCACCGTGAGGCCAATGGGGTCCCCACCGACGCCAACGCCGACATCAGCGCTGGGCCCTACTTTATCGACGCTGGCAAGGCCTCGAGACTGTTTCCGTTCACAAAGAGCTTCTCCAGCGCACCCAGGTTGCCGATGCCCTCGGGCAGCGCGGCAATCAGGTTGGAGCTCACATCCAGCTCTTGTAGCTGGGAAAGTTGGCAAAGCTCCTCTGGCAGTGCATCCAGGTCGTTGTTGCTGTCGATTGCCGCCGTCGCCGAAATCAAATCGAATCAGGCAGAATTGAATCAATCCAATACAATACATATCCCAGGTCGGACTCCCAGGAGGACAGAGTCGCTCTCGTGGCTTACCTGAGGAACAGCTTGCTCAGTGCTTGCAGCTGGCTGATCGTCGATGGGATTCCAAGAGCAGTGATGTGGTTCTTTCGAAGGTCGAGCCACGACAGCTCGGTCAGCTCGCCAATCTCGTCCGGCAGGCCCTTGAGCGAACAGGCAAAGGCATCGAGCTTCTTGAGCACCTTGAGATTCCCAATGATGCCTGTGTATTCATACCCAAGGCGTTGATCAAGCTCCTGGTCACCATGCTGGTCATTTCGTGTGATTCCTTCGCTTGCCCTGTCGCTCCTCCGCGCACGGCTGCTTCCCATGCCCACCAACCTGGCATATCCTCAATCTGTCCATTTTCTCTCAGAATCAGTTCCGTCATTTCGGTCCAGTTCTTGAGAGAGATGGGGATACCCTCGATCTTGCTGTTGCTGATATCCAGTCTCCGGAGCGACTTGAGGCGAGCAAGCGAGAGCGGAAACTCGTACAGCTCATGGTTTTCCTTGATATCAAGCTCCTGAAGCTGAGCCAGATCTCCGACTGAGTCGAGAGTGGTGGTGAGGCCCATGTGCGGTGTTTTTAGGAGAGGGGGAATATCGCCGAGTGAGCACCATAATACGCCCGATTGGTCGGGGGGGGGAGGAGGAGCCATTGCTGAGACTTACACGAAAGCGGAATGCTCTTGATGAAGTTGTTGCCCAGGAGCAACCGGATCAGTGAGCCTGCCTTTCCGATATTCTCGGGCAGCTTCGTGAGCTGGTTGAACTCCATGTGCAGTTCCTAAACGGATGTGACCAACAAGCCGCCATCAGCTCAAACAGCACTCGAAGGTCTTGTCACCGTGGCTCTTTCGGCTTTCAGCAACATGGACAGCAAGCCCTTGCTTCCCAATCGCTCAACAGATACGATTGCGTCTCCGAGTGCGATTGAAGCGTCGCGCTAACTCGGAGTCTACCCATACCGCCAGGGTCTTGAGATCCGCAATCTCAGGCCCGATCTCTCGGATCTTGTTATGGTTCATATTCAAGAGCTTGAGAGACGAGAGCTGATACAGACCCGGAGGAAACACCTGTTTGATGCGGGAATGGAATGGATCCCACAAGCAAGGCGAAGTTGATCCCACAAGCAAGGGGGACGTTGATCCCACAAGCAAGGTCAGCAACAATAAGCACTCATGGATGGATCGCGAGCGAGGCAAGAGTGCTGTTGCTGCTACTCTCACGGTCGATTGCCATGGTGCCTTTACATTGGACCAGCACAGTCGATGGGCCAATATCCGCTGCAATCCCGTCCCGAAACGCACCTTTAAATCGTTGCTGTACAGGATCACTGTCTCCAAGGTTTGGATCTGTCCAATCTCTGCAGGAATCTCTCTGCGCAGGGCGGTAGATTTGTGGCTCGCATGACGAGCCACGACGATATCAGCGGTGGGTCAGCAAATCTACCATCTGTGTATAACTCGACGGAGCGGACACGGCGACAAAGCTGCAAGACTCACTCGAGCTGGTTGGAGCTCAGATCCAAGACACGAAGGTTGACGAGGCTACTGATCTTTGGAGGAATCGGGACATAGAACAGCCGATTGCCGCCTGCATGGGTCCCAACCGGACCGTGAAACGACCGTTAGGCTGCGAAGACGACTTGATATTCCGTCGTTCTCGGCGCGGCACCCAGAGCCTATCGGGTAGTCTCCGACCGTCAGCGCCCCATTCCTCTGTTTGCGATGACGTACTGGCGTAAACCTCCTCCAGAGAGGGTGGGAGGGTCGGCGAAAAGTACGTGATGTTGTTTTTTGAGAACGTGAGGACCTTGAGCTCGACGAGCTTGGCTGCCATGGCGATCGCCCGAATATATTGCAATCCGGCGCTGGTTAGATGGCTTACGAGCTGCCCCACCCTCTGGCTAAAGTTGCACTACAGGCCCACCACCATAGCGTTTCTTTCACTTCCCTCTGCTTCCGGATACAACGCTCCTGTGTCGTCGGGTCTACATTACGGCGAGCACTGCACCATCATCTGGCATTTGGATCACTCACACAGCTCCTCGGGCAGATCGGCCAGCTCATTGCCGGAGATGTCGAGGCGCTTGAGCCTGACGCACTTTCCCAGGACATTGGGGATGGCCTTGAGTCCTCGGCTGGCGAGGTTGAGCTCCTCCTTCTTCTGGTGGCTCGAGATTTCCTTGACCAAAGCGTTGCCCATGCCTGCTTTTGGTTCGCTGGTGTTCAAAGTTGCAGGGGGGGGGGAGGCAATTACGGATGGATAGCGGAGGAGCACAGGCGGGGATGTACTCTGTCGGGCAAGCAGAAGGCTCGAGATAGTTTACCGCAGGACGAAGGGCGCCGTCGGCAGTGATGTCATTCACCTGCTCGCATGGCACTCGCAAGCATGACGTTTGCTGCTGTCCGCGAGCCAATCACCCGAACTACTCTCTCCGGGTGCATCTCGACCATTTCACTTTGGTCGTTCGTATCAGAGCCGTGATGGATCCAGGGCCATAGGGGAGTGCGATTGCACTTCACCGCAAATGTGCGGACATGAAGAATTGCCAGCCCACCACACGCCTGCCAAGATTGGTCACTTTTTGAGATGCACGCCAGTGGCATGTGTGCCGTCGGGGATGGGCAGCGCGAGCAGCCTCGGGGTCGATAAGGGCGATCTATTACCAGTGTGGCCGGCTCAATAGCCGTCATACGCTCCCAAGCGATACAGCAGCACCTTGCCCTTGTCGTTGCCCATGACGATATACCCGCCTCCAGGCGAAAACGAAACGGCGTTGACGTAGCTGAGCGGCGTTGCAGACGTCGGCCAGTTCGGAAAGACGTTGAGGGACGGAAGATGCACCAGCTTCAGGGCATCCTTCTTCTTTCGGCTCGAGATGGCCAGCAGTTGCGACGAGGGATGGAACCGGACTGAGTGGATGGTGGTCACGAGGTTCATGATGGTCTTGAGCGGCTTTGGTGTTGGGCTCGACAGACACGAGGCGGTGGAATACACGTTGACAACACCGGCGCCGGAGCTGCGGGGCAGTGCGAAGAGAGTCAGGCAGCGTGGGTCAGCAATCGAGAATGACGTGAGATGCCATGCCATGTTATGCCATGTCACGCTGCACGGCATCGCCGACAACAGGTGCGGGTCGATTCTGCCCATCATCCAGCCCGTCCTCAGACGACCATGCAGCTGCTGCAGTCAATGGCAATCGACTTGGCTGGAGGAAACCTCCTTTCCCTGGGGCAGCTCGATAACCCCACTGCACCCATCACGGTTACTCACCCCGTCGCCATGTAGCTTCCGTCCTTCGAGACGCTGATACATGATGGCCGGATGGCGCCGTCGTCGACAAATCTATGAATGCACGAAAGAGAGCTAAGCTCCCACTGGTACACCTCTCCGTCTCCGCCGATCGAGAAGATGTACTGTCCGTCGCTGGAAAAGTCGAGGTCCTTGACGGTCCCGTTCATCTTGAGGTTGCCGATCCACTGCTTGGACTTGTTGGAGACGAGGACGATGTAGCCGTCCCTTCCCAGGAAGGCGAGGTATCGGTTGCACGGCGAGACGTAGTGCTTCTCCAACGACTTTTCCTCTCGGCCTGTGCGGAGTGGGCCACAGAGTGCACATGTGAACGCGAGTCCAATGTTCCAGAGGTGGGAGAGGCCGTCGATGTCGTCGCTCGCGATGCGAGCAAGTCTGGCCACAGCGCCGGCCAGGACTGGGAGCCACTGTTGCAGTCGGGCCACCCCATCGCATGCACCCATGGCGTAACGAGTATAACCAAACATTACTGACCATAGATGCTGTGCACCTTCTCCACGCTGCCCTTTTCAATGTCGTAAACATAGAAGAACTTTCGTCGCCCAGAGAGGATAATCTGCTTGCCGTCTGCGGTGAAGCTGGCACAGTGGATGGGCATGTCCTTGAAAAAGATGCTCTGGATCTTGGGATTGATCTTTCCATCGACCTGGAGCGGTGGGGGGTGGATGTTACTTGAAAAGCGGCGATGCGATGCCGACGGACGGCTGTGTGGCACGGGGACCAATCCGGCAACCGTGGGGTGCTCTGGCTCTGACAAGCTTTGGATCTGACACGTTGGCTCTGACACATTGGCTCTGATATGCCGAACGGCGCCACTGTGCACGTCCTTGTGGTGGGGCCAAACTCCGTTATCGTGTGCTCAGAAACAAACCTGGAACAGCCGCACGGTTCTGTCAAATCCAGCAGTCATGAGTACAGGAGCCTTCGGATGGAATACAGCAGTTTGGATCACAGCCTGAAACCAAAAAAAAGAAAGACCGTTCAGCGTTTGTACAGGTGCGTTGCGACAGGCTCGGTCTGACCCTGCATCGGCCTGGGCACGGAAGCAACCAGCCCATTTTGATATCGGGTATTCGGAACAGTAAATCGGGGCACCGAGCCAGCGGGGTTGCACAGTCACACGATCGATGGAACTACGCTGACCTGTGAATATGCCGTCTGGTTGGCATCTTTCATGCGGGTGACGTCGATCTGATCCGAGGGCAGCATTGCATGTTTAGAGCGAGCGACAATGCTGCGCGTTGATCGCAGGAACTTGAGCAGATCAATCTTGCTTGGCTGCTCTTTCTTTTCCGGCAGCGTCGACCATTTGGGCGGCGGGTAGATGCGTTCGAATCTAGTGCATCGAGTGCAGAAGATGATGGTGAGATTCCAGAGTGCGAAGCATCTCGTGTTGGTCGTTCTCGGTCGGGGTCGGGAGTGGATCTGGTATCGCCACCGCACTTGCAGACAGTGCTGTTGTCCCAACACTTACTGGGTTCGCAGCCGCGCCTCGTATTCGGCTCCGCTCAGCACCGTCTCGCTTTCAGAGTTACGAAGCTTCCTCAGCCGCTTGACGTCCGCGATATTGATGGTGATGTCATCGTCGTCCTCCCAGGCGGGCTTTCGCTCGTATGCATCATCCTCGACCTCGGCCTCGTCCTCGTCATCCATTTCTTCGTCCTGGTCGTTGCTCTCAAGATCCGAGTCCTGCGCCTCGCTCTCCTGCTCGAGCCTCATCGAGTTGTCGGCGTTGCCACGAGTATCGATGAAGAATGCCTGCAGGGAAGGGACGGTTGTCGTCAGATATCGTCTGTGGCTGGAGCGATTGTGTGTTCACAAACGGATACGCCGTAGCACTAGAAAGGGGGGGATGCTCACACTGGCATCATCAGGCTGGCCGTCTTGGTCGCCGTCCTCAGCATCGTCGTCCTCGTCCTCGTCGTCGCGATCGAGATCGTCTGAGCGGTGGCGGCCGAGCTCTCGGTCCAGGTCGGCGTGGAGCGATCGATCCAGCACACTCTGAAGCGTCTCGGAATGGTCAGCGCCAAAGACGAGGCCCTCGAGCTCGAGCTCCTCGTCGTCCTTTGGATCGTAGTCGGCCTTGATCTTGGTGTCCTGGATGCTGTCCTTGGGAATGACGAGGGGCCGGGAGGGATCCTGGCTCTTTTTGCGCTTGAGCGACTTGTTCTTTTTGCCCCCAGCCAGAGCTGGGTTGGGCTGGTCAACCACCATGTTGGGCATGTTGCGGAGATGGAGCCACGGGCCGGAGTGAGTTGCGCTATGTCGAAGTGGGTGCTCGGTGTCGCTGCGGTGACTGGGCTGGCCAGCGCTTCTTGGTGTCCCTGAGATGCAAAACTCGAGACGCGAAAACCAAAAAGAAAAACCGGGAATTAATTGGGCCGAGTCACGTGGTGGGGCTCTCGCTGCTGGTGGCGAGAAGGCAGAGTCCCACCGAGAGTCCCACCGAGAGCCGACCGAGAGCGGGTGTTCCCGAATGCCCCTTGTTGGCCGACGCGGTTCTGAAGGGCCTCGCGGTCTGTGCTACCGCTCCGACAAGGCCCATCCAGACAGCCAGCTGATGGCCGGCCACAAAATGGACCCATCCGCCCCGGCTCGGCTTGGTCTCGATTTCGGGTTTGCTGGGCTTGCAGCTTTTCGTCCTCGTCCTTCATCCCGCTGCTGCCCATCTCATGCATCCCAGCACCCCCGGCAGGACTGGCCCACCGTCTGCGCTCTCAAGCGTCTCTCCCGCCCAGCATCCGCACCGTCCGGTTGCAGAGACAGCACCGCCGTCCAACACCACATCTTCGCCGTCCGAGAATCATCCATCTGCCGGTCCGAATCATCATGGCCCGCGTTCAGATCAAGACACATCGGCCCTTCATCGTCCCATGCATGCCTATGCTGCCCACCACGAGCAGCACCATACCTCCGGCCACCCCCATTTGTCCTTTCGCTCGCCCAGCCCTTACCCTCCAAGCTACCACGCCATGTCTTATTCTCACTCTCCAAACCACCCTTCTGTGATCGGCACTCATCCTCTGTACGCTCGCCAGCCGTCTGCGCATTGGTATCCACACCCAACTCACTCGATGAGTGCTATTCCCGGCCCGTTTCATTCTGCCCATCTGTCATCGCATCCACGGGCTCGGCTTCCTCCCCAAGCGTTCATTCCCCCAATGGAGCCTCCCGCACCAGGCTATCGTTTTTGCCGATGCAACCTCTGCCGAAAATTTCCTGCTGGAGGCGATTGGCTCAGCAAATCAGCATACTATAAGCATTCAAGCAAATATGGCTACCCGGCGGGCGAATGCACCATCGTCCCGTACGGGAAACGGTCCTCAGGCTCAGCTAGTCAGAGCCAAACATCGGAGTCCGGGATCTCTGCTCCCGAATCAACCCAGAGCGATGCTGAAGGTAGCCAGCCGATTTCATCAAGCTTCAATCGTCGGACTCGTGATGACCAGCCAGCAGATCAACCCCGTAGGAAGAAGGCGAAACACCAACCAGGGCCCTCGAGGCAGCCATCTCCACCCACCGTCCCGCTCGTATCCCGCGGACACAACCCGGCCAACTCTGCCGTCACAGTGATTGACCTCGATCCAGAACAACACCATGGTTTGTGTTCTGCCTGAGAGCAGGTGTCTGTAAAATATATTCTTCTGTCGCTGACCACTCGATGTGCATCAAACCATCATCAGCTGGCCAGGTCTCGCCCTTGCACAGCAGCGCCCCGGATGGCTTTGATGGGATGTCGCAATCTAACGACAGCTATCACCATGCTCAAGACTCCTCCATCGAAGGCGAATCAGAGCGAAGACGAAGCCTACGACGCTTTTCACGAAGACATCGTCATACTCTGTCAATCCATCATTGACACATCCGTTCAAGGCATTCCCAATGGAGCCAGCACGATGACGACGACAATGATGAATATGACGATGGCAGTGAGATGGATCTTACGGGAATCACTGAGGAGGTTACGCCTGGCGATCTATCCTTGGTGCCACACATTCACCAAGCCCTAGTTGGACCCAGTGTCGATGACAACAACGAGAGTCTCGTCGTGGATTGGTTGCATGATGCCAACATCAAGGCGGTTTTGGAGTCTGATTTTTCTGAGGATGCCCTTGATCTCCACGACGACCCTAGCCTCGATATCGTTGTTGGAGGCAGCGACTCACACGAAGCTGGATCACTGTCAGTCCTGACCAGTGTACCGTCCCCGAGTGCATCATCTTCACGCGCCGTTCAGCTGCGTCCAATCGCCCCAAATGTGGTTGCCACTGAGTCGATTGGCTCCGCATCAGATGGTGAGCATCATGCCGTAATAATCGTTTCGGTCAACGGTGAGGGAACAGCCTAACTCTCACTGTTGCCGTCTGTCCAACAGATAGCTATCTTCCGAGTTTTGGATTGGATCTGCTTGCGCTCAAGTCGCAACACCGCTTCCCAAGTTCGCTGGCGGATGAACTCATCAAGTTGCACAATCGACACCTCGGTCCCAACCAGCCAGCGGTTTCCAACTTCAAGATCCTTCGTCGAAGATTGCACCACCTACGGAGACTGCCCCAACAAAAATATGATTGTTGCATGAATGCATGCATGGCATTCACGGTCCTGCAGAATTCGGACTACTGTACCCATTGCAATTCCGAGCGCTACCAACCCATAAGGGCCGGCCGCAGCCGGCGAGCCCGCAAGACATTCACGTACATGTCGGTGATTTCCCGGCTAGGGGCACAATTCCACTCGAAGGAAAAAGTTGCAGCGATGCAGTACCGCTGCTCTCGGCTAGCTGCCCCACGTAAATCCTCGTCAGTGATGATGCTCATCCACGACATGCCTTTCACATCCTCTCGATCTGTTGCGCAGATGTCATCAGCGATATCTTCGATGGCAAGTTCTACAAATCTCTCGTGGCCAAAAGATTGTTCTCCCAATCAACTGATGTGGCGTTATCATTGACACTGGATGGATTCAGGATCTTTGAAAGGTAACGTATCCGACCCGCCAAAAACCACGACGTTTACGGCCGCTGACTGGTCATGCTTCAACAGGAATAGTTTCCGGTGCTGGCCGTTGGTGTTGGTGAATCTCAACCTCCCTCCCAGTATCCGCTACAAGAGGCAGAACTTGATTGTTACCGGAATAACTCCAGGGCCAAGGACACCAAAGGACTTGGATTCATTCCTGGTGCCACTTGTTGAGGAGCTGAAGCAACTTGAGAGAGGTAGGCTACTTTGAGAAGCTGCGGACTTGAAAGTCGATTGGACTCAGCCCAACTCACATTCGCCTACAGGAGTCCCAATGAAGAAGATTACCCCGGATGGAAGACTTGAGGAGTTCACACTGCGAGCCCATATCATCTCGTGCACTGGCGATCTCCCTGCGATTGCCAAGGTTTCTCGGATGGGCGGCCATATGAGTCGCTATGGATGTCGGTTTTGCACCATCCGAGGCATCAAAAAGGGTGTAATGTGTTTTCCAGATACATCGACGATGAAGTTGAGAACCAAGCGACAGTTTAGAGAGGTCTACTCCTATATTCGCTCCAATGGTCACAAGAGGATAAACGATCAGGAGCGCGACATACGACTTGGTATGTCCTGACAACGAATCGATATGAGACTCGAATCATAGGCTGCGAAGCTAACTGCGATTCTGTATGTCCAAGGCATCGCGGGCTGCCCCATACTCAGCACTCTCGAGTCATTTCATCCCCGCGCTTGGTTTCCGATCGATCATATGCACGAATTTGAAAATGTTGGCAAGAGCATGTTTCAAATATGGGTGGGCAAGAAGCCGGCTCCGGGAACCTCCACGTGGGGAAAGGACACTTGCACAAAGCTCGGTCAAGAGGCTGGACGGCTGATGACGACTATCCAGGTCCCGTCGTCGTTCGGAACCCGGCCGGACAACATCAATGACAAGTACACCACGTTCAAGTCCGAGGAGTGGAAGAATTGGATCGTCATGTACTCGCTTCCCGTGCTCAGTTGTGCCGGTCTCCCGAGCGATCATCTGTAAGCCGGCATTTCGTTGCATTCTCAGGCCTGCAGCGATGTGCTCACCTAACCAAAACCTCTTCGCACAGGGAGGGGTGGGGTTATTTTGTCGACGCCGTACGCCTCTTGGTCCAATCCAGCATAAGGGCCGACGACCTGAACTTGGTCAAGGTCTTGATCTCCAAGTTTTATCGATACTACGTAAGGTACGGTCCCTCTGGCTGCCGAATGGAATGATTACGGTGATCGATAGACCGTCAAGTCCAATAACATTGGTCACGCTTGATAGGCTCGTAGCGAACATTGGAGCTGGTTCGAGCGCCAGTGACGATGGAATCAAGTTGATGACGATTACATTCCACAACCTTCTCCATATCCCGGAGTGCGTGGTGATGAACGGGCCGCCGTGTTACAACTGGCAATTTTTCTTGGAGCGCTTCGGAGGATGGATCATGAAGCTGGTCAACTCTCGATCCAAGCCAATTGAAAATCTGGGAAACGAACTCAGGACAATAGAGGCCGTCAACCAGTACTACTCCGAGATGGCCCCCATAGGCGAGACATTGGAAACCCAGCAACAGGCCACGATCGGTGCTGCTGATCTTTATAATTTCACACACGGCAGCGAGACATGGACATTCATGAAGCGATTTGGACAGATCGCGGTCGACGAATCGATTCACGACCTATTGCGGAAAGCATACGCCCAACTATTGATGGCAGCGGAGCCGTCAACTTGTCCCCGATCTGCATTTGAATTGGAACTGCAAGTCCAACGCGAAATGCCCCTGAGATCGCATCTCGAGTTCGCCGAGAGCTACTGCAACTTCAGACGAGGAGACCTGATTGTTGAAGGATCAGAGAACCCCATAACGAACAGACCCCGCGTCAACAGCTGGATTCGCGTACGTAGCTCATGAGTCCGGGCCACTGGTCCACCCGTGTGTTCTGAGAAATCGAGCCCAGTCGGCTAACTTTCCGCACACAGGTTCGAATCTTCAGCACCACATATAGCAAGTTTGTGGTTCGATACCACCAAGCCCGGAAGTTCATCAAGCACCAGTATTGTGGAGCCACTCATCACTTTGCGTACTGTGACGTCCCGGAGGACGACCCCGAACAAGTGCACCCTGATGGCGAGTACAAGCGATGCCCCAAAACCAAGTCGATTCGATTTGGTGCTCAAACTCGATGGACAAAGGCATTCGTGGCAGTGGAGTGTATTCTCACGACGGTCTCATGCCTGGAGCACAACGGAGGTGAGTCATGTTCTGGTTCTGACTGCAACCACGACGATGCGAACAGCTGCAAACCCTCTGGAATCACTTTCGCTCACAGAGAAGTTCATTTTCGATGATGGCAACCAAGTCGAGTACATCCGCCGCGAGACGTCGCGGGAATACATTTGAGGTACTGTCACACTGACAGTCGGTCCAGGAAGAAGCGGGACTATCACTCTCTGGCATCAGCGACACAGGACTGCGGAACTTCCATAGGCTCCAGCGAGCAATCCATGCGATTCACTCGACCCTCTGGACAGTTCCATGATGTATCGATATCAAGACACTCGAGCACACCTGGGATGTGTTGAACTCGTTCACCGAGCACACCTGGGCGTCTCTGGTGGTGGATGAACTGCTCAAAGTGCTTGGCGAACCTGAGTCTCCGTGAGCTGGATGCATATCCCTTCCCTTGCTTTCACGAGGCGTTCCCAAAAGGCAATCACCGCCTCGGTCTCGTTGGACATGCTGTTTGGCCATGATGGCAATGAGTGGATGTGTAATCAGATTGCAGAAAAAACAACTGCCCAGGCTCAAAGCGGGGTGCCCCATTTCGGCTTGGAACGCTGTAGCAGCAGTCGAAACAGCACATTGATAAATATAAAGGCCAAGCGTAACTCGAATAGACCCGAGCACCGAGGTCAGCAGGGCAGCCCTGGTCAACCACCGACCCTGCACGAAGCGAGCGCCCGGGCCAACCACCTCCCGCACAGACAGCGGCGCATGCCGAATCGGGCCTGGCGCGTTTGTCCAACATGGCAGGGACATGGGATGGCGAGACGCGAGATGCCAGCGAGGGCACACAGACAGCGCGCTGGCAGCATGTGCCGGCGGCAGCGAGAAGATGCAGCGAGAGGGCGACACAACCGCCGATTCATGGCTGTGGGCTCTCGGCCAACGCCTTTGCGGCGCTGTTGCAATCGTTCCTCGACTCGCTGCGCGGGATGTCCAATGTGTACGCTGTCGCATCCAGCAGCCGCATTGGCCAATTACCGACGGGTGGTGCTGGCCGCGTGGCCGTTGCAGCAAACGACCAGCCAAATGCCGTGAGTCTCGCTGAGGGATGCTCGTATTTGGCGACGCTGCCGAGGGATGCTGAGGGGTGTGCTGTCGAACAACAGCATTGAGCAATGAGGTTGGACACTGGCGTTGAGCAATAGCGTTGAGCAGTAGTATTGAATAATAACATTGAGTAATAGCGTTGAGCAATGGTATTGAATAATAACATTGACCATCAATCCCGAACAACAGCACCGAACAACAGCACCGAACAACAGCACCGAACAACAGCAATGCCGAACAACAGCATCGAGAGCGTGCTGCCCCGCCGCTGGTTGCTGCAGAACGCAATCCGGCACTGCCCCGCCCGCTGTGTTCGGTCCCCGTCGCCGCCGATCCACGGGCGATCCATGTTTCGTCGCTTCGGCCCAGCGCCGCCTTCTCGCTGCCCCGGCTCTCGCTGCTCTCGGATGCCAACTCCATTGTCCGCTTGGTTTGTCATGGCGTGCTTGGGGATATCCCAGCACCACCACCAAGCAACATCACTTGCCGAGCACCGCCAAACATCACCCAGACAGCACCCAAACAGCACCCAGACAGCACCCAGACACCCAAACAGACCCACCGGCATCCACCGGCATTCATCAGCATCCCTCGCCGCTCCGTCCATGCGGCCTGCGGGCTGCCGCCAATGGGGGTCTCGGGCTCGGCTGCGTGTGTCCGTTTCCCGGCCCTCCTCGCCCTGCAGTCTCTGCCTCTCGCCCTGACCCGGTTTTGTCGCCCGACTGTGCCTTTCCGTCTTTCGTCCTTCTTCCTGCACCCTTTTTTTTCTTCCCTCTCTCTGCCTGTCGCTGCTCCTCCGGCCCAACCCCGTCGCTGTCGGCATACCCTTGCCATCCCTCCAGTAAGTGCATTGTCCCGCCCCGCTGGCTGCCCTTCTTCAACCACCGCTCGCCGCGAGCGCCGTATCCCTGCTCTTCAATTCCGGCTACTGCTGCTGGTCGGGGGCTGGCTTCCTGGTGTGCACTGCGACCCCCATTTGCATTCCTCCGTCACCCAGCCAGTCGCACCTTCATGCGTTACTGCCAGCACCTTGCGGCTGCCTGCCCCCATTCGCACCGCCAACACGGACGGGCTCGACCCTTGTGGCCTTTGCAGCTCCCCGCCGTTGCTTCCTCACTCTTATATATTTCCCCTCGTCCTTTGGCAGCCCAGCATCCTCGTTCCTGGCGCTCTTGTCTTCTGCTGCAGACACTCTCGCCGCTCATTAGGACGCCCCCACCCCACATCTGCCCCGTCCTACCAACGCACAAGCCGCCATGGAGATAGACGAACGCCGCTACACTGGTACCGTCAAGTTCTTCAACAGCCAGAAAGGTATTCCCAGCTCCTGTTGGCCAATCAGACCGACCCGCTCTCCAACAGGCCGGGTGCTGGGGGAAGCTGGCGTCTGGACCACCGCTGGCCGGACAAGCACGGCACAGCATCAGCGGAGGGTGCATACCGCTAAACCATATCGACTCGCCCCCCCCCCAGGATACGGCTTTATTGTTCCAGTTCCTCCCATTCCCGATGACCCCGAGGGCGAAGGTTGGTTTTGTCTGCAAGCTGCATCGAGCCTCGCCGATTTCGCTCCGCCCTTGTCCGTGATTCTGCATTCTCCCTTGCGCTCATGCTTCCCTTGCTCTTTGTCGGCTCTGCCTGCCAACCACACCGGCGGTCGCGATATTCTCCTGTCGTTCCAACCCTTTGTCCCCGATCCTACCATGCGTCTCCCTCTGCCATCTCAACGCACATTCGTAACCAACCAATCCCTCCCCGGAACCTGCCTTCAACCGCTTAGTCTTTGTTCACCATACGGCAATCATGAGTTCTTCGCGCTTCAGAAGCCTCGCAGAGGGCGAAGTCGTAAGTTCCCCCTCCCTCAGTTTCCCACAGTCGGCTGGACGATTCTGAGTTGTTAACCCGTTTGTCCTTGGTGCTTCCCCAGGTCGAGTTCCATCTGCTGCGTGGCCCCAAGGGAATGCAGGCCGCCAAAGTCACCGGCCCTGGGTTTACCAACGTCAAGGGCGATCCGAAAGTGTATGTCCGCTGCTTCGGAGCTACACCCTCTCATCCGCACCGGCTTACGCCCAGCTGCTGCTTCCCGTCACTCATCAGTTCCACTCGCCGGCGATCCAGGTCCGGCCAGCAGTCACGAAATAGCCCGACCATTCCGCCCCCTCCCTGTAAGTCCCCGTCTCTCTCCAAGACTGGGTGCTCGTGGGAAGAGCGTGCTGTCCAGCTAACCGTTTCATTCGAACAATCGCCTCCGCAGACGACAGCTATTACTATCCTGGCCCCGGCGGATACTATATCCCTTCCTACTACTATCCCACCGTGCCGCAGATTCCACCCAACCTCTCGCCTGCCGGGTTCTCGGCTGCTCCTCCAAAGGGCTCGCCCAACACCTCCGCTCCGAGCATGATGCCCAAGACCTTCTTGCACATGGATCCTGGCCAGCCCCATAGCGGCCCCAGCAGCGAGACCTCGTCTCCCCCCATGTCCCAGGGCGGACCTCAGTACATCCCTTACAACTATGGCGTTATTGCTCCGCCCCAGTCGTATTTCAGCCCCTATCCTCCTGGAAACATTCGCTGAGGGTAGCGATGTCACCACCACCGATGATCGGTCCATCAAGTCAGGCCCGTCCTGCAAGCGCCTCAGCCCAAATGTTTGCTCCGTGGCAGACTTAATCTCAAACTGGCATGTTCATGATGTCTTGGATTCCACCTCCCAAGCGCTCGGATGCTGCCGCCAAAAACAGTCCAGAAACCAAACTTCCACCAAACACTCGGCATCCGCTCCGCCCTTCCATTCCAATACTTTGCCCCTCGCTTCTATATCTATCTTTCACCTTCACTGCCATTCCCGTGGCTATGCTCGCCATGTTCTTCCTCCTTCGCTCTTGCCGAGGTTGATCGCATGAGACAACCCACCGGCCGCGTTCTCCCCTCCCCCCAACTCTCTCCTTCCACCTTCAATCTTTCCTCCTTCTACTCTCACCTCCTTTCGCTCTGCCTTTGTACCTATCTCCCCCATCCCCGTGTCCTTTGTATATTGCATTCTCGTGGCCGTGGCTCGCCATATAACCCAGGCTGGCTTTCATTCATCTCCCGTTTCCCGCTTCCCCTTCCCTTCCAAACCCCTCCGCCGCTCAACACGCACTTCCTCCTCCACGGACATTCATGTTTTCTCTTTTTGGGTCAATCCATCTCTATCCGAACATGCATGCTGTAGATTCGCACCGACTGCTCCTGTAAATCTATTGTGAATCCATCCATACATCCATCTATCCATACACCTACCCATCCACCCACCCGCCCATCCATCGCCTCTCCTCCAAACACGCACTCATCATGTATATACAGTCTTTCGAGACAGAAACGGACACCCTCTTGTTGAGGGCGCGATTGCCCTTTCCCTGTGTCACGGCTGGGGCCCATACTCTCAGTCTGTCAGTATGTGGTTGGTCTTCATGCAGATGGGTTGTGGGAAACGCTTCCACGATCGCACTCTTGGCCGGATCGGCATGTGGATTCGCACACTCGCATTCTGTGGACACAGAATGCTGTTGCCACAATCCCTCCCGGACACGCGCAGCCATGCGCAGCATCCCGTGCTCTCCTTTTTTTTGGCTGCTTGCTCCAGATTCGGGTTGCCCAAAAGCCGACACCGTCCCAGCCGTATCCGAACGTTGCAAAGCGCCGCTCCATCGATCGATCGAGTGATCAAACCCATCGCTGTATCTGCGCCATGTCGACCCTCCAGGCTCAGCTGAAGCAGCAGCTCCAGCACAACAGGGCAAATGTCCTCCCCCGCACCAAACCCTCGCTGCTCTTCGATCAGAAACAGGCCGGCGATATCGACCGCGACTCGCTCTTTGCGCTCGGAAAGAACGGCCTTGCCGAGCTCATTCGCCAGGATCCCGCCCGCTTCGAGTCGTTCGATGCCACCCTGTTCTCGGAGAGCCTCAAGAACCTCGACCGCACCCTCCAGGTACGCCGGGTGGCTTTGGTGCTGAATCGAGCGATTTCGTGCTGTGCGAGGCAGTCGGCCGCGGAGGGGCTGCAACGGATAATCGAATGTCTCAGCGAGATAGGCGGCCAAGCGGACCTTGCAGAGGAGCCTATGCTCGCATGTCCCGAATTCCACGAGCACACTGGCCCGAGAGTCCATTCCAATAACTCACCAGATGTGCTAATATTCTCGCCTTGTCGATTGGCTCTATCAATCGGTCACATTCGACACACCGAACGCCTGATGTATCTGCCCATCGACACCACGAATTGAACACACTTGTCCATGCCTCGTCTCCTGTGTTGTCGTCACGAATGGTCGACAGAACAAGGAGGACAACGCCAAGCTCGACGATATCATCCACACCTTCTTGAGAAGCCTCTCTCCCTACTTTCTGCAGCAGTGCGCCCTCAAGGCTCTGGAGTGGCTCCTTCGCCGTTTCAGGTGAGCCAAGCAGCCAATGCCGAGCAGAGCCCCAATATCCTGTCATTGGCGTCGCACCCAGACGAACGAGTGGGGCTCGAGAGGTCGATGCAAGCTGGGCGCAAACTGCCAGCCGCGATCCTGTGTCTGTGGCTATGCCAACAACCGCTCACATACCACTTTCTCTGCCGCCCTCGTTTCGCGACGATGAAGAATTAACGAATTCAACGTCGAAGCCATCATCGAGTGCATCTTGCCGTATCATGACTCGCGCCAGTTTGGCCAGATGCTCTCGCTGCTGATCATCGAGTGAGTAGCGATGAGAAGGCATTTGTGGCAAAGGCGCTTGGATCGATGCTTTTTGCAACGTCGGCGGTTGCCATACTGACTAGACACCGGATATGACCACCACCACCACCACCACCACCCTCTTGCTGCTCCACTGTCTGGCCACTGTCCAGCCAAGACTCTCGCTGGGGCTTCCTCAAAACCGTGCAGAAGACGTCGGTGCCCATCGATCGCTCGACCTTGGTGCAGCGCTGCATCATGGATCGATCCGTTCTCGATTTTATCTGCGGAATGGTAAGCTAGCCGCCGACCAAGCGCGCGGCTGTCGACAATCTGCGATGACGACCTCCCCCACGACGCCTGCTTGGCACACTCGATTCGATTCGGCATCCACGGCACGCTCTCATCGCATCGCCTTGGTTCTATCCGCCGCCAGGTCCTGCGCTCCATCACCTATAAGATCCCAAACCGCACGCTGTACTCGTTTTTCACAGCGATCTCGCTGCAGTACCTGCAAGCCCTCAAGACCGTCAACGATGGCAACACGCGTATGCTTCTGACCACCGTCCTCGAGATCACCACCTTTGACTTTGACGAAGCCAATCCGCTGAGCCTCGATGTCTATGCGGCCGCCTACATGATCATCGGCCAGATCGCGGCCAAGACGCCTCTCGATACCGAGGTTCTGCTCTCGATCATCTCGGTCCTGGCCATGAACCAAGCCGCCGCTCTGGAGTATCCCTCGATTCTGTGTCTTCTCACCATCTGCGAGACGCAGCCGTCGCTCCCTCCCCTGCCCGAATCGGCCTTGCAGAGCATTGCTTCACTTGGGTACGCACTTTGATCTGTTGCACTGTCGAGCTGTTGTTCCGTCGGAGGTACATTGTTGCTGCCTCTTCATTGGTGTCTGCATAACTCACCCAGGCCATACGCCTGCAAATCAGCTCGCTTCTCGAGTACCTTGCCAAGATCCGCAAGGTTCACCGCGCCGACAAGTTTGTCATGTATCTCCTCAAGGCACTTGTTCTTTCGAAGAATGAGTGAGTACTTCCTCTGTCCACGCCACCCAACACCGCCTTCCAAAGACACCGACGTGTGTCCCGCTTGCAAGTGGCGCTAACTCTCTCGCGCACAGGTCCAACTACAAGCTGGTGGCCAGCATCCTTCTGCAGGAGACTTTCCCCCTTGCACTCGTTGGTGATCTGTTCCGCTTGGTTTGCGAGATCTATCTCAGCGATGCCTCTATTCAGCAGCACACGGGTCGCATTGCGGGCATCTTGCACAGCAAGTACGCCCAGGAGTTTGATCGCCTCATTGAAGCCATCTTTTCGGTAGGCTTTGGGGTCGCAAATGCATCGCCCGATGAGGTCGCTGCCCTCGCCTCCCTCACAACGTTCTAACCTGCTCCCTCTCGGCGGCGGACTCTTGTCTTACAGGAGCTTCCCTCCAGAGATACCCCCGAGGGTGCTGAAAAGCATGCTGCCCTCTTCCGCTTCCTTTCCGAGTCGATCAAGGTATACCGTCGCTGAGCATCATTACGGCAGTGGTGGATTGAGCCATTCCGCGCGCTTCATCTGTGACCGGGGTGGAGCCCGTGCTGGTGCCGTTCGCCCACAAGCTCTCGGCATCTGCATGTCCACTCCAGACAGTTTATACCCACCTCCAACCGACGGTATCGCCTGCCGCTTTGTATAGGGTACGATCCACAAGTCCATCTCCGAGAGCACCACGTTGTTCTTCAGCCTGCAGCACAGCGAGTCCAAGGCACGTCTCCTGGCTGTCAACCACGTCAAGTCCCTGATCCGCGCTGAAGCCGATGTGGATGTCCTTCCCGAGTACATCCGTGAAGCGGTCATGGACAGACTCCGGGATGATGCGCATGATGTCGTCGCGGCCTGTCTCGCCATTCCCCATCTTGAGCTCTTCAGTGCCCAGGACCACTTTGTCGACTCGCTGGTCTATATCACCACCAACCGCCACAGCGGCCACGGCCTGAACCGCATCGCCGCGCTCAAAAAGCTTCACGCGATCTATGGGGGCAAGAAGACTGCAGGCGATGTGCCCGATCATGTCCTGGTTGCCGTGCTCTCCTCGCTGCTGTTCACTCGAGTGGTAGGTCTCTCATGTCTCTGCCCTCTCGCCCTCGTTCTCGCTTTCGCAGACACTAGATGTTGCTTCAGTCCGTATTCGTTTGGAAACTAATTGCATGGCTCCCCCAGAACGCCTCGGTCGCCGAGTACGTTGTCGAGGTCGCCACCAAGCCCTCGTCTCTTGTCCATCGCTTCATCAAGCCGAGCAGCATGGTCAAGAGCAAAACCAGCGGCACCCACGAAGCCCTTGATCACATCACCACGATTACCAGCGGTAATGTCGCACCCTCGACGACGGCAACTGCTGCCAGGCGTCCTCATATTCGCGCTTAGTCGAGTCGGTCGTGCGTCAGTTCGTCACTTAGCACTTCTCGGAGCCTTTGCTATGTGCTTTGACCTCCAGCTGACCAGCCCAACACTTTCTATGCACTTTCCAATGTCATTAGATGCTGCCTCGAAAGACTCCGAGGTCTTGGATTTTTACATCAACGGCCTTGGCTCGGAGGATCCGTATCTGCGCATTCTAAGCGCTCTTGTCCTTGCCAAGTACATTTCGGTTCCCCAGAATGGTAAGTCTCTGGGCATCCCAAGAAAGCGGAGAGCGGGCTCTCGGTCAAGTGAGGTGCATTCGTATGGGGGGCAGTCCGTGTCGCTCATGCATGATGGCGCGGCTTGTAACTGACGACTTTGTTCTGCAATTGCAACTGCAACTGCATCAAAAGCCAAAGCCCACAACCTCGGCAAGCTTGTCCCCGTGATGCTCAATGCCATTGTCGCCCGCATCGCCCAGGATCCGTCCAGCAAAGGCGCATGGACCATCGCCAAGGGCGCCCGAGTCTTCCCCGCCGAGCTGACCAGCCTCATCGAGGGCGCGACGCGCGCTGATATCGCCGCTAACAAGTCGATCGAGCTGCGTGTCTACTCGTACCTGCTCAACACGCTCCTGGTTAATCTCGAGCGACCCAGCGGCAAGTCGGTTGCCTGGCTGGACCCGACTCAATCCGACGTAAGTGCGCGCCTTGAGCCCGATCGAGGTCGTTGGATCGGTGATGCCACGGTGTCGCGGAGCTGCAACACTTGCGGCGTCGCGGAACTGCAACACTCACTGCACATCCATCCCTATGCGATCGACACAGAATGAGGTCAAAGAGTACAAGGAAATCATCGGCCACGTCTTCGCGTCTCTCGCCACGCACACTTCTGCTCCCATCTGTGTCGATGGCATCAAGATCCTGTTCTCCGCGCATCTCCACACGGACACCTTGGAGTTCCTGTGCTCAATCTGGACCCTTGGAGGTACGGTGGGCTGCTGCGGTTGCATTCCCACTATCCCGTCGCCGTTTCCGTAGACTGGGCTGGCGTCTCCTATTGTCCCATCACTGATTGGAACTCTCCCGTTCGTTTGTAGAGAACGAGTCGTATTCCTCGCTGCGGGTCGCCGCCCTTGAGGTGGCCGCGCTCTTCATCAACTCGAGCACCGAATCCGGCAGCAAGCCTCGCGACTACCAGATCTTGATTCCCTCGCTTCTGGTGCCACTCCTCAGTCCTGCCAGAGCCATCCGTGAGAGCGCCACTCTCTGTCTCGAGGCTGTCAAGCAGGCTTACCAGAAGGCGCTGCCGACTGCCTCGCCCAAGGGCAAGTCCTCGATCCCGATCTTTGCCTATGACGAGTTCTATGGCCAGTCCTCCAAGAAGGTCCAGTATCTCACTGCCGAAGCCGGTCGCCAGTTCGTCAGCAACATTTTGCTGTGCTCGAATGAGATCCGAACGGACGCAAGCTTCTTGCAGCACCACATGAAGGATCTGCTCTTCAAGGACCGCAACAGGTAACTTGAACATGTGCTTCCAACACAGCAGATCGTCTTTGGGCACCGCAACCTCTGCTTGTTGGCTTGCTGGTGCCGCAAAGGATAGATTTCAGGCGATTGCACCCAGCACCAGCAGCACCAGCAGCACCAGCAGCACCAGCAGCACCAGCAGCACCAGCAGCACCAGCAGCACCAGCAGCACCAGCAGCACCAGCAGCACCAGCAGCACCAGCACCACCAGCAGCAGCAAATGTCGCGACTCGGCTCGTTAGCTTCCCCGGCGCTCTTGAATGTTGATGCCCATCGGGTCGCTAACGTCTGTGCTCATTGCATCATCCAGATGCCAGGAGGATCTCTTGTGCTTCATCCTCTCAAGCACCTTGGCCTTCAACCTGCCCTTCCCTCAGGCCCGCCTCCTGAGCACCCTCAGCTTGATCGACACCCCGGTCAAGTCCAAGATGCTTCATCCTCTCCTCGACTCGATGCTCCGTAAAAAGCGCACCGAGACTGTGGGTGTCTACGAGCAAGAGTTGCTGCGTCTGATTATCCAGTGCTACACCCCGGCAGCCACCGCCGCGCTGTTCTCGTCTCAGTCCAAGTACCTCCGTCTGTTCTGTCATTTGATCAGCCCCGATCCCGTGGGTAAGTACAGCAGCCGTCTGGGAGGCGGTGATGCTCATCAATGCCATGTACTCGCGCAGTTAGCGAGGACAACTCGCTCTGTCGTTGTTTACGTTCAACCTTTGCGTTCCCGGTCATCCAATGCTGACTATCCCTCCCCCTACAATCTTGGCGATTGCGATAGTCTCGGGGGTGCCTGCAAGCCCGGCAGTGGTCCAGGAGCTCGCAATCTCACAGATTGGCGCCCAGTGGTTCCAAGCTGCTCCTGCGCTCTCGCAGTACTTAATCTTCGAATCTCTTGTCAATTTGTGCACCGCCGCCGCCGGCGATCTCCTCGCTCGTGTCAAGGACTGTCTGTGTGCGCTCACGGTCTCCTCCGAGCTCGTAGCTGCTCAGCTGAGTCAATGCCAGCAGGGCCTTGCCCACGACGACGAGCGCGCTGAATCCAAGCGCCAGCGTGTTGGCAGCTCGGCCCACAACGACCAGCACCTCTATAAACTCTCGTCGCTGCTCGAGCTCCTCGAAACCAACCTTCAGGTCACCAGCAAGCACCACCTGGTTACTCCGCTCTTCGATGTCCTCGGATTGATCATCAACACCCAAGTCCCTGACTCGCCCGTGTCCATGGAGTATATCAAGCAGCTTATTCTCTCGAGTCTCTTGAGCATCGTCGAGTCGAACAAGGTAAGCCACTCCTCTGGCCACAGACACAAGTGATTCGCCTGCCACTGACAGTCATCTCTGATCGGCGGCACCACGCAGGAACCGGGTGTCATCACCGACGATACCTTGAGGGTCGATCTGATTGTACAGTGCATTCGAGGTGAGTGCAATACAAGAAGTTGCACTGCCCCGAGGCCTTGTTCCGAGGCTAACTGTCTGTGCCTCCTGGTGTGTGCCCTGCCACCCAGTTACCGAGAATCCCCAGACGCACAACGCCTCGCTCCTGCTTCTGGCCTCGATCGCCACGATCTACCCCGACAATGTCCTCGCCAACGTCATGCCCGTGTTCACCTTCATGGGCGCCAACGTCCTACGCCAGGACGACAACTACAGCTTCCATGTGATTCAGCAGGTAAGCGTCGCATCGCACCCACCATCTCCTCAGTGACAAGCTGGGCTCAGCGCGAGGCTGGATCCTGTGCCAAGTCAATGTTACGCACCCAACAAGCAGCGACAATATCTAACCAAACGCTGCGACACGCATCCGTGCATATCTCCACAGACGCTTGAGACCATTATTCCTCCTCTGGTCGACAAGTTCAGGACTCAGGCTGGTGATAATTCGCGCAAGCTGATTCAAGGTTCGTGTGTGTGGCTGCGTTCAACCAGAAAGGCATTTCATCTGCCGCAGCGAATGCTTCCTGCCGGACTGTTTGTGCCAGCGGTACTCTAACGACTGTACATCCGAACTGCTGCAGACATCAAGCCGGTTGTGAAGGTCTTTATCGATGCGCTCTTCCACATCCCCAAGCATCGCCGCCTCAGGTATGATTCTCCCCTGGGGCCAGCTGCCGCACCCCATCAGCACCACCTGGCCCACCTTCGAGCTGGTCTAATCAGCAATCTTCACTCCGACCGCCCAGACTCTTCACTGTTCTGGTCTCGACCCTCGGCAGCGACCAATTCCTCAGCACCATCAGCGCGCTCTTGGTCGAGAAGACCATCTCAAAGAGATCCACCGTGACCTCGGCGGCCGAAGTTGCTGGCCTCCCAGAGTTCAATTTGTCGGTCCTGCATTACTTTGAGTCCAGAACCCAGGTCAAGGTAAGTTGGCGTGCTCACGACAAGATCATATGTCCTCGGGGTCCGTCTAAGCTGGCTCACCCTTGTTTTTCGCCCCTTTGCAGGCCATGGATCAGCTCATCCAAACCCTGATCGAGCTGCCCGACTCCAAATTGGATAACGAGGTCGAGCATCCCCTGTTCGGGGTTCAGTCTCATTCGGAGCGCGAGCTGCGCTACTTCAAACTGTCGTGTGTGGACCTGATTGTGCAGCTGCTTGGATCCAAGCCCTTCTTGTCTAAGCTGCTGAGTCTTTCGGAAGAAGCACGGACGCGCTTGGAGGACAGCCATCTTGGATTGATCGAGCAGCTGCTCAAGCTCATGAGCCACGTCAACACATCCAAGGAGGCCGCCGAAAAGTCCCAAGAGCACAACACAATCAAATACTGCAAAGGTAGGCCGGCTTTGGCCGTTTCCTGGCGGATTCATCGGCGGAGCACGTCGGAGAGACTCGGTTTGCGCAGACCTGCGAACCCGAGCATAATCGTCTGCTTGACGAAGGGGATGGCGACCACGCCAATGGATCGCTGCTGTCGTCGTGTAAAGGTCTCTAATATTGATTGACTCTATCGACGCAGCCATATCCAAGAAGCTGCACGACGCCCTCGGCAAGGTCAACGCCCTCCTGTCGCTCCCCGTGTTTATCAATGTGATCTCGGCCCTCTTGAACAACAGCGATATGCTCGTCCGCCGCAGAAGCATCGTGCTTCTCAACCAGAAGCTCACTGCCATCCAGCACGAAATCACCAAGGATGAGGTGCAGCTGTTCGAAAAGGTCATCGAGGACCTCAAGCGCATCATCGGCGGTGTCGACGCGGCCGCCACCGAAGATGCCCTCATCAACAAGCAGATGGCCCTCATCTGTCTCGGCACCATGGTGAACTCGATGGCCGTCTTTGACAGCGACACCTTTGCTGGCATCATGCCCATCCTCGTCGGCAAGGGCGCCCTGGGGCACAGCAGCCCCCAAGTCATGGCGTCGGCCATGATTTGCATTGCGGCGTTCTGGTAAGCGACTGTCGAGCACCATATATTGTGCAACTCTGTGCAGCTGTCCTCGGCCATTTGTCCATCAAAGACTCATTCGCCCTCTTGCTCCGCCTTCCAGCAAGGAGCTTGGTCCACGCACTGTGCCATTCCTCCCAAAGCTCATGCAGCCAATCGTTGCCGTCTTTGGCGCCTGCATTGAGGCCACCGGTGGCCGAGTCGGCGAGGGTGCCAACGGCGCTCTTCTGCTCACCGTGGTGTCGTCGCTGGAGGCAATAATTGCGGTCGTTCCCCAGTTCGTCGGCTCGTACGTGCCGCAGATCCTCAAGTGCGCGCTTCACCCGCTGATGCAACGCGCAGATATCGATAGCCCTGATGGCAAGAAGGTCAGTATGGTGGACGGCCTCGGTCGGCACATGAGCCCTCCAGCCAGTGTGCTGTTGCGCCGGCCTCGCACCATGGCCTGTCAGTCACATTACGATACTGTGCCATGGACCGCCGGGACGACGTTATGTTGAAGCGCCAACTCTGCCGGACTGCCGGACTGCCGCACTACCGCACTACTCGCTTTCCCATGATCGATCCTGACCCGACGCTCCGCTTCCGTCCCCAGCTGGTCGAAAAGAACAAGGATCTCCTTGGTACGCTCGCTGAGAAGGTTGCAGCCCGCACCCTCGTTCCTGCCATCCTCGCTCGTCTTGCTCCTGTCCTCAACGACGGACGAAACTCGATCCTGGCCCTCTTCGACTTTGCCGCCAACATGACTCGACACATGCCCAAGAACGACATCTACGCCTTCCAGAGCGACCTGTTCAAATTCTTTGTGGGTGCTTTCGACTATCGCCGCGGCTTCAGTGATCGCGTCAAGCCCGAAGACGTCGACGCTGTCGAGGCCAGTATGATTTCATCGTTCTTGCAGCTTGTCATGAAAATGAACGAGTCGCTCTTCAAGCCCATGTTCCTCAAGCTCGTCGACTGGTGCACGTCGCGTGTGCTCGAGCAGAACGGTATGTTGCAAAGCGTACCGCTGGACTCGCACTCATTCTTCGTTCGTGCGACTGACTGGTGGTGCTTGCATCCTCTCGGCTGCTCCAGGGATGAGCAAGAAAGAAATCCATTGCCGCCAGCTCTTCTTCTATCGCCTCTTGGACAATTTGCTCGGACGACTCAAGGTACGATTTCAGCGTAGCACGTTGGGTTGTGTGTTGGGTTTGATCTGTTGCTGGCCAATGTCCGATGGCTGGCGCGGCCTGGATCCGTGTGTTGGCCAAGTTGGTTGCGGCAGGCGATGGCTCAGCAATATCCGCGCCGAGACGGGACGAGACTGATGACACTCTATCCCCATAGTCGATTATCGTTCCCTACTTTGGATATGTCATCGACAACTGCATCCTCCAGCTGAATCACTTTGTCAAGGCAGAGGCGTCCGATCCTCTCTGGACGTACATCCTGATGTCTATCCACAAGTGTCTCTTGTTTGATAATGACGGTATGAGCTGCCGGCATTGCGTCAGCAGTCGCCGTGATGTGCTGGAGTGAAGCCATGTACTTCTCATCTCATCGGCACTAATCCGGCACCCCGTTCTAACATCACTTGCGACTCTTAGGCTTCGTTGATAACGATAAGTTTGACAAGCTACTGGCGCCTCTCTGCAACCAGATCGACAACATCAATGGGCACGGCGACGAGTACATGGTAAGGACAGCGCGCGCCGCTGTCTGCCCTGAATCATACAGCAACTGAACAGGCCGCGATCCTGCCACTGCATCTCCGTCCGCGGTCAGATGCCCCGAACTAACTCACGCTCACCCCGACAACGTCTCCGCCCCACAGGTCAAAATGACGACATATCTCGTCCCATGTCTCGGCCAGCTGGCTGTCACTTGCGCAAAGGAGTCCAACTGGAAACCCTTGAACAACAAGATCCTGATGAAATCCCGCAGCGAGAGCCCCGAGATCCGCACAGTCTCCCTGCGCGTCGTCAGCGAGTTTTACAGCCGCATCGGCGAGGAGTTCCTGGTTCTGCTGCCCGAAACCATCCCCTTCCTTGCCGAACTCATGGAAGGTGAGTCTCGTCGCTGTATCAATGTGCAACCGCCGCGATTAGGGGGCGAGCGTGGATGCCGACCTGGATATTGCTTCTCTAACATGTGCGCGATGCTTTCGTGGGTGCCTGTGGATGCTTGGGTGCAACTCTCACAGACGACGACGAAGGTGTCGAGAAGCTCTGCCAGGAGGTCTGCGCGCAGATCCAACACTACCTTGGCGAGCCCATCCAGCAGTACTTCAACCAGTGAGGTATCACTACATCGGACGACGCTCTCTGTCGCCATTTGGGCTGGAGGATCGTCCGAACAGCGCGGCTTGTTTTGTCGTCTCTTGGGATCTCAACCACATCGCTCGACCCGCTTGCGGAAGCCAATACAGCGTTCCCAAAGCGCAATGGGACACCCCGTTTTGAGCCAGGGCAGTTGTTGCTTTCTGGAATCTGAATACACCCACCCACTCGCTGCGATCATGTCCAAACACACCACCCTCGATTCCCGCATCGCTGCACTGCGATGCGATTCTGGCATTGAGTCTCCTCGAGCATCTTGATGGAATCTCTGCCGGGAATGAAATCGCCCAAGGATCCAGTGAGCAATCCATGCGATTCACTCCACCCTCTGGACAGCTCCATGATGTATCGATATCAAGATCCTCAAGCACACCTGGGCGTCTCTGGTGGTGGATGAACTGCCCAAAGTACTTGGCGAACCTGAGTCTCCGTGGGCTGGATGCATATCCCTTCCTTTGCTTCCAAGAGGCATTCCCAAAAGGCAATCACCGCCTCGGTCTCGTTGGACATGCTGTTTGGCCATGATGGCAATGAGTGGGTGCGTAATCAGATTGCAGAAAAAACAACTGCCCAGGCCGGCTCCCTGGTCTCCCAGAGCGCACCGTAGATCTGCTTTGGCAGCGCCGCGAGTACTGCATCGACATGTTCCTGGGTCGACGATGGCACCCGCCCGCTGCTGTCCTTGGACCGGGGCGGTGTCTGTTGATGTTTCTCCCCTGGCGATGCGCTCGAGGCTCTGGTTGGCTGGCCGGCCCCACGTTCTGGTCCAGCCGGCCAATGGCAGCACGGGCTTCGGCAGGAGGCTGCCTGGGATTGTCTGGCCCCGACAGCTCAAAAGCCAACCGGACAGCCCGCCCTTGGCCTCTCTCTCTCTTTACAAGCGTTAGACCCGGCGAATCTCACACATTCCTGTGTCTGCACCGCAACCATGGCTTCCCGAAAGTAAACGAGGTGCCGAGCTGAGCTACTCATCCTCCATCCCTCCCTCCCCCTACCAACGCCCTCCACCTCCGTCCAAGACGCTGCAGCATCAAGCAACAAGCATCTCCAGGCTCCACAGCTCCAAGCTCGCATTCGCACCTCCAGACAAAACAACAACATCGAAAAAGGACCACATTACTTCTCCTACTGCCTCACGCACCCAAATCTCCAGCAAAAAGAACGGGACAGCATCCGCCAGCAAGCCCCCGGTTGAATGCCCCACCGTGATCCGCAGTCCCTTCTGTACATAACCCGAACTCTATGGCCGTTCTTAGCACCAGTTTCCAGACCACGCCCGTGTCGATTCCAACCCCGTCCGAGGCCGACCTCGAGGAACTCGTCATCATCGATGAGCTCCTGCTCCTGCCGCCGCTCCCGCCTCCCATGATCCAGTTCGAGTTGGCATCGCCGCGGCTGGCGCCACACCAGGCCCCCACCTCCTGGGTTGCGCCTGGGGATTGCGTCGTCGACCCAGACATACCCGATACCTACTATACGACCGAAGCCTATCGAGACAAGAAGCGCAAGAAGAAGGAAAAGAAGAAGAAGGCGTCGTCATCCAAGAAGGAGCAGGTCATCATGGACGTCCTGAGCTCGCCCACAACAAGCTTTGCGGATGGTACTGTCTGAGTCGGCGCATTCCTTGAGCAATCACCCACTGTGGGTTGCAGCGGCCGGGATGGGGCAGAGCCGGAGAGGAGGGTGTCCTGCAGATGCGCTCCGTGACATGGGTTTCCTCGCAACGCTCCGACGCACGACATGAGGACCGTTGGCCTCGTCCCATGAAATCGGGCACGTCATCGTGACTGGACAGGCCGCGCTGCACTACGTCATGGTCTGTCCGATGCCTCTGGGTACTGACGGCTCTGATGGTTCTGTCGCAACCACCTCCTCCCTCACGCCGTCATGGCTCCAAACAGCCGCAGATATTGGTTCCTCCTCTGCCTCGACGTTCGACCCGGAACTTGCAATCGAAGAGATCCTGCTGCCGTCCCCTTGCTCCATGTCGAGTTCTGGCCATCGCGGCAGTATCTTTTGCAACCAGCAGTGGATCAACTTTGTGAACCTTTCCGAGGAGTCGCAGGAACGGATGTTGAGCGACTGGTGACGCTAGTCGCACAGAAGCGTTCGGCCGAATGGTGGACGCCGTGGTTGTGTCCTTCCTCCTGCGACTGCCACAGGGCTCTCCGAGACGAAAATGCGGCGAGCACGCTGGATAGGTCGCCATTTTGTTTGAAAGTGTACTTGAAAGAAAACAGAGACACCCCCAAAATATGCATTGTCTCACTCACGCGGCCTGGCTCTCCTGTCTGGTGATCAAGAACCGGGTCGCTGTGCGCGGATGCTTAGAGCTGAGGGCGATGATATCTGGTAGCAAACGTCACGAGTAGCCAGAATGCAGGCCCTTCTCTGAGCTTGGCTTAGCGGCGGCATGCACAAAGCTCTGGGGAGTTCAGCTGGTATATGTGTGCAGATCGTGATCAAGTTACGGCATTGGCAAAGTGTCGATCGTGATTCATGTCCGCCAGCGTCCATCTACCGTTTGCCCGCGACTGCGGTCTATGCCAAACCAAGGCCTTTGGTGGCACGCCTTGACTACAAGGGACTCTTTGTGCGTGAGAGGCCGAGCTCCATAGATAACAGACACGTTATGGCCTAACAGAGATGCGCAAGCCGCCCGAGGATCCTCGGCAACCGAGATTGTCGTCCGGAGACGCTGACAACTTGCTACCGACAAATATGACTTCACGAAGGGATGGCAGAGAGATGGTCGAAGAAGCAGCACGACTCTGGCGTCAGCATTGCCAAGTTCAGGCACTTTCGCCGAGGAGCACTAGCATCAGACCGTTGACATTCCTGATGGAGCAGCGATCAAAGCACCGGGGTTAGATTCCCAGTATGCGAATCGAGAAGGCGATTGGATGTCCAGTGATGCTTGAAAGGCTGTCTGTGACTGAAAGGGTCGCCAATTCCAGGCCCCGCTGATATCCGGTAAATATCGGCGCCAGAGCCAAGCCACTTACGCAACGGTAGTCATGATCCGTTTTCTGGTATTGTGTTGAGCAGCCGGCGGTGGAGCAAGCAGACAGGTATCTGATCAGCAAAAACAGAAGCGCCAATGTGCCCCAGCATGCGGCAGAGGGAACGGTACGTACATGCCCACTTTCTCGAGGAACGCTATTTCATCCAGATGGAACTGGCCATTGGCGTACTTGATCAGTCTGTAAACGATAGGTCAGAGTTGAGCGAAGGGTTATTTTACCTGGATGCCCATCACGCGATACCAAACGAGCACGATCCATCGAAGCATCGGGTCTGGGTACGTACCGCTCACGGAATTCGAGCTCAGTCGACCGCGCTTCGTCAGAGGCTCGCGGTGGTTCGCCAGGCTGATTCGCCTGTTCCGGTGTCGATGATATGCTTGGTGGCTCCAGAACATCAAAGTTGGCAGCCGAGACTGGTCCGAGTAGCCGAGATACAGGGTTTGCAGGGTATTCGGTATAAGTCATACAGCGCTGGAGCAGCCGTCGGGGAGGGCGTTGTCCACACCGCCAACTTACAGAGATAGTGATAGAGCTGGACAATGATGTCATGGCGCAACAAATACGCGATGATTTTGAGATAGAGAGACTTTTCGTTTTTGGATTTGGAGCTGAGAAAGCCAGCGCCAACGGGCGAACTGATTGTGATTTCGGTGACAATCCTCACGAGATCATCCTTGTGAAATCTGGAGGTAAAGTCGGCAGATAGCTCGCGGAGCCTGGCATGAGCGTATGGAACAAGACAGTAAGCGAGAAGTCAGGCGCGCTCGAGAATCGCTGCATCAGGCAGCAATTAAGGCGGTCCATCGCAACTGTCCAGGCAGCACATCGCAGCTGAACTCGGGCTTCCATCGAGCTCATTCGACAAAGCTCGAAGCGGCACCACGAGAAGGCACATTGCATAAGACTTACGCCGAGAGATCCATTCCTGGAGCAATCGCATAGATGCCCTTGCTGTGAATCGTGTGGATGATCCTCGCTTTGTTCCAGTAAACCAGATGGGCGACCAGTCGGTACAGCTGCGGTAGCGAGCAGTCCAATAAAGCGGCCATGTCTTTAAAGCTTGAGAGATAAAGTGATCCACGAATCCGTGCGTCAGGTTCGAGGCAATTGCATGAGGCATGAGCTGCCGGTCGTTGCCTCTCCTCCAAAGCATGCCTCGCAGTGTTAGCACGCTACCGAATATGAACTTGTAAATGCCCACACAAACTAGCCATCTTACCACACGGTCGGATCCGCGTTCTGAATGAGCTCGACGAACATGTACGAACTATCCAATGGAAGCTGATTCAACAGGTCCTCCTTGTCACAGAGAAGGAGGAGAGTCTTGTATGGCCGCAAGACGGGATAGATTTCTTCGTGAAAGACTTCGCCGAATGCGCCCGACTGGCTCAACAGCAGCTGCGGCTCGCGGCTGTTCTCGTAGTCACCAGCGAACGAAAGCGGCTTCGAGGTGGTGTTGACTGTTTTCCACCTCGGAAGGTGGAGTGATGCATCCAGGGAGTGGTTCACAACCCACGAGATCGTCGAGTGCGAGTTGATGGAGGTGTAGATGTTGGCCATGAGTCGAGCAAGCGAGCTTTCGGCGAGGATTTTGTCTATCACCTCGGCCGGCGCCCGTTCTTGAGGCACAAGGCGGTGCGTGAGATGGCAGTATGAGAGACGGCGAAACGAATATCACAAGAGGCGCACCGAAACAGAGTGAGTGCGCTGAGGCGACAGAGCTATGCATCCAGGAATCGCCGCTGCGAATGGGTTTGCGAGGTCTGGGACCCGCGGCGAGGCAGTTTGCAACCAACAGCAACCAACGGACAGTAACCAACGGACAGCATATCAGGTATATCGGACATATCATACAGGCGGTAAACAAGAGCAGAGCAGCACTCGGACCTTCAGGGTGGTGTCTGGGCTTCAGCTGCTCCTTTAACCGGGTAATGACGTCGCATTGCTGGTCGATATAGCCACGCTTAAGCTGCTCGTATTTGAGCCCAGCGGTGATCTTGGAGATGACATTCACATAGACCTCCTTGACTTCGTCTGAAAAGGGCTTGGTCCCAGTTGGCTGCATGGCCACGACGAGATTGAACATGCTCAGCAAGGACTGATCGCTTTGGCCAGGATGGGCTGAGCCTGTGGTCGCCGATTTGCTGTCCTGGTGCGAGCCCTGATGGTCAGACTCCCAATGCGACTCTTTCTCAGCACCCATGTCCTTTGATGTGTCGTCGTCGTCGGAATGCGCAGACATCCTCTGGATGAGCCGCGCAAATCGATGGCCTGTGCCGGGACGGTCGGCGCGAAGAAGCGTTGGGTGACCAACGAAGGTGACCTCGTCGATGGCGAGCCGGAACATCTTATCGCAGAGGGTCGAGGCATTGGGGATTAAGAGATCCGAAAGCACACTGGTTTCGAATCCCAGAAACTCCTCCACAAGCTTTTGGGGGGCGTTGCTGCTAGAGGAGCTGGCCTGCTTGCGTGTGCCGGCATCGCTGTCGGACTCGGATTTTAGGATTTCGTATCGATAGCGGACTTTGTCAGCCGGATAAGAGAAAACAAACTGGGGGCCCGTGCTGGAAGGGCAGATAAGCAGGATGCCCAGGATGGGCAAGAGCGACTGGACCATCGCGGGCTGCTTGCGGGCTCGAGGAAAGGCGGTCCGGCGTTGGGGAGACGGGAGCAGAGCAAAGCGGGCAGTGTCTGGAAAAGCGCGGACCTGATATGGCGAGGCCGGTGCTCGATCCAGGGGATTGCGCCGAAGAGCACCACAGCCGGGATTCGTTCGCCATGAGACAGAACCCAGGGGATGCAGGGCGCTGGGCTGGCCTCGAGGAGGCACCGGCCCGCCGGCGAGGCAGATGCGACGCTATGACCGGGATGCATTGTCCGAGTGTCCAAAATCACCATCTATCTGTGCCATTTCAATGCTACGCGCAACATGGCCTCGGGGTGCTGATCGATCGCCGCAGAGGGGCACGCCAGCAATACCCAGACAACACTCCATAAAGTAACAAAACTTTGAATGCCAACAACGGCAAGAAACAGTCGCTTGGTCGCGATCGTGCAGCCCACACACATCGGGAGTGGTAGTCCTTGGTTTCTGTTGGGAGCCATATCCCGTTTCTGTCGTGCACTGGCTGTGGCGAGCAGGAGAGCAGCGCCATTGGGCATGAATGCCAGAGCAACCACTACTTCGTCTTGACAATCTGCTGGTCGTGCGACTGGAACGTTGGGAGCAAAGACAAACGAGTGTGGTGCAGCAGCGTGAGAACAGAGACAGGCCGCAAACACCAAACCCTCTGTCTCCCGGAGGCAGGGCGATCGACAGCAAGAATTCAGGACACATGCGACCGACAACAGCCGTTCGAACAAAGGCGGCGAGTCACACTCCAAATCATGGCTCTGTCGTCCCCTTACCTTGTTTTGGAAAATATATGTGACCAGATCGTGGGCACACTCTTTGAGCAGTGTGTCGGCGGCCTTTGGAAGATCAAACTGGCTGAGATGGCTCCAGGTGCTCGTGTCAGCCGCAGTGGCACCGGTGTTGATGGTGCCTTCGGGAGGTTTGACGACCTGTCGGTTCTTGATGCATCGCTTGCACTTGAAAGTGTCGTGTGTGTCCGACAGCGTGGTTTCGTTCAGCTGGAACAGCTGTCGCAGCGCCTCTTGAGAAAAGTGGCGCTCGACATCAGCAGCTTCGTCGACGACACAGCTACTCAGCGACTGCTTGTGTGCCTGGCCTGCGGAGCGAATGGAGACAGAATGCCGTGAGCTACAGCACACAGCCATGCACATCCGTTGACAAAAACGCACAGTCATCGACAGCAGCGGCAGAAGCAACAGCAACGGCGACGGTGAGAGCAAAGAGAGGACGCCGCTCGCTGGCCACTTACGTTGGAAGATCTTTTCTTCGATAGAGCCCGTCGCAATGAAGCGATAGATAAAGCACATTTTCTTCTGACCATCTGCGCCAGTTGTGGGTGAACAAGCCATATCAGCATGTGGCCACAGCGCCATCGCCGACGCACGTTGCTTCTGGTGCTGTCAGCAACCGACAGTCACTCACCACGCCAGACACGGGCCAGCGCTTGTCCGTCGTTGGCAGGGTTCCAGTCAGGATCAAACAGAACCAGCCGGTTTGCGCCGATCTAGGGTTGGCAGACAATGGCGATCAATCGATCAGTAATCACAACACCAAACCCGCAGCAAACGACAAGGAGCCAGAGCCAACGTACCAAGTTCAAACCGCATCCACCAGCCTTGCTGCTGAGCAGAAAGACAAACTGCGGGCTCGTTGGGTCATTGAACTGGTCGACGAGCTTCTGTCGCTTCTGGATGGTCATGGTGCCGTCGAGTCGCAGACAGCCCCAGTGCCGGGCCCGACACATCTTATCGAACAGGTCGAGCGTTTGAGTGTAGTTGCTGATCAATACAATCTTGTCGCTGGTGGTCGTCCTAGAGCGGTGGAGAAGCGTTCAGCCACGAGGTACGAATCGGATGGATAGGATAGACAGGCGAGATAGACAGGCGGGATAGACAGGCAGTATTGCGTGAGACTTACTTGATCTTATGGAGCATTTTCTCGAGCAGGAACATCTTGCCCGAGAACTCGGACTGGCACGAGTTGAAGTCAAATTTGGGCGGGAACAAAGACTTGTTGAAGTCCTCGGTACCGAGCAGCGCCGGGTGGTTGCAAAGCTTCTTGAGCATCGTGATGGCCTTGAGTGGCTGGGAGCCCTTGCCGGTCAGGAGCTTTCTGATCTCAGGAGACTCCAAAAAGTGTCGATAAAGCCCCAGCTGTGTGTCGGTGAGCTTGCAGAAGACAACGTGCTCGTATTTGACCGGCACTGCGAGCGAGTGCGGATGATATTGGCGGGGATTAGAACACGCATACTTTGGAGGCAGCGGCCATGCCAAGGCAGATGGACTGCGGTTGTCGTGCTTACAGTATTTGGTCAGCAGCTCAGCCGTCCGGCGGATGATGAATTTGTTGGCGATCCCGAGCAGCTCGCTGAGCTTGGCTTCACTGGTCTCGCGATCCTTGTCCGAGGCGTCGGCGTCACGGCCACGCAGAATAGGGAGCTCAAAGTTCTTGCGGAATTCGGACTCGGTGCCGAGGACGTTCGGGATGGCAAAGCTGAGGAGAGCAAAGTACTCTGTGTATCGAGGAGCAACCAGAGCATGGATGTCAGCACTTGCGCTGCTCCGACAGTGGCGACGCAAGCGGTGGTGCCAGCGAGCCGAATTGTTGCTCACCAGTCAGGTCGTTCTGTAGCACCAAGGTTGTCATTGTGAAGAGCATAGAGCGACCGAGCAAGATGAAAACGAGGGTCAGCTCGATGTACAAGCAATCGAGAGCTCATCGGCGCGCCGCAAACCGCTCTGGGCACCATACCTGAATGGGCGTGCCCGAAAGAATTACTCGACGCTTGGCATTCAGGGCATTGAGACCCTGGTATGTCTGGGAGTCGGCATTCTTGAGCCGATGTCCTTCATCGCAAAGCAGGAGGCCAATCTCGGTTTTGCACAGGATTTCCGAATAGGCTCGCAAGCTTTCGTATGATATGATCAGGACTGCCGTTGGACAGAGGATGCTGTCAGCCGTGCAAGCCGCGGCTGCCGTACTATCTCGCGGACTCTACTTCGTCGACGCAGATGCGCACCTGGCTGGGTAACCGCGCGGCCCTTGGCACTGGTAAACTGCTCCAGATCCTTGATGGTTTGCTCCTTGGTTGTTTTGTTGTCGCACGCAAAAGGACGAATGGAATCGGCGCCGAGCCACTTCTTGAGTTCGTTGGCCCAGTTTCGGACTAAACTGGATGGACAGACAATGATGGCCTTATCGATCGTCGGGCGGCCGGGCTCGGGAGACTGTCGCAGCAGCGTCCAAAGCAGTGTGATACCTGGTGGTTACGGTCGATCGCGAATCAAGAAAGGACAGCGGTAAGCCCAACGAATGCCACATGACCAGACAGAACAAGGCTGCACAATCGAGGACTGGATCCGTACACTGCAAAGTCTTGCCGAGACCCTGTAAAGTTGGGAGCGACGATATTGAGCAACTTTGTTGAACCGTGATGGCACCGAGCAGCCCGACCTGACGACCCACAGCCACGAAGTACCCAGGAGCAACGAGCAACGAGCAACGAGCAAACCCTTACCATTTCATCGGCCATGATGCATCCAAACGCCCCCGCGACCTTCATGCCTGTGGTGCACTCGTACAGGAAGCGCACACCCTCGATCTGATGTGGGCGAAGGACCCGAGCGATCTTGGGATCGATCACCACGTGGACCTCCTGCTTGATTTGCTTCTTGGGATCTGCGGATGACTTGAGCGACTCCAGGATCTCGACGGCCGAGTAAACCTTGGGATGGTACAGCACAATCGCATCGTCCGCCTCGGGATCGTGCAATGGGCCCTTCAGAACGTTGGTTTTCCGGCGCGCGCCCAGACAAGTCCCGGCCTTCATGCATCCACTTGGGCGATTTGCATCGGTGACAAAGGTTGGAGCCTGATCGCAGACGCGAATCGACAAAGAATGCAGACGAGATGGATGAGCTCAGGCAGCGCGAACATGAGAGGCAGCGTTTGGATGACCGTTGGTTTGCGGGGGGCATCGAGCCCCGCGTGATGGGAGCCGAGTAGAGGACTCAGAGAGCAGCATGCACGAAATGGCTGCGTTCGACTGGAGGCAGCAGCTGGACAAGTTGCTGTCCTATATTGGTCCGGCTCATGTACCTTGAAGGGTTTAGCGAGCGGGGCCCGCAACTGGCCGTTATCTGCGCCGGGGCTGGGATGCGGGGAGTTTGCGCTTCGGAGGGGCGTCAGCGGGCCCCGGCCTCCGGCAAGAGTGATTTTACCCCCAGGGAGAGTCGGTCGGCCAGATCGAATCGGCGTCGATGCCACGCTGGGTTTGGGCTTGGGTTTCTTCACGACCGGTCCATCGTCATCGTCGTCGTCACCACGACCGTAATCGGACCCTGCGTCGTCCATGTCCTCGTCCGCCTCATCGTCGTCTGCATCGCTGTCGGAGCCGCTGGAGAGGGTGCTCGCTTTCCTCTTTCTCTTTGTTTTTGTGGGCGAGACTGGCGAGTTCATGATCGACGGGATGGTCGGGGCGGGCACGGGCTTGAGGGGTGTCCTTTGGACGAGCGATCGACGCATGGCTGGCAGGTTAAAGCCGCTCGGTGCCCTATACTGTGCGTGCGTGTGTGTGCAGTGCAGTGCTCGGCAGGCCAAGAGAAAGACCTCGCAGAATATGGGCCTGCTCGGGAGGAGAGTCGGCAGCTGGGACCCAAGACGGCGAAGGCGAGGGCGAACGGCAGAAAAGCAAGGCCGACAGTGGGAGGGGCGGGAACGCGGTTTCTTTTGAAGACCAAGGACAACTTCGCAGCTGGTCCTCGTTTCGCCGTCGTTGCTGGCGCCTGCATCGATGCTGCGAGGGCGGGACGGCAGTCGCCAGCGGGAGGATTGCTTGCTCTCTCTCCCCTCTGTCGCATGGGCAGTATCACCGGATTACTCGGATGATGCCGCTGGATCTCGTTCGAGAGCCGAGCTGCTTCCGCTATTCAACACACCACCCCAAGACTGGCTTGCCATCCCGACGCCCACTGCCAAAGCTCGGCACCCAGCGCATCGCCATCAGTCATGGCGACCCAGAGGGCAGCGCTCAGCCCTGGGACATGCGCCATGGCATCGTGCTCTATTGGTATTGATGCCGAGTCTGCCGAGTCTGCCGAGTCTGCCGAGCCAGATCAGAGAAGGCACCCAGGGCCGTGATGCAGAGCAGCAGGCTCGAGATGCAGGGCGGCAGAGTCGCTGGTCCAAAGGTGTCCGTCAGGGGTCTGAACCGAAAATGCGCTGTCTGGCAGCGTTGTAGAGCTCCTCCTTCTCCTTGAGCGTCCTCGTTGGTGCCGATGCAGCAGACACTGGTGTTGGCCGGGGATTAGCGACAGGATCGCGCTTCAGGATCTTCACCTGGGAGCCAAGGAACGGGAGGCAATACGACGGTGCGGATCAGCATGGATGCCGGGATGCCGGGATGCCGGGATGCCACGGAGCCCTGGTCAAGGCAACAGACCTGGGGGACGTAGGCTGTTCGGGAATCGCCGTTGACTTCGATGACGGTTATGGGGCTGATCGCAACGAAGCGGTACGGGACGGAGGTAAGAGCCCGGGCAGTAGCACGCATCACACTGCTCGGCGACCATCATGGATTGCTCCTTGGACGCCGATTCACAGTAGCGGGTGTTGATCCCAGCCGCGGAGCCCAGCCGACTGGATAATTCGCCTGCATTGTATCAGCGTACCTTGAGCCGATCGCCGGCCGAGCCTGGGGCGGCGAGGGCTTTGGAGGAATGGGAACCGCGATCGGCTCTGCCGACTCCCACTTGCGGATCGCAAGCGATTATCCGCATGGCAGTGGTCCGGTCGCCAAAGCCAGAGTGCAAGGTTTCGAGGCAAGCCATAGCGAGCGGGGAGGGGCCGATTCGACAGCGGCAAATGCGACCGATTCGACAGCAGCAAATACGACCGATTCGAGCTGCGGTTAGCTACGGTATCGGATCGTGGTGCTGGGAGGCCGCTGAGACTGCGAGACTTACGTCTTCCTCGTCGGTCGCCATTCTCTGGGCAGCGTCTGGAGGTCAACCAGGGCACTCGGGCAGAAGAGAGATGAATGGTGTTGGCAATGGGCCGCCTCGCGTCCATCTCTTTCCGAGGCCTCGCCGAGACCGAGAAGGCCGATCGTCGAGGACTTCTCGTCCATGTCGAATGCATGTTTGGAACGAAAGGGACGCCGTTCCCTCAGTCTCGGATACGCCATTGTCCACCATGGCCAAGTGTGAGCGATTCGTCAGACCGACTATCTCGATGTCGAACTGGTTGAGTGCATCCCGCATCAAGGCACTGGGTTCCCCAAAGCCAGTAACAGGCAGCGGTTGATGTGGAAGAGCACAAATGGAACACTGCCCAGCTTTGCTCTGAGCAAGCTGTACGTCTCGCAGCAGCCCGCTTGCTCCCAGTACCCTCCAAGGACTGCCGCCTACACCCACGACGCACCCTCTGAGTGCCATCAGTTTTGTCGCTATATTGACAAGACTCGATTTCCTAGCGACGCTTGACAGAATCGACGGTGGTATTTGCCCCGAAAGAGAGCAGGTGTCTTTGAAGTACCCGGTGCATCTATTTGTTGGAGAGCGCCGGTTCTGAGCGAGACAGCGGCGACTTGCCGAGAGGCTGGGGGCTGTCGTCGCCGTCGTCGTCTTTGATGCTGACGGCCAGCGCCATGAGTGAACCCTTGAGCTTGGTCGGCGTCGGGAACTCGGGAGATCTCGCCGAGCCGTACTTTGTGGGGGTGCCTGGGATGGTCGCCGTTGATGGCGTCGACAGCGCCGACGGCAGCTTGGTCAGCCCGGATCGCTTCATCCAGGTGTTGACATGGCCGCAGATGCTGTCCTCGTACCCAAACCAAAAGTGGTCCACATCGGACATGACGATGCTCTCCTTGGGCTCGGGGAAGCCGTCGATGAAGCTCGTGTGCGACGATATGCCCGTGAAGTTGTCCTTGTTGCCCATGAGAAAGAGCTTGGGGACGCTGGTGGAGGCGAAGGCGTCGGTGAACTTTTTCGAGTTGAAGAAGGTCAGGGCCCAAAGCACTTGATGACAGAGGACGGCAAGCGTGGTGGATGGGTTGCGTTTTGGCATGTGAGTATGGGCGCCGCGCCTGCCAAGTTGAGCCGATGCAACAAACCAATATCGCAGACAGCCACTTTGCCAGCGCAATCATCTCTGCGAGTGCCATCACCTACCCGAGCTGATTCGATAATGCCGATCGACACGCGTTTCGATGAGCAAATGATATTAACCAAGAGCCCGCATTGCCCACGACGATAGCTTCAAGACCCGACCCGAGCAGACCCAGACGCCAACAAACGACAGGCCATCACGCTTACCTTGGATAGCTTATGGAAATGATGCCTGCTAGCTCCTTGATCTCCGAGGCCGCGGCAGATGCGGCCACCGAGCCATACGAGTAGCCCTGTTGATATTGTCGTGGCGCCAGAGGGCATTGAGAGTCGAGTCGTATTGCTCTGAACCAGCAGTCTGGGAAGGAAGGCACGACCCAAGGAAGCAGCAGATTTGCTGTCCAGACTCCCACACCCCACCCTTTCCAATAGCTTACGCAGACAACGAATCGCCGCGGGGCCAGATTGACTTGGTCTCGGACATACTTGTAGATGGAGAGGACATCTTCGATCTCGCCCATGCCTCGGGCGGTGGTGCGTCCCGATGACTTGCCAACTCCTCTGGAAGCGTCCAAGGTCACAGAGATGGAAACAGGTTCAGGCACAAGGAGCGACACAAAACGCAGCACAACATGTCGTCGACAGTGGCCGCGAAAGAGTTGGAACCACGGACGCCTTAATGGTGTCGCTGAAAGCAAATGGCAGCGCACCTGAAGTTGAAGCGAACAGTCATGTAGCCCTGGGTCGCAAAGTTCTCAAACAGCGCACGGATGACGTTGTTGTCCATGTTGCCGCCGAGCTGCAGTGCCGAACGTGTCCATAGAGACCTGGGTTAGCTGGGTGAAAGCTGGCGCCGGTTACGAGCCATCCGCACTCGCCATCCGCACTCGCCATCCGCACTCGCCATCGAGTCCAGCGCAATGCGAGAGGCAGCGGTCGGGAGCCGATACATACGGGGCCGTAGGGATGCGCCAGGAGAATGCATCTGGAAGCACGAGTGCATTTCGGCTGCGATTAGTGGGTAAGCCGCGAGTGGATGGTCTGGGCCTGCGTTGCTCGGGAGAGGACGCATCGCAGCAGAGCCGAGGAAGAGAGGCAGACCCACTCACGTATCTCTGTTCTTGGACCCATGGAAGATCTTGGTTTCGAGCGACACCTTGCTCGAGGACGGAATGAATGCGATTTCCTCTCGCAGCGCCAGACGGGCCGACTTTGTAGGGGAGTTCATGGATGCGGACAGCGACGGCGCAGACGACGGAAACGAAAGGGATGACGACAGACACGAGGACGAAAAGGACGAAAAGGATGAAGCCAAAGCCGAGGGCGAGGACGAGACTGGGGTTGACGACGAAAGGGATAACGATGAAAGGTTGACGACGAAAGGGCACGAAGACGACGAAGCCGACGAAGACGAACCGGTTCGTGGCTGCTGGCCGGGCTCTGTCTGTTGGACCGGGCCTGGTCCTGGAGGTGGCGCACCAAGACAGCCAAAGATCGGCCTGAGCGGTCCGAGCCGGGCCGCTGTGCGATTGTTGCGGCCCTTGGCATGTCTGGGAGAGACGAAGCGCACTCGATCCTGGACGAGCGGGAACGATATGGGATGTGCAGAGCATAATAGAGTAGAATCGAACAGGACAGCAGAGCAGAATAGAACATAGCCGAGCACAACAGAGCAGACCACTGTCCCCATGAGCGGATATCGACCCCCCCCCAAAGTCATTCCTTCTGCTGACCAACAGCTCGCAACCCGGCGTATCGCCACGGCCATCTTGTTCCCATTCTCTTTGCCACTCTCGCATTCATCGCCTGCTTGGGGGGGGGGTGATTGGCAACTGAGCCGTACTCAATCAACGAGTGGTTATCCCCCCCCATCCTCCCAACCACCACCTTTCTCATCGCCACTCCCGCCGCAATCGTGGCTGCTTTCGTTCTGCATTTGTCCGTTTCGATCGAAGCCGTCGGTGAATCCGGAGGGCCATCGCCGAGGAAGGGGGGGGGATCGCTTTCGTGAGGTTCATTCACCACGAATGCGTGGCTCGATGTTGCCTTCGAATGCCGTCGGTACTTGTCCCCAAGCGATATCACAAAGGCAGTTGGATCTTTGAAAAGCAATCTCTCTTTCTCTCTCTTTTGCTTGCAGAGCTCCAAACGAGCCACGCAATACAGGACACCCAAACGTCAGGCGTTGCCACAACCCACCATAGCAGGCTCGTCCAGAGCAGGCAAACCAGCCCACCTCGATCCAGAACATATCGTACCCAAGCAGCCTCGAAGCTGGGTCCGCAGATCTTGTCCGCAGCACCCAAACCCCTGGACCTGAACCTGAACTTGCAGTGGTCCCTCGGCAACCTGACACAGCTCTCCAAGCCTACAGTCGACTACTCCAGTCGGCGCATACATCCCACCCACAACCGTCCCACCGCCAGCGCCGCCATACTCTTGGCCCCAGCGGCGCTGTTGCCCATCTCCTCGGCAGCCGGCCAGCTCTCTTGTGTCGAGGAATATCCGCTTATCACCGTCAGTCTGGAAATGGACATCCAGTCGGAGAACCGTGAGACCAGTCCCGAGCAACTTCTCCAAAGCAGACTCCAGCTGCCGCGGCTCAAGCCCATCCGCCCCTCGGCACTGTATCTCAAGGACCCGGCCGCTGTTCGGAGTAGCCCAATGCTCCAGGCTCCGAACGAGCCACCCTCGCCCAAGATGACCTCGGCAAGCGAGCGAACGTCGCCTGTCCGCCCCGAGCTTCCTCCCCTGGTGGCACTCGACCGATACGCCCGAAGCAAGAGCCTGCAGGGCTCCAAGTTCCAGTTGTCGAACCCAACAGGCCACAGCAAGCTCACTCGCAAGGTCAGCGGCGATCACGGGTTGACAGTCAGGAAGAGCATGGAGCGGATCCACGAGCACCGAGTGGGCCTCAGCAACCTCGACCTTGAAGGCATTCTCCACGGCCGATATCACAACAAGCCCAACAGGATCCTCAAGAACGCCAACCTCCAGGGCAAGGGTGCCAGCGTCCCAAAGCTGAGTCTGCAGTCTATCGAGAGCCGGCCGCCGGCCACGACCAAGTCTGTTGCCAAGACCGAGGCCGAGACCGGTGCCGGTCGCTCCACCAAGCAGCACTTGCGAACGGTCTCGACACAGTTTCTGAGGGACGTCGAGCAGATTGTGTCTCCCACGTCGCTGCTGCACTTTGGCGAGGCCGATCGGGAGCAGGACTACGAGCAGGGGCGGCAAGACTCGGCCATGTTGTCCCCAGAACGACGCAACGCCAACCCTCTGTCCATGCCAGCCGACCCGGCCGATGAGGCCGACTACCTCCGACAGATGCGGCGGGCCTCGAAAGAGTCGTCGCTGTCGGCGGTGCTGCCCCCGCGGTCGAGACAAGCATCGTTCGAAACCGAGGAGCGGCTGTCGATGCACGGCAAAGGGCATGGACACCCGATCGAAACCGACTGGGTTGGGCGCTGGAAATGGACCGTGGGAACGGTCCTGTGCTTGTTGCGGTGGGTTGCGGCAGTCAGTCCCTTCTCTGCGAATCCCGCCTCGATCGAAGAGCTTCTGCAGCGGTGTGTCGCTGCTCACCAGGCAAGTGTCCCGGATCGGCCGGAGGAATGCCCCGATGGCCCCGAGCAGCTGGCCGTCGTCGCCGATTCGTACATCCAGCAATGCAAGACGGCAGCACGGATCCGGTGTTTGTTGGAGGCCCCACGAGAATACCAGCCCCGAGGTCGGCTTGCCGAGCTCCAGAAGCTGATGCAGACGCTGCCGGCATTCGCCTGTCTGCCAAACTCGACGCAGCACACGATTCTGGAACTCATGGAGTTTGTCCACGTCGACCGAGACACCCGCATCATCGCCAAGGACCAGGACGCAACGCAGCTGTACTTTGTCCTGAACGGCGTCTGTGCAATCACCCACTCAGCCGACCGGCCCTATGTCGACGACGCCCCGATCGAATACCGCGCCGGCGATGCCGTTGGAGAATTCGCCATGTCGATCCGGCGAGAAAGGCGGCGGACGACGGTCCAGAGCCGCACAGCCGTCGACATGGTTGCGGTGCAGATCCCCGAGTTTATCGCCGCTTTCACGGACACGAACAGCGTCAGCGTCCTCGAGCGAGTCTCGCAGACTGCGGACAAGTTGCGGTCGATGCAGGCCCTGCAGCAATGTCATCCGCTCATGCTCCGGAAGCTGGCGCTGGTCTCGCAGGTGGTGACGATCGAGTCGCCCGGACAGGTGGTGGTGCAGTGCGGCCTCGAGGCTCGCAACAAGCTGTATTTCATCACCAAGGGCCAGTGCAAGGGCCAGCGCTGGGTGCCGTTTGTTCGCTCCAAGCCAAAGGGCAGCGGCAGCCAAAAACAAGCTACGGCCGGTCCGCTGCGGCCGTTCTACTGCAACCAGAAGGTGCCCGACAACGAAGAGCTGATGTTTGAGAACCTGTCGTTTGGCAACCTGCAGGCTGGCGAGCACTTTCCTCGGCTGGTGGTGCTGCAGTCCGAGCTCAACCCTCTGCGGACGCAAGGCATCGCCAAGTCCAAGATAACATTTGCCCTCAACACCCTGCTATCACTCCGGACGCAGTCGCAGAGCTTCTTGCGGCTGCTGAACGACACGGGACCGATGTCCTCAAGCATTCCTTCGGCCATGCCCGAGACCGAGGAGACATTTGCCGGGCTGGACATGTCTTTTGTGTCGCTGCAGCGAGTGGAGCTGATCCAGATCGACCGCCTCGACTTGCTCAACATTGCGGACGAGGAGACCATCTATAGCCTGCTGGAGAACAAGGGATGTCTCGGCACACCGCTCGAGACCCTTCAGATGGAGTTCACCAAGAAGCTCGCCTGGGAAGAGATTCGCCGGGAAGCCGGGCATTCGGAGCATCTGCTGGTATGACGAGGGTGCTGCTTCCCTCGAATCCGTGCGGCGAAGCGACCGTTGCCACCTCGGATGCGTTTGATGGACCATCGGTGTCGACTCATGCACATTCGTTGGCGTGTGAATACAAATCGCACTGTGATCCATGGCTGTGGAGATGAGCAGCCGTCCATGAGGGATGTTGTTGGCGGGCATTTGGCGGGCGAGCCGGGCTCAGGGATTGTTTGCCGAGGCGGGAAGCGGGATATTGGACCGAGCCCGTCAAGGTTGCAAGCCAAGGCGGCATGCGCCTGGCTGGGAGTGCTATACTGCCGACGATCACAAAAGCCCACTAACAGCATCTGGCGAGTTTCAGATCTGTCGCACGGAGTGATTTCGGGCGATTGTCGGACTCTGGCAAGAGGGGAAGAGTCGCTATCATTGCCACCACAACCACTGCTGGCCGCAACGGCTCCAAGCAGCGATCCCGAGTAATAGTCCCAAGCAACAGTCCCAAGCGACTGTCCAAAGCAACTGTCCGAAACAGCAGCTATGGCACAGCCTTTCAACCTCAAACTGCCTCGCTCCTCTATCCTGGTCCTTACGATCGTCAGCGTTGTCATCCTGTGGGTGACCCTGACAAGCGAAGGGGCGTGGATGCTGCGGTATGTCGACAACAGCGGCATAACTGTTCCACTTGCCGGTGCTGCAAAGGACCCTCGGATTGCCATCGTCATGTCGTGGTCTCCAAGCACCCGCGACCGAAATGTCTCGAACTACCCACGCATGGTCGTCGAATCGCTTCAGCTCAAGAGGAACTATGCCCGGCGACACGGCTATGCGTTCTTTGTGGACGACGTCATTGACGAGACCCGGATTGTGCCGTTCGGGCGATACACAACCATAGTGTCGCTCATGAACTTTATGCCTACACTGTGAGTACCGAGCGAATGAGTGAAGGGGAGGGAGATGGGCGAGGTGTTGATGCAGCGAGAGTGTGGGTGTCTGTGTAGAAGGATGCAATGGGAGAAACGGCTGAGGCGGCGTTGGCATCCTGGTTACTTCCATCGGACTGACATTGACCCATCTCTGTCGATCTGTCCTCGAATGCAACTCTCTGGCCCCTGGAAATGACAACGGCAACGGCAACGGCAACGGCAACGGCAACGGCAACGGCAACGGCAACGGCACCGGCAACGGCGACGGCGACGGCAACCCCGCTGTGGTAGCGAGTGGATAGTGTACCTGTACGTTGGCAGATGGCCGATTGCAGCGAGATCTTGGCGCGGGATGTGACGACGATGACGCAAAGATTATGGCAAGGGTGGCTGGGAGGACAAGATGGGAGGACAGGGAAAGCAGACCAAACGGACGCACAGCGGCAGACGAGATGATCGAGATGGAGGAGCGGCGATGGAGATAGCGGCTGGCACGGAGTGGAGAACGCACCCGGCCTCGATGGCTCACACGAATCGTCCTCGTCATGCCGTGCCGTGCGTATCGCACCGGCCCTCTCTCCCCACGACACGACTCTGATTGCGTTACTCGCACCATCCGCTGCCAGGGACATGGACACCATCATCATGCGACCGAGCCTGTCGCTCGAACAACTGATCCTCGCACCGTACATGCAGCAGCCGGGTCTGCACCCGGCGCATGAGGCTGCGGACGGCACGGGCACCGACACCGACACCGACACCAGCACCAGCACCAGCACCAGCAACAGCAGCAGCAGCAGCACCGTCGTTACAGCAATGCCCCCGCGTCCCTTTGCCGAAATCGATTTGATCGGCAAGCGGGATTGCTGGGGGGACCTGAACGCCGGGGTGCTGTTCCTGCGGAACTCGGACTGGACGGTGGGCGTGCTGCGAGCAGCGCTGAACTACAAGCACAGGCACCCCGACTCCAACTTCAACGACCAGGATGCGCTCGCGGCGGTGCTCCAGGCCCTGCCGGAAGCCCAGCGCAGGCACTTTATCCTGTCGCCCGATCATGCCCGATTCAACAAGTACATGCCGGGCATCTGTGGCGGCGGGCACGACTGGCACTGGTACACGCCCGGTGACTTTCTGGTGCACTTTCCAGGCGACGACCGGTCGTCTGGCCGATGGGAGCAGATGGTCCAACAGCTGTATCTCGAGGAACCCGCGGTGCTGCCGGAGCTGCTGGACGGGCTGGAAGCCGAATGGCACGGCAGCGCCGAATGGATCAACCGGCTGAAAGAACGGCCGGGCCGTGCACGACAGGCCCGACACGGCGACGCCGCAGCCGAGATGAGGCGCCAGGGGAGACAGCGCTGGGCGAGACAAGGGACGGCCATCGATGATGGCCATGAACGCCGACAATGGGAATGAGGGACAGCCGGCGCAGGCGAGAGTGGGTATGCCTGGCCAGGTTTGGGGGGAAGGGCCGTGCGTGGAAGCCGGCGAGTGGAGAAGACCGCAGCGGGCGTTTGTCAGCGGGCGGAAGGGTCGCATGGCGAGCCCACGATTCGGACGACGGCGGGTCGGCCTTTGCAATACACGGGCTGCACGCAGGCCAGCTGCAGAGAGAACATGGGGACAGGATCGAGGCGGACGGGGTGGAGCCGAGTGGGGTGGATGCAGAGGCCAGAGCAAAGAAAATAAAGCGAGTGTTAGCAAGAGCCGGCAAGAGTTACAACATGTTAGCAAGAGTTAGCAAGAGTTACAACATGTTAGCAACTAGCAAGAGCAAGCACCAGCCAGCAACAGCCGGCCAGAGGGACCGGGAAAGGACTGGGAAAGGACTGGGAACTGCATTTGCCGGCCATGGAGATGCACACTGCCGGCCATGGAGGCGCACATGCACCGGCAGCGGCGCTGCAGACCACATGGCCACGCCCTCCGGCAAATCCAACTGCACCTTGGCTGGCACGGCTGAACTTGCCTGCGTTCTTGGAGATACATGAACATCCAGATGGGCGACTGGGACGGGAGAGAGTGTGTGGGAAACAGAGGCAAGCGCACCGCAGGGCACAGCACGGCTTGGGTTGTACTGGCAACATGACCATAGACACGACCACGGCCATGACCATGACCATGACCATGACCATGACCCGGGCGACAAGACATCAAAGCGATCGATAACGGATTTCACTCTCAGACATGTCCCCAGCCCCGCCCCCACAAACAACGAAGGACTTTTCCCAGAGCACCCAAACAAGACCGGGCACTGCCCAACGCCCAAACCAGATCGAGCGCTCCCCAGAGACCACCCCCCCGCAACAAGCCCGCTGGCGCTGGCCGTCACACCAAGATCCATGACCGCCCAGCCAGGCGGGCAGTCACGCTGTCTTGCTCCCCCTCTCCCCCCCAACAGGACCCGCCACGCGCGCAGCTGCCCGGCACAGCCCTCTGTGTGCCCGCCGACACAAGCCCGCTCACGCGGACACACTGCGCGCCGCCTTGTGGGTGTGTGCGCAGCACTGCATCGGCCCGCGTCCGCCCGCGTCCGCCCGCGGCCACCTTCCTCGCCCCCCCGCGCCGCCGCAGCCGCGGGCCAATCATCGCGCGTGCCCGCAGGGGAGGGCAAGGGCTCGTCGCGGCTGCGTCGCCCGATAAACCTTGGCGCCGCGCCGCAGAGCTCCGTGCTGCCCTTTGTCCGCTGACAAGATCTGCTGCGCACGCGATTAGCCTGAACGCGCAGGCAGCCAGTGCGTGGCCGGATCCAGCCGCACCGTGGCCGGCCGCCGTCTGGCTGCTGCCCTCACGCCCAGCGCCCGTTTGGCCCACCGGGCCCAGGACTTTGCACCGCCGTTTTTATACCTGGCTCGTCGGCGCTGCGGTCCTTCGCCGCCCACTGATTCTATATTCCGTCTTCCGGGGCATTGCCTGACTGTCTTGCCTCTGCCCTTGGCATCCCCTCCCCTCTGCGATCCGCCTGCTGCCCGACTGTGATCCGCTTGCGATCCACTTGTTTTTCTCTCTCTCTCTCTCTCATTCTCTCTCGCTCGCTCTCGCTCGTGCCTATTCCGTCAGCTCAACTCGGCTCGGTTCGGTTCAGCTCGGCTCGGCTCATCTCAACTCGGCTCGGCGCACTTTCGTTCGCCGTATTCTCCATCTTGCTCGCCCTGCTCCGGCATCTGCTCCCGTTACCGATTAGACCCGCGAGGCTCCAGCATCCGCCCCTCGCTCTGGCTCGGCATCGCCTTCCTGCTCCACATACACCCTATGAACCAATAAAGCAGCGCGCTGCCCTCTCCCGTTTCCTCCGGGGCCGCTGCACGGTCCTCTGTCCGGATTCCCATCCCCTTCTGATTCCTAAGTATACATGTCCTGGTTCTAGCCCAGCTATTCTCTGGCCTCCACCTTGACTCTGTTCCTGGCCCGAATCCCGCTGCTCTCTCGCCAGACCCTCTTCTGGCACCTCCACCCCCCTCCCAGCGTCGCTTCTCAAGTTGCTGCTCCCACCACGTTACTCGTCGGCCTTCTACCCCACTATCCAAGCCGCTGGCAGCCGATCGACCTGATCCCGCTGCCAAATACACCCATCCCGCTCTCCGTCGTCTGCCCCTATTCTCGATTCGACAATGTTTCCGACCTCGTCCTTGCCCGACGAAACCTTTGCCGGCATGATCGCCAAGCTGTCGGCTGACCTTGCCAAGCTCCGCCAACTCGACCGTGCAATCCAGGACGAAATCACCAAAAAGGAAATCCTGCTCAAACTCTACATCCAGAAGGAGCAGGATCTTGTCCAGAAAAAACAGCTTCAGATCGAAGGCAACATCCGCCACTTTCTCAGTGGCACGGCTGCCTCCATCATCCATCCCGCGGTCCATCACCCCGGCTCGGCATCGGCGTCGGCATCGGCGTTGGCGTCGTCATCGTCCGCAAACATCCACGGCCAGTCGCTATGGGATGCCTCGCCGCCCCCGGCTCCGTCCATGAGCTCCAACGAGTCCAGTATCTTCCCCGGTCCCATCGACATCTCCATGCTTTCGCCTTCGTCCCAAGTCATCTTCAGTCCGTCTGTGGCCAATCTGCCGCTCTCGGGCACGCCCAACTTTTCGAATCTGTCGCAGAGTCTTCCACTCTTCGACACATCCATGGATCTCACGCCCCCGCCCTCCGCCAATATCGGCATCGTCGGCAGCAGTAACAACACCAACAGCAACAAGAACAGCGGCAATCCTGGTCCCATCCTCGTCGGCACTGCCTTCAACAACTCACCGTCGATCATCGGTGCCTCGGCTTTCACGCCTGCAAGTCCGTTCACTCCTTACCCGTTGGTCTTTGATTCTGCCCCGCATCCCGCAAGCGGGGCCATGCTTCAGGGATTTGACGAGGCCATCGCCAGCGCCCCGATATCGCTGTTTTCGACCTCGAGCTTCCTGCAGTCCGAAGACCTGTCGCTCCTGTCCGACGATCCCGTCATTCCCAACGATCCAGTCGTCCCCAGCCATCCAAACACCGAGCCAAGCTCGGCCGAGACGCTGTTTATGCCCATTCCGGCCTCCAGCTGCAGCACGCCCGAGGAACACGCCGATTCGCCATCCTTTTCGCCTTCCAACCAGCCGTACGTTATCGATGTCGACATGTCGTCTCAGTCCCAGTCCCAGTCTCAGTCCCAGTCTCAGTCCCAGTCTCAGTCTCAGTCTTCGAGATCGCTGCCGTCGTCGCAGATGAGCGTTGACCATCCGCTGGATCGAGTCGACATCCGCAAGCGCAAGAACGTCACTGAGGTTGTTGGTCGCTGTGGCCAATGTTTCCGGACCCTGGCCAGCCTCTTCATCCACGGGATCGAGCTCGAATCCGAGAGTCTGTGCAGCGTCGATTTGTTGTGTCCATCGTGCGAGGCCACCGCCAAGCGCTCCTCCGGCAGCACCGAAAACTCGCCGCGGCTGCCTGTCGACTCACCTCAGCAGAGCTCCTCTGGCTTGACCAAGCGGTCCCGAAAGCGGCTGCTGCCCGCGCAGAGCCCGGTGCTGATTTGCTACGTCTGCAAGAAGCACTGCGCCACGGGCACCGTCCAAGTCGTCGACACCGAAAACTCGGGCAAGAAGTTTGCAAAGATCGAGGACGGCTCGGCGGCAGCGGTCGCCGGCAGCTCCGCCTCGCTGCCGCAGCTCGAGTCCAAGATATCCGTCAGCATCGTCACCAAGGACGTCCTTCACAAAACCGAGATCATATGTCAGCTGTGCACGCAAAAGTACCGACTCTGCACCGACTGCGGCGGCGGTGGCAAGTGGCGAACGGGCAAATGGCGCCCCGTCGAGATGTTTGCCAAGGGCCGCAAGACCTGCAACCTGCAGCACGCCCGCATCGGCAACGTCATCTCGGAATACAGTCTGTGCACGCTGCCGAGCAGCGCCGGCGGCACCCCCAAGCCCTTCACGACCGACGAAATCGTGGCTCTCTTTGAAAACACCGTCTACAACTTTCTCGGATCACCCTCCATCCTCGAGAACTGCCCACACTTCCCAACCTTCCAGGCGATCCACAACCGCATCAGCCAGCTGCGCAACGAACTCACAAACCTGCTCGAGCGTCCGCCCTCGACGGGCCATCTGCGCTACATGATCACCTGTGCAGGATACCAGACCAAGGGCCGTCGCTCCAAGAAGGGGCCCAGCGGCAACGGCAGCGGTGTCGAGGCATCGTCGGCTTCGGATCGCAACAAGCCCGAGAACGTCGTGATGGATCCGGCCCTGCGCAAGGTCCTGGCCTTCCAGATCCTGGAGGTGAACGTCGACACCCAGTGCGCCGAGATTTCCCTGGGCGAAGACTATCGAAGCGACCCAGCCTTCACCAACTTTTTCCGCCACACTCTCACGCAGCTCATCGACTATGTGCAGAGCCACTTGCGCGAGCACGGACACAAGCCGATCCGGTATCTGTGGCTGACGACCCGGCTATCGTCGGGGTCCAACAGCCCCTGGTTCAGCGCCCTGATGCGATACGGATTCAACTTCAGTGGCGACTTTATCCAGCAGCAGAGGCAGAAGCTTGGGATCGTTGTCGAGCCGGCCTGGTTCGTCAACAGCTACATCCCGGCCTCGATATCGGCGCAGTTCAGGAGCTATGTTGTCGAAGTCGGTGTCTACCTAGAAAACCTGGCGAAGGAAGAAAGCAAGTAAACCCAGCAACCTTAGTCGATGATTCCAATGCATTCGATGCATTCGATGTTTTCGATGCTTTCGATGCTTTCGATGAACAAGCGGTCGTCTTGATCGGTCAGTACTGTGGGTTAGTGTTTCCGTCAGTGCTGCGGTCAGCGTTGCCGTCAGAGCTACTACCATCAGCACTGCACACACATACAACTACCGCCACAACCCACTATGGCATCAGCGTCGATTGTCGATCATCTTGTCGTGGTGGCAGCGTCGCCATGCTCCCTGACACCACCCACCCACACACACCCCGCACACACCCCACACACACGCAAGCGAAACGATGGGAACGCTATCAAGGGCCCTTCTACCAAGCAGCGACTCTACCGGCATGAACCGTGGATGAGCAAAGTCGTGCACCGAAAGGCCGTGCTCCATTCCCCTTTCTTTCTCTCTTTCCTTCTCGATCTCTTTCTTCCTCTCCCGTTCTGTCTTCTCTTGGAAGAGTGCCCCTGTTGATCGCTCTTTGCTTCTGCGCCCCACGACCCACCATCGCTGGTTCCGTTCATGGCTTACCCCTTTGTATCTTGACGTTTCGTGCTGTCTTGGCTGCCCATATCTGTCTTCTTGAATAGGATTGTGCTTGAGTGTCTATCTGCCTGTCAAACTCATCCAACTTGTGTGTTTTAGTCTCTCTGCTTTGCTCTTGTGCTTATCTGCGTCAGGGTGGCGTGAGGGAAACAGCAGGAGTCTTGTTAGTTCGCCAGCTGTTGGACTAATGCCGTCGCCATCGATAATCGGCTGCGGCTCAAAACTCAAGGAGGCAAGGCGTCCATCCAGGATCGAGCAATCGTCTGTGAAGAACGGCTCGACCAAGAGCCCTGCGAAGCCGGGCTGATCCCCTGCTCCAGCCGGCTGCTGACTCGACTCCGCCTCTCTCCCCACCCCCCATCGTCTCCCATGCTGCATTTTGTTGCCGCTCTCCTCTCGATAACCCTTGGCACTTACTTGTGGTTACCCGTTTGGCGAACCTGCGGGTGCTCAAGCACTCGAGCATGTCCGAGTGCTCTTCTCCCTCCCTCCCTCCCTCCTTTCTCTTTCTTTCCCATTGCCTCTTGTCTTTGCTTTGTACCTTTTTTCCTTTCTTTCTTTCTTTCATTCTCTCTTATGAGTGCTCCTTCTTATTCTTGCGATCTATCTATTCATCTCCCTGTGTTTGTGTGTTTCTATCGATCTTGTCGTGGCAGCAAATGTACTCTTCTTCCGCTCTACGTGATGAGGACTGTTGATAGAGAATGTGAGTGTGCGTGGATCCACCGCGGAAACATCGCCATCACTGGGAGGGCAGCGAGAGCAGGAGCAAAGTGGCAAGTCAATGTGGGAGGGAAAGAAGGATGGCGATGAGCCAGACTGGAAGGAATAAGAGCTTGAGGTACTCGACGGCGATGGCCGAGAGATGCCGTCCAGGCGCAGGCTGGTTCGGCCGAGAAACCCCCAAGGCTGGATGGATTCCCAGGGAGTCTGGGATCGAGAGGATGGGGTGGTGGAAGGGACGGAGTGGTGAGAGGCAAAGCAGGCACCCAGACGACGACGGCGAAGCAGGGCGGATACATCCCGTCAGCCTGGAATCACCAGCAAAATGGGATGGATGGGTGGAAGAGAGTGCCAGTCAGCATCGGTGCGGCGCTCTGCCTTTCGTCATCGCTGCCGATCAGCCTTGCGCACACAGGCGGGGATGTGCTCTCTCCCTCCCCTCCCCTCAACCTGCCGATGCCGGTCACTCCCGTTCTTCCCTTGCTGTGATGGCGATGCAGATTTTTCCGGGCGACAGGGAGAATGCTGGTTGGTCGGTGTGCAAGGCAGCGAGCAGCGCGTGGAGAGAGCGAGCCACAAGGAAAGACGATCCCCGGCGATTTGACTCTGGGCGATTCCGAGAGATACCCCGTTGATATGCACATCCCGGCGATAGTCGTCCAGCGACGTGCATACCCGGCTGCGGCATTCCAGAGACATGTGCGTCCAGCGACGGCAGAGCGCCGTCGACCTGCACTGCAGGACAGCAACCAGAGCCATAATCCAAAGCCATAGTCCAAAGCCCAGAGCCTCGCACAGCACACACGCGCCGTCCTCTCGTCCGTTTGCTGCCGCTCTTGCGCTTGCGCTCGATCCCAGGAGCCATCCTGCCCCAAGCTATGAATCTCGCTCGACCCCTGCCAGTCGCAAGGAGAATCTTCTGGCCCGAGAGCGGCCTGTCGACACCGCGGAGCCGGCCGAGTCGTGGGCGCTCGGCGTCCGTGCTCGTGGGATGGACGGTGGCCAACGACATTCATGTGGTCTGGAAGCATTCCTGTGGCAAGGTGTGCGCATCCGTCTGCAAGCCGTCGTATATCCACGGATCGCGAATGGGATGCGACAGGAGGGATCTCTCGGCGGCAGAGACGGGTTGTTGTTGCCGAATCGCTCCAGTGCGTCGCTGGATTTCAAGCACGGCAGCCGCTAACACAGACGGCAAATTGCCATCACCATTTGATCGACAGAGCATCCGTCCTGACGACCTCGCCCGCCTGCTCCAGTTCATCAGGACCGTCGATCCGACCCTCGACATTGTCGGCGTTTGTGCGGACACCCTCGACTCGCTCGATCCCTCTGTGGGTGCGTGGTGATGGACTCGATGCTCGCCCGGTATCGACTCGACTCCCCAGCGTCGTCTCTGGGCCGAGACCTGCTACCTGCTGGGGGCATGCTGGGGCCTGCCGATGCCATGCCCAGGATACCACAGCTGATGGAGTATTGATCTTCTCTCATCAGAAGCATCGCCGGAATGGATCTATGTCTCTGCTGAATCCGTCCTTCCCGTCCCACTGTAAGTCGCCAGAAAGCCAAGCCCGTTCCCTGTTTGAAGGAGCAGCGTATTTGCGTCGCTCGGCTGTCTCTCGATTCCCTGGTATCCCATTCTTCGCCGACGCCGATTTTCAATCCCTCAGCCCTTTAATCCTTTAATGCCTCAATCCTTTAACCCATCCATGCCTCGGCCCCGCTGACCTCATCGCAGCGCTCACAGCGAGTCGTGGCAGGTTGTCTTCTACCTTCCGCCCAAGACGACGGCTCTGCGATATCTATCCAGAGACACTCTCGAGTTTGATCTGTGTGGATCGCTGGTCAATCCCGGAAAGGCAGGCTCGACGATCCGAGAGAAGCTCCTGCGGAGCATCTCCGTACCCGCGACTGCCTGTAGCCACGACGAGTATCTGGATGGGGTATTGCAAAGGGTATGGACGCTTGAAGCTGGACAGAACATGGACATGCAGCCGGCATCGGGGGGATGGTTCGGTGCCCCTTGCGATGTTGGGCAACGGCATGTCCGATCGAGAATGGTATCCGATGGACGGTGTCATTACTCACTCACTCACTCACTCACTCACTCACTCACTCACTCGATAGATGAATCAAACTCACTCAATCCAAGTCCAGCTGAGTCGCTATGGATCGCAGCCATGTCTTCACCTCGTCCTGGCCGATCATTTCTTCCAAACCATCTCCAGTGTCTGGGCCTGGACAGTCGCCAAGTTTACCATCCCTGCCCTCTACATCATTTTTGCCATGCGGATGTTCGCCGAGGTTTCCATTTTCGCGCTGAACTTTGATCTCCTCGGCCTCCGGAAGAAACCCATCGAACCTGCCGACAGCGACCCATCGGTGCTTCCATCCAGACAGCATGTGGACGACGCCGGCGGCGAGGCAGAGCCGGCGGCCGTGCTGTCGATGGCCAATCTCTTTGTCTCGTTCCGTCAGCTTGATTTGCGACTACAGCAATTATGCTTCTGGCCATATCAGTATGTCTGTTGGAAGCAGAGCAATCGGCAGCTCATTCATGTGGGACTGGCCCAGTACATCGGGTAAGTTGGCTATTCGACGATATCATGGCTTCGACGATGATCGGAGGACAGCTGTATGCGTGGGTGGATACCGGCAAGGCTGGACCAGGAGCATTGATCGGAGCCCATGAAGCCCGGCCGCCCGGCATATCGCAGCCGCAAGAACACCGCGATAAGAGAAATGCCCTGTTCTGTGGCCATGAAGCCCTGATCGTTCAAGCCAAACAGACCACCGCAGCACTACTGACTGTTCTTTCGCAGGGTCTACAATACAATCTGGCTGGTCACCAATGACATGATCATCGGATTTGGAGTCGCCGTCCTGGTGATGGAAAACGCCGGTCTCATTGCCAACTGGCTGGTGTATCTGATGGAGGTTGGTGTGGCATCTATCTGCTGCTTGTCTGCATCAGAGTGCTCGACTGCAGACAAACGGCTCAATTTTGTCGTGGGTTGGTGTGCTTCTGCCGGGCTCTGATGATCGTCGCCCATCCGGAACCGTCCAGGATCCGAGCGACTACTGACAAGCTGCATTTCCCAATCCCACGAACACACGATGACTCTTTGCACACCCAGACTCTGGCTCTGCAGTCCATGCGCGAGACAATTGTGTGGCTGATGGGCGCCCCCGCTGGACTCAAGCTCAACAGCGAAATGAATGGGTTCATAGGAAACCTGTTTCTCTTTATCCTGGATGTTTGGCAAGGTTGATCTCCAATGGCAATGGATTCCGAGAGAAGGAGGGCAATTTCTATCCAATGAGCCTGCTGCACTCGCTATGTGATTCACATCTCATCAGATCTGCGGACGGCATCGTACTTCCAGATATGGGCCCGCACCTGGGTGGTTTGAACTCGAAGTCGCTGGCACGAACCTGACCCCCATTTTGTCTCTGAACAACCATCGGATCTAGCGCTTTTCGAAGTATTCAAACCCCACCTGAAAACAGTCATCCACACACTTGCCTATGGAGGCTATCTTGGACTGTCGATGATCATTGGGCTCTTCTTTGACCTCGTGCAGATCATGACGTTCCATCTGCACATATTCTATCTGATGAGCGCCAGACTGTACCATTGGCAGGTGAATTGCATGAGGTCTCTGTTTACGTTGTTTCGAGGTAGGTTACAGGCTAGGGGAATCTGGTGAATGAGGGACTGCTACGGATGCCGATCGGTTTCTCGAGATCTCGCCAATGCTCGGACGATCGCAGTAGCACAGGCACCGATGCACCATCGGGGCATGTGGCCGGATGCTGACCGACATTCGCACTTTGCCACAGGAAAGAAGAAGAACATCCTTCAGAATCGATACGACTCCTCGGACTACGGGGTCGATCAGCTGTTGATTGGGACGATATTCTTTACGGTCCTAGTGTTTCTGTTCCCGACCTTGGCGAGCTACTACTTTGCGTTTTCGATGGTAGGTCGCTGTCGTCATGGACACCGGATTAGTGAGGGTCATCGGGGGCAAGGCGAGTCGATCGGACTGGATTGGAATTGAGCACTGCATGCAGGCGTGCTCCAGGTGATGGCCAGCGACAGCCCAAGCGATGGATCGGCTCACGACGATACCCACTCCCTCACTCCCTCACTCCCTCACTCCCTCACTCCCTCACTCCCGACCGTCACAACTCGATATCTCTGTTGCCGCTTCTTCACGGCAGCCGCGTGTTGCCTCGGTGCTCCTCTACTCGACAGTCGAAATTGCCCTGGCGATCATCAACCACTTTCCACTCTTTGCACTGATGCTTCGCGTCAAGGATCCACAGCGTCTGCCATGTGAGTATCCGGATCGAGCGTCGTGGCCAGGACATGGCCCGACTTCCTGCCGGAGATGTCACTCGGTTGACCGACTGACTGTCGATCTCTGCGATTCAGCTGGAATAGCATTTGAGATCATCGACGGCGATCAAGTGTGGTTTGGATCCAATGAGCACACATTCCTGCGAGTCAAGGTAAGAACGAGCGCTTGATGAACGTGAGGCCGGGGGTCACTCGTGGATCCAAGGCTGCCTGGCGCGCTGACATTTGCACTTGGGTGACTGGATGTCGTGTCTGGTCTGGTCTGGTGATGACCAAAGTCCCAAAGCCACAGGCCAAAGCGCCGAGGTGGATAGAGAACCCTCACCGATTTGTGCCAAGCAGCTGAATATGACTCTGTCGCCTGTTGCTCGCAGAGTATGCCCGCATCGCTGTCGACCATCTTCTACGAATACCAGTATCTTCTGAAGCGGGTCTTTTCGTACTATCTCTCGCGCAACATCCTCAAGGCGCTGCTCACAGGCAGACGCATCCAACGCATTCCTAAACTGCAGGTAAGAGGCGATACTTGGGATCGTGGCAGAGGAGATGGTCGAGCGTGGTGGGGTCGCCGAGCACAACTCGGTCTTCCTGGCCAAGTGGTACAGGGCCACTCAGCACCATACTTGCCTGCTCACATCTCATTGTCTGCGTATCCACCTTCGACTCCCCAACCAGTATCCATCGCTACCGCCACGCAGCACGATGCAGCTATGGAGCTCGGTTGGCTTCATGGAGTTCCTGCGAGCGCCCGGCCCACCCCGCTCGGGCTAAGCGGCAGCGGTCGCTGGCGGACGAGTCTGCTGCAGATGGAACGTCGGTATATCGAATGCCCTATCGCTGCCGAAGCCGCAGCCCGCCTTGCACGGTCCGCGGGCACGCGACCCAGCCAGACTGAGCAGACGGAAACACGAGCCACAGCCAGGCAGACCGGATCTCTGTGGATGGGTGGAGGGGGAAGTGGTTTCTCACGCGGTCGCGGCTGTTTGTTCACTCACTCCAGAAAAATGCGACAGCGTCCCTGTCTTCGGGCATCAGAGGCCCGAGGCCTGCTGAACTTTCGCAAGCCCCCGGTGGGCAGGCCGTGTGATTGTCTGCGGTGTGTATTCAGGCCCTGAAATCAACGACAACCCCGACTCAAACCAGCGTGTCCCGCTTCAAGAATGAGTTGTTTGTAACACCGCTGTCCACGGCACCAGCTGACCCGGCTTTGGCTTCACCAGCAAGAGGCGCCTCAGTCGCGCGAGCCAATGATGTGGCTGAGTGTCCGGGCATTGAGCCGGTCTTGTCTCTCGAGCCGGCTGGGGCGCGACCTTGGACGCACATACTGCGCAGCCGGTGATACACCGGCAATGGCGAGCGCAGCATACATAGCAATAATGTAATATATGTATATGCATGTGTATGTATGAATATATATATATGTGCATGTGTATGAATATATACTCGTGCGCAACGACACAATTTACCATCAGAGCATCGCCGTTGCTGACTCGGACGGGCGCGAGTCGTCATCGATGCCACACTCGGTACAGCGTCGTTTCTGTGAACTGCTGATCCGCCCTCGGCCAACAGATCCATGCTGGTGGGATCGCGCGCTGTTCTCACAAGGCCGCGGCGCGCTCCGGCTGCATGTGCCCCTTGGTGGCTCTTCGGTGGCTCCTCGTCCGTTCGATTGCCTCCTCCCATTTCTCCCTGCCGGTTCCTCGATTGCCGCCGCTCGTCCTCTTCGTCTCTCGACCTCCCAGCACATCCAGTCGGCCCCGCCGTCACCCGCTGCTTATCGCGAGAGCATCGCTGTTCTCCATTCTGCCGACATGTCCGCCGACGAGAAAAAGTCCGATGTCCAGCTGCAGGACGAGCAGCGTCTGAACCAGCTGGGCTACAAGCAGGTAGGTCTTGCACCGATCATCCCGTCCGCCCGGCTGGCGTCGAGGCTCGGCTCGGCTCGGGCGGCTTCAGCATCCACAGCCTTTCCGCCACCTAGCATTTGCGAGGCATCTTGATGCTTTCCCCGGCTGCCATTTGGGTTGGTCTCTCATGCGTCCGTGTTTCGCTCGGATGGACCGCTGACTGCTTGTCCGTTCGTCCGTTTGTCTCTCGGTACATAGGAGTTGCATCGCTCCCTGAGTTCCTTCGCCAACTTTGGCATTGCCTTCACAATTCTCTCGGTGCCGACGGCGCTGCTCCCGCTGATCTACCTGGGCATGACTACTGGAGGTATCAGTGACTGTGTCCGCCAGACTGCCTTGACTTCCGACGCATGAGCAGGGAATGCTGATCGGCAGCATAAACATGACGATATGTCGATGGCTTCCACCCGGACCCCACAGACCGGCGTTTCGGCTGGCTGCCTCGGCAACCCGATCGCCGCTCAGAGTCACTGCCCGTCAGACAGATCCAGGCGAAGCCCCGCTGGCGCCTCCGGGCCCTTGCTCCGATCGGCCCAGCATTACAAGGCTGAATTCGCATCCTTTCTCCCTCGCTCCCTCCCTCTCTCTCTCGCTCGCTCTCAGGTCCCGCCAGTTTGCTTATCAGCTGGCCCATTATTGCCGTCCTCTCCTTCCTGGTCGGCCTCAGCATCAGCGAGATTGTCTCGGCCTATCCCACCAGCGGCGGGCTTTACTATGTACGTTTGACCTGGCTTGAATGCATCGATCATGATATCGGGCCGTGAGCAAATCCAGGATTCTCAGAGTCCGCGATAACTGTCGGCCACCTTGCCCCATATCTCGGTGGACTCGACTCTCCATGATCGTTTGTTACACCGTCCCCCGTATCAACACAACTCGCCGCTTGATATCCCTCCTCGTCCAGTGGGCCGCCAATCTCGCCGGACCCAAGCGCGCTCCAATCTTCAGTTACTTTACCGGCTGGTTCAATTTCCTTGGTCTCTGGGGCATCACTTCCGGAACCGCCTTTGGCTTTGGGCAGATCTTTGCCACCTATCTCTACACCAATGGCAGCTGGAACACCACCGATATCCCGACCACGGACATGAGGTAGGTGCTGTCCAGATGCATCAATGGCCTTATTTCTGCCACGGAGCGATCCCCAGTCGGCCATGTTATTGCCTGGGTCTGTATTGCGGGTTCCACGGCGGACTTGCTAATCCACCCATGTTGCTTGCCGAGGTACTGACCCACACGCTTTGCAGATACAAGGGTGTGGTCGTCGCCTCATCGGCAGTTAGCCTCTTGATCGTTGCTCTCTTGGGCAAGGCCTCTTCCCGAACGCTGAACTACTTTGCCCAAGGTTGTCTCGGCATCAACATTGTCGGATTGCTGGTGATGGGCTTTGGCACTGCCTTCATGGGCAATGTCCCACGCACTCCACTTCCGACCCTCATCACCACCTGGGTCAACACCACGGGCTTCTCGGACGCTTGGGCGGCCTTCGTCGGGTGAGTGCCGCATGTGCATTGCCCGAGAGCACAGAGTGAGCCCAGATGCCACGTACGCTGCATCGCAAGCAACTCACGCAGTACATCCTATCGGCGATGATGCAGCATCCTCCCGGCCGCGCTCACCTACAGCGGCTATGACTCGGCTGCCCACTTGGTAAGTTGCGAATGCATTCTTGAGGCCGGTTCCATTCTACCTCGAGCATCGCTCGCACATCGCCAACTCATATGCCCTTTGCTTGATCCTCGTAGGCCGAAGAAACAGTCGGCGCTGCTCGTGCGGGACCCAAGGCCATTCTGATTTCCATGGCCGTGACCCTGCCTGTGGGCTTCCTGATGGGCTGGTCGCTGCTGGCTCCCGTGCCTATCGACCAATACTCCAGCTTTGCCAACTCGCCCGTCTCGACCTCCACCGTCATTGATATCTTCTTCCTCGTTGGTGGCAATGCCGGTGGCTTGATCATGACCACAACCCTGTTTATCGTGTTTGTCACTGGTGTATATTCGATGGGTATGTAGGTCGTCGCTCTGCTCTGCTCTCCTCCGCGCCACATGAGTCCCAAGAGCCGGCGATATCTACTGGTTCTGTCCACCAGCTCGGCTTGATACATCCTCGCCAACACCGCCGCCCCTTGTGGCTTATACTGACGACATGCATTGTCTCACTCTTCTCAGCAATCACTCACAGTCGCATGACTTATGCCTTTGCTCGCGACGGTGGCCTCCCGGGCTCAAAGTTCCTCTATGTCCTCGACGCTGCTTCCGAGACCCCCGTTCGCGCTCTGTGGATCACCCTCTTTCTGGACTTTATCATCATCATTCCGTCCTTGTACTCATCCGCTCTCTACGCCGCCATCAACTCGGTCGGCACGATCGGAACCTACCTATGCTATGCCATCCCCATCTTCTTGCGCATCGTCCGCGACAAGGAGTTCCCTCGAGGCCCATTCAATCTAGGTCGCTTTGGCCTGCCCGTGGCCGTGGTCGCTTTTATCTGGCTCCTGATTGCCTGTGTGGCCCTGTCTTTGCCCACGGTCAACGTGGTGTCCAGCAACTTCAGCGACTATTCGTCCTTCATTGCTGCATACCTGTCCAGCTTCAATTGGGCTCCGGTCATGGGTACGTATACGAGAGATGGATATTCGTTTCGCCTGAACTGCATCCTGTGTGGACTCTATGCTCCCGTACTCACACCACATGCTGCCCCCCTATCGCTTTATCCACCCCTGCGCTTTTGCTCCAGTCGTTGGTATCTTTTTGATCGCTCTGATCATCTGGGTGGTCTCGGCGCGACACTGGTTCAAGGGACCCAAGCTGGATATCAAGACCATCGAGGCCTTTAGTCGGCGCAACCGTGGTAGCGCTAGCAGCGCTACCCTGACCTCGCTTTGATCGCATCTGGGTGTTGGCTGGACAGTGCACGCCCGACAGCACATGTCGGACAAGCAGTTGGGGCGCACTCAGGCCAGCTGCAATACTTTTCGTTGCTCTTGTGTGTTTCCTCCGGTGCAATGGCCTCCTCCTTTCCTTCAGCACCGGTGGCGACTCATCCAGTCCCCGCTCAAAAATTCGATTTTTTCTTTGCTCTGCGAAGGCGTAATGGGTTTGTGTTTCAGGCTGTTCTTCACTGTTGCTGTTGTCTTGGCTTCTGTAACTGTCTTGAAGGAAGACGTCGGCCGCCATCGAAGCTTGGAGCTGCTCAGATTTGTTCGACGAGATATTGGCGATTCGTGATGGCTTGGCCGACTCTGCTACTCTTGTTGATGTCTTTGTTGCCATTGTCGCCATTTTCTTACTTTCCTTCTCTCCATGATGTAAACTTTGATGCTTGTTGAGTTGGGATGTATTGTGATTGACAATAACAGGCGAAACAAAGCCCATCCCATCCCCCTTCGTGGAAGCTGATGCGTTCGTGATTATGGCTGCGACATGGCGCTTTCCTGGCTACGGCTTGCACGCGCCCTTGCACACTTCCAGCGCATTCACGCAACTGGTGACGGTCTCCATCAGGGCATTCAAGCCACCCAAGTCACTCGTCGCCGTGATCGGGTACACTCGAATCAGATCCGTGAGTTCCTGCAGCTTTCCAGCGAGGACCGATGCTGTGGCCTCGATTCCAGACGAGACCGAGGTGGTGCGAGTGGCGACGGCAGAGGTGGCGTTCACAGTAGATTGCGAAGGTTGACCACTGTGGGCATGGTTGTCGGCGACAGACGCAGCGGGCTGCTGCTCAATGCATCGGCGACGCTTCGGTGGGCCATCAAAGAACTGGACATGCAGAGACAAGAAAGAGAGAGCAGTTTCAGGTGCGGTGTTCGAGTGCTGATCATGAATGGCGCCCTGATCTGTGCTGTCCATGTTCCCGGCCTTACCTCGTCATCCGAGTCGATCTCATCGAGTTCAGGGTCATCTACCTTCTGCTGCATGTGGTACAGCTTGTGCTTATCAGCACCTTGCTTTTGATCGGCGAGACTGTCGACGTTGCTAGGCAGCTTCTGCGGGGCTGTAGAATCAGCTGCAGTTGTGGCAGATGGAGGAGCGGCCTCTTGGACCAGAAATCGCTTGCAGCCGACGCAGTACTTTTGCTTTTCCTTGTTTCTCATCAAAGGGATCTGGCCCAAGCGAAAATCAACATCAGCATCTGGCAGATCACGCACGGTCGAACATGGCACTCGATTCCGCGATCTGTGGTCCTGGTCCCGGACTCACTCCGTAACACTTGGGGTTGGGACAGACTTCGCCGAGCATGGCCCAGCCCTTCAGGAGCAGCTCGCCCATGGCGCTGGTGGCCGCACTGCTCTGGCGACGGCGCTCTTCGGCCTCTGCGAGATCGACAGCGGAAGGGCGCAGCTCGCTGCCGTCGTCTCGGTCGTCTTGACGGTCTTGGCTATCGAGGTAGTTTTGGTCTTCCAGCAGTACGATCCAAACAAAGGGGGATCAATCGATCAGCATTCCGTAGCTCGCCCGAGGTTTGGGGGCTGTAGGATAGAGGTAGCCCGCAGATTGCCGACTCGACCAGACGCTCCAACCCCAATTCCAGTGAGTCCGATGGCGAAATGCAGCCCTTCGAGTCCCTCAGATTTGCTTACCGGCACTTGCGTGCTCAGATACATCCTTGGGTTGGCTCAGCGTTTGGGCTGCGGGCACAGTTGGAACAGGAAGGCTCCCCTCATCGTCACAGAGAACGCATATGATCCGAGAGCTATCCTTGGTTCTCATCAAAGTCAACTGTTGCGAAACCAATGATCGCCAGGGCCATCGGAAAGCGGCGGAAGGGTTGGATCCGATATCATGAGTGCATGCAGAGCAATGTTGACCCGAGCAGCTGTGGAGTACGGGCGGGTGTCGCAGCCAGAGATCACAGCCACAGTCTCGACAGCCAGATCGCAGGCATTGTACTTCAACGACGAGCTGGAATATTAGACCATCTCCCATCACCGATACATACATCGCATCCGGGCGTGCTGCACACGGCGTCCATCATCACCTAGAGACGCAGCCAGGTAGAGCGCAGAGCATGTCAGAGTGAGCCCACAGCGAGCCGGGCTTGCTTCCCGGCCAGAAAGCGGCTCGGCTGGACACCGGCGATGGACAGGTTGCGATGGCGCCGTCTTTGGAGGCGAAAGCCCAGGACATGATCGGAGACTTGCCCATCCTTTCAGGAGAAGACTGCCGATCTTTTTGATGCCGAGATCTCTGCGAGACATGGTCGTGGCAAGCATTGGGCTGGCTGGGCGTTGTTCGGGCACGGGGGGTGTGGGGTGTGCTTGATCAGGAAAGGACGGCGCGGCCAAAATCGGCTGGAAAATGCCGCAGCTGGCCGGACACGGCGCTCGATTCGGTCCGCAACATGGAGGATGGAGGACCGATATCCACAGACCAGCGACTACAGCCCACCGAAAACGGAATGGGACCCAGCACCGCTTGAGCGAATGGTGTTGATCGATCACTCGGCCGAACCATGTCGATCGGCCCTCACACGACATGGATCGGAGCACCAGGGAGGCGATTCATCCCACACAGCGGACACTGCTCCCGTGGACAGCGGGGATGTGTTGTCTTGGATTATGCAAAGACGGACCACAATGTATTGGAGTCTGCACGGCTTCAAACTTTACTGACAAGGTTCTCCACATTGCAAAATCCGTAACAAAATCCCGAGATCGACCAATTTGCGCATTCGACAGAAAATCGTCGCTCTCGCTGCCCTCCGCAGAAGGTAACCACTAGTTTACTTGAGCTTTTTCTGTTCGATCAAGGTCAGAGCACAGGCGCGTGTGAGCACGGACAGCGTGAAGAACAGCACGGTGCGGAGTCCCACAACGACAGGCACGGCCAGAAGAAGCGAGTCAGGATCATGGCTGCAGACACAAACCTTGGGGCGGAGCTGGTTGGTGTGGCCACACTTCTTCTTGCGGCAGTTGGTAGCACGGGGAGGGAGACGAGCATAGCACTTGCGGCAGATCATCTTCTCGCAGTTATACTTGCTGGCAAGGGCCTTCAGAGAGGGCTCGATGATACCACCACGGAGACGGAGGACGAGGTGGAGGGTGGACTCCTTCTGGATGTTGTAGTCCGAGAGGGTGCGGTCATCCTCGAGCTGCTTGCCAGCGAAGATAAGGCGCTGCTGGTCCGGGGGGATACCCTCCTTGTCCTGGATCTTGGCCTTGACGTTCTGGATAGAGTCAGAGGACTCGACCTGCGGAGGCAAGCAGACAGACAGGCGAGCCAGACGTCAGCCAGGGGGGGTCGACAGGATGCCGTTTCGGCGGCGACTGGAGAAGTGGCCCCCACAAACTTACCTCCAGGGTGATGGTCTTTCCCGTGAGGGTCTTAACGAAAATTTGCATCTTTGCAAGGGACGGACGACTAAATCAATCCACCAGAATGCTACCTAGCCGTATGTCGGGATTGCGGATGCCACACGCAAAAAAATTGATTAATTCGCGCTCTGTTGGCGATCTGCATCCACGGCCCAGCCATCTTGCTGCGTCCAGAGGTGTTGTCGGCTCGTCCAGTACTGCCGCAGCGCTGCTCGCCAAGCGTTCAGAAACGCTGCCGTTCGGTCCACGCCTCCGTCGGTGCCCGATCGTCACTGCCGCTGATCGATTGCTGTCTATCCTGGTTCTTCCAGCATCGTTCCCAAATAAACCCGGTATGGCGAGAGACTGGGTGCCCGAGGGCACGACGCATTCTGTCATCCAGTTGTCCAGCGAATGTCGAATCCTGACTTGGCGGTTGCGTCGGCTTGAGCAGACCGAGAATCGTGGAGCTCTGTTGACTGTGCGCTTCCTGACCGAGGACGAAATGCAAGACAGACACCCCAAAACGTCCACAGGCGGGCCGATGGCTGCATGGATGCGTGGATGCACGGATGGATGGATGCACGGATGGATGGATGGATGGATGGATGCCGCTTCGGGCAGCACGTCGGCTCGTCGCTGTGGCATTCGTCCTTCCATGAACATTTACCTTCAAAAGGGTTAGGAGGGAAGAAAGCGAGCGGATGCAGCGCTCCCGGCGTATTAGTGTGGCCGCCTGGCGACACAGACCGCAACAGGCGAGAAAACACCCACACAGACTGTGTGGCTTAGACACCCAACGTCGCACAGACACACAGACACACGGGCTGCTGCTGCTGCCCAGGCCGTTCCCAGGCAGGTTACTTTGCGGGGCACTGGCCATCGAGGTGCATCCGCTGGCCGCCGTCTGGCTGTGCTGTCGCTTGTGCCATCGCCGTGGATGGGCGCTTACTCTGAGTGATACGGAGCTGATCGGCAATGCAGTGGTATCGAGATGATCCTGTTGGTGTATTTTCATTGCCGGAGTGGCGAGCCGGGTCGCACTATCTGATTTGCACATCCGTATCCGTTCCAGACACTCCTTTTCTGCAGGCACTCATCAGCAGACACTCATCATCAACAGACACCCGTCTACAGCCTCCACTTGTTGATTTCCCGTTCCTCTTCGAACTTCCGGCGGACTAACGCGATGAACTCGGGGCCGTAGTGCTCCTCCAGCTGCTCCGGCGCCAGCAAATCGTGCTTGGCCGCTTCGGTCTTGGAGAGACACACGACGTTACCGAAGCTGATGGGCTTTGTGCGGTCCCACCGGCACAACGTGACCTTGTCCATGGCTCCCGAGAGGGCGCTGCGTCCGCGCCAGATCTGGAGCGAATTGCCAGCGAGCGGCGCCAGACAGATCCAACGATAGCTCGTGAGTCGTCGAATCTAACGGTCTCAATCGCCGCATGCTTCTGGCGATCGTCGTATGTTAGAGTCAGTGGCTTAGTTGTCCAGCTTACCTCATCAAAGATATATCCAACGTCGGCAATGCTGAGTGGGATGTGGGGGCTAGAGGCAAGGCAAATGCAGAGCGTGGCGGTCAGCATTGCCCTCAAGGACAGCAATACTGCATGGATGTCCCATCGCTACCGGTAGCTTGATGGAGGCGCTGCCCCAGCGTCAACGAAAGTCAATATGCCAAGAGCATGCATGTCGCTCCCCAACAGCCGAGAGGCAGCGAGCGCCGAGCACTTTGGGCGGCTCGTCTCACCCTCTCTCTATCGATATGCGTACCTGGAAGCATAAACATCCTTCTCACGGTTGCAGATGTCGCGATGGATACGAGTGTATGTGGGCTCGCGATTTTTGATCGCCAGCGGGCTTGTCGGGAAGTGTGCCAGCTCCGTGATGACATACGATGCCATCGCCATGCCGAAGAGGGCGGGAATGGTGCCAAGCACTGCATCGGTGTGTCCAATTGAGGCGACGCTCGTTAGACTCGGATGTGTGAATCAACCATGTCGCTAAACCTGCTACCATTACTCTGCGATCCCTCGTTACCTGGTAGGATTCTGGAGCGACAAGAGGCACAAGTCAACGTCGGTTATGTGTCCAGTAGCAGATCGCACCCCAAGCAATGCACCACCGACTTCATACCTGACTCGGAAGTCTGGGAGCGTAGCAAACTCCTGTGCCGTCGAAACCTTGTCCTCGTCCAGGGGAAGGAGCTTGACAGTGCCCGGCTTCTCGGTCGAGTAGACCACCTGGACACCAGACTCGATTCCTTCCTTCTTGAGAGCGCGACGAGTAGTTCTTGCAAGCGGATCCTCTGCGAAAATACGGTATGGCGACATCAGCAAGCCTGGCGCATTCACACATCCGGATTGGTGCGCCTTCACCACAATCGCGATGCATGAACAAATCCTTTATCAGACCACTCTCTGTCCGCCACGTCGGTATGGAAGTGCCCACCATAAGTTTCGCTGATGTCCGCAATCTGGATGCGGGAGGGATCCGCCTTGGCACCGGCTCCCATCGATGAAATGACGCGCAGCTTGGATTCATAGCAGTACTTGATCAACTGGATCTTGGTTTGGAGGTTGTCGATGCAATCTGAATCCAGAGTCGATCGCCCACACCCAAGCAGAAGCATGCCAATGGTAAATCGACAGGGAGATGGTCATCAGGCTGTTTCCCCGTAGATCGGGCCAGCCAACTCTGGGGCGATTTGGGCTGAATTGCTCCTTCCCAGATCATCGATGGGCAAATTTGTCTCCCAAACAGCCACAATATGGAGGTGCAAAGTGCATGGACCAATACACTACCCAAAACAAAGTCTGGGTTGCCATTCAACAGGCCCCCGGCGCTGTTGAGCTGGAACATTTCGACGCAAGCCTCGACCTTCGCTTTGGGAAAGATCTTCTGGAAATGCCTCTGCAGGCATACGACCTTGGGCGTGCCCACGTCCGCCTGAGTGGCGACGGCATGGCGGTTCAGGCTCGAGAGTGTGACTTGATCAAAGTCGATCAGCCGAAGACGCTGCCGTCCAGAAGAACAGTATCGAGAATTTAATGGGCTGCGATGGTCTGCAGAGCTGCAATACTGAAGAGGGGCGATGTTCTGTTGCCAGAACTGAGACATCCTTACCTCCACGCCGGCACGCAGGAGCATATGGGCCTGAGTTTGAGAGATGTGCGAGTGAGCAATATGTCGAGTGTGCCCTGCTCTCGGTGGCCCTCGCATGAGACTTACCGCATGGCTTCCTATTGACATCGAGAGCCGTCGTATCAGCGATTCCAGGGATTTAGTGTTACGGATTGGAGATTCGGGCTGTGCCGTGCAATCGTAGCAGCCCTGCTGAGCAGAGTAGACGTGCACAAACTTACCAACACCGCCGACTCCAACGACGATCACAAACGAGCCCCGAACCCGGGCTGCACCCTGGTGATCGAAAAGAGAAGAAGCACGATTCGGTGCGTGTGTCAGTATCTGCCCGTCGATACCTGCCAATGTCTGCCGATATCTGCCGATGCCCACGGACAGCCCTGAGCGATCGTATTTGGGCCATGGGCTGATCCAGCCCAGCAGAGCAGCTTACGTTTTCGCCCAAAAATGCATAGTTACGGGAGAGCTGCTCCCGAACAAGTTCCTCCTCAGCCGCAGGGTCGCTTGCACCGAGCTGCGAGAAGGCCGAGCCAGAGACCGAGATTTGCTCCTGGAGCTCTCGCTTGAACTCGCTGATGGCCGCTTTCTTGGTCCACCGCTGGAAGCCGAGGATGGTGCAGGCCGTGACAACCGAGGCTGCCAGGGCGGTGCCGATCAGCGTGGTCCTGGAGTCTGCAAGGGTCAGCATTGCAGTCGATGTTGCGGATTTACTTGCGGGCTGGCTTGCGGGCTGGCTTGCAGACGATGGCTGAGATTGCGATGAGTTCGATCGCTGGGTCGCAGTCGGCCGTCCTTCCGTCGCCTGGGCATTGCGATCCACACAACCGGCTGCTGCGCATGCCGTTTTTTCTCTGCCTGCCCACCTGCTGGATCCAGCACAAGTCCAGCCCGAGAGTCTGATCCGATCCGACGCTTTGCATCCATCCGCAAGCCTCGCTCGCCCTGCCCACGACGAGCCAGCCATGAAGACCCCCGGAAACAACAACTGGTACACCGATGCAGCAGACTACTGGGCCAGCGTCGACTCGACCGTCAACGGCATGCTTGGCGGCTTTGAGCAAGTTTCGGAGCCGGATTGCCGAGACTCGCTCAAGTTCATCCAAAGCTTTATTGCTGCGCCAGATGCCCCTGTCGCCCCTGCCGCCAAGGGGCCGCCGACCATCACCCCTGGCCTGGCGTGTGGTACGCATCAGCAGGATCGCCTGCCGTTTCGCCATGGAATCATCGTGGCGATGCTTGCAGAATGGCGCTCATGCTGCTCGCCATCGTCGCTCGCCATACTCGGACTTGATCTCGGTCCCTGACACTCTCTGGCCGCCCGTCCGACCTATGTCCTCTTAGACTGTGGCGCTGGAATAGGCAGAGTGTCAAAGCACTTCCTCCTGCGGGTGTTTGACCGCGTCGATCTCGTCGAGCAGAATGCCCAGTTCCTCGAGACAGCACGAACGTCCTACATGGGCCAAGACCTGCAGCGAGTCGAGCAGTTTATTCCGATCGGTCTACAAGATTTTACGCCAGAGCATCAGCGCTACGACTTGATCTGGTGCCAGTGGGTGCTGGGCCATCTCACGGACGGTATGGATCAGCGTCGCTCGGCTCAATGCAATGTCCTCGTGGAGGATCACCGCCAAGCCGGCACAGCGATGCAAGCGAAAGAGCGCACCTGCTTGTGTTCCTGGGAGGTGCTTTCTGACCGAGTCTGCTTGCTACAGAGGATCTCGTCAAGTTTTTCAAACGGTGCAAGGATGGCATTAAGCCGGGCGGGCTGATTGGCGTCAAGGAGAATGTCACCAAAGGGGGTGTTATCGTCGACGACGAAGACAGCAGCGTCACCAGGCATGTGGTGCCAGAATTGCTGCAGCATTCGACCCGCTGTGGTGCAGCTGAGTCGACGGCCTCCTTGCGCTCCAGCTCCTGTCTGGGCCGGGCTGACCACATGCCGTGCCGCCGTTTTCCAGATCGGACTATATACTGAAGCAAATCTTTGAGCAAGCCGGACTCAAGCTCCTGAAAGAAGCTACGCAAACGGATTTTCCCGCTGGACTATTCACGGTCAAGATGTACGTATATCGTGCCCAGCGGACTCGTCCCCCTGCCAGTACACTGCCATCGACGCTGAACGTCACACATTTGTCTATAGGTACATGCTGAAGCCCATCCAGAGCTGACCCGTTAGGACGGAATGGCATTATTGATTCGCAGCGTTGGACAGACGAACGGGATAGCCTGTGTGCTCGCAATGGGCGAAGAAACTCCGAGCCGATGCGCGATAAATGCACGACGTCTGGGCACCCATAATAAACGGCACCAGCACCGCCGTCGGGCTTGCTGTCGATGCTTGCCAGAGTCACCCGCCTTGGCGGCGTAGTATGGCGGACGTGGGAACCGGCCGTGACGGTGTGGCGACGGCCCAAAACCAGGACGTGTCGCCATGTGACCTGCACGTGAGTCCTGCTGGCCGATGCGAAAAAGCGAAAAACGCAAGCGGCGTTGCCTCGGCCTCGCCCGTCTCGCTATCCTTGGTTGGGACATCACGATCCACTGCGACCCAGCACCCTCCACCGATCTCCCCGACACCTGCAACAGCACAACATGGGTCTCGTCAGGTGATTTGTTGCTCCGATGCTGTGCTCCGAGCCATCTGCCCATGTTCGCCGGGCAACCGACGAAGGCCGATATCGCGAGCGCCGCCATCAAACTCGACCCACAGACCACGACCAGCCAACGATCGCTCCGGCACCTCACTGATCCGTCTACCTGCTCTGTGTTTCTGCGACATCCAGCTCGTGGCAATACCTCAAGTGGTGCACGTACCACCACCCCGTCATCGTCGCATCCTTCGCCCTGTCCTTTGCCGGTAAATACCACCATCCCCTGGCTTATTTCTCGCGATGTCAAGTTTTGGGTTGGGTTTTGGGCTTGAATGCATTGCTGCCCTATCCTCCTGCCTCGTCACACCTACGCTTCTCGGAACCCTCAAGCTACGAACATGCACATTGGTAGCTCGTGGACTGCCGCTGACTCGCTCGTCCTCGACTACCTCAGGCCCACTCCTCCTCGGTGTTGTATACCCTCTTCGTCGTGAATACGGATACAAGCGCCCCGTGGATGCCCCCAGAAGCTACAAGTGTAAGAATGAATGCCGATGTCGATCTCTGTGGAGCAGAGACTTTCGTGCATCTGCTTGGTCGTACTGACACTGCCTTTTCTGCTGCTTGGGTGTCGCAGTCCCCGACCGAGAGCGAGCCGCTACCGTTGGATACGACGATTAGGCACGCGCACTGTTGATGCAAGCAGCTCGGTTCGCACGGCCGGAAGCATAGACCCTGCCAACTCCGGATTGATCGCAATAAACCCGATATACAGCATGTCACGGGTCGCCCGTTTCCCGCGCCAGTATGAAGATGGAGACCCGCCGAGCCAGCACTCTCCCCGACGATGAGAATGCAGCCGCGGCAACAGACAGTTCTCTGCACGATCGTGTATTACGGTGTAGATGCACGATCCAGCGGAACAAAAACCGGGACACGGAACATGCGAAGATATCGGGGCAGTCGAGCAGCCCTACGAGCCAAAGGCGGGCATGTGCAGCCGACTGTGGAAATGAAGTGCTGACGATCAAGGCTGGATATGGATGAGATTGGCATATGGAAAATGGGATTGTCAAGGATGGATGCAGTTGCGATGAGGATGAACGACTGGGATGCAGCATAGGATCGACCGATGGACAATCGTGTACACAGAGGAGGCATGGCCAAGGAAGAGTCCTGTAGAGCCAAGTCCATGTCCAATGAGACCACACATGCGGCATCACTACCATACGCTGGTGATGCTGTTAAGCAGCTCGTTCTGGTAGTCCTCGCTGATTTCCCAGATCATGACTCCACCAAAGCCGCCGGACATGTAGTACTGCGACTTGGCCTGGATCGACGTGGTATCATCATATGCGATGAATCGGGTGCCATCGAAGAGTGTTGACGACTGGGCAAAGTTCCAATAATGGCGGCTCCAGCCCGCGGCAGGCGTTGTCGGAGCCGTGAGGACTTGCTGCTTGCGAAGATTGTAGTACATCCACACTCCGGTGACACTCGACGAGCCACAAGGGTCGGTCCAAATCGCATCAAGGGCATCGCCAGTGATGGGTGGGCAGACTTGCGGATGGTTTGGGTCCTGTGTCTGGCCGTTTGGGAGCTTGCAGAGCTGGAAGAGCCCATTGGTCGAGCCCGCAGCGGACACTGCCCAAGAGCGTCCATCTGCGATTCAAGGGAGGGGTGGTCAGCGACAGCAACGACAGCAACGACAGCAACGACAGCAACGACAGCAACGACAGCAACGACAGCAACGGCGGCGGTGCCTTGCTCCGGACTTTTGGCGACACCCGCTGCAAACAGTTGCGCCGATGACATACAAAAGGACAATCCTCCGACGATGCTCTTCTTGGCAATTCCAAGATTGACCAGGTCGGTCATGCTTGAGGCGATCGAGAGCTGGGTGCCGAACTGGTAGTTCGCTGATGGTCGCTGGGGATCCGAGGGTCCGGGATTGTTGAGCGGTGCGTTGAAGTCGGCGTAGGGAACCCAAGATCCATCTGCGAGGCAGCATTTGCGGGTGAGTGCACAAACGAGCAACCAGCCACCATGGAGCCTGGCAAGTCAGCACCAAGGAATACGGATCAGTGACGAAGGCTCGTCAAGCCGGCCGTAACCTACAGAGATCGTAGACCATGACTTGCATATAGCTCAGCTCAGCCACGATGTCCTTGAGATAGTTATGGTTGTTGTAGACATAGTGGGACACGACGCCGGACGATGCCATTGAAATGATACGGTCTTTGCCAAGCGCCTGTCTGAGCGCCTTGACAAGCTTGACAAAGTTGGCTGGATCCTCGGGGCGATGGGTATTGCACGGCAATCCTCCACCAGCCGGATATTCCCAGTCCAGATCGACGCCGTCAAACTGAAATTGGTCCATGAAGCTCTTGATGGAGGTCACGAACGTGGCGATCGATGCATCGCTTGAAGCCATGTCCGAGAAATGCACTGAGCCCGACCAGCCGCCCACAGAGATGACAGTGCGAAGGTTCGGGTACTTTTCGCGAGCAACGTAGTTGAGATTGTAGATGCCTTTGTGTCCAGACCAAGGGTCGAGGGCGAATGGGGGATTGGGGCTGGAGCCACCAAAATCGGCCCATGCATCAAAGCTCTGGAGGGTGCCGTCCTTGTTGACGTTGAGGAAAGCGTAGTTGACGACGCTGACCTTGGACAGATCGAGGACATCAGGATTATGCTCGGGTCGGGTGTACTGGGCCCAATTCGGCCAGTACGCCACGATTCCGACGTTCTTGCCGTTTCCGTAGTTTGGTGCCGAGCGATAGGCAAAGCCGGTCGAGCTTGAGGGCTAATGACCACCACAAACAGAGAAGCGACATTTAGTCAGTACATTGAATCGGCACATTGGCCTACTTTGCTGAGCGGATGTATTCTAAAATAGGGGCAAGCAGTACCCCAGTGTTGGTGTTGGTGTTGGTATTGGTATTGGTGTTGACACTTGATGCCAAAACACAAGCCTGTTATCAAGCCACAATTACAATGTTATCCTCTGCGAACGTTTGAGTCATCCTCGGTCATAGTCTCGGCAGACGTACGTAGCGTATCTTCATGCCACTTACGATTGTTTGCTGTATGGTCTGGCATACGGTCAAGGGGCCACACTGCATCGCAATCCAGTTACCACCGGCTGGGTGCCATCGAATGTGCGGTTTAGTGTCCAAGAGTATAACCCGATAGATTCAGCCTTTGAATGCATTTGCACAGCAGAACCGATGTCCCATGCGTGTAGTTCTCGCCTCTGCTTACCGGTGCACAGCTCATAGTCTGGGGATTGTCCAGACGAAACGCATTGAATCAGGCCCGGGGTAGTGCACTGACCAGAAACGAGAGTAGGCAGCGCAAGGAGCGGGCCCAGCGCAACCACAAGCGCAGACAAGCGGGCGAGCATGGTGAATCAAGTTGATATTCCTTTGTAATGCTGGTACTACAAGGATGCTTGTATGCGGCGGTGTTCGTGGTGTTCGTGGTATTCGAGGCCGGTGTAAGTTTGGGAACCTGAGCGGAATCGTGTGAGCAAACTGCATCTCCGTGATGCCCAACGCCATAATGCCGAACAGCAGACGTGGCGACGTCCAAGATACCTCCGCGCGAACAAGTCTTCAATAGGCTTGTGATGAAAGACTTTGGAGACTGTTTTTGTGCCAGCGCATGCAGTGCTGCCGAGACGAAGGAGAGCCAAGGCTGCTGGGCTTTTGTACGGCTGGTCAGAGTCTCCATGGAGTCAAGCAGGACGGCGCCGCAACTGAATCTCTGCATATGTCGACGAATGTTCTCATCGCCAACCTCATCGCTGGCCTCGTCGCTGGCTTCCAAGATATGTTCGTCCTACATGCTTTCCAACTGCAGCGATCCTCAGAGCTTGTAATAGGCAAGGCGAAGTGTGCGTGCCCTAGCTGATGCAGACTTGCCTCGATCGGCGCTCATATGTCGTTCATGATGCGGTGCAGCGATCGCACCTGATAGAGTATCTGAGCCACAATTCGATCGGCTGGATGTCAGAGCAGACACAGGCCAGCACTTTCAACTCCTGCAGTACCAGACGGCTGCTCTATTGTCGTCATGGATTGATGGAACATATGGTGGCGCCTGAGGCCTGATTCGCCAGACCCCTCACATATTTCGCTGACGCTCATGGCGACATATCGCTCGGGCCATATAGCCACACAACATATTGCACCTGGCCCGGGCACATGAGAGTGCTCTGGTCACTCGCATCACCTTTCACTATCTGCTTGCCTTCCGTAAGCCACCAAGCGACTGCCACAGCGCCACGACTGCGAGTCCTCGATGATAGCTGCACAATTGCACTATTCGTCCGCGGTGCCAACATTGGCGATATCCATCGATAGTACGTGTGACGGAAGAGCGTGAGTGTATTCAACAGTTGGCGAAAAGGCCCAGGGAAAGCAGCATGACTCAGATGCCGATTTCGCTTTGAATCGACAGGATTGCGAGACAGAGTGGCGGGCGACACAGATATCGCTGGTGCGGCCTTCTCTCCCAAGTGCTTCATCGACGAATCGACCTTGCCGCCACAGCCGGATTGAAGTAGCAGAGAACTCAACAGAGGCAACCAAGTGGCTCAGCTTCCTTTACAGCCCATAGACGAACAGCGTGTTGCGGCGGGCATGCTCCATCACCAGGTCGATTTCTACTTCCTTGACCTGGGCAATGCGCTCGGCAATGAGCGGGATATGGCCGCAGTGTGCAATCTTGGAGGCAGGTCCCTTGCGGATGACGAAGCGGGGGTCTTTGCACAGCGGCATCATATACGGAGCGTCGGTCTCGAGCAAGATCTTCTCGAGCGGCACAACCTTGACGGCTTCGCGGATTGGATCGGCCGAGTTGAAGGTGATGACACCCGTGAAGCCGATGTAGAGGTTGTCGAAGCGGCCCAGCAGGCGCTGGGCAAACTCGGCCGAGCCCGTGAAGCAGTGCACATGAATCTTGTGAGCCTTTGGGAGGACCGAGTCCATGATCTCGAAGGTGTCTTCGTCCGCCTCGCGGGTGTGGATGACCAGCGGCTTGTCGAGCTGCACGGCCAGCTCAAGCTGGCGGCGGAAGACGGCCTTTTGAGTCTCTTTTGGCGAGAGGCCGTAGAAGTAATCCAGACCCATCTCGCCCATGGCTTTGGTGCGGGGGTGGGCGAGGGCCTTCAGGAGGTGCTCCTCGACAGTGTCGTTGTACCGGATGGCATTGTGCGGGTGGATGCCGCAGGCCAGATACAGCCATGGATTGTGCTCAACTAGGGACTCCCAGCGATTGTGCATCGGAGGAACCTCGGCGGCAATGTACTGGGCATCTCGCTCCCCACCAAAGTACTCGGGATCGCACATGACATTGATGCAAGCCTCGAAGTTGCTTGGGAAGCTCTGGTGCCGCAGATCCTGGAGGGCCTTGGCGATCTGCTCGTTGTCGGCAAACTCGCCGGCTCCGCAGTGCGTCTGCGGAAGACGGGTGATGACCATGTCGAGGTGGCAGTGGGTGTCGACATAGGACAGCGACGTCAGTGGATGGGCAATCGTTGAAAACGGGACCGGTGCGGCCGCAGGTATTTTGTCTTTGGGAGCCTTGGGAGCTTTGGGGGTCTTGGCCGGCTTGGCGGGCTGCTCGATGGGAGCTTCAGCGGATGGGGGCGGAACTGCAGACATTCTGCGAGGGCGGCTCAATGTGCGGATCTGGGGGCGCAGGAGGACGGGGCAGGCGGCCGATGTGGATCGCAGGAAGCGGGTAAAGATCATCACTTATATACCAAAGTCGGTTTCGGCGAGGCAAGGATCGCTTTCGGCGGGACGGCTGCCCTTTTGGCTGCTGTCCCACCATCTGCGCTCGCAGCGAAACGACCGCGACAGGCGGCAGAGTCACTCGTTCGCTGTCCCGTCTGGTGGTGGATCGCTGGCCAAAGGCGAAGCGACGGAGCAATTGCCCGACAGATCCGTGTGTCGACTCTGGGAACAGGTCCGTGTGTCGACTCTGGAGGGTCAGCCACATTCGCATTCGCATTCGCATTCGCATTCGCAGGCCAAGGCTCCTGCAGGACAGTACATTCCATCTCCCACACGCTCTGGACTGAGAGTCGTTGGTTTATCTTTGCGACGGCCCAAGACTGAATCTATTTGGTCGCTTTCTTGGCAACGCCGCCATTGTGGACCTTTTTCAGGGCGGCAATATCCACGTTGCGGTCCGCCCAACTTGACTTTCGCAGCTTGACCGGCCGGTTGCCGATGTATTTGCCTTTTGCGCCGAGTTTGTCGACGCCGAAGCCAGCCAGCCAGCCAGCCAGCCAGTCAACCAGTCATTGGAGTGTCGGGTGTGCGGAGGCAGCCGAGCAGATGCAGATATGAGATCAGCCTTCGCCGAAAATTCGGCACAAGCAAGGCCAAACATGCGCAAGGATATGGACGGCCAACTCGCTCCCTGGCAGTGCAATGATGCCAGTGTGGATGAGAGCGGTCCACAGCCCGTTTGCGAGAACAACTCACCGTTCATCTCCTTCAGGGCCTTGACGAAGTCGTTGGGGTCCTTGAAGCTCACAAATCCGTATCCTCGGCTCTTTTGCGTTCGCTTGTCCCGGACCACACGCACCTTGACCATCGACGGATACTTCATGAAGGCTTTGGACAGCAGGTCGTCTGTGACTTCATTGCCGAGATCGCCGCAAAAGAGTCGGAAGTCATCTGGACAGGTATTGTGGGGACAGAAACGAGGGAGAGATTCAGATCGCTGCGGACAGGCATCGACGGATGAGACAAGATCGCACGGATGGGAGTCGTTGCGCTCTCGAACGGCGCTGCCCAGTTCTGCTTGGAACCTCAGATCATGGCGGGAGACTACTTACTGTCGTCCCAGTCCAGAAGCGATTTATCCTCCCAGATCTCGCCTCCAGCGGCGCGAACCAAGGTTGACGGCTGGGGGGCACCCGATGCGTCGTCTTTCTTGTCTGCGGTGCTTGCCGATGTGCCCGCTGCCGGTGTCGACGTCGAGATCGCATACTTGCTCTCGGATTTGGCCGTCTTTTTCTTTGTGGCCGATACGGCCACCCGGGGCACTGGGGGTCGGGCTCGAGGGGTGTATCCTTCGGGGTAGCCGACGCCTCCGCCGCCCTGGCTTGAGCCGCTGGGGGCAGACGATCCAATGCTGCTGCTCTTGTTCGGGGCTGTTTGCGATCCGACTTCGGTGGGCTTGGGAGGAATCGGTGCCGCAATCGGAGGCATTCCTGGAAGGGCAACGGCACTGGGACCGGCGATCGGTCGGTTGATGCTGCCGGGGCGCCGCTGACCGTCGAGGTTGGCGCCTGGTGGCGGATTGAACGGCGCTTGGTATCCGGGAGCAGGGGGGCGTGGGGGTAGATAGGACATGGTGCTGGGAGGAGCAGTGGTTGAGATCACGGCGACGTTGGGCAAAGGACGGCCGGGCTGCATCCGAAAGCAAGTTTGGCTCCGACCCGCGCGGATCTGGCTCGCGGATCTGCTGCGGGGCTCTGGGACAACCCGCACACGGACCAACGGAGCCCATCTGGATGCATCGTCCTGAGCTGATCCTGCATCGACAGATGCTGAGTCGTGACAGGCGGCAGTTCATACAGTCGACTCCCTTGCAGGGATCGCCCGCGATGCCAAGGAACAGGACAGTGCCAAGGAAACAGCGCAACTTCGTGACGAGGAGCATCGACGCCCCCTCAACCGATTCAGCCGAGAACAACACCAGATGATGGGTAAACATGGACTGGCTCAGCGTCGCCAGTATATTTAGGCAAATGGGAATGCGATTTACAGAGCTGTGCCTCGGGAGCAGGGCAGCGCATACTCGGCCGGGGACACAAGGAGAGCGGGGGGCCGGTTCCACCCCAGCGCCTGTGGCTTATGTGAGAACGTACTTCGGGCCACCGCCGCCCTCTGGGACTATATAGGAGGGATGTGTGTTAGCTTCAGGTCGTGAACTAGTGGTGGCTGGATATGACCCGTATGCAGGACGAGGGTGCAAAGGGGACGGATGTCTCTCGTCAGCGTCAGATACGCACCGGTCCAGTCAATGTTCTGGCTTGGGTCTTTGATGTCGCAGGTTTTGCAGTGGATGCAATTCTGAGAGTTGATCTGGAATCGCTTCTGGCCGGGGTTCTGTTCGTCATCCAGGTACTCATAAACACCGGCTGATGCAGCGGATAGGGACGATCCGGTGAGTCAGACAAATTACATCAACAGGCGCATGCAAGCAGCATCGGTCTCATGGAGGCTCAGGCGAGGCTGCAGCGCTCTTGACTACATGTTCTCACACATACAGGGGCCAACCCAGCAGCGGGCTCGGCAAGGGTAATCGCAGCATCAGTCACGGGCTTACCAGGACAGAACTTTTGCTCGGGGCCTCCGTAGACGGCATAGTTGGTCTCCAGTTGCTCTTTGGGGCCGCGCTTCAGTCTAAGATGGACGGGCTGGTTCTCGGCGTGGTTGGTGCCAGTGCGGCTGACGTTCTCAAGGAGCTCGAAGCTTATAACGCCATCGGGCTTGGGGTAGTCAATGGGCTTGGCGTCCTTGGCGGGAACGAGGCACTCGTGATCGGGTTTGGCGTACTTGAGCGTCCACGGAACACGGCCCTTGAGCAAGAGCGTATCCACGCCAGAGTAGATCAGGCCGCCGTAGAGACCGAGAGAGGTATGGAACGAGGGGCGGATGTTGCGGACTTCGTACAGCTCCTTGTAAGCCCACGAGTTCTTGAAGGCCTCCTCGTAGCTGTCCAGCTGGATGGGTCCGGCGCTCTCGGCATCGTCGGCAGTGATCTTCTCGACAATGGCGTCGGCAGCGAGGATGCCTGGACAGTCGGCAAGGGCAGGAGCGAGGGCATAGAAAGGAGCAGGAGACCGAAGAGAAGACTCAGTGGTCTGGTGGACGAACAGAGACGGAAATTGTGTGCCGTAAGCGGCTACGGTATAGACGGGCATTCACATACCACTCTTCATTGCCGTGTGGGTGCCCTTGATCTTGGGCACGTTCATGAAGCCGGCAGAGCAGCCAATCAGGGCACCGCCGGGGAAGCTGAGCTTGGGAATCGACTGGTATCCACCCTCATTCAGGGCACGTGCGCCGTAGGAGATGATCTTGCCGCCCTCGAGATGCTTCTTGAATGTGGGGTGGTGCTTGAGGCGCTGCAGCTCGCGGTAGGGGCTCAAGTGCGGGTTGGGGTAGTCCAGACCAATGACGAGACCGACAGCACAGAGGTTGTTGTCGAAATGGTACATGAAGCTGCCGCCGTATGTGTCGTAGTTGAGTGGCCAGCCGACGGAGTGCATGACCAGACCAGGCTTGTGTTTGGCAGGGTCGATTTCCCAGACCTTGTTGCGCAGACCATATGGTTAGACGGAGGAAGGGTGGGCGTGTGGGGCGGATGTGTTTTGGAGAGCACGTCCGTCGAAAATCACAAATCCTTTTCATGCTCATCGATACAAATCAACGGGTAACACACCTCCTTTACTCCGATGCCGTAGGTCTGGAACTGGCTGTCCTTGCGAAGGTCGAACTTTTGGATGACTTTCTTGGACAGACTGCCGTGGCAGCCCTCGGCGAAGAGGGTCACCTTTGCGTGGATCTCCATGCCGCGTTCGAAGCTATCCTTGGGCTTTCCATTGCGATCGATGCCAACATCGTTCGTGGCGATGCCCTTGACAGAGCCGTCCTCGTTGTACAGAACCTAGGGACACCAGAGCAAACGGGAATCGATATCAGGCTCTGGCACACGGAACTAGGGTGCGCGGGCAGACCAGTCCACCGAGGCGTGGAGCTCCGTTGCTCGGTCCCGCATCGATCCCGCGTCGATCCGACTGGATCCGACCGGATCCCAACGCAAGCGAGGAGGCAATGGCAGTCAAGCTACCTCACTGGCGGCAAAGGACGGGTAGATCTCGACGCCAAGCTCCTCAGCCTGCTCGCCGAGCCAGCGGACAAAGTTGTTGAGAGAAATGATGTAGTTGCCCTTGTTGTTCATGTGGGGAGGGTGAGGGAGCGGGATCGCGGCCTTTTCCGTCAGGAACAGGACTTGGTCGTGCAGCGCGGGCTGGTTGAGCGGGGCGCCTCGGTCCTTCCAGTCTGGGATCAGCTCGTTGAGAGCGCGGGGCTCGAGCACAGCACCCGAGAGGATGTGGGCACCTATCGGCGATGGAGCAGGTCAGATCGCAATTGCAGCCTCGCTGTGGCCATCGCCGCGATCCGTGTTCCAAATGTCGACGATTCGGTAATGACGGAGGGAGCACAATCGTGGCAATATCCGGAGCGCTGCCAAGACGCATAGACCACGGCTGTGCGAGCATCGCTCATGATGGCGGCGGAACCGGCTCTGGCTGTCCAACCGCCCCCTTGCAGAGCCGTTGCGATCTCACACATCCTTACCGACTTCGGGGCCCTTCTCGACAACAAAGACCCGAATGTCCTTTCCGGCGGTGGCGGCCTGCTGCTTGATGCGGATTGCGGCCGACAAACCAGCGGGGCCAGCACCGACGATGCAGACATCGACCTCCTCGGCGAATCTCTCGGCGTTGAGGATGGCGGCGATTTCATCGTCCTCCTCCGACTCGGCTCGGCGAACGGCGGTAGTCGAGAGAAAGGCGCGGCCGAGGGCTGGACCCAGCGCCGCGGATCGAGGCTGGACGGCCAACAACGACGACACAAGCGTCCGAACTTGGGATCGTAACAAGATGGTTGTGGACGATGCCCGGACGAGGCCGACTCTGCGGAGCGAGCCGCAGGCCAGAGAAACAGGGCGGAGATGCATGGTGCTCGGGCGTCAAGTCCAGACGAAGGCGAGCGACAGCAGGGGCAGCGATGCTTTGAGGGTCGTGAGGATCTGAGAGACAGATGCGCAGACAGATGTGCAGACAGATGTGCAGATGGACATGTAGACGGGGAGGCAATGGTGAGCCTGATGGGAGCCATATATGTTGGAGTTTGTCGGCAGAGTCGGATGCACGGGTGATATGACGCTGGTATGGGAACCCGGAGGGTCCACGATGCAGATCACCGGAGCAGCCAAGGGACGGCATGACTCACCGATAAGCAGACTCGGCTGGAACAAGAGCGATAGGATCCAGTTGTGGGGTATGGGGTGGAGCGGCACGGCCCTGGTGAGAACGGCATTCCTGCGCAGCCAGCGAGCCGATGGTGATGGACGGCCCATCAAAGCAGCGGCAGAAGCAGCGGCGGCAGGACTTACATGGTCGATCGACCCGCAGACGCCGACGAAAACGCAAAGGCAGATACGAAGGCAAACGCAAACAGCCGGCGGCCAAAGCCCGGCTGGAGGACGATCGGCCGAGCGACGCGGGAAAGCCCGGAAGGCGGTTCCGTCGGAGCCGCTGCGCAGTCGGCATGTGCGTCTGTGGCAGCAGCGTGCGCCCCGCCGCACTCGAGCCGGATCCAGTGCGCCGCCTCTCCGATGCGCAGCCGTTACGTCAGCGTCCCGCTGCTCCCCGCGATGCGCTCCGGTCTCGCGCGAGGCCGCGTGCGTGTGTGTGCTCTCGCGAGGGGCGCGGCGAGGAGGCGTCTCGGCGGACGAGAGTGCTCCTCGCAGACACCTCGGCTGCTCTCGGCTGCTCTCGGTATGCCCTCGCCTCGCGCCGGCTCTCGCTGGCTCGTGTCTGTGTTGCTCCAATCGGTCTTGCGTTCCTCCATCGTCGTCAACATCGTCAACATCGCCAACAGACCAAGGCCGATCCCAACGCACTTCCGTCTGCATCTCGCCGCCGCTGCCCTGCACTCTGCATCCGCCATGTTTGCTCGCACTACCGCCCTCAAGCAACGGGCTGCCCCTGCTCTGGTGAGTCGTCGCCATGGTCTGCCCATCTCGCTCGACCGGGCCCTGTCGTCCGCGGAATCGTCGCGAGAGCACCCATCGGATCCAGCATCGACAATCGCCTTCGCCGTGTGCATTGGCGATTCGCATCTGTGTCTGCACCAGCCTCGACCTGCTATGGCTGAGCTGGGATGGCTGATCCTGCTCTTTCCATGTCTCATGGCCGGCCCTGGATCCAACTCGTGACGCCTCGATTGCCGCCTCGCCGCTGCAGCGCCAGATCTCGTCTCGGAATGCCTCGACCCTCGTCTTCATCGAGCACAAGGACTCTGCGGTGCTTCCTGCCTCGCTGAATGCCGTCTCGGCTGCCACCAAGCTCGGCGGCCCCGTCACGGCCCTCGTCGCCGGCTCTACATCGAAGGAGGTCGCTGCCAAGGTCGCGTCGATTGCTGGTGTTTCCAAGGTCCTCGTTGCTCAGGATGTCGCCTTCGACCACAACCTGGCCGAGCATCTGGCCCCTCTTCTGATCGAGTCCATCAAGAAGGAGTCGGCCACCCATGTCGTTGTTGCCCACTCGGCGCTCGGCAAGAACGTTCTTCCCCGCACCGCCGCTCTCCTCGATGTTGCCCAGATTTCCGACGTCACCAGCATCCAGAGCGAAGATACCTTTGTACGCCCCATCTATGCTGGTGCGTATCGTGCGGTGGCCTGGATTTGATCAAGCCGGTCACATTGAATCGAGGGCACGATCGGCAAGAGGCTCCGTGGCATTCGCAGATCGGGCTGCTGATCCGGCTCAGGACAAGAGCCATGGTACATCGCCAAGTGTGGGCGAGAATCAGTTCCTCGAGGCAGCAGTCGCACCTTGCGTTACTGTGGGCCTTCTCCGCAGATTAGCACCACTTCTGTGACTGCTTTATGGTGGTAGCATGCAGTCAGCGTCTGCTCCGGGATTGGTACCGCCCAAACTGACACTGCTCCGATTGGATCAATCTACGCAACCTATCGTGCTGCTGGAACGACACCATCGATGTTCTATTCCCCGGGTGAGTGCAGGCAATGCCATCGCCACTGTCAAGTCCCACGACAAAGTCAAGCTCCTCTCGATCCGCACCACGGCATTCGCTGCTGCTGAGACCTCTGGTGGATCCGCCACTACCGAGGACGCCCCTGCTGTCGCCAACAAACGTGAGTCCTCTCATTCGCAACCCCGTTCCTGTGGAGTGCTCGACGCAATATTTCGTTCTGTCTGAAGGAATGATCGACCAGAAGGTTGCTCGCTGTAGCCTCCACGATCTGGGTGAACTGGCGATGTACTCGATGGCGGCCGTTTTGCTGTCGTGCACAATCCGGTCACTCGAAACTGCGCTCTAATACTCAGACCCGAATGACCGCGTGCACTTGTTTCTAGCATCCAACGCGAGCCTCTGGATCAAGGAAGAGATCGCCAAGAGCGATCGTCCTGATCTCGGAACCGCCAAGATTGTCATCAGTGGCGGTCGCGGCATGAAAAGTGGCGAGAACTTCAAGATGCTCTACGATCTCGCGGACAAGCTTGGCGGTGCTGGTGAGTCTCACTTTCCTGTCGATCACCACCATGTTGAGCCAACGAGCACCGTGGTGTCAGTCGATCGAGCGGGGAGGGGGGGAAGGTCGCATATGAACCGGTCCGGAAGCGACTTCTTCGCACTCTGACATCTTTCTGTCGACTCGATGATGCACCGTGCTCGATTTGGGCTCTGCGAACGCTTCCCAGTTGGCGCCTCCCGTGCTGCTGTCGACTCTGGATTCGTGCCCAACGATCTGCAGATCGGCCAGACTGGCAAGATCGTCGCTCCCCAGCTCTATGTGGCTGTCGGCATCTCGGGTGCCATCCAGGTGAGTTCGTTTCTCCCCACACACGCACTCCAGGCGAGCTCTTGACCTTGCACCAAGGCGACTGGGCTTTTTATATTCGCGACCGACTCGTCAACGCAGAGCCACTGCTGGCTCGCCTGTACCAATCCCTCCGACTCAGCCCGATCTAACGCTGACGGCTTTTCCGTTGCATCGCCATGTGCAGCATCTGGCTGGTATGAAGGACTCCAAGACCATCGTCGCCATCAACAAGGACCCGGAGGCCCCCATCTTCCAAGTGGCTGACTACGGCCTGGTTGCCGACTTGAACACTGTGAGTTCCCTCAGCCCTATCTTTCCCTCACTTTCTTTTGTCCCTCTTCGCTGCCGGTTAGCGGGGATCATCTACTGACGCTTGTGTGGGTTTCGTTACCTTTCCCTCCAGGCCGTTCCTGCCCTGACCAAGCTGGTCTAACGTCCTCGCGCTTGGCCGAGAATCCCGGGCCAATAAAAGCTCCTCTCTCCTCACGTTTACGTTGAATAGCCCCTTCCGCTACACTGGCCGTTCTACTTGCCTCTGAACCTTCAGAGCAGACACGATCGCATGGGGCTCGGGAGCACATTGTGCATGAGCTGTGGCTTTTTATTGCCGGATCCCCTGCCACAGGATCGGTGGTGGTGGTCGAATGCCGCATCGATGTCGCAAATCGGAATCCTGAGAAAAACAGGCAGGGCGCGCCGTCTCTTGCTTCGACATTGCCGAGCCCACATTGCCAATCTGCATCACTGCGGCGGCGCCTTTCTCTTCAGGGACTGCTGAAGCTGCTGTGGCTCCTCCTCCAATGAGGGCTCGTGCCAGACTTGATCAACGAGTCGGAGCACAGCGGCACCGGGAGTGACGCGGGTGCTTTGGCTCGACACAGTATCCTCGCTGCTTTCGTTTGTTGTGTGATTCAACTCAACGCTGCCTGAAGCACAGACTCGTTCGCCAGTCGCGGTAGCAGCCGGGGCGTCGCTCTGGATTCCGTTTGGATCCGTCTCGGTGTCGCAGTCGCTGCCAGCGGTGTTCTTCGGAGCAGCAAGATCGGCGATTCCAACGGCATCGCCTTTGACCATTGCATTTGTAACAGGATTCTTGTACTGTCGCGTATCAGATTGTTCATTCACTGCCGTCGCATCGCTGTGCCGTTCGGAGGGGACGCTGCTGGGTCCATCGAGACTCTCGTGGACAACTTGGTCAGGCTCGCTGGCGATAAGGCTGCGGATCGATATCGGGCGGCCGATGGACTCATCGTTGTGGGCACTGTTGACGATCGGAGCGGAGAGTGCCTCGGCGTTCTCTTGGCTCATCTCCTTGTTCGAGGCCACAGCCGCCGCGATCAGATCGGACAGCAGGTCGTAGCAGACTCGGGCTGCAGATCCAGTGCGGTTCTCGGCAGCGCCGGGCTTTTGGTCGTGGTCCTGTGCTCGGCCGAGGTTCTGGTCCAGGCTCCGATCACCGGCTCCAGCCTTGTCCTCGCTTTCACCTTCATCGTCGTTATCACCGTTGTTATAATCGTCGTCCTCATCGTCGTCCTCGTCCTGACATATCCGTCGAGCCGTCCGGCCAAGATGAGCGTTAGATGATAAGGAAGGAGCCATGCTTTCTGTCTTTCTTCTGAGGAAGCACCGGGTCACGGGCTGTTGCCCTGCTCCCTTTCGCTCGTTCTAATAGCAACCTCAACTCACCAGCGAGCGCAAAAACTCTTCTGTCAAGACAATCTTTTCCCTGCGCTCCGAGAATTGTGGCGTGAACGCTTCGGTCAGGTCGGCGAGCGGCGTTGGCGTAAACAACATGCTGGGGGCCGCCTCCGCGACGGGGCTCACTTGATCGGCATCCACAACGATTAGCGTTCGGCCGCCGCGGATGCTTGGAGCTTGGTTCGAGACAGCGCCGCAAAATGCTGAGGAGGAGCCAACACCTCTGTCGTAGCCACTGCCGCCGTAGCTGCAGCCGTCGCCCTTGCTGGAGCTGCCTCCGTCCAGGTGGATTGTTTTGAGATTCAGCTTGGGTTTCTTGGACTTGCCCGTGCTCCACTGCCGAACTTGCTCCTGGAGGAGGTTCAGGCCCGTGCTGGGGTCGATGTTCTCCTTGTCGATGTGCTCCAGGAACGACCGCTTTCGAGGCACCGTCGATTTGCCCTTGCTGGCCAGAATCTGGTTGGCAAGCTGTGCTGCCAGGGCCATCGGCTTGAGGTGAGGCGCCGGGGCAGTAAACGGCGTGCGGTGTGGCATCGGGCCAGCGGACTCTGCGGCCGTTCCAACAGGCACGCACGATGGGGTGCTGGGGAAGGCATCGGTGCCATGCCTGCTCGGTACGGTCGAGGGCCGATCCTGCGGGGTCGGCCAGCTCTGCGAGCGAGCGACGGCGGCGGCGGCGGTTCGGGTGTCGTCGTGCTTTGGTTCGACAGCGGTCTTTCGCAGCTTGGTGGGTCTGGTCAATGGTTCGGCAGCGGTGATCTTGGGGGCTTGCGCGTCTGGTGCAGAGAAGCGGCTCAGCGGAGTGGCCAGATTATCCTGCAACTCTTCCGAGGACGGGGTGGGCGAGACCACAGGGTCGATCCAGAAGCCCGATCGGGCAAAATGAGCCGGGTCGACGCGACTGAGGCCGGGCTGTACAGGATCGGGCTGTACAGGATCGGGCTGCACCGAGGTAGTCCTCTTGAAGGGCGGAAGGATTCTTGTCGGCACTTTGGCTTTGGGCTTGGCAAACACCGGACGAACTTTCGGGACCAGCCGGAGGTCCTTGGCCTCGATCGAGTCGGGAGTGGGAACGGTTCGCTGTGGCTCGGCAACGATCGGCGCCGTGGCCGACGATCCTGATCGGGACACCGCACCGGGTTGTGCATCGACATGGGGCGGGGTTGCAATGGCGCTGGGCTGGGCCACAGGGCGAGTGGGGATCTTGGACGGCCGGACTTTCTTGGGTATGAGCGACGGACGGGTAGCGACCGGCAGGGCAGATGGAGGCGCTTTGTGCGGATTGGTATCGGCAGCCGCGGCGGTGGGCTCAGGAGAACGATCCGTTGCCTCGGGAGAGTGATCTGTGGCCGTCTCTGGCTCACTAACCAGAGCCGTATCCACAAATAGATCAACTGGGGCTACATCGGCAGCCTTTGCGTCCGGGATCTCGGCAATGGCGGTGTCGGTGTCGGTGGCCATCACATTGTTGGCGATATCCCTGGACACATCGAGAGAGGTCGCCGTGGTGGTGGGGGCCTCTTTGGCTGTGAGGGCAGGCGGCTTCCGGGCGACCGAGATCATCGCGCTCTCGTTCAGGGCAGAGACGAGCGGGGCTGGCTTTGCGGCCTTGGGATCTTTGCCGCCAGTAACAGCATCCCGCTTGGGATCGTCGAGACCCGCGGACTTGCCCAGGGGCTGGGGTGCCCGCTGTAGATTCCCGGCGGCCGGCTGCAGGGCCTTGCGGACAATATGGTTGACCTTGGCCGCGACAGCCTTTGATGCGACAGCCTTTGATGCGAGAGCAGCTGGGCGGTTCTCATCGGTCCTCTCGGCAGGGTCGGCAAAGACTTTGAAGGTATCGTGTCGATTGGAGGTGGCCATGTTGAGGGGGACTCGGGTCGAGACTGGTTGCTGTCGGAATCGCGCTCGGTTCGAGGGGGGGGGCAACAGTGGTATTGATGCTTTGGCGAGGAAGGACGATGTTGGTAGCGATGCTTGTAGTGCGAATAGACGGATCGTTGGATGGATGATGCTTGCTGAGGATGACGTGGGGACAGGCAAGGTTTGGATGTGAGTTCTGGCGAGGACGGGTTCGCCAGCGATGTGCGATGCTCGCGAGCAGAGCAGGGCTCGTATCGACCTGGGGCTTGTCGAGATGTGTGGCACGCGATGCTGCTGCTAACGGGTCCGCCGATAGATGTCTGCCAGTAGATGTCTGTTGGCGCGGCAGATGGTCGTTTGGGTTGGATGGGCCGTGGTGTCGACAGATCGTGAGCAAGACTGGTCGAGAAGTGCAGCATCAAAGGCCTGTCTCGGATGCGCTCGCTTCTCGCGGTGCCTCTCGCCGCGCTCTCTCCCGCGCTCGGTCTGGACGACATCCCGACCATGGCCCTCGTCGAGTCGCAACCAGACAACGATGGATGGCGATGGATGGCGATGGCTGCGGCTGTGGGCCCGAGGGATGCACATCTCGCACTTGGCAGTCACCGCTTTGTGCTCTGTGGACAATGGACATACTATTACTCGCGCTCTGCAGGACAGTGGTATGACGGCGGCAAGGGATCGGCTTCGACTTTATGGCTTTGGCGTCAGGTCCAGGTCCACAATCACCGGCAAGTGGTCGCTGGTGGGGGTATAGCCAACATAGGCACCCTTGATGCGCCCGCTGTCCTGCAGGCCTTCGCTCACGAGAATAAAGTCGATGGTCGTGCCCGTCCAGCAGGTAAAGTTGGGTCTGCCTCGAGGATCGTGCAAGGCGTCGAAAACGTCAGAGAATCCGTGGGACCGGGACATGGCCAAGACGGGGGAGCTGTACCAGCTGTTGAAGTCTCCGAGAATGAGCTGGAAGGGCCGGGACGAGAGCTCGGCATCGGCGAGCAGTTCGGTGATCTGGTCGAGTCGCTGGGAGGCCGAGATGACCTCGAGATGCGTGCCGTAGATCTCGAAGGATAGGCCCGGCACGGGCTCCACCGTCACGGCAATCATGCATCGGCGGCGGCTGGTGAATTGCTTGGAGTGCTGGGCCGTGAACGGATACTTGCTGTAGACGGCATTGCCAAGCTCGAGGAAGCGCTCGCCGCTGAAGACTCTGATCTTGTGGACGTAGCCCAGCTGACTCATGCGGAGGTCGAACCTTCGGATCTGCTCGCTTTCGTGGATGGTGCTGGTGATCTCCTGGAAGACGACCAAGTCGGGCTGGAACTTGGCCATGTCCTGGTAGATACCTTCTTCGTTGTTGCGGGTTTGGTGGGCCGAGCTGAAAAAGTGGATGTTGAAGCTCATGATACGCAGAGAAGTCGGATCCGAAACGAAGTGGTGCTCTGGGATGCTTGCATTGAGCGGCTCGGCAGCTTGGACCGCCTCCAGAAACTCGTTGGGGCTGTTGACCATAGCTCCTTCATAATCAACAAAAGTGGGTGGATGGGCAGGAAGTTCGTCGGACATGGCTCGTGGTGGATGTGGTCGGGCGAAGGTGCAGCGCAGATGGAGGCCAAATATATGAACGATGGTCGTGATGGACGAGCAGCCACAGGACCGGCGAAGAGGGCAGGGAGGGCGATCGCCGAGGCCGATGGCGTGGCCGATGGCGTGGCCGACTTGACCTCATGCGGCGCAGCCACAGAGTGATACCCGCTGGCTTGAGTATCCTGGTCGCCTGGTCAATGCAGATCCAAGATTCGAGAGCGACGGCCGATGCGATCGGCAGTCGAGCCGATCGCGGCTTGCCATGGCCTCTATTTCTGGATCTCGAATGTGCCGATGCTCGCACGTCGGGTGTGGATTGTGCCAGGGCCAACCAGGGCCAACCAGGGCCCGACCGGCGTGTCTGGCAACACAGCTTTCGGCATCCAAGGCAGAACTCACCGATACTGTGCTCGAGAGAGGTTTCATGCCCCTCAGATCGCTTCATATCGGCCCGTATCTCCCGCCTGACCAGGCGATCTGGCTCGCGCAGCAAACCCACCCACCCCGAGACCCAGACGCCAAGCGCGCCGGGCCCAGCACAGCCATCGCACACGAGCTGTGGGCTGCGGCTGCGCAGCACTGCACAGCACCGGCAGGGTCACGCGCTCGCGTCGCACAGACACACGACCCGCCACCCACGGCACACACGGCGCCTGCGCCGATCACGTTCGCGGCTGTGCGATCATGTCACCCGACCCGCGCCACGCACACGGCGGACCCCTTGTCCAGTGACCGATCCTTCGCTTCCGCGTCCCGTTGTGTGGATCTGCAGGGGCCAATCGACAGTGGGCAGTTGGGTCGCCAGGGCGAACGTGCACGATCAGCGTTGATGTGTATGACGTGTATCACGAGCACATTGCATTTGTTATGTGCATGACATTATATCCGTCATGCACATACAATCTGTCATGCACATATACCATATATCATGCAAATATACATATATCATGCAAATATACCATTTATCTTGCGAATATACCATTTATCTTGCGCATTCACACCCCACTCTGCCAGCTGTATTTGCGTCTCGCCCAATGCGCCGCTTCCCCCACGCTCGCGAAACCTTGCGGCCCGGGCACCGCGGTCCTTGTCCGCCATGTGGCTTCCGTGCGGCCATGGCCATCTGGTCGCTTGTCTCGGCCTGCTCTGCCCGCTTCTGTGCGCTCGCGGGGTCGCAGATCCCCGTGCGTGACAAGTCATGCCTCGCATGACCGGCCACAGACGGCCCATGGCACGCGCGATCGTCTCGCTCGATCGGCTGGCTTGTCCTTGTTGCCCGGTCGCTCTGGCATTATTGCCTCTGCTTCTCCACACCAGATGCTCAGTCGCCATGGGCGTCGTTGGTCTGGCTGCTCGTTCGATCCGTGCTGCCCCAGTCCTTCTCCCCGCCCCGCGTTGGTCCTGGCTGGCCGTCCGGCCCCACTCTGGGCTATAAATTCATCATCACCCCCGCCTTCTTCCTCTCACGCCACCACCCTTCGCTTAGGTCAATCCGCCGAGGACGATCCAAGCACCCCTCCACCCCTCTCCCTAATCCCTTACCCCCCCCCAAAACCCACTAATTTCCTCTAATCTGCCTCGAACATGAAGGTCACCTCTGCCCTCATCTTTGCCCTCTCGGCCATCACCTCCGTCCTGGCCGACACCGTCGCCCCCGGCACCAAGCTCGTTGGTGGCTACCTCCTGATCGACCAAGACGGACCCTCCAAGCTCGCTGCTCTTGCTGCCAACGCTGCCACCCTCCCTGTCAACCGCGTCTGGATCTCCTTCGTCCGCCCTGACTTGGTCTACGTTCCCGGCAGCAACACCCTCGCCAACGTCGGTCTTGGCTATGGCCCCCAGACTGGTGACTATGGTTTCGCCGAGGTACGTGGTCCTCTCTTTGTCCTGCTGTATACCCGCTTCCCCCTCCCTTTGCGGGACTCAATTGGACGACGACCACCAAGACCGGTACACTGCGTCCAATCAACTGATCTCGCTGCTTTGTCCGTCACAGGTCAAGAAGTACGTTGCCCAGCTCCAGGCTGGCGGCGTCGAGGTCTTCCTCTCCATGGGTGGCTGGTCCTACAACTGCTGGCCCTACACCTACCTCCGCAACTCCATTTCTCCCTACGGCGGCAGCCAGGCGAACATTATCAAGCAGTACGGTGGTGGCAACATCAACAACTGTGTTGAAAGCAACCTCTGGTGCTACGCCTGCGACCCCCCGAGCAACGGCGACACCATCAACTCCTATGCCGTCTACCCCGAGCCCGCCAACTCGTCCACCTGGCAGCAGGCCATGTCCTATGTCGCCGCCAACGCCGCCAAAGCTGGCTCCGTCGCCCCTGTCTGGCACCCCAACATCTACGGTGGCCAGCAGTGGACCGATCCCAACACCGGCCTGAGCACCACCGTCGTCGGCAACCCGCTCTTTGCCCAGCTCGGCCGTGATCCCTACCAGGATCTCATCTACCTCGCCAAGGATCTCGGCCTCGATGGTGTCGACCAGGATTATGAGGAGTTCTGTAAGTTCCTTGCGGCTGCACCCGCTGCCGTTGTCCGCTGCTCTGATCTGACCTCTACCCTACCCAATCCCTGTGGACCTTCTGGCCGTCGCTTGATCTGACTGACTGACTGACTGACTGACTGACTGACTGACTGACTGACTGACTGACTGACCAACTCGATCTTGCTTTCTAGGGCACGCCGATACCTTCAAGGGCGGTGACGCCACCTGTTCCAACGGCTGCACCAACACCCAGACCATGTACAAGTACTCGGCCATCATCCGCGACACCATGATCAACATCCAGAACATCTACCCCACCCTCAAGCTCTCCACTGCCGGCGCTGCCACCGGTGCCATGTCCGACACCTGGTGGGGTGGTAACCTCAAGGGCATCTGGTACTTCTCCCACAAGCAGAACCCCGATGTCATCAACTTCATGACCACTGGCAACAACGCCGGTGGTGTCAACATCATGTCGTACGATATCTCCACCAACGTCGATGAGTGCCCTACCCAGCTCAACGGCCAGTGCCAGCTGACCGACCAGGTCAACTACTACATGTCGACCTTTGCCGCCGCCAACATCCCCGCCAACGTCGGCTACGAAATCGGCACCCCCGCCTACCCCGATCCCACCACCGACCCCCAGGAGCTGGCCAACCTCACCTTCTCTGCCGCCACCACCCTCCTGACCAACACCCAGCCCAAGTACAACGGTGGCTTCATCTGGGAGCTCTTCAAGACTGCCGACTCGAGCGCCAACATTGATGTCACCTCTTTCCTCGATGAGCTCTGCGCCGTTATGCTCCCTGGCTCTCCTCGCTGCTCTGGCAAGGTTCCTCCCTACACCTCGTGAGTATCGTATGAATGCATTGCTGTTGTGTCGCTGCTGCTATCGCTCTGTCCGATGTCCCGGCTCTGTCCATCTTGATTGATGGGGTGTGGTCATATTCGCTTCTAACTCTGTCGTCCATGATTGTATTTCCTTTCTCTAGTCAAACCACCACCGCTACCGGCCCTACCACCACCACCACCACCACCCCTATCAAGACCACCACCACTACCACCACCACCACTACTACTACTACTACCACCCCTGTCAAGACTACCACCACTACCACCAAGACTTCCTCCACCAAGACTTCCTCCACCAAGTCTTCCTCCACCAAGTCTTCCTCCAAGCCTCCTACCACCACCACCACCACCACCACCTCGGCTTCCCCCACTGCCACCGGCTCCCTCCCCAGCCCCGGCCAGCCCTGCACCTCTGGCTATGCTTGCGGTACTGGTAACAGTGTCCTCGTCTGCTCTGGCACCTGGATCTCCATCGGTGTCTGCCCCGCCGGCACCGCTTGCCAGCCCGGCACCTTTGTCTGCGCCGCCGCTTAAGCGAGTTCAACCGAATGAATATTTTCGGTAGCTTCTGGCGTGTATGTGTGTACCTTTCACAACTCTATGGCGCTTCCGTCGTTGCCTGTACTCTTCCCTCTCTACCCGCTGTGAATCCTGGCGAGCCGGGTTCTGTATCTATGCCTCTCAAAGCAGATCTCGTTCCCTTCCATTCTCCTCTCTCCCCTTCTTTCCTCTGACAGAAGAGCGAGCGGTCGGGTGGCCAAACATCTCTTCCTGGTAAATACAATACGATGCTTTTTCGTCCAGAGAACTGTGTTTTCGGCTCCTTCGGTCGTGACAGGGGGGGGGTCATCAAAGCGGTGGATTGCCAGTAGACCAAGACAGCAGCGGATTGTGAGTATTCGGCTCCAGAAAGAAACGAGACAGTCCTTCTCTGGCATCAGAGGCCTGAGCCCTGCCGATACTTGGCGAACCTGAGTCTCCGTGGGTTGGATGCATATCCTTCCCTTGCTTCCAGGAGGCATTTCGATTGCAATGAGTGGGTGGGTGTGCTCAGGTTCCAAAAAAAAACTACTGCCCCAGTCCAAAACGGAGTGTCTCATTTCATTTTGGGAACGCTATACTATATCTGTTTCCGCGGTTCGATCGTTATTGCAGACGGATGTGTATTCCATTCACTGTTTTTGAGAGGACCCGACTTTCACGGCAAACCCTGTGCCCAACAGTCTCCGAGCGCTGTGTCGAGGCAGCGACGGCATTTGCCTTGCAAATCCATCTAAGCACTGCTGTTTTTTGACCGGCTGAGCTCCTCGGTGAACTCCTTGGGACTGAGGGTTGGAAGCGGCAGCATATTATCCCGTCGAGCAGAGCGAGATTGTAATGGCGTAATCAGCCAGAGTCCGAGCATGTGGGTGCGATGATACAGGCGCTGCAATTCCCCTCGGGGACTTCAGTGGTCCAGCGCCCAGTTTCTGCTCCAACGCACACCCATCCGCTCTCTGTGCCCACGAGCACGATGGCGCTTACAATTGAACTTCCCACACGGGCCGGTCGCTATTGGCGTTGGCCATGATGGTCTCGTAAATGAGCTGTTGTCGGCGCTTGGCCTCATCGAGGGTACGGCTGTTGACTCGGCCGGATTCTCGCAGAGTCTGGTAGAAAGCCAGAGGGCACGATGGGTTAGATTCAGACGTTTGTGGCCATCCAAGCAATCGACAGCAACGCCAACAATATAACAATAACAATAACAACAACAACAGCAACATTAACACCAACAACATCAACACCAACAACCCAGTCAAAACTGCAAGCCAAATCGCTGCACTCGCTCGCTCGAGATGCATTATCCGCTGGACGGACCTGTTCCATATCGCTGGAGAGGTTGAGGGCCGTCGGAATGAATCGAGAGCAAGGGTTGAGTAGGTGTTGACGTTGGGGCGCTTGGCTCAAAGATCGATGTGATATGGCTTTGGTGCCGGCGTGGGCAGGAATCTCTGGAGCGACGAAGCAGCAGCAGCGATCCTACCTCGAATTGGGGACGGTGTAGTTCAGAAACAGGTATCCGGTGCCCATAATGAGGGACACATAGATGGTCGACTTGATGGCAACGCCGATGAAGCGGGACATGCGGGGCTGGGTCGATTGATCGCGGAGGTTGTCGGGAGGGAGCAGCGAGCCAGATACCACGAAAAGCAGGACGCAGAATGCAGCATGTAGCAAACCCAATATTAGACGGTGGGTTTGAGGTTGGCCGTGCGGTGGTGAGCCAGAGTTAAGGCCGCCAGCAGCCAGCAGCCCGAACCAAGCGGGCCCTGTCGATGGTATCCAGCCACATACCGGTGTGATGGATGGGAGCGGGGGCGAGATCAGGTCGAACCAAAAACCGGACAGAAACCCGGTCACGTCCGCCCCGCCCTTCTTGCTTCATCGTCTTGCCCAACATCCGCCATCGCCTGTGCCGCCGCATCCACTCCCACGAACCCAAAACCGACCCAGCCATGTCCGTCGACGGAGCCATCCTCAGCTCAGACAGCACCCCAAACACCGTTCCTGGCGAAAAGTTTTATTTCAGCCAAGGTCGGCGCCGTTTGCCGCTCGCCTCGGCTCCGGGCATTGCTCTGACTGCGGGCATACATACATCCGTCCACATGCGTCTGATCGTGATTCCTGCCGGGTCTTTCCCTCTCATCAGACAAAGTGAGCTTCAGCTACCTCTCCGGCAAGTGAGTGCCCTTTAATTTCCCTTCAAAGCCATGCGTGGCATCGAACCCACAGCTGCGGGGCAGCCAATGTCCGTCGCTACTATCCTGTGGCCGAGCCTCAACTCCAGAATGGGCTGGATCAATGGAGCCAATGCCACACCGCTGCCTTTCCTCCAATATCTGGTCCGCTCACCGTTATGTCGTGCTCGCAGCGGATACCCAGGAAGCGGCGACTGCTTCATGTCGCCAAGCGGAAAGGTCTACGTCTGTGAGTATTCACGAGCCACCAGACTGGGTGGGCGGGGATACGCATCTGCCCATCCGTCTACGGGTCCATTCGACCGTCTGCACGACAATGCTAATGACACTTGCGGGACTCGTCAACGAAATGCGGCAAACAAAACTGCCGTTTCACTTTATCTGCGCAGGGCAGGGCAGGGCAGGGCAGGACAGGGCAGGGCAGGGCAGGGCAGGGCAGCGCAGGGCGGGACTTGCTGTCCTGACTGAAATTGCGGCTAACATTTTTATCCGGCGCTATCGCCCCTCCCCGCCACCACCACATGGTCGTCGATATTGTTGTTATTTTCGCCATGTCATCTACCGATGACTCTCGGCATCCTCAGCCAACGTGCGGGTTGTGTATGTGGCCAACCCTTCCCAGCCAAATTTCCATTCATTTTCGGCCCCACTGCACAACATCAGGTACGGGTTCTGCCGTCAGTCTCTCGTCGCACCACCGGAAAGATCAGCTTCTCCTGAAGCCTGGCCCATGTGCGCTGCCCCTCATCGGCGACGGCTTGCTGCATGAGGCCCCCGTCTCAATATCGTGGCTACTTGTCACCTCTATCGTCACCAGAAATGGCAAGCTTCAACAGCCCTGGCTTGGTGCAAACTTCTACGAAGGTAGCGATAGATATCGCACATGGACTGGTGCACAATCGAACTGCTCTTCCCTGGATTCCATGGGGCGGACTACAGTCTCGCCCCGACGACCTACGTATCTGCTAACTCTCCATCATATTCATCTCTCTCCCACCCATTGCAACGGTGTGTCTCGGCGATCAGCACATGCCTATCCTGTCCCCTTGAGCAACCTGAGAAAGCCAGGCGTCGTCAAATTCACCTTTCAGAACGGTGGTGCCTTTGAGTTCTCGACCATATTCAAGGAGCTGAGCGCCCGAATCCCAGGTATGACTCGGAGCAACGATCGCTGTCTTGACGAGATCTACCGTTCTGTTGATCGCTCTGGACTTTTTGCAGCGACAGACAAGATTTGGATTTGCTGCATTAGACGAGATGCCATAGATACTTTGCGACATTGCACTTGCCTCAGCATCGTGTCGCAGCATGTTCAGATGACTAACGCTATGATTTGACCTCCCGCCACCTCGAATCGCCGGCTTGATGCAGAGGGCGTCAATCCACTCGAGGAGTCGCTTCCGGAGTACCAAGCGCCCCCGCCCCCGCCTGCTTACAGCGCATCCGATTAAAAACGGGACACTCGTGTTTTTGACCATTCATCGAATATATTGTTACCCAATGTTATCGCGCGCTGGCCATGACCATTCGCCAGACGGTGTGGAATCGCGACGTCAATGCGGCGCGCAACATGATCACAGTGTGCAGGTCGATTGTGGAGACCGGAGGGCGACCGGTGGCCTTCACTCGGAGGCTGCCAAAGTGATTTGATTGTATTACTTATGGCTTTGCTTGACGCAAGCACATCACATACTACATGTTCATGGAAGCAGCTGTGTTGTCACGTTTGTTTCTGAATAAAGTGTACTCAGAGACTCCTAACAGCGAGGAAGAAAGCTCGGCAGTGCCCTCGACGGCTCCTTCAACAGCACCGGAGAAGGGAGGCTCCAGCTCATGATCAAGCGTCTGCTGGACATGGCTCGGTGAATGCTCGTTGCTGTGACGCTGGTTGAAGGTCTCGGGGCATTTCCCACAATTTTGAGTCGCCTGTTTGTATCTATGTTGTCGTCCGTCCAGCGACCGCAACCGTACGGCAGGGGGCAAAGTCTTGGCTTGTCGAATTGTACCTGGTCTTCAGCTGCAATTGTACCATGAAGAACACGCTTCCGAGTATTTGTGGACGATGTCCGCAGAATATGAGCAAAGGCAAGAGGACGGCCCTATGCCGGCCGCAGATGGGGATGCAGACCCGCAAGACAGCAATGCGGGAATGGATGGCGACGTGAACGGCACGCATTCGGGAGCCTGGGGGGAAGGGAGGCAAAGAACGGCCAATGCTCCCCAAAGCAACAAAGCAAGACAGCCGACTTTCGTTTTGTGACGCCCATGCGCCTGGTCGAGATGAGATCTGCGTGGGCGAGGCGTCGGACCAGGCCCGACCCCACATGCCCTCGCATCCCGCACCGGATCCCCACACGGTCCCGATTGTGTAGCCCAATATCGGCGAGTGACGAACGCATCTTGGATAGATATTGAGGGGCGCACAAGCAGCGGTAATCGGGAACATGGTCAAGGCAAGCGATGGAATGGAACAGTCTGCCGCCGGAGGATCTTGGACACGGCCGCAGGATGGGCCGGACGGGGCCTCGAGCGGCATTCGAATGGCCGGGAGGCAAGTGGTGTGGGTGGCTGGAAGCAGCGGGTCGGAGGGGGCTGGCGATGGTCCATGAATGAATCGGAAGCTCGCCCAGGACAACGCAGCAATCACGCCCCATGGAAAGTCCCGAGCCAGCAGGATCCGGCTGCCGAAGGAACGCACTCGTTGGGAAAGAAACAATCGACCGAGCCGCAGAGGTGATTCGCCGGAAGCCCGGCAGGCGGCGGCCCCGAGTCAGGCAGCAAACGCAGACCGGGGGGTGGCTGCTGATCATCTGCCTGCTCACGATGCAAAGAGCCGTTGGCTGTGCGGCTGCGCTGGATCTGGAAGGGCATGGTGGTGGGGATGGAAGGAGAGCAACAGGGCAACAGACGGGAAAGAGTCGCTGGGTGCTGGCGAAGGGGAAAGGCAATGAACGACATAGGGTGGGAAAGTGGACAGGGAACCGTCAAGGACGGCATCTTTAGCGAAAGGGATGGCAGCACGGCCTGGGTGCTCCCAGACATGCAAATGTATGTGTTGATAGCCGCCGGCACCCATCCCAGCACAGGCATGAGAGAGTGGTCACGCATGGATCGAGGCGACCAGCATGATCGACTCCCCCCCCCTCGGAGGCGTTGCGGCCGAGCCACAGGATTCTACAAGAAGAACATCCCTGCCCTGGCCAGGCGAGATGCAGGCGTGCGGGTGGGACCTTTTCGGCGACGCGCCGGGTCCTGGCCGCTGGGCCATTCGAGAAGGCAGTGCCAGAGCAGCAAGACTGTCATGGGGCTGGTGGCGCGCGGCGCGGCCAGGAACGAAAATGGGAAAGGTGCGACGGCGGCAGCTGACAGGGTCATCTGATGGAGGGGGACAAGTCGATGCACCAGCCCGAGCCGAACGGGCGCTGTGGTTCGATAGGGGCACTTCGATGGGGGTTGGTGTGGAGGAGAATGCTGCAAGAAGGCTGCATCGAAGGTGCCGGGGGGGGGGCTGGGCAATGCCGGGCCAAAGTCGAGCATAAAAAGCGCCGCCCGAGCGCCCTCCGTCTCGGCCACCACCGACCCTGCGCTCAACCCGCTCCAGCGTCCCTCAGTCCTCATCAAAGTTCTCCTCCTTCAATCCCTCCTCCTCCACCCGCAACCACCCCAGCCATGCTCGTCAACGCTGCCGCCGCCGTCGTTCTCTTCCTTGGCATTGCTGCCTCGGCCGATGCCGCCTCTGTCAAGAAAGGTACTGCCGCCCGATCTGTTTCCCACACCCCTGGCTGGTGTGTTTGATGAGTGTTCTGATTGCTGTGGGTGTTCTGATTGCTTGGGTGTTCTGTTCCCACACTCTCCACACTCACTGCCGCGCAACCCATCCAACATACTCACCACCCACTGCCACCCATCCCACAGGCAAGTGGAGCAAGTACGTCAAGAGCCTCGACAAGGTCATTGGTTCCACCCAGAACACTGCCATCATGGCCTCCGAGTCGAGCCAGCTCCACTCCCAGTACCTTGCTCGCCAGAACGACTCGCAGTTCCAGGGTCTCGTCCAGCAAGTCCGCAGCCACCTCCACAACGGCATTGATGCCAGCCTCCTCTCGGGTTCCATCGTCTCTGACAAGTCGGTCGAGTCGATCCGCCAGAACGTCTTTGTAAGTACTCGGCGCGACAGAATGCTTGTGCATTGGTGCATTGGTGCATTGGTGCATTGGTGCATTGGTGCATTGGTGCATTGGTGCATTGGTGCATTGGTGCATTGGTGCATTGGTGCATTGGTACATTGGTGCATGCCATGCTCTTGCCATCCACCTCATTCACCCATTCGCTCACTCAATCACTCTCCATCAACTGCCACCAGGGAAACGGTGCCTCTGCTGAAGACACCCAGACCCAGTCCGAGGCCGTCCTCGCTGCCGTTCTGCCCACTTCCTGGGACTCTCGCAGCTCGGGATGGGTCTCGCCCATCAAGGACCAGGGTCAGTGCGGCAGCTGTGTCGCCTTCTCTTCGGCCGCCGCCGTCGAGAGTACCTTCTTGAGCCAGGGAACCTCCATCATCGTCTCCGAGGCCGACATCTTCTTCTGCCTTGCCGCTGGCCAGGCTCAGTGCAGCACTGGCTGGTACCCAAGCTCGGCCGCCAGCGCCATCTCCAGCCGCGGTGTTGTCACTGAGCAGTGCTTCCCTTACACTGCCGGCACCGGCCAGGACCAGAGCTGCACCGACAGCAGCTGCTCTCGCACTGGTGGCATCTCTGAGAACTCCTTCAGCAGCGTCGACCAGTTCAAGCAGCACATCATGGCCTATGGCGCTGTCTTCACCGCCTTCACTGTCTACAGCGACTTTGAGAACTGCTGCAGCAACAACCAAATCTACATGCAGCAGTCCAACCAGCAGCTCGGCGGTCACGCCGTCGCCATTGTTGGCTGGGACGACACCAACCAAGCTTGGCTCTGCAAGAACTCTTGGGGCCCCTCTTGGGGAACCAGCGGTTTCTTCTGGATCGGATATGGCCAGTCCGGCATTGGCGCCACCAGCCAGACCTTTGGTTTCACTGTTGCTGGCAACCAGCCCACCACCACCACCAAGCCTGTCAAGACCACCACCACCACCAAGCCCGTCAAGACCACCAGTGGTCCCACTCCCTCCGTCAACCCTCCTCCTCCTCCTCCTTCGGGCAGCTGCACCGGTGCCGCTCCCAACAGCTATGTCTGCCAGAGCTCCACCAGCTACTTGTGGTGCGTTGGCGGCAACTCCTATGCCTACAACTGCCCTGCTGGCACCACCTGTGTCTCGGGCGTTAACTACCCCTGCTCCTGGTAAAGCACTGGAGCAAACTCCTTGATGTGTTGAGCACTATCTGTTAAGCTCCAAATCCCTCAATGTACTATGTGCTCTCTCTCTCTGTCTGTCTATTGTCCTCGTTATGAAATAAAACCCGACCAGATTGAAATGGACACGTTCGGTATGGAGCTGAATGATGTTGATAAATTACCTGGCTGAATGATGTTGATACATTATCTGGCTGAATGGTATTGATCGGCATCCGCGCTGTTGTGATCGACCCGGCTGTTAAATTCTCATGAAACCACCCAATGAAATGAGCTCATCCGCCTGGCCGAGTATATGATGCGATCCAGCTTGAAGTTGGCCTGTATCTAAAGACGACGACAGGTTTCGTTGCAGCCGTGGCATCCGTGGGTGTCTTGGTCAAGACAGCCTCGCTCATCTCGCGGATGGTATGGGTGCACTGCGTGTTCGTATCCATGCTGAAGGAAACGCTTTCGCTGTTGGAGAGCGACACAGCCAACCCTGCATCGCAATGGCAGAAACGGGGTTTCAGGCACCTACGCCACACTCTCGAAGTCATGTCTCGCAAGGCAGCGACTGATTCGGCACACCCGCAATGAGTATGCCGAAGGAATGCATTTTTGCACAGGGTGCATATGTCGGCCTCGTCCAGGAGGGACATCTGGCATCTTGACAAGCCCAGCCAGATTTTCACAGCGTATCATGTTCCGGATCCCAAGTATCCAGTCCGGCTGGTGCGGCGGTTCTTGGCTATGGACGCTCCGGGTCGCCCCTCCTCTGTAATTCCGCGTCGTCGCTGAGCATCTCGAGCAGCAGGCTCTTGCCCTCCACCCAAACAGCGACCGCACACAGGTGCCTTGGGTTTGAGCGCAAACGTAGGGCTTTGGACATATGGCACAGTGCACAGCCGCTTCGGCGACATTGCAGACTCAAACCCAGCACTCGTAGCCACAGTTGCAACTCCGCGTCAGGATGACGGCAAATAAAGGTCTCGAGGAACACAGACAGTTGACAGTGGATATCGAGAAATATATAGCTCGGCATGGTGTCGACAGAAGCATTGGGTCGCTAGATCTTCATATCGAAACAATGTATTGGTCACTGATACATACAGATGCATGTCGCTCCTTAGACCTCGGCGAGGATGGCGGGCTGGATGGGAGAGAGACAGGAGAGACGGGATCAGCTGCTGACACCACAGACGCATCCGACAACACACCCGAGGGCAGCGACTGGACCCCACAACTTACCTCAACAAAGTCACCCTTGGAGACCTTGGCTCCAGTGTCAGAGCTGAGATCGCCGTGGAGCTCAATGAGCTTGCCAATGTCGAACTTGGGGGACTTGAGGATCTTGGCCTTGCGAACGTAGACGTTCTGGAGAGGGTAGATGCCCTGGGTGGCCTTCTCGATCTCCTTGCCAATGACCTCGGGAACGAACTTCTGGACGAGCTCCTTCAGGTCGCACGAGGAGGCCTCGCGGGTCATGATCTCGAACATCTTCTGGCGAATCTGGCGGATCTGGGCGTGGGTAGCGTAGGTGGTCTTGCGCTGCTGGTTGGGGCGGCGCTTGGTGAAGGCAATGGCAAAGAGGCGGATCAGGTAGCCGTCGGTGGTCTTGACGTCAACGTGAGCCTCAATGAGGGACTGGATGGACCAAGAGAGACTGTCAGAATCGGGCACAGCGGGTGGGGTCGAGACATGCCTCCTCGACACGATCGACACGCGCTCCAGAACCACCATGTCGCACTCTCGCCGGCTGCAACACACACCTGCCACTTCTTGACGAGGGAGCGGAGCTTGTCGGTGGTGAAGTCCATGCCGTAGAAGTTGGTGAGGCAGCTCTTGCCCTGGATCTCCTGAACCTGGAGGCGGATCTTGCGGAAAGAGTCATCCTGGTTCTTGTTGAGATCACAGAGCGACAGTTCGACAACACGGCCCTTGAGGGCATCGTTGGCGTTCTCTGCAAAGCGGGGGAGAGTTGCAGTCAGCGCCTGGCGCGAGATCCGGACGGCAGCGTCTGCCCGCAGCTACAGACTCTCGGGCGTCGTGCGGGAGAGCGCGGACGAGGGATGCTACGTACTCAGGCCCTGGGTGCGGTTGACGAGGGTCTTGCCAATGTTGCGGATCTCGAAGAAGCTGGGGGCCTTAATGTCGTACCACTCCTTGCGGGCGAAGGGGTCGATGCTAGAGACGGAACGAGCCAGAACACACGCATCAGGACACGGCTGCAGGCCTCGTCGGGGTGTTCCAGTGCACCAAGGATCCAGTTGCCACTGTCGAGTTAGTTGCCTCCGAGTCGTCCATGGCGCCGCAGATCGGCCGGTCCGTGAGTGTACAGATGGATTGGGGACGGTGCGCTTGGCCGGTTGTTTTGGAAGTGCGTCTATCCCAGCGTAGTGTCGAAGGCGGTCCGTGGGTCCCCACCGCCAGCCCACAGGCGAGCACTCTCGATTCCCAGTTGGCGTCGGCGCCGGTCCCTCGACATCTATCCATCCATCCATCCATCTATCCATCCATCCATCCATCCATCTATCCGTTGGAGCGTTGAGGTGTCCGTGCGGTGCGCTCAAGCCCGAGCCCGCCCAGTCCAGCCGAGCAGCGGACGACCACGTACGTCTTCTTCTTGAGACCCTTCTTTCCCTTAGAGAGACGCCTGGCGATGACAGTGGGCAGGTTAGCAGCAGCTCGTCGGGGTGTAGCATGGCAGGCAGCCTCGACGGTGCAGACACATACTTGTTCTTTCCGACAGCCATGTTGACTTAAATATGTATCTGCGACTCCGAAGGATTGAGCCAATATGCAGAGTAAGGCAAAGAGGGAGCTTCCAAAAATCCCGGGAATGTCCATGCTGTTTTGCTGCCCGGCGCCGGCCAGCCACCAGACACGCGCTGTGCCACACTTAGTCAGCGGCCGCCGGCTCGAGCCAGTCCAGCCAGTCCAGCCAGCCCCGTCCAGCCGGCTCGAGCCGACTCTGCTGCGCACACTTAATTGATCGGCAGAAAAACGCCGCTTCATTTGCGCCTCGTCCTTTGGCCGATCAGAACGCAAGTCGCTCCGGGTATAAAGCTGCCCACTGCCCGCCGCGTCCAGCGCCGCGTTCTTCGTCGCAAGTCCGCGCTGCTCCTCTGTCTTCGCACAATGGCTCTCTCGCACCCAAACATCGAGGACGGCTGGTTCAAAGAAACCTGTGCCCTGTGGCCTGGCCAAGGTATGTCCGCGCTGCTGCTGTCGCCTCGTGCCCTCGTTGCGCATCATCGCCCACCCAGCTCAACCCAGCCCAGCCCAGTCCATTCATGGCTCCTGTTGTGCCTCTATTAAGGGTAAAACAACACCACAAATTCCCTGACAGCTATGACCCTCCAGGTTAAGAGCATTTTGCATGTCGAAAAGTCGCTCTACCAGGATGTGCTGGTCTTTGAATCCGAGACCTACGGCAACGTCCTCGTCCTCGATGGCGTCATTCAGGCGACCGAGCGCGACGAGTTTGCCTACCAGGAGATGATCGCCCACCTCCCCCTCAACGCCCACCCCAACCCCAAGAAGGTAAGGATCTCGGCCACCCTCCCCCTTAATTTGTCTGCCTGCACCTCACAGTGATGACTGCTTTGCCGCCCCAGGCGGAAAGAATTCGTGTCGATAATACAAGCGATCCAGCCTTTTTTTTGTCTGAACCGAGAGTGCCTGGACTTTGATTCCAGCTCGTCCGACACTGTGACTGCACCGTCGAGCACTCTCTCACGCATCGGCTCCTCACTCTAGGTTCTCGTCATCGGCGGTGGCGACGGCGGGGTCCTGCGCGAGGTCGTCAAGCACGACTCTGTCGAGCAGGTTGTTCTCGTCGAGATTGACGAGGCCGTCGTCCGTGCCTCCAAGGCCTTCCTCCCGAACATGGCAGCGGGCTTCCATCATCCCAAGGTCAAGGTCCACATTGGCGACGGCTTTGCCTATCTGAAAGACAACGTGCAGTCGTACGATGTTATCATCACCGACTCGTCGGATCCCGTTGGTCCGGCCGAGTCTCTCTTTGGCGAGACGTTCTACAATCTGATGCGCCAATCGCTGCTGCCCGGAGGCATCATCTGCATCCAGGGTAAGCCTCTGATCCCCACTTGCTGCGCTGCGGCATTGACAGACGAGACGATGATTACAACATACCTTGCACCACTCTGAACTTTGTGTGGAGACTCATCACCTGAATCAACCATTATGAGTCTTGGTGCTGGTCAGCAAGATCTGCGCCTGTGCCTTGGACTGTGTGTTAATCTCGCATCTCTGTCGCTGTAGGCGAGTGCCAGTGGCTCCACCTCGACCTTATCAAGGAGGTGCTCGACAATTCGCGCAAGATCTACCCGACTGTCGAGTACGCCTGGTGCTCTATCCCGACATACCCCAGCGGCCAGATTGGCTTTGTCCTCTGCTGCAACGAGGCCGGCCGTGATCTCAAGGCGCCTGTCCGCAAGTTCTCGCCCGAGTTTGAGAGCACGCATCTGCGATACTACAACTCGGACGTCCACAGGGCGGCGTTTGTGCTGCCCAACTTTGCCAAGATTGCCCTGACCAAGAACTAGTTTTTCACAGAGCTGCCCCTTCCGTCTGGCCCCTGTTTCGATAGCCTCACTGCAGTTTTGCTGACCCCCCCCCTCCCACGCATTTGCACTTTTGACTCAACCAAATAAACCTCTGCATATCACATCGTCCATTCCTTGCTTGCTCTTCGTGCTGCCGAGTATGCCGACGATATAGGGGCTGTTTGTGCTTGGCGTGCGAGCAGCGGATTGAGAAACCACTGCTGCTTGCCGTGCCAGGGTCGCAAGAAGCGGCTGCGGTGGTTCGAAATGCGGCCGTCGTCTTCCCTTTGGTTCCAATCGCCAGCCTTGCCGATTGGCGGGCCTGGCTGGCTGGCTCGGGCATCCTGCATTGGCGGCCCCATTTCTTCTTTCGCCGCCTGGTCTTCCTGCCACTCGCTCATCATCCATCCCTCCGCCTCCCGTCCGCCTTCGGTCGTGGAGTCTGCTGTCGCCTCGGCTCCGACCTTTGCCCACAACACCCCAGCGAACTAGCGATTCTGCTTCCAAAATGAGCGGCACCGGACCAAGACTGGCCATCTTTCCTACGCGAATGTATGTTGCAGGCCATCGGAGGATTGACGGCCTGGCCCTCCTCGTCCACGCCCAAACGGCTGGCCCTTGCATCTCCAGACCCGAGCGCCTGCAGACCCATTGCAATGCCTCGCTTGTCGGGCCTCTGCTTCCGCGAATAACTCAACCGCTCGTGTCGGCAGGGCTCTGACCATGCTGAAAAATCGGCTGAAGGGCGCCCAAACAGGACACTCCCTGCTCAAGCGCAAGAGCGAGGCCTTGACCCGCCGATTCAGAGAAATCATGAAGAAAATTGACGAGGTGCGAACCAGCGATGTCGCGCCCATCCATTGTGCAAGACAGCCAAGTCATTCCCAGTCCTGCATGTCCGGGGCCGCTGCTGATCTCGTTGAGAGCTTGCTATTTCGGAGCGTATTCTGAGCCGCCTCGTGATCATCAATACGTAGGCCAAGAGAAAGATGGGCAAGGTCATGCAGCTTGCCTCTTTCTCATATGCCGAAGTCAAGTACAGCACCGGCGATATCAGGTTAGCCTCCATCGCTGCGGGGGGGGGCATCGCGGACTGGCGGCTGAAACGCCTTGAACCGCCAATAGCACCGATTCGCTCGGGGAACTGGGGTGTCTCTCCGACGACGGCAAAGACACCCCCACAGCCCGCATTCTCATCCTGCCGGCTATGCTGGGTGTCGCTATAGCTACCAGATTCGCGAAGGCGTCAAGTCTGCCCAGCTCAAAGTCAAGACGAGGCAAGAAAATGTCTCGGGCGTCATGCTTCCCGCGTTCGATTTGATTGTGGACGGACAGAATGGTAGGCACCGTCTGCTGACATGCCCAAAGCGGTGCGCAACTGGGCTTGAAGCGAGTTCGGGCGGATCGCAGTGGTCGTCGGCATCGGGGCATCGGGGCATCGGGGCATCGGGGCATCGGGGCATCGGGGCATTGGAAAGCTGCATGGCTTCGCTGCCGGCGATCGACCACACACATTGCTGCCGCTTCCCTCGCTCGAACTCTTGCGATACACCTCTGGCGCTGGCTCAGCCTCTTGTGTGCAGTCCCGAGAACCGCCTCTAATACTGGTCTCACTCGGCCACTGGGATGAATAGCGTTTGAATTGACGGGTCTGGGTCGTGGCGGACAGCAAATCCAAAAGAGTAAGGACACATACAAGAAAGCAGTCGAGGTTCTCATCGAACTGGCATCTTTGCAGGTACGCTTGAGGGGATCATTCACCTTCCGAATTTAGTGTGTGGGCGGTTCTTGGATAGATGACACCGTCCCACGGGCCGGCACTGTTGCAATCCCAACTAACAAGCAATCTCGGACACTGCAGACGGCATTCGTTATCTTGGACGAGGTCATCAAGATCACAAACCGAAGAGTCAACGCGATCGAGCACGTCATTATTCCTCGTATCGAAAACACCATTCGATTCGTCACAAGCGAGCTGGATGAGCAGGATCGCGAGGAGTTCTTCCGTCTCAAGAAGATCCAGAACAAAAAGAAAGAGGCCAAGGCGCAGGACGAGCAGAGGCGAGTTGCAACAGATGGTGGGTTTCTTGCGCTGACTCCGACAGACATTCTTGCTTGCACCTTCTCTCTGCGGCGTCAAACAGTTTCCAATTGGCACGTATTGGCAAAGTGCATCGGTATGCACACGATCGAGCCCATCGATGATGGCAATGCGATTACTCATTGTTGGACTTGCTCCCTTTATCCAACCGGTCGACTGGACCCATTTGCTCCACCACTCCTCGAAATGCTTGGTTATGTGATGCCTGAACTGAAACAACCCAAAACGCAATCTATGGACACGCAGCCCAAGCCGCAGATGCCCAGCCAAGCCTACTGGCCGAATACGAGGAAGACCCCGATGTCATATTTTAACAGCGCGCGGGACCGGCACAGCCCATTCGGTTGCTCACGTCGGTCAATCGAGGCTGACACCGAGCCTGGAAGTGCAAGGTCTGCTCTTTCGATGCAGCACGAACAGATTAGCAATACAGCAGCCCTTCCAATGCAACGAGAGATGTCCTGGAGTCCCGATCCGCTGCGGCGATTTCTGAGTGGTCCATCAATGAGAATCTTCGGTGGAGGCGATCCATCGTGGTGGACTTGCGGCCATGTCGTAATCGTGGGCTGTCGCGCGCCAGCTCCATCCGCTGCATCGGGACCAAGCATCAACCAGAGAGTAGCAGTGTCCATGAATGGCCAGAGGCCTAGGAGTGTCCGGGAGTGTCCAGAGGGCCCAGGAGTATCCATGGCCTGCCCAGGGAATCTCCATCGGAGCTGCATCCTGGTCACGTTGTCGTTTTTCTTTTTGTTGCTGCGCCTGGATACGCAGCTCCCAACAGGCTCCGTTCTCGACTCGATCTGAGCACGCAGCGACCACCGACACCGTTCCTTCGCCCCAAGGAGTGCACTGCCGACCAGAATTGCGGCCATGGACGTGTTTAAACTGCTGGGTGCTGGTGCCAGATTTGACCGCAAGCGGTTCAAGGACGATCTGGGCGTCTTCCAGAAGGTTAGCGCCTCTCTCGCCGAGGACATCGGTCTGACTTGCATCGCCGGGCTGTCAGGAGTGGCCACTGCCGATCTCTCTTCCAGGCTATCACTCGCTATCCTTGTTGGCCAGCCTCGATTGACTTTTACGGTATACCACAGAGAGCGCCTGGGGCCTCTGCTAGCTCATCGACAATCGCATCCGAAAGTGTAGCCGATGAGCTTGATTTCTTCAAGATCAACGAAAAGGTCGATGAGGGCACCTCTGCACCCTCAGCGGCCGCCAAAAAGCGCAAGGCTGACGACGGTGACGGCGACGACGAGCATAGCTTTGAGACGAAGCACGATGACTCGGCAACCCATGCGGACGATGACGAGCAGGACGAGCAGGACGAGCAGTCCAGCAGCAAGAAGCACAAGCCCGATGTATCTCAGCTCGTCACAAAGGAGGAGGTATGCTGGAGCATCGACAATCTGGGATGGCTCGGCAGAGGATGGCATGTATCGCATTCTGTCAGTTGTTTGCCTCGGAACATGCAGGCCTGCTTTCACGCTGATGATTATCTTTGGCATTCCCAAATCGGCATCCCTCCCCCAGGTCAACGCCTTCCGAAAAGAGCACAAAATCAAAGTTTACGGCAGCGATGTGCCAACCCCGTTCAGGACCTTCAAGGAGCTCAGCGTGAGGTAGTTGCCACTGCCGCCGTTCTGCATATTAGCCTCGCCGTGCTTCGTAGCTGTAGACATGGGCCACAGCATCCGGAGTCAGAACCCCTTTCCTCGCTTTGAAAGCAGCTACTAAATGCCGCTTTTCCCCTCGTGGATCTGTTTGGACGGATGGTCCAGATTCAAGTTCCGTCGCTATCTTCAACAAAATCTGGAGGACGGGCAATACAATGCCCCAACACCGATCCAGATGCAAGCGATACCGATAATGTGCCATGTACGCTCTCCTGGCCACGCTGTGTTTGGGGCCCTTGTGATCGCATGGTCAAGCGTACTGGACATATGCATCCAGTAGATAGTGCTTGGGGCAGATAGGATTGCTTACGCCCTGCAATTGTACCCAGGGCCGCGAAGTGATGGCGTGCGCCCCCACGGGATCCGGTAAAACTCTGGCTTTCATTCTGCCGATCCTGCATGATCTCAAAGGCCCAGCCAAGGAGGGCTTCCGCGCCGTGATTGTCTCGCCGACTCGAGAACTCGCACAACAGGTGGGTGTCTGCCTCATGGACTCTGGGACAAGCAGGATTCACCAGTGCAACATCGACGACAACATCGACGACAACATCGACGATCACATCGAGGGCAATATCGACAGCCAACGTCCTCCAGGGGTTGCGAATCGTCTATGGTTCTGACTCCCCGACGCATGCTTTGCTCGAATCTAGATATATCGAGAAATGAAGAAGCTAGCCAAAGGAAAGCCATTCAAGATCTGTGTGCTCAGCAAAGCCACGAATGCTACAAACGATTCGATTGCTGCCCAGCTGCAGAACTTTGGTAACCTTTGGACGTGCATCGCCTTCATTCCTCGGCATTGGCTCTCTCTTCATGCTTTGCTCCGTGTTGCGCGCCTTAGTCCTGCCTTTAAGACGGCGCATCCAACTACCTGCATCCAACTGCCTGCATCAAACTGCCTGCATCCAACTGCCTGCATTCAACTGCCTGCATCACTCACCCGTGTCTTTCGCGCAGATGTCCTGATCAGCACACCAATGCGCCTCGTGAATGCCATCCAGTCCAATTCCATTAATCTTTCAAAGTGCGCGACCCTCGGTGAACCAGCCATCGTCCTGCTCGCGTGCTGATGTCTGCCTTGTATTTACTCTGCGTAATCCTGACTTTGACGGCGCCATGTTCCAGGGTGCAGCATCTGGTCCTCGATGAGGCAGATAAGCTTCTTGATCTCGGGTTTCTTGAGCAGGTGGACGAAGTCTTTGCTGCATGCACCTCTCCAAATCTCAAAAAGCATCTGTTCAGTGCCACGATCCCATCAGGCATTGAGGCTCTGGCAAAGACAGTCATGCACGATCCGATCCGAATCGTTATCGGCCAAAAGTACGGCGCTTGCCCGTGTGTCAGCACCCGTCCATGTGTCAGCACCCGTCCATGTGCCTATCATTGCCCTTGGCCCGTACTCATCTTCTGTGATGCCCTCCTGCAGGAACGCGGCCACCGAGATCATCAATCAGCAGCTGCTCTATGTCGGGCAGGAGGAGGGCAAGCTGATTGCTATACGCCAGCTAGTTCAGAAAGGCATCAAGCCACCCGTTTTGATCTTTGTTCAATCCATCGATCGTGCTCGGGAGTTGTTCCATGAGCTCGTCTACGACGGCATCAATATTGATGTGATTCACTCCGAGCGCACAAAAGCACAGGTACGTCGCCGCCTCGACAAAGCTCTTATCTCTCGGCTGTCGGAGGCTAACTGCTAACGGAGCCATCTCGAAATCAACAGAGAGATACCATCGTCCAAAACTTCCGACTTGGCAAGATCTGGGTTCTCATTGCCACTGAGCTGATGGCCCGTGGTATCGACTTCAAGGGTGTCAATCTTGTCATCAACTACGACTTTCCGCAAACAGTGCAAAGCTACATTCATCGAATCGGTCGAACAGGTCGTGCTGGCCGACCGGGCGAGGCTGTTACCTACTTTACAAAGGTACGAATAAAAGCCCGCAGGCCGGCGGCCCGTGTCACCGCTGCAGAGTTTCAATGATGAAGAATGCTGTTTGACTCATCTGGCACTCGCTTTAATGACCCCCCCCCTTTGGTAGGAGGATGCGCCGTACCTCAAGAGCATCGTCAATGTTATGCGCGAGTCTGGCTGTGAGGTTCCCGAGTGGATGCTCAAGCTCAAGAATCCAAGGTGAGTGCCGATGCTCGGCAGTGGAAATGCAGCCTAGTCGTGGTTCCGCTGAATCGGACTGTGACAGACAGGGCTCCAGCACAGCCGCGCTCACTCAGCTCATGTCCATCAGCAAAAACGCAAAGAAGGAGCTGAAGAAGAAGCCGATCGAGCGTGACCAAATCAAGACCGTGACGAAGCGCGACGAGCGACAGGCTAATAAGAAAAGGTCCGTACTCGTCTCCCTCCTTCTCTCCCTCCTCCTCTATCCAAAAACGAGTGGGTCTTGCTCTGAGCATCGTATATTCCGGCGCTATACTCGGCGCCGGACCCCACCGATTGATCCGCTGATGGACTGACGAATGTACATCCTCCTTCGTGTGCAGGGAGATGGTCGAGGCCTCGAAGCGGAGAAAGAAGGCTCCACGTGAGCCCAAAGCCCCCAGCGAATGAGCAATGGATCCAGTGCAGCCGGTGCTAGAGCACGCTGTATGCCGCCGTGCGTAGCGGTAAACCTACATGACCGAGAATCCTCGGCAGCACCCACGAAGCGATGAGTCAGCCTGGTTGGATGCCGATGGACATTTCTTCTGGCTCCTGAATATACACCGTACGCTACCCTAGCTGAGCTTGCAAAGGGAGCGTGACAAGCGTGGGTTGATCGCTGTGTGCTCGGTCAACAAGTTCGTCACCTCGCGGGAGCGGTTCGCACTGCAGCGCATGGAGTTGGTGCATCACAGTACAGGATCGAAGCGATAACACAGCCAGGATCATGGACACGACTAGCAGTTGGATCAGTGGCATGACCGGTCTGTGGTGGAGTATGGCGGCCATATATTGCTTTGGGGGACACTGTCGTCTTGGCTTTGCGGATTCAGCGATACATGGCAGCACGGCCATCCTCAAGTTGGCCGGATAGCATCGAAAAGCATGCCTATGCTTATGCAATGCAGTAGCTTCTGAAAGCATGTTCGAGGATTCCGCCGTCAAGCGATCGTCCTGTGAAGCCAGAAGTCAGTCAGACCAGATCCGGGATATTCGGTCAGTGCGCCGGCAACTGATGCACCCTCGACTGCGGTGACTGAGCAGAATGTCCCCATGACCAAAGCCCGGATTTGCACAGCATGGTACCCACCAATAAAGACTACTTTGCTGTAGCGTTCTTCACCGGCAGCCCAGGGTGCCCCGATTTGGCGATCATAGAGCTCCTTGACGGCCTGAACGACGACCTTGGCTGCGCCACCATCGTTGACAATGGCTTTCATGCGCAAAACCTCCATTTGATGCGCACTGCTGTTGGTACCAGAGCCGTCGTTACCCAAGAGAGTCTTCTCCCAAAGTAGGGCTTGCAGCCAGCTGTCCAGCTTTGATTGCGAGATAATCTCGGGCATTGCGAATACAATTGTAGACACACGCTGACACGCAGAGTTGATGAGAATGCCGTAGAGTTAGCGGGCTGCAGCGACGAGCCTGGCATGCTTGTGGGCAGCACTCGTTGACACAGGCAGGCATTCGTTGACGCAGACGGGACACTCGTTGAGACAGGCAGGGCACTGTCATCCTCAGCATCCCTGTGCCGTGGGATCTACCTTGTCAATGTGTGAACGGCCGCTCTTGCGAGCCTGGGCCGCAGCGCTGGCACTCTCAAACCAATCCACCGAGCGGCCGCTGAAGGCTCCCAGATCAAGGATAAAGTCCATGTCGACCTGCGACCTCGTGGTTTTGACGATCGGCGCGATCGAGTTGATGTCACTGCACAGGGCAAATGGGAGTGAGAGATGCACTCGCAAAGGATCGGTTGGCGCGGCTCAGGCAGATCGCTTCACCCACACCCAACTTACCGGATGGCACTCTCCAGCCGAAGCATTTGGTCGGGCGAAATGAGGTCCTCCTTGTTGACGATGATTCGGTCTGCCATGGCAATTTGTCGCTCGCACTCATTGACTCCTTGGTCCTCCTTGGTCTCGGCGAGATACTGCGTGTTCCGAGCGTCAGATACATCGCTGGCATGAGCCTCCTTTGGGTGCGTCCAAGACTGCGGGCTGCATCATACCTCAGGAGTAAACTTGGCATCGACAACTGTCACGATACCTAAGACGACATCGTTGAGGCAGTGCTTTGCCTGTCAGCACACGAAGCAAGTGTTGTCCACTGCATCACAGGGCCCAGCCGAGCTGAACCACAAACTCACCATCGAGGTAAACGTCGCTCTGCAGCGCCTCGTCGAGCCAGAACATGGATGCGATCGGACCCGGATCAGCCAGCCCCGTCGTCTCGAGCATGACATAGTCAAACCGCCCCTTTTGTTTGAGCAGATTTTCAATCGCCTTGACTCCGGCGTCTCTGCGAGCGAGGCACAGGCGAATCAGTCTTGCACTTTGCGTTAACGAGAGCCTGACGGCTCACGGCTCGGTGCTGCCGACTCTACTCTGTTCAGTCGCAGGGTCTCGGCCCGGCAGCAGCGACTCATATCAACGACGTGACTCACTTGACAGAGCAGCAGAGACATCCGTTTGCCAGCTCAAGCCACTCCTCAAACATTTCGCCGTTTTTTCCGACCGTCAAGCTCTTGTCGATCCCGGCGCCTGGCGGTGGTGAGGGCATTAAACTCGTTCGTTTGACAGGCAGCTCAATCTGAGCATTTGCTTCGGCAATGGCGCTTACTCTCTCCGAACTCGTTCAGGATCACTGCGATGCGCTTGTGATGAGTCGGGTCGTTCAGCAGACGGGTGATCAGGGTTGTTTTCCCGCTGCCTGTCATGATGAAGGGTCGGTTAGCCCTGGTGGATCTGCTCCATTCATCCCAAGCGCGGCTGCTGGGGATCTGAGATTCGGCCCCATACCCAGGAAGCCCGTGACGATCGTCACCGGCACCGGATCGATCTTTGTAGGGCGGGTCCTAGAAGCACATGCGAGGTCAGTTTGGTCAGGATTCGGAGCAGGCTGGAGCACCAGCGACGCTGGGTCATGCTGCTGCTGCCCAAACCGGCTCTGCGTCCGAGTCTCTGCAGGGCTTACGGGGCAGGAGCAGGAGCAGGAGCAGGAGCAGAATCGACGTCGTCGCCATCCATGAGCATGGGCGGCTCGTCATCGTCCAGAAACTGATTCGACATGGTGCAGGGGTGGGCGGGAGGCTTGCGTGCGTCGGCGGATCTCTGTGCTGTGCTTGGCTGGGTGTGCTGATCAAGGGCAAGCCGACCAGCAGGGCACCCAGCAGCAACAGAGGACTTTCATGTGCCAGCCATGCCCGCGGCCTGGCCGTGATCGCCTTGGCCGCGATGCCTGTTCCGGAGCGGCTCGGTCTTCGTCTCCGTCTGCATTCCTGGGCTGGCCGAACAACACCCGGGCCTGCTTCGTTGCCGAGCGAACAACGCCCTCTCTGACTCTGTCGATCCTCGCAGCGATGAACTGCCGACTCTTCAACACCGCCAAGTTCAACGGCTATGCGGTCGGTGTTCGCTCCTCTGCTCGCTGTCGAGGCGGGTCCTCCTGATCGTGCCTGCCGCTGCATGCTATCGGATCTGCCTGCTTCCCTTTGCTTGTCCTTTGGTCCGCGAGCAGCGTTGTCAGTGGCTCATGATCTCCAAACTGACTCGGATATCGTGTGCAGGTCGAATACAGTCCATACTTTGAACATCGCCTGGCATGCGCTTCGGCCTCGAACTTTGGCATCATCGGCAATGGCCGGCTCTGGATTCTGAACGTCTCGCCCAACAACGTGGCAGTCGAAAAATTGTATGCTACAACGTTGCCGTAGAGTACTGGGCCTGATCGCTGCCCATTATCCTCCAGACTGCTTCGTCTGCCCTGACGCCCGTCCGGCAAGTTCCTTCTCTAACCGCACCCACCTGCAACATTCCCGACTCAGCTACGACACTCAAGACAGCATCTTTGATTGCGCCTGGAGCGAGCTGCACGAGAACCATATCGCCACATGCAGTGGCGACGGCAGCGTGAAGCTGTGGGATACCACCCTGATGGTATGTGGGCCGGGCAAGCTCTGGATGGGTGCTGTGTGCTGGGGTGTCTGGATGCTCGTCTCTTGGCGGGTTGCCGGTGGCCGGCATCGAGACAGCGTCGTGGATCGTCCCGGCTGACGGTTTACCTGCCAATCTGGTTGGCTTCGTTTGCGGCGCCAGGACTTTCCGATCCGCAACTGGTCCGAGCACGGCAAGGAGGTATCGAGCATTCACTGGAATTTGGTCAAGAAGGACGTTTTCTTGACGGCGTCGTGGGACCAGACTATCAAGCTGGTGAGTCAGAGCAACCATCCGGCACAGGCACATCGGCCGAATGCGTAGATGCGAATCGCGGGCTTCGGACCAGTCCGGACTTGCGCTTCTGTTGATCCACGAGGCTGTCCTCGGACATGGGTGACGGCTTTGCTCTCTCCCGTTCTTCGAACTAATCCGGAGCTCTATCGGGGCTCTGTTCCAGTGGCATCCCGACCAGCCCCACTCGATTGCCACATTCCGCGACCACGCACATTGCGTATATGCCGCCATCTGGTCGCCTCGGAAGAGCGACGTCTTTGTCTCCGCATCCGGGGATCAGACCGCAAAACTCTGGGATATCCGGACCGCCCCGACTGCAGTTCAGACTCTGACGGGGCACAAGGGCGAGGTGCTATCCGTCGACTGGAACAAGTACTCGGAGTTTTGTGTCGTGACGGGTTCGGTCGACCGCACCATCAAGGTCTGGGATATTCGGCAGCCCGGACGTATCGTCAACTCACTTCACGGCCATGAGTTTGCCATTCGAAAAGTCAAGTGCAGCCCGCACGACGGCAGTGTGGTCGCATCAGCGTCGTATGATATGACCATGCGTGTCTGGGACATCAATCCTCCTGGCGGGCGGGTTCGGTTTGTTGACAACAACCACTCTGAGTTTGTGGTTGGTCTGGACTTTAACATGTACATTCCAGGGCAGGTGGCGACGTGCGGATGGGATGAGAAGATCCAGGTTTTGGATCTCCCCAAGAGCTAAAGGAGCATCTCGGGCATAACGTAGGGCAATGTCGCCTAGATCGGGAACCGATTCGGTGTTCGCCGGCAATATCCTGACATCAAGTGCGCGTGGTCCGGTCCAAACAGTTTTACCGATTTGTATGACCCATTCCAACAACTCTGTTTCTGTGTTGGAAATAGATCGGTTCATCGCGAGCACATGCAGGTTGCTCTCCTCGGACGGCAGAGCAGCTCCAAGCGTTTGGGGTCAGGGTGTCGATGGCCTGCCCTGTCTCCACGGGAAGGATGGTCATCGCGAATGATGGATGTGCATTCTATTCAAAGTGGCAAACAGTCAGCTATAAGAATAGGAGTGCTACGTTGCTGTTGTGAGCGCTGCAAGCCAACACGGCCGCGAATTCATCCGACGGCAACGCCGGCATGCGAGCGTGCAGCAAGACATGAGTGCATCGAAATCGAAGCCCAGTCGATGGTCGTCGCTCGAACGGCCGCTTTGGAGATTCGAGTGTCGTATTCGCTATTGCCTATGCCGTCTGCGGTCACTTTGCGGGGAACTTGGACTGGCATGTGGAACACTCGGAGTGGCTGGTGCAGAACACTGACAGGATGCATCGAGAAGCGTCCGTGGTCAGTTGTGCGCATTCCATGTCTCCAGAGCTGCTCCAGAGCTGCTCCAGAGTCGAGTTGTTGCTTCTACTTGCCGAGACTCTATGTGGCCTCCTACCTGAAAGACACACTGAGCAGACATAGGCAACATCGACAATGTTTTTGTGACAGAAACAGGCGGCGCGGTAGTCGACTTGCTTGTTCCCGGGCAGACAGAGCGATTTGCGGGTATCGACATCCGAGAGAAACGAGAACTGGTCGTGCATTTGTCGATTTGATCACGAAGGCGGTTCGTACGAACGAGAGCATCATCTGCCTCAGTACTGCAAGCGCTCCCGAGCCTCTACTGTATCTGGGGCGATCGTATAACAGGCATGTTGTGCTGTTTGGAGTTGCAATCGCATGCTTGGCTTACCAAAAGATATTGGATCAGACTCCGTGGGTCGGGTACATCCAAGAATACGCCACCTGTCAGCTGGGCGGCTTGCTCCATAAAGATCAGCGACTCGTTGTGCAGTTTGCAGACATCGATCAGGATGCCCTGCCATTTCGAGGTGTGGGCACCGAAAGAATAAGCTGCGAGATCGCATTGGGGAGGGCCCTGTCAACCACCGACACATCACTGCAATGGCCACCCCCGTCTCTGATACTTGCCGACTTTTGAGCGGAAAATATGCAGTTCATCAACGGAATATACTGGGCCGACGAGTCTGGCGAGGCTGATATGATCAGCACCCTCGAGCGGACCTGGCGATATTCATTCTCCTTCTGGATGCGGTTGATGTCTTGTGGTGGAGGACGCATGGCACATGAAGGGACAGCCGTAGATTCAGCGGTGAATATGCGGCCGTGTGAGCCAGGAATCTTCGGGGCAGAGAGACAGCCCGATGGCAGAAAGCAAAGTGCAACCGGCTGCTTGACGGCGGTGGGCATTACGAAACGTATCCGACCGGGCACTTACATGCCAAGCACATCGACAACGCCGCGGGGACCATGGACGAATCTGAGGAAGCATATGCGATCAGTCCACAACTCTGCATCGCCAAGTCGCCCGGGAACCAGGGCAGCTCAAGGTGATCTCGATTTGGGGAGGGGCGAGTAGATCATCATGGGGCATACCAACACCCACACGATCGAAGCTGGGTTGTACCTGATCTCGGTTCCGTGGGCTCGGTGCTCCTCTGGGCGAGCTGTCGCAGCCGTTCTGTGATGGTGACGTCCGCTTCGCAGAACTGGCGATAGATATTGGCCGGCTTCTTGGATGGATCTACCGATACCAGTGACGACGGAAACAGAAACTCGGCGTGGTCGTTGTGCGAGGCAATGACGGCAAGCAGGTTGTCGTATTTGAGAGCAAGATGGGCGTTGATGAAGACCAGAATCTGCTCCAGCACGGCGGTGAACTGGACCGGGTTGGTGGCCCGACGAGAGAGTTTGAGCCAAGCATAGGGGTTGGTATCGATCACGATGGTGAGCAGGTTACGCCCAGAGAGAAACTGCGGCTCTTCCGGCGGATCGGGCTTTCCCTGTGTGTTGTCCATCGTGCTGGCCGGCGAGGTGTTGACGGGCTGCTTGACGGGCTGCTTGATGGGCTGCTTGATGGGCTGCGGAGCGGGTCGAGCGGGGCAAAGCCGAGACGGGCTGGAGATATATTGGCGCCCAAGTCCTGATGCGCTCCATGAACTCGCCACACCCAAGGCAACCAGCGGATGATTCCCGGTCGCTCTCGATTCCTGGTGCACTCATACCACCTCTTGGCTACCGAGGCCGTCCACGGCGCCCAGTTCGCCGATGCTTCAGCCCCCACTCACTCAATGCAATGCCAAGATCCGCAGAGTCATGAACGGCGCTATATCGTAGATTCTCCTGTGTACGAGGGAGCTTTCAGCCGAGCGGACAGCTGTCTACCGCATCTCCACGAGAGGTGTGGATCAATCATGTTATTTTATAACAACCACAACTCTGCCGCTCCGGACGGCAGTGGCAGAGACTCGCGTGGATACTTGTGCAGATGCCCATCCGATAATCAGTCAATCTTGATGAGGCTGTACACCTTGCGGACAAACATAAAGCAGGCATAGAAGCCGATCGATCCCTGCGGAGTAAGGTTGTGGGTATGATCGGGTTAGTTTCGATGAAGATGCACATAGCAAACAACGGTAACAACGGCGGCCTTACCGTGAGGATAAAAAAGAGGGCACTGACGACAGCAGACCAGCCAAAGTACAGGACGGTCGAGGTTGAGTTGCTGATGTTCAAGCGGGTGGCGTAGTAGTATGTGCAGTAGAGGAACACGTAGAGCGCCGAGGAGCCCGAGGTGAAGAACGATCGCCACCACCAGTGGTAGTTCTGGATTTACCAGTAGCCAGAGCAGAGGAGAAGAGCATAGCAGGGCAAGGCACACAAGTCAGCAATCACAGAGGCATATTGGATCTATCGATTCCAGAGCAGAGCCGCCATCAAATCGGGCGCTGTGCAGGATTGGCATTCAGGAAGAAGAGACCAACTTACCTCTGCGCACAGATGGAAGTAGCACAGCAGGATGGCGACCTCTGCGCAGGTAACCACCAGGATGACAAAGACGAGCGCAAGGAATCCAAAGACGTAGTAGACCTTGTGGTACCAGATGCTGTTCATGATGAAGTACAGCTCAATGAAGATGGCACCAAATGGCAGGACGCCTCCCATGAGGACCGAAGGCAGGGTTCGCAGATACAGCGGTTGCTCGGGGATCTGACGAGGAATCTGGTTGGTGCGAACGGGATGCTCGATTCTCTGCCGGTTGAGGGTCGATCGGGATTAGTAGATCGGCGGCGCCAAGAGGAGTTCGCATTGGACCAAGGGTGAGATTGAGTGCGACACTTACAGGCTTTTTGAATCCAAAGTAGGCGCCGATGAAGCACAATGGAACCGAGACCAGGCACCACATCGACAAGAGTGCAAAAATGGTGCCGAAGGGTACGGCGCTCGATGATTTGGCGGCAATCAGGAAGAAGTTGAGCGTCAAGAACACCAAAAAGACAACTCTGTTGGAGGTCAAAGACACCTTAGTCACTGCGAATCCATACTCTGACTCGTGGGTTGTCAAGGCAGCCAATGAGTGCAATCGGGAACGGCAAAATGTCGCTGATCGCGAACGTGCTCGCCGATCGAGATATCTGGCTGCATCGATGGTCTAAATACAAAGTCAAAGCTTTCTCCTCGTAGATACGGAGGGCCACGTACCCGGGCAGCAGAAATGCCGAAAGCAGCACGTTCTTCTTCCAGTTTTGTCCACCGAACATCTTGTAGAGTCTCGCCGAGTGGTAGCCAGAAACGCTTCCAAAGCAGACATACAGGACGAGGATCACGGTGGAGAGCGATCCCCGGCTCGAGGGCGACAGAAAGCCAAGCACAGCAAAGACTTGAGCGGAGAGTAAATAGCACAGGATGGCCGTGAGTCGAGCCGCCAGTATCACGTCGATCTAGACATATTCTGGAGCACGCCGAATTGAACTCACCGAGGGTCACGGCCGTCATCAAAAACAGCTGGGCACCGCCTCCAACAGCAACAGCGAGAAACTGGCCATGAATTGGAGAGCGGAACACGTCGCCATGGACGAGCTTCCAGCCAAAATCTTCGTGGATATCATCCTGCAGCACCGGATCAGTCAGCGCGCTGCCAAATCGGTGCTCCGCAGAGAACCGAGTCCCGAGAATCGCGCAACCCACCTCGATGTCGAGCTGGTTATAGCGGGTGATATCGCGATTGAGAGCACGAAGCATGATCACGCCAACCATGCCGCTCAAGAACAGGACAATCACGATCGAGTTGGTGAGGCTGCAAGGGCGGTCAGTGTGCGATGAAGAAAATGATGAGCAGATGACGACGGGTAGGGCCAGGGGATCGTGCTGCAGAGCAATCGAAGCAGGATGCTGTTCGCCATACCTGAACCAATGGATTTTCGGGTCGGTAACCTTAAGGTACGTGTCCCAGCGAGTGGTCCACGAAATACCGGATCGCTTGGGTTGAGACGAACGGAACTCTGTCAGCATCGAAGAGTGGGCGATACTTCTCGACCAGATGAGACCCCATCGTGATAGGGGGGGGGAGCAACACAACCACGCCGTGTATGTGCCCGCCAATTGGTCGGATCCAAGCATTGTGAGTCGAAGAAACAGATACATACAATCCAGTAGACGTTGTAGGTAAACGTAATCAAGTTGTCCCCCGTCTCAGAGAGGGTGAGGGGAGGGGTGCCTGGCTGGATGACGCAGTTGTTTTTCTGGTCAATCTTGAGAACACTGCGAAGTGATGAGGGTTAGGTCAGCGACAAACGCTACTTGGGAAGTGCATGACTTGTAGCAATCATGGACGGCACCAACGATGCCGACGGGCTGCGATCGCAAGGCACAGGCTGACTTGGCAACACACCTGTGAGGATAGACGGTGACACCGACGACTCTGAACTTTCGGGGCGATTTTTTGCCTTCGTCGAGATGGTAGTGGACCTGAATCTCGTAGTGGTTGTTGAGATATGTCCGGCTGCCGTCCTAGAAGCGCAGAGCAGGCGGGGCCTAGGTTGGTAACAGCGCCGGGGCAGAGCAGTGGACGATGGGCCGCTGGCTCGACAGATGAAGGCGTACCTTGGAAATAAAGCCCAGATTGAAGCCCATGTTGTAGATCAGCTCGTTGGTGGATTGATTGAGGCGGGACATGGCAACCGGGAGTCCGTCGACCACCCTATGATCACAATTGGAGCCGTCGTGAGCAAAATTGGCGCCATCTGCTGCCCTGGACTTGACGGAGCGGTGGAGCCGGGCGACGAGTCAAACTCGCTTTCCTCGGCAATCATTCGGCGCACTCACCAATGGACAGTGTATTTTTCACGGATGCGGGAATTGATGAAGGCAGCATCCTCCTTGGGAACCGACTGTGAGCACAGGGTATTGCAAGATGTGTTTTTGTTCATGTAGAGCTGCGATCCGACCGACGGCAGGAGATAGGATTAGTGCACGAGTTGAGCACTGGGGACGACAGCACAATTGGAGAGGAAGCGATCGGTGCGCAACCAAGGAGTTGTGGGCGAATGGAGGGCGCCGCTAGCCGAAAGCAACAGCCGGCGAGCTGTTGGCTTGCTGGTACACGGAGGCCAGTCGCCTCATGGTCCGTCGCTCATATTCATCTGGTGCAGAGCCATACTTCGAAACTGGAGTCGTAGAGGCGATCTCCAAAGAGAATGGATCCAAGCGACTCGGGCTGGGCGACAGGATCGCCCTTGGGCTTGCAAAAGTGGAACTGGTTGTAGTAGTAGTCGAACGGAAGAGCAGTCTCCGTTGATGATACGGCATTGACCAGGAGGGGGACGAGCTCGCTCTCGGCATAATCGTGGGGAGCGACACCCGGCAAATAGAAGGCCCGGGCACCCAGGGCCAGAAGAGCGGCCACGATAAACAGAGGCGGCAGCATTGCAGCAGACAGGACGAGCCGAGCAGATCAGAGCAGAGCAGAGCAGAGCAGAGCAGATCCAAGGGAAGTCTGAGACCCGCGCAGCCTTTGGTGCACCGGAGAAGCGAGAGGGGAGATGGGAGGGAAAAGGGCGGGTCGCTGGGGTTGAGACAACGATGGCGCCGGCCAGAACCGGCTTGGCGCGAGAACCAAAACAGCCTCCACGCTGGAGGCAACGACGGCCAGCATCAAGCGACCGGTGCTGGTGCTGGCGATGTGGGTGAGGGTGGTGAGGGTGAGGGTGGTGAGAATGATCGAGCATCAGATACTGGGCATGGACGAGTATCAGATACTGGGAATGGGCCGAGAGATGATTCGGCCCACTTGAATGTCTTTGGCCGAGCGTATGTATCAAAGCGACAATGAGTCCCATTGTCCATTCAACACCAGGTGTATTCGAGACCGTGCTCCCCCAAACCAACAAAAACCACTCAATTGCCAGCCAAGACCGGAGACAATCACACGGCTGCCCCGCTGCGGCTTACAGACGGCTGTGTTGAAGGCAGGGTTGATGTGACGGGCACCATCCCGTTTCATTCTGGACATGCTCTATTTTCACTTTCTTCCCTTCAAGGCCAGTTTGGCCCGGGCTTTCGAGCTCGGGGTGACCTTGACGGCGCTTTTCTTGGATTTGATCGCTTCGCTGCTCAGCTGGGCCCGATTGACCTTGGCGACCACTTTCTCGACCAGGCTCTCGGCCTTTGCGGTCTTGGTCTTGTCTTCCTTGGACAGCGCTGCCTCTGGCGCTGAAGTCGGCTCAACTTCCTTGATGTCCTTCAGGGATGTTGGGTTCTTGGGCTTTGGAAGCGCTTTGGCGTGGCTGGGTAGCGAGTTGTAGATCGGCAGCGAAACTGAGTTGGTGGTCTTGAGACCGATCGAAAGGATGTTGGCCCACTTTCGCGGGATCCTACCAACAATCAGGTCGATGGCCCCGATGATGTTTTCTGCAATCTGCTCGGCGCTATGCTCGGAAGTGCCGATGCGAATGGTACTAGTACCAAAGATATCCGGGCAGAGAACGTCAGCAGCGGATTCATGAATCGTTGTAAAATTGGAACCAGCAAGTTCACGATCACACGACGGGCTGTCGGGTTCTCATGCAGCCCGCAGAGCAATCAAAAATACGCCTCGAGAGGACGTTCGGATGTAAATGCTGCGACATGACGAGCCAAAGAAACCCACAGGTTCGAGCCCTTGGTGAATCTGAGATACGTTGAGCTCACAGCCCTCTTGACTTCCTTCTCGATCTTGTTCTTGGCTGCCTTGATCGGGGCGGGGTTCCTGCAAAGCGAGGGTTATGGAGGGTCAATTTCGTCCGTGTAGTCGCCGCCATAGTGCCTCTGTCTGTACGGGCGAGATGCTCCAACAATATTCGCTTCGATCATCCGCCTTTATCTGTTGTGCGTATCGGCTGTGTATCTCCATCTCCATCTGCGTGGCTTTGGCGCAAGTGAGATGATCCCCCGAGGCGCCATCTCGCTATCGACATGGAGCCCAAGATGCGGCGTATAACATCTCCGCATTTCCAACTCCAGCTTACTTTTTGCTCTCGAAGAAAACCTTGCCCAAAAGCTTCGGGAGTAAAGGCAAGACTCGATCGTCAGCCAAGAACAAGTCGTATGATTTGCAAAGCTCCCGTCGGGACTCGTACGATTTGTAGTGTGTCTTGAGCTTCTGGATGCCAATGACCTGCCGACAAAGTTGGGGAGTTTGACGGTGAGTGACTATTCGGCGCTTTTTTCGTGCTGGCGGGAGCTAGACCCACTCCGTTGATCGAATGGGAATACGGATGAAAGGCAGTGCTTGAATGACAAAAGCGGTCGATCAGCGATCCACACCGACCTTGGTCACTTCGCCGATGCCCTTCTCGGCCACATAGTCCTTAATCTCTCCATGCGGGTCCTTGACGATAAGACACACAGTCACGCTGTCGCTGTGGAGCTTGTGCTTGAGGGGACTGTTTGCAAAACAAATGGAGGGTTAATTCGCTTGACCGAGACGATGATGACGAGGATGACAGCGGTAGTGGTAGTGGTGTGGTGGTTGTGGTGATAGTGGTGGTTGTGGTGGTGGCGGCGATCCACTTCGGCTCCGGAATCGGCACAGCAGATGTCAACGACTTGATATCTGCAAGAACGTCAAAGATATCGAACCCAAGGCACAAATGGCCTTCTCTGCACCCTTTCGATGCCCTACATTTGGAAGGGCTTGACAGTCGCACTTTCGGGGATCTTCTTGAGGGCAATTTGCAGAAAGAAGGACTCGCTCGCTTCGACCAGGCTATTGGCTGGAGTGCTCGGGTTCTTTTCGAGATAGGCGACGAGGGCCTTGGAGGCCTTCTTAACCTGTGGTTGGCGAAACAGCCGCCACAGCGGATTGAGAAAGCCGTAACAGGGTCAGCGGTCTGCAGGTGCAGGACTCGTCGCAGCGGGCGGGTCGCCGACTCCCTCGCAAGCGCCGCCCAGGGCAACACGCCATTACTTGTTCCGGGTCGAGTTTCATTGATGCAGATGGGCGGAGGACAGGCAGTGCTGATGTCGGCGGTGCTGATGTCGGTGGTGCTGATGTCCCAGATGTCTGCCTTGGAATCCAGTCGCTGTGGGGCTCGATCGGCGCTGGCCATTTTTTCTGTCGCGGCTGCCAAAAAAATTAGATGAAATTCATTCTCTCTCGTGCAACCATGAATTTTTGTTTTTTGTGCCGCGCCGACAATCCGACAGAGCAACAGCCGCAACGAGCAGCGCCCGCATCCAGCACAACGACCACCCAGATCCAGCACCGCAGCAGCACACCTGCACAACTGCTTGGTCCGCCTGTCTCCAGAGCAGCAGCAATGACGTCGACTCTGAACTTTTACTACGACCTGGCGTCGCTGGACTCGTCCACCCGCACCAAGGCTGCGAGCGACCTCGTCGTCGCCCTGCACAAGTTCCAGCACGATCACGAACAGCTCCACAAGGCCAGCTGGAGTACCCTGCTGGACAGCAGCGATTCCTGGGAGGGCATCGAGGCGCTGTGTGCTCAGGACGTCTCCTATGCTGTGAAGCGACTGATTCGAGGCTTGGCGTCCGGCCGCGAGGCAGCCCGGCAAGGCTTTTCTCTGGCCCTCACCGAGGTGCGTCTCCGTTTCAACTCCTCATCATGTCCAACGCTGTTTGAGCTACGGGGCCATGGGCCCTCTCCGAATGGATATCGTAGGCGGCGAAAACGTATGAAATCGCCCAAGAGCCAATGCTCGGTGCTCCTCCGGCTGATGTGTCCAATTCGGCGCCCTGTCTTCACAGGTCATCTCGATGCTGCCCTTCCTCAAGCCTACGATCGTGCTCGACTTGCTTAATAAAGCAACCGAGGTCACTGGCTCAATGAAGAGCCTGGTAGGTTCAAGCTTGATCAATCCTTGTGTCGTCGTTGATGGTTCGCATCACCGTCTCCACCACTGAATCATTCTACACCCATCGCTCCCAACCAGGAGGAGCGCGATGCTTACTTTGGCCGAGTGTTCGGTGCATCGGCTATCAGCGAATCGGGCATGTTGAAGCGACCGGGGGTCACCGAAGACGTCATAAAGCAGCTTGTCGATCTGCTGAAAGCCTGTGCAAAGGCCAAGATCTACCTGCGAGAGGCAAGCTTCAAGGTTCTGATCTCTCTCCTCTCGAATGTAAGTCTCTGGAAGGCGCATATGCATGGCTGAGGGATGCGGGCAGGTGCTGGAGCTCTGCCATAGTCTCGATGGGCTGTAGTGTGTGGCTATGTATCTGGCTCGTACCTGGTTATGTATCTGGCTCGTATCTGGCTCGTATCTGGCTCAACAGTGGCACAAGGCGCTTATGCGCTTTGAACTGATGCCGTTATTTGCTGTCGCAGACTGAGAAGGAGGTTGCTGTCAAGATCGTTGAGCAGGTGCTTAGCGAGGACGTGTCCTCCTGTGAAGAGCTGTGGTTCGCCCTGGCGGCCCAAACTCGATTCCCTGTAAGTGACGCTTGTGGCAACTTGGATGTGGAGCGAGGCCATTGCCCGACTGCAGCGCCGATCAACTGACCGACTCGCTCGCTGTCTGCAGGATCTACCTTGGAAGAGCATCCTCTCAGGCTGGAAGAACCCACAGATTCTCCACTCTGGCAATAAGCCGCAGCTGACCGAATTGCTGAAGGTACCAGTCGGGTGCATCCGGGTAGACAGAGGGGCTATCTTCCGTTGCATAGTCGCGCCGGCCCTGCTCAGTTTTCTGATCGTATCCGATCCGCTTGTGTCCAGGATACAACCCATACTAGCCCTCGCATGCACTCCATCTGGCCGCTTGTCGTTGCGTCCTTGCTCGCGCCAGATGCAAAGAGCATCATAACGCTTCGGCAATTTTGGGCCGAGATTGCTGATGAGCACCTCTTCAACACCTCGCACGAGCGCAAGCATTTGGGATTCCAGCTCTTCCTCGATCTGGCGCCGCGCCTCAAGCCAGAGCAGCTGCCATTCCTGTTCACGCCCAACTTTATGCGTACTCTCATGAACAGCCTGTCATCAAAGGACACGATTCTGCACAAGATTGCCCGCAAAACCGCAGCGTCCATCGTCGATGTCGCCAAAGCCAACCCAGGATCGTCATTCCCGCTTGTCTCGCAGCTGACGGGCAAGTCTGGCTCGATTCACTTTGACAGCATCACCAAGACTCGCACCGTCGAGAACCTTCTGGCGCATATGAGCCAGGATGGAGTTGATTCGTATCTGGAATATCTGTTCAAGCTGTTCCTCGATCAATCATCGTCCAAGTATGTTTGCATCTGCCTGTCTCTACTTCACTCGATGCTGTTGCTTTGGTTTGTTAGTGGCGATAAATCTGCCGCTACGAATATTTTCTCCTCGACGATGCCAATGGAGTCCCAAAAACGAGCTCGAATATGCTCCGATGCTCGTCGATCAGTCTCATTCTGCCGATGCAATTGACATTCTCTGAGAAATGCCTCTGATCGGTCTTCTCGTCCATGTGCACAGAACCGAAACTGGCGGCTGGGACACGAAGCTCATCAACTCCAACCGATTGTGGGCACTCCAGCAAATCTTGATCATGGCCCGCAATACCAAAATCGCCAAGTCGGACGAATGGATCCGCCGGGTCGTCGAGTTCCTGCTGAGCTTTGGTTTCCTCAAATCCGAGCCCGATAGCATGGTAAGCCGCTGCTTACATGCAACGGCTGCTGTTTGGCAGAGGCGGTGTGTTCCGACTGTAACAGCACTAACGGCCTGCCAACGGATATAGACGGCCACTCCTCCGCTCTCTGATGTCGTGCGTGACAATTGTGTCGTTCGATTCTTTGGTGTTCTGCTTGAGCTCAACAAGTCGATCTTCAACAGCTCGAAAAAAGCCGCTCCAGGTGCGTCGTGTGCGCTGCACAGCGTGTCTGTGTCCCGGGACGACTGTCTGGAGACGGGTCGATGCTCGAGTCGGTATCGAGCCCAATCACTTTGCTAACATGATTATCGTCGTCAGAGCGGCCCAATTCGGAAATCTCGTGGGCATACGAATCGGCAGCCTTTATCAAGAAACACCCGAACGAGTCCCTGCGCCATGACTTTAGCGAGGTCGAGGAGCTTTGCTCCGGCACCTGGTCGACCGTCGACAAGATTCACTCCGAGGTGACCACAGACCCCCATTGATCCTCGCTGCTGCCCCGGGCAAAGTTGCTGTTGTCGATGATGCTTCCTGTCCTGACTTGTTTGTGCTTGGGGGTCCAGCTGATTCGCCTCGCCAAGACTGGAAACAAGCAGCAGCTCGATGAATTGAAGGCGCTTGAGCTTCTGTTCGTCCACGTTCTCCTCCAAGCATACTCAAACTCGCAAGAGTCGTGGGAAACTCTGGGTGAACTGAGCAGCTGCTATGAGCGCCTGTACCCCTCCGAGGCTAAATCGGGTGGCAAGCGCAAGAGCCAGACCCCGGAGGGCGATGAAGAGGAGCTGCACCCTGTTGATGTGCTGATGGATATCCTGATGAGCTTCCTGGCCAAGCCCTCGCTGCTGATGCGCGAAGTGGCCGAGTTTGTCTTTAAGGCCTTCTGCAATCGGCTTTCCAAGACCTCGATCGAGCTCATTTTCGAGGTATGTGTTGATGACGGCACCACGGGCGCCAAGTCCATTCGGTTTGCGTCCGGCTGCGCCGTGGTTTGAGCTTTGCGTCCACTTGGCATGCATGGAGATTTACTCACTGTGCAACGTGCCGATTAGATTCTCGAGGCAAAGGGCGGCGTCCAGGGTGCGAACGATCTCTTTGAGAATGAGATGCAAGTCGACGAAGATGAGCAAGATCATGGCCAGCATGACGACGAAGACGAAGACGACGACGACGACGACGACGATGACGACGATGATGATGACGATGATGAGGCTGCCACGGCAGATATGCTTGTTGACGAGGAGCTCCGTCGCAAGGTGAAGGACGCCCTCGGAGCGGCTGCCGTCGACGAAGAGGAGGACAAGGACGACAGCGACGACGATGATGAGGGTCTCGACGATGAGCAGATGGAAGCTTTCGATGATAAACTCGCCGAGATTTTCAAGCAAAAGAAGGATCTGAAGGTTGAGAAGCGAGGTAGGCGACTGCGCGACACCTTGCCGCTCGAACGTGCTGTTTCACCCGAGTGAGCATGTGTCTCTCGCGTACGTTCTCAGACGACATGACTGCGGACGCACAACTGACTGTCTCGACAACCCAGACGCCAAGCAGCAAGTTCTTCACTTCAAGCTTCGTGTGGTCGACTTTGTCGATATCTTTGCACGCACCCACCCAGAGAACGCCCTGCTTTTTGAGCTGATTATCCCGACCTTGCGTGTGCTGCAGTCGACTGCCACCGCTGCGGACTCGCGGGAACTCCACGAGAAGCTGCTCGGCCTTGTCAAGAACCGCCTATGCAAGCCCAAGGCCCTCCCCACGCTTCCCACCGCCGAGTTGGATCAGGTGGTCGATATCCTCGACCAAACCCACCAGTTTGCTGTCAAATCAGCCACAGTCAATGTCCTTGGTGCCTGCAGCGCCGCTTCGCTGCTGATCGTGCGTGTTCTCATGCACAACGACGGCCGCTCTGTCCAGCCAGCCAAGCCCGCCAAAAGCCCAAAGAATAAGAAGCGAAAGAGCGACAGCGAAGAGCCGGTGGTAGGTCCACGTTTTGGCGGAGCGTGGACAACTGTGCCAGCTGGCCTGCAGTGGCGAATCGCACCGTTCTTTGCAGCGATTGTGTCTCTGATAGCACGCCCCACTTTATTATCTGTACTTTCCAGACCCCGACCTCGTCTCTTCGTTCCCGCATCGTTGATGTCTATCTGCGTTCGCTCGTGGACTTCACCACCAAGAAGAAGACTCGACTGCAACCGGTGCTGTTCATTGACTTGATGAAGAGCTTCCCCAAGGTTGCCTTTGAGCTGCTGCCGGCCATGATCGAGCACACCAACCCAGAGGCCGCCAGCAAGTCCTATTCCCTGGCTCAGTGCATCCATTTGATTGGCGCGCTCTTCGCAAGAATGAGCAAGGAGGTAGGCTTTCTATGGCTGACATGCATCACCACGTTTGTCACCAGTGTAGGCGATCACCAGCGTGTACTGAGTCTTCCCGATCGGGTCTAACGCTCCTCCAAATCGCAACCCCCCCCCAGGATCAAACCGAGAAGGCCTCCCAAATCAAGACCCAGATCCCCATCTTGGCTTCCAACTTTGTTGCTATTGTGAACCATGCCCTCAAAGTCACAGAAGGTAGTGGCCACAAGACCATAAACAACCAGCGTATGAAGGATATCATCAGAGACATCACTGCCGTGGTCAAGAAGACGCAGAAGACCTTGGGCGACGAACAGGTATGTGGGGCCAACGATGTCATCGAGCACCTGCACCGGGACGAGTGCTTTGGTCCGCGACATCGAACTGAGCAATGTTCTGGCATTGTGCGTCTTTGCGACTAGAAATCGGTTTGGAAGGCCGCTGAAATCGCTGTGGCTCTCAAGCTGCTGCTGAAAGACACCAGGTTCAAGCTGCCCTCGATCCAGAGCAACAGCAAACAGCTTCTTACTGCCCTTGGCATCTAGAATCTATCTTTCTCGGGAACTGATGAAGCATCTCACAGCACCTCTAGACCATACCGCATTCGCCATCCCCCCCCATACTGAGCATACTGCTTGTGGGGCGCTGAGCAGCTGTCTTCGTTTGTTCCAGGGCCTCGTCTGCACAGCTTGTTCAGAACGAAACGAGACAGCACAGTCTTGGGATACAATATATATTCGGCCAGTTGGATAGCTCCGTACAGTGTCGTTTCCCGACACCAAGATGGTCGAGTCGAGCGAGTCGTGAGTGCTACATCTACCGAGCCCGGGTGTTTCTGGTGTCCAATTGACTATAGTCAGTGTCCGTTTTCTCTGGCATCGGTGGCCTGAAGCCTGCTGAACCTACGGAGGTTCCAGTGGGCAAACCATGCGATTTTTTTCCAGTCCTGGTTGGTAATCTCCTGGCTTTGATTGATGAAGCAAACCCCGAATAGATGCGGCGAATCTGCTTTGGTGATGATCAACCGACATTGGTGTCACGATGCAAACGTGTGGTGCATGCATTCAACCACCTCGACAGCTTTGTACAGCGTTTCCAAAATGAAATGGGACACCTGCCCACAACCCATTTGTCAGCGTAGTATGCGATGGCATGCGTCTAACTATGCCATAAGAAATATAACAGATCACTTTGGCAGCCTCCGAGTGAAGACCACCGGCCGCAGTGCAGCGATGCGAAAATCGAGGGCGTTGTGCTTGGCCATGACTGCAATGAGTGGGTGGGTGTATTCAGGTCACAGAAAAAAGCCCTGTCATGGCTCAAAACGGGGTGTCCCATTTCATTTTGGAAACGCTGTAAAGATCCCGATCTCGCTGCCAACCCTCTAAGGGATGCGAACGACAGTGCTGACACCGTAATGGTCTGCAAATGGCAGTGGATGGCAGTGGATGAAGATTTCCGAAGGTTATTCGACAGAGCATCCCAGACACGACCGCAGCTGTCGCGGCTGCAACACAGAGCCCCACCGAACACCGCCCGCTTTCTCGCTTGGTGCATTCGCCTACCTGAGAGCTGCGAGAATTCGTGCCCATCCACGAGCATCTTCTCGACCTTGGTCGCTGCGAGGTCCACATACACCTTGGGCCCGTTCTTGGCCTCTGGATTGTTGCCGCTCGGGGTGTTCATCCAGAGGATGTAGTCGACCGAGGTACAGCTTCGCAGATGCTCGCCAGCGGTCAGGGTGGTCTCTCGCGGAACCATGGTGGTGGTGTCGATCACGTCGCCCAAGGTGACGGGGTGCTCGCGGTCGTTGGCCTCGTACTTGATGTCGCAGCAGTTGAGCCGTATCGGCTGGATGCTGGGTTTGGGAACGGCTATGGGCAGGTCCACCGATGGATCGCCCTTCATGATCTTCATCATGAGCTTGTACTCCTCGGAGCTGCAGCCGTTCGTTCGGCTCTGTCGGCCATTGACGTTCAGAGTCCCCATCAAGTACACAGGCTCGATCTGGGGCTTGTTGCGAATGCAGTCGTCGATAAACTCCTTGAGCATCAGGAGCTGGTACAGTCGCTCCTCTCGGCGTGGATCGCTCGGAGCCAGGGAGGCGCTGTCGCTTTGCAGGTGGGTCGTGAAGATGTGGACGTGAATGGAGGTGGTCACGGCGATCTTGGCATAGAGTGCGCCTCGTTCGCCGAATCTGTCAAATGTGCATGGGTGCACGGCAAAAACAGACAGCGTCAGCAGGGAGAAACCACCAGCATCCAAGATGACATGTGCACGCTGCAATCCAGGACGTGGTTGTACCTGTCGCCGGTAGGCCCTTTCTTGAAGGTCATGCGCTCATACTTGACGATCGGGTACTTGCTCAGGATCATCAGGCCACCGTCGATGGTGACGTTGATCAGTCCCTTAGTCGGAGAGCACACGCAGTAGTCAAACCCGTGCTGCTTGGCCAGCTGCTTCATCTTGCCCTGTCGTGTCGACCCATACGAGTACAGCTCCTGCAGCGTCACGATGTCATATTTGTGGATGATTCCTTCTCCAAAGACGCCCAGCCGCTGGTTCTTGTAGTCGGAGGAGTTGTTCTTGAACCCGGGCGGGCGCAGGAGGATGTTGTAGGTCAGCAGCCGGATCGAGCATGGGCCGGGCCGGAGGACACGGTGAAGGGCTGACTCGGACGTGTTGCTGGGCCGGGACGAGTCGGAGATGCGCTCCTCCTGCGTAGACATGAAATGCACCAGTGCGACAAAGTTCAGACTCTATCCGGCGTAATGGCAAAGCATGAACGGATAGGAGAGACTGCAGTGTCAAGGACAAAAGTACACTTTCGCAGAGCAAAGGTGCGACAGATCCAACCGACATCTGGGACTTGTCCCCCCCCCACGCCTTCCCCTGCCCCACCCCCACCTCATTGTATATGCAAGCAAATCGATCAAGCAATGACGAATCCAGCGCCGACTCTCATGCAGTGTTTGGCCAATGTCTGGGTGCAGCGAGGAAGCAGTGAAGATGTTGCAGGAAGGGTGTGGGAAAGCAAAACAAAAAACAGAAGGCGAAGGAAGAAGAAGACGGGGGATGAAGCTGGAGCAGAAAGATTGTCGAGCGCATGTTTATTGTTGCCAGAAATGCCAAAGGGAGAAGACGAGGGGGTGGCAAGGAAAGATAGAAAATAAAATCAAGAAAAATAGCAAAGGAGAAGGTTTCTATCGAAGGGAAAGCAAATTGGGGCGCTGATGACAGTGTACACGATGGAGCCTGGAGGGGTCGAGTGAATGGATCACCGCTGGAGCAAAGGGAAGAATAGCCCGCGCAATGAACTCCAACGAAAGAGTGGCTACCGATGGTATCTCAACGACGACCTGAGCACTAAGCATTTGCATAAAGTGCATCAAGAAGAATGTCGATGGTGTGTGGGAGGAGACTATTCGTACAAAAAAAAGAGGATCGCAACGAGAGGAAAACACATGATCTGGGAAGACAGAAAAGACACTTGAATCCCACATGTGGACGGAATTCTGGAGAATCAACCGAGAGAGAGAGAAGGGAAGGAAATGAAATAACAAAGGCGGCCACAGCTCAAAGAGAATAGTAGGCAGAGGATATCAGGGGAGAGGCAAAGAGAGGGAGAAAGGGATGCGAATGAGGGAGAAGAAGGAGAGAGCGGAGGCGAGGCTATGAAATAATGCACCCAGAATTGGCCAATTTCCTATGTGGAGCGGGGGGAGGGGCATTCACCTTTGTTTTTGTGGCAATCGAGGTGTTGCTGGTGACGCATGCACTGTCGTCCATGTTCGAGCGGTCGCCTATGGGACGGCCGGGTGCGTCGGTCTGCTTTGCGCCAGTATTGGGCTGGGCCTGCGGAGGCTGTACCTCGTGAGACACCTAGTCGGCACCACACATACAAAGCAAAGTTGTTGTTGGTACTTGAGCCATGGGCGACACCGCCAAGCTCGCTCAAATCTCGGCAAACGCTCCTGCTCGATCAGAACCAGCTCCCCCCCGGAAGAGCCAGGCTCTCGATCGCTCGCGTCTCCACCATCAGTTGTACAGGGCGTGCGTGCTACTGCACCTTGATTCCGGTCTTGGACATGTTGGATGTGATTCCGGGAGCCAGATTGACGGGCTCTTTCTTGGGGGTCTGGGGCTGGGGCTGGATATGCATGTTCTCCATCTGCGTGCTCGCGGCCTCGAGATTCGATGGGCCGCTGGAGGAGGCTCGGGCCGGCTCTTCGTCAGCAAAGACCGTGGGTCCGCAGTTCGAGACAATGTACGGATGCTGAAGCGCCTGGCGGGCATTGTATCGCCGATTCGTGTCCACCAACAAGAGATGTCGGATAAAGTCTTTGGCTGTTTTATGTGAGTGACCAAGATGGATGGTAGGGTGGGGTGGTGCAGCGAGTGTGCCAGCATGAAGGTTATGACGGATGGTGCAGTGTAGACAAGGGACGATGATCAAGGATCCATATCAGTCTGATAATAGCGCTTGCTTGCTGAATGTGCATCCAGTCGGACAGCAAAGTGTTCAAAGCCCAGACGGCCACATGCGGCTGTACTCACCGCACTCGGAGATGTTGTCCCACCAGGGTCTGTCAAACTCATAGGTCCCAGCCATGATCTGTCGGAAGAGCTGGACATTGTTCTGGTCATAGAATGGAGGATATCCGCACAGACTGTGGTGTGATGGGGCGAGAAGGGGAGCAGAGCCAAGGAGATGGAGATTGGCGATGATTTTCATGTCAGCCAGGGCAACGACATGCGACAAGAGCTCCTGAGTCGACAAACGAAAAGCACCCCTGCCGCGGCAAGTGATCACTGCGTCCTGTGCGAAACTGACAGAATATAAGTAATCACTCCGAGTGACCACAGATCTACTTCTCGACCGTATCCTTGCCGTCGCAGGACTTCGGGAGCTAAGATTCAAGAGATCAGCCAGACGAGGCCACAAGGTTAGCGGTTTGAGATACAAACACCCAAGTGACCGATGCCTTCATAAACTGCGACAGCGAGAGTTGGCCCTTGTGGAGAGAGTGGGAGCGCGCTGATGCATATCGAGCACACATCCGTCGACCGCTCACCAACATATCCCGGGGTTCCGCATGCTGTCCTCATGACTTCATCATCATTGAAGATCTTGGACAAGCCAAAGTCGCTGATCATGATCTTGGGCGTCTTGGATTTGTCCGAGAGCAGCAAGTTCTCGGGCTGGTTCCGATGAAGCGGAGGGGTGAAGTATCAGCAAGTGGAGGGTGGATCCGGTGCACCGACCAGCAACCTGGCTTGCACTGGGATGTCGCGGGTGGTACACCCAGCGAACTAGCCGAGCGCCGCCGTCGCCACAACCACCATCGTCGCTGCAATTGTCGTCACCTTGAGGTCGCGGTGGGCGATGCCAAGTGTATGCAGATAGTCGATGGCCAGGAGGATGCTGCGGATGATCTTTGCGGCGTCTTGCTCAGAGTATTTGACACGGTTGACAATGTCGTCAAAGAGCTCGCCACCGGTTACGCTGGCAGGAACAGATCCAAGGGATCGGAATGCGCGACTCGATGAGCGTTTGCGCACACTCGATACCCATACAGCGACAGCTTGCTGGACTGCCAAATGGACGAGAGAGTGGCCGATACTGAAAGTCCTCGAAGCGTCGTGCCAAGCCAGGTGCAGAGGCTACTGCACCCGAATCAAGGCGCCACTTACAGCTCCATGACCAAATAGATCTTGTTTTCGATTTCGTACATCTCGTACAGTTGGATGATGTTCTCGTGCCGGACCTTCTTCAGGATATTGACCTCGGTATCGATCATGCCTTCTTTGCCCCTGCATTTTGCCTTGTCGATGATCTTTATGGCAAACTTGTTGCCGGTTGCTCGTTCGATTCCGACCTTGACTTCAGAGAACGCTCCACTGGACAATCGCGGAGGGGGGAGTGGTGGAAACAGGCGTGAAGAGCGATGCGGTTAGTGCAGGCGGTCGCTGCTGGCCCAGAGAATCGCAGCATGGTGCCTCGTGTGTGACTGGTCCCTGTCGATGGAATCCGAGGCTGGAGGTCGAATCGAATGTCGCAAAAGTTGGTTGGGCAAAGCCAAACTTACGTTCCCAGCGTTTCCCCGATCTCGTATTTTGCCAGCAACTGCTCAATCTTTGATACTTGTTTGGTAATGTTGGACGACATGATCTTGGCGTGCGTCTGTTGCTGCAGCGAGCCGAGTGAAGCAAGTCAGGGCGGCGTGTGGAAGAACATGATTATCCGAGCCACAGAGCCAAGGACAAGTCCCTGATACACATTGTAACGGTGTCCTACTCGACTGCAAGTGTCCTGCGACCAGGTCTGGCAGCTGGATGCAGAAACGAGCTATACGGGGCACTCGTTGTATGGCCCCAACGAAGTACTGCGGGCGAGGTTTGGGAGCTGTGCCGGTGATGTGGTGCAGGAGCAACAAGCGGCCCAACGAAATCAAGAGCCTTGGGGTTTCCAAGGACAGGACACACTGTGGAAAATCAAGCGGGAACTCGTGCTGGGAAGGCGTGAATGCAAGTGCTCACCGAGTCTCGATGTATCCTTGCTTGCGCCTTCGGCCGTCAGGGTGCGGGCTGTTGATGGATGACTCCGAGCTGCTGAGGAGACAAGCAGGAGCGGACAGGAGCGGGCAAGAACGGGTGGGAGGGCAAAGGCGGCGGATATGGTCCAAGCAAAGCTGAAAGAGAGGTGGCTGGACGCAAACAATCGGTTGCTTTGGATCTTCGTCGAAAGAAGCACCGGTGAGGCTGAGACCCATCCTGACCCTCACTTGCGCTGCACAGTGACAGCAAATGCACAAGACAGGGCAGATTCGACAGGCACAAGGAGCATTGTCTGTTCGCAGACATCGACATTGTTTAGAGGAGTAATGCCTGAGCGGGGGACGTCACGACAGTCGGCAGCTGGCAAGATGTGTCGCCAAGATATGTCGCTGCACACGCAGGCGAAATATGTCGCTGGGCCCGCAAGCGAAATATGTCGCTGAGCCCGCAAGCAAGATATGTCGCTGAGCCACTGTAGCCTGGACAGTCTTGCCAATCGCGCGGGACTTGTGTTGCTTTCTCGTTGCGACAACTCTCGAAGGGCGACGGCAGAAGATTCGACCGGAACGTCAGCAGAGGGAGCACTGCAGCGACCCTGATGCAAGAAAAACACCTGCCTCCAACGGCCCATCTGCATCGCCCACCGCCGCCCCGAGCAGCGTCCCCTGCGCTTGACTTCAAATCACGGCGTTTGAAGAACCGGCCCACCATGCCAGGACACGGAATGCCATGCGGATGGAGCAGTTTTCCCAGAACCATGACACTGTCGCTGGGAGAGCAAGAAGCGCCTGTTCTTGCATCCGGTACATGGGAACAACCCGCGAATATACATATCTCGCATGAATGAACGAGGCGCTGTGTTTATGGGGACCCTGGCCGCTGAATCCTGGAAGTACCCACATTCCCACATTCGCCATGGCTGCGACACGCTGGTCGACCATCGCCCTCAGAGACTGGCCCGATGCGGTATCAGAGTGCAGTGGACGCTGGACTGTTGTCGGGATAGGTCATCCGGGCGAATGCGAGGCGGCCATGCGGTTCGGTGTCGGTCCGGACGAGCCGTTTGCACGCTCATATCGCGGCGGCTCGTTGGGATCGGCAGTAGCAATGGCGATGGCGCATATCGAGGTGCATATCATGTTACGTAGCATGGCCTGGCCTGGCTTGGCCTGGAAATGGTCCATCGACAGTCGCAACCCGATATCGCCCTCGGCGGGTCCGGCACCTGGATCGTCCTCAGACCGGGCAGCCAGCTACGTCTGCACGGAGTTGCCTGATGTTGTCCTGGGGACACATCCGATTGATGATCGGCAAGGGCCGCCGAGTGTATTGTTGGCATGCAAATGCACAGCTGCCCCCGGCAGCCGATGTCAATACTGCAGTTGCTCACTGCGATATCAGCCGCCGAATCTCGACAGGGCAAGCCTCCCCCGTTGCTGCACCGCTGCCACCTCCCGCAACGACATCAGCGTCTGCTTGTGTTGATTGACTTGGCAGTGACGACGACTGCGGGCGATAGGCCACACCGCTCAGATCGGCCATGATTGGTGATAATAGCCAGCCCGCTCATCGGAAGAATTGCAAAACACTGCCAGAGTGCGCTCGCCCCCCCCCCCGCTGTTTTTGCATGCAGCCTCGGGCTCGGAGAGGGGTCACCAGCAGCTTGTCGGTCGGCGAGTCCGAAATTTGTGGCCTGGGTTTCCTTTGCGCCTCAAGCCGTCTGTCCCCAGCGCTGCAGTTCTCCTTCTGCAGGACACGCACGACTCTATTCCGGACAAAAAGCGGCCGAGACGTCCGTAGGTTGGCTCCGTGTGCGGCATGCTGGGACGAGGGGGGGGGGCCGTCCCTCAAAGACACCACCCCAACAGCAAAAGACTCTTTGCTTGCGCTTGCGGCGACCTCCTTGGAGCACAATCTTCGTCTCGCTTGCCGGATCTAATTCGACTCCACTCTTACCGCGGCCCTCTGTTCCTCCCTGGCTCCGCTGTGCTCCCTCCGTCGCCGACCCCGGTATTCTCGCAACGGGCCCACTCCACGCTGCCGTTGCCGCTTTCTCGCTCCACAGGGTGCATTCCCAGATCGTAGACAACTCCCGAAGAACATCCTAGTTAAAGTTTGTCACGTAACAGGTAGGCTCGACGCTGCAGACGGAGGTGTATGCCGCGGCGCTGCAGATGCATCTGCCAGAGAGGAGTGGCCAGTCTTGTAGCAAGGCTCTGTGACGGCACGGAGCCGAGAGCCGTACTGGCCGGCGGAATGATGAGGGGGGGGGAGGATGCTCGCTGGGTGTATCGACGGCAGACCCGCTTGGTAGGCTTCATCTCGCGGTTCCGCCGTGGCCATTTGCCATGCATCGGCGTCTTGGTAACCGGCCGGGTTGCCTGCTCCCCCACGACTTGCTATTGCATCGCTGGCCTCGAAAGCCATACATGCATGCAGACAGCGAGGAGGACGGGCAGCCAAGTCGTGCTGGAGGGCCAACGGGATGGAGTCGACAAGTTGGGTGCTTGTCTTGCTGCACTTGTTGCCGGGATTCGTTGCTGGGACATTCGTTGCCGGTATTCGTTGCTGGGACATTCGTTGCTGGGACATTCGTTCGACGCCGCTCTGCTTTCACATTCCCCTTGTGTCTTTTATATATTTCTTCGCCCTTGCTTTATCTTATACTTTTATTTTGCATCGCTTCCCCTTTTGTATCCCCTCATCATGCATCCCGACCTGTATCCATCCCATCCCATCCCATCCCATCCCATCCTATCCTATCCTATCCCCTCACACCGCTCGTTTGTATATCTCGGCTCGCCTGGGTCGCCGCGAGCAGCAGCATCAACCCACCGTCCTCACCGGTGCGTGATTGGAATCATATGGCTGCCGACTTGCCGCTGCCCCTCGCGCTGCCTTTTCTTCGCCTTTGGTCTCTGATTTGCCCGAGCCCGCTCTTCCTGCTCTTCTCGGTCGCTCGGCGCTTTGCCACCGATCTGCCCATTCCCGCTTCTGTGCACTTGGTCAGCGTCCTTGCAGTTTTCGGTTTCGCCCTCTCGCTACACTCTATCGGACAATTCCGCATCGCGGCAGTTTCACTCCTGCATCCTCGCCTTTCGCCTTCTTTCGTCCCCGCGGCTGTTGCTCCTTGCCTTGTGGGTAAAACCACTGCATTGCCCGACTGAGCCGAGACGAACCCAGCACCCCGCCTCCGCACCGGCTGCCATTTGCTGCCATTTGCTGCCTCTGCTTGCTTTCAGTCGTCTGCATCTTCCACTTGGTTTCACTCGGTTTCACCCACCTCACTTGCCTCCTCCTCCTTCATCGTGCGTTGTCCTGGTCGAGTGACATTCGATCGGGTCGCATTTCTTCGATTGGCATTTCTTCGGGCGCGTTTCTCCCTGGGGTTCTGGTTTCTGAATCTCTAGTTCTGGTTTCTGGTTTCTGGTTTCTGGTTTCTGGGTCTGGGCTCTTCAAGCCCAAGCAGGCAAGGGCGGTGGGCGAGACTGGGCCGTGCGCTTCGTTCAAAGGCAACAACCCGTCGTGTCCTATCATCCTGTTCCGATACCGCCCTGACTGGTCTCTGGCTTGCCGTTTTCCGACCTCCCAGATCATCAGCATCACACGTAGACTCTGCAAGAGCACGATCCCGTCTACGCAAGCGACATCACCCCTCAACCACCCGATCTCTTGGAGCTCCTCTGATTCCACAGTCCAGGTACAGCCAGGCATGTTGCAGCCTATCGCCCGTCCCGCCAAGGCCCCACTTCTCCTTCTCGGGCCACCCCTCGGGCACGAGATATTGCTCCGGCCAGCGTGCTCAGTCGTTCGGCCCAGCACCGTCTCGTCGGTGCAATCGCTTCGTCGCTCCCTTGCTGGCAGAAGGGGGCGCACCCATATCACATTGCCCTCTCCCCACCGCCCTTGTCGGGTCGCCGGTCCATTCTATTGCGCCTCCCCCCGCTCGCCTGCATCATCAGTCGCTCTGGCGCCTGGGTCTGCCCGCTCTCTGGTCTTTCCGCCACTCGTCCCGGCCTCTTGTCCCGGCCTCATCTCACTTCCTCGATCGGGAGCAGTGTGGAGTCACATTGACGAGGCATTGTTGGTTTAACCCCACACATTCGGTGCATCACCACGCGTCTCTCTTTGGGTCTTGCAAGCAGCCTCAGCTACCATCCACACCATCATGGCCGATATTGCCGAAAAGATTGCCGCGGCCCGAAAGGAGGCCGAGACCTTGAAGGAGAAGATTAAGCAAAAGAAGGATGCACTCGCGGACACAACACGTAAGCTTGTCCTCTGGCTCAGCCCCTCGCCGATCAGAGTGCCTCCCTCCTTCCCGGCGGCATACCCTGTATCTCTGAGCAAACGACTCACTGCCTTCGCGACGCTCACCTTCTGATCGCCCGCTCGTGCCTCGGCGCCTTCAGTAAAATCCGTTGCCAGCGAGCTCGAGCCGCTCCCTCGAATTGTGATGAAGGTCCGAAGGACCCTCAAAGGCCACCTGGCCAAGATCTACGCCATGCACTGGGCCTCGGACAAGCGTCACCTCGTCAGCGCCTCGCAGGACGGAAAGCTGATCGTCTGGGACGCCTACACCACCAACAAGGTCCACGCCATCCCGCTAAGATCTTCGTGGGTGATGACGTGCGCGTATGCGCCGTCAGGGAACTATGTAGCATGCGGCGGCCTCGACAACATCTGCTCCATCTACAACCTCAAGACCAAGGAAGGCACAGTCAAGGTTGCTCGCGAACTCAGCTCCCACACCGGATATCTCTCGTGCTGCCGATTCATCAGCGACCGGCAGATTATCACTTCGTCCGGTGACATGTCCTGCATGCTCTGGGACATTGATGCCGGCATGAAGACCCTGGAGTTTACCGACCACACCGGCGACGTCATGTCTCTCTCGCTGTCGCCAGACAAGAACATCTTTGTCTCTGGTGCCTGCGATGCCACCGCCAAGGTCTGGGATATCCGAACCGGCCGCTGCGTACAGACCTTCACCGGACACGAATCCGATATCAACGCAGTGCAGTACGTATTTGCTCATCGACGGCCACGCATTTCCGTCCCTCGCTCGTCAATGTGTCGTTTTGCGCGCGCGTCATCTCCCCCACAAACAGCCGCAAGTGCCGGCCCGCACTCCCTCCTCCATGCGCGCATGTCCGTCGGGTGTCTACATGGAAATGCCCATCCGGCTCGTCGTGCGTCAGTGCGTGCCGCTCCACAGGACCGGGATCTTCATCTCACCGCTCGATTTTACTTCCGCCCCAACTCTGCACCCGGCTGATGTCTTTGACAGATTCTTCCCGAACGGCGACGCCTTTGGTTCAGGCTCCGACGACGCATCCTGCCGACTCTTTGATCTGCGTGCCGACCGCGAGTTAAATCAGTACACGCACGACAACATTCTCTGCGGCATCACTTCGGTCGCGTTCTCGGTCTCGGGACGACTCTTGTTTGCCGGATACGACGATTTCAACTGCAACGTCTGGGACACTCTGAAGGGCGAGCGCGTCGGTGTCCTCACAGCCCACGAGAACAGGGTCTCTTGCCTTGGAGTCTCGAGCGATGGCATGGCACTCTGCACTGGAAGCTGGGATAGCTTGCTGAAGGTAAAGATGCCGGCGCGTGTGTGCATCGTCGCTGTCTCTGTGCGTCGTGGGCATCGCTGTGCATTGGCACTTTGATGTGCCGGTGGCTGCATAAGAGAGTGGCCCTGTCAACCAGTGGCCGCCGCGGTAGCCCGAGTCCATAGTCCATAGTCCATAGTCCTGTTCGAGAACGGACTGGTGTTGCGTGCCCGCTGCTTTCATTTGGAGACTGCAGTGCTGCTGCCTTGCATTCGCTGGTGTACTCACAGCCTATTATTTTCCTTCTTCCGTTGCTGCCGTCTGTGCACAGGTTTGGGCATAAGCGTTCAAAGAGAGAGCACATTGTGCGGATTGACAAAAGAAAAAAAGTACCCTTGCCATCGAGTTTCCAAGCTCGTGTTCTCCTCGTCCCTTCTTCAACACCTCCTCCCCTCCATCTCTTCTCCTCTTTCTCCCTTCTCCTTTCTCCCTCTATCTCTCTCTTTATCAATCATTGACTTGCTCTTACGGCTACTCTTTCTCCCGTGCTCCTCTCTGCGTTGGTCTTATGGAGGAAGTGGCTGCTACTTTTGCCGTTTAATTTCACTTTTTCCTCTCTTCTCTATTCCTCCCCCTCCCATTTGCTCCCCTCTATTTTCGATTCCCATCTCTCGCTATCCTCTATATCGCCCTCTACAGACTTGCACCACTCCGAATAAACAATCATCTTCAGTGCTTTCTTGGACTGAAGCGAGGCGGGTCGAGATACTCGCGATCCAGGAGGGAGGGGGAGGGGCGGTTCTGGGTAGAAGCAGAAGTGGAATCGCCGCAGAGATGCAGCCGGTACTTCCATCCATCGGTGGGTTTCAGTGATCGAGTAATTGGACGGTGTTGACAGCGAGACCCGTCGTCAATCTACATGATCAAACCGTGACTATTCACTCGAACGAGGGAGTGAGCTTGCGAGCTCGCGGAGTGGGAGGGGTCCATCGACAGGACTGCGTGCATTGATACCGCTCACGCCAAGATCTTGCCATCGACCAGGGTTTTACGGGCGGCCTCATACACCCCCAAGAAGATGCATCCGCCGATCGAGATCCAGGTCACCCGTGGGCCGATTCCGGAAAAGAGTGCGCGGTAGCCCTCCTCGCGGACGATCCGGGCAAAGGTCGGGAAGATGGAGGTGTAAGGCGGATGCGAGCTCGACGACTGGGAAGGCACAACCCGGTTGTGGGCAGGGAAGCGTTAGTGCCCATATGAAGATGCCACTCGCCCATGCGTCAACGGATCATTACAGAGAGCGATCTGTCGTGGAATGACACTGCACAGGTCTTACCCGCGACGACAGCATGATCCGGGTCTTGACTACATCCAGTGGTGTCGTGAGCGCTGCTGCGATGCCTCCTGCGACCGAGCCAAAGAGTGCCGCTTCCCATGTATGTGTCGGGCGGCCTTGCAGGTGGCTCCATGATCGCTTGAAGTACTCGTACAGCGGGAACTGAATGCATGTGAACGGGATCTAGATGGGGCCATGGAGAGCACGACGTCAATCGTTAGACGCCTATGTGGGAAAAGCAACAGCGATTCCAGGCTTGCCATTGGCTGCGAGAGTAGCGTCCATCGGCGATTATACCAAACGCTGTCCTCATGACACGATCTGATTCAGTATCACACTCCGGCTACTCGAAGCATGTCAAGTCCAGCTGGGGGTCACTGCTGCTGCTGCTGCTGCTGCTGCTGCTCACCTCTCTAAAGATCGTCATGGTGTAGCCTCGGTAGAATCCAAAGAAACCCTCCGTGCCCAGGATGGACCGAAGAGCATTCGACACCGAGTGGTACTGGCCCGTTTGCATTCGCTGCTTGACAACCTCGGTGGGCACCCGCACCGAACAGGCCATCTGTCCGTTCGAGACAAATGATGAGGCAAGGGCAAGCGCATTGGCGGACAGAGGGGGGATCATGCTTTGCTCAGATCCGGCGGCCACAAGCAATGCAAGTGAGTCGGCCGCAGGGCAGGGCAGGGCAGGGCAGGGCATAGTCCGCCCATGTCGCACGCAGACAAGATCGGCCCGGTTCCTGAGAACCAATGCCTCATTCACCTACAATCTCTCCGCACGAGGCGGCAATCATATGGGTGGCGGCATTAGACTGGCCGTTGGCGCTCCTTGCAGCCAAGTTGCTCTTGACGTATTCGTAGCTGACAAAGAACAGGGCAGCTGCGACGGGAACACCGGCATGAGTCCCGAGCTGGGCGATGTGTTGGCTGCGGCGACCGAACCTATCCCGTGGATCATCCGGGCGCCGATCGAGAGGAGGTGTTGTGGCCGTTCATGGCATTCCCCAGCACCGAGGCTGGCTGCGGTCGCTTACCAGACGGCGCTGATCCGATCACAGCGGACGAGAGACCCGAATACACTCCTCGGAAACCGCCGGCCGCCGCAAAGCCTTGCTTGGATTGCTAGTGGTTCAGGGCAGCACATACACGATCGTCGGATTGCGAGAATTGTCGTTGAGCAGTGCTCCGTTACAGCCCGATTCGGCACGTCGTAGCAATCGAGCGAGATCGCCGATACATACCAGCCGGGTCTTGATGGTGTCGAGCGGAAAGAGGCAAGTGTCGACGGCAGTGCCTGCGATGCCGCCTGCCTGGGACATGCGGTGGACAGCGTCGTCAGACCACAGGCACCCTGGGACCACACCCCCAGCCATACAGCGTGCTTTGGAACCCATGAATCGCACCCAGCCCATCGGCTCAGACGATCTGGCTGATGCACTCGCTTTGTCGTTGGCCCCAGCACCTGGATGCACGATCACGGCGCCGGCCTAGATACGTTGCTGCATGTGCCGAACGAGCAGTCTCACCAACAGGGCTTGATACGTCGACGGTTTCTTCTCCATGGCGTTGCTGGGCTCTGCTTGTACCGGCACGGACTGGGCTGGATCTGCGACTGGATCTGCGACTGGGCTGGGCCTGCGGCTGGGTGCGATCGGGACGGAGTGGTCGGGTGCGATCGGGCAGGGAACGGCGAGCCACAGGCCCAAAACCGGGGCCGATCGCGGGCGGATCCAGCCACCCGATCCGCGGATCGAGCCGCACTCCAGTGCGGTTGCACTTTTTTTTTCGCGTTCGCCTTTTGCGGCCCAGTCGGGCGTTTGTCTGTTCGGGTCTGTGGAGACGCAAAAACTTGTCCCGAACGACCTCTGTCGACGACACATCCACTCCCGCCTGCTCACGACCTGCTTTGGCTCGTCGTCCCTGCAAGTCCTCCGTCTTCGACAGAACCCGTTCGCCGTCGCCTCCCGCCTGCCGGCCAGCTTCCCCTCCTTCCGTACAGATCAGCCATGGTCAGTCACCGTGCTCGTGGCCGTCAACAATGCTCCTAGATCGCAGCCGATGTCGCCTGCTCTCGATCGAGCGGACGCTCGCTCGGATCGTCGACGCTGCTCTCCATCTCGTCGCTTGTCATCACAGGCCATGGATCGGACCTAGTATCATGCGTGCTCTATTCTGGCCCAATCTGGTCCTGACCGTGATCTGCACCGCTTGCATTCTGTCTCTCTCCTTCCTCCCCCCTGCTCCACAGAGACCCATCCTGCTCAAGGGACACACCCGCTCGCTGACAAAGATCAGATACAACCGAGACGGCGATCTCCTGTTCACTGTCTCGAAGGACTCTACACCCTCGGTCTGGTTCTCCCACAACGGCGAGCGCCTGGGCACATACAATGGCCACAACGGCACCGTCTGGGACCTGGATATCTCCGGTGAGTTGCACCGGATCCACTGTCCCGAGACAAAGGAATCGCAGCGGCGTCGTATCCATGGACAGCGCTACGTCAATACCTGGCCTGGCCGGATGCCTCGCTTTTGTGCAGATGCATATTCACCCACTCACGCTGCATCGACTTCTCTATCTTGCCGTCTCGGGATTGTCGATTCGACTGCGGCCCTTCGTGCGGACACCGATTGCGCATCAACTCGAATCGATTCGCCCATGGCTCTCTCGCTGTGCTCGGACACAATACTCGCGATCTGGACTCTGTGGCTTCATCCCCACCACTCAATGCACCCACCCCGCTGCTCGCCATCCCAGTCGACAGCCGACGCCTCCTGACCGGCTCCGCTGACCAAACCTGCAAAATGTGGGACGTTTACACCGGAAAGTGTCTCTTCACCTGGAACACCCGCACTGCCGTCCGTGCTGTTTCTTTTGCCGAAGGCGACAAGCAGGCTCTCTTCGTTACCGATGCCGTCATGGGCCAGCCCTCGACCATCCACATTGTCCCCATCGAAGACAACGTTGCTGACCGTATGGACCGTTCCTCTGATCGATTGATTGATGTGGCATTTTCTGAGCTGCTGCAGACACGGTTGCTACTGGCAGCGTGACAATCGGATCTCCTCGACTGCTGCTTCTGCCGTCGCTGTACAGCCAGATTCCAGAGTCCTGGATAGCTCGCTGATCGTGGCTTCTTCTCGCCCGTCTCCAGAAACCGAAGAGCCCGTCAACAAAATCATCATCACCGGATCAAAGGCCACCGTCGCTGTTTGGTGTTCCCTCAACGAATACATCTTGACGGGCCATGAAGACGGCTCAATATCGCTGTGGGATCCTGCCGTAAGTACCGTCGGCAGATGCATACCCCGTGCGTCGCATCCTTGGCCTGCCGATATGATGCCTGGTATTTGCAGCATGGCCAACTAATGTTCCTCCCCTGTCGCATCCTGGAATGGACTACCGCGTCTCAGACCGGCAACCGACTCAAGCGGGTGGAGAACCACAAGGCCACCATCCAGGACATTCAGTTCTCCAAGGACAAGACCTTCTTCATCACAGCCTCGCGAGACCACTCGTGTCAGATCTATGACACGGCCACTCTGAAGGTTCTGAAGCAGTTTGTTACCGAGCGACCCTGCAACGCCGCCGCGATCTCTCCCATCCGACCGCACGTACGTGTTACCCGCTCTGCATTCACCGAGAATGGAGAGGAGCATTGCCCACCCCTTGCTTCGATACAAGGGCTTGAGCTTCGATCTGGCGCTGATTGGAAATGTCTGTCTTGTTCTGGTTCGCGACAGATCATCCTCGGTGGTGGTCAGGACGCCATGACCGTCACCCAGACCAACGTCAAGGAGGGCAAGTTCGAAGTCCGGTAAGTCGGATTGTGACGCCGTGAAGGTTCCAGGGCGCATCATGGTACCCCCTCACAGTCTCGTGCCCGAAGGTGGTCTGCCCCATGGCCCGTCCTGTCGCTCATTCTTGTTGTCATGATGACCGACAGATTCTACCACCAAGTCTTTGAGGAGGAGATTGGCCGTGTCAAGGGCCACTTTGGTCCCATCAACACGCTGGCATTCCACCCTGATGGCAAGAGGTAGGCAGCGGCCTGTTCCCGCACTCCTCACTCTGCACCCGAGTGACTGAGATCAAATGCTGAGATCGAGCGCTGGATGCTCAGTGTACCGTCCCGCTGACACTGCGCTCCTGTCTCTATTCTCATCACAGCTTTGCTTCGGGCGGTGAGGATGGTTACGTTCGGCTGCATCACTTTGACGACGACTACTTCACCTTCAAGTTCGAGGAGGAGAGTCTCGAGAACTACGCCTAGAGGCTCTGAGCTGCGTGTCTGCCGATCCCGGCCAATGTCTGTCTCACTCTTTGGCTGTCAGTGTCGCCGAGAGAGCCTTGTCTACTCCCGAGCGATCCTGCCGAACCCGAGTGGAGGATGTGTGGTAGGATCCGCCGCGGCTGTGTGAAACGGTTTTTTGTGATGGTTGAATGGTTGCCACAGTACCGAGGGGCCACGATTCTGCTCTGCGCCCGATGCGGGATCCATGTATGTAGTTCTCCCAAGAAACAAATAGCAAAAAATAAAACGTGGCGGGGGAGCACCCGACGTGTTCCACACTGCTCTTGGAGGTGGATGGGGCCAAAGGGAGGAAGAAGAAAAAAAAAGAGTCATGACTCTTTTGGCGGGCACGTGGCGACCGATCTGATGCTCGTTCAGATCAGTTCGGATCAGATCGGTCGACTGCCAACCCAGCATCCACTCCAGCGCTCGACTCTCGATCCGTCTGGCTGCTGCAAGCCGCACAACAACGCCTGCACCCACTCGAGTCTGGCTTCAAGTCCCCCGCATGGCCTCCCTGACATTCTCTGCTGCCAAGCGAAAGGCGCTCTATTCCCTGGTCGAGCGGGCTCGGATCTCTGACGACTCAACCAGCCGATCCGATGCCTGGGTCTGCTGTGGGCACACCTTTGCCCTGCTGCCCGAGATCTCACGGCACATCAGCCGAGATCATGCCGCCGATATCTTACAGGCCCTGGACTCTCTGCTAGCAACGCCCTCCAAGTCGCAGGACTCAAACGGCACCTCGGAACATGGCCCAAGCGACGACCGTGCTCATGGCGAGGAGCAAGATCGTCGAGCCTCAGCACCGTTCACTGGACGGAGAGCCGCAAAGGGCTCATCAGACTCGGTGGCGCTGCGTTGCCAATGCGACGGCTCTGGGACGGTGATTCTGTTCTACAAGTATTGCGCCGTCGATGACCCCACGGATTTCTGCAAGGCGATGGAGCGGCTCTGTGCCGGTTTGACGGGCAAGGTATTATCGAGGCCGCTCTGGTGGAGACCGCTCTGGTGGAGGTCTCTCCTATGCATCCGCCCAAAGGTTGCATTCATGGTGGTCCAGGGCAATGGATCTTGATGAACCATCAACCAATGTCTGGATCCAAGCCCAGCAGCGGGTTTCTGACGGTGCCTTGACTTGGGTTGCTCCAATTACCAACCACTCACCACTCACTCACCCACTCACTCACCCACTCAAGGTTCGAATCTCGTCCGAAGGACTCAACGTCACCCTGGCCGGATCGGACGACGATATTGACAAGTTTGTCCAAGCCTTTGCATCCTTGCCAATCTTTGGTGATTCCGATTGGGGATGCTCGAGCGGCAACACCAATTCGGATGGCCGGCTCGAGTGGACGCCCCAGCTCTACTGCTTTTTCAAGCCAAGTCCTGGATGCATCCATGGTAATAAGCCGAACTTGATTGCAATATTGAGGGCATTGGGATGGAGGTGCTGCGCTGTGCAAGGCGTCGCTGCAACTCAAGGTCTCGGAGAGTGCATGTGGGCAAGCAGACCATATCGTGCATGGGGTCACTATGGGATCACTGCGGGATCGCTGGACACGATGCACTAGATTCAAGTGGACTGATGGACTTTTGCTTGATCCGTTGGCCAGTCTTTGATTCGCTCTCGATCAAGGCCGTCCCTGAGATCTGCCCACTGGGCCTGAACAACTCGGTCCAGACGCCCAGTACCATGCGGCATCTGGGAACAGACACACCCAAGCTCGTTGGTCTAACACCGCCAGAATTCCATCAGAAGCTGAGCCAGGCCCTCGACGACCCCAATAACTATCTGATTCTCGACACCCGCAACTACTACGAGTCCAAGATCGGCTTCTTTGAGGGGGCTGTCCTGCCGCCGATTCGCAAGTTCTCGTCGTTTCCACACTACTTTGAGACCAACCGCGACCAGCTCTTGAGCGGGAAGAAGGAAATCATCACCTACTGCACAGGCGGGATTCGGTGCGAGAAAGCATCTGCGTGGGTGATGGAGCAGACGGACATGCCCGTGTACATGCTCGAGGGCGGCATACACATGTACATCGAGTGGATCAATGGACGAGCACGGAACTCGGATCCGCCGGGTTCGACTCTGTCGGCCTCGGCAGTCAGCAGAGAATCACAGCTTCTCGATATTCAAAAGCATCTCTACAACCCCATCGCCGGCAACGACGAGACCGAGGCGGCTGGCCAGGAGTTCAACCCGCCCCCAGCAAGCTCCACTGTCAGCCTCTTTCGCGGCAAAAACTACGTCTTTGACGCTCGACAGTCCCTTGGACTGATCCCCGAAGCATGCGGCCCGGAGTCGAGCCCCGTTTCGCAGTGCCAGCAGTGTCGGAAGCCACAGGACCACCTCGCCAAATGCGCGGGACAGGGTTGCCACTTGCTGATCGTTGTCTGTCCCGACTGCTTGCGCTCGATCCAGAAGCAACAGCCGGCCGATCCCAGTGGTGGCCTCTATTGCTGTCGGGGCTGCCAAGCAATGCAAGCCGAGTTTATGCTGCACCAGAGCTGCAACTCACCAGATACAGGCGCGAATGCCAGAAGATGGAAACGGAGGATATGTGACTGCGAGAATGAGCGGCGACAGCAGATTGACGAACACAGCATGCCCAGAACGAAACAGGATGACACCCATCTGTGATCTTCACATCAACCCTGCCATCAGCAGAGTGATCTGTAGACCCAGTAGAGAAGCCATGCGATTATTACGGTCTTGGCTGTTAATCGGGTGGCTTTGATTGATGAAGCAAACCCCGAATAGATGCGGCGAATCTGCTTTGGTGATGATCAACCGACATTGGTGTCACGATGCAAACGTGTGGTGCATGCATTCAACCACCTCGACAGCTTTGTACAGCGTTTCCAAAATGAAATGGAACACCTGCCCACAACCCATTTGTCAGCGTGGTATGCGATGGCATGCGTCTAACTATGCCATAAGAAATATAACAGATCACTTTGGCAGCCTCCGAGTGAAGACCACCGGTCGCAGTGCAGCGATGCGAAAATCGAGGGCGTTGTGCTTGGCCATGACTGCAATGAGTGGGTGGGTGTATTCAGGTCACAGAAAAAAGCCCTGTCATGGCTCAAAACGGGGTGTCCCATTTCATTTTGGAAACGCTGTAAAAGGTGTGCTTTCTTGACTTCGATATCGTTCGATAGAAGACACATACACAGAAAGTAACAATATATTATCGATGAACTACGGACAGCTTTGAGGGTACAATCACACTGGATAGCATTGCCATGGCCGCCGACTTGGGCCATGGAGCCAGACAGAGATCATAGAGGGCGGCGGAAGAAAGTAGCGGGGAGGCAGAGGAGAAGAGGAACCCGAGACACAGTCCCGGGCAGTGGGGGATAAACGGATCGACGCCAGCGGGTAAAGAATACAACAGAGCAAGGTACAAGGTCGAGTGGTTTGAAGGATAGAGATTCACTTTGATCGGGCCAGGTTCTCAGTCGAGGAAGCGCTGGCCAGAGACAGCAGTGTTGCTGTAGTAGTATCAGATACTACTTCAACAACAGTGTCCACACGATCAATCACCTTCATAGAATGGATGGGTGGGTTGTTTACCAGGAGCAGGGGTAGTTAACGCCCGAGACACAGGTGGTGCCAGCAGGGCAGTTGTAGGCATAGGAGTTGCCGCCAACGCACCACAAGTAGCTGGTGGAGCTCTGGCAGACATAGCTGTTGGGAGCGGCACCGGTGCAGCTGCCCGAAGGAGGAGGAGGAGGAGGGTTGACGGAGGGAGTGGGACCACTGGTGGTCTTGACGGGCTTGGTGGTGGTGGTGGTCTTGACAGGCTTGGTGGTGGTGGTGGGCTGGTTGCCAGCAACAGTGAAACCAAAGGTCTGGCTGGTGGCGCCAATGCCGGACTGGCCATATCCGATCCAGAAGAAACCGCTGGTTCCCCAAGAGGGGCCCCAAGAGTTCTTGCAGAGCCAAGCTTGGTTGGTGTCGTCCCAGCCAACAATGGCGACGGCGTGACCGCCGAGCTGCTGGTTGGACTGCTGCATGTAGATTTGGTTGTTGCTGCAGCAGTTCTCAAAGTCGCTGTAGACAGTGAAGGCGGTAAAGACAGCGCCATAGGCCATGATGTGCTGCTTGAACTGGTCGACGCTGCTGAAGGAGTTCTCAGAGATGCCACCAGTGCGAGAGCAGCTGCTGTCGGTGCAGCTCTGGTCCTGGCCGGTGCCGGCAGTGTAAGGGAAGCACTGCTCAGTGACAACACCGCGGCTGGAGATGGCGCTGGCGGCCGAGCTTGGGTACCAGCCAGTGCTGCACTGAGCCTGGCCAGCGGCAAGGCAGAAGAAGATGTCGGCCTCGGAGACGATGATGGAGGTTCCCTGGCTCAAGAAGGTACTCTCGACGGCGGCGGCCGAAGAGAAGGCGACACAGCTGCCGCACTGACCCTGGTCCTTGATGGGCGAGACCCATCCCGAGCTGCGAGAGTCCCAGGAAGTGGGCAGAACGGCAGCGAGGACGGCCTCGGACTGGGTCTGGGTGTCTTCAGCAGAGGCACCGTTTCCCTGGTGGCAGTTGATGGAGAGTGATTGAGTGAGCGAATGGGTGAATGAGGTGGATGGCAAGAGCATGGCATGCACCAATGTACCAATGCACCAATGCACCAATGCACCAATGCACCAATGCACCAATGCACCAATGCACCAATGCACCAATGCACCAATGCACCAATGCACAAGCATTCTGTCGCGCCGAGTACTTACAAAGACGTTCTGGCGGATCGACTCGACCGACTTGTCAGAGACGATGGAACCCGAGAGGAGGCTGGCATCAATGCCGCTGTGGAGGTGGCTGCGGACTTGCTGGACGAGACCCTGGAACTGCGAGTCGTTCTGGCGAGCAAGGTACTGGGAGTGGAGCTGGCTCGACTCGGAGGCCATGATGGCAGTGTTCTGGGTGGAACCAATGACCTTGTCGAGGCTCTTGACGTACTTGCTCCACTTGCCTGTAGGATGGGTGGCAGTGGGTGGTGAGTATGTTGGATGGGTTGCGTGGCAGTGAGTGTGGAGAGTGTGGAGAGTGTGGAGAGTGTGGAGAGTGTGGGAACAGAACACCCAAGCAATCAAAACACCCAAGCAATCAGAACACTCATCAAACACACCAGCCAGGGGTGTGGGAAACAGATCGGGCGGCAGTACCTTTCTTGACAGAGGCGGCATCGGCCGAGGCAGCAATGCCAAGGAAGAGAACGACGGCGGCGGCAGCGTTGACGAGCATGGCTGGGGTGGTTGCGGGTGAAGGAGGAGGGATTGAAGGAGGAGAACTTTGATGAGGACTGAGGGACGCTGGAGCGGGTTGAGCGCAGGGTCGGTGGTGGCCGAGACGGAGGGCGCTCGGGCGGCGCTTTTTATGCTCGACTTTGGCCCGGCATCGCCCAGCCCCCCCCCGGCACCTTCGATGCAGCCATCGATCGTTCGCGATCCCAACCGACAGCAGAAACGCATTCTCACCATTGGCGGCTCGGTGCCGACCTTGTTCCCATCATCTGACCATGAGCCTTTCCGTTTTTTGTGCCCAGCGATCATTTGACCGGCGCCCACCGACCCGCCCACCGACAGGCCCACTCCACCACCCCCCCACGGTCTGGACAGACATCCATTGCTGTCTGCGAGCCCCCCTCTCAGCACAGCGTCCATCTCTGCAGCAATGTCCATCGTCCTTGCGATGCTGTCCAGTGTCCTCGTGTCCGGGGTGGCTCGCCGGCTGGGCGGGCCGTGGGCGCGCCTTGTTGCGGCACGCGCCCGTGCGCGGTCCTCTGGTCGTCGGCAGCCGACTCAACCGAGCATCGGCTGACCCACCGCCCTTGTGCTGGGCTCGGAACGAATGACGAACGGGTCCTCAGTCGCGGATGCTTCTCACAAGAAGGTCGGGGCGGGAACATCAGCGGCAAACGATTCCCACTGAAGGTCCAATGGCGACTGCGTCTTCGACATTGGCTTCCCACCCGACGCTGCTCCGTGCTGCCCCGTGCTGTGCTATGCAACTCCACTCTGCACACAACCGCATCTCCTGCGGCCCAGGCTCACACATGGTGCGAATCGAGTGCTTCCCACCAGGTCGCCCCCCAGACTTTCTGCTTTCCGATTTGCGCATGGGCGAGCCATCGGGCCTGTGTGCGACATGCTGCCTTGATCATTCTGTCGTCTGCCGCGGTCGTCTGCTGATCCCTCCAGCACCGCCGCTCTGTCCTGGAACGAGTCCCGAACGAGTCCTGAATGCAGTCGCATGCCAGTCGGTGGCGCCAGATGGTCCATGGTCGCCCTTGGCCGTCCATGGCGGCTTTCCAGCACTGTCCCTCTTCCCACGTCCCATTCTTCGATCGGCCTCGTCGATGCGCCCCCTCTCCACCACACGGCCCTGTTCATTTCGCTCGACGATGCCCGTCTGGGAGCAGGTGGCTCCTTTCCTTTCCATTTGCCCGCACACAAGATCCGACACGTTCGCATTTCATCTCATCTCGTTCCATCCCATCTCGTCCCATCTCGTTCCGTCTCGACTCCCCGCGGTGGACCTCTTTCCCTTCGCAGAAGGCCGAGCAGCTCACATGGTGGGGTCATGCGTCCGCAATCCAGCACAGCCGCGACTGCAGCCAATCGATGCTGCTTGTTATGTCTGATGTATTTCGACTTTCCCAGACGAGCTGCCCCCGAGTTCTTTCTCAAAGTGCCTCGGCTCATGGTGATGCTCGCCCTGCATCCAGACGCAGTCATCGCCGGCACATGCTCCGCCGGCCAGCAGCTCACTGAACCGTGAAGAATCGCTGTGGCCCCGTCAGATGCCTCTGGGGCCCCTCTCGCTCCTGGGCCAGCCGCCCTGTCTTCATTGCTGGAACGCAAGCATGATCCTGCGGCGCTCGGTGCGCCAGGCAAATTCTCCTTCCGCATGCCCTGCACTCCATCGGAACCAGCGTCGTTTTCGAGCAGCCTTGAACGTGACATCGGCTTGCCTTCTTTGCTGCTTTTCTCCTTGCGTTGTATGCATCGCAGTCATGCGGGGCCACTTCGGTGCCGGACAGGGGCTGCTGGCATTGTCCGCACACCTGCACGATCCGGCTGGGTCTTCCGGTGCAATCCGGGTGATCCTTTGTCTCGCGATGTTCGTGGCAATACTCTTTCCGACAGAACCCGCATCGCACGGGCAGGTAGTCTAACCGGTGGCATTCCGGGACGGCGCAGTGGCGGCCAAGTTCATGGAGCTCCATTGTGACGGGAAAGGGGGGGGTTGTTCCTGCTGGAGGTGCGCTGGCTATTGGTCTTCCAAACAGAGCGAGATGAGAGTAGAGACGGCAATGTCGATACCGGATGTGCGGTGCTGCTTGCTGCTTTGCTGTTACGGTGGATGGATGCATGCTCTGAACCGGTGCTGCCCTCGGCCTCATATACAGCCAACTGCCACCCCCCTGGTCGAGGTGCTGCGGCTGCAACAACCCTGGTTGATCGACCTTGGCGCTGACAAATGGACGAGAGCCCTCTGCTTCCAGTCGCATACCCGACTCGCCAGGTGCTTCGAGCACCTTCCGATGCGACTCTACTGGGCTGCACTGATTGTTATGGCTGGCTTTGGGCGATCGGGCCGCTTCAGCTCTGCCTAAGCTCCGAGACATCCTGCCAGAGATATCCCACCGTATCCAGGGATTCTACACGTATCAATCGGACTAGCTCCACAAGCGCCATCGATTCTAACTACCCAGGGCGGGGCAGTGCAGCCTCGTCGTACTTCCAAACTACAATGCCAAGTAGAGCAGCAATGACGAAGCGTTGGACTCTAAACATGTCGAACTCTCAACAGCGAGAGATAGCCCACAATTGCACGACGTTTCGGCCCAGGCCCCATCACTGGGTGCCTCGATTGCTCTCAAGGATGTATTGCTTGTGTGGAGTAAACGGATGGAGCATTCATTTCTCGGACGGTGGGATGGTGGGTAGACCCACTCGCTTCTGCCCAGGCATGTTGCCGAGAAGGCCGCTCGTCGCTGGTGAGAAGAGAAGCAAAGACGTCAGTCTGGGTCAAAGTCGAGGTACTGCCCTTGGGAGCCCATTCGCCGCCACTCTGCTCTGCAACATCGACGTATCGTACTCGAGTTTGGCTTGCTTCTCCGCGGAAGGATCAGCTTGAGGTCTTCGGGAGAGAGTGTGGTCCCGTGGTTGATGGCATTGTTGAGCCTCTGTGTCCGTTTTTGCGAGGCTTTGAGGTCCTTTCTCAGCGAGTTGATTTCTCTGCCCGTTCAGAGGTCGGCAGAAGTCTCAGCGCAATGTCAAGCGAGCACAAAGTGCTCAAACATGTACCTCGCTCGGTATCGACGCTCAGGCTCCAACCCCTTACGTTAGCAACGCTACGTTTTCTTGCATGATCCGGAGATTCTCGGCGTATCGGTTGGATGCTCCTTTGTTCAGCTCGTGGCGGAGGGTCTTGGCGGTGCTCTCGAGATGCTCTCGCTGCTGTGCTTCTTCTATTTCGTCGTCCTTGGGGCCGTCCTCACTTTCGTTGGCGGGAGCCAGTGCAGCCTCGGGCGGCGGCTGTGGTAGCTCATCTGGGGTATTGGCATACTTATGGAACATCGCCACGACCTTTTTCTATTGGGGGGTGGGGAACATGGGCGTTAGTGGAGCCATCGCTCTGCCTTGGCCCATATGCTTGCCGACAGTGCCTGCAGAGTTGCCCGGCTGAGATGTCTACTGAGTTGCCCAATATGACATATGCGTGCAGTTGTGCTTCAGCAGCCCAGATACCTTGGTCATATCCAAATCCTCGGGATCCTTGCCGAGCCCTTTGAGATCACCTTGGATGCGTCGGAGGATCGACCGGACCTCTCGCCCCTTCCATGTCTCAACGTTGGCTTCGTGCTCGGTCGCCTTCACCTTCATCAAGAGGTCCTGGATGGCCGTGTTGAGGACATCGTGCCGCTTGTGGTAGGCGTGCAGTTCGATGTCCATTTCCTGCACCAGGCCAAGCAGCGCTCAGTGAGTGATCCTGACGGACGCTACAACTATGCAGCACACCCTCTTCAGTCCTCCTGCCTCGCCTACAAGCGCAGATCGAGCCTGTGTTGGCGGCGCTCACCTTGATTTGGTTGGACAGGGTGACAATGTCTCGCTCACGGGGCTCAACCTGCTTCTTGAGCTCCATGATCTTGTAGTCCAGCACAAACTTGAACTTTTCGAGCTCTTGGTTCTTTTTCTTGAGGTCGTAGATTCTCTTCTCCTTGTCCTGGATAGTATCGTCTCGCTCTTGCATCTGGAACAGGCGTGCGAGTGAGTGAGTGAGTGAGTGAGTGAGTGAGTGAGTGAGTGAGTGAGTGAGTGAGTGAGTGAGTGAGTGAGTGAGTGAGTGAGTGAGTGAGTGAGTGAGTGAGTGAGTGAGTGAGTGAGTGAGTGAGTGAGTGAGTGAGTGAGTGAGTGAGTGAGTGAGTGAGTGAGTGAGTGAGTGAGTGTGTGTGTGTGTGTGGGGCGACTTGGAGATGTTGCAACAAGTCGTCTCCGACACCAGAGGGCCATCTCGGTCTCTCACAGTCGTCGCTCAAACTCTTGCATCCACTCATACATTCATCCATTTGTGCTTGTGTGTCTGGCTCTGGCGCTTACCTCACGCTTGACACCGACAATGTCCTTCTCAAAGCTCTTGATGATCGAATGGAGTCGCTTCTCTTCGTAGAACATCTTGGCAAGCTCTTGCTTGTGATCCTCAATCTCCTTGGTCAGACAATCGTACCGATGCTTCATTGCAGAGTTTTCTTCGCGGATGACGCTGAGCGAGTCCCGCTCGTCTCTCAGTTTGGTTTCAAAGTGATGGGCAATCTGCAGCAGCTCTTCTTCGGTGTCAACCTCGATCTCGCGTAGGTTGCTCTCAAAGTCGACTTTTTGTCTTCCAAACTGCGACTTGAGCTGGTGTTGGCGGTGGACACAGGGGCGGATCACGACTTGGACGTAAGTCATGGGTTCACCCACTTGCGCCCAAGTTACCTGTACCCTTCTCCACGGTGGGTATGAAGTGCAGGAAGTGTGCGTATCCGATCGAGTCTATCGGACACGATGCAAAACCAGCCTATCTGATAACTTGGCTGCGATTCAAATCCAACCCGTCCCATCGATTCGCCGCTTTGACCACACAACACTTCTGCCTCTCACCTGCAATATCTCATCCTGTCGCTCCTGGATCTTGCGCTTGTAATACTCGGATATCTCTTGCAGCCGTGCCTTGTGGAACTTTTCCGTGTCAGAGATCTGAGTTTCCCACTGCCGCTTCAGCTCGGCCGTCTTGGTGTTGAGCTCAAAGTACTTTTCGTTTTGGACCTCCATCTTCTTGTTGAAGGCGGTATCGATCATATTGATTTCATCGCGGTACTTTGTGCGGAAGGAGTCAAGCTCTTGCATGTGCATTCGCTCGTTGGTTTCGCGCTCGTTCTTGAGCATCTCTGTTTGCTGTCATGCAAGATGGTGACAAGACAGTCAGGCACTTGAACAGCGGCAGTTCCCGTCGTGACTGTGCGAGGTGACTCAACGTTGCTGCACAAGATGGACTGTACCTCCTTTAAGCCTTCAATCTCCATCATGTACTTCTCGGTGAGCTCCCTGAGCTTCTCGCTGTAGTTGAGGTCTTTGAGTCGCAGCTGGGTTTCATTGTCGGCCTTGAGCTCCTGCCCGGACGATACGCATGCACCAACGTGTGGCCAACGCAGGTATCAGAGCAGCCCATCGCAAATGGATGCGTGAGGCGAGTTTAGAGGGAGCGTGCAGCTACCCGTGGACGGTAAACTCACCTCGACTCGCTGTTTTAGCTCGTTCATGATCTTGTAGTTGTCCTTGAGATCGGATTTGGTGACCAGGATCTACACGGGCCGAGACACCAACAGGTTACTCGCCGATATCGGACTGAGGCACTCATGGGTCTATGTATGGCTGAGCCTCTGAGCCTCTGAGCCTCTGTGCGGCAAGTTTGCCCACCTCGTCCGAGTAGCTCCACTCCTTTTCGCGCTTGAAGCTGCGGGTCTCCTTGTCGAGGACCTTGTAAACCCACAGGCATCCGTCCTCGCCGCAGGTGAACAGGAACTGGTCGTCATACGAGAGCCGGATGCGAGAGACCGCTCCGCTGTGACTCATGGTCTCTTGATAGTCATTTTGAAGACCCGATAGGTCTGCCCCAAAGGGATACTTTGTGGCCCGAACCCGCCCGTGAGCCGTTGCTGAGACGAGACGGAGATAGCCAGGTTTCAATAACACTGGCATGATGCTTGCGCCAGTGATTCGACAAGCTACATGTCCTCGGGTTCTGCTACGCTGCTCCATGCCTTCCTGTTTACTGTGCACGTCGATGCCATGGTTTATAGCGGCAGGGTTTTTCTGCCCTCGAGAATGGAACTTTGGCCCACACATACCTCCAAAGAAGAGCTTTCCTGTCCGTGATATCAACACTGTTGTGCGTGATGATCGCCGCACACAAGTGTCAGTACATCGGGTGAGCGAGGGCCACCCGGCGCCGGCTAGCGACTGAGCCGACCTCTCCACGTACTTACGATGAATCATATTCCCTTTGATAGGAAACTCGCGGTTCACCCGAGACTCACAGATTTCCTGTTGTAGTTCATATATGGATGAGTTAGTCAGGGCTGGGATGAATGATACTACCATCAGCATCAGCATCAGCATCAGCATCAGCATCAGCATCAGCATCGGCATTCGAACACACCCGCAGTATCCCGTCGTTTCCAACAGTGTATATAAGCTTTGAGTCTGAGGTGTAGCAGGCCGATGTATGGACCACATCTGGGGTATTGACTTCGCCGTCGCGGCGGCCCGTGCGGATGTTCCAGTCAAAAACTGAGCCGTCGATGCCGCACGACACAAGATGGCTGTCGTCTTGGTTCCACATGATGCTCTTGACTTTGCCCTGGTGACCCTTAAGAGTGGTGACGGTGTCGAATGACCATGTGCTGTGTATGCCGATGGTGGAGCCGTAGACCGACGCAAAGTACTATGTTTGCAGGAGAGTGCGTGGTTGAAGCGTCAGTGACTGTGCATCAATTTTGGTCTGCGCTTGCGAGGCATACGAAGCAGCTTACATGTCCACCGTTACTAAAACGACACTGAATGATCGGAACCGTGAGTGTTAGCGACCCATACTGGAGGCCAACTAGCCGCAGGATGACAAGCCGGGAGGGGGGTTCATCATGTGCTTGCGGGTGCTCACCTCCCGACAGCCACGGATGTTGAGTTCCCAGTAAGGGCGCACATCGTCGATCAGCACATTCATCAGCTTGAGCGAATCGCTGAATCCAACAAGCACGTAAAGACCTGAGGGATGGAGAGCAATACTGCCAGGACCAATGCGCAGCGCGAGATGGTGAGGATGGTGACATTGTTCGTCGAATATCCCCCGCTACCACTCATCGGACGGATCTATGGCTCTGTTCTGACAAGCGGCTCTCACCTCTGTGGCTCGTCTTCAAAGAACCTGACAACCTCAATCGAGTTGTCGGCATAGTTCCAAATGCGCACGGACTTGTCTTGGCCACATGTTGCGATCAAAGGCTTTCTGGCACACGTGTCCATGCCGACGATTTGCTTGTGATGGAACGGTTGGCACAGACGATCACACTTGATTTCCTCGCCCTGAACATTCACGCAGAGGCATTAGATTCGTCAGGGTGCAAGTTCGCGTGTCCTCCGAGACCATGTCAGCGACGAAGATCGAGCACGCAGACTGATCCACATCACCGGTGACTCGGATGCTAATATCTATGCCGCTGCGGTGTGGTCTTGGGCCCACCTTGCTCGAATCAGAATCCAGGGTCACCAGATAGATCTGGCTATTGATCAGCGTGCACACGGCAGTATCGTCGGTGGGGCTGAGGGAGATGGAGCGAACGGCAGCCTCCTCGAGCATGAACTCCTTGACCTTCTTGAAGAGAAAATTGTCCTCGGTCTTTTCAAAGAGCACGCACATGCCAAAGCTGGTGCCAGCAATGAGGCCGCCGGAAAACGCAATCACCGTCAGGATCGACGTCGACAGGCGCCTCGAGGGCGTGTCTGGAAACTCCGAAGGCGTTGTCGGGATAGAAATAGTCGAGAGGGGCGGGGTATAGGAGATTTCGAGGATGAGGTCGCCCGAGTCGTAGACGAGCAGCTTGGAATCTTCTGTTCCGGCCACCACCCGTGTGTCGGACACCCACGTATGGCACAGCAAGTTCTGCGGGTTGTTGGTGAGTGCAGAGTTGTCCAGAATTGTGGCAATTCGAGTGAGACAAGGCAAACAAAATGAGGCGACACTCGCACCAGACTCTGGCAGAGACCACTTCGTGCGGAGAAGATCAAGCCAAGTGCGAACGGACCAGCAGCATCGATAGCAACATCAACAGCAACATCAACAGCAACATCAACAGCAGCATCAACAGCAGCATCGACAGTAGCGTCGATAGCTACCTTGTCGGACTTTTGTTGGCTGAGGAGTTTAAAGTTGCCTTCGCTGTATCGAAAGATCCTGAATATGCCGTTGCCAGTGACGCACACTTGAGTGGCGCCCGAGTCGTAAGGATTGCAGGACATTTGATGAATCTCTGCGTTGGCGTTGCTGGTGGAGCGAATGGTGGCATAGAGCTTGGGCTTTTCATATCCCCAATAGTACAGATTCCTGTTTATTGGTCGGCCGATTAGTTGCTGTGGGACTCGGTCACGATCGATCCACCCACCCACCCAAGTGAAACGGCCCATGCTACGGCCAGTAGTATCCATGATGCAGCGGATCCTCTGTTTCCAAGCACCGAATTGCTCGCTGGCAACGATAGGCGAGACGATAGCGTACCAGTCTGGCGCGCCGCTCTGTCCGATTATGTTCTTGCCGTCGTGAGAGAATGCGATCGAAATGAACTCCTGCGCGTGGAATAGTGGACGAAGGCAGCACATCAGCCGAGTGACTGAGACATATACCGAGGCTTGGTCGCCGTATCGCACCGCGGCAGATCGACGAGGCTCTGACCCATCTGTGCATTCCCACAACATACCTTGGACTGGGTTCCGTCACCGGGGCTCAGGATCTTCCTTCGTCTGGTCGCTTGCAAATCCACAAGGACAACACTGGGCCCACGCTCCTCAGACCGGACGGCCACAGCGATGACAATCGGCAGATTGGTGCTCTGGCTTGTGCCCATGTTGGCCGTCAAATTGCCCGGGTTGGAGGGAGCCGTTCCGGTGATGGCCATGGTGGAGATGCCGTCGCCCTCGGCGATGGTGACGAATCGCTGGGTTTTTTGCTCGATGTTGTAGATGATCAGCTGCGAGCCAGCGGGGTAGAGGACAGTTTGCTCGTCGAGGTACCATATGTTTCCCACAATGTCGCAGTTGACGCCAAAGACATGGCTGCGGAAGCCGACGAATAGCAATGGTGAATCCGAGAGTGCGTGGCGAGAGTACTTGGCAGCGCGACGGAGCAAGACAGATCTCGATTGTGGTGGAAGTAACCCACCTCTGTGCAAAGAGGCCAGCAGAAGACATGGTTGGTGCTGCTATTCGTAATCAAGTGGTGCGTTGTGGTGGAGTGCCGTGGGAAGTTGGGCGAAACGGTAACAGAGCAGCGGCGAGTGGGCTGGCGCACAGGGATGACATGCAAAGCGAGGCTCACGATGCTGGCCTGGGTCTTTTGCGGCTGTCTGCGACCGGAGAATTTCCGATGGCCGAGCCTGGTCTGGAGTGATCGGCACGCCAACGGGCGGACGAGCTCGACATGGCCGGGCGAGCTGCTCTGATGCAGGATTGGCCGTGCTGGTCTGCGCCATGTCGCTCCCACTGCCACTGCCGTTGGTGGTCGTTTCTTCCATCGCATTCTCAACAAAACCGCGTCGCCAACCGCCGCCCAAAAAGGCAATCCAGTCGCTGTCTCCTGGATTGCCAGCGAACTCCACCACAAAACCCGGATCCTGCTTGGCCCTCGCCCTTCTGCCTCTGCATCCTCGTCAGAAGCATCCAGGCGCCCCGGGCCTCCCACAGCAGCAGCATCGCCACGACAGGCACCGTCATATTTCCCTCCCTCGACCATATCCATCCTCTGTTCAAGCCATGCTGGACTCTGTCGCGATTTTCACAGCCGGCGGGATCGTCCTGTGGTCCAGGCAATACTGCAACTTCAAGGGCGGCATCGATCCCATCGGTGCGCTAGTCAAGGAAGTCTTGGTTGAAGAGCGCGGCCATACGTCATCTTTCATCAAGGATTCCTACGAACTGAAATGGCTTTTGCGTAACGACCTGAACCTCATTTTTGTGGTAAAGTCCTGCCGTCCAGGGATCAGAGAGGCGAGCATGCACAGTTTCGTCCGCCATCGTATCGGTGGATATCCAACGGCCCACCAACCTCCGTATCGAGCACTGAGACAGCCGGCCGTCGCTTAGGTGACATGGCCGATACCTGGCTCGCAGCATCCCGTCCTCTGCAGAGCGGCACCCGTGCATCCAGTGCTGCTCGAGTCCTCGTTCTGCTCGAGGCGGACCCAGTCGATCTTCCGAGCTGTATCCGGCGCCGCTAATCTGCTTCTCTTCCTCTTGCCGCCCATCTCCGGCTTGTCGAACACGCGCGATCGAACACAGGTCGTGTACCAAAAGATTCTCCATCTCTCCTACATCGACGACCTCCTGGACAAGACAGCACAGGTGTTTTGCGAGCGATACCTGAACGAGATCAAGGACGCATCAGCCATCCATGAATATCCCTTCGAAGACGAGTTTGAGACCATCCTGGGCCATGTGGAGGCGCAGGAATCTGAGGTGGATATGCTCTCTTGGCGGGACTCGGACAGCGGGGCAGAAAATGCGGACATGCTGCTGGCGTGCGCGACGACGAGCATCGGCGATGGATAGCTGCAGATCCCGCCCCTCTATCGACCGATACGGTCTTTGTGAATCTCAGGGATCTCATTCTGTGGGCCAGGGCTGAAATGGCTGGTGATGTTTGCAGAGAGGTGAAATCGGGCCGGTCGATGGCTCGCCCCAGCTCGCCAACTGGGCTGCTGACATTGTCCTCTCGCCACGGTTGCTACAGCGCAAGAAAAGCCGAGGCCCTCGCAAGTTCGAAAAGGCCGATGCCTCCAAGTCCTCCCGGACGAAGGGCAAGTCAGGTAAGGCGTCCGGGATGTGGGATGACATGGCTGCGGACCGGACTCCCTCGCTATGATGATGGGATAGTGTGGCAGCGATAATATCAATGCGGACTGTGCAGCTTCTCATCGGTGTCGCTCCCCCCCCTCGCTGTTGATTGGTTACTCTGTATTCCCCAGACGAAGTCACTGACCCGGACGGAGAGAAAGATGGCGAATCGGCCAAGGATGACGATGCGCTCGCGCAGAAGCTGGCGCAGCTGCAGGGCGCTCGTGGCATTGGCAAGCGACAAGTTGGAAGCCCAAAGGTCGGCGGAGGCAAGAAGCCTGGAAAGTCTACTCCTGAGCCAAAGCCAGCAGCAGGGTACGGCGTTCGAACAGCCTGGATACTCGAGACATCCGATACATGCGCGACATGCTGCAAACCGCCTTTCGGAGGTGGTTGGCTATTGGTCTTGAGGTCAACGATGTTGTTGGGGCATGCGACATGCGACATGCGGCAGGCGGCATGCATGAGCTGCCAGATGGTCCAGGAACTCAAGGGTCTTTGCTGTTATTGGAGCTCTGCCATGCCTCACCTCCGTTTCCTTGACTTTGCGTGGCACAGGCCAACCTACTGACACTTGTCGCTATTATCCCGCGCCATCGTCGTGTTGGTGGAATGCAGAAAGTCCACGAAGGAGAACCGAGTCTGGAACGACGGAAAGGGGCCTGTCAAATACGACGACTCGCTTGATTACAGCGATGCAAAGGGTGCTGAGGATGCTTCCTCGCTGGCTGCGTCACTGGTACGTCGAGCCCCGATCGTGCTCTACCCTGGCACCTGCAGTCTACAGTGCACCGACACCTCGATGACTGGGGTGAATCGAGGACGGAGGCATAGAACCAGACACTAACACCATCCGGTCGGCCAGGTGGATCAAAACTCAATGGGCACAACCGACGAGAACGGCATGTACAATGTACCAGAGATGGAGGCCGGGGCTCAGCCTGAGGACGAAGACATTCTCGAGGCCAACGGCTACGTGACCGTTGAGGTGCCCGCAGCCGCCAAGCCAGCCGCCAAGAGTGGGCTGTTCTCGTTCTTCAAGTCTCTCACGGGCGGCAAGGTTCTGAGCGCGACCGATCTGGACCCGATCATGGCCAAGATGAAGGACCATCTCGTTTCGAAGAACGTTGCGGCCGACATTGCGCAGGTGCTCTGCGACAGCGTGTCCAAGGGCATGGTCGGCAAGAAAGTCGGAACCTTCACGACGATCTCGTCGCTTGTGCGCGAGAACATGGAAATTGCGCTGAAGCGCATCCTGACGCCGCGGACATCGACCGATGTTCTGCGCGACGTCTTTGCGGCCAAGAGCGAGGGTCGCCCGTACTCGTTCGTCTTTATCGGCGTCAACGGTGTCGGCAAAAGCACCAACCTCAGTAAGGTCTGCTTCTGGCTGCTGCAGAACAAGCTCAAGGTGCTCATTGCCGCCTGCGACACATTCCGATCAGGCGCCGTTGAGCAGCTGCGGGTCCATGCCCGCAATCTGCAGGCGCTGGAGCAGAATGGGACAGTGCAGCTCTTTGAGCGCGGCTATGGCAAGGACTCGGCTACGATTGCAAAGGATGCCATTGGCTACGGTATGTCGTGTGGGATGTCGCGTGAGATGTCGTGTGGGATGTCGCGTGGGATGTCTGGGTATATCCGCGAATTGCTTGTCTGTATTTCATTGCTTCCTATGTGCCTGATGGCTTTGAAGCTCATGTCACTGACCGTGCTCGCCATCGACCGATCGCCACCGACTGGCCATCACCGCATACCCTGCAATCACGGATTCTCACCCTGTTGATTCCTGCAGCTAAAACCAATGGATTCGACGTCGTTTTGATCGACACGGCCGGACGCATGCAAGACAACGAGCCTCTGATGCGAGCCCTCGCCAAGGTAACGGACCACTTCGACCCTGTCTGCATATTGTGTGTGCGCTTTGCGATGATCTTGAGCGCTGTGGCTTTGGTGTATAGCTTCTCTTGCGAGGGTGATCAAAGACGGGGCAGAACTAGCCACATTGCCATGGTAGATGCTTATCCTCTGCTCTGATTTGCTTGGTGGCCCACTACTTTGCTTGGGTGGCTCGCTGCTGGCGATGGTGCACCTTTCGATGCCGCAGCTGGTGAGCGTCAACAGCCCAGACAAGATCCTGTTTGTGGGCGAAGCCCTCGTCGGCAACGAGGCCGTCGACCAGCTATCCAAGTTCAACCAGGCCCTCAAGGACTTTTCTGGGCAGCAGCACGCCCGACAGATCGACGGTATCATCCTGACCAAGTTTGACACGATCGACGACAAGGTCGGAGCCGCCCTGAGTATGACGTACGTCACGGGCCAGCCGATCCTGTTTGTGGGCACGGGCCAGACGTATACGGACTTGCGAAAGATGAACGTCAAGAGCATCGTGAACTCGCTCCTTGCCAACTGAGCCCGACAACAGCGTCGCCAGCAACAGCCAGCCCACCGAGTCGAGAGGCAAGCGCACGCTGAGCGAGTTCTGCCTGTACGGAGTCTGTTGTCCCCGGCTCGCTCAAGAAATATACATTTGAAAAGCAGGAGCGATCTCCTCCCTCAAGTCGCACGATGGGTCTTGGGCATCCCCACTAGCACCATGGGCAAACGGACTCGCTGGTTATCCCGAATCGACTCTTCGTGGGAGGTGCAAGCAGAGATGGCGGACACACGTTTATTATGTTGATCGGGATGGGGTGATTTCGCTGATTATCCTCGCAATCTGGAGGCGCTGTTCAGCTGAGATAAATAGCATGAGACGGGGGGGGATCGTGTTCGGGGGAAATCCGGTTGTCTAGAGGAGCCAGGTGAAGACAAGGGTGCCCAAGAGAAGGGCCGCTCCGGCAATGCTGCCCTGGAGGAGCTTGGGAGCGCCTGACTTGGAGCCGGGAGCAGAGGTGCCGGTACTCTGAGGGCCAGAGGCGGTGCCGGTGGGGGCGCTGTTCGGAGGCCAGACATCGACGGGGTTGTCGTTGTCGTCGTAGCACTGGATGTCGAGGTACTGGAAGACGGCCTGGTAATTTGGAACAGACCACGAAGGCGGGCCGCCGGCCCAGGTCGAGGTGCCTGGGCTGGAGGTGACATCGCCGCCGTCCCAGCAGGTCATCTGGATGATCGAGGGGGTGGTCGGATACCAAGGGTCCTTGGTGGTGTTCATGAGCGAGACGGACTGGTTCTTGTACAGGGTGCGCAGAGGGACGCCGTCGATCAACCAACTAGGGGACCGTTTGCAAAGTACAGGCCGATCAGTCGCTCAGTCCGTCACTCAGCCAGACACAGATAACCTGGACACTGGGACATGTGCCCAAAGCAACAGCCAAGCACACGACCTCATGGCTCGAGGCGGCGACACTCAACTTACATCAGACGATTTCTGTTCCAGTCGATGGTGTACTGGTGCATGCCATTGACGGCGCCGCTGTTGGGGATGGTCAGTCTCTGCATGTGCACGCCAAACTCGGGGATGCCGCGGTAGAAGACGTTGGACTGGATCGTGGTGGTTTCCTTGCCGACAATCTCCATGTCGATCTCATCCTTGACGGCAGACATGGTGTAGAAAGTCTGTGCGAACACAAAGTCGATGCAGAGGTGTGAGTTTTATGGAGCAGAAGGCAGCTCAGGGTGCACACGGGAAGGCGATCCCACGCAGTTGGGGTTCGAGGGGATAATGGAAGAGAGTATTTTGGACAGGATCGCAGCATCGGAGGGTTTGTGTGGTGGTTGCGATTCGTACCGTGACAATGCCAGGCTCGGCAGGGGCGCTCAGGCTGACAGTGATTTTGCCGTAACTGTACAGAGGACAAGGCAATGGCATCGTTGGTTAGTGCGTGGACATGGCAGACACCGAGCAGCGGAGCAAGGGCTCATGCATGGCACGATCCCGCGAAAGCGGATACCGACTTGACATAAAAGTTGGTGCTGAGCTGGGCGCCGTAGGCATAGTTGCTTCCGTTGATGATTTGCTTGGTGAGGGTGATGGTCATGCCGTTGGAGTCAAACTGGGTGTTGCGAGACAGAGCGGGGTAAGTAGCTTGCAGAAGGCGGCGGCGATGCAGTCTGTATGCCAGGGCGATGCTTGGCTGTCTCGATCGTCCCGGTCGGTGTCACTGCTGTTCATGAAGCAGAGCGTCCGTCCACAGACAACACAACCGTTCTCCTGCACTCAATCCAACATGCGCCCGAGACTGCCCCCGGACATCGCCCACCTTTGCGTTCTCGGCTCCGTTGTCGAGGGTAAAGTCGTAGAGCGACCGGTCGGCCTCGGGGAATGGCGGGTTCTTCCTGGAGGCGTCCTTGTTGTAGAAGACTCTCGGGGCAATGTTTGAGAAGTTGAATCGACCCGAGACGCAGTTGCCGTTGGTGGCAGGATCGGCCGAGACGGCGGCGACGGCCATGCTGGCAACGACAAGAGCGACAGCGGCGGTGGTCTTGACCATGGTGGACACAGAAGCGGGTGGATAGCCAACAGACGGAGGACAGGCAGAGAAGCAAGCAACCAAGCAGGGAAGCTGGCAGGGAAGCTGGCAGGGAAGCTGGCAAACGTCGGACCGAGGGCGATGGAGGGGAGATGGGCGCATTTGAATCGGCAGAGGCAAGGCCCCGAAAAAAAGTAAGGAACGACCCGCCACCGCGGCGGCTGTACAGCGACTGAGGACAGTGTCGCACAAACGTAACAACAGACGCGTCGGATGTATTGCGCAGCCGCCTGCAGGCCAATCGGAGCCGGAGACGGAGGTGGCGTTGGGCATGGGTGCGGACACAGCAAGCGGACACAGCAAGCGGACAGCAAGCGGACAAGCCGGCCCGAAACACAATGGCGGCGCGGATGTGCGACCGCTGATTCAGCGCCGTCCAGCAACTTGGAACAGAGTGGTTCACGTCCACTCTATTGATGGTGGAAGGGCCGTCGCTCATTCGCCCTGCAGCTCATCAAGGGCTGCATCCAGGCTGTTCTTGTGCTTGACCAGGGCTCGCTGACTGGGCTCTCGTGCATATCCCATCTCCAGCAACGCCTTGTAGGGGACCAAGAACGAAGCAGCGAGTGCTGGGTCTGCTGGATAGCACGAGATGGCATCGTCGACATCGTCGGGCGAGTACTCTGGCTTGGAGAGCTGTCCGAACAGGACCAGATAGTCGACAGCCTGCAGGCGTTGACACAAAAGGAGAGTCAGCATATGGAGCACCGAGACGGTGCCGATGCAGTCGATTTCTGCTGCCGAGGCCGATACCAAACACAAACTTTGCATGAGCACATACTTTCTTTTCGTCTTTGGCGAAGCGCGAGCATGCCTTTGCGACCGACGCCGGCGTGAAGCCCATGCCGACGAGCCGCTGGTGCATACCCTGGGATCGCAAATTAGATATGTATCGTGTCAGAGATGCAGGCGCTGGTGGATTCGATTCATAGCGACCAGGTCTCACTTTGCATTGTCGGGGTGCGCACAGCACTACAAGGGTGATATGTTCAACTGGGAGTAATGCCCCCCCCCTGAGAAGGAACGTTTGTCGTCCAGCGATCAAGCAGTGCAATTCGCAAGGTAGATACACACCGATGGCTGCGAAGCTGGGTCCCCACCGAGAGGTTTCTCGGCAAAGCGGGGGCTCGAATAGCTCTTTGGCTTGATGGGCGGTGGCGTGGGAGACTCGGCGGGAATGAAGGTGCCAGGGTATGCCAGGCGAAACCCGCTTGGATTGCTGCTGCCGGGATGGCCGCTGGGATAGACACCTGTTACTGGCGGAACGTAAGTTGGATAGCCGCCCGGAAACGATGGTGGTGCCGAGAAGCCGGGAGAGCCTCCGACGGCGTTGGGCGGAGAGGCGATTGTGGCAGCAACTTGGGGCGGCGATGTGAAGCCAGATGCGGGGGCTGGAGGTCGGGCCGCAGCATCCCGGAGCGAGAGCTTTTCGCCATAGACTTCCATGAGTTCGTTCAAGTCGTCCTTCTTGGCCGCCGCATCCCATGGATCGAGAGGCGCGATGCCCAGCTCAAACTCGGCGTAGTCGATCTTGGAGCGAACTTTCTGTTCCAGAGGTCATATGCGGATGTGAATCCGAGCAAACAGAAAACAAATACCGCTTGTCGAGTCAGTCGACGGAAGCAGATGATGAGGAGCAGGGGACGGGAGGATTCCACGCAGATACCACTTGGAAGCCGCACGGGTTGATACAGGGGATCTGGAATGCCATGATGTCTGTGAAAGTGAAGGAGTCGGCCCCCAGGGTTGGCTCGAGTTGCCTGGTGGCGGACGCATGCCTGCTTACCGGGGAAGAAGGAACGTTTCTCGGTGTGCTCGCACCAGAGTCCCGACCTTCGAGTAAAGGCCCTTGCTGGCTGGCTGGAGGCTTGGTCGATGCAGCGGGCTGGGGTTGAATCGGCCCATCCGAGAGACCAGGTGCCCGCTGCCGCTCTCTCTCCTTCCGAAGCTGTTCTCGTTTCTCTTTGCGGGCAGCTCGCAGTCGCTGCTGCTCAAGTTGCTGCTCGCGCTCAGCTCTGAGCGTTTCCAGGAACGATCGTTCAAAGGAAAAGTCGTATCCAATCTGCGGGTACGGTCGGGGAGCCGATGGTAAATCAGCAAGGCATTAGGCGTCGTGGTAAACCAACGAGAGTCAGCAAAAGCGATTCGGCTGCAGCTGGGGCGTTTGGATGCCAAGGGATCCCTCCTTGCAGCTTGGGTGGGGTCGGGAATGGACCTGGTGGAGATGGAGCCGCTGGGATGAGCATCCATATCTACTGTCCGCATACTCACCAGGTCAGTAATGTTGTCTGGGACGGGTTGGTAGGTGTATGGAAGCTCGATCTGGAGGGGTCGGAACGGAAGTCGATTGTGAATGGATGTAGACAAGGGCGGATGCAGACGAGGGCCTCCTTAGCCGACAAAGACTGCGGCTCTGCCCTTTGTGGAAATTAGGGTAATCGAGGCAGCAGCAAGAGCTCCAAGGCAGATGAGGTGCCGTAATCGCAGTGTTCTTGGCTGCATAATTGAAGTTGGGCACCAGAGCGGCAGCGCTATCGGCAGTCACGGTTCGGCCAGGAACTCATGGAGCGGATATTCCACCATCGGATCGGATAGAGGTGTCGTACCGGCGGTGGCTTGCGGCATTGCGGCGACAGCACCATGGGGATGTCTCGGATGGCGGTGCCTGGGTCGACGAAGGCCAAGCGGTGGTTGAGTATGGCGAATGGCGGCCGAGGCGAGAGGAATGCGATGCTAAGGGAGGGGCAATGGACATACCCTGCATGCTGAGCTATCTAGGGGTGCTGCAGCGAATCGGAGGGAGCGGGGAGCGGATGCGACGGACAAGGTCCGAGCAAAAGATGACAGAGACAGATGCGGGGCCAGGGTCGGAGCCTGCACTTGGCAGGGAAATCCAGGCGTGGTCGCTGACGGAAGGTTCTGTGGCTGGATCGAACCGGTCAGCGGAGACACCGACCAACCAACGACGGGGACAGCGGCCTGGAATGCGATCTGGTGGCGATCGGGAGGGCAATCTGCGCCGTGGTCTGTGCTGACGGCTCGCGGCAGTGGTGGTCTGTGCCGATGATGGCCATGCAGACGGCCTGTGGGGGGCTGTTCGACATGGCCGCTCATGCACCGAGGAAGCCGGGAGGGACGGCTCGATCCGCCGGCTCGATCCAGACAACGTGTCTGCCCTGCGCCACACGGGCTGCTCGTGCGCAGCAGCCGAGCAGCCACACTCTGGTCGGCCAGCTGGCCGGCGGATTCAGGCTTGCTCATCGGCCGTGCTGTGCGGGCTGTGAAGCCGCCATTGTCGATGCCGTCGTCTGCCGAGGGCAGCTGCGACGTGGGCGTCGACGCAATCGCGACCGGGCGCATTCGCAGCGATCGCTGCCAGCCCGACCCCACAGGCGATGCGATCACGGACGCTGCCCCAGGCCCAATCACGGATCCGCCGATGCAATCGCACCGGCGCTGCTGCCCCACAGACGCAGCGGCAAAAGCAGGCCTCGCACCCGCAGCGATTGCACCCCCCCCGGCGCTCTCCCGCGTGGACGCAGTCGGTGTCGCCCGTGCGACGCACACGACATATTTGTCCAAATGGATGTCGGAGGCCATTGTCCGGCTCTCGCCGAGAGCGCTCTCGGCGGCCCCGACTGGTGCTCGGCCGGGGCTCGCGGCGCCTCGCTCCTCGCCGGCGACAAGGCCCCGCCCCGCGCGTCTCCCGCCTGTCTCCCGCCGCCTGCCATATATGGCTGCCGGTGCTGCGCGCCGCCGCTTTAAGGCCGCGCCCGTCGCACACACCAATCCCGCCGCCCTTTTTGGGCAGGCCTGTCCCACCCGCCCCGTGTGGCTTTGTCGCCCCCCCTCGGCCCTCGTAAAAGCCGCCCCGCCCGCCGCCCCGCCCTTCTTTCGCCCTCACCCAAAAGGATCTTTTTTTTTCCTTCTGCCTCCGGTCTCTCCCCTCATCTCCCCATCTTCCCCCAGCGCGTTTCGCTTCCTTGCACCAACATGCGTGAAATCGTCCACCTCCAGACCGGCCAGTGCGGTAACCAGGTACGTCGCGTTCCCGTCGCCTTTGCCTCGGCTGCTGTTGCTGCGTGCTGAGCGGGGCTGGTGGGCTGCTGGTTTGCTCTGGCTTTCCACCAAGCCCCCCCCCTGCACATCGCGCTTGCCACCGGCCTGCTTCACGGCAACCCTGGCCTTTCGGTCAGCCAACACGCTCCATTCTCGAGATCGATCGCTGCTCTGCAGCAATGAGCCTGCCTTTGCGTCCACTGACACGCCACCGCCCCTTCGTTCCTCCTAGATCGGTGCCAAGTTCTGGGAAGTCATCTCTGATGAGGTACGCTTGTGCTTTGCGCTTGGCTTCTCGTGTCTGGCGGGTCCAGCAGCATCAGATCGCGCCTGCTGTCCTCCTGCGCCGCTCCGACACGATCTGCTGCCCTTCCTGACCCTTCCTCCTCGCGTTTTTCTCCCTCTCCACCAGCACGGTATCGACCCCACCGGTACCTACCACGGCGACTCGGATCTCCAGCTCGAGCGCATCAACGTTTACTACAACGAGGCCACCGGCGGCAAGTACGTCCCCCGTGCCGTTCTCGTTGATCTCGAGCCCGGAACCATGGACTCTGTCCGTGCCGGTCCCTTTGGCCAGCTCTTCCGCCCCGTAAGTAGCTGATCGCTTGGTTTCACGACGAACAGCGGAGAATTTTCCCCCTTTGCCCTGCTGCATCCGATCCGCTCTGATCGGATTGGATCTGATCGGATCTGGGCTTGGATCTCATCCACACAGACGCGTCCCGATCGCATCCTGCCACGCTCTGACTGACCCCTATTCCTCCTTGCTTCCCACAGGATAACTTTGTCTTCGGCCAGTCCGGCGCCGGCAACAACTGGGCCAAGGGTCACTACACCGAAGGTGCTGAGCTCGTCGACTCTGTCCTCGATGTCGTCCGCAAGGAGGCCGAGTCCTGTGACTGCCTGCAGGGCTTCCAGATCACCCACTCGCTCGGTGGTGGAACTGGTGCTGGTATGGGCACCCTCCTCATCTCCAAGATCCGTGAGGAGTACCCCGATCGGTAAGCGTCTGTCCCTCGCATCCGTCTGTGGCACACTCCAGCCGTCTGAGCCACCATGTGCTGACATGATCCACCTGTCCACAGCATGATGTGCACCTTCTCCGTCGTTCCCTCCCCCAAGGTCTCCGACACCGTCGTCGAGCCCTACAACGCCACCCTCTCCGTCCACCAGCTCGTCGAGAACTCTGACGAGACCTTCTGTATCGACAACGAGGCCCTCTACGACATCTGCTTCCGCACCCTGAAGCTCACCACCCCCACCTATGGTGACCTCAACCACCTCGTCTCCGCCGTCATGTCTGGCATCACCACCTGCCTGCGTTTCCCCGGCCAGCTCAACGCCGATCTCCGCAAGCTCGCCGTCAACATGGTTCCCTTCCCCCGTCTCCACTTCTTCATGGTCGGCTTTGCTCCCCTCACCTCGCGCGGCTCTCAGCAGTACCGTGCCCTCACCGTCCCTGAGCTCACCCAGCAGATGTTCGATGCCAAGAACATGATGGCTGCCTCTGATCCCCGCCACGGTCGCTACCTCACCGTTGCCGCCATGTTCCGTGGCCGCATGTCCATGAAGGAGGTCGATGAGCAGATGCTCAACGTCCAGAACAAGAACTCGTCGTACTTCGTCGAGTGGATCCCCAACAACGTCAAGACCGCCGTCTGTGACATCCCCCCCAAGGGTCTCAAGATGTCCGTCACCTTCATTGGCAACTCCACCGCCATCCAGGAGCTCTTCAAGCGCATCTCTGACCAGTTCACCGCCATGTTCCGTCGCAAGGCCTTCTTGCACTGGTACACCGGTGAGGGTATGGATGAGATGGAGTTCACTGAGGCTGAGTCGAACATGAACGATCTCGTCTCTGAGTACCAGCAGTACCAGGATGCCACTGCCGAGGAGGAGGGTGGTATGTATCTCGTTGCAATCGCTGCTGCTGCTGTTGCTATTTCTGTTTGTCCTGTGTTGGCTATCGTTGTCTCGGTGTCTGTGCTGACGCCTTGTTTGCTCCGCTCGCAGAATTCGACGAGGAGGAGGGTGAGGCCGATGGCGAGGCTGCTTAAGCGTCCCGCCCCCGGATCCCGAAACCCGTTTGCGTCTGGACCTTGTATTATAATCTGAGTATGTGAAAAATTACAAGCCGACAAAGTTTTCAAGACCCTGCCGGGAGAACCTTTTAGCTGATAGTGGTGCGCGCGGCCGTCCTGTGTTCCTTTCGGCCACACATGGCGAGCCGGGCGCGCGGAGTTTGTCCTTTGGTGATTTGGATCATACGATCTTTGCTTTTCGCATTCACGGTTGGTTTGGGTACACGCTCTTCTTTTTTTGCAAAATGAAAATGACATAAAAAATCAGTTGGCCTCGTCTAGACTTTTACCACCCACATCCTTCTGCCCCTCCCGATCCATCCGTCCATCCGTCTGCGAGCGCGCGGGAGTGAGAGGAGATTGTCGTGTCTATGGTGAGAGCCTGCCCTTTGGCCAGATCAGATTTCCCAGGACTCACCACCCTGCTGTTGGATCCTGGAGTGCATGGGTGTGATGCTCTCTGTCGGTGCCGACACCCTCCCCCGCTGGCCAGAGTCCTGCCGAAACCGCACTCCCGACCGCTGCCCCGTCGGCTGACGACACCTCTCCCGCAGCCGCCTCCTGGCTCTGCGATCAGGCTCCTTGGGCAGCTCGGTTGTGGCCATTCGGGAGACCGACACCCGCCGCTCTTCGAGACCCGCTTGGCGGTCCGAGAGCTCGCCTGCTCGCTCACCCACCCCTTCGGCTCTGGATACCCCTCCCTGCTTTTCCATCCAGGACCCAATTCCGACGCCGAGTCTCCTTGGCTCGCTCCTCGGACAGCTTCCGGTACTCCCTGCACACACGCCGGGTTGTGCCCGTGGGATATCGCCTGTCCTGTGCGTTGCGTTTCTGCTGTCGTCGGACCTTCGATCGATTGCTTGAGCCGTCGAGGCTTCCTCTTGCCCCGGCGCCGCACGCTTTGATTAGCGTGCCGTCGTCCAGACACATCCTCTTTCCCTTCGATCGCCTCCTTCGATCGCCTCCGTCCCTCGCCCAGCCCGAGCGAGAATCCAGTGCTGCCTGGTCGTTTCGGGGGGAGGAATATGGATGGCACTCACAACCCGGACACTTCCCCGACTCGCGATTTGTCCTGGTCCGAGCTCGACCCCAAGCGAGGCTTCTCCCAGATGCCTTCTGAGTGGCAGTTTGTCCAGCAACGACAACAACAGCAACAGCAACATCAACAGTATCAGCAGCAACCGCAACAACAACAACAGCAACAGCAGCAGCAGCAGCAGCATCACCGCTACCCCCACCATAGCTACCAACACCAGCATCCCCAGCATCAGTATTCATATTCGCAGCAACGCCAGCAGCCCCAGCCCCAGCACCACCAACAGCATTCCCCCGCCATCTGGGCGACAGATACCTTTTCTCAGTTCCGGAGCACCTCGAGGTAAGCGTTCCTCCCTCCTCTCCCCACTCCCATCCCGGCTGTTGGGTGTTGGCTCCTCCGTCGATAGCAGGCAAGCGTTCTTCATGGATGGGGAGTGGCATTTGGTGACCGCCATCACTCACCGTCACTCATGACCGCTGCCGGTTCTCCCATCCTCCAGCAACCTGCATACTCCCGAATCATTCCAGATCTGGGTCAGCCCTCGGCAGTCGACCCCCTTCGGCACCTCCGCCAGCAGCAGAGGGTTTCAAAAGGACACATATGTACCGCTCTGGAAGCCGCAACAACAGCCGCTGCTGTCGCATCAGCAGCATCAGCAGCAACAAAGCTATCCGGCTATCTCGTCGCTCGCCTGGCCCGAAGCAACCGCTGGTTTGCCCACGTCCTTTTTCACCGGCCACGGCTCCTCTGGCATCCTTGGCTCCTCCAGCCTCTCGGACCATGGGGCCTTTGGTCTGAGTTTCGATGAGTCGCCCGAGCCATTCCGTCGCAGCTATCCGTCATCCGGGTCGCCCCTTCGGAGACCACAGCAGCAGCATCTCGACCACCGAAAGCAGAGCATCGATGCCGACCGCACCCTTCCTCCCTCCACCGTCGCCACCACCGCCGCCGTCATCCCTTTCAACGGTGTCCACAGTGTCGATGACAGCAACAAGGATGACGATGCGAGCAGAGATCATCATCATCCTCATTACCATCCTCAGCATTACCACCACCACCATCGTCATCATCGTGACGACTATGAAAACAACGATCCCGACTATGACGTCGACAACAAAACCGAAACCGGAACCGGAACCGGAACCGGACACAGCGGCGATTACGACAACGAGCACGATATCGAGAATGATATCGGAAACGAAAGCGAGGATGGTCTCGATCGTGATCATGATCATGATAATAACTCGAGTGATCGTAATGCCGATGACGGCCATGCCGGCGACCGCGGGCTCGATCGATACACCCGGAAATTGGCCTTCGTCGTCGCCAATTCCATCATGGACGACGGCACCGCGAACTTGGGGCAAGTCGAGAGCCAGGTGAGGGCTGCTGAACGATAGCCAGAATGGACCAAGAGAGGGGAGGAGGAGATATGGCTGCGGGTCGCGGCCCGTGGTTGGCAATCCGTGGCTCGCTTGGGTCGCTGGAGTGCATATTCGGTGTCGCTGGATGAATCGGGTGCTCTGGGGGTGCCTTGGAGAGTTTGGGGCCATGGCCCACTCAAACTGCATGGAGGCGCCATGACTGCCCTGCCGATTCGTTTCCAAATCGTGAAGCCTGGTGTCTGCGACAGATCCTGATAACTCGTGCCTATTCGAATGTCTGTCGACTATCCCATCCATGTCATCAATAGCGCTCACTGAAAGAGCGAGCCCTGGAGCAAGCCCGATTCGACTTTGTCATGGTGTCGCTGACACGGTGAGCCCCATATTGCTTCGGTTGTGGGACTGTCCTCGGCCGTGTGCACTGATGCAAGCCAGATGTGGCTGGCTTTGTGTAAGCGGGCTTTGCTGGCGGTTGGTGTATATTTATCTTTGGTCCGTGTTGTATATACTCGCCTCTCCCCCCAGTGCCATGGACGAAATGTATGCCATCTGTCAAGAACAGCCGGATAAGCGGGGCGAGACCGAGGATGTGCTCAAATCGTACCTGTCCAAGTTCAATGCGGTACGTAAAGCCTGTCCAAGACATCCCAACTGCCTGCAGCGCTCGATGCTCTGTTCCTAATTACCTCGTATCGAATACGGCCTTGGAGAGGCGATCTACTCTGCGACGGTTACTTATTCCGTGTTCTGTATGCTAATTCCCCTGTTCCGAAACTCTGAAACAGCTCTCGGCTAGTGTCCATACCCAGCCACTGAACAAACAGCCGTCCTTCTCCTCGACGATCCCAGAGCTCGGCTCGGCCGACTTTGAGCTATCCTCGCCGTTGGCGAGCCGGTACGGGGCCGACTCAACCGAGCCTGCACCGTCGTCATCATCGCTATCGTCGTTGCTGGACTTTGGCATGCTCGACGACGCTTCGAGCTCGAGCAGGAAAAACGCAACCTTCTTCTTGGACTGTAAGCTGAGTCCGAGACGCCGTCTGCATCGACCCGGCACACCTCTGAAGCAGAAACCAGAGAGAGAGGATGCGAGTCCTCGGCGCAATGGGGGTCTGTGGCGCAAATGGTGAATCTCGCGCGAATGGCTGATCGGTTGTGTGTTTCTGCTCATACGATGGCTTAGTGGGCCTCTACAGCACCGACAGAATTGATTTGGACGATCCCTACAGTCGCAAACGAACTGTGAGCTGGACCGATGGGTAAGCCGTCAAAACGAATGCACGTCCTGCTTGATCATGTTCTCAAACCCGGCTTCTCAATTCCGGTCTCTGTCTACAACTCTTCACAGCCAGAGAAGTCGACCGAGACCGACCCCGATCCTCGAACGACTTTCGCCGCCGATTTCCAAACGAGAGTTGATCACGTTGGATCTCGAGCGCAAGCAGGTGAGATGTATATAGTATCGTGGTTGCGCCGCTCGCTCCACTTATTCTAGGGGCTGATATGAAAGCGTCAAGCCGGATGAAGATATGTCGCTGTGCTGAATTGAATCTCACGCATCATGGTCCGTCGGATAGGAAAAAGCCCAAGAGGTGCGTGAGCACCTCCTCAACAGCAAAGTCGAGAAGATCCGATCAAAGACCGAAAAGGTTCGTCGAGAGCATGCATGGGGACAAGAGGGCGGGGGCGGTGCGGGCTCACACGCTTTATAATTGCACCTGGATCGAGCGGACATATCAGGCATCGATAGTTGTGCTAGATGCTGGAATGGATACTGCGCGTGAGAGCTTGTCGCGCTATCGCCAATGTATACCGTCTCGAGTACGTGGCCGATTGCTTACGGTATCTGGATCTTACAGATTCAAGCCCTCAAGGAGCGAAGTGAGCACCAGAACAAGCAACTGAAGGATAGCATCGAGGAGAAGCAAATCAAAGCCGAGAAGGTGAGGACGGCCCCTGTCTTGGACTGTCCCCCCCCTCCACTTCGATGTACTTTCGCTACCAATCGCTCGACTCCTCCAGCTAAAACCCTTCGCAACCGCAGCTGCGCGTATCGCACCTCAAGAGCATCCAGAACAAAGCCAAAGAGGAGGGACAGAAACTGGACGAAGTGGCGTTCATCAGCGCCCTGACGTAGGTCTAAATCAAACATACACTTTGTCGGATTGGTGTTCACTGATCTGCCACAAGCCCTTCCCCCCACTCCCTCGAGATGTGCGCTGTTCCTGACCCTCACTGGAATCACTTGGCATCATAGCATCAGCAACAAGAAAATCGAGGTCCAGCGACGGTTTCTTGAGTCCGAGGTGCGGCTACAGGAGCTGGAAGAGGAGCGCCTCCGCAAACTCTCCGACCAGCAAGCGCTGCAAGAGGCCGCCACCGAACGGCGCAAAGCCCAAGAACTTGAGAGGAAGCAGAAGCTGGAGCAGCTTCACCAGCGCAAGGTCGAGTTTGGGGCCAAGATCGAGGAGGAGCGGAGGCGGGCACTCGAGCTCCGGACCTCGCAAAAGGAAGAAAAGGTATCAACCTCTATCAGCGCGCAGGACTTGGTTCCGGGTCTGGGTCTGGGTCTGGGTCTGGGTCTGGGTCTGGGTCTGGGTCTGGGTCTGGGTCTGGGTCCATATGTTCTGAGGCCACAGTATCCTGATGCCGGTGTGATGATGTTCCCAAATGCGAAACGACGCTCCTGCGCATTTCGATCCTCAGGAGAAGCGCATCCAGTACTTCAAGAGCATCCGACAAGCGCAAGATGAGGACGAAACAAAGCGCCGGGTATGAGATGCTCGCTTCCGGCAGAATCCTGTTGCTGTTTCTGCACTGCGTGATTTGTCCCAGCTCTGCGTGAATATTCATCTGGAATCTTTGTCTATCCTCGATCCAGCGCGAAGAATTAGATGCCAGACTTGCTCGCAGCTCCAAGCGACACGAAGAGCTCTTGCAGCAAGTAAAGGAAAAGGCAGCTGCAGCCATTCATCACTCCAAGGTAAGGCCCGACATTGAACTGAAGGGGGGGTGAAGCCCGCCTGCGAGTGTGCTTGGGTGATTTACGGTGCCGCCTCGTGTGATGGCTCTTCTCTTACTGATCTGGCTCCTATTCCTCCGCCCTCGCCTCTGCCTGGGCTTCCAGACGGTCGCTCACCGTGTCAACGCCAGCCGCTCCACGCCTGTTCCCGATTTTCCCTGTGCTCAGTGCGAGCTGCTGGGGAAGGACTCGCTTCGAGAGTTTTGCCCGCATAGCGATCTCCGTGCAATCAGCGTCTCACCCTCTCCAAGCCTTAGCCGATACGGGGACGAGAGTAAGTTACCCCCCCCCCAGCTTGGCTGGTGGTCCTGGGGTGCGTGCCAGTGAGGAACATCCGTGCAATGTCCATTCTTTGACACTGTGCGCTACGGAGCAGCATTTGGAGATGAAGCATATCTTGATCCTGCTCATCCTCGCAACCCGCGATTGGCGACCGGTCGATGCTCATTCGCTTTGGATTCGTGTATTCATCTGCAGCTCACGGCCGTGCCTCGCCATTCAAGGAGCGCGACAAACGTGCCAAGCGACGAGCCAAGAAGCTCAAACAGCGCCTCCGTGACGCTGCGAGCGAGTACCAGTACCTGGGACCAGTGCCATGCGGAAAGACGTCGATGAGCCACACCGTCGATACACTGCTCGGCAAGCTCGATATCCGCAAGGGCACGCCAATCCCTGGCGCTGATCCCTGCGGCATCAACCTGGACGGCTGCGAGGATCATCTGGATGACCTTATCGCTGTCCTGCAATCGGCGGTGAGTAACAGGGCTGGGCGAATTGGCCTGTCAAGATACTCCGCGGATCGAACACTACATTGGCAATTGGGCCCGAGTGCGCGCCAATCGTTTTTCTTGCGTTGACACTCACAGCTGCTTCCTTTAATGGACGACTTACAGGAAACCGACGATGTGGCGTTCTTACTGACAAGCGGAGCCGTTTCGACAATTGTCAAAGGATGCACTCCGCTCGATGCCAGCAGTCGTCCTCTCTGGACCCCATCGTATGTGCGATTGCATCAGCCGCTGTGTTCGCTTCAGCTTTGCCCGACACTGAGTTGCTTGGTCATCCGTCTCAACACCCATCTTGATCGACCGAGCGATCACCTTGGCCCGAATCATGCACAACTCACTCAGACTGACGATGTGGTTTGGCCTTTGGTGTGCATCACTTCGCCTAGTCACTTGAACCGCGTGGCAAAAGTCATTGACCTCGTCAGCACACACGAACCCATCCACGAGTACCTCCTGATATCGCAAGACCAGATCCTGGTCGAAGTCGTCGAGGTTGTGGCGCGAGTCTTGCCATACTGCCTGCCATCGGCCGAATGCCACCTTTCAGCTACCTCGCATCTGGCGCAGGCGCTTCAGCGGACGTTGAGACGCAACGAACAGGACGACAACGAAGTCGTTCGGGCAAAGGAGAACTTGCTCAAGTAAGTGCTGCTGTATTGTCTGTCCAGGGCTGCAGGCGCAGATCATGTCACTTTGAATGCGTGTGCCCGGCCAGACGGACGGGCATTGCTCTTTGGTTGAAAATGCCCAACGACACACTATTCGGGTCGCTTTATCGGGCACTGCCCTGCGGAGGCCCGCGGTGTTGTTTATGGGTCCGCGTGCCTGGCTGCCTGGAAAACTGATGCGAGTGGGTGCTATGTTCTGCTCTAAATCTCTTGCCTTGGCTGCCTTTTGATCCCGTGCACTCTTACAGCTTCATTGTATCGATGGGGGTTATCGACAAAGTCAAGGACGTCATGCTGGTCATCAGAAGTCCGCTCGTGTCGACGCCCATGGTCCGCTTTCTCGAATGCTGGCTGCTGTTTTTCGAAACCATGACCCGGGAAGGGCAGTACGGCCCGGTGTATCGCCCTGCGGACACCTCGATCGGACACCCATTCGTGCGGGCCTTTCAAGAGTCTGATCTGTGCGGTATCATCACCATGCTGGACGAGGTGCTTCTGTTCCCGGCCAACCGTTCGCGTTCGGCGTTGTTAGAGGAGCTTCCACCTTCGGTCATTGAGGTCTCTCTGCTGGCACTGAGAGTCCTCAACAATGTTGCAGGACTCAACATCCAGACTTTCCAGGTGAGTCTCGAGTCTGCATCCGCATCCATGATGAGTGAGCGAGCATGCTGTTGTGTGGCAACCAGACGGGCTGTGGCTCGGCGCAGAGCGACCCATCGACTCTGCCTCTGCTGACGACCCGATTCTAAAAAACGAATCAGTCGACGCTCCACTCGGAAGGCATGCAGACCGAGTTCTTCCACCTCATCACCCACTGGCTGCGGTACTGGTGCGCCAAGAGCGGAGCATACGAGCCGATTCAGCCACACAGCATCCAGCAACGAGAAAAGTACGACCGGTTCGTGGCACTTCTCGGCGAGATCCTGTTGTTGATCGGCTATGCCGTTGCCGGCGACGAGTCCAACGGGGCCATCCTTCGGTTTGGACAGCAGCCGGTTGTCTTGCAGATGCTGGTGCGGCTCCCGTTTGCGTTTTTCATCGATCCGAAGTAAGTGCAGATGCAGATCCGTTGGCCCACCGTTGTGTTCGTGGCACCGCGAACGCTGTCGCCGTCACGCCAACCCACGTCAAGACCAAGTCCTTTGCCGAACAATGTGCGTCGGCTGGTCTAACAACTCTGTCCTTGCTGCTGCGGTGCATTCACGCCATACTCCTGTCGCCACAGGCTTCGAGATGCCCTCTTGCCCACGTTGATCATTGCGTGCTTTCGGAACGACCGCAACCATGAGATTGTCCGCGAAGAGCTATGCATGTCGTATCTCCGGGACTACCTGTGCGAGGAAATCGAGGCACGCAAGCGACAAATGTCCGAGATTGGTCGTGGCGGCAACCAGCCACCAAGCAAGTCGCGGCGAAAGCACCCGCTGTCGGAGAGCACGTCGGCCCCAGAGCGCGATTGCGCTGGGTCGCAGCCGCCACCCAAGCCAGAGGACGGCAAGGATCGACATGGTGCCACGGCGGAAGACGAGGACGACGACGACCGGCGACGGGTGCTTGGCCGGCTGAAGCTGGGGATGCGGTTCCCCGTCGAGTGGTGGGAGGATGCGATTGCATCGTTTGGCGATTGAGCCCCAGCGACGTCCGTTGCGAGGTGCTCGGCCCAGCCGGCGAGGCCATGTGTGCGGCTATGCATATCTGTATGGATGGGCATGTTTCTGCACGAATACGCACCGGCCCATCGGGTTTCGTGATTCCTGCGCCTGGCTCGGCTTGTTGACCATGCTCGCTGTCGGGATCAGCTCGCTTCAGGGGGCGATGCAGCACCAGGTTGAACGCAAAGCAGCCCGCCCGAAGGCAAAGCGGCGGCGATGCCTGTGAAGTCCCGGAGTATCCAATCGCAAAGCGCCATGTTGCTGTGGACCGGAGGTGGCGTTCGGTGGCCTTGGTTTGCACGGACAGCCGGCAAAGTCACCAAGACGAGAGACCCGTCCGAGAGAGAATAGGAGGCACGATCGAAGCAGCACATACAGCGCATCGCGTGGCTGTTTGCTGGCTGTTTGCTGGCTGTTTGCTGGCTGTTTGCTGGCTGTTTGCTGGCTGTTTGCTGGCTGTTTGCTGGCTGTTTGCTGGCTCCCGTCCCGTGCCTCGGTGCTTATTGCCTCCGACCTTGTGCGCCCAAACAGACGTGTCGGCTCTTGACGCGCGGTCAGCGCCGCCCTCGTTCCTGTCTTGTCCATACATCCCTCATGAGTACATATTCCGGCGAGCCGCCCGCCTCAGCCGATCCAACACAGCACCTCTCCAGAACAGCACCAGCCCGCAAACCCCGCAAACCCCAGCAACATGGTCGGCCTCAACTTGAACAAGAATTTCAAGAAATTCAAGAATCTCACCGCCGAGACCCTGGCCAACACCAAGGCCATCCTGCGAGTCAAGAGCGTCCAGAGACCCAAGGGCGTGCTCGTTGCCACCGAGAGCTTCAAAACTGCCGTCGAAAGGTGCCGCTTTGCATCGGATCCGCTGTCGTCCACCCAGTGAATCCACCTGGCCAGCAGAATGTGCACTCTGTGCTGACAGCACCTGCGTCTCTCCTATCCAGCTGCAAGCAGCAGGTCGACGCCATCTCGCGTAAATGCCGCTCCATCAACCGGTAAGTGGGTCAGATCCTGGGCTCTACTCGTGCTGTGATCGCAGCGCCTCGCTCATGGTGTCTGTCCATCGATTTGAGTCGGCGCAGCGGTCTCACTCTGGTTTCCGCATCTATCCAGCCGTTTTGTCGATGAGGACTTTGATGTCACCACTCTTGCCGATGTCTCTCTTCGTCTCCTCGCTGAGCTTGATTCGCCTCTGCCCGAATCCTTCGGGCGGATCAAGGAGGTCTTCGAGAAGCCCGTATTCATCGACGGTGTCGACTACGACGACATTGGTCAGGGCTCGCTCGGCGATTGCTGGTTCATGGCCGCGCTCGCCTCCACTGCCATGATCCCCGAACATGTAAGTGCCTGCTGCCAGCACGGGTCCAGATCCAGGCTCAGGCCCAGGCGCCGGCTCGCTTTCCGATGGTTCTAAGAGATGTCCATCTCTCTGTCTGCGCAGCTCGCCCGTCTCTGTGTCGCCAGAGACGAGCAGGTCGGCGTCTACGGATTCGTCTTCTTCCACGACGGCGAGTGGGAGCCCGTCATCATCGACGATCGTCTCTTCATCAGCAAGCCTGATTGGGAGTCTGTCGAGCCTGAGAAGCGTGCCGACTACAAGAACGAGACCACATATCGCCGGCTCTTCCAGACCGGTTCGGATGCTCTCTACTATGCCAAGTAAGCAGCATTCCGTCTGGCCGTTTGCAGATGGGTCGCCCCCCCCCTGTCGACGTATGCGCATGCTACGCCACAGTCCTCACATAACCACCTTCCATAGATCAACCAACCAAAACGAGACCTGGTTGCCCTTGATGGAAAAAGCCTATGCCAAGATCCACGGTAAGCCATGTCTCCCGATACCGCAGGAGTCGCCGCCCTTGCGTCGCCCAGTACAACTTATACACTCTCGAACCGATCCGCATCCTTTGCAACGCACAGGTGACTACCAGTCTCTCAGTGGCGGCCTGACCGGTGAGGCCATCGAGGATCTCACTGGCGGCATCTCCTTTGTGACCCGTCTCAACGACATCCTCGACACTGATCTTTACTGGAAGGACGAGTTCTCTCACGCCAACCGTGACCGGCTCTTCAGCGCCTACATCATGAAGTGGTCGTCTGGATTCGAATCGGTTTCGCCAAACGGCCTCGTTCATACCCATGCCTACACTGTCGTTCGCACGGTCGAAGCCAAGGGCCGTCGCTTCCTGATGCTTAGGTATGATTATGAGGGCTTTTGGAGAGAAGTTGGCGGCCAATCCCTCCGAAGACACTCGTGCGACAGCAATCATGTAGATGCGTCACAGTGATGTCCTCGGCGCATATTCGTCATGGGCCGTGATTCCCATGCATATACAGCACCGGGTTGGATTGGAGAGCCCGCTTACATGTATTAACCACGCTTGTTGTGGTGGGTCCTCCATGAACCACAGAAACCCTTGGGGCAAGACGGAGTGGAATGGCCGCTGGTCCGATGGCAGCCCTGAATGGTACGAAGGAGTAGACAGCTTGAGCTGTGTCACAAGTCCGCTTTGCACGGTTGAGTGCCCTTCTGTTGCTTATCGACTGACTAAAGCTCACTTTGTGGCCACAGGACCGCCGAGTGGATCACCATCCTTGGGCACAAGTTTGGAGACGACGGTGCTTTCTGGATGGAATGTAAGTGCCATGACCCTGGAGGTCGTTGATCCGTTGCGGCTTATCTGAGGGCACATTGCCGTTGTGCCTTGCTGTTCGGCTCCGCCACGTCCATCCGCACCCTTGTCGTTTCCAGGCTTTGCTTATTCCGGCACTGTTCGCACACTCACTTCCGCCTATCGCATCCGCCAGACGACGACTTTTTGCGAGAGTTCACCCACGTCGATCGCACCCGTCTCTTTGACGGCTCGTGGTTCCTTGACCAGCAGTGGCTGCAGCTGCAGACCGAGTGGCCTGCCGTGTGGAGCGAATCCGTCTTCGGGTTCGAGCAGAGCACCAGCGGTCCTGCGGTCGTTGTGCTCTCGCAGCTCGACACTCGCTACTTCCAAGACTTCCAGGGCACCTTCGACTTTGATCTGCAGTTCCAGGTCTACCAGGTCAATGACAATGGAGAGCGCGAGCTCTTGGACCAATCGCAGTCCTCGAGCGTGTCCAAGCGCTCGGTTTCGATCGAGTTTGCCAATCTCGAGGCTGGCACCTACCAGATCGACACCAAGATCATTCGTGTCAACAACGGCGGCCCCACTGTCGAGCAGGTTATTTCTGAGGCCGGCAGTGAGAGACCCAAGAAGCTCCTGAACACCATCGAGCGATTCAACCAGGTTCGCTCCAGGGCCGTCAACATCGACGAGACCGATGGCCAGAACGCGACCATCATGGCCAAGATCACCCAGTCGACCCCCGAGGAGATCACGAAGCTCATGACCAACCTCGCTGCCGTGCGAGTGTCTGTCAGCAGGGCCAGAGGCGGCGTCCGGGCACAGGCTACCGATAGCGCCGACGACGATGGTGACAAGGACGAAGATGGCGACAAGAAGGAAGACGGCGAAGACCAGGATCAGGCCGACGGGCAGGAAGACGGGGCCGACGGCGAAGCCCCCAACATCAAGTTCTCGGACGGCAAGGTCATTGTCGGCTTCCGTGTGTACTCAAAGGATGCCGGTACCAAGATCAAGCCCTACACCCCTCCCACCGCCAACGATGCCGCGGACGATGACAACGATGACGATTATGAGGACATTGACGATGACGGCGAAATCGCCGCTGCTGCTGAAGACGATTGAGCGTCCGCCGACACCGATGCGATTCAGGGCTGATCCCGATAGCTATTGCAGCCGCTTTACTCCTTGTGTACCTTCTTCCTCTGTAAAGTTTTGTCGCCGACTGAATGGACATTACAGCGTTTCCAATACGAAATGGGAACACCCCGTTTTGGGCCATGACAGTGTTTTTTCTGGAACCTGAATACACCCACCCACTCATCGCATTCATGGCCAAGCAAGTATGTCCAAGGAGACCGAAGTGGTGATTGCCTTTGGGAATGTCTCCTGGAACAGGGGAAGGGATATGCATCCAGTCCCAGGAGACTCAGGTTCGCTCGGTATTTCGAGCAATTCCACCATCACCAGAGATGCCCACCAGACCGATCCGTCTCCAAGATCCATGTGTGCTCGGTGAACGAGCTCAACACATCCCAGGTGTGCTCACAGTGCCCGGAGGCCGAGCGCCTCGTTTGACCTGGCTGGCTTGATATCGAGAAACCATGAAGCTGTGCAGAGGGTCGAATGCATCCACCACACTCCCACATCGAGACATCAATGCAGCCAGGAACATGATCTCGGTATGCCAGTCGATCATCGCCACAGGAGATCGACCGGGTGTATTCAAGACCATGTTTCCCAAACCAACCAAAACCACTCGATTGCCAACCAGGACGGGAAACAATCTCACGACCTGCCCACTGGGCCTACGGTCAGTCAGCGGGGTTCAGACATCTGAAACCAGGAAGTGACTGACCCGTTTTTTTCTGGATAGACTTTAACTGGTCTTGGTCGGTTTTGTATGAATCTGCATCCGGTCTCGGGTCACCAGAACCCAATACACAGATGCTCTCCTGATCTCATAGTTTGCTGACGTACTCCATCGATGACTTGAGAAGGCGAAGCATGCCGACACTCCCACCAGAGAATGCAGATATAGCATAGGGTATCGCGACTGTCAATCAAATAAGAATCTTCAGACCAAATAGCCCTGATTTCGCAGGCCACTCAGACACTTGATGTTCCGAAACCGAGGGAACGTTCCGATTATTTGGAAAAAGGTTGTATTGGACAATCCACAAACAAATACAAGGACATCGATAGACAGAGGAAGAGACGCAATTACAAGAGATAGATCGCCAGGAGCCGAGGCCCCAGACGTTTCAAGAGGCAAGGCGGGGAGTGAGGGCGTGACCAGACGCTGTGGCGCCATTGTCGGGAACTCTGAGCTCAAACTGGCGAGGGCGGGGCGCACAGAGCAGTCATGGAGCAAAGTGTGCAAGCAGAGCAAATCGTTCCGGGACTGGGCCGGCTGAGAGTGTTTACCAGGAGCAGGGGTAGTTAACGCCCGAGACACAGTGGGTGCCAGCAGGGCAGTCATAGGCGTAGCCGTTGCCGCCAACACACCACAAGTAGCTGGTGGAGCTCTGGCAGACATAGCTGTTGGCAGCAGCACCGGCGCAGCTGCCGGGAGGAGGAGGAGGAGGGTTGCCGGAGGGAGTGGGGCCGGTGGTGGTCTTGACGGGCTTGGTGGTGGTGGTCTTCACAGGAGCGGTGGTGGTGGGAACGGTGCCGCTGACCTTGAAGCCAAAGGTCTGGCTGGTGGCGCCAATGCCGGACTGGCCATATCCGATCCAGAAGAAGCCGTTGGTTCCCCAGGAGGCGGTCCACGAGTTCTTGCAGAGCCAAGCCTGCTTGGAGTCGTCCCAGCCAACAATCGAAACAGCGTGGCCACCGAGCTGCTGGTTGGACTGCTGCATGTAGACTTGGTTGTTGCTGCAGCAGTTCTCAAAGTCGCTGTAGACAGTGAAGCCAGTGAAGACAGCGCCGTAGGTCATGATGTGCTGCTTGAACTGGTCGACGCTGCTGAAAGTAGCCTCAGAGATGCCGCCAGTGCGGGCACATCCGGACTTGCAGCTCTGGTCCTGGCCGTTAAGGGCTCCGCCGTAGGGGAAGCAAGACTCCATAGCAACACCGCTCTGGGAGATGGCGCTGGCGGCCGTGCTTGGGTACCAGCCAGTGCTGCACTGAGCCTGGCCAGCGGCAAGACAGAAGAAGATGTCGGCCTCGGAGACATCGAGGCTCAGGTGCTGCTGGCTGAGGAAGGTACTCTCGACAGTGGCAGCGGAGGAGAAGGCGACACAGCTGCCGCACTGACCCTGGTTCTTGATGGACGAGACCCATCCCGAGCTGCGAGAGTCCCAGGAAGTGGGCAGGACGGCAGCGAGGACGGCCTCGGACTGGGTCTGGGTGTCTTCAGCAGAGAGGCTCGAGCCCTATCAAATGTCATGGAAGATCAGCGCTCAGACTACATGGGAAACAGCTTGTATCGGGGGACCAGCCAGGATTGCCGCCCCCCTGAGGAAGCAAAATAATGACTTTGGCAGCATACGAAAGCCATGATACCTACAAAGACATCCTGGCGGATCGACTCGACCGACTCGTCAGAGACGATGGAACCCGAGAGGAGGCTGGCATCAATGCCGTTGTGGAGGTGGCTGCGGACTTGCTGGACGAGACCCTGGAACTGCGAGTCGTTCTGGCGAGCAAGGTACTGGGAGTGGAGCTGGCTCGACTCGGAGGCCATGATGGCAGTGTTCTGGGTGGAACCAATGACCTTGTCGAGGTTCTTGACGTACTTGCTCCACTTGCCTGTGGGATGGGTGGCAGTGGGTGGTGAGTATGTTGGATGGGTTGCGTGGCAGTGAGTGTGGAGAGTGTGGAGAGTGTGGGAACAGAACACCCAAGCAATCAGAACACCCACAGCAACCAGAACACCCACAGCAATCAGAACACTCAGAGCAACCAGAACACTCATCAAACACACCAGCCAGGGGTGTGGGAAACAGATCGGGCGGCAGTACCTTTCTTGGCAGAGGCGGCATCGGCCGAGGCAGCAATGCCAAGGAAGAGAACGACGGCGGCGGCAGCGTTGACGAGCATGGCTGGGGTGGTTGCGGGTGGAGGAGGAGGGATTGAAGGAGGAGAACTTGGCTGAGGGGCTGCGACTTGCTTGTCGGGACTAGAGGGTGCTGGTGGTTCAGACGGACTGGGTCTGGGGGCTCGTCCTCTTTATACCCCATCAGCACCCCCCACCACCAGCCCAGCGCGAGAGGCGCAACCTCTGCAGCCGGGGGGCTCGGGCATGGTGGCGCGTTGTGATCTCTGCTTTGTTCGGTCCCAAGCCGCTGCGGGCCGCCTTGATGCTGGGCACACCATGGTCGGCCATGCGATCGCATGATCTTTCCTTTCCATTCTTTCGATGCGTCCTTGTGCGTGGGCACCTCACGCGGACAGGAACGGCTCGTGAGGGGAGGACATCGACCAGGGCGCTGCTGCGAGCGGAATGGAGAAAGAACGGAAAGGCGGATGCGGCTCCGATGGGACAATCGACAATAGACAATTGGCAATGGACGAATGGACAAATGCAGCCCATGGGACAAATGAATCGATGAACAGATCGTGTGGGGTCCGTATCCAGAATGGTCACGCGCTCGTCGCCCATCCCTTGCCCTGCTGCCCGCACCTCTGTACTATACATACTCGCCCAAGGCCCGTTCCCATGGCCACCGGCACTGACCCAGCGCCGCACACCTGGCCGACACACATGCGCAGATGCTCTATCCTGGCCCATGCGAGTTTGCCGTCATCGCACCCAGCACGGCGCCGCCCGCCTCTCCGTCGTGCATTTGCTTCGACAGACCAACTCCACGGGCCAGCCGGTCCGAGGCTCGCCGCATTTTGCTCGCGCCAGCATCCACCGGTCACATCCACAAAACCTTGCTCCTTGCTGCCTGGGTCACCAGGTTGCCCAGGCCTTTCCCATCGGTCTGTTGCGGGGGCATGGGCGATCACTTGGGTGGTCCACGGGACAAGGTTTCGTCCAAGAGTCACGCGCTCGTGACCCCGGCCCATGCATCCATTTCTGTATGTGCACAGTTCGGCGCTGTTGCGTTCGTGGGGCCGTCAAGCCAACCGACAGCAGAAAGGAGCAGAAAGGAGCACGGCAGATACTGCAAGCGACTTGCAAGTCGTCTCCGCCAAGGCACCGACAACGGTGGTGGGCGAGGAGATGGATCCCACAAGTGCGGCAATTGTCCCAGAGCAGCACGGCTCGCCCTGCTCAAGCACATCTCTGGCCATCGCCGTATCAGCCCTTAGCCAAGGCAGGGAGGTCATCCCTGGCCAGACAGCCAGCCCGCCCTTCGTCTCCACCCATCCGACAGGGAGACTGAGCCGCTGTCGCTCGGCTGTATGGCTGGTTGCGCATCATGTGAGCATTGCCATTGTCGCCATTTGAATACCGCTGCAAACGCAGCAACATCCGTCTCGGCACGGCAATCGGTATGTCGTTCCGCTCGATAAAATTGCCGGGATTAGAGTTTTTGAAGGCGTTCTGTTCCAGGATGGTCACGGACAGATGATGCTGCTGCTGATGGCGGAAGTCGACAATTCCTTAGAGAGTGCAGACGAAGAGCGAGAAAATCTGCAAAGAGTGATGCAGATCCGGTGGGCAAGGTCCCCTCCTGAGCTTCCCACGATCGGCTCGGGCGCCGCACGCACCAGCCCACGTGGGGGGCTTGTCGATCGCCACTGGCGGGCGGTCACCAACCCCATGTCGACGACGACTCCAAAACGTGCAGCCAGACGGTCTCTGCCTCTGCTCGTTTGGCCCTGGGTGCTCGGCGCCGCCCAACCACCCGCACAAGCCGTAGACCACGATCATGCAAAACAGAGGGCGGCCTTCATTCGTGTCCGAGGCAATCACAATTCACAATTCATATTCTGCCAAGGTCGCAATCGAGTAGACCACTTCAGCTCAAATCTCAGCCTCCAATTGGAGATATCGATGCCACGGATATCGCCTGGTATCAAGGAAGCTCATTCACAGGATAGATGATGCTCACTAGAGATGGTTCTAGAGCGCTGTGTACGTTGCGCCGTGAACCCGGCCCATTGCAGCTCCTACGATCGTCTGGTAGTTTTGGGCGAAAAACGTGCTTCCGGCGGCAACCATGTTGAACTCGCAGAGCAGCCGACTGGAGATCTTCTTCTCTGAACGATTTGGGTAATCGAGAGCGGGAGTAGCAGTGGGGTGGAGCAGCCATTGAAGATTAAGACCAAAGCAATTGCGGCCTGGTTGCCTATGGCGATTACAGTGCCGATCGTCCCGCGCGCCGTCCAGGGCCAGGCAGTCTCGATCATCCTCTCCTGCGGTTCACCCTTGTGTCTGCAACAGCTGGACGCACTACATCATCCAGCAGCAACGGAGGAGACCAACTTACTCGAGAGCGCCAGAATGGGCCAAAAAATGATGCACATGCATGTGAGCACACAGAGCACATTGACGCATGTGTTGTGGGCCATTTTGGAGAGCGGGTGGTCCGAAAAGACCCATATTTTGGCATTTTTGAGGGGATACGAAACCATGATCCGATGCGGGTAGCCCGTGCGTCGGATGGCCGAAACGATGGCATTGGTCAGGCTCGGATAGTCCCAAAAGACTTGCTTGACCATGTGGATCCTACGGAAGCAGTGGGAGAGGGCATAGGGCTCCTGTCAACGACGGTGGCTTGACGTCAAGGAGCATCGCGACAGCAGATGGATACAGGTGATTCTACAAAGCTTGTGTCGTCGATCCTTGGACCCAACAAAGCCCATAGACCCGATGGAGTGCACATCCATTCATTCGCTCGCACGCAGAGGACACGGAGCCTGGAAGTGTGGCTGCCGACGACGACGCTACGTACTCCTTGAAGATGTTGCTGCTGAAGGTAAACTCCTCGAGAGCCTGTCGGTAGTTCTGCGAGGGCTTGCCTTGCTTGGGGATGCATACGACCCGGCTCCAAGCCGGCGCGATATAATGCGACACATCAAAGTTGAAGCTGAAATCGGTAACGGTGCGGCTACGGGTTTCGACACGAGTACCGTTATCTCCGTGAACGACCTCAGTGTAGGTTTCCTCGTGCTGGCCTGAGATTTGCAAAGTCCCAGTGTTAGTCCCGGAGAATTGAATCGCAGGTGTCGAGCGTCCTATTTTTCCCAGACAATTGAATCGCAGCGATCCACAAGCCCTCTTCCACCAACCTAGGATGTGCACCAGCAGCGTCGGCTTGGACAAGTGCGACAAGAAGAATTTCCACAGCTCCTCTGGCTGCAAGAGTTGCATGTCCCAAGACGCATCTGTTAGTACTTCAATTTGATCTGCACAAGCTCTGCACAAGCTCTGCGGCGACACATACGTTTTTCTGGAGTGACGGGTCGAACGAGACGATGCTCGAGTCTTTGACTTCAAATTTGGCATTGGAGCGCTCGCCGAGTGGCGGACAGTCTTTGGCGAGCCTGTTGAGCAACCAAAGGGCAGTGATGAAGACGTGCGGCCATCAGAGCGATTTGAATCGCCACGTTCAAGACAAGCCTTTGCAATGCGCACCCAAGCTTGGATCGCTCCATTCATTGTGGGGAGGAGGGACAAATCGCCAAGTACATAGGAAGCCAAATCGATATGTGCAGAGACACAGCGACATCCCACGATCCTGCGCGCCAATCGTCTGTTCTTACATAATGTTTCCAGTCGGGATAATGGAGATATCAAAGTAGTCCGGAGGGCATCCCTCGACGCCTTGGATGGCTTGGTATGCCGGTGGGGCTTCGGCACCTGGTGGCAGAGCGAATGCAGGAGCGACCGAGGATTTCTCACCGCTGTCCTTCTCGCCGAGACCACCAAGGTCGCCTTTGCTGATACTTCCGTATTGGAGGTCGTTGTTTGCGAGCAGCGGGGTTAACATCGTAGCCGAGTGCGTCCCTGGCGTGTCCACGAGCGGAGAGGCGGCAGCCGGAAAGCCGGGCGGCGCAATGTATGCAGAGGATACGGGCGGCGGCCCAGGAGGAGGAGCATAGTTGGTGGATGATGTCGGGGGCGGCCCAGGAGGAGGGGCATAGGTTCCAACGGGCACCTGCTGAAAGCCAGCCGGGGCAGCGGGGAAGCTGGGTGGTGAACCTGGGGTGTTCATAGCGACAAATGGCGATTCCGGAAGGGCAGGGTATGGCTGGAAGGCTGACGGAACTGCGAACGGATGCTGGGACGAGGGGGCCATCTCGCGCTGAGATTCTGCCAACAAGCGAGCGGCGAACGGAGATTGTCGCTGGGATTGTGCCACCCAAGCAGGCAGATTGAGGCGGACGAGTTGGCGAAAGAGCAACAACGCCGGCAGCATGGAGACCCGCCACTACACTTTATTCAGAAAAAAACGGGACAACATAGCCGTTTCCATGAACCTGTAGTATGTGCTGTGCTTGCGTCAAGCAAAGCCACAAGAAATAAAACAGATCACTTTGGCAGCCTCCGAGTGAAGACCGCCGGTCGCTCTCCGATCTCCACAATCGACCTGCATACTGTGATCATGTTGCGCGCCGCATTGACGTCGCGATTCCACACTGTCCGGCAGCTGGGATTCTTGCAGCTCCTGACAAAGTGGGAATTCGCAACACTGGGCGCATCGAGTCCTTCCAACCGAACTGGCTCCAGGCACTTGGAGCACACTTGCGAGGTGTTGAACTCGTTCGTCGAGGCCACCTTGACGCTTCCATGATGGTGATTGGGACGGCGTCGGTGGTGCTCGAATTGCTCAAAGTACCGAGCAAACCGCTGCCTCCGAGGGCTGGATGCATAGCCCTTGCCTTGTCGCCATGACGCATTGCCAAAGGCGATCACCACATCGGTCCGTATCGGGGCGTGCTTCAGGACGGCCTTGCACATCCTGTCGACGGCCACTTGGCGCCTCTTGTGGCCCGTGAAGCGATGGTGACGGGCCTTCTTGCCAAGGTGGAAGTCGAGCTGCACTCGCAGCTCCGGTCGCAGGACATGGGTGAGATGGACCTTGAAGGCCTCCGAGGACGACACCTTGGGCGAGGGAGTGGTCGACATCCAGGTCTCGATGCCGAGTCGATACTTCATGATAGTGTGCCACTTGGTGTTGGACGTATGGCCACACATTTGCTGGTAGTGGCCATTGGAGAATGAGACCACCTCGTCTTGGTGGCCCGGTGCTTGGATGACCGCCGTGAAGATGGAGCCGACTCCAGGATCGATGCCAATCCAAGTGGTGCGGTTGGGGTCTGGGTCGCCGATGTGCTCCTGGATGCGCTGCTCGGCAGTCGGAGGAGGCTCGATGGTCTCGGTGTGATCGGTTCGAGGCAGAAACTTGACGAGACCGATGGTGCATCCAATGCCATCGGTGCTGATCTCGTAGTTGAACAGCTTCTTGTTCACGTCCCGCTCTTGGAAGAGGGAACTACGCAGCTTGAAGCAACTGCGCCAGAGACGATCCTGGTTGTTGATGCCGTCATCACCTTCTTCCTTGAGCTTGTCCCGGGTGAGGCCAAGGTGCTGTTCGGTGTCAAGGAGATCCCAGAGAGTGGCCGTGTCGATCTTGACATACTTGGCCCTTGCAGTGCATAGAGGAACCATCGTGCACACGGCCGGAGGAGTGTCAAGAGCGAGCTGCTTGAGTGCCCAGTTGATCCTGGATGCCAGCTTGTTGATCTTGGACTTGGTGGTGCCGAGCTCAGACTTGGCCGTGGTGAACCTCTTGTCGTCGGAGGGAATGCCTTGGGTAGTGAGCTCGTCCAGCTTGGCCTGGTGCTGCAGCTCGGTGACTCGGAGGGCGGGCATGTCACAGTCGATCCACTTGTGGACATTGTCGACCATCTTGTCTCGGGCGAGGATTCCCACATGGTGTGAGAGGCGATGGAGGGCCCGGAAGCGGTCCTGGTCGTTGCTGTACCGAAACTCGTCCAGGACGTGGCCAAAGTCCGGGTAGAGGAACTCGAGATCGGCCTTGGGTGGAGTCTGCCCTGGTTTCTCGAAGAGCTCGAGACAGGCCTCGATGGCTTCGTGCTTATGCTTGTTGGCTGGGAAGACGGCAGCGCAGAAGCGGCGAAGGAGTCGCCAGTAGGCCAGGTCGAGGTGGGTGGTGCAGTTGGTGGCATAGGCATTGACAGCCAGGGTGAGAAGCTGACTGTGAGCACCATCAGGCAGACGAGGGGCCGGAGGCAGGTCTGCGTGCCGAGTGGTCTGGTAGTCGCGAAAGGAAGCGACCAGATGCTCGTTGTACCGCTCGATGTCCCCGGTCGGGGAGAGGGCACCGTCCTGGACGATCTTGAAGCATTGGCGAACGAAAGCAGGGGTGGACTTGGAGATGACGGGGACGGGAAGATCCTGCTCGATGCACCGGAGGATGTGCAAGTTGAGCAGCCTGGATGCCTCGAACTGGATCTGGGTCATGGCCTCGACGGTGGCCTGGATCTTGTCGCGGAGAGCGGGATTGAGACAACAGCCATCCATCGTCTGCTTGAAGCAGCTGAACTGAGGGGCGGATGACCTTCCATCCACGAGTGGGACGACAGAACTCTTGAGGGGCCGGTATTTGGGACACTTGTTGGTGTTGCAACGTTCGTGATCGGTACCGTCGCACTGGCGACATCGCTTGCCAGTACTCGAGGAAGTAGATGGACCAGGCTCGGTGGGATCGACATCCATTGGATCTGCAGAAGCAGTGGTGGTGAGCGACGGAGCAACAGACGACCAAGCATGCGTGGGGTCAGAAGACGAACCAGAGACAGGCTCCGACTGTGACTTGGCTTTCTTGGGCCTGGGTGGCCGAGGCTGGCCATCACCGGCACCCTTGCGCTTCGGAGGCATGGGGACAGAGAATGCTGGATGCCTGCCAGTGGTACTGGTCAGAGCAGAGACTTTTTTTTATCGTACAATGGCGCGATGATCAGATCAAGGCGAGATGAAGGAAGAAAGCAGCAGGACGAAGGTGTGGCATTTATACCCGAGAGCAGGAACCCGTCTGCGCGGGCTGGTTGGGGAAGTGACCCTGTTCAAAAATTGCAGAGGGGTTCAAGCCAGGGATTTGGGCGTGAAATGGCGGAGTTGACAAGATTCACTCCCAGAAGCGCATCGCTCGCTCAATCAGCCGTGGGAAGACATCTGGAAGCACCCTCCGCACGGCGGACTCGAACAGGGTCACCATCCCGATCTTGAACCCCTCGGACGCATTCAGCGCTGTTGTCTTCCTGTACCGATGCTTCACAATCCCAAAGAAGTTCTCGATGGGATTGAAGTCGGGCGAGGCAGGTGGGGTGAAGATCGCTGACCATCCTCGGCGCTCGATGCAGCACACCAGAGTGGTTGATGGCAAATGCAGCCGAGACAGACTTGTGTTTCATGTGATTGCGCTGGCGAAGCGGAGCACCCTTCGGTGAGTATCCGTAGAGAGGGAAAATGGATCTCCTGATCCCTGTCTCATCGACAAAAACGAATCGTCGTGGGTCGATGGAGCGGACCTGGTCCCTGAACTGTGCCACCCGCTCATCCAGTCGCTTGGACTTGTAGAGGTGTGTTGCCCTCTTGTGTGAGAGACCTGCTCGGTGGATGGCAGTGTGGCAGAGTGAGAGTGAAACTTTCCTCTGGAGGATGGACTCGAGCTTGCATCGCAACACAGGACCAGTCTGGAACGGGTCCTGTTCAATCAGGGTGCGAATGACTGGACATGCCTGCTCGAAGAAAGTGGATCTGCGAGCTGGGACCCGGGATGGGTCATCCAGCTTGCATCCTCGGTGCCATCGATGGATGGTGCTCTTGGATACACTGAATATGGAGGCGACCTTACGCAGGCTATGGATGAGGGCGTAGCATCGCAATGCGGCGGTGCGAAAGTCGGATGTGTGGCGAATGGTCATGGCCAGCGCGCGATAACATTGGGTAACAAAATATTCGATGAATGGTCAAAAACCCGGGTGTCCCGTTTTTTATTGGATTGCCACTAAAGCGAATGGTGATCAATCAACGGATGACGCCAGTCAGCCTATCCGGGAGAAACGACATCTCTGTTGTGTTCTGGTGTGTACATTATGAACTGGCAAGATTGAGAGGGGGGGGTGCCAATTACTGCACGGCACAGCCGTCGTGGAGATTGAAAGGCAAGCAAGGATGGGCGAAGGGGTTTACGGATGAACAGGGGACGATAGGGAACCCGACACATGCTGCTGACAAGCAATGTTGGGTCGGTCGATGCGAGGGAGTGATGTGATGTGATGTGATGCCAATCCAAAAAGAGAAAAGTACAGGGGGGCAATCGAAGCAATTCAAATGCGGAGATATCTGTCCGCAAAAGCAGGCAAAAGAAAATTGGCCGAAAGCCAGAAACCGAGACTTAGATCATCAGGGCCACGGCGGCGCCGATGGCACCGAGCAGGCTCGAGACACCAAGGTGCAGCGAGTTGCCCGAGGACTGGGCGATGGCTTCAGCCCGGGCGGGAGCGGAGGCGCTGGGCGAAGGGGCAGAGCCGGACTGCGACGCGGCAGCAGAAGCAGCGGCGGTTCCCGAGACAACGGGAGCAGAAGGGGCGGCGGTTCCCGAGACAGCGGGAGCAGAAGGAGCGGTGTTGCCAGAGGCCGAGGGGGCGATATTGCCGGAGGCAGACGGAGCAACAACGGGGGCCGAGCCGCTGACAGTGGTGTTGGAGGAGGGGGGAGGGTTGGCCTGGCAGGGGCCGGGGTAGCTCAGGGTGACGCTCTTGAAGACGGCGGTGAACGACTTTGTAAAATCGACAGTGCCGGCCCAGCCACCAGTGTTGGTGCCGTCCCAGATGCCGAGCTGGACGTACGAGGGCTTGACGGGGAAGGGCAGGGATGCGCTGTGGGGGTTGTTGTAGGTGCGCACGGGCTGATCGTCGACGAGCCAAATGATACGGTCGGCGTTCCAGTCGATGGTGTACTTGTGGAAGTCGGCAGAGGTATCGAAGCTGTTCTTGATCTCAAGAGGCTGGCGGGTGTCAAAGTCGGCGTTCTGGAAGACGTTGGACCAGACACTGTTGGGGCTGATGCCGACAAACTCGTAGTCTATACCAGAGGAAGAGGCAAAGGCAAAGGCAAAGGCAAAGGCAGAAGAAGCAGGGCCATGTCAGCTCAACGGGTCGCATTGCACGCGTAGCGGCGGCGGTGATGGACGATCTGAACGCTCCGCGGTGGGCCGCCAGAGCGTCCGTATCGGATACGCGGAGGTCTGCCCAAACCGCCGATGCATCGGGAGATCACAGGCTGGAGCGGGAGACAGGGGGGGGCAATGGCAGCAAGGAGCACTCACCGATCTCGTCGCCCACGTTCTCGGGCTGGGAGCGGGTGATGAAGGAAGTAACGACGCCCGAGGAGGTGGAGGCCGACTTGATGACGGCACTGAACTGTCCCGAAGTGAAAGCAAGCTTGGACGAGATGCGAGTGCCTGGTGTGGGTGAGGAGGATTAGCGAAGGGATCCGCTGGAGAGCACAGACCCGCCACATGCCCAGGGCCTCTAACAACGACATGAACAGAGCGCTGTGGCAGGCGACACGCATGAATACAAGCGAGGCGATTGGTCGATCATGTGCAGGGATGTTGCGCCGGGAGAGTATCGACGATCGCCAGAGTCGGACACGAACGGACAGAAGCGCGGGATCGATGGCAGGTCGGCGGTGGCGGTGGCCAAGCCAAGCCAAAGGCAGCCGCCAGAAACGTACCACAGGTCGAGGTCATGGTCAAGACAGCGCCGTCGCTAGTGAGCTTGAAGTTCTGCGGGCAGTAGTCAACGGAGAAGTTGACGAGAGACGATTCCTTGGTAAAGTCCTCGGTGACGACGCAGTTGCCCGAGGTCGAAGGCGGGTTGGGAGCGGCGGCGGCCTGGCCGATGACGCTGTTGCTTGTGAGAACCCACTTGGAGGGATCGAAGGGATCGGCCGAGACAGAGGAAATGGCCGAAGCGGCAACGAGGGCCAGCGAGAAGACAGAGGCGAGCATGGCGGAAGACGAGGGATCGGGACAGCGCAGATCAATAGGTCGCGAAGGCCGTGAGATGGACGAGGCGAAGGACTGGAGCAGGACGAAGACGTTTATATAGTGGCCAAGGCCAGAGGCGGTGCGGGGGTGGAGAGCCGAGAAGACGGCGAGGGGCGCGAGAACCGCCGGTGAGAAGCACAGCGCAGTGTCTGTGCGAGCGAGACGGCCCACAAGCTGCAGCGAGAGGCGGGGAGAACACCTTGTATGGACCCCGCTCAAGGCCCTTCGCGACCGCCACAGCGGGGCGGTGCTCAGGCTGTGCCGAGGCGCCGGCCCTGCCGGGGTTGTGAACGGTCAGACGTGCGAACGATCAGACTCGCGGGGGTTCAGACGTGCGAACGATCGGGCTTGCGACACGAGGCCGATGCCATGATTGTGGTGGCAGTTGAGCAATGTACTTGATCCGAGCAAGCGGGACACCCCCCGGATAAGCTTGATGCAAGCTAAGCCATAAGAAATAGAACAGATCACTTTGGCAGCCTCCGGATGAAGACCTCCGGATGAAGACCTCTGGGTCGTTCTCTGTCTCCACAATCGACCTGCCGCATCGACGGCACGATTCCACACCCATTGGAACTGCAGAATCGCAGCGCAGTGATGAATGGGTGTATTCGTGACTCAGAATCGAGCGACAGCCACTTCGCTTTGGGAGCGCAATAATACGGAGCACACCCAGGTGTTTCGATCGCAGTCTGGTAACATTACACGCTCCCCATTACCGTCGCTCACTCAAGCTACGACGTCAAAATGGTTGTTCGTGTTTCTGAATACAGTACGAGGACACACCAAGGTGTGCAGTAGCAAGTGCCTGGAAGAGCGCCAGCCACTGAGATCCGGAAGATGGACATGGACACTGCTCATTCTACGCTGTGGATGAGCCGGTGGAGGAATGGAAGCAATTGAAGGGAGGAGGGAGGAGGGATCGGGAAAGCGCCTGTCGGGTAGGAACGACGCAAGGTCCCACAGCCGGCGCTGGCCAGCCAAACGGGAGTTCGCAGCCCACAAAGGGGAGCAGCGATTTAGACAGAGCGAACTTGGTTTTCAGGAGCAGACTCGATCAGATCGCGGCCGTCCTTGACGTAGTACTTGACGAAAAAGTCGTTCTGGATCCACAACAGCTTCGAGAACGCCGCCAGGGTCTTGGTGCGGACCTTGGGGTTGCGCTGCAGGTCGGGGAGGTTCGAGAGTGTCTCTGCCAGGAAACCGTGCAGGAAAGCAAACAGGGCGTTGATGTGGACGTACTCGACGTTGATTTTGGAGGCCTTGAGCTGGTTGCGGACATGGATGCGGCCAACCCAGTCCAGGTAGTTGACAAACTTGGCATCGTACTCCGCGCTGACGAGCTTGACAAGATAGCTGTGTGTTCACAGGAGCGGAAAGTCATTGTCGTCAGTGTTGGGTCAAAGTGCGAACCGCAGATGCACATGTGCGAAAGCCGCCCTCGGTACGGGAGGTAACAATACCGCACGCCCGTTGACAAACATACCCTTTCAGGTGGTTCTTGCGGAATTTGATCTGCTCGTGGTCCAGGGTGAGGTGATCCAGGTCGGAAACCTCGCCCTCAAAGCCCTCGTTCTTCTGGGTGAAGGAGGACTTTGTGATATCAAAGGAAAAGAGGCGCTCGTACACGGCATCGACAATGGTCGGAACCAACGGCGCAATCAGCGGGGCCGAGGCCTTGATGGCAGCAATATCCGAGTCGTCAAAGTCGGCAAAGCTGCACAGGTACTGGAATCGGTAGAGGCGGTCCGTGTACAGTCTGTAATTGAAGGTGGAGACCGACACGTGGATCCGCACAGGAGATGGAGGAAATCAGAGGCCAACATTACGGGCTTGGTGAGCAACGAGCGCGAAGGATGATGGGATTTCATATTGAAGGAGTCCAACTGGAAACGGCAGCGACTCCCAGATCCGACCTCAACAAACGTACATGCACAAAGGAGCAGCACTTCAAAGAGCAACACGCCGCTTCCGATAGCAGCGATGCATGGCACCACGAACCTGTCACGATCGATAAGGGCAGGGTTTGTCAGCGACGGCTCCAAGCTTGGGGCGTCGGGAATGCTTCTGGGGGCTTGGACAATCACTTTTCGCTTGGGCTGGGTGTGAATGTAGTAGGCGACGCCGGCGGCGACAGCCGTACCCAGGACGAGGGTGCTGAGGAAGACGGTGTTCTGATGTCCAGGCATTGCGATTCAGCAAGACGAGTAGATGATAATGGGGCGGGGGAAGGTGAACAACAGGACGATGTGGACGATGATTAAGAGGCTGGTCGAGGGGGCTGGAGGGAGCTTGGCAGGATGACGGACTCCAAGACCGCTTCTCCTGGGGCGTGGCTCGATTATATCGTCTCCGTGAGCGGGCGTGAGCGAAGGTGACCAAGGCCGTTTGCGCTTGGGAAAAAAGCAGACATGAGTCAGGCTTGCTGCCGCGTGAGTCACCATGAATGACCCAGGTTGCTGGCCGCGCCTGTGCGGGCTGCCTGTGTGTGGCACACGCCGGGTGTGGGTCGCGCACGCCTGCCTGTTTTGGCAGGCGCAGGCCCGCACACACACCCAGGCAGCGTCGGCTGGACCACAGACAGAGACAGCACAGCGCAGCAAGCATGAGGGACAATTGCGTGCGCCCGAAGAGCCTCGAGCTGGATCTGGTCAGCGCCCGCGGTGGTGATGGTGTGGGTCCAGCGATCGGGAAGCAGGTCGACGAAGCAGGTCGACGAAGCAGGTCGACGAAGCAGGCCGAGGATACCAGGAGAGCATCGGAGACAACCGCGCCAGTGTCCACCAAGACCTAGCTTCTGAGACGACTGGACACACAGATCACCAGCGAATTGCCGCAGACAGAGCTGCTTCTAGCCAGCACAAGAACGCACACCCGCAATGAGAACGAAGGACACAGCACAAAGATAGGGTCGACTGGATGGCCAGAGGATGGCTCTCGCTGTGAGTGCATCGATGAGTCAAGGTCCGTGATCGATATAAGTGCATTTCGCCGTCCAAACAGCCATCACAGACTGAGACCATCCAGATTGGATATGATGTAGATATATTCAAGAAATATGACCATGGCCGCTCGGAGAGGCAAACAGGCATATTTTAAAGAGCAAAGATCGAGCACATTCAAAGAAGCAAGATCGAGCACATTCAAAGAAGCAAAAGCGAGCATATCATGGAAGGGATGCCGTGGCACCCACCAGTCAAGATGGAGAGCCGGCGCAACATCATTTGTCGAAAGCAGGCCTGGGGAGAAGCCGATGCGGAAGGGAAACCAGAACACAGCCCAGCAGGTGCCCCCACACCTGGCTGGGATGTGTCCACTCGAGTCCTTCTCGTCAACAGACTCCTCCATCTATCAGTCAAAACTGGCCACGCATCCAAGCACCCCCTGGAAGCTTCCCCCGAAGCTCCCAAGGGACGCCTGTGACTTGTGTGCACAGCGTCGACGGCATTGCTTCTTCAAATGAGGTGAGTAGCACGAGCATCAAGTTTGACCTGGGTGTTACGGCGCAGACCAAGGCAAGGATGGGCAGGAGTGAAGAGTCACAGAGTTAGTCGGGTCATTCATGAATCACAGTCCACGGCGCACCACTAGTCGCATAGATCCTCAACAGCAGCCCGGTTGCAGCCCCGGTCTTACCAAACAGCTATCGGATTAGCGAGCGCATATGCGCCTGGTACAGGCAACCTGCATTGTTGGCGTGTACTGCGGACCGTCCTCGTGGACAAGTCATCTGTGCAGAGTATATGGTTAGTATCGCGGACTGGTAGCTTTGCTTCGAACGCGGCTCAATCGAGCAGATCACAGCCAGCGATGCATTTCTAGAGCAAACCTTTGATTTGGCATCTTGAAACGTTTGATTTACAACTTTACAGCTAGTTGAGCGGCGCATTGTTGTAGCGCTCATCTTGATTCGCCGCTTGGGGCGTCGTCCATTGGTTGCATGGTGTTGTGAAAGTGAGTCGATCGAAGAAGTAGCGATGGTTGTGCACAAAGCCAATCGAAAAAGTGGCGTGGTGTTGTGCAAAGGTCACGTATCGAGAAAGAAGCACGGTGTAGCATGAAAGGAACGAATGAAGAAAACCGCACAATGTTTTGCGAAGGAACTGATTAAGAAGTTGCAAGGCACATTAAAGGTAGTGGCTAAAGAAAAATGCCGGGAACGAAATGTGCTGGACCGTGGTCTAGCATAATGCGGCCGTCCTGGGTGGTGCTGTTGAAGGCACAATCCAGGTCTGGCTCCTCGGGTCCGTGCTGACGGCCCTTCAGTGTCCTTGGCGGCTTGCCATGGACGCCAGCTTCTGGTCACACTTGACCTGATCCTGGATGATCTTCTTGAGGTACTCGTACGAGTCGTTGACGGCTCGGAAGCGGGCTGTATGCAGCTCTTTGTCCTCGGTATTCTTGTCTGTGATTCAATCAGAATCGAGTGTCCGAATCAGTTTCATGAGGCCGACCCAGCGCGACTGCAGTCGGCACTTGACACACGCTGCGTGTCCTTGGCCCGGGCTGTGGTATACGCTTACACACCTGGATGGCACTTGAGACTGATTTTGCGGTAGCGCGTCGTGATCAGCTTCAAAGATTCGTCCAGGTTGCTCTGCAGGATATCCACGTTCTCGAGCTCAAGCATTTTCTTGGCCTTGATCAGGGCGCGGAACGTGAGATTGAAGTTTTTGAAATGCTTCGAATGCACTGGATGGAGCAGAGTGGATGAGTCCACGTTCACGGCAATGAATCTGCCAAGATAATCAGCCGCCGATCGGACGGCTGCATGGAGACTATGCGCACCATTTGGCTCCCTCTCGGCCAGGATCTTGTAGGTATTGACCGTTGCCTCGAGGTACCGTGGCCCCAGGTGAAGGAGACTCTCGGCCTTGAGCTCCAGCGCTTCGGTGGGAGGTTTGTCCGAGAGCCTCTCGAGAGCCTCGATTGCCTCGACTGCCTGTTCGAACCGGTCCAGGTTGACCAGGGTGTCGGCTTTGAGCATCAAGAAGGACAGGTCTGCATAGCGGGAAGAGTGGGACTCTGTTAGAACAAAGCGGCGGCATCAGGGCCAGAGGGCCAGTCGAAGCTACACCGAGCTGCACACATGCTTGTGTCATGAGTACCGCAGCCTGAACATGACCAGACCACTCGCCGGATATTCCTGCAAATGCTGCTGCATGTCTCACCAGTGCGGCTCTCGGGATAGATCGAATCGATATGCTCCAGGCACGCGGTTGCTTCTTCAGACAAGCCGAGTTCTGAATTGGCCTTGAACTTCAGCTTCAGAATCTCGTAAGGCCGCACAAGGAAGCCTTCGCTCTCGATGTCTTCGGGTGTTTTCGGCATCTTGCCGGCTGCTTCGATCAGCTGAAGCGCTTTGCAGCAGTTATCAATCACCAAGGCAAGCTCTCGCATCTGAAGAAGCACACGGACCACAATGGAAGGCTGTCAGTAGTGGTCCAGCTCAGCGACAAGCCGAGCTGACATCCGAGTCGAGGGACTCGCAGCAAGATTAGTGACGAGCTGTCAATACGCATCACAGCTCTCAACTTGCGATCGATGAGAGCGGAAAATTCGGCAGTGACAGCGAACCAAAAACGGTATCGGCAATACAGCAGCGCTGTTTACTTGTAAACGTCAGCACTCACCAACATGTGGCTCATCGCCATGTAGTAGTATCCACTGCTGATTATGATTGGATCTGTTTCAGCAGCAATAAAGTCGCTAGCCAAGTTACGGATGTCTGTGGCGTACTCTTCAGCGTCGTCAGAGTCATCGAGCTGTATGGCCTTGTTAACGAGCTCCAAACACCGTCGGATAAAGCGAGCGCCGCTCGTGTCGGCGTTGGTGTTGGTGTCGGCAGAGCTTGTTGTGGAGCCATTGCCATCGCTTGAAGTGCCACGAGGATGTTCCCGGGACCGTTGGATGTTGGGGCACCGATCAATTATAGAAAATTCTTCATCTTGAGCATCCTTGTCATCGGAATGGCCCGGGTCGGTCTGGCTTGGGCCGTCGCTGCTCGCTTGGGCATGCTCCTGTTCTGGTTGGGTTGAAGTGCTGCCTGGTTGAGTCTGAGCTGGATCCGCTGGTGAATGGCAGTCGTGTTTGCTGGAAGAAGCCTGAGTACCTCCACCTGTTCGATACGTGGCTCGATCGAGAGCCTCCTTGAACAGCTGTTCGAACTGCCGGCCAAGGGACAGCGGATGCAACCGGGTTGAACGAAATGTAAGTGGCGCAGCTAAGGCCGCTCTGAGGCACACACAAGCCAGCGGCTCACGATGGAGGTCTATCAACCAGCATTGCTCAGCTGTGGGTCGGTGTGGCTCCATATCCAAAACTACATGAACTGTCGGGATGCACACACACACATCCTTACCTCAGACCGCTTGGGCTTAGCACAGGGCGACTTCTTGGCGGGGATCGAGCAAGAGCTTCCTCGAGACATGGTGGTCATGAGCAGGCCGAAGAACGGGATTTGCGAGATGCATACCACCTGAAGTACACCAGCGGAGCGAAGAAGCAAGGGGAAGGGCAAAGGACAGGGAAAGTGAGTCAATAGGGGTGGCATTGGCGTCAGATATCCGTTCTCAGCGCATCCTCCGCCGCTCCGAGACAGACCCATTGACACTCAAGCTACGTCCGAAGTCTTTGCGATACAAATGAATGAAAAATGCTCGATCGCATTGCTACTGCCACTACAACTGCCTTATCGCCCTCGCTTTCCAAAGTTCCGGTTTGTCTGTCATCAGTACTGCTCATCTCACCATCACGACATCGCCAAAGCGCCAGCCACGCGCACGCTGCTGACGGGTAGCGGGCTCAGTGTTGTTTCCAAAGGCCTGAATAATGATGCCGAGTCAGAAGGATATCACCGATGGCCAGGCTGCTTGAAAGAGACGCATCACTCACCTGCATCAGCTGCACTTGGGTGTTGGAAAACGTCTGGAGAGCCCTGGTCTGTGTCGGTGATGGATCAGGATACATGTTCATGACGCCGTTCCGCGGATGGCCTCCTCGCACAAGCAAGATTCCAAGAAGACGTGTGCTGGAATTCACCTGACTGAGATACTATTGGGATGGAAACGAGAACCATGTAAGATGGATGGACATATGGAACGACGGATGAGGCGTGAGGTCTTGGAAGGAAGGTGTAGCCAGACCAAAGCGGAAGAAGCAGACAGGATCAGGCGATATCGACTCACCAGATCAAGGACCCTGGAGGCCTTGTCAGTGCTGAGCTTGATCTTGGCGTCTTTGAACGAGAGCTCCTAAAACACCAAACCACAGGCGACCATCGTCAGATTCTTTCTGCCTTCCATTGATTGCCGTCCAACCCCGCCGCATTACCGAGCTTCGGCTCAGACTGCATAGTCGTATCCCTCTCGGTCTGCTTGATGACAAACTCCCACCTTTCTGAGTTGGTCAACTTCGTTCTGGAGCCGGTTTTGAGAGTGTATGTATGTTTCCACAGTCTGGAGAAGTGCAGAAGCAACATCGTCGCTGAGTCACCAAAGAAAGAGCCGTGCCTCGGTCGTGTCTCCGAGTCAGTCTGTGACTTGCCTCGACTTTGATCTGGAGGCCGCTGTGACTCAACCACATCCGCCCTGGGCTGTCGATTCTCCATCTTCCCCCCCCCTCACCAGGCAATCATGCAGATACCCATTCACACTACTCCATCGCCACCGGGTTGGCACCCGTCACGCCCGGGACTGTGATCCACCATGCTCTTCAAGACATGACAGTACCTTTCGTCCCCACAACTCACCTTTCTGGATACGACAATATAGCTGGTATGCACGATGGAGGCGGATCCTTGATCCATTCCAATCGAGGACGACTCATTCTTCAGCACACTCGAGTTGCACTGCAGTCCCAACTACAGAGCGGCAATCACCATTAGAGACCATGTTCTGATGTCGGGGATGCACTAACAGACACACGTCACTCACCAGGTCGTTGGGCAAGGCAAACGAGAGCTCATTGCGGCCGGACTTGAGTCGAATCGACAGAGTTGACGACGGAAGAAGAAAGAACAACGCCATCGGCAACAGGAGGGTGGAAGAGCCAGGGGTTGTTAGCGGGCAGTCAGAGATTGACCCAGAAGCAGCAAAGTGCCGCCCCAAGTGCCACCGCAGATGTAGAGCCGACTCCAACCCACAAACATAGGAGCGCCAGCACAGTTGACTTGGGTCTGTCAACGACTCAAGTAGTCGCATGTGGGACACTCAATCACATCGCGACCCTGGCCTGTTTCCATGCAACATGCCAGACAGCACTTGCATCACCAGCACCCACGCTCTGTCGGCACTTACATCTCGAAAGATCCACGCGTGCTCGAAAAAGTTGAGGACAAGAACGATGATCAGGGCGATCTCGAGGAGTCGTGTGCTTCTCCCCGAGGAATCCATATCGGCGGTATTCGAGCTCTATCAATAGGTAGATGAGGGCGAGAGCCGATGGGGCAGACAGAAGGCGGCAAGCTGCTGGCGCTTTTGTAGTCCCCGGCAAGCAGGCAGGCGGCCCCGAAACTCCCGACGGCGACGCAGCTGGCGGCGGCGCCAGTCCCTGAGGGTAGCGAAAGAGCGAGGAAGGCGGGCTGTTGTGACTCCATCGATAAGGCGGAGTAGGCGGGATTTGCCGGATCGAGCGGAGCAGATTGGGGTCAGCAGGTGGCGTCAGAACCCGGCTGGGAGACGGCATGTGGTCGATGTGCTCGCATCATCAGCCTCCCGAGAGATAGCGAAGAATGCGGTGCCGGCCAGTGAGGTAGAACAGCAGCAATTACGACCATTTTGTCTGGATGAAGTGATTTACAAGTGGACGCCAGAGTGGAAGGCACAGAGGGATCGAGCGCAGGATCAGAGATCGTCAGAAGGGCCTCCGAATGAAGCATAGTCAGGTCATGCTGGCAGCTCCATTGTGTATATATGGGGAGAAGCAGTGGCAAAGGCAGCTCAAGCGACGGCTTGGGAATGATTCATACGCAGAGACCCCTATTGGGTCGGAGCCTGCGGCCTGCAGCCCGCCATGGATTCACACAGCGCCATGCTGATTGTGTCATGGGTTGAGCGGATCTGGGTTGTGCGTCATGGACACCGCCGAGTCGACTGGCTGCATTAAAGAGGATACAGTGGCTCTCGTGTATTCATATTATGAATCAGCGATGGCGCCAAAAGCCAGCGGGCCATCTGAGTTGCTGACATGGTCGTAGGAGGTGCGGTCGACAGAGAATGCTAAGGGCGTGCCGTCGTCGCCTCGGTGCGATTTGTTCGAGTGTCTGCGTTGACTTATCCCAAAGGTCTTTATTACCACTTCATAGATGCTACACCGCAGTGGTTGACTCAGTGCAGACTTGGTCGGATTAGGCTGTGCAGCGGTCGATAGCTATGGCCGATGGAGCAGCCCTGCCATGCTGGCTGCGGCTTCGGGGATCACCGGAAGCACGAGAGGTTTGGATAACAGCGCAGGGAGAGATTGAAGCGCGCAACCCCTTGCGTCTGATCCGCTGACCAACCAATGCGTATCGGACTGTGAGCTCGTGCTGGTGGAGCTGGCGGAATAGCGCACCATGTCGGTGTGGCGCAGGAGCGGGACGCTGTTGGCGCCGCTGCAAGCCAGCAAGGGCAGCCGGACGGGGCAACCAGCAAGTGAGACAATGGTCCTCAGTCTTGTTCAGTACAGGCTAAGCTCAGTGGAGCTGGCGGATGGGCCCTGACAGCATTTTGGCGGTGCAGACAGGCGATGGGAGGCATGTGTCCGCAATGGCTGCGGCAGCCGCAGCGACCTCCTTGTGGAAATTTGCCGTTGTCCAAACTCATCTTGGAATTGATCTAGTCGCATGAGCTGTTCTCTGCTTCAAGGTTGATAAAGAGCCCCGCAGGATGCAAGAGTCTCGAGATGACTGCCGCAGTTCCTCGCTGGGTATCATCGCTCCGTGCTTAGGCGGTGGAGGCGGGATACCCCCGACCCCAGACCAGATGGATAGATGTTGATGATCCATGGAGTGGTTCAGCAAGCAGAGACCATCACAAGGACCATGGCTTTGAGGATCTGCATGCTCCTTGGCGTTGTGGTTGTCGTCAAGGCGGGGGTCAGATATATGCTGTGCAGGGTTGCTTGTTGGATGGGGCCTCGCCGGGTGAGTACAAACAGGGAGAGTGGAAAATACAGCGAGTGAACGGCAAGGCTCACATCTGCACAATCGAGCAGCCAACACGGCACCCAGAGGACGAGTATTGTAATCGTCGGGATGAGTCAGCGTGTGGGCGTGTAGATGAGTGGGTGAATGGGCGTGTTGATGGCGAATGATGGTCACGAATAACTAGCTTTGATTAATAGATATCGGCTGGATGTGCGGGTGCGGGTCAATGTGAATCAGCCAAGGAGCGAGAGCACGGATCTATGGAGATCAGTTGCGCACCATTGTGTGGAGGAGTCGGAAGGTCGATGTGGTGACAAGACTGTTGGTCGTTGTGCTATTAAACCCATGGGCCAATATTGATCGGCTGACAATTGTTTGGATGGGCTCGCTAAAAATATGAGCAAAGCCGACAGCGAGCAAAATGCAGATCGAAACAGGAGACGATCATGGCATATGGACTTCACGGCGAACAGCCGTCGATGCACCCCGCTGCCCCAACTTGGATATCGATGCGCCCAGACAATCTACATCCCAAAATACTCTCATCTGTCGTTGTCATGATGTATTCGGCCCATTGGCTTATTTGGAAACGGTTGAATATTCGAGAGCGATACGGTCGTGGGTCGGCTGGCCAAGTTTCAATCCAAGGACAAAGCGATCTCGCAAGCCCATCCAGTCGTATTTTGCCCACACGCCATCCCAAACAGTTAACTCAAGCTGGACGACCAACCCACTGACTCATTCCACACCAAGACAATGCATCCTCAAAGCACCACACCCTTTCAGGCTCAGGATGATACTGGAACTGACGGCCTTCGAGCTGCGGCTGCGTTTGGATGGAATATTCAACAAAAAACTATCTCGCTGCAGTACGGAGCTCCAGTTCATAGCCATTGAGTGGCTTGCAATCGATTCCAAACGGTCTGGCTGCCGATGCCCTGGTCGCTGACGATCCAATCGACCGGGCTCTTGTTGGCGAAGCTGCCTCGGCAACGGAAGCGTTCGATCACATAGCCGCCATCAAATACTGAGTCTCTGACTGAACCAGTGTGCATGAAATCACTCTACCCTATCGATTACATCATGTATGAGGCGAGTGGACCCAATGGGTATTGAGTGGGTGCTCGGCGGGTGGACCAGTGGCTCGCCCCAGACGAGTGGTCCATTCCACACAATGACTCAGACGACCCGAGGATCGGCCGACTGGCTTGGAGAAATGTGATGCAGCGGTACAAAACAAACGCCATGGAGGATGGTGGCCTGCAGCCACTGGATAGGCGTGCCACAGAGACGAGGCAGAAGCGAAGCGGGCGCGGAGCAAAGCCGAGGCGCGGGACAGAAGCGAAGAGCGGGAACCTGGACCGGGACAGACACGAGCGGCGCGAGAAAGGACACTGGAAATGCCGATGGCCGAACGGCCCCGACTGACATGCAGCGCTGACGTGCAGCACTGACTGGACGACAACGCTGACAGGTTGAAGGCCAGGCGCATTGGCCTGCCCAGAGCGACAGCCAGCGAAATCTGTCAACGAAGCATTGACACGTCTGTGTGACGGGCAGAACCGGCTCGATCCAAGTGGCTGCAATGCGCAACACAGATCGAGCAAATGCCACAGAACCAAACGGACCCAAGTCCCAATCCGCTCCGTTGTGTGCGCTTGGCGGTACTTGGACGCTGCACCACACATGTACGCAACCTCACCGACACAGGGACATTGCCATCGCATCTATTTGCGCCTAACTACTCACTTTCTGCAACAGCCTTGATACCCATTATTCACAAACCACATTGTTGCTCTCATGCGGATGATTACAGTCAATCCAATAAAAAACGGGACACCCGTGATTTTGACGATTGATCAAATATCTTGTTACCCAATACAATCGCGCGCTGGCCATGACCATTCTGTGATTTGAATCAAGGACGCCATTGTGGGAATCGCTTCCAGCTCAAGACGCGCTGGATGAGCACCACACCAAGTCCCAAGATCCCTGGGTTAGCTTCCTTCCTGCAATACATTCGCCATGTGTTCGATGGAGACATGCTGGACAAACAGCTGTACTTCAACCTGACCCGGCGACGGCGATTCAAGCGACTCGATATCTACGGCAAGCGACAGCGCACCGTCCACGAGATGTGCAAGCGAATCATCGACCAGGCACCACCGGAGACCGACATCGTGATTGCCTTTGGGAATGCATCCTGGAAGCAAGGGAAGGGATATGCATCCAGTCCCAGGAGACTCAGGTTCGCCAAGTACTTTGAGCAGTTCCACCACCACCAGAGACGTCCATGTGTGCTTGGTGAACGAGCTCAACACATCCCAGGTGTGCTCGAGTATCTTGGTATCGATACACCATGGAGCTGTCCAGAGGGTCGAGGGAATACAATACACAAGAGATTGCCAACGAAGACAGGAGTGCACAATCTCACGGCTTGCTCACTGGGGCCTACAGTCAGTCAGTCAGCGGGGTTCAGACATCTGAAGCCAGGAAGGAACTCTCCGGTTTCTTTCTGGATAGACTGTAAAGACATGCTGTGTATTCTCTGTTTGGTGTTCATCGACGGCTTTGCATGATGCAGATCGATCCTCACACATCTCATTCCTCCGTACCACCCTTTGCTGCGTCTGAGCAAATCCAAATCAGCATCGCGGCACCCACAAACTATGAAAATTCGCTCAGGATGGCACTGGCCCGGTTCAGCGCATCGATCGTGCGCTCGGACTCTTTGCGCTTCTCTACCAGCTCATTGGGCTCTCTCAGCAAGACCTCGACTTCCTTGGGATCCTTCAGGTGCCTCAGAAGCTCCTGGGACATGCCTCTAGTGGTGGCAGTAACGAGCTTGTAGATGATGGCCTTGGGGATGTGGTCAGCGGTCTGCTGCTTAACGATGTCGTAATACTTGGTCAAGTACTCCCCTGGCAGTGACAAACACGGTTATTGTTGAACATGCATCAAAGATCTCATGACTTGGTCATCCAGCTCTCGACTGTACAGTACACAATCATAGATACGTACTCATCTTGTTAACCTTCTTGCGATCCCGATCGCTCAACTGAGGGCCGATGGCGATGGTCTCCTGAATGGGTTGCTGCGTCACGGGAATCAAGGGGAGGATCGAACGAGAATGAGAACGACATTGCTGAGCTGCAGGCTTTGTATGTGCAGCCGAGAGACTTACGTCGCCAATAGCTTGGATGGCCTTGTTGGCATTGGCATTCGCCTGTGTGGGATCCGGTCGACCTCGGACTCCGAAGAGTCCTCCCACAACGCCGCCTCGAGCTCCACCGCGTCGATACAGAATTCCATCGTTCGGAGGAGTGAGAGGGGCCTGATCCGCGCCGTCAGGCAGGAGGGGCTGGTTGGCAGTGTCTTGGAACAAAGGATGCTCGCTGTTGATGTGGCCGGCTTCGGCTTCCACAAAGTCTTCAACGAGACTCTTGGTGGGCTCAGTGGTAGCTTGGATGTAGCTCTTGACGATTTCCCGGAAGCGCTGCTTCAACTCTGGGAACCGCTCAAACTCCTGTGAAAACATCGCGGCGGTGTTAGTTCGTTCACTGCGGCACGTACTGGCTGCCGAGAATAGGGCATGTTGGCAAGACGTACCGGCTTTTCCAGGAGCTTCTCGGAAATCTTGATCAGCTCCGCATGAACGACTTCAACGGCCTGAATGCTAGGAGGCTTGAGGCGAAGGATGGCTGCATGGGCCAACTTCTCGAAGGCTCCCTTGTCGAAGAAGATATCGTGTCGGACACCCTGTCATTCAAATCGAGGCCAAACGAGAGGATTAGTGAATGCTACCGTGCACGCGCGCTGAATTCCGATCCAAACCTGGACACAGACCAGGTGTAGGGCGAGGAGAGTCTGCAGAGACAGCGAATCAAGCTGCAGGACCAAATAACGTAGACTCATACCGAAGCGTCGTATATGGCATTGAGGATCTCTTCGTCCGTTTTGTACTCCATAGGCGACATTTGAGTGATCGTCTCGGTGTAGGTGGTACTGAGGATTCTCAGGATACGGGCACCGCCGGTCAGCTCCTCAAAGGAAATTTGTCGGTGCGAACCATCGATGGCAGACTTGTAGTCGTTACTGAACTCGATCACGACCTTGTGGATGATCTCCGTGGGCTAGCGACGATGACGAGCGATGCACAACCGGATATTAGCACTGCAACATGGTAACCGACCCAGATTGCATCGATGGCCCTGTTTACAGGATGGGCTGGCAACGACAAGGACGATCGGGCCCTACATGCGTAGCACCGGGACCAGTCAGCGGCTTGCCGGTAGACTTGAGCCATTCATTGATCTTGGTTGTCTCCTCATTAATCTTGAGCTGGATGTCAGGCAGAGTTCTGCGGATGTGGCTGCTCAGGATCTAGAGCGAAGAGAATCAACTCGTCAGATATGTAGCGTGATGGTGTGAATCTAAGCAGCCACAAGCAGGAGCAGATTCAAACCCTTCTGGCAGCAGTGTTTAACTTACCCCACTCAGGTTCTGGGCAAGGTTGGCGGTGCCAAATTCATGAGCGCGAGTGGGATAGTGGATCCGGAAAAACTCTCTCTCGGCTTCAAGGGCATCCTCGATCCTCACTCGCTGGTTGATGTCTCTTTGGCTGCGGTTGACCACAGGAGTGTAGCCTTCGGAAAGCAAGAAACAACAAAGACTGTTCAGCAACACACCATCGAGCCGACACAGCCACACAGGGCAGTTGGTGGCCATTTTGCAACACTAACAGAGAGTCTCGACCCAATTAATGTTCAGCACATCATAGCTCGAGCCAGCGCCACCTACCAAACTTGAGCTTCCGAGTGTTTTCGCTCTCCAGGAGACTGATAACATCGGTACCATGGTCCATGAGGTCGACCTTGGTCAGGACACCAATGGTGCGGTTGCCTTGGGGATCGACCTCGAGAGCCAGCTGCAGGCCGTCCGAGTTGGCCAGATCGGTGTTGGCTGCGGTGACAGCCAGGATGATGGCGTTGTTCTTGACAATATACTTCATGATCATGCTACGGATCTGCTGCTCAATGTCCGGAGGCTGGTCGCCAACAGGGACCCGGGTCAGACCAGGCAGGTCGACGAGGGTGAGGGTGAGCACGTTGGGAGAGTAGATGCGAAGGTTGATCGGATCGTCGGAAACTCTCTGGGAGCTGCCGATAGTGGCAGCAGTGACACGCTCAATCTCGGCTCTGATGCGATCGAATTCATAGAATCGTTCTCCAGGAAGATGGAGGAACTCGCCCCACTCGTTGTCAGAGTCAGGGACGACAGGGATGTTGATCAACTGAAGAACCAGAGGGCGGCGAGTGACAATGCCGGAGCCTGCGGTGATGGAGTGGAGAGTCAACAAACTGGGGCATCGATCATCCAGATGGCTGGGGGCGGGGGAGTGCAGGTAACTGGAGGCATCGACCCCCAGACCTGGGCAGCCGACGCAGGACAAGTTGCTGGCCGTCGAGACACACCTCTGGGCAAAAAGTCCTTGCCGACAATGTTCTCGAGGACGGAGCTCTTTCCACTGCTCTGGCTGCCAATGACCACGATCTAAAAATGAGCCCCATGAAGCAAGGAGAAGGGTCAGCATGCGCAGAACCAGGCGACAGCTCAGTACCAGTGACGTCAGTCATGCTGAGGTGCCCGGCGTGCTGATGCTCCGCTCTGGTGGCTGCGAGACAACACAGCAACACCGAGGGCTGGCTGAGGGTCTCGAACGATGATGGGGCCATCAACTAACCTGGGGAAGATCAATGGGGCTCGGCACCCGGAGAGTAGTGAACGTATCCTGCAGTCTGTTAACTGTGTCAACGGAAGAGTGCCGTCGTTAGAAGCCAGGCGGAGGGCAGGCGGGCCAGAATCCGCCGCCGACTCAAGGGCAGCAAACGGGACGAAACGGCATGCTCGGAAGGGAAAGACAACCAGTGGTGGCTGGCCATAGGAAGCCATAGCCAAAGGAGAATGGTGGCGAGAGCCGTCCTTGGAGATGGAGCAACAGTTACGGCTGCATGCAGCACGCACTTACCCTTCTCAATCAAGCTGTTCATGGCGTCTCGGTACTGTCGGAGAAGGTAGAGCTCGGTCGATGCAATCGGGTGTGGTTATGCCTCTCTCTCGTCCTGGACGGGCCGCTTTTATAGCCGCTGGGAATGCCCGGGCACGCCCCCAGAAAGCCGCTTGTTGCATTTCACATCCAAAACGGGCTGGTGGCGTTGGTATCTCGATTGAAACGGAAGGACGCCCTTATTGGGGCGGTCAAAACGGGTATAGCGGGCTTGCCCTTGTGTTTATGTTGAATATATATATTGGCAAGCCCGGTATCGTGGAGTTGCGGCGAGATACCCACCTGGCCGACGCCGCGCTGGACGGATGACAGCAACAAGCATGCGGCTGCCCCTTCACTGCCGCATGATCCGTTCGTCCTCTATTTGGATACCCGTCAGCCCCACAAGGCAAAGCTGCCGCTGTGAAGAACGGACGTCAAGGCAGCGACAGCGTCATCGAGGGTGGTCAAGACCTCAGACGGGCTTGGCAGAGGACAGCCGGCGATGGTGGGAGGTGCGGCAAGAACAGCCAGAGGCAGCGACAAGAACGCCCAAAGATACCCGCTTGTCACAGAAACAAAGATGCCCCCACGGCCGATCCGACCTGCACCCAAGCGGGCTCGCAATTTTGGGGCGTGTCCCGAGAGGATGCGTATTCGTCGCCCTGCGCAAGTCCACCAAGGGGGGATGCCTGCATGCGATACCGGGCCGTCAAATGACCAACTATCGGCGGGTTGGTGGTTGAGCCCGTGAACTCGATAAAAATCGCTGGCCACCGCCTGTCAGGGAATGGGACATGTGATGGACAAAACATACCCCCAACAGCAAGCAAAAACTCTCAGACCTGGAAGATGACGATAACAATAACAACAATCATCATTGCTGCGCCAGCCGAAACTTGAAAACCATAGATGCCCGCAACCGAAACCGTGCCGCGGCTGATCTCGTCCAAGATGTCTATTCGTGGCTCGATTTCGAACAAACATCCACGGAGATATCCAGGTCCAACAACGGATCTGCAACGAACTCCCTGACAAACGGCCACCCAAATCAAAACGAATCAATCGCCTGGACCGACAACCGCTCGAGATCAGTGGCGACAGGTGAGGAACCAAGTTCCAACAATCACGGAACAGTCGGGACACACCCATGTCCGTTCCGACAGCGCCGTATGAGATGTTTGGGCCCAATAGGTCATATGCAATGGCGATCACCTCGGCAGCCTCCGAGTGAGGACCACCGGTCACAGAGCAGCGATGCAGAAATCGAGGGTGTTGTGCTTGGCCATGAATGCGATGAGTGGGTGGGTGTATTCAGGTCACAGAAAAAACCCTTTCATGGCTCAAAACGGGATGTCCCATTTCATTTTGGAAACGCTGTAAGGGCGAGAGGGGGGGGGCCGCAATGGGACTTGATCTGGCTCCGAGCGGCTCACCCAAAACCATGGGGGATGCGAACGATGGACACGATCAGGCAGTGAGATGGGCTCAAGAAATCAATTGTACGGCAAATGATATTGAACGGCTGCTGGGAGGACATGACAGACAAGGTCGCCGTCGCCACATGAGGCGACGGTGCCATGGCGAGCGATTCGAGAGAGCGACCAGAGAGCGACCAGAGAGCGACCAGAGAGCGACCAGAGAGCGACCAGAGAGCGACCAGAGAGCGACCAGAGAGCGACCAGAGAGCGACTGGAGTGGGGACGAGTCAGAGAAAATCAAAAACCGAAACACGGCCTGGGCGACGGACGCCAGGCGGCACCCTTCATCGAGTGGGTGGTATCATCGGAGCCGGAATTGGGACGGGTGGTTGGAATGGAGATGGGATGGTGATGGGATGGTGGTGGGTCATTGGTGTGGGCCATGGGTGTGGGCCATGGGTGTGGGTTGGCAATCGGCCAGTTGGCTGGATTGTCTAGCACACTTGGATCTCGACTTTTGGGCCAGACTGGGTGGCAGGGGTGGTCGACACAACGGTGTTGGGAAGAACCAGGACAGGGCACTCGGCCCGGTGGACGACATGGCTGACGATGCTGCCTGTGAGGCCAAACGGGCGGAAGTGTAAGCGGATGCAGTAGATGCAGTGGATGCAGTGGACGCAGTGGATGCAGTGGATGCAGTGGATGCAGTGGACGCAGTGGATGCAGTGGATGCAGTGGACGCAGTGGATGCAGTGGATGCAGTGGATGCAGTGGACGCAGTGGATGCAGTGGATGCAGTGGACGCAGTGGATGCAGTGGATGCAGTGGACGCAGTGGATGCAGTGGATGCAGTGGATGCAGTGGATGCAGTGGACGCAGTGGATGCAGTGGATGCAGTGGACGCAGTGGATGCAGTGGATGCAGTGGATGGCCCGATGTCGATGACAGTCCGTGCCGATTGTGGTCTGCGCTTTCGCCGACACTCACCAAGAGACGGGCGGATTCCCTTCTTGTGGCTTCCCATCAGGATCAGACGGGGACGGCGTTCTTGCATCTCCATGGTGATGATGCCTCTGGCTTCGCCATAGACAACCGAGACACCGACCTTGTTGCTGGCGCCGTGAGCCTTGACGATCTCTCTGACGAGAGCCTCGAAGGTGCGGGCGGTCTGGAGTGGATCAGAGGCAAGGGCAGAGCATGAGCAGGCAGAGCATGAGCAGGCAGAGCATGAGCAGGCAGAGCATGAGCAGGCAGAGCATGAGCAGGCAGAGCATGAGCAGGCAGAGCATGAGCAAGTGCGGAGAGTGTGGGGTGAGCGATGCTTTCGACAAGCACAGCACTGCGACATGGCGAATGATGGATTCAAAGCCCGTGCCATCGACAGGACGCTTGCACAGAGACGCTTGCTCAGGGACACTTGCCTCTTCAAGCTGGAGACGCTCGTATTGTTCGTCAAGAGTGGCCTCTGGAGTCACAGACATGAGGGAGCGGAGGCAGTCGGTCAGATGGATGTCGACCGCGATGGCCATCCCGCACTCGGTGTGATTGCAAGACTCGCCACTACCACTGCCACTACCACTACCACTGCCACTACTACCACTACTACCACTACCACTGTGATTGCTCTGTTCGCTCACCAAGGTTGTGCTGGAGGACGTTCAACACCACCACCTCGTCGGCGGGGGTAATGAGCTTCTCAAAGGCATAGTTGAGGATCGATCTGGTCTGGTCCGAGACCGAGTCGACGGGGATCAGGACGACGTTCTTTGTTTCGGCGAGCATTGTGTATGGCGGGGGGCTGTTGGCGGTTTGCGAGTGCGCTTGCGATTGTGGGTGCAGTTGTGGTTGCGATTGCGATTGCAGTTGCGATGGTGTTGTCGCTGGAAGGTGATGCTGTGATGCTGTGATGCTGTGATGCTGTGATGCTGTGATCTGAAGATCTGAGGATCTGGGTGGCAGGCCAGGCCCTCGACCGCAGAGCGCTTTTATATCCGAAGGCGGGCCAGACCAGCAGTGGCATGACCCCGGCTGGCGGCTGCGAGCGAGCCACCTGTTCGGCGGCTCGCCTCCCAACATGAGTCACCATGAGCACCTGGGATGTCTTGTGGTCGTCCCGCCGTCATTTCCGGCCCTCGGAACGAACAGTCGAGCAAGTTCGGGGGAGGGGAAGGCGGTTCCATATCCTGCTGCCCATTGGTGCACCGCAAAACAAGCGTCCGAACCACTTTGCAGCGTGTCGGCGGGGTCCGTCCAAGACCGGGATGACTCACAGTCGCTCACCAAACAACTTCCGAATCGCTTCTGGACGGATCTGTCGTGGCGCTGGCTGGCTCATCCTGCCTCGGCGGTGATCGTGAGGCCGGAAACTGTCCCCCGTCTGCCGCCTCACCCGGCAGCGCTTGACCAACCACAGGTTTGAACGCGGCGGTCAAGGTCGTCCTCGTGGGTGATGACGCATCGGATGATGACGATTTGCCGTTCGGACACTGGCCAGGCCCGCCCGCAAGCTGCATCCTCTTCGCCTTGGGCATGTGTCTTCTCGACGCTCTCCTAGCACCATGTTCCCCCGAACCAAAGCCATCGGCTCACACATGCCATCATTTGTCCAGGCGACGAGATCTTGCAGATGAGCTTGCTTATTTCTTCCACAGGCAGATGTAGATAATGTCCGCTCGGTGAGATAAATGCGGCTTCCGTCGACAATGGAGCCTCATCGCTCCCGCCGCCAGACTCACAGCCCGTCAAGCCATCGGCCGCTCGATGAGCGGGTGCCCGATGACTTTTGGTCCTTGACCGTAGTCGCTTGACGCACCGTGACGGTCTTGGGACTGCGTTGACATTCCCACGTGAAATCGGTGGCGAGGTTGTTGGACACACCACATGAGCATGAGTGTATTCGGGATTCAGAGAGAGAGAGAAAAAAAACGAACGGAGGCATCCGAGAATGAAGCGGGGAGCCGCCCCTCCCCATTCGACTGCTGCGAGCGCTGCATGGTTAAGCCTTTGCTGTTGTCACGCCGTCGTCAACCTGCCCTGGTGAGCTCCAACTGGCTGTCGGTCAGCATTGCCTGAGCGGTGGACTTTTTAATCTCCAGAACCCGCCTTTGCTCTTTCAGGCGATCGATCAAGAGCAGCAGCGACGTTTCATCGAGATCGCGACCACCGACAGCAACCTTTTCGGACTCGAGCAGCGCTTCGTTGTCGGCCTTGATTGCAGCCAGATGCTTCCGCTTGAACTCGGCGAGATCAGCCAGTTCGGCTTTGACGATCTTGAGCTCTGCAATCCGCTTCTCGGTTTCGTCGCGGAGGGCCCTGGACTGGGTCATCTCTCGGTCGAGCTCTTGGATCGACGCCTCGAGTCCAGCAATGTCTTTGTTTTCAAACGAAGCAACGTCGCGTGTCGATGCTGTTGCAGTGGGAGAGAGAGTATGGCGAGTGTGGGGCCTTTAGTTGAGCTACGAGTGCTGTCCTGAGCGTGACACTCTTCTCAAGTATACTCTGGCTACTGGCTCGACAAACTGAGTCCAACAGCCAAATGCACATAGGTGGTTCCACCTCCTGCTCCACACCCAAAGCCCACCCAGAGGCGGCCTCCAATGGCTGCTCCAGCCAACCAAGACAAGACACAGCGCCAAAGGAACAGCGACCCCTGAAGCATGGGACAGCCAGCTCTTGAATTCCAGTGGGACTTACTTGATGGTCGCACATACATTCGATCAGACGGCTTCGAGTCCTGATGTTGGCGAATACCGAATCAGCGTCTGTACCTCATACGCACTCCGTTCGCTGAGATACGGACATTGTCGAGCGTCGGCTTCGCCAGTCGAGCTCGGCCGAGCCGGATTACAGACCTCTTTCAAAAAAGACTCCTTCATGCTGAGAGTTAGGCCTGTGGGGAAGGGCTTGCCCCTTCGTTTCGAATTGAGAACATGGAGAAACACCACAAACTGCTCCTTGTTGATGGCCTGGTTTCCGCGGATATTGACCAGATTCCTATGCAATAAATTCCACATGAGACAAGTGGGTGAGCTTCTGCGGCCCGATGCATGGCATCGCCGCTCCAGAGCAGACACCTGGAAGACGAAAGAGAGGGATGGAGGGTGCGCTTGCGGACAACTGACTGGGCAATGCTTCTCAGGATATGTGGCTCCGGGCCACCATTCCGATTCGCTTGATGCCTGAGCTGACAACGCGCACACCATGGCAGTACCGACAGAGATTTCGTACCATATATACTGGAAATCCTCGAGGCTGATCCGAGAGGTGTTGTAGATGTTCTCCATCTGCTGCACTGGAGCGAGTCCGACAGTCCATTAGCTCGAGAGGATAAGCGTTGGCCTTCGGAACGCTGGGAAAGCTAGCCGTTGTGACAGCATCGAAACGATCTTCGATACTTGGCATCCACTGCGGTATGATGCACCCGTAGCTCCGGCGATGCAGCAGCCCAGAGGGACGTCGCGACCCAGGGTGTTGCGACAGCAAGACGGGCTCTCGGGAATGCACGGCGGAAGGAGCATCTCCCGAGAGCGAGACATGGAAGGACAGGATTCGAGTTGTCGCTTACGTGTAATCTCAACATCGTCCGAGTTGTTCCGGGTGAATTGAGTCTCTGTGTCGGGGGAGGGGAAAGCAAGCAGAATGCAGAGCAGCACACGGCCGCTGGGATATCAGGTGGAGATCAAGGGAGACGGCGCTTCAAGATAGGGGCGATGAGGGCGCGATACCGGGCGAGTGCCCCTGCTGGATGCTCCGTCAGCGGTGAGGACATCCGAGCGCCTGCCAGCAGCCGGCGACGGCGGGAATATGCAAGGGGCATGTGCCCCCACTCACCGTAGTTGAAGCGGTCGGCCGGACTGATGTACCAGTCGTAAGCGTCGGGATTCTGCATCGTTTGGTGAGGCGGGTCAGGGTATCTCTGGTGTGGATGCACAGGTGGAGTTGAACCGGTGTGTTCTCGCTGGCGACGGCAGACTATGGCTCTCCTGCTTGTGCTTGGCGGTGGTGGATGCGGGTGTGGATGCGGGTGTGGGTGCGGGTGCGGGTGCGGGTGCATTCGAAGACGGACGCAGTGGCCAGGGGGTGGCCGGCCGCCGATCGGTGTGTGTGTGTGTGTGTGTGTGTGGAGCTGGATCCGGCTGGATCCGGCGCGACTGGCTGGCTGGATCCTGCCACGCACCGCGCAGCCGGTGATACAGCGCCTGTGGCGACGCGACTGGTGACACATATTGTGCTCTCTGTGCCGCTGTGGCGGAGGCGGCGCGAGTTCCCAGAGGCAAGGGGGCGACTGCGCGCACAGAGGCAAGGGCGGAACACTGGGGTGCTGGCAGCAAGCACAACGCCGCGCAGTTGCTGTTGACAGAGACTGCGCGGCTGTACAGCCCTCCTTGTCTGTTCCGCGGCGCGCACCATGCCCTGGATGCAACCATCGGCCGTCTCTTGCTTCTTGTCGCCTTCAGAGCCGTCCTTTTCTTTCCCCCCCCCAGCGCCTGGCCCTCCTTCGTCCTTCGTCTCTCCTCCCGACCTCCGGCTCCCCAATGCCCCTCAACATCTCCAAGCTGACCCAGGACATCCTCGGCCTCGCCGTCCTGGGCCTCTTCCTGGTAAGCCCGCTGTGTCTCCCAAGTGTCTCCCGGCGCCGTTGCTCTGCTGCCACTTCCCAAAGGCATTCTCGCCTCGTCGTCAGGCCCTTCGTCTCTACCACCCGGCGTCTCTCCCAGTCCCTGCCTGCACCACGGTCACCATAGCTACTACCTTTGCTCGGCCCAGCTGGGTGGTCCTGTTGGGTGGTCCTGTTGGGTGGCCCAGTCTCCGTCTCCGTCTCCGTCTCCGTCTGCTGACTCCTCTGATTGCGCACTCGTCGGCCGGCAATCCCGCAGCTCGGATGGCTGCTGTTCTTCATCGGCACCTGCGTCCAGCAGATTGTCCTCGGTCCCGGCAACGGTATCTTCTGGTTCCAGGTTCTCTACCATCTCGGACTTGCCCTGGGTCTCACCTTCCTCAACATCACTGATGGCATCAAGTCCCATCGTCTCGCTGTAAGTTGGCTTATGCTTCTGCAGCCAAATTCCCAGTCCGGTCGTCCTCGATATGTTCTGTGGCAAACACTCCACAGGCACACACACCTCTCGAAAAGCCGCTGCTCGCCTCCTAATTCATCGCTCCATTCGTCTTGCCAACCTGCTATCGCCTTTGGCTGCATCAGCTCATGGCTCTGCTCACCATCGGAACCGTCCTGATCATCAACAGCCTGACGGTGCTGCTCTACGTGGAACGGGGAGCCACCGCTGCGGCTGGCTCGTTCTTCATGTCGTTTGTGTACTTTTTCTGGATCATCCGTTTCGGTTCCGAAGAAGATTCTCCCGTCAACAAGATTGAGCTGCCGATCCCCGCTCGCGGCAACAACCTCACCGCCGAGGCTCCCCAGGCCCCCGCCAACGCTGCCCGTACTGGCTTCAAGCCCCAGATTCAAATTCCCAAGTTCAGCCTCCCTGTCTTTGGCAAGAAGGGCAACGCCCAGGCCGAGCAAACCACTCGCGATATCCAGCCTCAGGGCTACGCTCCTCAGCCCCATGTCCCCGCTCAGCAGCCTCAGCAGCCCCAGCCGTACCAGGCTGCCCAGCCCATTCAGGTTGTGACCACCAGCGAGCCTCATGCTCCTTCCGCTGCCCAAACCTCGGCACCCGTCCCTGGTGCCGCCGAGCCTGCTCAGAAGGCCGTTGCCATGTACCCTTGTAAGTGCTACGCTTCACATATGTGAATTGGCCGTGCTTTTGTGCGCTGCGTGGATCGAGGCTACTTGCGGGTCGTTGGCTGCGCTTCGCGTTGTTGATATCCGTAATACTGACTGGTTGTTCTACTCTCTGATGTATCCATCGCGTCGTCGCCCCCCTCCCTATCTCGATGCTGTACCCAGATACCGCCAACGCCAGCGATCCCACCGAGCTTTCGTTCGAGAAGAACGAGATTCTCGAGATCATCAACACTAACGGCAAGTGGTGGAGGGCCCGCCGAGTCGATGCTGTTGGCAAGGTCATTGAGGGCATCATTCCGTCCAACTGTGAGTATCTGCTGTCCGATTCTTTTGTCCGATTCTGCTGCCATCGGTTCGAGCAATTGTCCAGGTTCAGCTCGACTCGACACGACCCTGCAGATCCATGTCAAGACCCCCGGCTGGCTGGTTTGGAGGGGCCCGATACACGGACACTAACGCATACCCCTTCTTTCTGCCGTATTCATCGGATTTCCAGACGTCCGCCTTCTCTAAGTCCCACCCACCCTCGGTGCCTCACGCAAAGCTGGAGGTTACTTTTTTTTTTTCTTTGTTTCTATGCGAAGGTCCATTGAGGGCGTTTCCATTAATTCCCACTTGCTGTCCTTGCCTTTCTGTCAATTCCACTCGTGGCTCTCCTTTGTCTTTCTGTCGTTTTCGCACTCGCGCTCTCCCTACTTTGAACCTACGGCCCGGCTCTGCGAGTCTGGTGTTCTTTGGGCGGTAGGTGCCGAGCCATGGCCGCTGTGAACCCCATCGCTGAAAAAAATCCTCCCCCCACCCCGCTAGATCAAGATCTTTGCCTTTATGGCCTGTCTAACTTTCAACAAGACGCCCTGGATATTGACGCTGGCGGTGTTTCTTTTTTCTTCTCATTTTGTTACTCTGGTCTTTGAATACACAAATGCGTCACAACAGCGATTGCACATATTGGTACGATGGATCGGCCCAACACACCGCAGAAATCCCATGCGACGGCCCTCGGATTCCGGTGATGGCCGATTGTGTTGTGCATTCATGATGCAGACACAGCGCTGATGGCTCTCGCAGCGAGGCTTCATTTCATTCCACATAAAAACGGATTCATATTCGCTGATGAGCCGTTCCAGCGCCGCTCACCGGCAAGGCAGTATTTTCCGGCGAATGCTCCAAGGGCAGTCCAAGGGCAGTCCAAGAGCGGCTGGTGGCAGAGGCATCACACCAACTCGAGAATGGCCCCAGCTAGATTCGATATTCGAGGGTTGGCCGACTGAACTGCGGAGGTCAGGTATGCCTTGATTCCGCTTGTCAGTATATCTGGGTTTGCATTTGGATAGAGTGCGGTGTATCGTTAGACGCCATATGGGTTGCATAGGCACCCATCGGCCATTCAAGTCAGTCGTTTGGCTTAGTTTGCAAAATCCCTGGGACCAGAGGAAAACATCGCTGCACCCGGCCTGCGATCAGCGCGGGGAGCGAGCGGGCGCTTACATGGTTTGGTTGATGGGTTGATGAGAAGATAGAGGGTCGTCATTGCAGTAAGGACAATATCTGGGGAACCCGAGGACAACGTTGAAGCGATCAAAGGGATTCCGTCGCCGGTGGCGATCAAATGCTGTGCTTCGGGATCTGGCCAACGAGGATAACATCAGATCAGCGTCTGGAGTCGACGATGCCCCACTGCATGACGAGGGACCCGAGAGTTTCGACAGGGTGGCTGCGTGATGGAATTCTCAAACCTGGACAGGACGCTCACCGATGGCAATGTTGCAGAGACCGCCCAGAGCAAACTGTCGAAGCTCATTGTCCTCAGTTTCAGCAACGATATCTGAAGGTGGAGTTATAGCATATGTCATGGATACCAAATGACGAATGGTAGGCCCCCCTCCCTAGCTCCCCGATCAAGAAAGTTGCCCATCCGCCCAAGAGTCGCAAGTGCCTCGCTCACCTAAAAACAAGTCGGTGGCATTCAGCTGCACAAGCCATCGGTGGTTGATGGGATCATAGGCAAAGTTGGCCAGGTGCGCAACTGCTGTTTTTCGAACCTCTGGGGCAGAAGGTATCTCCGATTAGGCGAATGCAATGGCAGGTTGCGGAAACAGGATGAGCCCACGCAAGGCTGCTTGTGGTGCTGGGCATCTCCAAGAGCCAGCGAGTGCAGGACGGCAGCCAAAGGTCGCACCCGTATCGCTGCTTTCTTGGTATTCCGTCACCAGCTGCTGCAGGAACTGGAAGCGACTCTTGGCATAAGCCGGAGTGTTTTTTTCAATGAAGCGCTGGCGAGAGGACGTGGTCAAGAGTGTCGTCAGCGGCGCCGCGAGTTGGCCATGGGCATATGGCAATTGTCCAGCGATGCTCGTCTTTGGCCTTTGCCCACCTTGCTTTGGAACATGGTGATGCGTTATTCGGCCAGTGGCGGCGAGCGCCAGCAAGGCACGGCCAAGGAGCGATGATGGGGCTCCGGAAGTGGATGCCGTTGCGTTGATGTGCGTGCGTTGCGTCAGGCGGGTCAGAAAGCAGTGCGATTTCAGAATCCGGGGCAGTCGGGCTGGGACAGACTCCACGGGACGGCGCCGAAGAACAGAGACGATGTGCCCGATCAATTGATGCTCAAGATCTCACCATCCCTGTGAACGACATCTCATCGGTCAGACTTATCGCGACTGCGCCGGCTCCGATCAACATCATTCACCCAGCAGATGGATCCATATTTCTCCCCATCCCCGTTCGTATTTCGGCGGGCGGTCGGGATTGCGGTCGGGATTGCTGCAGCGCCCGATCCATACTCGACCCAACGCATCTGACAACTGCCTTGCCTTGCCTTGCCTTGCCACAAGCAATCCCCCATTCGTGCGAACCCGATACACACAGGCGCCCAAGACCGGATGATTCCACACGATATTCCCCGACCGCTTCCAGTAACCACACACAGCCAGTGCGTGTGGGAGCGATGGAGGCTTTGGGCTTTGGAGCAAGGCAGCCATGAGCGAGTGACATCAGTTTTCAATCCAGAGCATCAGCCACAGCAAATATGTCTAGGATCAAAAGGACATCCATGTTGGGTTCAAACTGATACAAAAATCACAAGCACGTTTACAAGCGGCAACTGTACATTTAGGACTTGGGGGCTTCCCTGTAAATGCAAAGACACGATGGCATCAGCACTGAGCGTTCAACACCCTTTCATCGCTGGAGTCGATTTGGCCGAGCTCTCCCCCCTCCCCGCCATGACAGATGCTGTTGCATTGGCTCAAACAGCCGTGGACAAGGATACTCACTTGAAAGAGACACACATTTCTTCGCCCATGGCAGAAATGACGCAGACAATGAGCTCCTTGCCATCGGCAAAGTCTCTGCTAAGGTCGGAGCCGACGTCGCCTTCGGGAACCTTGACATCCTCCTTCATGGAACCATCAGAGGTCATAAGAGAGAGGAAGCCGTCATCGGTGATGTCGATGAGGGTGTACTCGATACGGCTGACGTTGGGGACATCCATGTTGTGGGTGGAGGGAGAGACATCTTCGAGCTTCTTGCCAGTGAAGATCTGATGCAGAGAATCCATAGTGAGCATCGCGGTCGTGTCCCACGCCAACAGAGCAGCCAAGAGACCAGTTGATGCCGTCGGATCTCTTGAATTCAATCTGGGTTGCCACAAGGTGGAACGGCGTTGCTGCGGCCCGATCGGATCCAATCAGGATACATACATCAATGGCGGTCAGGTTGACCTTGGCGTGACCGTGCTTGCCGGTCTTGGAGGTGGACATGTCGACGATTTTGCAGGGGCGACCCTTGATGACGACGAAGCCGTTCTTGCGGAGAGCAGAGCACTGGATGATCGCCACAAACACAGAAGCGTCGGTGAGTCGAGGATGCAAGTGCCCGCGCAGGGAGGGAGAAAAGCCAAATCAAGCCCCGAATCACCGAATGTGCCGATTGCCATAGCATCGGAGCGACGCGAGCAAGCCCGAGTGTAACACTGTGATAGCGACACCTCGATCAGCCGAGGTCAATGGAGGAATTGACCCTGCCTCATTGTCGCACCTGCATGGGGTAGGTGAGCGAGGCTCCGGATCCGGCGCTCTCGAACTGTTCGTGATGTTCTTCGTCAGCCATGATGTCCTAGATCGGAAAATAAACAGACAGGGTCGACATCGGACAGTTAGCGTGTCATCATGGTCAGAGCGCCACGCGATCGCCCTGTCCAGTCGAGAAGCCAAGCCAAAGGGGCGCCAAGCCGAGTTCGCATTTGCCAAGGGACCCGAATATTAGGGCGGCAGGGGAGAGCCTGCGCACCGGACGAGGCGACGGCTGGTCAGCGGCAGGGGCATGCGGAAGTCCGGCGGGTACCTTTCGTTTGTCCCGAGAAAAGAGGATGAGCAAGAAGGGAGAGGGGAGGAAAGAGGCCGGTGATCCGCGGCCTCTGAATAAATACGCTTGGGGGGCGACGGGAGCGTGTTTTTTTTTCTGTGGAGCGACGCCGGCTGAAATGAATTTAATTAATGTGTCGCCCGCCGAGTTCTGTGGCAGCCGCGGCTCTGTGGCACGGACACACGCACAGAGCGGCCCGCTGGACACGCGCCACATGCGCCACGTGCTCTGCGCAGCAGAGGCGGTGTCAGAGAGGGCGCAGCAGCGCCGCCACGATCCAGACGAGGACGAGGCCGACGAGAGCATCGAGGATCCAGAAATGGGGCTGGGCGAAGGAGGGCCAGGCAGAACAGAGCAGAGCGAAACAGAGCAAAGCAGAGCAGAGCCGGACAGAGGAGGGAACGGGGTGTCGCCGTTGGCCAAGGGACGCAGCGACGGTGGCCGGCCGGTGTTAGTCAAGTCGAGAGCGGGGCGGCGAGACAGCGGATTCCTGTCCCTATGTCGGCATTCGGGATCCTGGGCTTCGTGCCCCACCAGACAGAAACCCAACCCAGGCGCCGCCAGCACAGGGCATATCATCCCCGCGCTGCGGTCGCCTCTCCCGATATTCATGTGGTGCTGTTGAATGGCCACAGCGGGGTGCTTGCGTTGATGCATCGCGTACCTTGGGATCAAATGTCCTGATGTCCCGAAGGCGAGCCAGGTCGTCTTGGGCCGAATCGGTGAGCCTTTCCAAGTTGATGATGCGATCCTGGTGCTCCGTTCGCCGGCTCTCAAGCGCTTGCAAGCTTTCGATCCCCTGTATGAGTTTGTCGTAGCATCTGCTCAGTCGCTCAAGTGTTGTCGTGAGGCTCTTTTGATTGCCGTGAATGGCTTGATCGAGGGCTAGGATTTGGTCCGCATGTTTGCTTTGAGATTTCTATGCGTCCCGACACAAGAATGCCCTCAAGTCAGTGGAAGCTGCTGGAGCGGAAATGACATCGGCCATAGCCCACATGACTGTGCAGCATCCTGCCGCCCACGAATCCACGTCGCTCTCATGCTGTTCATTTACTCCATGTCGCTCTGCCGCAGTTCGTGGACTGGTCGCACGCATTGGCCACTCCTGTCGCCTCGTCACCATCGCAGTCATTCGTCCCGCCCTCGCCATCCAGAGAGGCCTGCGTTCGTGATCCTTACAAAGTGGACGTCAATCAGGGCTTTGACGACGCCAGATCGCTGCTTGCTGGCCTCTCGATGGGCTCGCATGTCCTGCAGGGTCCTTGAGAACCCGGATAGAATCTCATACTGCTGGATGTCCGGCAGCATCGAGACATGGCGTATCATTTCGTGCATTCTGCCGTCGTATTGCGGTGGCCCTGGACGGCGAGATGGTTGCTGTCTCGTCCTTGGTGATGGCCAACAGTGTCCGTGTGCGCCCTGTGGACGAAAACCAGATCGCTGGACACGTGTGTGGCTTACAAGGCTGTCGAGGTCTTGGCGGGCGAGAGTCCCGCCAATCTTGCTCCAGCCGCCTGGCAGAACCCACTGGTCTGGTGGCCCTCGACTCCGTTCCGGCTCGCCTCCTGGTGCAGAGGCTCCCTCCCCATGAAGCTGCCCCCGCTCCCGCCCTTGCGGCACATCGTCCCCATCTACGGCCTCCAAGCAAAGTCTCAGCTCTCTCAAAACTTCATTTTCGATCTGTCCGTCACAGGTACTCGCCGCTGTACCATCTCGCTCCCCCCCCCTCACTAGATCAGGGCACGTCTCCGCTGCTTTCTTGGCCACATTACCAACGATCGATCATCCTCAGACCGGATCGTAGAGAAGCTCGGTGATGATCTCGATAAGGCTTTGGTCATTGAGGTCGGACCAGGTAGGACCAGTGTCGATCGAGTGTCGGTTGCGCATCGACCCAGTGGCGAACCCGCCTCTCGCGTTCTAAATTGGCAAGGATATCGCTGTCGAAGTGTCGTTACCGGCCGACTCGCTTAAACCGATGACTCTGCCTTCCGATAGGACCTGGATCGCTTAGCCGCTCGATCTTGAATGCTGGTGCAACAAACCTGGTTTCGGTTGAAAAGGATCCCAGGTTTCAGCCTCTTCTGAATGTAGGCTGCCATACTGGACGAGGTTTATTGCCGCAAACTCGTGATGCGACATCCGAATGATTGCCGAGATTTGATGGTTCACTGTTCCTATTGTCGTAATAGCAATTGGCCGACGCTTCGAAGAACCGATTTCACTTCCTTATCGATGACATGGTTCGTAACAAACGCATCGCAGTCATTTCTTTGAGGGTCGGATTGTTCCGAAAGCGATGACAAGCGTATGTTTGCGCCGCGCTGGTCATTTCAAATGTGGCCAGCGGCAGTCAATCGAGAACAGTGTACAGGCATAGTGTCCAAGCAGAGTCGCGATGCAAGCAGGCCGAGGCTCCAGGACATATCGACACGGACCGGACTTGGCCACATGCGTGCGATCATCCAAAGCTCGCCCGTTGACCGATACACGAATCTTCACTAAGACAAAACCCGCATTCTCCTGTTTATATTGGATACAGAGGACTGTGGAGTACGACAAAATACTTGCTGCAGCCGGCACGTCGCTCTCTGAAGGTGAGATTGCATTTGACTGCGATTTGTCCAACGGTTGGGTGCTGGAGAATCAACCCTCCGCATTGCTTGCATCGTTTGATAGCCTGACCAGAAGCCGTTGCGGTGCCCAGCAATCAAGACCAAGACCTATATCGTTGGCAACTTGCCTTTTGCAGTCGCAACGCCAATGCTCGTTAACTGGCTCCGCCTATGCAGCCATCGAGTCGGACTGTTCCAAAACCCAAACAACGTTGAGTTCTTGTTGATGTTTCAGAAAGAAGTTGGAGAAGTAGGTACCGAGATGTTAGGTTCGGTTTCATTGGGCTTGGACAGCACTCGGAAACACTCGGAAGTTTAACCGACCATGTGGGTGTTCATGCGTATCCAGAGAATCACGGCTCGGCCAGGCACACGTTCAAGGAGCCGGATCAGTGTCCTATCCCAAAGCGTCTGCGATGTCAAGTTGACCCAAGATATCCCGAGGGGTGTCTTTGTGCCCAAGCCCAAAGTAAATGCGGCAGTTGTCAGACTCAGGCCATCATCATCACCGGTGCTTCAAGGGTGCGATATCGAGGCGCTCGAAGCAGTATTGCGGTGGAGCTTTGCATCCAAGAGGAAGACGATCAAAAATAGCATAAGGTAATGGAGCAGGCCATGGGCTGAGAGAATCAGCTTTGGTCGGTGCACCAAGGCGTGGGGCCCCGCATACGACACTTGGAATTCTGCATTCGAAGCGTTGGGAGAACAAGGCTATCCCTGACCCACCATTCCACCGCTAACCCATATGTTCGTTCTCCCCGGGGCAACCAGGAGCTCCATCCCTGAGGGAACCAGAATTTTGGGACTGGCTGGAATCGATCCAGATGTACGTGCAGAGACGCTGTCGACTGAAGAGTTTGTCCGCCTGGCCCAAATATGCTGTCAGGAGGGCTTGATACCTGTGCGAGACCCAGAGCACGGCCGTCCCTAGAAATACAAAGCGTCTCCAGAATCGTATTTCAGCATGATCGGAACGAAACGGGGCAGTGATCTGTAGGCTCCGATGGACAAGCTACGGATTGCACCCAGCGTTTGTTGGCGATCCGGTGGGTTTGGTCGGGTGGCGATGCGCTGGGGTCCTGTGGCGGATGGAACACGTGGACGAGCGTCTCTCGCCTCGCCGTCGCCCGTGTCCTTTGGCTGGGCTGGAGGGGCTCTGGCCCTCTTGCTGTTCTCTTGCCCAACGGAGCCCAAGGCTTTCGATACGGCGACAATGTCTCTCCTCAGCTTCTTTGGCTGCGCGCTTACCGCATATGGCCCTGCGTTGGCTGTGTTTCTCGTCTATGTCGCAAGATCTTCACAGCTGGTCATTCTGTTCATCTCGAGGTGACTACCGTTTTGGACTCGCCCTCGAGCCAGGAGCCGACGGTGGGCTCTGGGGCAATGTCTGGCTCATTCGATTGTGGCATTGCAGCTGAAGCACGACATATCGACGGAACAGCAAAATTCGAGCCACCGCCGCGCTGATGAGAGCGAGAGCCTCTGTAGTGCTGCCAGTGCCCGCCCAAAGGAGTGCTGCGGCCTTTGAGACTGACTGCAGGCTCACATTCAACCTCGGCCTCGCCCCAGCGCATTCTTTTGGCTCCTATCCATCCTTGTCTCGTCATCAATATGCTATGCAGTGGGGACCTCAATCAACTTCCACATCACCATCGGAGTTAGCGTGATCGTTCAGGAACTTTTCAGATGGCTCTTTTTCTTGCTACTGAGGTGAGCAATCATACGGCCCGAGTGAAATTATCGGTGGTGGGGACGGCTCTATCTGTCCAAGGAGCCAAGATAGTGCAGGTGATCGTGTCGGAAGCTCATACTCTACTTCCCATGCAGGAAAGCTGAGCTCGGACTCACCCAAATGGCCGACAAGCCCAAATCCGTCCTCAACCGCCCCAGCTGGGCTGTTGGTAATTGCCCCATCGCACACGCTGGCGGGAGCTGCTATGCTCTGCCGACTTGTACAATAACGCTCCAACCTGGTGTCTATAGTTTCGGGCTTTGGATTCGGAGCGATGAGCGGCTTGGTTTCGTACATCTCTCAATTGAGCCTGACCATCAATCCCGGCATTCTCGTATGCAAGTCCTGTCCGTCGCTCGATGTGTTCTTCGTTTCCGGTAGGTCTCCCGTAGCAATTATAGTGGGCTTATCGCAAGCGTAGTTGCCCTTTCTAATGGCACTCCAGCCACTGGGGGCACTGCAGAAATGAACGAGGCATTCCTGGCAGGGACGGCGGGGCTTTCAATATGATCATCACTAATTGGACGCGAGTATATTTGCAGCCATCACAACATGTCTGTTCGTCTTCCTGCACATCGTTTGGAGTATGCTGGCGTTTGAGGGCTGGTTCCGGCGCAGCTGGCTGCCCTTTGCAGCCGTTTTTGTATCTCATTATGGAGCCTCGTATTCGGTACGTTTTCTTTCCCGCTACTATTCCTCGATCTGGGCTCTCGCTCAAGTCCAAGTGGCAATTTGGAACGAGCGATATAGCGTCTGTAGCACACTGACTTGTCTTGGAGAAGGCTCTCACCCGCTGTTTTATAATTCGCTGGTGTTTCACCAGACCGTACTGGTCTCCTCGTCGATCTCTGGCGGGTGCTTCTATACCTTCTTGATCCTTGGTGCTGTCCTGGCACTGGACTCATTCTTCGCTTTCCGGCCAATCCTGAAACTCAAATCGCGCTGACGGACAACCTCGGGCTTGAGGCGGTAGCGCTGGCCATCGTGCGAGCGACCCTCCGCTGAACGGGGATCGTGGTAGCCACAGCCGGGTGATGTAAGATCGAATCGTGAGGCAGGTTCAACTCAACGCTTACCAAATGGGATGACATCCTCTGGTGACTGTTCCGAATCATGAATACATATATTCCCTGTCGCTCGTAAGACGCCACAGTAACGACAGGGCACTTTCCTGTTTTCTGGATTGACTGTATAGCTTCAACACGGGAAACAAGGGCGATCAGATCATCGGATGGGGGGCTACAGCGGCAGGAACAACCGTGCTCGCAAAATGAAACGGAGCATCCATGTGGACTTTGAAATGACTGAAGAAACGAACTTCGCTCATACTCGTGTCGTGTCGCTGGAATATGGGCCGTCCTATCAGTCCTGGGTCAGCCGTTAGTTACTCGGGTTGTTGTTGTTGTTGTTGTTGTTGTTGTTGTGACTGTTTGAGGGTTTGTCGATCAGCGCTCTGAAGGAGGATCCAAAGAGGCTTTCTCAGGGAGGGGCACGAAGAGAACGATGGACACGATCAGGCAGTGAGATGGGCTCAAGAAATCAATTGTACGGCAAATGATATTGAACGGCTGCTGGGAGGACATGACAGACAAGGTCGCCGTCGCCACATGAGGCGACGGTGCCATGGCGAGCGATTCGAGAGAGCGACCAGAGAGCGACCAGAGAGCGACTGGAGTGGGGACGAGTCAGAGAAAATCAAAAACCGAAACACGGCCTGGGCGACGGACGCCAGGCGGCACCCTTCATCGAGTGGGTGGTATCATCGGAGCCGGAATTGGGACGGGTGGTTGGAATGGAGATGGGATGGTGATGGGATGGTGGTGGGTCATTGGTGTGGGCCATGGGTGTGGGCCATGGGTGTGGGTTGGCAATCGGCCAGTTGGCTGGATTGTCTAGCACACTTGGATCTCGACTTTTGGGCCAGACTGGGTGGCAGGGGTGGTCGACACAACGGTGTTGGGAAGAACCAGGACAGGGCACTCGGCCCGGTGGACGACATGGCTGACGATGCTGCCTGTGAGGCCAAACGGGCGGAAGTGTAAGCGAATGCAGTAGATGCAGTGGATGCAGTGGACGCAGTGGATGCAGTGGATGCAGTGGACGCAGTGGATGCAGTGGATGCAGTGGATGCAGTGGATGCAGTGGACGCAGTGGATGCAGTGGATGGCCCGATGTCGATGACAGTCCGTGCCGATTGTGGTCTGCGCTTTCGCCGACACTCACCAAGAGACGGGCGGATTCCCTTCTTGTGGCTTCCCATCAGGATCAGACGGGGACGGCGTTCTTGCATCTCCATGGTGATGATGCCTCTGGCTTCGCCATAGACAACCGAGACACCGACCTTGTTGCTGGCGCCGTGAGCCTTGACGATCTCTCTGACGAGAGCCTCGAAGGTGCGGGCGGTCTGGAGTGGATCAGAGGCAAGGGCAGAGCATGAGCAGGCAGAGCATGAGCAGGCAGAGCATGAGCAGGCAGAGCATGAGCAGGCAGAGCATGAGCAGGCAGAGCATGAGCAAGTGCGGAGAGTGTGGGGTGAGCGATGCTTTCGACAAGCACAGCACTGCGACATGGCGAATGATGGATTCAAAGCCCGTGCCATCGACAGGACGCTTGCACAGAGACGCTTGCTCAGGGACACTTGCCTCTTCAAGCTGGAGACGCTCGTATTGTTCGTCAAGAGTGGCCTCTGGAGTCACAGACATGAGGGAGCGGAGGCAGTCGGTCAGATGGATGTCGACCGCGATGGCCATCCCGCACTCGGTGTGATTGCAAGACTCGCCACTACCACTACCACTACCACTACTACCACTACCACTGTGATTGCTCTGTCGCTCACCAAGGTTGTGCTGGAGGACGTTCAACACCACCACCTCGTCGGCGGGGGTAATGAGCTTCTCAAAGGCATAGTTGAGGATCGATCTGGTCTGGTCCGAGACCGAGTCGACGGGGATCAGGACGACGTTCTTTGTTTCGGCGAGCATTGTGTATGGCGGGGGGCTGTTGGCGGTTTGCGAGTGCGCTTGCGATTGTGGGTGCAGTTGTGGTTGCGATTGCGATTGCAGTTGCGATGGTGTTGTCGCTGGAAGGTGATGCTGTGATGCTGCGATGCTGTGATGCTGTGATCTGAAGATCTGAGGATCTGGGTGGCAGGCCAGGCCCTCGACCGCAGAGCGCTTTTATATCCGAAGGCGGGCCAGACCAGCAGTGGCATGACCCCGGCTGGCGGCTGCGAGCGAGCCACCTGTTCGGCGGTGCTTCCAGAACCAGTGCGAAATTGCTCCCTGACTCGCCGTGACCCGCTGTGACTCGCTGTGGCTTGACGCCACTCGGCATCGGTGTGACTCACGCTGTGTGGGTCCTGTTCCGAGTGGTTGCTCGGCTGCATCCGGCTCGACCCGGCTCCAGCCTGACTCCTCTGCCCGCCCCGCCGGCTCGATCCTCCCCAACAAGGCAAGACTCCGGCTCCAGCCAGCCGCGGCACCCGCCAATCGCGCGCCGCCGGGATGCTTATGCGATGGTCGCGTCAGCGTCCCGGCGGCGCGCCGCGATCGGCCTTGGACGACTCCAAATCGGCCTGCGCCCCCTCCCGTTCATGGCCTATAAAAGCCACCCTGGTCGCCCTCTGTCTTCGCCTCCATCGCCATCTGCTCTTGGTCTCCACTGCCCTGATCACTCCAGATCGCCTTCCCACGTCCTTGACTACCACCGCGCTTCCAACCATGTCTCCCAGCTACAACGCCGGCTTTGGCAACGAGTTCCAGTCCGAGGCCCTCCCCGATGCCTTGCCCAAGGGCCGCAACTCGCCTCAACGCTGCCCGTACGACCTCTACGCTGAACAGCTCTCCGGCTCGGCCTTCACTGCCCCTCGCACCCACAACCTCCGCACCTGGCTCTACCGGATTCGCCCCTCCGTCGTCCACACCCCCTTCGTTCCCATCCCTGCTCCCAATGTCGTTCGTTCCTTCTCGGTCGCCACCGACGACGGGGAATGCATCTCCACCCCCAACCAGCTTCGTTGGTCTCCCTTTGAGATCCCCACGAATGGCAAGGTCAACTTCATTGAGGGTCTCAACACTGTTTGTGAGTACAGCCCGTACTGCATGTCTGCTCCTCCTCCGCCTCGCCATCGATTGCTCACTCTGTCATAGCGAAAGCCGACATCATGATCGTCCGGCATGTCATTTTGTCATGCTGTTGCGGCGCGTGTACTCACACTCCTGTCTCCTCTGTCAGGTGGCGCTGGTGATGTCTCTTCTCACTCTGGTCTGGCTGTCATGATCTACACCGCCAACGCCGATATGGAGAACACGGCCTTCTACAACTCGGACGGTGACTTCTTGATCGTTCCTCAGGAGGGCCGCCTCGAGATCCAGACTGAGCTCGGCGTCATCTCGGCTGAGCCCAAGGAGATCGTCGTCATCCCTCGCGGGATCAAGTACTCTGTCAAGCTCGTCGACGGAAAGGCACGCGGCTACATCCTCGAGACCTTTGACCGACACTGGGAGCTTCCCGATCTCGGACCCATTGGTGCCAACGGCCTGGCCAACCCCCGCGATTTCCTGTACCCCACCGCTGCCTTCGAGGACAAGGACGGCGCCGAGTACAAGATCATTACAAAGTACCAGAGCCGCTTCTTTGCCGTCACCCAGAACCACTCACCCTTCGACGTTGTCGCCTGGCACGGCAACTACTCTCCTTTCAAGTACGACCTTCGCAACTTCAACTGTATCAACACCGTCTCCTTTGACCACCCCGACCCCTCCATCTATACCGTCCTCACTGTCAAGTCCGGCAACCCCGGCACGGCTCTCGCCGACTTTGTCATTTTCCCTCCCCGCTGGATGGTCGCCGAGAACACCTTCCGCCCTCCGTGGTACCACCGCAACTGTATGAGCGAGTTCATGGGCCTGATCTCGGGCGCCTACGATGCCAAGGCCGAGGGCTTCGTTCCCGGTGGCGCCTCGCTCCACAGCATGATGTCTGCTCATGGCCCCGACGCCGTCACCTTTGAGCGCGAGAGCACCAAGCAGCTCGGCCCCGAGAAGCTCCGCGAAGATGGCCTGGCCTTTATGTTCGAGTCGTATCTGACTCTGTCGCTATCCAAGTGGGCCCTGGACAAGGACACTGCCGGTGGCCGTGCCCTGCAGCCCAACTACTACCAGTGCTGGCAGCCCCTGGTCAAGAAGTTCAACGGTCTGGACCTTACCAAGCACTAAATATCCACTGGTCTCTTGTGCCATATATGCCTGCGTATGAGCCTCAAAGCAATCGCTCGCCACTTCTGTTTGTCACAGCATGTTCAGAACGAAACGGAATAGTGCCCCGCTTGCATCCTCCACATCAGCCACCACCTTCAGCGCAGCGATCTGTCGGTCCCGGTGGGCAAGTCGTGCGGTTCTGCCCATTCTTCGTCAACAATCCAGTAGTTTTGGTTGGTTTTGGAAGCACAGTCTTGAATACACTCGGTCGATCACCAGTGGCGACGATCGACTGGCATAGTGTGATTATGTTCCTGGCTGCGTTGATGCCTCGATGCTGGTGTGGTGCATGCATTCGACCTTTTGGACAATTTCATAGTTTCTCCACATCGAAGCAATCGGGCTGAGCGAGTCGCTTGGTTCCCAGGCACAGTGGGTCACGCCTGGTCATGGTGGATGGTGAATGGGTGTGAATGGGTGTGAATGGGTGTGGATGGGTGTGGATGGGTGTGGATGGGTGTGGATGGGTGTGGATGGGTGTATTCGGAACCCAGATAGAAGCAGTAACCTTGGCTCCGACCGGCCTGTTTCTTTCTGAATATGATGCTGTATTTCCGCCGTTGCGACCTCCGGCGAACCAGCAGCCGAGCGTCGAGGTGCTTTGTTTCGGCGGCGATCTTGGGCCGAGGTCGTCTTCAGCATGACCGCAGCGCCCGCAGCGCCCACATCGCCATACATAGGCAGACCTCAGATCCGTGGCTGATGCTGTCATGTCCGCCATGGAATCCTCGGGCTCGACGCTGCCCTGCTCCCCTCCTCGTCCTCTTTCCAAGCCTGGCCTTTCCTCTCTGGATCACGGCCAATCATCCTTTATGTCGCGTTGCTCTGGTCGATTCGCAATGCGTTGTCGGGTTCGGAAACGACACAATTGCAGTCTTCTTCCGTGGCCGCAGCAGCTGGCTGGTCACAATTGTCTCGATCAGAACCGGAGCAGCAACGGAGATGCACAACCGAAAGTGCGTGGGCCTTCCAGCCGCCCTTCTTCGGACAGCCATCGGCCTCGCCGGTATAGTGCCGTGATCACCAAGCAATCCCAGAGGAGTTTGTGGCTGTTGCATCCTTTCGTTAGAGTTGCTATTCTTCCGCCTTCGCAAGGCTGTTATTATCTTCCCAGGGCACATTGGCCTAACTATCCATAGCTGCATCGGACATCCTATTATATCCTATTCTATCCTATTCTATCCTCCGACTTCCGCGTCGATATCCTGCAACCTCGCCTGGCTTGGTCGATTTGATAGCTTCGCTCGCGCCTACTCTCTGCCTTTGTTTCCTTTCAAAGATTCCCGCCTCCACCGCACATTAGCATTCGGCCACCAAAACGCTATGGGAAAGAAAGGAGCATCAAAGAAAGGAAGTGATGTCCCCGGAATCAAGTACGGGAGGCCCGATTTGGATCGCATCGGCCTCTTCAGCGAAGCCGCTTACATATCAACCGGAGAGCCCTTTGTGGAGCGCAAGCACGGTGAGTTTTCCTAGAGTCGTTGACGTGAAGCCAGCGCAGATGCCTTGTCAATATCCACATCTCCCCGGATCCGGTTGCCATGGAGATGGTTGGCCCGAGTCAGCATATTGGCGCTCATCGAATGTTGCATTGGAATGCATTTCGATGGAGCCCGCCTAACCTCCTTGGTTGCTCATGTATCGCTTTGAGAATCATGCATATCAGGTTTATTAACAATCCCGATAATGTTGCGCCACCTTTTTCTTTTTTTCCGTCAGATCGGCTGGCGGATGCCTTTCTCACCTATCGTTCCAAAGGGAAACAGTTCCTGACGAGTCCCCCAAAAGATGGCCACGACAGCAAAGAGGTCTACTTTGAGAAGGAGTACTCGCGCATCTTTGAGGTTGGTCGCGGCTGGCTGATTATGGATGCACAAAGAGTTATCCGCACAATATGTCTGCATCAGCGGATGGACATCATATCCTACACATGCGCATGATACCACACTTTATCCACCAAGAAGCGAGTACAGAGTATGCTGCCTGCCTGTCTACCTTCATACTGACGAATCTGCGAATTGACGTCCAGAACGAACCCTATACAGACCTTGTGCAACTACGACGCCGTTGGAGACTGCAGGCAAAGGACAAAAATATCACCAATACTCCGTTCAAGCCGTCAAGCGTGCCACCTAAGCCGTGGGTGTCTGCGCCCACTGTCGATCTTGCTGGGGGCTCGCGGGCCCTCAGCCGACGCATGAATCACAGCGCCATATACTCCAAGCCCTTCACCTCGATTTGGTTGCGACGCTCTGCTCACTACCATTTATTAACACAGGTCCGGATCTGGCTCGTGGTGGGGAACGATCGAGCAGCAATGGCCGCTCCCAACCTCAAAGCAGGATGTTGTCTTGCGGCCCGAGGAGCCCAAGCAAAAGCCAGAGTCCAAGCCCAACTTCCTCACCAAGCCTCCAAAACGGGGAAGTGGATACGGTAAGTACATGTCCAAACTACCGCTCGCCAGCTTGTTCGAGTCGTTGAGGGTTTAATCTGACACTGGAGCTGGTGGTGGCCTCTTGCCGCAACAGGATATCCGAACGTGACCATCGGCAAGTCTTTCGAATACGTCAGTGATCCGTACGATAACATTTTGGAGATGTCAAAGGTGGGGAAGCGTAACCACATGGCAATCGCCTCGCGACTCGATGGTTGAACTGTTCAAACTTCCTCCGCTGCTCCATGAGGATATTTGACATGATGACTTTGGCTGCCTTTGCCTCGGATAAAGTGCTGATTTGATTTTTCGTTCCTTATTGGATGAGCAGAAAGACCGCGAGGTCCACAAAAAGAAGGTCATCGGAGAGCGCCCATTCATCTCCAGCAGCGCAAGGCTGGACTATTTCAACAGTTTTGCTGGGCTCATTGGCTCAGGTATTACATCCACGACGATTTCTCATGCTCCGAAGATGGGTAGCTGTGGGTGCGCTGGATGCTTTAGTTTTGCGCGCCCTCGGTCACTTTGGTGCATCGTATCCAAGTCTGCGGTATTGATACCATATTCATCCCCGATGCCATTGCTTGCATCGCTTCTGTAACACCAATACCACCAACGCCAACAACAAAAATGACGGCTTGTCAACAGAAAAATCGGAGCAGACTGACGCAGCTGCAAGCAAAAAGGACGGAAAACGGGTCTCCGAGCCATTCAAGCCATCTTCGTGCTGTGGATATACCATCAATAGGTACCCAGCCTATGACCCGCCCAGCGGACCACCCAAGGACAAAGTTCCCAGTAAAGCTGGCCCGCGAAAGCTCGAGCCCATCTTTCGCCCAAGCGGCATCTCCAAAAGTTACCCTACGACCTCGATCATCGTCGCCACTTGCCCTCTGGCGCCTCCGCCGTGGATTCAAGACACTCTCAGGGCGGCAATGTGTACTACATAAACGATGTGCTATTACATGGAACCCAATAAAAAACGGGACACCCCGGGTTTGACCATTGATCAAATGTTTTGTTGCCCAATACCATCGTACGCTGGCCATGACCATTCTGTGATGCGGTGCAGTACCATCATCCATTGCCTGAAAACCATTGCTTCCATATTCAGTGTGTCCAAGAGCAACATTCACCGCTGGGACTCCGAGACCAGTGCAGCGGCAAGGCAAGGGCTATGCATCCAGCCCTCGGAGGCAGCGATTTGCTCGGTACTTTGAGCAGTGCAGGTCGATTATGAATACCGGATAGTGACCGGTGGTCTTCACTCGAAGGTGATCAGCTGGATTGCATGTGGCTCAGTTGGACGCAACCTCATCACATACAACATGTTCATGGAATGAGTAGTGCCCCGTTTTTCTGAATAAAGTGTACGACGCTTGACAGTAAGAGCAAATATATCTTGGGGCCAATGTCTTTGTTGGCTTTCAGCGTCTCAGTGTTTTAACTATACAATGATTGTGCGAATGGCAATACAACTTGTTGAGAACGAATCAAGACAGTGCTCCACCCGTATTCCCCACCTGTGCCCTCCACCTGTGCCCTCCACATCAACCGCCGCCGTCAGCGCGGCGATCTGTCGGTCCCGGTGGGCGAGTCGTATGGTTCTGCCCAGTCTTCGTCAACAATCGAGTAGTTTCGGTTGGTTTTGGAATCACAGTCTTGAATGCACTCGGTCGATCACCAGTGGCGACGATCGACTGGCAGTGATGCCGTTGGCCATTTGTTCCGAGATATGGACGTCTCTAGCGATGATAGAATGGTTCGAAATCCAGTGCAAGCCTGAGTATCATGGGACTGGAGGCGGATCCTTCTCTTCCCTTGTTTTCAAAGACTGTCACAAATACAGTATCCTTGAATACACTGCTTGACCAATGGCGAGCCATGGACAGGTGTATTCAGGACCCGGAACACAACGGCAGCCTCGATTCAAAACAGAATGTCCTCTTTCGTATTGGGTACGCTATATATGAGTCCAACGATAGTCACATTTGTGGATCTGGTTGTTCATCAGCCTGAGAAACTATAGCCAATCGTGTTTGCGCCGTATTGCATGCATGACTGGCCTGCCACAGCCTACAGGTCATTGTGCCAGAGGCTGTTGCTGATGTGCAAAAGACAGAAAATGGACGCAGTCTCGCACCTTTCTGCATGGCCAGCATCACAGTCTCTGACGTACTCTGGCGCTATCGATGCTGTTCGAATTGTCGTAGTATGAGTGTGGAGGCGACAAGTCGAATCCGTAGCGACGCTGAGGACGGCAGTAACAAAGGAACCAGGGCACATAGTCAAAGGTTATGTATAGAACTATGGGATACATGGATTGCATGCGCTTGCTTGGCTCTGTGCTCAATGGGCTTGCTGCTTATCAGGGTATAACGATCGGATTCTATGCTTATTCCACATCCTTGCGCTTCTCTGACCTGGCAAGCATGGGTCTGTTGACTATCTGGCTCCGCCTGCAGTTACGTCAGTCCTCCTCCTCCTCGATCGTTTTGGCCTTGCTCTTGAACGACGGCCGCACGGCGATTTCTTCAAGCACGATGGTTTCGAGAGAGGCCTGCACCGACACGGCGGTCGAGGGCAGATGCAGTTCGCTTGACACAGTCATGTCTTGATCACGGACGGATAAAATTGGTCCAGGAAGACTCGGTGGTGGATCCGGAACTGTGTTTGTCCCGGTTGCTGTTGCTTCTGCTGCATTGCCACCATTCTCAGCACTCATCTCAACCTTCGGGACACGAGCATCCAGTGTAGTTGACGCTGGCCCTCCAATCTGGGACGCTTGAGGAGTGTTTGGATCAGCGGAGTGCTCAGAGTTCTCTACTCGGTTGTCTCTGTCGTCTGCTGCAGCTACGACTGCCGACGGATTCTGCCGTCTATTGCCCTGGAGTTTACGGTAGTTGTCGTCAAAGATGTCTTCGAGATCAAAATCGTCATCGGATGCTTCGTTTCTTTTGTTTCTGCTGTCGAAGCTGCTGGCATCGTCCACGTCGACCCCACCCTTCTCTGGGAGTGCTGATGGGCCGTCATTAGTGGCGATAACAGGGACATAATCTGTTGCCGGTTGAGACAGCGATTTTTTTGAAGGCTCCTTGCTCAGCGGAGCTATCGATGCCAGAGGGAGGCCCCGTACCCGCTTTTCGTCGTCGACATCGGTGGGATCTGTGACTGCATTAAACTCGATGTCGGGCTCATCGGGCTCACCGGGCTCGTCGGCCCCGAGATCGGCCTCGAATTCATCATCGAGCCACTTGGTGGGGTCCTGTTCGGAAAGTTCGTTTGGGTCGCTATGATCCTCGACGATGACTTCTTCGAGATCGGCTGGATCGACCGCCGGCTCATCATCCAGCAATAGTTTTGGAGATGCCAAGGGCTCCGTATTGGTGGGGTTGATTCGGATGTGGACTGGCAAATGCGATCCTACAATGGCCAAATGATCCTCTGATGCATCGCTGGCTCCGACGGCGGTAGCGACTGGCGAAGTGTCCAGAGATGTTGATTGTAAAGCCTGGGGCTGTGGGACCGCAGGGGGCGAGTTTGGGACGGTCGAAGATCCCAGCAGCGACAATAGCTCTGGCCGAAGGCTGGGAGATGGATGCTCGTCACCAAAGGGTATACTGAACGGATGGACTTCGCCGGACTTCTGGAGATCGGTGGGGGTTCAGAACCACGATGATGCGCGGGAATGAGTGACTCGGGTTGGGCTCGTGCATCCCGCGTGGGAACGTTCCCGCGAGTCAGACCAGACTTTCTGTCGTCCCTAAACTCACCTCGGTACCGATGCTGGCCATTGAGTTGCGCTGCATCTCCTCATCTGGATTTGCAATGACAAGTGTGTGGTTCATGGCCAGGCTCGGTGCTAAAATCTCGGTGCTCCCGATGGTTTCGCTGAAGTTGAGCTCGACTTTTTTGGCCTGCCCAGGGGGTTTCTGGGCCCATGTGCCATCATCCTTGCTGGAGATGGGTTCGACTCCCGGCGGGTGAGATGCACCACAACCCATTACTGCGCTGTTGTTCTTGATGGAGAGGAACAAGTTCCAAGGAATTACTGTTCTTGGAGGCGCCTCTACGAGCGTCGGAATGAAGCCTCTTGAGTGGGTCTCGGATTGAGCAAACAAGGGTAATGGCGAGAGGAGGCCGGGGCAGGCAATTGCTGTCTGGGTCTGCAGTGACCCGATCGCAAAGCGCAATAGCGGAGGTAGAACCGAACAGGATCCGCCAGGAAGACAGAGATTGGATCTGAGACCGAGACTGAGACCGAGGCCGATGGACAACTGCAGGCGCTGGGTGAGGTTTGCTGGCGATGAGACTACATTCCGGGCCCTATCGACCACAGCTCATGCCAGCGAGGGTGCATCACCGCCCATATCGACCACCATCCGCCAATTGTGACGACATCCTCCCCGATCACACTCTCTGCTGTTGCCGTTGTCGTTGCTACTACCCGATACGTCATCACCTAGAGACCGAGCACCGAGCCGGGAGAGTCACCCACTCACGGCCCAAGCATTGGCAGCTATAATCCCACGGAGGAATGACCAGGGCCTCGCCTTGTATCCATGGCGGTGATATGCGCATCGCTGGTTGTTGCTGGCTCGACACCGCCATCCTCATGCGGCCAATGTGTCCAACCCCTCTGCGTCTCGGGAATCAATCCACACCTCCATGGGTCGGACACCCAGGAATGGGTTTGACCACATGGTCGCTCTTGGCCGAGTACAACATGATCCAACGACGTTGTGTCCCTGTCCCTAGCGAAGATGTGCCCTACTCTCCTCAGAATGCCGTCAAGAGCGAGGGGAGGCCAGACTCTCTTCCCAAATGAAATTTCACGCATTCATTGCCCACAATGACCTTTTGGAAATTAGAAACAAGCCGACAGATATCCAAGCCATGAAACCTCAGGTTTGCTTCGTGTTTGCGCATATGCACCGCCGCCACCTAAAGCACCAAAGCTCAGATCGTCGACCGATACCCTGTGCATCGTTCTCAGTTGCAGAGCCAATGAACTCAACCCCATCCCTTGTATGCCCACCCTTACTGAAGTCTCGACTGGCAGGAGTAATTAAATTTTGGTCCCTTCAGGAACATCTTCATTCGATGGAATGACGATCCCGTGAGCAACACATCGCGGTGGCATTCATCCACCAAGTTCGCTCAAGTCTGCGGCTGTTGAATGGTATTGACTTGACTCACACAAGCCATGTTCATCCGGTATCTTCCAAGTTGGCCCAATAAAAAACGGGACACCCCGGGTTTGACCATTGATCAAATGTTTTGTTGCCCAATACCATCGCGCGCTGGCCATGACCATTCTGTGATGCGGTGCAGTACCATCATCCATTGCCTGAAAACCATTGCTTCCATATTCAGTGTGTCCAAGAGCAACATTCACCGCTGGGACTCCGAGACCAGTGCAGCGGCAAGGCAAGGGCTATGCATCCAGCCCCCGGAGGCAGCGGTTTGCTCAGTACTTTGAGCAGTTCGAGCACCACCGACGCCGTCCCAATCACCCTCATGGAAGCGTCAAGGTGGCCTCGACGAACGAGTTCAACACCTCGCTGGTGTGCTCCAAGTGCCTGGAGCCAGTTCGGTTGGAAGGACTCGATGCGCCCAGTGTTGCGAATTCCCACTTTGTCAGGAGCTGCAAGAATCCCAGCTGCCGGACAGTGTGGAATCGCGACGTCAATGCGGCGCGCAACATGATCACAGTATGCAGGTCGATTGTGGAGATCGGAGAGCGACCGGCGGTCTTCACTCGGAGGCTGCCAAAGTGATCTGCTTTATATCATATGGCATAGTTAGACGCATGCACATCACATACTACGCTGTCAAATGGGTTGTGGGCAGGTGCCCCATTCCCCCCTGAATACCGTGTATTGTCGCTGCGGGACCAAGGCCCGATCAGATGACTCGATACTGGGACCAGAGGTCGTGGAGCAGACTCTCGGCGGCTTCAGCCAGCTTCATATCAGGAGATTCAAATTGTAGGTGCTTCACAAAAGGATTGCCCCAAGGCCATATATCGCTATGATATATGACCTTTGAATCGATGGTGTATGGATCGATGTCGCGCAGATACATAAGCGAGGTGCATCCGTTTTCACAGGTAAAATTGCATCCGGAGGCAAACGCAAGGCGCATCTGCAGTAAAGTCATTCAGTTTTAGAGGGCTGTGCATGCGGAGACGGGTTGTACGATGGTTCATCGAGCCCCTTAGAACATTGCGAACGCTTTCTTCGAGCGTATTCACAGACAAGATTGATACGTATGGGCATAATTCCCCTTCGTCAACCTGCTGCTTACCATAGTCAGCGCTCCAATTTGACAAGCATAGATAATTGGGTTTTCGATAATACTGGAGGCAATGTTTCCAGGACTCGCCATGCACACATAAATTCCCGACGACTTTAGCAGCTCGGCTAGCTGCAACATAACCACACAGCCAAGACGTTTCGAGCTCTCATATGGATTGGCACTGTAACAGATCAAATTTCGGATGAGCGGAGCTCACTCGCAAGTGAGCGACCATCGTATCACCGGCTGTGTTTGCTAGTCGGAAATTAGAACAACCCGGTGGCTTGTTACCTCTCTATGCCTTGGTAATCGTCCAGAGAGAGGTAGTCAGGCACGGCCGAAGTTGAGGTCAGATAGATAACTTTACTGGGTTGTGCAGCCTTCAGCACTGGCTCGAGTTCCTTGATCTGGGTGTGCGCATGAGGGAGACGCCAGGAGCATGGATATTGAGATATCCGTTAGCAACGGTAACCAAAGAGCCGCCGTGCGCTTGAAGACAACGGCTTCGACAACTTGCCATAATATAGTGTCCGAAAGTGTTTGCTGCGAAGCACAATCCGAGACCGTCCTCTGTCACCAGGCCCCTTGGCTGGTCGATGGCGTCGCCCCCTGTCTTTGCGACGTAGCTGGGCCGAGTGAGAATGTTATAGAAAAAGTTGGAAATATTGACACCAGTTATGTTGAGGATGGCGGCATTCAGGTAAAGTATATCAAGCCTCTGGAATCTGGAATGCAAAGGGATGCATGATTGTAAGATGCTTGTGTGGCCCGCTGTCGATTAGCGCTATGGTAAAAAAAGAAGGCTCGCACCCAAGCTGGTGAGCTCGATAATTCGAATCACGATCGTACCTCTTCATGAAATCGGCACAGGCTTGAATTACACTTGTCGGCTTCGAGAGGTCAACCAGCAAGATTTGAAGCACCTGCCTCCCCTCGTCTTCGTCGTCGAACAAGTCCTGAATTAGCTGGCTTTGGGCTGCCTTGGCTTTTGCTTCATTGCGACAAGCCATCACCACCGTCATTGGTTGTCGCTTAGCAATATAGACCTCTGCTACGAGCCGCTTGGTCAGCGCATAGCCGAGCCCGCTGAGACGATCATATCAGGAGCAATGCGCGGAATCGGGAGTTGGTGGGGGGGGGAGTCAGAGCCTATACCGAACTTCAGGTCAGCCACGTCGGGCAGTTCACAGCGGTATGCCAAAGCAACTACCTGTTGGCTCCCGTTATCATGTATATCTGATGGACTGGCGATTCCATGTTGCTGTGCTGCAGCGCTGTTGGAGAGTCGGTGGGCCGGAGCAGACAGTACGAAAGCCTGTCGATTCTGCCAGCGGCGATGGCACGATTTTGTGATTGGCAGGAGGCCGAACGCGCGCAGCCAGCTGCACCGCATCTCATGACTCCACATGACTTCACATGACCCCCACGGGCCCTCTGACTTGCGCTTCTTGGAACCAAACCGGCGGATCCGCCGCATTCTGGCAGCCAGCACCTTCAGCACCTTCAGCACCTTCAGCACCTTCAGCACCTTCAGCACCTTCAGCACCTTCAGCGACCTGCTGGCACGGTCGAGGATGGCGGTTGCGTCGCTTGTTTTTGTGACGCTGGTGTTCTGGGCGCTCGTCCGGGTGATGGGTTTGATCTTGGCGAGGTTCTATGTAAGCGCACGATTTCGGTACTTCTCGAATCCCACTGGCCCTGCCCTCCTGCTGCTCTCCATCCCAGGAATTGACCGCGGCCAGCTCAAGACTCTATCAACCTTCAGGCAGCTAATTCTCTATCGATCCACAGCCGCAGAAATTCAAGGAGCTCACCGACCCCGTAGCTCCTGGTTCTCCCGCCCTACTTCCAACGAGCTCAAGCCACGGCTCGGCCCGAAAGCGGTTCCACCATCTGAGCATCGGCCATTGGTCTCTCTCATTCTCTACGAATGCGCTGAATAGTGCCCTTTACAAACTGGTCCCCGATACTCCGCCATGGAGAGCCTTCCACCGACTCTTTTATTCAGCCGGGGCTGTGTTTGGCCTCCTCTCCCTCTTTGGCAGCATGGCTTTCCTCGCGGCCAATGGCATAAGCTTATTGGTCGTATTTGCAAAGCTTGCGAGCCCCTCAGCCGATATCACAGCCGTCCAAACACTCAGTCCTCAGGACCTGGAATTCAGGAGCAACAGCAGCTCGTCATACTCAACCAGAACATACTTTGCCCAGTCGATGGCGGGTGGAAGCAATGGCTTTGTCTCCTTGGTAAGAACCGTGCTCCGCCTATGGTTCCTTGGCGAGTAGCTGGTGTCCTCGTCTTACCACTCCTGTGATTTGTTCTGTATTGATCATATCGGTAGATACCTGGGGTCAACATACATGTGTCATCTTTGGGCTACTATGTCCTTGCGCTGCTCGTATGCGGCGTCGTCCACGAGCTAGGGCACGCTCTTGCTGCAATAGTGTAAGCCTTCAGATGGTAGACTGGACACACTTTAGCGGATCCTTTTTGCAGCTTGCCATCGTTCGCCAGGACGGATGCGCCCTCGTATCTCACTCTATGCAAGGAGTCCTACGAATCTCACACGGCTGTTTCCCACGTTACCGTCGAGTAGCGAGAGAGTTCCAATCGAATCTGTTGGCGTATTCCTCTATGTTATATATCCAGGAGCATTTGTCGACCTCCATCAGGCATCACTGGAAACCAAGGGTCCCTCTCAAAAGCTGAGGGTGATTTGTGCCGGTGTATGGCACAATGTTGTACTGGGCCTGTGGGTATGGCTTGTGCTTACGACGCTACCACTATGGCTCTCCTGGGGATACAAGCTGTCGAATTCGGGGGTCGTAGTCCTCGACGTAACGAGGGTGAGTACTGTTGTTTTGTTGGTGCCAGCCAAGGCTAAGATTGCCATTAATCATGTCATTCAATTATTGCTGGTAGGACTCGCCATTGCGTGGCCATGTGCCGCCCGCAGCCATGATCTCGCAAGTCAACGGACGAGACGCTAGCACTGTCCAGGATTGGGAGCAGCTATTATACGAAAATCTTGTGGATGATACATCCATACATCAAGGCTATTGTGTCACAGCATCCCGAGAAGGTCAGTGGCTTTCGAGTGCGCCAAATGGGAATCTGGCCCTGACCGACCGATGGAGCTCAAGCCGGATTGCGGACACCCTGACTACCATATGCAAAACATACACGGTGGCCCCCAATGTAAATGCCAGGCGTTTGACCTTTCATGGATGCACTTTGGCTCCAGACAAAGGGACTTTAGAATGTTGCGATGTCTCTGAAGCGCATCCTTTCGGTCGGAGACCGAGTTCGCTGCAGTGTTTCCAAGAACTCGACGCTACCAAGACCTTGATGTCGGTGAGGATTTAATGTGTGGTTGACGGCCTCCAAATCTTTGAGCAGACAGCCCTTCGAAATTTATGAACCTGTTACAGAGTCAGCTGCTCTCGGGCCAGGACGTTATATATAAGAATGACTTTGCAGGCTCTCTGCGTATTCTGACCCAAACGCCTCCAAAGCCCATGCAAGCTTGTCTCTTGGCTCATAATATCACAGAGAATCATCCCAGGTGTCGAAGCCGAAGCGATTGTGACATGGCATCAGGACCGATGCAATGCATGTCGGTGTATGTCCCGCAGCCGTATGTCCGGTTAATCCGACTTAGTATTCGGGATAGAGAGTCGACCGCGACCCTGAATCCGTCAAGCAAGGACACCTCAAGAACGGTGACTTTTCTGGGCGACCCGCGAGAGATTTGGGAAGGCGGTAAGGCTGTATTCGGTGCTGTATATGGCAGTTGATCATTCCCTCGATCTCCGATTCGGACTGCGCCCCAGGAGGAGGTAAATTAACGGCGTGCGATTTTGCTTAGTTCGAATCGGATCACTTGTGCCTCGGGCGCGATGGCTCCCGATATGCATCCCATACATGGTTGAGGAGTTGCTTCAGTAGGTATTGCAGGTTGATGATAATAGCCTCGGATCACATCGCTTTGTATTGCAGACTGTATCGATTGCACATGAGATTCACTTCTTGCTGCATGTCGATTCGCTCACTAAGCCTCTCGGGCCTTGCTAACTTTGCTTTAGGTTCATCATGTCATTTACCTTTGCCCTGGCTGTGTTCAACATGGTACCAAGCCACATGCTGGATGGCCAACATGCCCTTGTTGTCATTGTGGACGTAATAATGGATTGGATCCATGGGCACGTATCCGGAGAGAGTCTCGATGTCTCTGGCAAGTCCCACGTTTCGTTTGGGAGAGTGGATGCCCGCAAACGATCGACAGTGAAGTGGATTTCCAACGCAGCCACGGTTTTGTTGTCTGTTACTATGCTGCGAAGCGTGCTTGGAGCATTTGGAATATAATGGGTTTGGACCTAGGGGCTCGAATGGTGGGGCTGCAGCACCCGTTGGGAGCCAGATGCATGAGCTTTCGTCCCTGCCCAAGTGGCCTTGCCCAAGTGGCCTTGCCCCAGCGGCCTTGCCCTCGGATTCCCGGGATGGCAGATTGTGTATTCAGGGTGCAGAGACAAAGTGACCATGGCCCTCCCAGCGAGGCTCACAAGCGGGTGTTGTGCTTCATTTCATTCCACATAAAAATGGACTCGTATTCGCTGATGAGCAGTTCCAGCGCCGCGCACTGGCAGGGCAGTACATGCTGGCTCAGGAACAGCATCTCTGAGAACAACTCGAGGGTTTGCTCATGCCACCCGAATCCTTCGGGATCATTGCTCGAGACGGCAGCAGCGTCGTCTTCGCTGCCAAGGTCCATCAGAGACTTTGTTAAATTCGGAGTCGACAACAACTGAAGGCTCGGACGCCGCAAAATGTCGTTGGTGTTGCTGTTGTTGTTGCTTGCAGTCATACTAGGTTTCAGCCCGACGGCTGTTAGATTGTGGGCACTGAGACTGGGCCTCCGGCGCCGACGTATAGGCAGCGGTTCCTTGGCTTCATGCAGATTGCTCTCGGATATCGCTGGCGAGTCCCCATAACTGGGTGGAACCAGCACATTCTCGCTGTGGTCCAGTCCATGGTCTCGGTCTCTATCGTGGTCGCTACTTGCGCTGTCCGAGCTCGAGCTTTCTGCCACCGAAGCTTCCTCCATCAGGATGGTCGGAATCGACCCGTCGTTCTGGGCAATGAGTCTCGATGATCCCGCCACCGTCATCATAGGGAGCAGCAACTCGCTTAAGTTGTCACTCGACTCCTTGGATGACTCTCTGACCATAGCCTCAAGCGAGAGACCCGATCCGCGCCGGTCGTCGTCTCGGGATAGCCGCCGGTTCTTGAAAATGTTTTGGATAAGTCGAGGCGAGCTGATATACGATATCCGCCGGGAGGTCGGCGCCGAAAACTGCACCTTCTGTGGGAGCCGAAAAATGACGGGCCCAAATACCCAAGCGATACCCCGCAGCACCGGTATAGTGAAGAGATCCACGATCCTGTTATACGGGAGGGCGGCGCCGCAAGAAGGATATCGGTCATAATTTGGTCCGTGGAGCCGACTCTGCAAGTGATGTCGAGATCGGCATAGAAGAGCGCTCCGGGCACGAATATGAAAGCCCAGATTTTGATACGAGTCGTAGCCATGACCCGTCGGGGAGGAATATCTCTTCGATTCGTCGCGACTGCCCAGCCCCATGAATCCATCCAAGCAGCAAATTGAATTAAATCAGACCAACAGACTGACCTGTGCAAGTGTCCCACAGTTGCCTTGAGCACAATATACTCGGTCCGTGACATTTTGGCAACGATCTTGCGGAGATCACACATGCGATCACGGTCGTCTTGATCAACCTCTGTCCGGGTGCAAGGTTTGCTATTGGTTAGTTGGGGTTGGTATGACCGTATGAAGCAGACCCGCTGTGCTTGCAAACGCAGAGGTGAAGACCCTCCCTTCCGAAACAAAGTCGTGTTGGAGATTGTCCAACATGCATCAAAGCCTGTTTATCCTGGGCGACAGGCGACGCAACATCAACCTTGCCCACACAATGCTCATGCCCATATACTGGCATACCTACATGCCATCATGCACCTACCCATGGAGTCCATGATCTGATCTGAAATGTATGGCTTGACGAGCGCATGTCTGTTGGTTCGGAGGAACTGGAAGAGATGCCAGGACATTTGTGTTGCTTGTTTCTCCGAGACGTGCTGGATGTCGTTATTTGGAATGGCATCGACGCTCCGCATCATCAGTTTGGCTACGTTATCCTGTATGTTGGTGGCACGCTTGTCCAGGGCCACGAAATCTAAGTATTGATGACCAGAAGGAGTTGCAAGGAAGAGAGAAATGGGGGGGGGTGTTGCAGAGGAGGACGAGTGTGTATTCCAATAGCGATCGACCAGGGTCAGTCAAGTGTGAGTCCGATGCAGGCAAGAAAATTACCCGGGCCGCAGTCAAGACGAGGGTGAAGCCAGGGCGAATTCAGTGGACCAGGGCGTTCACATACGAGACTGCCGACGGCTTGAACAAAAATGACTGTGGGCTGCAAGGACTTCTCCTTTGACTAACCCATATAACTATCAAGCCACAAACTGAACTATCCCAAGCGTCATATTTGTGCGTACCATTAACAAACTGAATCTTAAGCCTGTGTGCTGAGGGTACTTCATTCTGTCCATCATCTGGAACTGGTTCATAAACGATACCCTGTGTGAGAACACAGTTTATATCAACAGTATAGCAGCAGATCCAAGACTTGGCTTTGCGGCCGCTATACCAACCGGAGTATGCCTTGTCGAGACCCTCGATAAACTCCTTAATAACTGTGATTCGAGCATCATGCTCGTTCCGGAACTGACGGATGTACTCGGGTGAAGCCGAGACTCCCACCCCGTCGGGCTTGCCGGAGTCCTGGGCTGCTCCAGCCACTCCAGCCACTCCAGCCACTCCAGCCACTCCATGTCTGCCGGCGATCTGGCTCGGCCGTAGTTTCACGATAGTGGGTGCATTTGAATCTGGATGCCGAATGACGTCAGTCCCAGCATCGGGCAAAGATTGTTGGCGAGCGCGGTAACCTGTAAGTTCCTGCCGACGACTGTCGCGTTGTGTTGTGAGAGGCTCTGCAGAAGTGTTCCCGGAGCGCTCTACCGGCGAGTCGGTCTCCGGAGTTTCGGACTCGGGCTTGGGTCGGATATTTCCTTGGCCAGCTGAGGTCAGTGTCGTCATCATTAGTTGTATTCGTCAAGATTGTAGGGATTCCACCAGTACCACCCTCCCGTGGTCGCAACATGCTCTCATATTGCTACAGCTTGATAGCGTGCTTCACCCCGCACATCGCCAGGCGTACTTACGAAAGTATCGATCCGGTGCATAGGTCGAGTGAATCTCCTTGGGTGGCTCCACGAGAATGTTCTCGTTCAGTTTCATCAGCCGCTCGATCTTTTGAGCAAACTGTTTCCGCGACTTGTTTGACACTCTTTCCGGAAGATCCAGCTTCGTTTGCCCGTCCACGTAATGACGCCGATGCGCTCATTGCCTGTGGGATAGAGGCTCCGAGCTTGCCATATCCGGACACATACAAGATCGAGGCACCAGTTTGTGAGGTGCTGGCTGTCCAATCCTAAATCAGCTGCGGCCGGGTTGGGACTTTCGAAAACGTTGTGCGTGCTGCTGGTGGAGGATGAGCTGTCGCTACCCACGCTGCTTCCAGACGATTCTTCTGAGGCTTTGTTGCGAAGCCGCGTTTCCTTTGCATAGCGCATGGCTCTTTCTCCTGAGGTTGGGGGGGGGAGAGAGGTATGATCGTTGGATACAAGAGAATGAAGTCACTGTGAGTCCAGGGACGAAATGCTGCTTACATACACTCGGCGTGGGGAGTATCGACAGACGGCGTGCAGGACTCAGTACGATGCAACACAACCGGTGAATGAGTCCACAAATCCATTGGTCCACGCCACCAAAGGCACACACAGGCCAAACGATAGCCGATTCGATACCGACTACTTTCAAGGAATGCCTTCTTCTTGACCGGATCCATTGTTCCACCGGGCTTCCAGACCGACTTTTGAACCTGTGTGCGCTTAGAGGGCTGTCGTTTTCCTGGCAAGCTCAGTTTGTAAAAGTCCAGGATGCCGCCCAGACCGGATTCAGAATCATCTTGAGATGGATCGGTTGCCCCGATTGTTTGGACGTTTCCGACCGATACGGAGGTCCGTTTGCGTCGCATTGCCTCTAAGGCACCTGCTGTATCTGTTGCATGGCCATCGGGAGAAAGTGGCCTGCTGTTGGTGACAGCGGGGGGCTCCTCAGGCGTAACCGTCATCTGTCCCTGGGTCGCGACCCTTCTCAGAGCCGGTCCTGGCAGTCTCGGGCCCCTTTGGGGGGCTGGAGATTTGGGTACCGTTTGCGATGACAGAAGCGAGCGTTCACCCGAGATAGTCGCTGTTAACTGAGCTGTGCTGTTTTCAATCTTGTGAGTGGATAGCTTGGGTGCATCTGCCACTACTTCAGCACCAATTTGTCCTGAGATGACTTTGGATGGGGCCCCAGATGCTCCCAGAGGCAGTTGGAATGCGAAACCCGATGTTGCAGAAAGAGTGGACTTGTCCCCTGGAGCAAACGGTGCTGGTGGATGGGCTCCCGTGCTGATTGGGTCCTGTGGACCGGAGCGAATGTGGGCCTCGACCACCTTACTCACTTGCGGATAAACTCCAGGCTGTTGCACAGCCATGGGCGCATCAACCGGTCGGTGCAATTCGCCAGGTCCGGTTGACGAAGACAACAGCCAGTCTTGTGTCGTTGCACCCCTTGATGGTGGCATGAAGGAAGTACCTACAGCAGGAGTATCATCCAAAAAAAATGATTGTGACAGTCTATCGTCGATTCCAAGATGCACCGGATTGGTTGATCCCTGAGCATCTAAGCTGCCTGCGCGGACTGCATTGTCGCTGCTTATGGAATTAAGGACGCTTGAGTTCCCTGGCGGAAGGTCGGAATGTCTAGCAACCGTGGCATTGTCGATGAATATGGAGCGATTCGCAGACTCGGTTGCGTCGCTGGGCTTGTGGCTGTCGAGCGAGGATGCGGCCCTGGGAAGGGTTACTTCAAGCGGCTCTCGGAACTGATCCAGACCAGGATCTCCGCTTGATGTGCCGAGCCCTCTGCCAAGGTCCGACATGAGGCTCGCAAGGCTTCGCTCTGGACGTGGTCCTCCCGACAGGCAAAGGAGATCGTGATCGAGTCTTTCACCAATCGAGACGTTATCGTGCGACAATGCTTGCTGCCGACCGGGTGTGAGCTGTTCTGCATTCAAGGTGCGTGTCGAGTCATGCATAAGTCGATCCGTCTGTGCCTCTTGAAGCCACTGAGGGTCGAGATGTAACTCTGCTGGACGGCCATGCGCCTGGCAAGCGCTTGTAATTTTTTGTCCAGAAGCGAGAGTTTCGGTACTCAATCCGACGGCATCATCCGAGGATGCCACCGGGTTCAACACATTTGTAGCAAGTGTGTCGAAATCGACTCGGCGGATACTGGAATGCTGATCGCGATCAAGTTGGTGCCGGGGCCGGTCCTGAATGCGTGCAGGCGTTTGAGACTGCTTGTTCACTGGTTTGTCCAGAGCCGAAGTGGAGGCGCTCAGTGGTTCGACTGGGGTTACGTCAAAACCGCCGCCCAACTCGGTGTCAATGTCAACAATGCGATCGAGCGAGTTGCTGCTCTTGGAGGAACTTAGCTGCTCGATTGAGATTCCAATCTTGGGAAGAAACTTTTCCAGCCCAGACCTGAACCGCCGGCCCTCGGTGCATGATCGCCACTGGGTCTGAACGGGTTTGGTGCACATGACATCGGTCCGCTGCTCGTTCTTTGCTGAGGAGCGTAAAGTGTTGCGGGATGCGGTGACCGGAGCACGGCCCAACTTGCGTTCAAGCTGAACCAGCTGGGCAAGGGTGGAATGGACGTCATCCAGAGATTTACGACCGCCAAACTTGGTGAGTTTGTGGGCCTGGTCGGGTTTAAGGTCGGAAGTGATGGCCCGCAAGTGCGAGGCAGTAAGGATGTGCATCTTTTGTAGTTCGCCGGCGATCCGCGAGCCCCTTTCGGCGTGAAGCCCTCGGCGACTCCCAGAAGGACCGGTTGTCAATTGGAGGGAGTCATTCAGTCGGCGTTGGCCATCGTGCTCCGAATCGCTCCATTCCGGGCTGACCGGAACCAGATCATAGTCGAGGGTCGTGTGTGGCGTGCGGGTATGAATGCGGGGACTTGATACGTTGGCTTCAGGGTGGACGAAGGAAGGGGAAGCAGGTATCCTGGAGGAGTGCTGAGGCGGAATCGTCAGAACAAGAACTCGTTTTTCCATGTGTCGCCAATGTCTACGGCCCCTGCGATGCTATCGATGTTGGGAATGCCTTGCGGTGCTGTCAATGTTGGAGTGCAGTGTGTGAGAAGGCGAGTCGGCTCGACAAGACTTTCGACCGCAGTACGGAGGGTTGGGCTTGGCTGGTGGTGGTGTCTCGGATAGGACCTTTGGCTGGAGGAGAAAGCCTTTGGAGCTTTGATTGCTTCCACGATGGTGCCGGCCGAGCCGCAACATATATGTTACGAGACCGAGCTCGGGGTGCGACAGCCCGCGCATGATTGACGACAATGCCATTGAGGGTTGCGGCGGTCCGACTGGAACAACGAAATTATGAGACGAAGAGCGCTCATGTATTTCCATGGACTCTCTGCCGCCCCAATATATGGCGAGCTTATTTTGAAACGAGACACCTTCCCACACGGATGACTTGGATGGGCTGTGTGATTCAGACGGCTTTGGCTGGCACCTGATACCCCATCTACACTGGGACACCTGCCCACAACCCATTTGTCGGCGTAGTATGCGATGGCATGCGTCTAACTATGCCATGAGAAATAGAACAGATCACTTTGGCAGCCTCCGAGTGAAGACCACCGGTCGCAGTGCAGCGATGCGGAAATCGAGGGTGCTGTGTTTGGCCATGATTGCAATGAGTGGGTGAGTGTATTCAGGTCACAGAAAAAGCACTGTCATGGCTCAACGGGGTGTCCCATTTCATTGTGGAATCGCTGTAAGGCAACGACCGCCCTGGTTGCCGGCACCAGGCGCAGCCACAAACAACCGCCCGCAGCCGTTGAGGTGAGCAGACAGCACACCTCCACCCCGACCACGGGCTCTGCCTTAATCGTATCTCGCCGACACCACCTAATCGCACCTACAGCCATGTTTGGAAGAGTGGGATGCGGCATGATGAGCGCCGCTGTGACCCGAGCTTCGAGGGCAGCCGCCGCCTCACCAAAGGTCAGCGGCTGCCTCTTGTCCGCACCGGCCTCCAAAGCTTCGTTTGCAACTGCCCCAGCGCCCAGTTGGCAGCTCAACGTCACCGAGAAGGCTGCTTCGGTATGAACTGGTCGGACTAGATTCTGTGTCGATTCGGGGGGGGGGCTCTCCTATCTTATTCGGTCGCTATCGATCTGCCGACCATCAACGTAGTTGCATTTGATAATCTCTCTTGCCATCGACTTGATTGCTAACCGTTTTGTGCCCGCAACCCTCGACATGCAACGTGGCCAACGACCACCCCCCATTTTCCCACATCCACCCCACAGCAAATCAACGCCATCAACCAGAAGGAGGCTAAGAGTCTGGCGCTCCGGGTCGCCGTCGACCCCGGCGGCTGTCACGGCTACCAGTACAAGATGGAGCTGACGGACCAGTTCGAGGAGAGCGATCGGTGAGGAACCGTTGTAGCTTGACACTCCCGAATCACTTGACCGAGTCAACACGATTGTGCTGGACTGACCTGAGGGGGAGGTTGGGTTCGCTTGGACAGCCCAAATGAAGAAATAGGGCTTGCGAGTATCATTTGATCTGACTATCCGACCGCCTTCCGCCAGTTTCTTCGAGAAAATCGGAGCCAAGGTCGTCGTTGATCCGGTCTCGCTCGAGCTGATCGATGGCTCTACTCTAGACTATGTCGAGGAGCTGATCGGATCGAGCTTCCAGCTTGTCGACAATCCCAAGGCCGAGACGGCCTGTGGATGCAAGACCTCGTTCAGCATCAAAATCTAGCCACGCAACCGACATCCAATTTTTCGCTGGCGCACCCTTCCGCAATGTTCATGCCACACTCGCCGTCCCTTGTCCATAGCACCACTCAATACATGGCCACCCTTGCAGCTACGACCAAAGCCGACTATCCAAGCGCAGAAGGTCGCACCCAGGGGAGCATGATCGGGCCTGTTGGGTCTGGTTGGCTGGGGTGGGTGCCGCCAGCGGCGGAGGGGGTTTGCTGGTGGGGAGCGGCGGTTTGCACAGACCCACCAGCAAGCAACATTTTGGGGATTGGCTTGTTGCTGCTGCCGCCGGTGCATCTTGTCGGCGATCCACACCCTCGTCGCCATGGCATCATCTTTCTTTGAGAACAACCCACATCGTCGATGGAACCCCCTGACGGATTCTTGGGTGCTCTGCTCGCCGCACCGTGCCAAGCGACCCTGGCTTGGTGAGGCCCGCAATCGTGGTATCATCGGCGCTTCTTGGTGGTCGATGCTATTTGGTTGTCTTGGCCGCTGAAGGTCAATCGGAACCTCTCTCCTCGCTCACAGGCCAGCAAGAGTCTCCTCAAAAGTCGATCAGCACGAGCTACGTTTCGGACTGCTATCTGTGGTATACTCCCTTGTCGCTCCATTGTCCTATCAAGCGATCCATCGACTGATGCTCGCTGTTTCGTGGCTGCAGCAGGCCAATTATTGACTGCTGTGGTTGGTCTATTGCCTAAACTTGGACGCACCATGGATGGCCTCGGTTGAATGTGCTTCGTTGGTGCGCTTTGCGACCCAAATGTCTGGTCGCTCAACCAGCCCTCGCAACACCCGCTCCAACGGCGAATCCAAGAACCCCGCCTACGAGGCTACGTTTGTGTTTGATAACGATTTTGCTGCTGTGAGCGAGTCGTATGTCTCTGCAGATGCTGTCTTTGCCCCCGGCCAGAGTCGAGGTATGGTAATATCCTCCCGCTACTGGAGGTTGCAGTCTAGGACTTGTCCATCCATGCAGTCCTACCAACAACAAAGACGAACGCAACATGTGCCATCTTATTGAGCAATCATTATTCATTGAACCAAACAGAGGGCGATTCAGTCGAGCCTGCCCCTGATCACTCTCTCGTTCTCGCCGAGCGCTTGCTGCGAGCCAAACCGGTCCGGGGCAAGTGTAGGGTAGTCTGCTTCTCGCCCCAACACAACCTCACCCTCGCTGAGATGGACCAGTCTGCAGTCGAGAACATCATCCGGGCCTGGATTTTGGAATATGAAACTCTGGGCCATTTCGATTACATCAACTATGTCCAGATATTCGAGAACAAAGGTGCCATCATGGGCTGCTCGAATCCTCATCCGCATGGCCAGGTAGTTTGGTGTCCTTGGGACTGGCAGAGAGGAAGTTGGGTGCAATGACAATGACCGTTCCAATGGCGATACCGGGTGGCTGCTCAGTCTCTCATCCCGGGGTTGACATCAGCCCAGGGGCTCACCAATGTGCCTCAATTACCTCAGATCTGGGCGACCGAATCTATCCCTGAGGAGCCCTCGAAAGAGCTCCGGTCTCTGGCCCAATACCGTAGCCAGCACGGTTCCTGCCTTCTCTGCGACTACGTTGGTCTCGAGCAAACTGACGGCGCCCGAACGGTGGCCGAGAACGATTCATTTATTTGTGTCGTGCCTTACTGGGCCGTCTGGCCGTTCGAAATCTTGGTGATGGCCAAGACCCATCTTGTCTCGATCGTCCAGCTGAGCGACAAGCAGCAAACCGATATGGCCGACATTTTACGTCGGATGGCCTGTCGTTACGATAACTTGTTCCAGTGCTCGTTCCCATACTCTATGGGCATCCACCAAGCACCCACCGACGGCAAAGACCATTCAGACGACTGCCATCTGCACATCCACTTTTATCCCCCGCTGCTGAGAAACGCCAATATTAAGAAGTTCCTTGTCGGGTATGAGTTCACCGCGATCTGAATTGCTGTCATGGCGACCTGCGATATTCATGAATTAGATGAGCACCATGACGTAGCTCGGTCGAATGCTCTGGAATGAGCGGTCTAAAGCCTTTGGTCGAGTCTGAGGCTTCCGACTGAGCACGCTCACCTGTCCTCAATCTTTGTCCTCTAGCTATGAGATGCTGGCCGAGCCCCAACGGGACCTCACTTCTGAGCAGGCCTGCCAGCGACTCAAGGCTTGTTCTGAAGTTCACTTCTCTCGGGCTGAGAAAGAGTTGAGGGATCAAGCGCCCTTGCCTTCATGAGATGCACGTTTACCGTTGTTCTGAGAACGATCGTGGCAACACATATGCGACACAAGAGTGCCATACAGGCAATCTGTTGACAACAAGAATGAACTGAACTGAACACAAACACATGGAGGACCACCAAAGCAGAGAGTACAACAAAGGAGGTTGGATAACCCGACGACAGCGGTCACTTCGCCCAGCTATCGGACGAGCTCGACATTTCAGAAGGTGCTTTAGGAGGAATAAGGGAGATGGTTAATGTGAGGAACGACTTGGAGTCCGAGAAGCCATCAATGAAAAATGATATCGATCAAGAGCGCGATTTATTGAGACAGGGGGAAACGGTTCCGACTCTCTTGAGATGGAATAAAAGAAAAGTGAATTGATGTGCAAGGTTAAGAAAACAGACATCCATCCCCATGCCATCCAAGGGGCTGGTGCACAGATATAAGGCTTTGAAGGCTCGATAAATTTATACGGAAGGGGATGCATGGCCTAAACATCCAAAATGCTTTGAATACGGGGGGACAAGAAAAAAAGATCACACCTCATCGACGAACGAGAATTGCCTCAATAAATAATTAGACGCAGGGGAGGATGAGTTCATTGGCTCTGCAACTGAGAACGATGCACAGGGTATCGGTCGACGATCTGAGCTTTGGTGCTTTAGGTGGCGGCGGTGCATATGCGCAAACACGAAGCAAACCTGAGGTTTCATGGCTTGGATATCTGTCGGCTTGTTTCTAATTTCCAAAAGGTCATTGTGGGCAATGAATGCGTGAAATTTCATTTGGGAAGAGAGTCTGGCCTCCCCTCGCTCTTGACGGCATTCTGAGGAGAGTAGGGCACATCTTCGCTAGGGACAGGGACACAACGTCGTTGGATCATGTTGTACTCGGCCAAGAGCGACCATGTGGTCAAACCCATTCCTGGGTGTCCGACCCATGGAGGTGTGGATTGATTCCCGAGACGCAGAGGGGTTGGACACATTGGCCGCATGAGGATGGCGGTGTCGAGCCAGCAACAACCAGCGATGCGCATATCACCGCCATGGATACAAGGCGAGGCCCTGGTCATTCCTCCGTGGGATTATAGCTGCCAATGCTTGACCGACGTGGGTTGTGGGGTCCCGAGGGAACATAGAGGGTGCAAGCACGGAGGGAACCAGCAAGACGCTGTAGCTACAAGCAACCCGACTCGGGAGAGGAAGGCATATCTGATATGGGGAAGAAACGAACAGGACAATAAGCCAAATCGCAGTACAGACGAGTAGGGTAGACAATACTCAGAGGTGGGCCTTGGAGAAATAGAACTGAAAAAAACCAGGTACAGAGTGAAAATCATGATAAGATGAGACAAGGGAATCACTGACAAAACATCCAGCAAGGACTGAGGAGATTCAACAATACTCCAGACATAAGATCAAATTCTATCCGAATTCGGAAATTGGAGGAATCGATCAATGGAAAATTGGGAAAAGACTTCGGGTCAGAACGAGAAATGGATGAGAAAAGGAAAGATAGACTCACTGAGCATAAATAATGAAAGGAAAGCAGAGGAACAAAGACATCGAAGGACGAAAAACGATGGAAGAAAAAATTTAGGATAAAAAGCGCTCCTAGGTGGGCTCGAACCACCAACCTTCCGGTTAACAGCCGAACGCGCTAGCCAATTGCGCCATAGGAGCCAATCGCCCAACGTGGGGGTCGAACCCACAACCTTGAGATTAAGAGTCTCACGCTCTACCGATTGAGCTAGCCGGGCAGTGAAAGTGGAGAATCGGGGTATCGATCCCCGTGCCTCTCGCATGCTAAGCGAGCGCTCTACCATCTGAGCTAATTCCCCCAGGTTTGCCCCGATCTCGTTATCGAGTGTTCCGCGGACGCACCTTTTGAATTACTGCCCTCCCATTGCCTACCAACAAAACCAACCCGGTACCAACCATGCCCCCCGACGACTCGCCTGCCCCCGAAATGGCCGTAGACGTCCATGACAGTGTCCCTGGACCCTCCAGAGCACCCCCTGAGGCCCAAACTCAGCCCGAAACAATCGATCTCACGGACCAGCCCACGCCCAAGAAACGCAGAGGCGATGGCCAAGAAGTCTCCCAGCCCATAGTCCCCAGTGGCCAGAAGCCGATCGAAACAACGATCGAGGAGCTCTACGGAGACTCCGAAATGTACCCCAACCCTCCCGATGTCGAGGCCGAGAAGAACTGGGCCATCGAAATTGCAGCCAAGGAAGAAAGGGGCGAAGCCTGTGAGGCCGACTACATGTCACTCACCTTTGACGAGATCACTTACCGTCGATTCCGCTTGGTCTTTGCACTCCGAGGCCACAGGGTCCGCTGCTCACGCTGTGCAGACAGGAAGCAGGCCTCATGGCACCTCGACCAAGACGACCACGACATCGTGTGCAAGAACAACATGATGAGCCCTGACAACCCGGCCAAGATTAAGGAGTGCGGCCATGTGACACGATTGAGGATAATCGAGGTATAGCCGTGAGCGAGAGCTTTCTTACGATACCGATTTCATCCAGAACGGATGAGAACTGACTGCTGTAGCACCGTGGGAAAGATTGTAGTGTATCGAGGGAGTAGTCCTGGGTTACTGTGTGTGTGTGTGTAGCTGGGGAACGGATAAGGAAATGGTGCGCGCTCCTGTATGACTCTGGGCGCGTCAACGCGTCAGGCTGCTGGACATATAAGGCCGCCCCCTCGCCCTGCTCTGCTGGAGATCATCTGGAAAAATATAGTGGCCTTGGCTACATGGTAGCATCGGCAACGACGGTTCTCCTCTCGCGTCCAGTTTTCCCAACGTTCCGATCTCTCCTCCTGTCTGTCTGCCCGAGGCCCCCGCCGTCTGCCCAACGCTCCGATCTCTCCTGTGAGGCTCTGCCGTGAGCCTGTCTGTCTGCCCAAGGCCCCCGCCGTCTGCCCGACGCCCGAACTTGCTGGGGAGGCCCTGCCAGTACCCATGACGGAGGAGACAATTACTTTTGAAGACCTTATTGCAGGGGAGTGGAAGCAATTCTGCAGTGTGGATGGCGACCTCAATCGGCTTGCCATCTCACTCACCCCCGAACAGCAAACCCTGGTCAGAACATTTTCTGCCAATTATCGACTCCGAGGACCCGCTGCAACGGACGTTCAACACACCCAACGCCAGTGGGAGATCAAGGTTGCTTTCCTCAGAAAGCTGGAGGCTGCGGTGCCGCCTTTCAAAGGCAGCCGCGAGGCCGGCACTGTGAATGCCTTCCTTGTTTCAATGGATCAGGTTTTCTCGTATGCGGAGGACTACTATGTCGGACCAGCCCAGGTCCAGGCTGCCGCGACCCACTTCCAAGACAAAGCTCACACATGGTGGTTCTCGCAGGACAACGCTGCCATGAGGTCCTCGTTAGACTCGTGGCAGAGCCTGCGGGACATCATAGTGGCAACATTCATTCCTGCGGACTCAGCCACAAAGGCTGAACAGGAACTTAAAGCCTTTTGCCAAGCAAAGAAGCTTCGAAGCCTCTCCAAGTATATCGAGCGATTCCTGGAGCTCTCCGCAGCCGCAACAAAATTGACCACCTTTTCGAAGACCGGCTACTTCGTGGGCGGCCTTCACGACTCAGTGAGGCCGTATGTCCAGATGCTGCCTAACTACGAGACGGAGCTCCGCGAGGACATTCCAGCACTGATCCGAGAGACGCTTCGTCTCGGCAGCATCTGGGACAAACAAGCTGCAACGGCTTATCAGCCCCCGCCTCCGCCGCCGCTCCCGCAAGTAGTCCCCATGGACATCGATGCTATCCATAGGGGACCAAGAGGTAGTGGCTCGTACCTCTCCTCACGAGAGAGAGAGTTCCTTATACGAAACAAAGGGTGTTTCTACTGCCGCAAAGCCAATGCTGGGCATGTAGCCGCCCGTTGCCCGGAGAAGGAGAGGAACAAGACCCGTCAGAGAATCCCCGTGCGACAAGTCACGGCGACCTACGACCCCTACGAGCAAACGAACGCCTCCCACAGCTACCGATTGGAACCTCCCAATGCCACCGAGCCAAGACAGTCTCATGTTGGAAGCGATGACTCCCCTCAGTACGTATTCGGACCTGCTGCTCCGGACAATCGTGACAAGCCTGGACTAACGGGTTGCCGCTCTCCAGTCAAGGTTGAACAAGTTCAAGGAGAGCAGACCCGTGGCCAGGAAGTCACGAGAAGTCCGCATGGGAGCGCAGATGCCGAGGTACATGAGGGTGATGTCTACGCTTGCCAAATAAAGACACTACCAAGTTCAATCGACCTGACGAGAGTGGTCGGGAAGCGAAGAGAGCCACCGCACGAAGGAGCAATGAACGCCATATCAGAGAGCGCTTGCTTCCACTTCGTGGGTGCTGCTGGGGGACCAACCGGCATTCAAAAGCGCATCCGGTTCCTGCGAGACTCTGGAGCCAAGGGCAACGTTATCAAGCAAGCCCTAGCCCAGAGTCTAGGATGCAAGATGATCCCCTGCGATATACAGCTACGATTTGCGGACGATCGCACTTCTGTCTCGACAACAGCCACGGTCATCAGCCTCCGATGTGGATCGTACACGAGGCTCATCAATTGTGTTGTCGCCGACATTAAAGATGACCTCATCCTGGGCAATCCATTCGATGAGGAGGTCCGCGTCCTGGATCAGAGGACCCAGGAGGGCCGGACAAGGATCACTTTCGTGGATCGGCGTAACACCCGACATGTTTGGACCAGCCTGCCAGCCGTGAAGGATCAACGAGTTAGGGCGATCCACATCGAAGCGGTATCCTTCAAGCAGCTCCAGAGAGAACTCAAAGAAGATGAAGTGCAGGTTGGAGTCGTCTTGGTAAGCCAATCCGAGGTCACCCAGATTAACAGAAACCCGAACGATAAGTCGCTGGCGGAACAGAAGGAGGAATACCTGGCCAAGCTTCCGCCAGCCATCCGATCTGTCCTGGAGAGATACATGGACGTATTCGAGGACCCCAAAGGTCTGCCCCCGCCTCGGCCGGAAGATCAGCACATCGAGCTGATCGATTCGAGGAAGCCTCCACCGTACAGACCCATCTTCCACTTGAGTCCCGAGGAGTTGACGGTGCTGAAGGCCAAGCTGGACGAGTTGCTCGAGAAGGGGCATATCCGCCCCTCGACATCCAACTACGGTGCTCCGGTACTCTTTGTCAAAAAGGCTGACGGCACATTACGTATGTGTGTGGACTACAGGGCATTGAACGCCAACACGGTCAAGAACCGCACTCCGCTTCCGTTCATTGCGGAGATGCGGGACCGCTTGGCAAACAAAAGATTCTTCAGCGGACTCGATGTTCGCGACGGGTTCAACACGGTCCGCATGGATGAAGGCAGCATTGCGAAGACGGCCTTTCGGACAAGATATGGAACATTTGAATACCTAGTAATGCCGATGGGGCTTACCAACTCCCCGGCCTGCTTCATGACGATGATGAACCGCATATTTCACGAGTTCTACGACAAGTTTATGGTCGCCTATGTCGACGATGTCCTTGTCTACTCGGACACTTTAGAAGAGCATGCAGCCCACCTGGAACGAGTTCTCAAGAAGTTTAAGGAGAACGGCCTCTATGCCAAGTTGATGAAGTGCAGCTTCGCTCAGGAATCGGTCCCGTTCTGTGGACATGAGGTGTCCAGACATGGGCTGAGTATCACGAAGGACAAGGCCAACGCTGTCCTGGACTTTGGCCAGCTGTCCTCGATCACGGATGTGCAAGCCTTCCTGGGACTCACCAACTGGGTGAAGGATTTCATCCCCGGATACGCCGAGATATGTCTGCCATTGACAGGGCTACTTCCGAAGAACACCGGATGGATATGGACCGAACAGGAACAGACCGCGGTAAGGGTGCTTCAGCACCACATATCGTCATACCCGGTCCTGAGATTCTACGACACCCAACTGCCGGTCGAGGTCCACTCTGACGCCTCCCGCTATGCGGGGGGTGGGGTGATCTTGCAACGATTCGACGATGGGCTTCACCCCATCCTGTATTGGTCCAGGAAGTGGACGAACACTGAACGCAACTACTCGACGTACGAGCATGAACTGCTGGCATTGCATGATTTAGTCAAACATGGTCGGCCATATCTGATGGGTTGCCAGTTCCATGTGGTTACGGACCATAAGGCACTCATCTGGCTCAACACCCAAGCCAATATCAATCGACGCCAGGCCCGGTGGATCCTGGATTTTCAAGATTATGACTTCACTATTGAACATGCCCCCGGATCTCGAAACACAATCGCAGATGTACTCAGTCGAGCGCCATGCCACAGGCCCCTCTGCTCCAAGTGTAGGGGGAAGATTGACTCGGACACAGCTGCAGTCGATGTGAGGCCGGTCACGACCAGTCTCTCTGCCTCTTCCCTCCGTGACGAAGTAGGAGACGCTCTGGGGAACGATGAATTGGCAATGACACTGCAGAAGTATCTCGATGGTCAGGATGTAGATGGCCGCTCCAAGGACGCACCACTGGAGCGTCTTACAAGAGTGGATGGCCTGATCTTTTACGACCACGATCGACTCTACGTCCCGAAGGTGGAGTCGATACGAACACGGATCCTTCAAGAGCACCACGACGTCATCACTGTGGGCCATGTTGGACAGCTACGGACGCTCGAAAAGATTTCGCGCCAGTTCTGGTGGCCCACGTTGCGAGCGGATGTGACCCGCTATGTTGCAGCATGCGAGGTGTGCCAGAAGTCCAAACCCCGCAACCACCTCCTCGACGGCCTGCTGCATCCGTTGCCCATCCCTGAGGAACGATTCAGCTCGGTGTCCATGGACTTTGCCTTTATGCCACTGTCGAAGAAAGGCAACGACAAGTGTCTGATCCTGGTGGATCGACTCACCAAGCTGGCACGGTTCGTTCCGTGCACAACCAAGTCCACGGCCGAGGACGTGGCATTGTTGTTTATTCAATACTGGGTCGTCTCCTTCGGACTCCCGACGGAGCTAATCTCGGACCGAGACTCCCTTTTCACATCGAACTTTTGGATAAAAGTCCTGACCACGCTTAAGATTTCCCAGAAGCTTACGACGGCCCGGCACCAACAGGCCAATGGCCAAGCTGAAGCAACGGTCAAGGACCTCAAGCAAAGACTGGTCCCATTCGCCAACTACAAGGGCGATAATTGGGACGAGGTGGTGCACCTGCTGGAGTTTGGACACAACGACTCGGTGCACACCTCCACCGGATTCTCCCCATTCTATTTGGCATTCGGGGTACACCCAAGGACGATGCCCGGCAACGAGCATGCCACCGATGATCGAGTGGCAACCTGGAGTCTCCTGGAGGACCTCGAAGCCATACGAAGGATTGCAACACAACAACTCCAGGAGGCTCAGGATCATCAAACCCGGAGCGGGAACGAGAGAAGACAGGCGGGGGAGGAGCTCAAGGTTGGAGACATGGTCCTCCTTGAGCGCGAAGGTATCAACTGGGAGGCCCACAAGTTCAGGCCAGACCAAATCATCCCGCGTCGGCTGGGTCCGTTCAAGATTACGGAGATCGAAGGACTCAACCACACCCTGGAGCTACCCCCTACACTAAGCCACATACACCCGACATTCCACCGCAAACTCCTGCGGAAGTTTATTGAGATGCCGGACGACTTCGCTTCAAGAGCGACTTACACAAGACCACCTGCAATCTCGGACGTCGAACCAATATTCAAGGTGGAGAAGTTGGTCAACGACAGA